CCCTATGAGACCGAAATGTGCAACTATTTCAAAAACTATTACATCTATAGCACCTGCCAAAACCCTGCCGCCCACTTTCTACGAACCACTCTAGACGGCAACAAAGACGCTCGCTGTTCTGATAGCCCACACGATCGATTCATTGTGGTCGTAGGCAAATGCCTACTTTGTGGACGATGATCTCTCTGAAAAAGGAGAACAAACTTTTCATTCTTTCTCCTGGATTTTCCACGATACAATCAGGCGTTGATCTTTGACGCCCCAGACCTCCTCCTTCCGAATAAGAGTATCCCGGCCCGCCGTTCTGTTGCATTATTCTGGGACAAGCAGGGCCGCCAGGAACTACAGACTAGGTTGGAGCCGACCCTCCCCCTTCGCTATCCACTCATAACCAAGCCGCTCTCCCGAGCCGATGACGAGGACGATGGGGTACTCAATTTGAGATCGGCTATTCGTCAGTCCGGCTTTGATCGACACGTTTCTCTTCTCCATCGACCTGAGAATTTTTTTTCCTATTGGGGTTCCACCCGATTTAAACTTTGGGCCCTGGAGGCCTCCTGTGGACAACATTCGCTAATACTCCTGGAGAGTGATGGCTTTACCGAATTTCTCGTGTCCGTTTTTGTTCACCCGAGCGTTTATTTTGATCTTATCCATGAGCGGCCATGAAATTTCGGTAAGTTTGTTTGTATGGGGATTTGTTTTACTTTTTGTTTTTATGGGGTTCACTGGCTATCAATTGGAATTTGGGGGTTTACTTTTAGGGGGGTGGGTGGGTTTAGGTACAAGGCTAGACCAGAACCCTGATCTTCCTAAAAATTTGGGGGCCTTGGTACAAATGGATATGACCTATCTAAGTAAAGTGTATGATTGTTTTCCTGGGGTATGTTTCGTCAAGAATACCCTTTCTGTCGTGGTTAGGAATCTGCATGAAATAATATGAAGAATTCTTACCTGCTGTTGTACGATATGACTCGACTCGGACAATTTTGTGTATCTGATTTCCCTCTCGTTCTCGTTCATAAAAGCCTTAACCCTGCATATCGATCTAAATCACATGTTATCATTGGGCGAAAGAGAAAATCATTCCATCCATTTCAAATTAAGGATCTTTGCTTCATTTTTCTCCGACATTCTACCTTCGGACCCGACGTGCCAAGTACAAAGCGCAAGAGACTGAAAAAAAGGAATAGATTGAAAAAAGGTCTTCTATTCGGGTCTGGGTCCAAGGTCCAACGGGGCCCGCGCAGGCAACGTGGTTCTAATCCTCCCCCACCGAATTCCGTGCTGCATAGACCAGGGGGTGTGCAGGGGCCCCAGCTCAGCAGCATGACGACGACGACTCAATTTCTATCAGTGATTATATTGCTTGCTTTGAATACAACGTTGTCTGCAGACATCTGCATTTACAGACGCTTGCACATTGTTGCTGGTCTTTGCCAAGAGGCCTTTTGTTGCTCCTCCCCCGGTCAGGTCCGTGCTTTTAGTCTTTTAGTGCCATGGCGCGCATACTGTACATTGTAAGTATGACAAAGGTAGGAGGGGTACATTTTTGATGTACTGTGTAAGTAGTTTGCTTCTTCGTGGGTCTTTTATTAGTAGGTCGTTTCTTTTTATCTATCAGATCAAAGCTACAGGGCCCAAGCGATGGAAGAGAGAAGATAATTCTTCGGAGTATTATTTGGGACAGGGAGGGGGAAAAAGCCAAGACTCTCTGTCAATTCAAAAACCCACACAATGACCAAGCAGTAATTGGACAAAAGATTTAAACGAAGCTTCAACTGTGCATTCCCCTTGGCAGGGATTATGGACACCCTCTGGGCTTGTTTAATGTTTACCCAATCCGAATTAAGCATCATTTGTAGTCCATGAAGTTTGTTTGCGCGTAGTCCATGGTCTACTAGTGCATAGATAGATATATCCGAACAATTAAGGATTCACTGAATGGGTTAAGAATACCAAAAACCCAAGTCTCGATCTCCGGTACGACCGGTGTAACTTTATTTACCGGTCCGGGGAGGGCTATGACCCCCTCTATCTATACTACCAATGCCCGAAAGAGTCATGATGCAATAGTGCCGGGGAGTCACAAGAGGAAATCTTGTCGGAGGCTCCGGGACGAAGGAATCGACAGGGATGTTCAATTTAGACAATGGTTTTTAAAAGACTAAAAAGGTTGAGAGAGTATATTCGTAATTAAGGGAAGGGTTCAACAAAAGGAAAAGAAAAAAGGAGGGGACATACCGTGCTGAGGCAACTAGTGGTGGGTTGGTACCAGGGCCAAGGCTGTGCTCGGTATGAGCCCCGAAGCCCAGAGGATTAAGTGCCGGATAGGGCGAAGCGATGTTTGGAACGCTAAATCCCTCGAGATGGCGCTAGTTGACAAGGCACCAGCACTTAGCCTTGTAACGGGTGCTATGTCCGTCTCGCACATGCACTTTTCTCTTTTCTCTATCAGGAGTTCGAAGATTTTCCGGAACAAGAAGTTACAAGTCTAGGTTCCCTATGTGCGCTAGGGCTATGCAGATGCTCCGTTTTGTGGCATGACACTGCATGGAAATCCAGGTCAAGGCGCGCACTCAGCAATCCTTTAGTTGCATGGACGCGGGCAGTCTTCTACAGATTTAATTTGTCCGTGATCCTTTATGACTGGCCGGCTCTTGTTGGAAATTAAATTGCATGCCGTGTCGGGCGCTCATTGGGGCCGAGAAACAAATAAGGATTTGTAGTATTAATATCATGGCCCCCAGGGTCGAGGCTGCCAGCTTCATGACCGGCTTTTGCCGGCATATGAACAAATTCCTTCACTCCACGAACGTGCTGAAGATTATTATTGGGAAACGCAACCTGTCAAAGTCCATATCGGGCTACCAGCATAGATGTGGATCTGTTCTTGACACAATCATTGCAAAACAGTGCCCATCGCTGTGCCGATCTAGCCACAATGCTCATTGATTGGATTCATCGAAGGCTGCAGACTGAGTCCCACCCACATCAGCTAGAAGAATAAGAAATAAAGTTCCTGCGTGGTGCGACTTGCGAGCTTGGCATTGAATGCATTAGGTATGTGCATGGCGTACAGTACTTTGAGCTCGCAAGCCCAGTCTAGGCTCTTCCCTGAATTGTGTATCATAGAATCCCTCTTCACATGCTATCTCTTATACATGATCTTATCATGCTGATTAAACCGTTGTGGCGCGGCAAAAATGCTACAAGTCCGGAGGCTGGAATCCAGGCTTTTCTTGATAGACGGAGCTATGGCTGACATCCGACCAGACCCCTGTCATTTTTCATTTACTGAGCAAGGAATACAGGCCGAAGTAATTTGATGAGAACATTACCAGTCTAGGGTCCCGGTAGTTATTAGTGGTTCATATACGGCCAGCCAACCAAGAAACCCACGTCCAATATAAGGGAAACGTGTTCTTTTGACCGAGTCCTTGGCATCCCTGGATATTTTCGAACTGATGACGGAGATAAAAGTGCAATTAAATTTGAACTCGAGCCGAGATCTTGGAACTACTTGGAACTACCTTTAGCCTTCATTTTCAATCTATTTTGACTTTTGCCGACAATAACTCGCTTAGCCTCATACTCCAAGGAAACAACAACCTTGGCACCGTGCATTTCAATTGAGGCTAAATGTCAGACATGTACTTTTGTCCCGCTTTCCTCTATACAATTCGTGTACTCTGTCTGGGGCTCCGTCACGATCCAAACCTTACAAAATTCCTCGAATTCTGACCTTCTTTTTCCTTCATTCTACAATCCGCTTCAAATAAAATCGTATGATCGCTATAGAAGAGATATGGACTGGGCAACAAAATCATTGTAGCGGCCTCCCCGGCCCATCATACCCGATACCCCCGCAGCTTCCGACCTGCTCAACCCTCATCCGACACACTATCTGCCAACATTTCTCCACCATTAACGGATCCACCATCTCTATCAAACGGTCTGTGCGGAAGCTGAGCTCTCGGGTGGAGAACCGAAGCCACAGCCGCTATCCACCTGCCGGAGGGGGCCCATGTCCCGAAGAAAGGAAGAAGAGGGGACAGAGGAAGATCATCGCAACATGAAACTTACTGACCGAACTTATGGAAGATCTTCCTCTTGGCAATGCTGCACTTCCAAGTCGAGGAAAGAGGCGACGCCAATAGGAATTGGTTAATTACTCCATGTACAGTTGCTTGGCCCCGCTTCAAACCTGGACAGACCATGCATGCACGTATCAAGATAGCCGAGCCGAGCCACATTTGGATTTGTGTAGTCGATCTCCTTGACTAGTATGGATATGATCCGCTTTCATTATTGCGCTCTTCTCACCAAGGAACATCGTCATCCGTAGATCTCCACTGTTCAGGAGTACAAGTAGTCTTTATCAAGATTGAGAATATATATACGTCCAATACGGCATAATCCTGTCTAGGCTGTGCATTTCCCCCACAAACCGAGCTTGGATGGTTGGCTCGGAGCATGTCTGTGCCTATCAACTACAGTATAACCCAGTCACAAGAACACGCATGCCCTAGTTTAGAGGCTGCAAGGCTGTTGACCTTCCCAGCGTTGGCTCTGGAAAGCATCCAATTTGGCGGAATTAAATTCCACAGCGATCGTTTCAGGTAGGCGACATATGTGGGAAATAGATCCACGTCATGCGCTACAAAGATTCGATCCCGCGCTAAATGAACCCGTCAATCTCTTTCCGTTTAACGTTATTCCTCCAGACGGCGCGGGATGGTGGGGGAGGGTTCATGCAGGGTTCTACGGCAGGTTTTGCGCGAACGCTCATTTCTTGTGAAGGGGTCTGGCAGTATAAGTATGCAGTAGACAAGGGATAGAGAATATATCATATGTGTGATTTTTGGAAGGATGTGACTTCGGATATGGAAGAAGAGAAGAGAAAAAGGTGGGTCACAGTATGGTAGGACAATGTATGTACTGAATTGGCAATTGCTATGCCAAAGAAAAAGAATGAAAAGACATACGAAGCCTCTCTTTCAAAAACGCACCTCGGGGCACATTGCGATTGGCTTGGGGGTGTATACTGGCGGCAGGGGTGTATAACGAGGACAGGGTTTCCTGGGCACTTTGGGAAAGGAAAGACCAGGTAGATCACCAAGGCGTAAGCTTAGTCTTGATGATGCTCTTTTGCGACCAGGTGACTGCTTCTCGGTTCCATCAACGTTTGATCTGATTGGATTTAGGCCTGGCGAAGACTGTTGTGGAAGGCAGGAGATGGTGATCAGACTGCGCAGGTAATGGAAGGATTCCACGTCTTCGACTCGATATTCCTGGCTGTTGCCACCATCTGGTCTCGTGCTCTGTGCGTTTGTGGATAATGGAGAGGATGATCTTCTCGAGCAGATGGTCGTGCGCGGGGATGATCGACTGACGCTTGCTGCGAGGAGGGCCAGCTGATTGACAATCCCGTCTGTGTCACCGCATCGTGTATCCCTTCTAGCGGGTGGTGTGACATGGATATCGGGGGATTGTGTTGTCGGTGTGTCGTGGGCATCGTGGTGGCCTGTTGCTTGATCGTTATCCGCAGGGTCGACTTTGCCCTTGAGGCGTAAGCGTCGGGTGATCGATGCCCGAAGTATAGTCCAGGTTCCACGGCCCTTGCGTAGGAACATGAGTAGCATAAGTAGAGTGTACAATACTGTAAGGAGATTGGATGCGAGTTAGTAACTGAAAGAGCTAGCTTCGCTTGCGAGTAGCGACTCACAGACAGACAAAAAATATGCCTTTCGGAGGCCGCCAATTGGCTTGCAGAGTGAGAATGAGAGAGTCGATGGAAAAGATGTAAATAAGTGGACTCTAAAGAACTCCCGACGTTGACTTTGTCTCCTAGATATAAATCGGTTCCGGGGTTGAATGATCCTTCATTAATGTTATCTTCATCGTAGAACAAGTTAATCAATCGTAACCCGGGAGAACCCTTAGATGCCGGTAATCAACCAAGAGCCGATATTCAAATCGAACCAACTCTGAAACCGCGGGGATGAACGAAGGTCCAAGCACACATGTACTCGACAATAGTACCTTAGACTCAGTGCGCTGTTGGAAGTCAACGGCAGCTTGCTTGGTCTGAGCCATTGATTGCAGTTTGCAGGGAGTCTTCGGAAACAGTCAAGGTCGGCGACACATCCAATTCCTGTCATCTATACAAACGCGACGTCTACCGCTAGCGCGAAGGCGCTTGTTACAATAAAGTTTATGCGGGACCCGCCCGTTTGTGGAGATGGTGAACAAGGAAACGGAATAGAAGATGGGTCAGAGCGTTGAAGCTGATTATGAATCAGGCTAGATTGGAGATTAAAGATATGTCGCGATCCGAGTACCGAGCCCCTGAGAGAACCGAGCAATCGGGAGTATGAATGAGTAGGGGAATGAAGTGAGAACAATAGGAGGTGACTACAGAGCAGAATGCAAAGAAGTATTTGTTCGGAACTTGGGGTTTTCAATGACACAAAACATGGATTAGGCAGAAGGCCATAAATAGCTCTTGTACCGATATTTGAGATTCCAATTTGTCCTGAATGAATCAATTGTCCATGAACCGATGCCAAACACAACAGTCAAACACAGAAAACTAGGCTATGATCCAGTCGACAACAATTGATGTCACAAATTACCAATGCCAATATTGCGCCCAACAAGATAATGGAAGCACATCACAGCCGAGCGCTCATTATTGAGCCCCAAATCACTCAGTCTTAGGCTCGCGCGTCATGCAATAAAGCTAATTCGCAACATTCAAATGTTAGCAAATATTCCAACCCAAAATAAGGCAAGATTTCAAAAGAAAGAACCAAAAAAGGGAAGATGGAGAACCAAAAGAACATACCATACAAGCATCCTCCCCATCCCGACACTCCATCTCCATACTCATCTCAAACCCCATCCTCTCATAAATCTTCACATTAGGCACATTCTTCGAACTCTCCAGATAACACTTAACCCCCTCCTTATCCGCCCTCTTCGTCACAGCCTCAAAAAGCATTCTCCCCACCCCCTTCCCCTGCGCTTCAGGACTCACGGCGACGATATTACAAAAGTAATAACCCCGGGGATCATCCCAAATCGCCGACTGCGCTTCCTGCTGCCTGGTCTTCCAGATCCAGTACCGATTCGTACGGAGACCGCCGTGGCCGCGGTAGCGGATGTTGGTGATTAGTTGGCGGAAGGAGAGGACCCAGGATTGATACCAGGAGTACCAGGTTTCGGGTTGGGATGTTGGGTGCGGGGCTAGCCAGCAGGAGACGCCGAGGATGGGCGAGGAAGTGTTGTCGGTGTCCTTCGCGACTTGGAAGATGGCGTTGTTTATGCCCCAGCGGCATCGGGCAGCTAGGGAGTCGTAGTTTCTTTGTGCATTGAACTATTGTGGACATGGTTCTCTCGGGTTATGTAACGGCGAGTCGGGATGACCGCGTTACGGGAGAGATATGATGTTAGTTTCCAGGGTTGCGTTGAAGAGTGTCAAAAAAGGTGCTAGGATTAATTTTCTATTACAAAGCATACATACCGATTGTTCATCAAATACCCATTTAAAGTACGGGTCATCGGCAAACGCCTGCTGAATCACCTGGATAGCACCAGGGATATCTGCCTCGGTCAAGTTGACGACTTCGATCGCCATGTTGAGGAGGTTTCAAATAGCGATATAGCCAATCTTGCAATAGCCAGATTGATCTTTGCAACCCTTTCACACCAAGTCAAGCTCAATGGAAGGGATATGTGGCAGGGGTGAGTCCCGATCAGATCTACAATATAAGTTAGCACAGCCGCCACGGAAACAGTTTATATATCCCGAGAACTCACCCGGAATCGCTATCAGTGCGGCCGAGATGCGCCGAGACAGCAAACACTGACGAAGTCCGATACCTGTGAGAGCGGGGCAGTATTGTATCTTAGGGTTGGAATAAGGTGGTACAAGCGTGAAAGACTATTTGTCTAGTTTCCTTGTAGACTGGGTCTTTGGGGAGAGGAGGGAAAGAAGAGCTCGAATGTCATTCCGAATGGATGATGGTATGTGGGGAAGAGTCTAAACCGGAGTAGGCAGTTCTATCCGTGGGGCTTATCTCTTATCAAGTTGAGCGGTGTGGCTTGAGCGATGGAAAAGGTTCGTAGTGATGGTAGCGTTAAGATTATTGTTTAGGACAGTGATATCTTGCAGTGTGAGATGGAGATGATGGGTAGAATGAAGAGTCATCTCTCAGTACTGTTCACAAGGCCTTTTCCAGAACAAGTAATATGAAACACCCATGAGTCTCCGTGGGGCCTAGCTGAGATGTTTGCTTCATCGATCTTGCACCGAATCACATCCAACTGGCCGTACGCCAAATATCACATCATTCACAATGAACAAGACTGCATCTGCCATGAATCGAACCGTCAACCTTCCTCTCCCTTATATACTTCGCCTTGTTACTGCATCGTCATCCCCGGACACCGAAGAACATCGGCAGTCCTAGTGCACCCTAATCCAGCCCTTTACACCGTCCTGACACTGTCAAAAAGACTATTAAGGAATGATAATTGTAACAATTATAATAGTCGAAGATAGATTTTACTATTCGAAAAATAATATTACCAAAAAGAGACTCACAAAAAAACTCCCCCGGGGTGTGCCCGGCCGCCCGTGGAGCTTATAGCGTCAACACTGGCACACCTATGGTTCACCAATTTATGGTGGATACCAACTAGGCCATCGGAGGCGGGGGGGGGTGGGGGGGGAGTTGATTGCTTGACCTGGAAGATGGTGATAACCTTCGTTTCCCCCTCATTCCCTCGTCCCTTATTATTTCCCCTATCCCTGATACAGCCAGTGGGAAGCACAACACATGCCAGCGATGCATGATACTTTATTGAAAGATAAAGCTGTGGCTGTAGCCTCCTGAGCAGCCTAACAATAGGGCTAGGGCTGTCTGTCTGATACGGAGAGCATAGGACCACCTGTGGGCAAGATACCTATAGATATCAAAAAGAGAAAATCTATTTCCTATCAACTTCCGCCGTATTTCTTGTCCAGAACCCTCCGCCTATGACGAGGAAGTTCGTCCTTCGAAATCTTGTTAAGTTAGATACACTCGTAGCCATTTTCTGCTGCATACGAGAAAGGCGAGCTCCCGAAATATCCAGCGTATTAGGACAGGACTTATAACTTCTTAATCTCTGCCCAAGTGGTCAATAGGAGCACTTGAGATTACTTTGGATAACAATAAAGAACCACTAATCATCGAACACCAATATTGTATTCGGCATGTATGCAAATAGACAAAGGAACAAGAACTCAACCTCAACTCCCCTACATACATCCACCCATCAAATTCCCAATCCAAGCCTTTACTCCTCGTTAAAGTGCAAGTCAAAAGACTCGAGAATGTGAAAGCGGCATATCTCAAAAACACCAACTCGCCTTTCGCCAGCATGAAACATGACACCAGAACGGGAAACTCATGACGTATGAACAAACCCAGATATGAAAATGAGAATTCAAATCAGGACGTGAATGACGAAGATTGAGAAATGAAAAGAAAAGGTCCAGTTTGTACCCATGGATGGAAACATAATCAAATAAATCCCCAAGTTCAAACAACCCACTAACCCCAACCCCAAATTAGATATCCTCATTTCCAAGAGGAAGACAATCCCCGCTGTGAACAAGAGCAAAAAGTACCCGTAGATGAGAAAGGAAAAAAGAAATCAAATCTATGAAGATTCGCTAGAAACAAATTCGCCTACCCAATCCCAGTTCCGATATAAACAAAGTCGTGATTTCGTGACTCGGATAGTCTTAGATGCGAGACGACAGTACTGCACTGTTCCGTACCCTGCATGAGTATACTAAACACCCATCACAGGCGTAGAGAAATCAAGATGCAGTAAAGTCCTCGATACGCACCCACTCCCGCGGCACATCCATGCTGCGATTTATCCGTCCTCCCGGCGTCAGAGGAACATCAACACGGCCAAGACCGCGCTCATCATCCTGCTCTTCGTAAAACGATAGTCGGGAGAAGTAATCCTCCAACACGGCCTCGCGGTCATTATTACCCACGATACTCATATACTCCGGTGGCGGGGTCATGAGCGGCGGAGGCGGAGGCACGTCCTCGAAGGCCGGGGGTGCAAAGGACGGAGCGCGAACAAGATGCATTGGGCGAGGGACTTCGCGCTCGACACTCGGTTCGTGGGCGATATGCGCTTGTGGCGGGCGGGCAAGACCGCCCGAGCCATTTGTGAAGCTGCGAGAGACAGGGGTTATGGAGTTTGGTCGGTGGAGGGTTGAGGCGGAGTCTTCGCGGTCGGGGCTGGACTGGCCCAGGGTGTATTCTCGTGATGCTGGCGGGGCGCCGGGGCATCCGCATTCGAATTCTTGGGCTGGTGGATCTGGTTCGGTGGTGGGGCGACTGTAGGCTGGGAGGTAGATGTTTGCTTGTGTGGCTTTGCAGGAGAGGATGTGGAACGGGGAGTCGATGGAGATTTCGAAGTGTCTGCGCTTGGATGGGTCGCGCTCGTCGACCTTGGAGAGACGGAGGACGATCTGTTGAGTGAGTTAGTATGAAGTCAAATCCGAGAATAGACCTGATAAAAGTGCTACTAACCTTGATCCAATGGTTGATCTGGATATTCTCGTACGTCGTATCAAAATGCAACCGTTGTGCCTCATCGCGTCCCCTCATTTCATGACAACTCGGCAACTGTACATTGAACTCCATCTCCGTGGGACCGACGCCAGAATCAGTATTCAAGTTGCCCAGCAAATTCGTGCGAGCACGATCCACAATCTCTTCTCCTCGCGCAGCAGCCGCACGATGATCCCAGTCAATGCCACCACCTGCGGTGATGCGCATGGAACTACCAGGGTAAGTACTCGTACTGGCCGATTCGGCACGCTTCTCAAAGAGTAGCACCTTCTTCGCCGGTTGCAATCGGTGCACACTTTTGTCGGCGGTCCAATGCTGGATATTCTCCGTCACATACACCTTGATACGGTGACACTCGACCTTTGCGAGTGGCGTCAATTTGAACGCAATGGGAATCTGTGAGCCCAGCGGGAATGATTTGCCGGATATCACAATATCATAGTGAAGCTGGTCCTCCCAATTCCGCGAGATGGCAATAGGCTCAACCTGCTCCAGCGAGCCTTCGGCGGGTGTGCGGATCACGGGGATCTCGAGGGTACCCAGAAGATTCGGTCGGAATGCGCCCGAGCGCTCAACGATTGCCTCCAGATCATATCGGACAAAGCCTAGATCCGTCTTGATGGTCTCTGGGAGCGAGCCGTCGATGGGGAACTCGAAGCTGTAGAGATAGTCGCCGACGGGGAACATGCGGTAGTTGCGTTGTGGCTGGTTCGGAGTGCTGACTGGTGGCTCATTCCTGCTGAAACTTCGCGAGTGGCCCCGGGTGCTTTGTACTGAGAGGCGTTTGGCATCTTTTGCGGTCATCAGACCGAGAGACGTATTCGAGCCGGATTTGGAGAATAGTTCTCGGGTTGTCGCGGTGACTCCCTCCTTTCCTGGTACGGGGGACGTAGGTTTGGCGTGTTGGTAGTAATGCGCGCCGTAGTCATTTTGCATCAGTGCGGTATCGCCGTGGTTGAAGTAGACGACGCCATGGGTGAACAAGTCTTTTTTATCGTGGAAATGAATCTTCTTAGGAGGGATACCTGCATGATATGTTAGTAAAGTGGCTGACACACTTTGGAGCCTCGAACCGGCGGGGAGAAGGGGAATAGCACACCATCTGGCCAGTCCGTCTGTGCATGGCCACGAAAACAAATGGAAATCTTCTTGATCTTGACACACTTTGTCACTTTCAAATGTATTTGGCCTCGTAGAATGGCCGACTTCTTTGTACTGGGATCATGATGGTCGTAACCTTGTAGGAAAAGCACTGGCTCAGTCAAGGCAATTCCCACCGTGAGACCACTCCCCGTTGCGACAATCTTCTCATTGCGAAGCGGGGGAAACGGTGTGGACAGCTCGGGGACAGCGGTGATATGTTCCGGCAGCGCCCGGGCCAAAACGTCGGTCGCCATTGATGAAGAATCCGAGCGCATATCGCCTTCTTCTAAGGACCGTGGAGGTTCTCTGGTGCGGCTTGAGGAGACGATGATTTCGGAAACGGGGCGGGCGCCGCTACAGCGGGGATTGAGGCGCTGTTGCGGGGGCGGCGCGGGCGAGTTGACTCCGGCGGAGCGTAGGCGAAGGAATCGCTTCGCGTTTTCTCGTGGACCCGCCAGCTTTCTGAGGATCGAACCACGACGGCTGAAGGAGGGATGTTGTTTAGGGAATTGTTCTTCAACGGTCGCACTGAGACAGACCGTTCGACGTCGAGCTGATCGAGTGCGGATAAGGCTGGAGAGCGATAACGGAGCGACTAGATCGAGGGACTGTTCTTGGCTGACGGAGCTAGATCGCGAGGAAACCTGCGCGGGGAGAATATGAGCGGCCATCATCATCATATTGAGGGCTCGAGGCGCATAATGGAGTAAGGGAAATAGAGAATAGAGATTCAAGACGGTGATCGAGAGAGAGAAGACAGTCAAGGAAGGACGGTTGTAAGATTGAATGGTATGTATCAGACACCCTTGGGCAGTCCCTCGTCACCAGTATTCTCTACGTCTTGATCGTCTATCTCTCTGAATCTCTCGGACTTCCTCTTGGTCGAGAGTGAATGTGGCCAAGAATGCGGGGGGAGAGTACAACCAGCCAGACGAACGAGTTCACGAAGCAAACGGGGAGTAGGCAAGGAGGAGGGCGACACAAGGATACAACTTACCTACAGCTCTCTTTTTTTGCCCGATGTTTGTATGACCTGTGTGATAGTGTATCTTTTTTTTGTCGTTTCTTTTTTTTTTGTTGAATAAATTTCCACCTTTGTCACCCCTTCAATGCAGATCGACCACGCAAGGAGCACACCGATCTTTGCAGGAGAGATGGAGCAGACCTCGGGGGCGCTGACTTCATAGCACGGGTCCTCCGGCCGTGATCATCGGCCGTGCAGATCGTCCTTGGCCACGTCGGATTGGCTGGAAGGATGCGTAATTGTGGCTCTGTTAGGGCGGATTGGGCGGCCTACTTGGTGGCTTTGCTTTTTTGGGAGGTGATGAGGATGGAGGATGAGGAGGGGGATGTAATGCTTGGTCTGGGCTCTGTGATGTGGCGTTGTTCAGGTATTGTCCACGACTCCACGGAAGTCGGTCCCTGTCAATTACTGTACCTCGTAGCAAGTAGAGCAAGTAGAATATGAAATGTCAAAATGTATAATCGCAAGAATGTTCCTTGGGGTACCAGGAGATGATTATATGATTAGATGATGTTCCCGGGCTAGAACCAGAATGGATCGGATGAAATCAGTGCTAAATATTCCCTCCCAGACTTGCAACTCCGAAGGAGGACGTTTAGTCAAATAATTGGGGGAGCCTATAAGGATCCTCAAGGCCCGAGGGCCGATACATGGATCGAACGGATCGATGATGACATGATATCGACGCCCATTGGAACCCGGTTCCTCTTTTTTTTTCACTCTGTATCCGGCGATCCGGGCCCAGACAGTCACAGTAGTAAGTAGTTACTAACGAGGTAACTAGTTCGTGGAAGGTTACTGACTATGACTACTGAACAAAAATAGTCGGGCGCGATTCTAAAGTTTCGGCGTTCATTCGGCTTGCGCCTGCAAATTGCAACTTCCCTTCTCGTCCAGGTGGAGATTCTTTCCTTTATGCCTCAACGCCTCTTGAGTCTATACTCCCCGTGGTAGTGATACTCCATCCGGAATAGAATTCGTCTCCAATAACTCCACACTTGGACGGTTCGAGAATAGGGCTGAATGGATCTCGATCTACCTAGGATGTCCGAACATGGGTGAAATAGCAAATTTTTATCTACTGGACATACTACTGTGACCACTAGAGGTACTATAGGTAGGAAGGCTGTATGCTCTACTCTACACTCTAAGCACACGACCCCATGCATCCAACACGCAATACGACGTGAAGAAGAACCCTCTCCGAGATAGCCCTTTCTACAGTACTGTCGACGGATATGTCGGCTCTTCTAATCCTCTTCTCCAACATGCGGATATGCGGCACGGGCGTCGGGAATTAGTCAACAGTGAACACAGGTGCATCATGGTCCGCACAATTCCAAGACTCGGCGATAGGAAGGGTTCGGGTGCGGGGAGATCGCTTCCATCGGCACCTCGCATGTGAGGAGATTATGAAGCGCCCGCTTTACAGTTTATAGTTGTACACCGATCCAAGGGGAAGAAGAAACTGTACACACACCTAAAGTATGGAGTTCAATCTCCAAAAGCGCACGAGCGGATTTACATCACCCCCTCATGCGAATCCCGAAGATTATTCGAGGTCGGACTTTTTGTATGTATGTACTCATACTCTGTATGTATGTTCTTGTCCATCTCTCTCAAAGGGGAGCAGACGACCACCCATAACTACGGCAATCCTTCCTTTTGACCCCACCCCTCCGTCATACAGCCAGGAGCTGTCTCCCGACAGAAATGCTTAATTCACGGGTTTGCCCTGGCCATCAATCCTGGCCCTGATTTTCAGAGTTTGCTGCACGGGCTAGCGGGGGTCACATTCAATCAAGGGCGGGAGGAGGATGTGAATGGCCCGGGAGTGGGACTCCGCGGAGAAGAAGTTCGGGATTGAAGGCCATGTCAAGTCCGCGAGTTGAACATCAACTCCCAGTCATTCTTGTTGGGGTAGATGCTAAAGAGGCGAATCGATAGCTTTTGATCTGTCAGTGTTTACTAATTATTATTCTAGAGCGTGAATGGGAGAAATCCACGTCATGGTACAAAGTACTCGACCAATGTACTGTATGTGAATTCAATGTGTATCTCAGTACTTCCCGCTCTACAAAGTTGTAGTTGTACATTTACACCACCAACAACAAGATCTACGCACCGATCCCCATGATCCGGTTCTCACTTCCCTGATTACACTCTTCTCTCAAATCTCCCGAGACCATTCTCCCGTGTGCAGCGCAAATCACTCCACCAAGCCACGCCAAAGCCTCATTTTAACAGCTGGCAATGACCTCATCGACCACCCACACCCACGCGTCTCTCCAAGTTAGTCTTCTTAGACGCAGTCCCTTGTCAGATGTTCAACCCCTCCACAAAAAACCTAAATCTTCTTCCTCCAACTACACCATCCAGCATGGACTATTTCATTGGTACACCGGGCACCATCTTGAGCGTTTAGTATATTATCCTGACTTCCCAGCCGTCCCTCGCTCTCGGTCCCTGGCGAAATTAAGGCACGATCCCCTGCTCTGCCCTGATTTTTCCCACTCCACGTCAGTGGTGGTGTATCACGCCCAGCATCATAGTTCGTTTGACAATTTTTGTTAAATTAAGTAGGGCTGTAGGTACTCCAGTTTCGACGTCATCGGCTTGGATCTGGGGTTTAATTTGATCACGGGGTTTGGTTTCTCTTGGCCGAGGCTTCCGATGGAGATGAGGTCCCTTTTGTGGCGTGCACTACGGAGTAAACTATCTGTCGAACTCGATCTAACTAGCAATTTAGAGCTGTACCACCAACAGACCATGAAGGAAGTGAAAGGCGGTTCGGTTTGTCTGTCTGGTAGGTTTAGTCTGGATCACGAAATCATCATGTTAGATTTAGAGTCGATCGGGATAATCTAGCCAATTTAGCAAGCTATCTAATAGTAGAAAAGGAAAGTGCCATCCGAATACTGTATTCTGTTTCTATAGAGTATAATTTAGTTCGACTGGTCGCAAGTGCTAGCAGACACTATCCAAACCACTATTCCCCATAGTGGATCGAATCAGTTTGGATGCATCGCGTCCCCCAAGTATTCCAGCCTTTCAGCCCCGAATATCCTAAATTTTCGAACTGATCGAATTGCGGTGAACAAGACACTCTGACACTAACACTATTGCATGAGAAACTACTGTACAGTACGTGGCACAGACACACAAATCTTTGGATGGAGGGAAAAGCAAAACAGCGGGAGATGGCAACTGTTGGTCTCAGTGTTGGTTAGGTTTGCTTCTAGGAAGTCTTTCCCCGCCCTCGAAACTAGTACATCACATCCATACATAGTCACATACAGACTACAGTAGTGTAGGACACCATGCCCGGTAGATCTGCCCACAAACACTAGTGCAGATTGCAGATGAATCGCAGATCCTGGGAGACTATTTCCCCAGTCTCCACCACCCATCACAGAGACTATCACACAGATCATACAGTAGTACAAAGAGTTGCGCAGCACACATCTCTCTATTTTTGAGCTGGAATTGGCTGCGTTGCCCGAATTCCCAAACTCTCCCCACTCAATTAAACCAACTATCATCCAGCTCATTAATCTCCATCAAACTATCACCCTCCAGCTGATGCAGGTCCCCCCGCAGCCTCGCCAAAGTTCTCACTCTCCATAAACAGATCATCAAAGCTCGACTCGCCCGGAGCCATCATATCGTCCATCCCGGTCCCCGAGTCCGGGAATGGATTGGCGCCATCCGCCTTGCCCAGCTCCATGTCGAACGCACCCCCGCCCGCAGGGATCGCGGTCGCATTGTCGGCCGGTGGGAGGGAGGCACCGGGCTGCTTATCGGGGCCGGTCGTGGTGCTGCCAAAGGCCGTTCCGGAGAGGAAGGCTTGATTGCCCATGTCGTCATTGCCAAAGTCGTAATTGAGGTCGAACGAGTTGGGGGCTCCGCCCTCGTCGAGGACCGTGTCGAATTGAATGCCTTCAGTACCCCCGGGGAGTGTTTGGTCCATTGGCGCAACGCCTCCCGTCTCTTTCTCTTCTATTTTGAGCGCGGGTTCGTTGGGTTGCGGTGGTGGGATAGCTTCTGTAGGTGCGGAGATACCTGCCGCTGCATTTTCGTCTGATGTGGGTTCGACCTTTAGAGGTTGCGAGGCTAGGTCCGTTTGTTCGAGGGTCGATAGTAGTGGTAGTGGACTCGTCTCCGTTTTCTGGTCGACTCCGCTCATGGATACATCCTCGGTGGGTTGGGGCACTACCTCGCGTGCCTTAATAGCTTCGTAGTCCTTCTCTAGGAAGGCCTTTGCGATGAACTAAGAATAGTTAGCGGGAATATTGGTCTAGGAGCTAAACCTAGATATCTACAAAGACGCATCTGCAGAATCCCGTAAATCTCCCAGAGTATCTAATCTGCGCACTCACAATCTGTTCGGATAGGCTGTCCAGCGCGTCCTGGAAGCCATCGTAATATGTGGGGATAGAGCGTTGAAGCTGGGTGCTTGCGGGTAGGGAATTTGATTTGCGAAACAATCGCCCGGTTTCTATGAGCTGGATCTCAATGTCAGTAGCAGGCTCGGTGGGACCGCGTATTTCCCTTTGGGGCGCGGAGGAAGGAAGCTGTACCGTTCGCTCCACGAGGGCGGAAAGCTCAGCCAGGGAGTCGGGGCTGCCAAAGTTGGTGGTCATGACGATTTGCAGCGGTTATGGGAGATTATCGTAGGGAGTTGGTATCATCAAAAGGGTGTGTATCGTATAATTGGGAGTACAGGGGGCAGGACCGTGGATTGTCGGGTGAAACTCATTTGAGGTTGTACACAGCTCAACTTGCCCACTTCACCAGTGAAAGAGGAGGGACGCTAAACCCAAATGGGGATGGCGGGTTTCCCCTCTACTCCTCCTGACTGGCCCTTGGGACTGACTGGGTGACTGGCGACCCTCACCTCATCGGCATCTTCGACTCTTCGACCTTCGACTTATTTCCTCCTTTTGCATCTCCCCCTCTCATCCTTATCTCTTTTTTTTGTGCTCCATCGTCTCGTTTTTTTCTTCTGGGCTTTGTCGCTCGCGACTCCTCCGGCCCGTTTCCTTGTGTGTTTGGCCAGCTTTCCTAGCTTTTTCTTTCTTGAATTGTTGTTTGTTGGTTCCTCTGGGGCTTCTCCCATCCGTCTACATTCGACTCTGTGCAGCTTAAGCGCTTGGCTCTGTCACTGTTACCCCCCTACGACCTACAGCAATCTTCCTATCGATATACCTGCGTATACTTCGGTTCCCGATCTATCTCGTACCCCGATCGCATAATTGGATAGCTATCGGATCATCTACGATTTGCTGTCATTTTGTTGCTCTTTGTTTGGTCCCATTCAAAGACCATTGGATTCTCCAAATAAAAAAAGCCCCGCGATCAACACCTTATCCCCTCTACATCAGTCAATATTTCCAGAATCAGCTACTTTAAGCAACAGTGGTCTCCGTGTTGCATTTGCTCTCCGTCATTATACCTGTGTCGACCTGCCCTGACACTCCTGACTTACCTGGTCATTGTTGGGTACCGCTGTTGATTAGCATTCTTTGAAACAATCGTGATCGCTTTTTTCCTATCCCGAGAAATTCAGACGCCTATACACGATGGCTGAGAACGCTCCCGCTCCCACCCCCTCCTCGCTGCCATCGGCCCCTCAGCCCACGACTGCCCAAACCCAGCAGTACGAGGGCGCTCAAGGCAACGGCCAGACCAACGCCTCCCATATGCCCCCGCCTCCACGTCCCCCCGTGGTCATTCCTCAGAATACGAACCCGATTCCGACGGCCATCTCCTCGCCCCTGTCTGGCAACATGATGTCCCCTACCAGCGCGGGTGGCTATGTGCGCCGGGCTGCCCCCGAACCCAACAAGAGAGCTCTGTATGTCGGTGGTCTGGACCCCCGCGTGACAGAGGATATTCTCAAGCAGATTTTCGAGACCACTGGCCACGTGGTCAGCGTTAAGATTATTCCTGACAAGAATGTGAGTTGGTCCCTGAATACTGGAACTGGAACCCCCTCTTTGTCCCTGACATGAGCCCCTCCTTCCCCCTCCAGACCTCCTTCCTCTTTTGTGTTTTCTACCATCCGCACTTTCGGACCAGCGAAAACTTTTTGGTGTCTTCTGATCTAATGAAGGCCTCTTATACAACGCCCAGCAGACACTGATGTCGTCTCAACAGTTCAACAGCAAGGGAAACAACTACGGCTTCGTCGAGTTCGATGATCCTGGTGCTGCTGAACGCGCAATGCAGACTCTCAACGGCCGCCGCATCCATCAGTCGGTAAGTGTCATAGACTGAGAGATGAGGTGACGAAGGTCATGAGATCCGGTTGGAATTCGCTGACCGTGCCACTTTTTGTTTTCCAGGAAATCCGCGTCAACTGGGCTTATCAGTCCAACAGCACCAGCAAGGAGGACACTTCCAACCACTTCCACATCTTCGTTGGTGACCTGAGCAATGAAGTGAACGATGAGGTTCTGACCCAGGCTTTCTCTGCCTTTGGTTCCGTCTCCGAGGCTCGTGTGATGTGGGACATGAAGACTGGCCGCTCCCGTGGCTACGGCTTCGTTGCTTTCCGGGACCGCACTGATGCCGACAAGGCCCTCACCGCGATGGATGGCGAGTGGCTCGGCTCTCGTGCGATTCGCTGCAACTGGGCCAACCAGAAGGGCCAACCCTCGATCTCTCAGCAGCAGGCTATGGCCGCTATGGGCATGACCCCCACCACTCCCTTTGGTCACCACCACTTCCCTACCCAGGGTATCCAGAGCTACGACATGGTTGTGCAGCAGACCCCTCAGTGGCAGACCACCTGCTACGTTGGCAACCTCACCCCTTACACCTCCCAGGGCGATCTCGTGCCTCTGTTCCAGAACTTCGGCTACGTCCTCGAGACTCGTCTCCAGGCTGACCGTGGCTTCGCCTTTGTCAAGATGGAGTCGCACGAGAACGCCGCGATGGCTATTTGCCAGCTGAATGGCTACAATGTCAACGGTCGTCCTCTGAAGTGCAGCGTATGTTTTCATCTTCATTCCAACCCCTTTCTCTCTATCTCGGTTTACTAACATTAAACTCATCAGTGGGGCAAGGACCGACCTCCTACTGGTCAGTTTGACAACTTCTCCCCGCAGCAGGCCGCTGCTCCTCCCCCCTTCAACAACGGTCCGGGCTTCTTCCCCCAGTACGGAGGTCCCGCAAACCCCATGAATCAAGGTAGGCATCCTTTTTCTTATTTCTGTATTTCCAACCTTTCTCACTGACTGAAGAGGCATAGGTCCTGCCCCTGCTGGCCGAGGCTGGGACCAACAAGGCAACAACTTTGGTGGCCCCGGGATGCCTGCCCAGGGCTATGCCCAAGGGAACGGCGGCGGCTACGGTCGTGGCCAGCCCATGTCCCCGTCTGGTAACTGGGACCAGTCCAACAACAACTTCAATGGAGCCTACCAGGCGTAGATTCTCCCATGACTGTCCCTAGGGTATGGCCTTCCATGTCATTCATGGGAAACCGTTTCCTCTGGAGCTGGACTTTGACTGGTCAACACTTTCCAGTTGTTGTTGTCCTCAAGTATTCCCCTTCTCCTCCCCCGCTCCCATACCATCCCACGCGTCTCTCCCATTTCCATCTGCTATTCATTTTCTTTCTAAATTGCCTGTTGAAGTGGATTACCAAGCGATCAAACTGCTTTTGTCTTGAAATGGAATTTGTGTGTTGTGCACCGAATACCCCAAATCCACTTTGTTGGTTCGATCTTTTATTTTTTCGTCTCATCTTATTTTACTTTATCTTGCTTCCTTCCTTCCTTTGAGCATGCATGGACCGGTTCGAGGGCCTTTCCTTGGACTTTCACTCTTGCGCGTTGCTCTCCAAAATAAAAGCGACCTCCCTACTCCTATCCTGTTGGTTGTGCTTCCGTATGCCTGGTCTTGTTTTTGTTTTTGTCAATTCCTTCGCTTAGCTCCTATTGCATTGTTTTCTCAGTACATGAATCGTGCTGTATCAAATCAGCTTCTCAGTCTCTGTCATTGCTGCTTTATTCCACTTTTTCTAGGCCATACTTGTCCCGGATCCTGCTCCTGTTCTCTCACTATTCTAAAAGATACTCTCATCGGGCTTTTCTCTCTGGCTCTTCCTGTGCTATTCCCCTTGCTTTTCTTTCGGTTGTCAACTTGTTGTTTATGCGATTCTGTCTTGCGTCGTCTTCCTTACAAGTATTCGTACATGCCGTGATGAATTTCCTTGCGTGCTTTGGCACTATGAATCGGTCTTTGGTCTTCTTTCTGCTATGTTTCTCATGCCTGCTGGTGTTCTTGCCGATATACCAATTTGCCTTTAGCGTCACGGGATTTCTAGACTGTTGCCAATTGCCTTTTGCCTGATTTATCTTGCTCTCATGCATGATGCCCGTTGTGGTGTTACCCAATCTGTAGGTAGCCAATTTCATCTCGGCTCCTATCAGAAAATATCAAGTAGTACCTCTTCCTGACGAGGCCAGGATCCTCTAGTTGTTCTTCTATGTAAGGTTGAGGAGTGTGCTCCATTGTCATTCCTGCAGCGGTTATTATATCATGGCGCTAATATTGCTGCCTGACCCTCAAGGCCAAACATCACTCCTAGCGCATCTCCGTACTCCACCACCAGTGTAAACCCAAACACCCAACGCGCAGACAACACTCCCCTTGGTGTACTTTTCCAATGCTGGGGGACTAAACAACGTGGAGCTGAGGTGCTAGCTCTCGGTTTCCACCCGCGCCAATGGACGATGGCGCAAGCAGCAATGCGGAATTCCCAACCGTCGACGGACCATCCAATCGCACGCGATCTGGCAGTGCAAGCAACGGCCACAGACGAAGCCTGTCCGGCTCTTTACTATCTAGACTCTCTTTCCTCCGCATGAGTCAGGCATCTGCGCAATCAGAAGCAAAGTCCCACACTATGGAGCAGGATGGGGACAACGAGGTGTTCCCGCCCACCATCCCGCAGATGAATAGCGAGGCAACGACGGGCGCGAGGGCGATGTCCGCGGTCATACAACAGCAGCGCAAGACACGGCGTCGAAGGGGTTCACTTCGGAAAACTGCCCTGTTAGGAACAAGGCTTGAGTCGCGCGAGAAGCGGGCTGCGTCCAAGTCTGCGGATACAACAACTACAACTCCTCGATACATGAGCGAGGCGCCACGGTCTCCAAAGGACGTCCCTGGAGCGAATGGCTTTGGTTCCCGCGAGAGCCTCGAATACGACGCCGAAGACACTCAACCAAGCTGGTTCCGCGCCAGCACGGCACAAAAAATCCTCCGCTCCCCCATGGCCCGGCGTCGACTAGGCCTCACGCCGCATAACCTCATTGGCGGCGAAGAACCCGGCACCGACGACGAAGAACTCGTCTCCTTCCCACGCATAAACACAACAAATAATACCTCCACCAGCACGGGCTCATCCAAACTCACACCCCCGACGGCTCTCCACATCTCCACAAAATCCGATTACTCCTCCTACCCCCTCCCCGCAGACCCAGACACACCCTATCGCACCGTGCACCGTGCCAAATCGTCCCCCTTGGCTACACACCCCGTGGAAATGAAGAGTACCGCTGATACGTGGGATTACTCCGAGACGGAATGGTGGGGCTGGATTATACTCATCGTGACGTGGTTGGTGTTTGTCGTGGGCATGGGCAGTTGCTTTGAGGTTTGGAGTTGGGCGTGGGATGTAGGTGAGACTCCGTATGCGCCGCCGGAGTTGGAAGATGATCCTACATTGCCGATTGTGGGATATTATCCTGCGCTTATTATACTGACGGCTGTCATGTCGTGGGTTTGGGTTGTTGTGGCTTGGGTCGGGATGAAGTACTTTAAACATGCTAATATATCTGGGGATGATAGTTGAGGGGGAGAATATCCCAGAACTAATAATTGGATTCTCTGTTGTACATTATACCCAATAATAGTACATCGTGTAGATTAGAAGTTGAGCCGGTAGTATAAATCGTATTTCCATCCCTGAGTTCTCTCTAGTCACAGCTTTATGCCAAATTCCAGTCCGAAAGCCCGAAAATAAGGTGGTAATTCATTCGACCAACTCAAACAACCTTAAGCACAAGGCAAAAGCCTAACAAACTCCATATGCTAGATTGCGTACCAATTTACCCCTAACAAAGAAGATTCCACTGACGCCAAAAGAGAAAACGTTGCTTGTGCTTCCGATGCCAACAAAAAAACAACAATTTGCAATGAAAGAGCTACCGCGGATCAACACATCCAAGATCTCTCATCTAGTGCGTCGCCGCACATCTGGCAGCGTGTCCGAGCCGATGATCATCCAGGCCAGTCCCGTTGGTTGCGGAGGGCGCGCACTTTTCTGTCGCTTCCTGCGGCGGCACAGTAGTACCGGGGGCTTTGCTGACGAGACCCTTGGAGACTGCGTAGCAAGAGGAGCGGTCATGGTTGAGGTCTTCGCCGTAGAACTCGTCCAAGATTGGGTGTAGCAGGACAGTTTGTTTGTGGATTGTCACGACAGAGTTTGTTGGGACTGAGACCCAGTTGTCTGTAGTAAGAACACGGGGTTAGTTATCTAGCGATGGAGCAGGGGTAGGACAAACTCACGTCGCTCAAAAGTAATCGGCTCACTAGCCACCAGCACAATATCAGCCCCCTTATCATGACGCTCCATCTTGAAATGACCCTTCGTCTTCCCCTCCTTCCACTTAGTCCCAGAAGAGAAGTACAAACTCGCCGGCTCATCCGTCTTGCTACTAATATACCTCGTGCAAACAACGGTATGACCATCCGTCACCGCAAAATTTAGCAAACTCCGCGTCTCAACAGCAACATCATACTTAGCCCGAGCCTCACGCACAAGCTCATTGATCCGAGCAATAGTCTTCATCATGACCTTCCGCAGCAGCGCCTGTCCAAAACCTTCCGGCCCAGGATCAGAGCTGGGATTAACACCTTCCTTCGCAAGGAGGTCCAGGAATAGCGCAAAGGTCCATTCACTGTCTGTCCCGCCCTTGACGCCTAGATACCACTTATCGGCGAGAGACTCGCCCAGGGTGCGCTTGATGTAGTTCCATCCGCCGATGTTACCGTTGTGCATCCACATGAGCGTGTTGTGCTGGAATGGATGGCAGTTGTTGTCGGCGAGAGCACCCTCCGTGGTGGCGCGGACGTGAGCAAAGATTAGATTCGAGCATGTCTTGGACGCGAGACGTTCTAGGTTCTCGCAGTTCCAGGCTGGAAGTGTGGATGTGAAGATGCAGGGCTCTGGTCCTAGCTTGGGGTCTGTGTAGAAGCCTACTCCGAAGCCATCACCGTTTACAGGGCGGCGGTTATCCTAGAGGGTTTGTGTTAGTTTGGTGGTTTTTCATGTATGAGTCTGAGCTTCGGGTAGCTGGGTAGCTATAAGTGCCCAGTGCGCCATGAGTCAGTCCGGACATACTAATCTTAGTCGCGAGTCGTAGGACTGTGTGAGGATTGAATGGCTGGGTTCTGTGACGAGCTTGCTGAGACGGATCTCATTTCGGCCTTTGTAGATCTGTTGATAGTTGTTAGATTGTAGCTCCGAAATCGCCCAGCCCGCCCAAGCTTCAACTCACCAGAAAACGACACATGGTGAGGCCGGTAATTTGTCGAGTAGCGCCTTGATTATGTCCCAATATACAAGATATTTCTGTTGAAGCTCTCTAGGATTAAGTTGAAAGCGTTCTGGCTATAGAGACAGCTCCCAATGCTCAGCCTCTGATGTTGATAAAGCGGACGGTCAATGGATAGGTGTTGTATCGGTGAAGAGTCACCGACTATCGGGCAGCAGCTGGAGGATCTTTATGTACCACCACCAACCATAAATATTCAATTGATAAGAGTAAGATGGAAAAGAAACCAATAAATTATTTCTTGTGAATGTTCTTTTGAGTCAAAATTCTCCCTTTTGGCCAGCTCACTTCCCTTGCACAGCACGTCATTTACAGCCACGTGACCGGGAGTTACGGGAGACCAAGCGGCCACTCGCGCAAGGCACGTTGATGTCAGTGTTCGGCGATCTTCATCTCTTCTACTTTTACTTCAACACACATCTTGCATGCGATCCAGCGACAGCCATGAGTGGGAGGATTCTCTCCCACCGACTTGTTCCGCTTGTGCGGGCTGGCCTGGCACGCCATCTTCATAATGCAGGCGCTCGAACGGGGGGCCTGCTGCGTGCTGATGGTGGTGCCGCCTTGAGGAGACGCGCCTGGCCCATCGGCTCAAATGGGATTCACAATAATGTCCCTGCTGTCCGATCGATCTCATTTGCACGGATGTTGCCAAAACTGGCACTCAAGCTTGTTCGTATTCCGGCTATGTTTGGCGGAGCGACGATTGCGGGAGTCGCATATTTACAGTACCAAGCAACCCGTAAGTTCTATCATTGGATATTGCAAGATCTGCAGTTACTAATGTGTTTGATTTAGAGGCTGGAACTTATGCAGTTGATATGCTGAAAGTATTCGGAGAGACGGCGGGCAACACGGCATCGGGCTTCTTCCAGGGACTTCAGGATGTGGCGGAACAAACACAGCGTGGATGGGAGAAGACAGCGGAGGATGTGGATCTTCCTGAATGGCTACAAAAGATTCTGCGACTCGATGAGGAATCTAAATCTCAGAAGGAGGGTCCCGGTGGAGGTGGAAAGGAGCCAAAGGAAGGTCGAGCAGTGGGAGCTGCAGCTGCAACGGGTGCTGCCTTTGGCTACGATCAGTCCAATGAGGAGGACTCACGAGAGGATAGAGAAATCGCTGAAGATGATCAAATGATGCTTCTTACACGCAAAATGATCGAGATCCGAAATATTCTTCAATCAGTCGGCCAGTCTGGAACGTTGACTCTGCCTTCCATTGTGGTCATCGGATCGCAGTCTTCGGGGAAGAGCTCAGTACTGGAGGCTATCGTTGGACATGAATTTTTGCCCAAGGGCTCGAATATGGTTACCCGTCGCCCAATTGAACTCACCCTGGTCAACACCCCCAACGCCCAGGCTGAATATGGCGAATTTCCCGCCCTGGGCCTCGGCAAGATGACAGACTTCTCTTCGATTCAGCGTACCTTGACCGACTTGAACCTCGCCGTTCCTGAGAGGGACTGTGTCTCGGACGATCCGATTCAATTGACGATATATTCTCCGAACGTTCCCGACCTCTCCATGATCGATCTCCCGGGCTATATCCAGGTGGCAGGTCATGACCAGCCCCCAGAACTGAAGCAGAAGATTGCCGATCTTTGCGACAAATACATCCAACCTCCCAACATCATTCTGGCCATCTCGGCGGCTGATGTGGATTTGGCAAACTCGACAGCGCTCCGGTCCAGTCGGCGTGTCGATCCCCGGGGTGAGCGAACCATTGGTGTCATCACAAAGATGGATCTCGTTACCCCGGAGCGAGGCCATGATGTTCTCACCGACGAGAAGTACCCTCTTCGGTTGGGGTACGTCGGTGTCGTGAGTCGGATCCCTCAGACAAACGCCCTCTTCTCTCGAGGCTCTGGAAATATCACCAGCGCTATTCTAAAGAACGAGAATGCGTATTTCTCGGCCCACCCATCCGAATTTGGGCCACACTCAGATACTTCCGTCGGCGTTACGACACTGCGGAAGAAATTGATGCATGTTCTTGAGCAGACCATGGCCTCTAGCCTCTCAGGAACCAGAGATGCCATTAGCCAGGAGCTTGAGGAAGCTACGTACGAGTTCAAGGTGCAATACAACGACCGGCCCTTGAGTGCCGAATCATATCTTGCCGAGAGCTTGGATAGCTTCAAGCATTCCTTCAAGGCATTTGCCGAGGCTTTCGGTCGGCCGCAGGTTCGTGAGATGCTTAAGGCTGAACTGGACCAGCGGGTTATGGATATTCTGGCCCAGCGTTATTGGAACAAGCCCGTCGAGGATCTGACTCCAAGACAACCAGAGCTGGACCCCCTCACGGATTTACCGAAAGCTGACCCAGATTCTCTTTACTGGCACCGGAAACTTGATGCTTCAAGTTCTTCTCTGACGAAGCTTGGTATTGGCAGGCTTGCCACTACTGTAGTTGCCAGTGCTCTCCAGAACCACGTGGACCAGCTTCTGGCCTCTTCCACGTTCGCTTCTCATCCGGGAGCGCACAAGCAGATTACAGACGCCTGCAACAGCATTCTGAATGACCGTTTCTTCAGCACGAGTGACCAGGTTGAGAACTGCATCAAGCCATATAAATTCGAAATTGAGGTTGAGGATTCGGAGTGGGCCAAGGGTAGGGAAAATGTGAGCAAGGTGCTAAAGGAAGAACTTCGTGCTTGCGAGTCAGCTACGAAGCACATGGAGGATCAAATTGGAAAGCGCAAGCTGAAGGATGTGATGTCATTTATTGACCGGGTCCTTAAGGGAGATGTGGTATTGGAGGGCAACGGCTCGGGTGGTGCTGGCGGCTTCAGCTCCGAATTGCTGGAAAGAGGTAAGCAAAGCTATTTCGATTGCAACTTACTTTTGAATCCCGCAAACTAATCTTTTTTTCCAGGTCGAGAGGGCATATTCCTCCGTGATCGAGCCGATCTCATCAAAATGAGACTCCTGGCCGTTCGATCCAAGCAATGCGCCACGCAAAAGAACAAATACTACTGCCCAGAGGTCTTCCTCGACGTTGTCGCCGACAAACTCACCTCAACAGCAGTGCTATTCCTCAATGTGGAACTTCTCTCCGAATTCTACTACAACTTCCCCCGCGAGCTCGACGCACGACTCGGCCGCCACCTCTCAGATGCCGAGATTGAACGCTTCGCCCGTGAAGACCCGCGCGTCCGTCGCCATCTCGACATTATCCGCAAGAAAGAGCTTCTTGAGTTGGCCCTGCAGAAGATTGAAGGCATCCGCCAGCTGGACGGTCGCAGCATGCACCGGAAAGCGGATCGTGCGCAGGCCGCAAAGGATACTCGCAGTCGCTGGAACATCTTCTGATGAATCTCTTGTCATGACCTGGTTTATTTATTCTATCTGGTTTTCCTCCCCGTTTACCTTGTTCGATACCTCTTCTATCCTTGGTCCTTGTAATTGTGATACCTTTCTCTTCTCCCCCGTTATGGCAATATACATTGCTCTCCTCTCCATGTTTGGATTTTATCTTTCTTTGGTCTCCGCTTTAGTCGGGGCGTCCCTTTGTTTCTAGATGGTCTTGGCTTCGGTGCTTGTACATAGTCTACCCTACTTCAATGTAACCGGTCAATGCACTCTTTATGACAGGCTCACTAAATGGGATATCTATATAGTCGACATAGGCTAATTTGCAAGTACTTAGTCTATCACAGTATGTCAGGCTTACTATCAACTTCAAATCTTGTCAGTGGCAAGATGAAATACTTAATCGAAGATTCACTGTACTATCCCAAATTCGAGAATTATCTTCTTGATCTAAGTCGATTAAAACCTCCTTTTACTTCGAGCCCGCCATTGGGACATCTGAATGCATGATCACGTGCCTTTCCATATTGTCCCGTGAGCATCCCTTCAATCATCACCAACTTTACCTACAGTACCGCATCATTGATTTGGGCAAACTTGTATTTGTGAGATTGCAACGTTGTGAGGCTCTGTGCTTTAGGGTTTTCTGTTGGCTTAATGAGGCATATCTGTATCTTCTCACCGCACTCGACATCCCTTGGGTTTCCCAGATCAAGAGAAAGGAGCACTCCATGCTGTCTCGATTCATCCAAGATATTCCTCAATAAACCAATTTCTCAAGCAGACAACGAATTTTTTTTTATTTCCTGACTTCTCCGCTCTTGAATTCACTTTGAGCCTGAGCAAACATGCTATTATGGGGCATGCCTCGGACGCGCCTCCGCGTCACCACGACATCAAACGTTTGGATGCGGGCCAAAAATACATATTCGACCAAGAGTGCTCGCTCTAGCTCTGAATTTGGCTCATCCAAACCTTTGGTCAAAATGATTGCCACAGCCAGCGTGGTCAGTATGCCGGGCCTTTGGTGGCTGGTAAATACCCGAGACGAAGCTACCCGTGACGATGCACCGCATCTCGAAAGCCCCCCATCTGAGAACTGGACCGTCGAGCCCGGTCCTTCCAAAGACCAAGTGACACGAATCATATCACAAGGAGCATATTCATATCTGGTGCAAAACGTTGACGGTGTCAGCAGATATGACGGTGCTCAGTTGCCGTCTAACAGCCCGTGCGAGGACCATTTTACCCACGGCAAATTTGCCTCGCCGTGGAATCCTGGCAAGATATGGATGGTCTGGGGTGTTTTTGATGGTCATTCAGGTGCGCAAACAGCAGAGTTATTGAAGGAGCAACTTCTGCCTTTTGTCCGACATAGCTTGGGTCAAGTCCAACCGTCCTCAGATGAAGGAATCTTGTCTGATGAGATGGTGCAAGGCGCTATCGTGAAGGGATTCTTGAAACTAGATGATTCGATTATCAAGACAGCTGCGGGGTCAATTGAGAGTGAACTATCCTTACCGGAGAAGATAAAGAGATTAGCCCCCGCTTATGCTGGGTCCTGCGCTTTGCTGTCCATGTATGATCCCACCACAAGCACGTTACATGTAGCGTGTACCGGCGACTCGAGAGCAGTTTTGGGACAAAAAGGTCCCGACGGAAAATGGGAAGCAAAAGCCTTGTCAGTCGACCAGACTGGCAAGAACGAAGAAGAAATTACCAGGCTGTACGCGGAACATCCCGGTGAAGCAGACATTGTCAAAAACGGACGAGTCCTCGGCATCATGGTCTCACGAGCCTTTGGCGATGCCCTGTGGAAATGGCCTCTAGAATTCCAACGGGAGACACAGAAGAGATTCTACGGTCCATCACCGTTGACGCCGAGATACCCTGTGCAAACACCGCCCTATCTGACGGCAGAACCGGTTGTGACTAGTACCAAGATCGATGCTGGTAGTCCTTCTTTCCTGATTATGGCTACGGATGGCTTGTGGGATACATTGACTAATCAGCAGGCTGTTGATCTTGTGGGGAAATGGTTGGAACATGGAGGAGGCGACCAGAGGAATGGGAACGAGGGGGAACCAGCGTATGAACCTTTTGATTTTGGTCAATTTGGGAAAGGTGTGAGTTGGAAATTTGTTGAAGAGAGAACTACTGTTCAAGATGAGAATGTTGCTGTGCATTTGGTGAGGAATTCGCTTGGTGGGAATCACCATGAGTTGGTAGCAGGTCGACTGGCCTGCGAGCCACCAGCCTCGAGGCGTGCGCGAGATGATACGACGGTGCAAGTGGTTTTCTTTGATGTTCCTAAATCTAAGAATTGAAAAGGAATTAATTTCATAGCATTTTAAGAGGGAAAAATATGCTTCTATACTGTTAGTATACCTAACATGAAAGTTAGTTGATGCTCTTGTATATACATACTGTAGCTATTTGGAGTGCTATTTAGTATCTCAGGTTCGGCGAGATAAGCGGCATTTACTCTGCCAATAATTCTTCTCCGTCTCAAGCTTGTCCATGAGCTTTACTCTATTCCTAGGATAGCTATATGAGTGGCCATGTACTCCGTATAGTTCGCCGAGTCCCGGCGAGGGCGGGGATAGTTCGGGCAGGGCTGACGAGGGCGGCAGGAAGAAATCGGGCCGCGATGGGAGGAAGAATGATGGATCCTAGATGTGGGCCAGGCTGACCAGGGGAATAGTTTCCCCAGATATTACGAATCAGGAAAGCCTAGTCCCCTGCAAAGTTAAAGGATGACAGAATACTAATGATATACAGGCATAAAAGAGCTACGCTTGGATTCTGCCGAACGTAACGGGTTGTTCCGCGGGTGATTCCGGGGAAATCGGGGGAGCTCGTAGGTCATTTGATGATTTGAATGATTTAGGGGGTATAGAGGGGCTCAGAAGAGTCATAGGGGGATTTTCAAATAATAGCATAGCTAGAATAGCAAAATAGGATTGATTCTACGGTGTAGTTATGATATAGACAACAAAGAGATCGAGTCCAGACCTATCACAACCGCGCCGCTAATATTACCGAGTTGAGGTCTGGGTATGTTCTCCTCAGCGGTTAATTTCTCCTCACCGAGACTCCCATTTATTCCCCTCACGTCTCCAATTTTGCCATTCTTTTTTCTCTAATTTTCTCGGAGAGCTTTCTGCCGCCACGGGGCCCAGAAAAAACTGGGTCCCCGAGTGCACAGCTCCATAGCAGGTCATTTTAGCTTGTGAAATCATGATCGAGTCTGGGAAAGGATAGAGAATAGGCGTCAATTGATGGATAGAGTAGTAAATTCATAACTGGTTCAGGGAGTAAAGAGTAATTCATAAATATCATATTCCTTCCCGAAGATATACTTCTAGAATGAAGTCATTGATTATTCTTTTCGGCTGGGCGGGTGGCAGAAAAAAAAAAAAAAAAAAAAAAAGCAGAAAAGCTCTTTCCCTTCTGACTGGCCACACACCGATTCGCCCAAAACAGCAGACCACCAGAGTGACTTATCAAGAGATTTTTGGATTTTTGGATTTTCGCCCGGCTTGACTGACTAGGTCGACCCGTGAATTATTATTATCACCACACCGGCGGTATATCTTGACTCCCTTCCCTTTCCCCTTCAATTCCTCCCCCCGGCTTTCCATCCGCTCCCAACCCCCGCTGGTGTGCTCTTTCCACACCCCCATCATGGCTGGCACCACGCTAGCAATGCGTTCCCTGGTCTCTCCCATCATGAGGCTGTCGTCCGTGTCGCGCAGCACTCTCACGACCACCTCCCAGGCCCTGCGCTCGAAGCCGCTTCGATCCAATGGCCTGTCCATCGCGCGCGTCGCTCGTCGAGGCTACGCCGATGCTGCTCCTACTCCTTCGCCGGCTCCCAAGCCTAAGAAGCGTTTCCGCGCTCTGCGTTGGGCCTGGCGTCTGACCTGGCTGAGCGCTCTCGGTCTGATCGGTGCGACGGCCTACAGCATCTACGACCTGCGTCATCCCGAGGAGCAGTACGAGCCTGATCCGACCAAGAAGACCCTGGTCATCCTTGGTATGTCATGACGCGATTACGGTCGCGAAATCGGTCTTCTGGCCGATACAGACAGGAATTGACTCACTAAACGATCGGTTTTCTAGGTACTGGGTGGGGTTCCGTCTCCCTGTTGAAGAAGCTCGACACTGAAAACTACAACGTCGTCGTCGTCTCGCCCCGCAACTACTTCCTGTTCACTCCCCTGCTGCCCTCATGTACTACCGGTTTGATCGAGCACCGCTCGATCATGGAGCCCATCCGTAACATTCTCCGCCAGAAGAAGGCCACCGTCAAGTTCTACGAAGCCGAAGCCACCAAGATCGACTACGAGAAGCGCGTCGTTCTGATCAGCGATGATTCCGAGATCAAGGGTGACATTTCGCACACTGAGGTTCCCTTTGACATGCTTGTGATCGGTGTTGGTGCCGAGAACGCGACTTTTGGTAGGTGATACCGATGCGAGTGAAAGATCATCATGAATGAGACACTAACAATGCTGGTAAATAGGTATCCAGGGTGTCCGTGAGCACTCGTGCTTCCTGAAGGAGGTCACTGATGCTCAGAACATTCGTAAGCGTATTATGGACTGTGTCGAGACTGCTATGTTCAAGGATCAGACCCCCGACGAGGTTAAGCGCCTGCTGCACATGGTTGTGGTCGGTGGTGGCCCCACTGGTGTTGAATTCGCCGGTGAACTGCAAGATTTCTTCAACGACGATCTCAAGAAGTGGATTCCAGAGATCCAGGACAACTTCCACGTTACTCTCGTCGAGGCCCTTCCCAACGTTCTGCCCATGTTCTCCAAGCAACTGATTGACTACACCGAATCCACCTTCAAGGAGGAGGAGATTACTATCCGCACCAAGACTATGGTCAAGAAGGTCACCGACAAGTACATCGAGGCTGAGGTGACCAACCCTGATGGCAGCAAGTCTCTGGAGACTATCCCCTACGGTCTGTTGGTTTGGGCTACCGGTAACGCCGTGCGCCCCGTTGTCCGTGACCTGATGAGCCAGCTCCCAGCTCAGGCCAACTCCCGCCGTGGTCTTGCCGTGAACGAGTACCTTGTTGTCAACGGCACTGAGAACATCTGGGCCGTCGGTGACTGTGCTATTACCAACTATGCCCCTACCGCTCAGGTTGCCGGTCAGGAGGGTGCTTTCCTGGCTCGCCTCTTCAACACCATGGCCAAGACCGACACCATTGAGAAGGAGCTCCAGACCCTCTCCAACGAGCAGTCCCTGGCTAAGACTGATGAGGACCGCAACCGTGTCTTTGACGAGATCCGTGAGCGCCAGAAGCAGCTGCGGAGGACCAAGCAGATTGGTCCCTTCCAGTACTCCCACCAGGGTTCTCTGGCCTACATTGGCAAGGAGCGTGCCGTTGCCGATATCAGCTGGCTGAGCGGCAACATTGCTAGCGGTGGTACCCTGACCTACCTCTTCTGGCGCAGTGCCTACCTGAGCATGTGCTTCAGCTGTGAGTATCCCCAAATTTACAACTTTTCTCTCATTGATATTTACTAACGTTTAATCCCAGCCCGCAACCGTGTTCTCGTCGCTGTCGACTGGATCAAGGCCCGTCTCTTCGGCCGTGACGTGTCTCGGGAGTAAATGCCTTTACTCAAAAGCCATGCCTCCTGTAACCGCCATTATATCCCCGGCTATCCTTGACTAGCCTCTTCCCTGTCCCCAACACACAGGCACCTAAGATACATTGTGTGTTCCCTCTTGAAACGCTACGCCGCCTCCACGCCCTCGACTTCGCTTCCCTGCCCACCCTGTGATAGACATATTCATTTTACCCATTTCTCGTTTGTGATGACCTACCATTGGTACCTTGCCTGCTTCATCCCTTTTGACCTCTCATCATGTATAACTGCGCCACACCCCAGATCCTATACAGATGTGTTCTCGTCGTGTCTAGACCGGAACTCCCCCTTCTTGGTATGGAGATTGGAGAGGGAGAGGAAAAAGCATTAATTTTGCCATTCTTTTCTTTTTCTCCTCTGAAGTTTTTTTTTTTTCTTATTTTCCCTTTTTCTTGGGGTTGTACGTTATGGGTATAGATAGACTGGGTCTTGGTTTGGGTCTCCGTAAGTTGCCATATTTAGCCAATGAATTTCGTTTTTTTTCTACGATGCTTTCTATAATCCTTTCAATAATTCTTTCTATATACCCTCTATACACCTTTGTCTACAGGCTAGTCTGGAGGACTGACCCGAGTCTAGAGATGGAACTGGCAATGTTCTTCGGCGTTTCTCGTCTTGTACTGTCGCAGAGACACTCTTCACCATCACCAAGGGAAACCCACTCAAATCTCTGATTGAGATAGGGTATTACGGCGTTTTCCATCTGACAATGCGTGTGAGACAGTCTCTAGTCAGCTCGATGATATAGAATCGACAGGTGCCTGTTTTATACTCTGCACCGAAAATTTGAAGTCAGAGCTATAGTTTGCCCTCGACAGAAACGTCCGGAAGGACATCGCCGCGGCGATGACAGAAAGCGGGTCTTTTAGCGTTGCCTCCAATCTTGTTATGTTATTGTCTGGAACGAAGTTATACAGAATCTGCTTGCCCTTGACAGGAGCATCCGGAAGGGCATCGCCGCGGCGATGAGGGCAAACAACGACCCCAAGGGGGTCTTGCACCGGGGCCCTTATACCATTTATTGATACTTGATCTTTCCTCTTTCCTCTCTTCCCCTTCTCTCTTCATCACTTCTCCCCCGCCGCGGCGCTCTTCTTCTCTCGTCACTCCAGACCCTCTTCTTGGACATCGATCTCTTACTTTACTACTCCATCATTCTCCAAAAGAGTAGTGAATCTGTCAACTTCGTGTCAGTTCTGATCCATTTGGTCTCACATCCTCTACTCATATCAGTCTGACTTGTTTTCCAACAGACCACTACTCATCCCCATGGAGGATAAACACCCAACCAAGCCCTTCAATCTGAAAGGCTTTGAGACCCTCCCTCCCAAGCTCCTTCAGAATTGAGCTTGAAGCCAACCCTATCCAGTCGGCCGTGCTATCAGGCGCCGCTTTCTATCGTGCTTTTAAAAGCGGAGAAAGCCATATTGTCCGTCAGTTCGTGCGGCACATAGTCCCAGTGAAATTTTTCCACGATGCAGTAGTTGCGTTTCGGGCAATCGGCGCACAATCTTGGCCGGATGAAGATATTGAAACAATACTTGCCAAGTACTTCTCCCGGGACGAAGAGTATTTCGCCGGACCAGATGCTTTCTGGCTCGACCAGGGAGCTGCGATTGTCGAGCTCCATAAGATTGTCGAGTTCTTCTGCGACAAGCTGGCTTCCGAGGCTCTGGCAGCCATGAGCCCTGGCACTGAATTCTGTTTATGCAGCCTCTGTCACCAACCGAGAAACATCGGATTTGTCGCACCCTGTATCGACTTGAGATTTGGTGCAATATTTCCCCGAACAAGTCCAGTGGCAGCCAGGCCAGGCCAATTTCACTAATTTCGCACCCTTGGAGTGTGAACAGCTCGCCTGCGTCTACCAGGGTATGCAGAAAGTTGTAGAACCCGGTAAGTCAGTTTCTCGTCCTTCGTTCAGAATTCTGCTAACTCTCATTTCTGATAGTTGTGAACAAGCTGATAGGCGGAAATCCTGAGACTTGGAACCCGAAAAGCCCGTCGTCTGGCTTTGGATAACTCGGCATATCAAGTCTGCCTTGGCCTAGGTCATGTCAAGAAAATAATAGATGCCCCGTTGCCTACAGTGCGGCAATGGCCTGGTATGAAGATTGAGGAAGCCAGGGGCTGGTTTTTCAATAAGTTCATGAGACGGCACATCCAATCATGGGACGTCAAGAAGGCAAGACATCGCATCGGTGGCGAGCAGGGCGATTTGGAGTTTCTTCCCTCGTACCCTGACCCAGATACTGGACCCGATAATGTTTGGCGTTGGGCTAATACCGGCGAGAAACTGATCAACGCCGTGAATAATCCTAACCGTCGAGTTCTGCGTAAATGGGGGTATGTGATGTGGGCCCGACGGCGACTCAATGCGAAAGGGCTCATGGACGAACCCTGGGCGGGCTGAAACATGCTGTGACAAATGAGAGGAAGATTCTGGGATACTACGGGTGGACTACGGGTGGACAAGCGGAGGATGATGGTGATCGAAGGCCGGGACCTGATGAGCTAGGGATAATCTGCGAGGGCTTCTTCACAACCTCTACTTTACTTTACCTGTCTCCCTAATTCAATCATGTTTTTATTTGGAGATGGCTTTCTTTGCACCTGTGTTCAAAGTAAGATCTGTAGCTTCATTTGAATAGCTAAAGCTTAATAAAGTCGACCCTTTTCTGGCAGTATACTATCTAGCACACACTGCAAGGCTTTCCCTCGAGAGCATCGGCGACAGCGAAGTACGCTGGCTTGGCCTGAAGCGTATCGTTGAAGAGACAGGCACCACCCTGGCCAGCGAAAGCACTTGGGACCCAAGAGTAAGCATCATCAAAGTCCCAAACAACCGTACCAATGCAACGAGGACCCGCATTCATGCAACTGGCGACGCTGATATAGTAGTCCTCAGCCTGCTGCTTCTGAGCGGCAGCGGTGTAATAAGGCGCAGCCGCGAAACGAACATCAAGCTCAGTGATAGCCACGTCCAGGTCAGCCTTGATGTAGGCCTGCTTCGTGGCAAGTTGGTCGGCGAGAGAAGGGGTCTCGCCAACAATGAAGTGCGACTCCAGACCAACACCGTCAATGCGAATGCCGCGCTTACGCAGGTTGCTGACGAGCTGGAGAACGGCGGTCGACTTGGTACCCGGGTTCTCAATACCATAGTCGTTGTAGTACAGCTTCACATCATGGGCGCCAATCTGGGCCAATGCCTCCTGGGCATACTTGAATGCAAGGTAGAAGTATTCCTCGCCGATAGTGTCATACCAGACACTTGAGGAGAATGTACCATCACCGTTGAGAGCCTCGTTGACAACATCCCACGAGTAGCAGCGACGCCCGAAGTGCTGAACAGTCTTGAAGATGTGGTTCTTCATGATAGCAGTGAGCTCCTCAGCGGTCCAGGTCTTGGATGTAACGAAATCGGACACCTGGCTGACCCAGACAAGATTGTGGCATCGGACCTTGCTGTCGAAGCGCTCGGCCACCTCCAGGAACTTGTCGCCCTCGGTGAAGTTGAACACGCCCTGCTGCGGCTCGGTGTACATGAACTAGAGACGCAAATGTTAGTGAGAGAACAAGTAATAGGACGGAGGATTGTTTCAATTGAACACACCTTCATAGCATTGGCAGGTGTAATTTCGCCAAAGTTCTTCTTCAGCACCTTGAGATAGGCAGCATCGGTGGTCTCAGCAGTTCCGGGGATATCGGCCGCAGTTCCAAACCAGTGCTTGCCCTTGCGCTGAGCAAGCTTATTGAGATCAATGTTGTTGTTACCGGGCAAGTGAGGTGGAGATGGAGGTGCTGCCTGAGCCGCACCAGCCAGCAAGGCCGCAATCACTAGAGAAGCACGCATTGTGATAGAGATTGAAGGATTGAAATTGAGAGTTGTGGTTTAGTACTGTAGCTCCGGAGAGGAGTTTTGAAGCTATATAAACAAAATTCTGCTCTAGCTATCTCCCTATACTTCCCCGCAAATGTATGTCTGCTCTCCTTGCTAGCGTCTATTATCCATGCGATAATTCGCTCGCCCACGGTCAACACCCCTGGTCGCGTCTATTTTCCGGGGCACGCATGGGGATATTAGGCTATAATTCTGGAGAAGAATTTGGGGGCAAATGGCTAAGTATGCCAGGCTAGTCTCGTTTTCGCCAAAAGCCGGCTTCGCAAGACCAAGGAGGGACTAGGCCGGACTGAAGCGTCGGCAACAGAGTCTAGCCTGCTGTGTTTTCTATTCAACCGAAAATCCGGCTACAAGTCAGTAGTCATTTAATCTAATGAATGTGTTGGGGTCGTTTATTATAGCCTAATGCCCATAAAGGATATACTGTTTGGTGACTGAGTCGTTGTTAATATATTCCGAGCGGACATAAGCTTTCTCGAGAAGAAGGTAATCGTCGAATGTATACTATACTATATTGGGATAAACCGTTGATTTCACCCGGGCCCACTAAAACAGTAAGTAGGGAAAAAATGAACGAGCGTGGTTAATCTTGAAACTCGTATTTAGCACGTGGTTTAGAGCTAGCGCCTCGCTTGTGTGCAGAAGTGGCCTCAGCTCATTTACTAGAGTCGCCTCTTTCGGCATACTCTCGCTTTCAAAGATGCCGATCTGTGAGCTCCGCGAATCGGGTGAGGATAGCCGAGGCATTAATGCATTCAAAGTTTCAAAATCAAACCAATGGCAAACTGTCGTGACGACTGCCCAGGGTAGCTTGTAAGCGAGGTACAAGGTTTTAGAAAAGGCCTCAGGTAATAGAAAGAATGCATGGATAATGAGGCTGTAACTGCAAAGAAGTTCACAAAATTAGCTTGAAAATTGATGGCGCATCTGGCGCCACTATGCAAAGGAAGCAAAAAGAGAACGAATTAATCCTAGTTCAAACTGTCTGTTGAGAACCCTGTCTAGAGGAAGAAAAGAAACAAGGAAAGGCAGGGCCTATGAGGGCCTCGACAATCTGCAAGTGCTGGGTTTGGAAACAGCTGTGAGGGGAATCCCAAGGAAACGTCCGACTGGGATTTCCTAAGGGAATCTCCATCAACATTATTTACGGGTAGCTACAAACATGCTGCTAGGTTGCTGAGATACACAAAGCGAAGCTATCACCAAACGTTACGACGAGGCATATCACAGTCACTGTCAAACATTGTATTGAGAATCAGGCCATTGGCCAGTATCAAAAGTTCATATTGGTAGCAACAACATTACAATACTTCTTTAAGAAGCCAACATTAAGTGACAAGGGTAGCTCATTAGAACGACCCACTGCAACATCAATCCACTCCATAGAGCCATCTTATTTACAGCTCAACCTGGGTAGAAATCGCCTTCTCACCACCATCGGCCGAGGCAGATCTGCCATGGGCTCCACTGGCGGTGAGTTGCATAACCTTCTCAGAAGCAGCCGCACCTCCCAGAATAGCAGTATCACCATCGAACATCTTGACAATCTCCTCCAAAGGAATCTCCTTGGTCTCAACGTAGTACTTCCAGACGACGGCGATCTCAAAGACCAGGAAGATACAGTAAACAATGTAGTACTTCCAGCCAATGTCCTGCAGCGCGATGGGGTTCACATACTGGTTGAACCAGAGAGACAGATCGACACAGAAGAACATGATGGTGAGACCCTTGGCACGGAGGCGGTAGGGCAGAATCTCAGAGGAGTAGGAAACCAACAGACCACTGTAACCGATGTTGTAGGCAATGTAGAAGAGGAACATGAAACCAAGGACGGCGTTGGCGGCGTTGTCGTTCTTCACTCCGGCATCGTCGGAAATCTTGAAGCGGGCTAGAGCAATGGTTGACGCGACATAGCACGCAAGCATGCTGAAACTGGATGTCAAGAAGAGCTTGCGTCTGCCGAAGTAATCGACGAAGAAGCAAATACCGGTGGCGGAGACCACGTTGACTGCACTCAGAATCAGGTTGATGGTGAGTTGCTTGTTGCTGTCGGTGATGCCAATCATTTTCAAGACCTAATTTGATTAGCTGATGTGCCCTCTTGCTAAACATGGTTTCACAGCTTACCTGAGGGAGGAAGTAGGAGACAATTCCGTTACCCGACCACTGAGAGAAGAAACCAATGGAAACCAAGATGATCAAACGATGGCGGTTACCAGGGGTAGACCAGAACTCAGTCCAGTTGTTGCCCTCGAACTCCTTCTCCAGCTCAATAGTCTGTCGGATCTCATCGAACTCGATGTTGACCAATTCATCGTCTTCGTCTCCTTGGGCATGCACGTATGCCAAGACCTTCTTCGCTTGCTCCAGTCTGCCCTTCGAGATGAGCCAACGGGGGGATTCGGGAACAGTCCTGCAAATTCGAGATTAGCAACATTGTTTCTTGTTGAGCTTTTGTCAGTGTCTCGTACCAAATGAAGATCAGCTGGCAGATGGATGGAATTCCCTGCAAGAGACAAGGCACACGCCATGACCAGTCGCTGTTGATAATGTGGTTCGTTCCTGTAGATCGTCACGTTAGACGTGTTCGGTGCGTTTTTCAAGGTCATTTATCTGACGTACCCAAAGCAACACAGGCTCCAATGAGGGAGCCCACGTACCACAAACTGTTGTAAATGGACGAGTAGACAGCTCGGTGCTGAGGGTGCACCAACTCCGTAACAAGCAGGGGCGAACATTCCTAATTGCTTTCCGTTAGTGATCAACCCACCAGAAACGATATCATTATCCAACTCACCTGAGCAATACCGAGACCGAAACCGAGAATGATACGACCAACGACGAAGAGCGCAATGCGATATCCAATCGAAACCATGGCAACACCGAAAAGCATGATCACACAGCCAAGGACCACACCGGCGCGACGACCCATGATATCTGCAACATAGGGGACAACGGGAATCGAAATCATGGAGCCGATCGACATGGCCGCTGCCAGAAGACCCAGAGTGGAGCCATTCGGGTGGTTATAGGCTAGATTGGTCTATCGTCAGATCTATGGCCACAAGGTGATCTCAATCCACTTTTGAAATTACTCACAGTCATTCCACGAGGGCATGGCCTCCAGACCGTTCATCAGCGATCCATCGTAGCCTTATCATTCTGTCAGTCGTTGCTACCTTTGAATCCTCGCGGCGCGAAAGAAGAGAGGGAACTACCGTTGGTCGCAGAGGTGATCATGGCCGCCCAGAGAGTGAGATAGACGGTGCGCATGCCCTTCATCTTCCACCAAGTGACCCTAGGCCATTCCCGGCCGGCGAGAGTGAAGGTGTCCTTCCCCATTGTGCAGTATCAGTAGCAATTGTTGACTTGATACAAATTCGGAAGAGAAAGAGTCGAGTCGGTCGAAGTTGAGCCTTCTCTGTCAACTCGCAAAGTCTGCCAGGATCTGAAAATCCACTTCCGAAGCAGGCAGTCAGCGAGTATTTGAATACGCGGGAAATATTTTGGTGGCCACGACTCTGCACGGCCGGTCCCCTCTAGCGGCAAAATAGGATAAATTGTCCAATTCTTTCCCTCCCGTCAGGGCTCTAGATCTTTTGACACTAGTCAGATGATCAAGGCGGGGGACCGAAAGCTAGACAGGACTCCGCTAAGCTTCGCCAAACCCCATGGCGAAGCTTACGGCTCATTGGCAAAGCCATGGCCGAAGCGATGGTCTTGACCAGGGCCCAGGGCTGAATTCAGGCTCAATTCGAAAACGACATGAGCCCGACCAATGTGAAGACCCGGACTCGAGACGGTCAGCAGCCGGAGTGAGAGCCGTCCATCTCCAAGAGGAATGAAGGCGTCGCTAGAGTTGGGGAAGTGATTGGTTCAAAGGTCGGGGCCAAGGTCTTGGTGACAGGAACCAGAAGGGCCCTAGACTGTTTGAGGAAAGGAGTCCAGGGCCGTTGTCTGCTTTGGGTTACTAGCACCAGCCTTAGGGAAGCGATGGTCTTTCACTGGATGCTCCCGTTGTTGGTGCTCCACTCCAACTGAACCTTCTTCCCCCAGATTATTATTGCCCCCCGGACCAGAAATGCCGGGGTGATTGGTTCGCTGGGGGTATCTCCGTTGGAAGCAAATGCGACCGTACTCTGACTCCCACTGAGACAGTCAGACCATCAATGATCAGACCTTCACACATTCATCCTGTCGGCTAGTCAGCTTCAACGTTCATGGATTTATTTACCCTGATTGGCCACCGAAGCAAGACTCAAGCGACCAAGGACAACGTCTCCGGGTATGTACAGGGGGGTGAAGTGACCCGAGATCCCGACTCATCTTCACTTAGCCGTGGCCGAGTAGCCGTTCTCCTTGTGCAACGGCTCTTGTGGTTCACGATTGCTAAATAAAAGTGATGCTACATCAATGGAGGGATGAATAGGGGTCAAATCTCAAGGAGAAGAGTAGCCTCGCTCGTAGTCCACCTGCCACGTAACAGATCAGTATAGGTCGCATACTATGGTCGCCACCATTGCGCAATGAGTCGCTCTCGTGACAAATATAGAGTCGTGATGCTGTTTCTGGATAGAAATTTGGCGGGATCTCACCCGTTGACATACTAAATAATTGTTGAGCAAGATTTCTATCTCCTCCCATTTGATCTTGTCTAGACGTCTGTTGGAATCTCACATCCACATAACTAGTTCCATCCTGCACACGGTTTGCCATCAGATTGTTGTTTCGGTCGCTTTGATTTGTCGGATCAAATATATTTCTTTGCTCTATCCTCCCGCAGAGTAATGATTATGGAATGGCTTCATGGTATCGCTTACAGCGGCGGAGTGGAGGGCCACATCGCTCGGAGTTTCTGCCTTGCGAGACTCATGGTATGAGAACAAGTAGATAGTTATCTATCATACTCTATACCACCCGGAAAGACCTCTGTATTAGATTGAGCGATCCCTCGAGCGCCAGAAAAGACACAGCTTGTCGGAGTAGGTGAAAAGTAAGGTGCAGTGCTCGGTCGAGGCGTCACGCAAAGAAAAAGGCGATGATGAGTGAATGATAGAAAGAGCAAGGAGTACCAGGACCTAAGAGCAAAGTGTTCGACGTGCGACATCAGGCCGTTCCAGTTAAAGCGATTAATAGGCGAGATTATTGGTTAATGTAGGGATTTGTTGTGATTCATGGACCAGAACCCGCAGAAGGAATTTAAAGATGCAATTCACAAGCCTGACATTTATATATGATCAAAAAATCTTAGTATTATTATCAATAAGAGAGGTATACACCTCTAACAGCACTACTCTACCAGTCTGAGGTGCATCGGATGTATCAGAAGCATACACCTGGCCCAATTTCAAAGCGAGCGGTCTCAGAGTCTGATCACCTAGCAGTAGACTTGTTTTTTATGTAGCAATATTCCACAAAGGCCCATCCCCGTACATAAGTGGTATCATGCCATATTCTGAGCCAGTCAGCCTGATCCGAACTGGGGGCGTCAGTCGACTGCATGTCATGCAGAGAGGATCATAGCTTTCCCCAGAATTTCGGCGACTCCGTGTTGGACAGGACTTCGAACAACCGAATGCCACGAGGCAAGGAGCTTGGGTTTGCTGCTTGACACTTGCATCGCTCATGACTGTATGCAGGAGTTGGTCGTTTGTTTTCGTCTGTGATGCCTGCTAGGAATACTGAGAGTCTCTCAGGTCTGGTGCATATTTCACTGGGGTTTACCAGGTTGACTCGAGACATGTAGATTAAACATCTCCATTGTTTGTTAATTTTTGGATTGGAACCATTCAACTATCATGGCTACTGGATAGCTTGGTCTTTGAATGAATCTTGGACAAACTTGAAGTGTGAGGAACTATTCGACCAAGTGGTAGGGCAGAGCCATGCCAGTACCTCCTGTATTTTCCACGGTTATGTAGCTACCTAGATATTACGATGCGGATGAACGACACGACTTAAACCTAGCCATGAAGATTCTACGTTGTGCTACAAGAAAATTTCAAAAGGATAGGGACGATTGTTACACTGGATATACTGGTAGTCGTATCTCGGAGTGACTGAGTCAGATATATATATCTCTACGAAGATGTCAAAATTTGGATTAGACTCCGAAAGACAAATTGAGAAAGCAACCGATTGGAAGAGATCTTAGTCTCAAATGAGCAGGCAGACCAGCAGTATTCACTGCAGTGAGTATCACTAGAATTCCGGTAAAGCAGTCTATGTAAATCGGGTTGAGACCTCGAAAGGCGCAGCCAACGGTGTTTCGGTGGGACGTCCAAGGACGAAGCATCCTTAGTGACAGGCCCCGTGTCTGCAATAACAGGGAGCATTAACATACGGAAAGGAAGACAAGTTCACCTTGAAATTTGTTCATGTGTGTCTACTTTTCTCTCGGTAGACTGTAGTCGTATCCCGAAGCACCTCGAACTGCCAGCCTTAATATCTAGATGGCATTCATGGAAAGAGGTCTCGTGAGTGACGGATAGCCTCACCGAGCCTCAAAGTTGTCGTCGAGGACAGTATGCCAGTCGTTCAAAGTTATCTAAAAGTCTGCCAAGGTAGACATATGCTAACAAAAGAACTAGAGAAGCTAGCTAGCCAGCACGGACAAAGTGCTTATACCCCGGTCGAAGAATAGCAAGCAGACCTAAATGAAGCTGCCGCTGTACTCTCTAGTTAAATCGCTAATAGCTGCAATCCCTATTTTCAATTGAGAGACCAGGATAGGAAAGCGACAACGAAAGGCAGCCCATCCAGTATTCAATAAGGCGCGATAGCCGAAGACAAGAGCAGATCGAGACATTGATATCAGAAGAAAAGCTGTCGCGTCTACGCGACCGACATGCAACCTTTTCATGGGGCAGTCAAGCGCGAATTTCTCATTGCCGCCAGCGAGAAGCTTAGCCAGCAACCCAGTCTCTGGTATCCTGCTCAGCTAAAGGTAAATTGTCAGCCAAAACCATCCGTCAATCAAGCTTTCGGCATCTAAAAATGCCGACAGGGAGTGGTGATGGCAGCGGCGAAGTAGCTCAAGGCAAAACTCCCCGGAGAAAGGTGCACATTCAAGGCCTGCCGCAAAGTCAAACTGGGCGATTATCCGTCCGGTTCGCTATGGTTGAAGATTTTGCTGCGTGGCTAGACCTCTCAATATTCGTTTGCTTTATCCGGGGAAAGCTCGACGGGCTGTCCCTCGTGAGCGAGATCGGGGAACTCGAGCCAGGTTTTTGGGTCCATCGCTGTCAAAGATCTCCGATGTGAAGATGGTGGTGACATCGGCTTCATCATGATCCGGTGGTTCACCCGGAATTTCCAGGCTTTGGTTATTTGTGCGCCACAACATGCTTCAGGCTAAGAAGAACCTGTGAATAGCCGTTTCGGACCTCGCAATTCTTCCAGACTTTCCAGTATGGTTTTGGAAGTGATCTTGGTTAGTATTTCTGCCAACCCTTGTTGACTTGAACCTTTGTGGTAAAAGGAATTCGATATGATCATTGACCTCGGATTGGTGGCCAGTCAGACCGCATATGGACTAAACAGACTTTCACAAGTCAACAGCTCGGGTAGATTTGCTCTTGAGCAGTCCTTTGGTTCTGACAGGCAAAAAATGGACAACGGCTTCCGCGATGGGTTCGGTTGGCATTGTGACTAGCAAGTCCTTTTGGGCCTGTGCCTGGCATTGGCATCGCCATTGCAATAACTCGGTCTCACTACAGCCTGCCTCAACCGCAGAGCCGAAGGGATGTTGGCGTCAGGATCATAAAAATGAACGACGAAGATCTAGGCAGTTGCCTCCCATACTTGAGACCGTTCGGCTTCGGCAGCAACTACATTTCCAAGGCGTCCGGGAAACTCCGCGGGAAGGGGGTCAAGAATGATGGCGGCAATACCGGATGTGGACGGATGGAGACTGACGGGAATGTGATTCTTAGAGTCGTACAACAATATGCCACTGTATGTAGACATATGAGGTGGGCACATTTCTCACACTGTTGTATTTGTGAGCATTGTAGTACTGTAATAGTAAAGAGTACTGCACAACTCAGGGCTGGAGATAGTGTAGATCCAACCACAGTCTGCGTAGCTACTGACTTGGCCTTGGACACGTCGACGACTCCACTGAATTCCCCATTCAATGTCAGGATTGAAGCTGGGATGGTCGAAAAATAGAACCAGTTTGGTCGTAGGCAGAAAAATAGAATTTTCATACTCCTCGGACTGCCAGAACCGTTATTCTCGAGATACAGTAGTGTTTCCATTGTGCTCCGTATGGACTGTGGTCGGCAGACTGGAAGGATCGTCGTCGCGCCAATGAGTTTGAATGATCGCCTGCATGCCTTCAGTTATTGGTGACTCCCAGGTGTATAATCAAATTATGTGTGTTGTTGATCAGAGTAGACCGTCAAGAATCTAGAATTTGGGCTATGGAACATCCCACAGCCTACTACTGTCTAACCAGGATAGGTATACAATTGTCCGATCAATCGACTTGCATGCCCCCGTGAAAGCCCCATAGTGGCTCTGTGCTTGATGACGCCAGACGCTACACCTGTATAAAATAATATACTGGCGCCTGAGACACGGCAACGTAACTCTTTTTATCACCCCCACCATAATGTATACGGTATCTTGTCTTGTTATTACTCCTCTAATTATAGTTATCATTGGTTGCTCTGAGTGAACACACCTTACTTTTGGCCGTACATACCGTTATTATACCTATACGGTACCAGCATCTCAAGATTTCCAACAGACTTCAATGATCAACCCAGGAGCCCCAATTTCAGTCGGGCGGGGGGAACCAAGACCGAAAAAGGGTTATAGACTTGGACCAAAACGGACTGGAACCTCCACGGGGCACCGGAAAGTCAAAGATTCTTTGAACCAAAGTCAAACTGTCGGAAGCAAACATGACAAAGAATCAATTGGTCATTTTGTCAGTTCTTTGCGGAACCCGGGCGATGACCGTGTCTGACTGCATACCATTAATTGGGGCGAGTATGGATCCTTTGTAAATGATGAATGGACCATGCTTTGGCGTTTAGATTGGCAATTCCGAAACAACCAGCTCGATCCTGCTTGCTCCACGTAGGAGCGAGCTGGCTCATGATATCGACTCTTTTTATAAGGTCCTCTTTGAACGAATTAATTGCGCTAATGAATCATTGACCATTCATTCTTGGTTAAGGCGAAACCAATCAAGTACAAACTGAAATAGAAATTATGCACCGACGATGTATTGCGATCTACATACAACAAAAAGTACAACTTCTCTAACAAGTACTTACTATTGTTATATTATTACCGGCACTACTGTACACAAGGGCTCCTGCGAGGCTGAAGCAGTCTGGAAGCAGCTTCTTGAATTGAACGTGATTCATCCATAGGCCCCATGTCTTGAGAGGAAGTCCTTTGTTGCCTTTTGCGACCCGCAACATCCAAAACAACTCTTTCTCCTTTGTCTAGAACATGCAGCCCGGATCCAACCCCAGTGACTCGAGAGGCGAACTGGGGTGTGCATTCAATCTTCCTATAGGTCAAAAAGCGGGACAATCAAAAGATAAAAGGATCGCCGATCTAGAGACTTGTGACTGACTGCCTTGCGCTATACCAAGTCATGTCAGTACTTTTCCTTTCCAGTTGTTATTCATGGACCCCTGAACTGCATCGGACCTTGATGTCCAAATCCAGACAATCATTGATCGCAGGGGGTAATAATATAATCCACAGAGGATTTATGTACATTCTCACGATCATCCTCGCCCCGAGTCATGTCATTTGACACCCTTTGCCCCCCTGCCGCGGAGGGGGCCAGGGCCTGGGCCAGCTGTGAGGCGAGGCGAGGTGTGAGTGGTGCCGTCGTGTTCTATCAGCACGATTCCAGGCCCAAGCTGGTGATAAGGGATATCATCGCCCTTGATTTCCTTTCTTTTTTCTCGGCTTCGCTTCTCACCCCCGGGTTTCTAGAAGTAATGACCAAGCGATAGCTTGGGGACCCGAGCTGAATGAAGCTCGGAACTCCCCCAACCAAGCTACAGGACAATCGCATCCCCACCGAGTCATAGCTTCGGGGTGTATCAAACCGCCATGCATCCTCGGTCAACACATTATAGCTGTGCGATGTACTCCTAACATAGTAACGAAACCATCCACGATTTCCTGCGCGGATGGACCGGAACTTCAGCGGTGGAGATATCAGCAGCAACGATGTGATATTGTCTCCACAAATTGTGGATGATTTGAATCGCAGTCTGATACTACAGTACTGTGTCCACCGTCCGCGTCTCTGTCAATGTCGGATCTACGAAGCACATCATACGTAACCGTTCTAACAATCTTGTAAAGCACACACCCTGAATCTACCAAGCTGGACTGCGGGTGGCTAGGGCGTCCAGCCAGCCGCAAGGACCAAAAAAACAAAACAAACAACCTACCGGATGCAAGGAGCCCAGCCAGGTAGAGAAGGACAAGCCAGACTCATCCGTCGACGAAGCGGCCACACCCGCATGTGTGAAATGAGACGGCCTCGTACCACTTTATGGTCGGCAGAGAACCTTGTAGGGCAGGAGATCAGGACTGTTGAACTGCTGACGCATGAGACAGGTTAACTTTCGAAGTATATCCTGTAGGAGATAGATGATAGATGATTGATGGCTTGCCGTGATAAGCGGGATCGGAGGCCCCGCCCGGACTGTGTAATGATGAAAGTACAGTACTGGCAGCATGGGTGGCTCACGGATCATTCATTATGATATTATTATTGACTAAAAAGAGGGCAATAATAGTTTGCGCGGGTAATCAGAATAATCATCAAAGCTTACGGTGGTATAAAAATGAGCAAATTTATCATCGTTAATAACGGTACATAGATAGCTTGGTTAGCGTGCACGGGGTATTCCTGTTTCCAAGTGGAAGTGCTCCAACACGATCGGCTTCAGCTTTACCCTAACCAACATCCACGCCAACGCCAACGGTCTCGTCTCGTGTACTTTGGTAAAAAAGTGTCTTTACTAAGTCATTTGTACAGTACATTTGCGGCAGGCTTCCCTCACTACGCCGCCCCAGTTCCAGACTATCAGCACCAGACTCTATGGCTTCCATGGGTATTCGACCAATCACCAACCAGCCCAGCAAAGGCTTTACAAAAGCCCAGGTACTAACTGGCGCTGGCGCTATTGTGAAACAATATCTAAATGACCATTCCCCAGTATACAGACGAGGACTAGGGAGACTCGGATGACTTCCACGATAGGTGACCCCTTCCGCGAGCAGCATGAAGGCGGCGTGGGGGTGGTTGCAGAAGGGGGCGCTTTTCGTCCTTCATGAACTCCATACAGCATTCTCGACAAACTCTCCTTGGGTTGCAATTACTGTAAGTATCTTCTTACCGATGCCAATGGCGGCCATTTCCCGGGGGTTTAGGTGTAAACCTTCATTATGACGGAGTATATGGGGAAACACAAGCAGCAGGCAGGAGGAGGATCATGACCCTAGCGGTCGCGGTCAGCCTGCATGCGCCCCAATAGTCGAGTTGTTAAAAGTTGGCGCTTTGAACCTGGGCAGCAAAGTGATCATCGATAGCATCCTGGTTGAACAAGTAAATAGGAAATTGGAAATACATTGGTGATCATCATGGCTCATTTTAGGTGGTGATACTAGCAATCATCATTTATTGTCATCATCATAATGGCTGCAATATTATTCCAAAAATTAGTATCAGTAGTACCCGGAAGCACGAAGTATGTATAACCATGATAACAAATTTATCAATGAGGATCATCGAAAATGTGGTCTGGTTTCAGGTATTCCCATCTTCAAATCTAACTGTACTCCGTACTCCGTACCTCGGGTATCCAATTTAGAATTTCCCAGCTACCGAACCTCGTAAATGAGTCGTTAGTTTATCGTCTGCAATTAACTAGCGTGCACTAACTTACAAACCTACAGTTACAGTAAAAAACAGACGCGGTAAAAAAAAGTAAGATAAGCCTGGAAGTATGCGAAAACAACCATCCATCATCCATCATGTATCCTCGCAGGTCCAGATCCATGATGCGTCCTTGTGACAGATGGTTTCATCTAATCTGCAGGTAGGACCGTGTACGGAAAAGTCATTTATTGCACGGCTACGGCATGGTTAGGTTTATTGATTACGGAGGAAGTTCGGCAAGGTCAGGAAGCGAGGATACGATGATCGAGACTTGAGTTAGCCTGTTACCTGTTAGGAGGTGTGAGTGTGTGGAAAGTGTGAATTGATGAACTGTGAAATGTGGATATTATTACACTCCGTGCACCGGAGACCAAGGCCAAGGAGTGTTGAACTTGACAGGGGGAGGATTCGGCGGTAAACGATAAAATCCATTTTGCGACCGTCTTGCCTTGTTGTGGAGCATACGGAGTAGTGATGGGTGCTCGAGGGGGTAAGCGGGGGGCGCAAAAGCGGTTGGGATCAATTTGTGGTGCGTTGGCGGTGACTGGGTAAGTTGACTAAGGGGTTACAGGGTAGAGTCGAGAGACGAAAGGGATTATATTATTTTAGGGGCAGGGAATGCAGTATGTACTTCGTGTGTTAACGAAGTAGATATACTATGTATACTCGGTAGCTGTCCAAGTACTTCATACGCTCTTGATAGCACGGGAGTACAAAGCCAGAATACCATGTACGATGTACTAGGTACAAACCTCCGAGAAACATCGTGCTTGAGGTCAAAATTCGGTGGATATTCAACGCAAGCCCTATTTACGACGTGCCGCAACCGGGATGACTCGTCGCATCGTCGGTGGCATCGGTGGCAACGTGCGAGCGGATGGGATGGATCCAGTTTGGAACGGCGGGCTTGTCGGCGTTCTCGTTTTCATTTCGACTTCATTTGCATCGGTGACCGGTCATCGTCATTCACTAGCATTTTCTCGATTGCCCCCACTAGGACGTGCAAGGGAGGGGGGTACTTCACGGGTGATGACCGGGGGTAAGTTGGTACAATAGTGAGTTAAGTTAGAGACGGAGTGAGCGGTAGGTTTAGAAATTAGTGGTCTTGACTCCTCTCGAGAGATTGTGAGAAGAAGTGTTGAGGTCAGCGAGTGTAGATCTGAAAGGCTAAAAGGAAAAAGTCCCGATAGCCTGGTCTGGCACTGGCAGGGGTCGAGTGCATCACAGTATGGACTATCGGTGGAGATGTTGGTCACGAAGGCAGAGAAATACTGTAGCAATTGAGCACAACGGAACCTGGTACATAACCGCCCCATGCAACAGATCCCCAAGCGAGGCTTGGAATTCATCTCGGACTGGGTCTGACTGGCATGAAATATGGAGTCATGGACTACCATCCTCAGAGACTAAGTTAGTGTTATGTATAGCTGTGACGAAGTGCGCTTTTTGCACCATGTTCAGTGGTTAACCCCGTCCCTATGCCCGGTCTACGAAGTCTCAGTCTAGGGATCTTGGGTCCCAGTCGGGTTGTCTTGGTCCTGACGTTGGCGCTGGTCGTGAGGGGCGTCCGAGATTATTCCATTCTCCATACCTCACATCACTAGACGAATGAGAAGCCAAGATCGTTGTGGACGAAAAAGAGATCGGCTCTGGGAACTTCGACGGAGGACGGAGGATAATAGGATTGGTAGCAAGCCAGTAGCAGTAGCCATGACACAGCTTGCGCTCAGTGGCACTCACACGTCGTGGCCGTGGTCCTCTACGTGCTGGTCTTCCTCATGCGCCAGGACTCCACATCTTCCCTCCATCTGGGGTTCTGGAAATGATACAGAAAAGGGTAAAAAAAAAGAAAATTAGAAAAATTACATATCTGGACCACCTAAAAGAGAAGGATTTAGGGAAGTCAGAACCCACTCTTTTGTCTCCTCATCGTGGCGGTGGCTCAGAGACAAGAACCCGACCGTAGAAAGAAAAAAGGGAATCAAGAAAAAAGTGGACTCGGCTTGATGAAAGTCGACTGGCAGACTCTCTGCTCGGTTTTTTTTCTCCGCGCGAGTTCAACAACGCGTGTCCACCAAGTTCCAACCAGACAAAGTCCCGTAGTAGTGAAAAACCTCCGCTTTGTCTCTTGATATGTCTCCCGTTGACCAGTGATTTCATTATCCAATCAATCTACTGTTACACTCTCCACTAAGCAACCCAGGTCTTCAAGCAAATGTACTTCGTAATCAAAAACATGATTCACACCGAGACTCACAACAAAGTCGAGGCTTTGATCGCCCTCGCAAGCAACCAGTGGCGGCAAACACATCAAGAAAGGACGGGAGAACAAAGATTCGCAAAGCCAACATCCCGTTCGAGTTTCACATTCGTAGCTGCCTTTCAATTATCAGTCCTGACTAGGTGGCGTGATAGCCGAGCTTCAACCAACTGTACATCCTGCTTTGTGCCCCCTGTCCTGCCATGGAAAGGGACCTTGTCGATGGAGTACCGGAGGCGTTAAGGAGAAAAGTAAATTATACATATAAACGAAGGAATTATATGAAAATATGAAAATAATTGGAGTAAATATGACTATGAGTATGACCACCTGCATCAAAACCCACCACCACCACCACCATCACCCTCGGCCTAACATGCACAATGGTTCGTGGTGCGTGACATGGTACCGGGATTTTTGCATCGGTCTATACTTATACAGTACTCCGTAGTAGTATCACTCATTTGTACGGAGTACGGAGTACTGATTACTCATAGGTCACTTTTATCACTTGAGGCGCGTGCCCACAAAACGCGACCGCGTCGAGTAGTGGTCAGTGTCTTGGGCGAGATCCGACCTATTACAATTCCGAATCGGGGATAGATCCGGCCCACGGAGTAATTATGGGAAGTATGTTACTATGTATACATAAGTGAATGTTAGAAGCGTATAGTTTGTGGTTTTTGCTGCTGCACAGGACAAACTATAGAACTCTTTTTGGGATGTACGCTGGAGCAGTTAAAGATGATATGGAGTACATCCCATCCCATCCCATTCCTATTAAAGATCGAGTTTGGATTTAGATGATGCAGGCCTGTTAATTTGTCGGTCGGTTGGACGATTAGAAAGTCAGCCTATCAGCCTAGTTACTGTAGACTACAGGCAGAATGGATCACAGGTGCAACGATGTTGGACAGGGTTTAGTTTTAGTTGAACCCAGCCACGTCAAACGACCCCAATTTGGGACCTAAAGCGGCCAGATGGCAACGGCCAGCTAAAAGCTCGTTTCCGGTTTTACATGCGGCGCTTGGAAGGTGCAAAAGATGAGAGAGGATATCCGCGCGCACAGGCGGAGGTTGCATGTTGATCGGACGAATCAGAGGCCCGCATGTCCGGTATTGCCATGGCCCCCTCTTAGTTGGAGATTCAGATATGTAGTTGTAAGTTGGTTAATATGAACTCCGTGCATCAATACTTTGATGTACTGCGTAATATTGAATTTTAATCACACTCCATTAGTGTTTCTTGGAGTCGTGGTACGGGGTCCTTCGTACTTCTAACTGCTTGCAGGAAAGGGAGCATGGACGATGTACGAAGTTCGGGAGCAGCTTTGCCGTCTACACTTCTCTTGTCCCGAGTGGCTGGGCCCGAACTATCAGATTATGGTCCATCGACGCCTGTCCTGAAATCTTACTACGTGATAGCCCTCTTTCCGGACCAGGCCCGGACAAGCAGAGAGGAAAAAAAGCAACGAAAAGGCAAGTCGTCCGAACGGTTAGGCAAAGTCAACTCAAGAGGCGAATAGAGGAGCCCGCCTTGGGCTAGGTTGTAAACTAGTCGTGATGTGCCCCCCTCTCCATGACCGAGACAAGGGAAAGGTGTCGATCAAAGAAGGTCGGAAGAACAGACTTCACACCGCAGTCGGAAATTACCCAAGGCTGGTCAGTGGTGGTGATGACCAAGAAAATAAAGAAAAAAAGAAAGGAAAGGGAAAAATAAGAGGCAAACCCCCAAGAGAAAAAAAGATGGGGACGAGACCAATGAGCAGGCGAGAAGCGACGGCTAACAACCTGTCGGGGAGTACGCGACTAGTCACCGGGTAACCGTGTCATGATTGCAGTCATCGGCATCATGGAAGAAGTCCATGGGCTAGTGCTGGTGGTGCGGGCTAGTGGTAGTTGAAGGCGAGATGAGCAGATGGAAAACGGACGATCGCCTCGGAAAGACTGCGCAATGGCCTAACCATGGGATCATGATTCGGCCGTCGTACACGGACAGCTGACATACTCCCACCATGAAGCATGTCCCCCTCAGTAGTGCTCACACCTTGGACCAGACTCAGAGGACCTAGGCAAGGTCGGTAAAGCCTCAAAAAGCCCCAAGACCTCGTGGGGCAAATGAACAAAGGAGCAAATGACGGGGCCAGGTTTGAATCTGTTGGATCCCCGGGGACCAGTCATAGCCCGTGATGGGCCACCTCTCTAGGAGGAAGGCCAGGACGAAGGCGGGTGGCTCGGATTATACAACGGAAGCGTGAGGTGGTGGATCCTCACATCCTGGAATTCCGGCAGAAAGAACAGGACCAACAGTGACCAGCGAGGTTCAAGAGGTCCGAGAGAGTGCAGAGGATGTCAGGGAAGGACAGGATCCGGACCAGTCACTGCTGCCTATCCTTTTGGACTGGGGATTGGCAGGGATCTGATTGGTCTGTTGGAGGGAGGGAGACGCAATGATTGGGGAGGGGGGCATGGGTAATGAGTGAGGAAGGATGTGATTGGTAGAGAGGAAGGAGGTGGGAAGTTGGGAAGTTGGGAAATTGGGAAGTCGGTACCCTAAGAAAAGCAGAAAAGCAGAAAAGCAGAAAAGTTTGGCTTACCTCAGCCATCGGCATTCCCCATTTTTTCTGACTTCTGACTTCTGACTGATTTCCCGGGAATGTGACAATACCCATACCACAATACACACCATCCAACACTATGTACGGAGTATCATCGACCTCATTCTTTCTGCCGATCAAAGACCGAGACGCCCGATTTCATCCCTTCCATGTACCGTCACCGTGGGTTTGCCCCCCTTCCTAACCCGGAAAGTGATCTTCTCTCGACACGATGTACAGTAAAATACGGAGTACAACCAGACCACAATCCCACTGGCCGATCCCATCTCCTCTGTCACCAGCCATCTTCTTTTTTGGTAATTTACTCATACTTTACAATACCATGTCCTTTTCATGCTCTGTTTTCCTGTTGAACCCCCCAGTCCTAAATCCTCACTTCCCATTCCTTTACTTTCCGCCTGGTGACGACTCCCACTAGTGATCAGCCACCAATGCTCAAACCCTCATAGGCGCTTCCCGGCAACCACCCCCCTTAGCCCTGCGTTCTTGGGTCTCGGGTCTTGGGTCTTCTAGCCCACTATTTTCTTCTTACCCTGCCTGGTGCAGTAGCGGAGGCGTACATGCTTGCGCGCACCTTCAGCCCAGGCCACTTTTACGGAGTACACCCTTTTACATACAGTAAAACAGAAAACATGGACCACTTTTCGACTCTACAAAGTACAAAGTACTATGTATACATACTACTATGTATAGCCATCATTCTAGTCACTTATTTTTGGTAGTTTTAAGACACAAAGTTGGACTGCTAACTGCTATCTCATTCATCTTGAAGTAGAATGGTTTCTAGAGTTAATGTAACTTTGTACTCTTAATCTCAAATCCATTCTTGTATCGTATTCTCCCAGCCATGATTAATCATGGCTTCGTACTTGGAAAACGCCAATGTACCAAGGGGAAAAGAGAAAGAGGCATTGGGCCGACGGTTGCAACGACGCTAAACCCGACTGATTATTGGATCTGATATGGGTCCTTCCTTTGAACCCCCAGCAGGTCTTGGATCTGTCCTCCGAACTGCTGAACTTGTTCCATCTTCGATGTGATTTTCCCTCCCCTCATTAATAATTAATAATTTTTTCGTGCCGCATTTTTCTCTTTTTCGGTTCGTTTTCGTTTTTATTTCATTTATTTCATTTGTTCGCCTCCCTTTGCGCTGACCCCATCCCTTCCACCCTTCCACCTTTCAGTGTGTCTCTGCGCTACGCCAGACTCAGTAGGCCTCCGCCCAGCTCCGCCCTAAGGCTGCGCTGCTCTTTCTGCGCCCTGCGCTTTCAACTTTTGAAGGGCCGGGATCAGTGACCTCCGTAAACATTACTCTGCGACTTACCCTTTCTAGGCCTTGCAAATCCACACTTGTGACCCTCCCCCGATGGCTCTGACATCAACCCGGTATTCTCGTCTGTTTCCTTTCACTTGGAAATTAAATTCTTGAAATTACTCCCTAGTCGTCGAGAGTATGAATGGAAGTACAGTAACACTATAAGAATTCAAGAAGTGATGAAAGGGGTGGTGAGAGAGAAGACTAAGAGACAAGATCCTCATTCTATTGGCTGATGGGAACATTTGGTTGCTGAGAAACGATCAAATCAATCTAAACATCCAGAAATCCAGAAGTTACCGTCGATGGACTAAAACGGCACCCAAACGAGCCCAGAAAAAAGGAGGATCAACCCTCTGGACCTGCGTCCGGGTCAAACTCTGTCCCATGTATGGCTACTCTGGCTTTCTCCGGATGGGTCCATCGCACCCTGGGTCCTCTCCCTTTTTAGTCCTTGAGTAGAGTGGACTTGGTCTGTGGTTATTAGTGTAAAAAATAAAAAAGAAGGATTGGAGATGATGCCTTGACTTCAGCCTTTCCATTTGGTAAATACTAAATAATATCATTTTTATTATTTCATTATTATTATCCATCTCTCTCTCTCTCTCTCTTCTGTCCCGCCTAACCGTGAACGTTCCTTTATGGGGGGTTGATTCCCACCTTTCTGAATTATTTGATTAATTATCAATTTTGGGAAATTTACTTCTGAGGTGCCACTCCTTTTGACTGGGTGGTTCTCTTCCTCTCTAGACGGGTTTAGTCTCCTCCTTAGATGGACTGGTTCTTGGCTATTTCCATATACATCATTCTCGTTGCCCCTCTGGAACTGAACTACGCCGCATTTCTTATATCATTTCGTTCCTTCCCTTATTCTTCGATCACGAGCCCCATTGAATTCAATTGTCGCCTGCTTTAGCCACCACTTTCCAACATCGCCTTTTGTTGCCTACTCTACCCAATTGGGGAAGGTCCACTACTTATCTCCAACCTGAGCCTGGAAGGAACCCCACGAACGGTGCCTACCGATTCGGTACATTCGATATCCAACCTGGATATGGCTGTCTAAACAACTTCTCTCGGCCTGCTCTGCCTACTCTACCTACGCTGCCTGAATCCACCAATTTCCTTGTTTGACAGTCAAAAGCGCCCGGCCAGATTTACTCCCACATGTGTCGTCGACCTGCTTCTCAACTTCTCTTCTCTCTATCCCCATGTCTCCTCCAACGCTCGACTCTCGATCTTCCACCACTCTGGGCCCCATCACTCCAACCGTCGACCTGACCTCCCACACATATCCTGCGATCAAGCCGGCCTTTGAGACGACAGGATCGTGCTGGACTGCTCCCTTCCGGGACGGTCTGCCCACTCCTCCCAGCGACATGACTGGTGTCGCCTACAATGCCATCCCACCTGCGGCCTACGGCGGGAAAGGCCATGCGATGCCTTCCCACCTGCACAATCACTCGCGATCCAACTACGGCTCGATTTCGTCGTCCATGGTAGCTTCCATGAAGTCCAACCACTCAGCGACTCAATCGGCCCCCGCGCCTGTGAAAGAAGCCCCGGTCACAGAGCCGGTCAGCCAGAAGAAGTCCTCGGGAACGACGGCAACCCCAGTGCTGCGAATTCCTTCGTCCATCAACAACAGCAATGGCACTTTGGCTGAGTTTGCGGCTCAGGTAAGAGCTCACTGAATCTATACTGCAGTCTCATCTGGCAGAACACTCAGCTCACTGATATCTCTTTTTTCTCGCAGATGACCTGTCTCTTCTGGTTCGAGAAGACCCCCAAACTACAAGCCATCGAAGATCGCCGCAACCCAGCGCTCTCTCTCGTCTCGGAGGCCTTCCCCACTGTCGGATTCCAAAAGTGGGTGGCTTCGATTCTTGCGACCACCCAAGTCAGCCAGAATGTGATTCTGCTGGCCTTGCTTTTCATCTACCGACTGAAGAAGTTCAACTCCGGTGTGAAGGGAAAGAAAGGCAGCGAGTTCCGGCTGATGACTGTTGCTCTGATGCTCGGCAATAAATGTGAGTTGCTGCTTTATCGCTTCACCGCCCTCCAGATAAACCCGCGATAAGAAAAGAAAATGCTGACTCAGCTCTAGACCTCGACGATAACACCTACACCAATAAGACGTGGGCCGAGGTCTCTGGCATCGCAGTACAGGAGATCCACATCATGGAGGTCGAGTTCCTCAGCAACATTCGCTACGACCTGTTCTCTTCTAAGGAGAAATGGGCCGAATGGCACACCAAGTTGGGCCTTTTCAGCGACTACTTCAACCAAGCTTCCAAGCTTCCCGCTGAAGGAGAGACCCCGTTGATGCGAGTCTCGCCGCCTCGTCTTCAGGCGCATTCGCCCTTATCCAAGCTCCCATCACCCCCGATGGATGCATACCGACCTCAGTCGCAGCCCCAACAATCTAACTGGTTCGGGACACTTTCTGGCCTGCCCTACCCGGGTACTGCACAGCTGGGCGAGGTTGCTGTGGGTGGACCCCGCAAGCGAAGCCGCGATGACGATGATGAGCTTCACCCCGTTAAGCGTGCCATGACTGCTGCTCATACAACTCCTTCCTTGACAATTCCTTCATCAAACATGACTTCCGTGGTTCCTCCTCTCCCACCAGTCTTGACCCCGACTTCTGCGCCCGTCGCTCAGACCTCAATGGCCGGACATGTTGCACGCCTCCCACCTCCCAATCTCCCTTCATCCAACACTATGCCTCAATCTCTTCCCTCCACTGCGGTCTCTCAGCTGCCGGTGCCGGCTCTCATGCCTACCGCCTACCAACGGAATTCGAACTGGGCTATGCAGATGCCCTCCAGTGCCATTCCTTCAACCATGGCATCGGGCATCTACAACACGACTGCTCTCCCGGAATTGGGTCGTCACCAGAGTCCCTACGGCGTTTCGTCTGCCACCGTCTCGCCAGCTGTGTCCGCCTACTCTGTCCACACTCCGCAAAAGCACCTTTCTCCATCTTACTTCCTCGCCAACCGCAACTCCCCTTACCGACCCGTTCGCTCGGTGAACACCTTGCTCATCCCACCTCCTTCCACCTCCATGCAGCATCAGCGCAGTGTTCCCTTCGACCACATGCACTATCAGCCACTGGGTAAATCCTCCACTGACCGCAAGACCGGACTGCTCCCATACATCCACCCAGAGTCGTGGAACCAAATCCACTTCCAGCCTCTCTTCCCTCCCACTCAGTTTTCTGGCTAGACCAAACTCCCGTCCTACACCCTTCTCCTTGCTAACGACGTGATCGCGCTATGACCTATTTTTCATGAGACAATTACACCACCTTACCCTTCGCTGTGTATCTTTTATCACCCCTATTTTTTCTCTCTTTTCATGTACAGATATTTCGTTTCATGATCGCGGATTGCATTTTTCTCGGCGTTCCCCAAGCTAGAAGGGGTTCATGGTGTTCGCCTCCCCAACGAAACCGGATTTTTCGGTTGGGGATGGCATCTGAGGCGTTATTTGTTATTTCTCATTTGCTTGTCCCTACGGACAACCGGGCCATTGCTGTAGTGCATTAGCATATTAGGGAGTTTTATTCTAGGCGACACCATCGCAACATATCAAACAAGAAGATTCATCCATACCGTACCATATTTCAATTCCTGTGCAAGATGAACAAGTTCAAAATAGGAAATAGATTAAACCAATTTGATGGTGTTTTGTTACAATTTCCCTTGGGAGTTCCCATGCTCGCAATACTCGAAAGTGAGGTGTATTCAAGTGCCTGTGGTCCATGCCAAGTCCGTGGTCCGGCCCGACATTTCTCCGCCTCATCAAAGATCTCCATCCTCGTTCCGACCAACAAACGAACTCGAGACAATTCAACCGGCCAAACCGTTACAATGCCACCAAGATTGATGGCGCTGCCCACGCAGCTGTCGCAATTTATTGCACGGCCCTTCACCCAGGCATCGCCGCTGGCCTTCCTGACCCCGACATTCCAGCAATCCCGCAACGCCTCTATTCTCTCCTCGCTTTCCGATAATCCCACAGCGTACAACAAGCGCATCCGCCGTGGTCGTGGTCCAGCTTCCGGCAAGGGTAAAACTTCCGGACGTGGTCACAAGGGTCAGAAGCAGCACGGCAAGGTCCCTGCGCGCTTCAATGGTGGTCAGACGCCTGATATCGTCGTGCACGGTGAGAGGGGATGGAACAACATGTACGTTTTTCCCCTGCCTCAATTGGGCTTTTCAATCCCTCACTATACACCGAGTCATACCCTAGAAAGAAACCCAGAAACACCAATAAAGCTAACACCGCCTTTTCCTCACCAGCTTCGCCCTCGACATGGCCCCCGTCAACCTCGAGCGCATCCAAGAGTGGATCGACCAGGGCCGCATCGACCCAACCCGCCCCATCACCATCCGCGAACTCACCCACTCCCGGTGCATCCACCAAAGCAAAGACGGCGTCAAAGTCCTCGGCGGCTCCGCCACAGCCCTAAAACAACCCATCCACCTCGTCGTCTCACGCGCCTCCACCTCCGCAATCGAAGCCGTCGAAGCCGCAGGCGGTTCCCTAACAACCCGCTTCTACACCCGCCAAGCCATCCGCCACATTCTGCGAATGGAGTCGCACCCCTTCATATCGCTGGCGTGGTCGGCCGAGAGCGGGCCCAAGGCTCTGCTCGAGGCTGACGGTGCTGCTGCCGCTGAGGATGTCTCCGAGGCGAAGGTCATGGATACGCTTGGACTGAAGTATCGGTTGCCGGATCCGACGCGTCGTCGCGATATTGAGTATTACCGTGATCCGGCGCATCGGGGTTATTTGGCGCATCTGTTGAAGCCGATGGAGGGTCCTAGTTTGTTCTTCCGGTCGCCTGAGGAGCGGAAGTCGGCTGCTGGCACGAAGAAGGAGAAGGTTCTGCCTGAGAATAGGCTTTGGTAATTGGGTTGTGGATTGGAGAGGGGGTGTGGGAGAATTAGGATTGTAATTTTGGTAGAAGACTTGGATGTTGGGATTTGTGTTTGGTCGAGCATTTTATATGTACATGTATACTATCTAGCCTTGAATATGTTTTGGGTCATAAAATTTTCACTTTCATGTCGATTGCAACATATTATGTGGGACTTCGCTATAGGAGAGCCTTCAGAAATCTAAAACTAACATGAAATTGCATGGAGGGAGAGAGGTTATTGTAGTTCTAGTATTTCTTGTTTTCTGACTGGAGAGAAATACACCCAACTTAAATAATAGAACAGAATACTCCGTACATAGGGGAGATAGAACATAATCGAATCAGAGCCAAAGTTTCCAGGACCGTTCTTATAACGTGTGCCATAGGAGAGCAGCAAATCGTGAAATAAGAAAAAAAAAGTGACCAATGACCAAAGAGTAGAATAGAGAGAAATGCCCCGAAAAAGAAAACGCCATGCTTGCCCATCGCGAGTAGAGTAGTATCGTTATCCGTCCAGTCGTGTTTGCCCAGTACCTTCCAATCAAAAAGACGCGCTAGAAATCGGGGGGATATCCAAAGTAAATCCGAAAGAAAAAAAAAAAAACAATCAAAGAAAAGCCATGAGGCGAAAAGAAACATCATGTTGCCAATCTTGCGATGGTAACGAATGGGTATCATCATGGTGATCAAGAATTCCAAAACGAAACGCCAGCGCTCGAGCAATAGAGGCGCCAGATCAAAAAGCAAATAAGAACAGAAGAGATTCACCTCTCAAGAAGGAGTTCGCAATAGAAAGGCAAGATAAAAGCAATAGCTGTGACGCTTGAACCGTTTAAAGCTTCCACACTGAGTCTGGTGAGCTTTCTTCAGTACTCTCAGCAACTTCTCGCAGCCAGGAGCTGGCCAGGATGTCGCGGATGGTCCATCGCTTGTGAAAGTTCATTTCCAAACAGTTAATGACCAAGTCAAGGGCATCCTGTCGATCCCTGAGAAGCAGCTCGTCTGTGACTCCATTCAGAATTGCTTCGCGATTCCACGTGCCACTCAGAATGTTGGACGTGATGCGAGGGGCGAAAGAGTCTTGGAATGGCCGTGACCCGACAATCATTGTGTAGACAATCACACCAAAGGCCCAGATGTCGACTGAAGGGTGGATGATACCGTTTACGGACTCGAGCAGTTCTGGGGAGGCATACTCCAGACTACCTGCAACACTGGTGCTAGAGTCGGCAGGACCCATTTGCTTGGGTGGAGGACGATCAGCGACCTCATCGTAAGGGTCGGGCGATACACCACCATCATCGGTAGTCATCCACTCTGCCATTCCAAAGTCACAGAGTACTAGAGTAGACGATGTAGTGCCGTCGGAAGACTCGATAGGGTCAAGAAGACAGTTCTCCAGCTTGATATCGCGGTGAACCACCCGCGCATCTTCATGCAGGTATCGGATTGCGCAGGCGAGTTGGTACGTATATTTCTTCGCGAGCATCATGTCAAGGCCCTGGCGATTCTGGCGGACCAGGTCGAAAAGGGTGCCGCCAATAGCGAGCTTGGTAAAACAGAAGGTGGCGAAGTCGGTCTCATAAACGGCGTCGAGGGTCAAGACGTGAGGATGGTTTAGGTACCGCCAAACTCGAACCTCATGGTCGAACTCCGCTTGTACTTCCTCGTTTTCCCTCTCGCTGCGCTCGGTAACATTCTTCTTGACGATCTTGACAGCAAGTCGCTTGGTAGCACCGTGCTCCTCCACCTTGTAGGCTTCCTTAACAATACTAAAACCACCGAAGCCAATCTGCTTTCCAAGAACGTAGTCTGTGCCCACCATTTGACCCTCGTCGTCAGGAGACGCGGCCGGCTCGTCCTTGGTAGACCACATGGATAGGAACGTACTGGCGGGTGACTTCCCACTCGAATTAGTAGACCGCCGGTTTCGGGTGGCAGAGCTGCGCAGACTACTGCTACGATCCAAAGTGGACCTGCGAGACTTGCTCCCAAAAGGAGTGATCAACCCCCCAGACCATGATGCGCTGCGATCTTCTGGGGACGCAAATGATTGCGTTGGCGAAGTGATGTAAAGCGGGGACAGCAAAGAGTCCTTGACACTGCCAGGTGGTGTTCGTACTTCTTCAGCAATGGGAGATACTGTCGAAAGCGATGTGAGAGAGGTGGGCTGATCCAACTCAGTGCCAGGCATGGAATCACTGTGTCGTTCGCGGGAGGCTCCGGTCGGGATACCCCGCTCTTCATTCGATCGCTTCGAGTCATCCCCCCACGGGGCAGAAATTGAGTTCATCGAGTCATCGTCTTGGGAGAGGGCGTTTCGGAGGCCTGAGGTCCGGGACTCGAATTTCAGCGGGGTGCGATTCCTTGCATCGCCCTTGGCCAAAGGCTCGTCGAGCGGACGCTGCAAGCCTGACTCAAGGGACACTTTGGGGTTGAAAGTGATGGAGGAGCGACGCGTTTCTAGATAATTGTCTAGGGGAGAGCCCTGGATATCATCTGGCCTATCCGGATAAGAGGAGTTATCTTGCGAACGACCCTCGGCGCGAGGGACTGAGATGGGAGGAGTGGCTGAATGCATTTCACTGAGCACACTGCGGTCTTCATTAGCATCGCGGCAGTGCGCGTTGTGGTCATGATTTATCTTGGTGCGGTCGCTCTCGATACCATCGCCACCCGCTGCCGATCGCCTCCTCCCAGGGTCATTCTCTTCCGGCCATCCTGACCGCTGCTGGTGGAACGAAGTCTCGATTCTCAAGCCTGCCAGAGCGTTTCTCTCCGAGTGCGCCATGCCCTCGATGAGAGCGCAAGTAGGTAGAGTGACGTCGTTCTGGTTTCGAGCCTGCGCAAGGCTTGCAGTCGGGTTCTATGAACCCTCTGCCGCGTGAAATATGATATTGTGTGTTTTTCTGATCTGACGATTTTGGGAGGCGTAGATGAGATGTGGGGCGATAAGCGTTATGAGAAGCGGGGATATGGCGCTAGTTATGTATCGCTGGCAGGCTAGCGGTAGGAGAAGATATGGGGAAAGGGTTTGAAGGTGGAGGAAGTTGTGGAAAATGTGAGTTCGGTGGGCTTTTGAAGAAATGGAAAGTCGAAAGAAGTACTAAAAAAGCAAGGTGAGGTCAGATCAGAAAATCACCAGTGGAGAGATTGGTTGGAGCCAAGCAAGGGCCAATTCCAGCGGAGCATTGGAGCATTTGGAGCATGGAGGAATCGGAAGATTTCGGGTGATGACGGAGGCGCGGTGCCTTGATTGGGACTAGTGGATAGTCACCTGACTTTAGGTCAGGTGACTATGCGCCCCATGGATTGAGGTGATGTCATAGAGATCATAGAGATCATGCGCATCAATTGAATCACGTGACAAGGCGCCAACCCTTTACCCTACTTACCCTTTTAGGCACTTTGGTTTCAGGGGCTCCAAGTCCCCTGATTACATGATTGTAGCCGCGCGCAAGGGGCGCTTGTTTGGACGCAACCTCCTTTTGGACCAGGTCTGGGGATGCGATTCGACCCCCCGACGGTGACCTCTTTTGCGATCATACCCTTTCATTCTTCCTTTCAATGTCGCTCTGGCAGTAGTTCCTTTCTCTCTTTGCCTCCGTGCCTTCCGTGCCCCGTGCTGCAACTGAAAGCGCAGCACCAGCCCCCACCTTTTGTCAAGGCGCAGTCGTTCTTTTTGGGGCAATCACTTCGCCTTCTAATTTCCTGGTCTCCTGGTCTCATTGAGGATTCAATTGACGAGTTCCGGAGACCTTGCCGCCAAGAGCTGAGCAAATATCTCATTCGTCTCTTGTTTATTAAACGCCGATAGTGCTGGTTCAACAATCGCCCCTTGTGTCGACACCTTTGCATCCACTGACTGGCCGTTCCCCGCCAATCCCACGCTCTTTTCGACCTTCAATATGACGAGACCTCAAATGATTCGAGCCGGTACGTTCCGAAAAGCCCCTTCCTTCCCATTCAAACATTATCCCCCTCTCCGTGGCAGGGTGCACTAGTGCTAACACGGCAATGGTTTAGATACCTTGGACCTTCAAAATCACGATACCCCCTCGGCCAAAGATCATACCAAGCAACCCGAACATCCTAATCCACTTGGGGGCGGCCGGCCTGCTCCCCACCAGGAACTTTCTATTCGCCATGCGGAGCAAGACTCCAAGTTGGAGATCTTGAATAGTCCCGCTTCAAACGGCAATCATGAATACCGAGACGGCCTCGATGTGTACGGTGAAGCGGACGAGATGGACGAGGAGATAGGACGCAACGGAGAATACGACCATGAAGAAGACGGTGACTTAGCGGACGGCGAAAGCGACGATCTTATGGACGATGATATGATGGACAAGCTATCTAGTTCTCCTTCCATCGACGATGGTGCGTTGATTGGAGACACTCCTTGACATAAGACCGGAACTAATAGACCGCAGAGGATATCGATTTTGAATTCGTCTACGCGCTTCACAATTTCATCGCGACCGTCGATGGGCAAGCAAACGCCGCCAAAGGAGATACCATGGTGCTTTTGGACGATAGCAACAGTTATTGGTGGCTTGTTCGAGTGGTCAAAGACGGAAGTATTGGATACCTACCCGCCGAGCACATCGAAACTCCCACCGAGCGTCTCGCTAGATTGAACAAACACCGCAACGTCGACCTCTCCGCAACCATGCTTGGGGATAATTCCGAGAAGTCGAAGAATCCTCTGAAGAAGGCTATGCGACGGCGAAACGCCAAAACTGTCAACTTCGCCCCACCGACGTACATCGAAGCATCAGATGTTGAGTACTCTACAGACGAGGAGGATGAGCACGGCGATTTCTTCAATGATGATGAAACGGTCGAGTCGGAGGATGGCGAAGCTCAAGAGCAGAACGAAGATATCGTCGTGGAGCCTCTCCGCACCAAGTCTCAGAAGGAGAAGCTTGCCGAAAGGACTGAGGATACACAAGCGCCTGAAAAGCAAGAACCAGAGCGAACGAGCTCTGAACCAAGACGGTCGAGTGAGGAATTCTTTGATCCAGAAGGTAAGCGTGCAGAGCTCATTCCTGGACTATACTGTGAACGTTATAATCTAATTCCGGGTTCAAACAACAGAACCTACTGTTAGTAGATCCAGAAACGGCACTGTACGCAACACAGATTCTTTCTTCAAGGACGATACCGCCGAACCGAAAAAGATTTCCCTCACGCCTAACCTGCTGCGTGACGAATCTAGCAGCACCACTTTGACGAATGACTGGAAAGATGTATGTCACCCAAGTAAATTCAGACTTAGGCCATCATTAACTGACTATTCCACAAAGCCTGGACGTGGAAGCTTCGAATCTATCGACAAATCTACTTCACATGACAAGAGTAAAGACGACAAGAAGCGCAAGGACAAGAAGCCTGGGATGCTCAGTGGTCTGTTCAAGCGGAAGGATAAGAAGAACAAATCCATCGACGACGATGTCGAGGAGCCTGAACGATCTCCAGCCGAATCTGCTTTCCGAGCTTCACCTCAACCCAAGACATCTTCGGAGTCTTTGTCGCCAGAACAGCGGACTGTCAAGCCACAGCGGCAGACCAGTAACAAGCTGCAAAAGCAACCGCCATCCATCTTGACTTCCACCTCTCGAACTGAAGGACAGGCCGACTCTATGACAGCAGACTCGACAAAGGAAAGAGAGATTCTGATCGGTAATCAGACAGGCCAGTCCATCCGGCGAGTCACATCGCGTGAAACCGACAGCCGCAACGAGAGCCGAGGGGCTGTGGCTTCTCCCATTAGCCAGCGAAGCCCCTCGAAGGAGTCATTTGCCACTCCAAATGAGTTCCAAGACCCGTTCGCTTCTCCTGTTGATCGCCCGTCCAGCGAGGCCCAGTGGAGAGAACCATACGAGTCAACTGAGCGAGCCCAACCTGCTGTGACATCCCCGCCGCAAAGATTCGCCCCGAAGATAGTGGCTAGCCACGCCGAGCCGAGATCGCAATCTCCGGATGACTACTCTCCTATTGAAGAGTCTCATATTCCAATTGCCGCGCCCGGGGTGATCAAGGAAGCCGTATTGAGGGCTCAGTCTATCTCCCCGCCGTCGTCGCCTGAGGTCGACGTCAACGACCTCAAGCGCAGCGAAGCCACTAATATCTCACTGGATACGCTTTCAGTTGACACACCGACCTGGAGTGACGCCAGTCTACGATCTTACCTCGACGAAGAAAACGACATTCGCGACCTTTTCATTATTGTCCACGACAAATCCAACATTCCCCCAGCTGGCCCTGAGCACCCCGTCACTGGCCGTCTTTTCAAGGAAGAAAGCAAACGGCTTAAAGAGATGAACAACCAGCTCGACGAGATGCTTGTCAAATGGATGTCTCAACGCAAGAGGCACTCCAGCACAACACGCAGTGTACAGAGCCCGACTGCATAGTCGATTTGACGTACCACTTAATCCGTTTCCCCAGTTCATCTCTTGATATATTCACCGGGGCTGGCGAGGCTCTTTCTCATCTTCTATAAGATCTATCGATCCCAATAGGAGTTCCAGTGTGCTGCGCACATATACCTGGCCGGTCCTCTTTCATTCTTTATCTCAACTTTCATCATCATATCCTCAATGCCTTTGCGGCATTCATGCCAAATCACTCGGTGCATCCGATCCTTTCGCCTGTCCTTTGTGTCATTCCCTCACCAATGCGCAAGTGACTCGTGATCCCAAATTGATCAACCACCAGCACGACCTTGCGGTGGATGCTTTAACCTGTCCACCTTTGTTGTTTCCTTTTTTGATTTTTTTTTGCCGGAATACCCCCGAGTCATCCGTATTTACTCGTCTGTCGTTTTCATAGTTCTGTTATCTTGGAAAGATGACGTCCCACAATCCCAATCCTTTGAAGCTTTTCAAGATATCCCACTCGTACTGTAGATGATAATCATGGTTGTTCCGAGGTGACCCCTCGATTATACTCTACTCGCACACCTTCACAACGTGATTGGTGTCAGCACATTCCAGGGCCAAGATCCTTACAGTGCAGGGGGTCGTGCGGGCAGGTCAGCCGCACCATGATGTATATAGTGTCCCCCCGTCAGCAGACTCCTTATCGACTCACTGTGTTAATACTGCTGGTCTGTCCTTCTCTCGCCTTTCATATAAGGAGAAAAACGACCGAGAATTCTCTCCAGTTTACAGAAATTCTGCCATCGACTCTCTGCTCACTGATCCATTACCATCATGGCCGATCCCTACAACCCGTACACTTCATACTCAACGCCCACGCCGGGCGGGGTCGGCTACTATCCACCAGAGGAGCAGACCCATTTTCAGGAGCATCAGCAGCAGCCTGGCTATCAACCTCAGCAACCATATGGTAATGCAGAACCACAAGCAAATCCAATCTACGGATATGCTCCGCATCCGAGCACAAGTCCAAGTCCCTATCACCTCGCCCCGGAGGCCTATCAAGGCGGCGCGCAGGAGAGAAGTTACACACCCGTAGGGCAACCACATTACCTCGGTCCGGTCACGACTGCAGTAATGCCACCTGGAAGTGAAGGCAAAGTACCAGAGAATTTGGGTTACTAGTAAGAAACCCGCGCTCGCGGTATAAACCGCATACGCATCGAGTCCAGCTCACTAACATTCACAGTGGCCATCCCGCCGACCAACCACGATACACTCCATCAGCCAGTCCTCGCCCTCCATCAGTCCATGTGTCCGATGCAGACAAACAACATCATCGCAGTGACGAGAATCGTCCGTTAGACGAAGACGTCGACGCTGGGGGTGAACGTGGAATCGGGAGCTCCCTTGCCGGCGGGGCCGCGGGATATTATTTCGGACATAAGAAGGATCACGGTCTTCTGGGTGCGATTGGCGGTGCTATCGTGGGTAATTTCCTTGAAGATAAATTGAAGGATAAGGGTGGTCGACATTCACATGGGCATCATCATGAGCATGGGAGTGGTCATCATCACCATCACCATCATCATCGGCATAGTCGGAGTCGGAGTCACTCGCGGCATCGGGGGGAGGATGATTATTGAACGAGATTGCGATTTTTAGATTGGGAGGTCTCGCGAAGGTTGGAAGGTGTATATGTGGTAGTTAATCTGATGCTCTTTGTACTTGCAGTTGTCCTTTTGGACTAGGCCACAGTATAGCAGGTTGTTTCTTAGATTTTGTGGATAATATGTCTGTGTAGAGCTGAGACGAATAATCGATGTCATTTTGAAAACACCCTGGCTGTAAATGTTGCCTTGCTCATGTGTGATCGAGTTATTCGGAGGACTCCGTCGAATAGATTCGCGGTCTTCCTGCAAACGCCACTGATGAAGGATCACCGGGTCGAGAGGGAGGCTTGTTGCACACTTTTAAAGACAATCAAATATCAACTAAGCAGACTGGAAGATTCGAAAACAATGAACTCATCGCCAAGATCGTCGGGGGTATGCCTCGAAATGCCAAGTAAAAGAGTAAGATGCCGAGACTTCTTTTGGAGTCCTGATAAGACGTCAATTTGCAGTCGGGAGGTTAAGCGAGAGCAAGTGTGGAAATTTGCAATGGTAACGCCATTCCGAGCACTATCAATTTCTTTCTTTGAAGGATTGTAGTCCTGATTTGTTGAATTTCACAGTTGTGACAGCCAGGGACTGGAGATGAATTGATGTCATGTTCTGATTCTCACGCATCTATTGCACTTTATCAATTTTGGGAGCAAATGCAATGTTATGTACTCCGTACTTCCGCCCCCCTCTTGTTGGAGGAGGGCTATGCAAGTCTGAGCCGATAAATAAAATCGTCCAATGAGAAATTTCGTGCAGAATATGAACCTCAACCATGGTGGCACATGCTTAATTAAAGACGTGACAAGGATGCCTTCCCGATATGGAAACTTCGAGTTTTATATCTTTGCCAAGACCCTTAGAGAAGGTAAGATTGGACAAATGGACTAATGATATTGAACGAGAGATATTTTTATTTGATGAGAATAATTTCGTGATAAATGATCCGACTTTGAAGTTCGTCACTCACTTGCTCGTTCAAGAGGCGTTCTCCTGTCTGTATGTACAAGGTACTCCGTATCGATGTTAAAAAAGATAGATTGGTACAATATTGATCTGATTATCTTGAAGAGTGCTTCAGCTGGAAAGCAGCGTGTTCATCAGGCGCGTGGTCCCGTTCGGACAAGTCAGAAAATATAAATAAAAAATCTGCCGTCCTCGTATTCAGCCTTTGAACCACGGGCAGCACGCCCACCTCGTATACGTGCCCGCTAAGACCCGCACTTGCTGATCTGGACCCTGAATTAAGGGTTCAGAGGATCGCAAGTTTATACTCACATGAGCCCAGTCAACAAGTATATTGTGTTCATTTTCAGATCCATAGTCAATGTCTACGCAACTACCTTAGATATCTGAAGAGAGATCGTGGAGTTTGCATGACCCAGCACGATGTTGACTTCCAGGGGCATAGTGGGCCCCCCAAACTTTATCTGAGCTTAGACAATTCTGATCCTTTCAGGTGTGATCAACATAGTAGACCCTTCATATACGGGACTTGGTCTCCATCCGAGACCCCTATTTCTCCAGGAATACGAGTCACCTCAAAAATGTCTCCGCTACGCCTATCCGATTCTGGGCTCAAGTCACGACGGAACTTTGGTTCGCTGATTATTCCTGGAGAAATCCGCAGATGGACCCTCTATGGTCGATCAGGGCTCGCTATGGTTCGATGAGATGAGGACCTTCGATCTCGTTTGGGCTGACAAGTTTGCATTAGCGTAAAGGAACGGCTGTTCCTAAGGCGCTGATTGCATCGCCTCAACTTGAGTTTAATGAGGCAATACGAGCAATGATGGAGTCTGAGAGGCTGAAAACACAAGAGGGTCCCATCGCGCCAAAACAAGGGTCCATTATTGGGGCTCAATCGGTCTTCCTATTGCATCCGATCTGGGTTAAAAAGGTGATCCTCCCCTCTGGCGGCCGGGGGGCATTTCTCAGGTGTCGCTCTTTTCCATATACCCATTCGTCGCCAACTTTCGTCCTCCATTATCCCTCGTTTTTATATTCATTTCAGTCTTTCGTGAATCATAATGCTTTCCAAGTCTTTGACCGTTCTTTTCCTGTCGTCCCTGGCTGCCTCCGCCGCAGTTGAGGTTGAGGAGAGACAGTATGGCAGCTCTGGCAGTGGAGATGACTACTATAACAGCCTGATGAGCGAGCTCAACAGCCTGTAAGTTCTAAACTCCAGCAGATAAATGCACCCATCAGGAACAAATCCGAGTCATGTTGACTGACACTTCAACTAGGGCTACCAACACCGACTATATGGACTATCTCACTGCCTACACCAACATCCCCACCGATTACAGTGCCTACTTGCCCGCCGCCACCGGCTCTGGCTCTAACTCTGGTTCTGGTTCCAACGGAGGTTCCAACGGCGGATCCAACAACGTTCCTACTGTGACCGCCGCTCCCAGTATCTCCATTCCCTCCGGCCTCGGATTCGACATGCCTCCTCCTTCCATCGAGTCTGTGCTCGCCACCGCCATCCCACCTTCCTACCTGTCCCAGCTGGCCAACCCCACGGCTGCCTCATCCATCGTTAGCGAGATCCAGCACGGCCACTACCCTTCGTGGTACCAGCAGCTGCCCGGCAGCGTCAAGGCCTGGCTCACCAGCCATTATGCTACCGCCAACCCTGCTGTCGCGACTGGTGCGTCCTCTGGCTCATCCGGCAGCTCTGGCTCATCTGGCAGCTCTGGATCTGGCGGTGCTCCCCACGGTAACGGTGCTGGTGCTTCTACCGGTGTCCTGGCGACCGGCTTCATGGGTGCTGCTGGAATCCTGGCCGTTGCGCTGATGCTGTAAAGTGTACGATAAGGAATTGGGGCGTCATGTGGTTTGATCTGGCAGGCCCGCTGTCTTTGTTATAAAGTCGGGCGGTACTAAAATCATCTTTTCCTGCGATTAGTAGTACTGTCGCCCAGTTCAAGTTAATTCATTAATTAATCACTTTATACCCTACCTATTTATGCTATCGATAACATACCGCCACACACAATTGTATTTTATTATCTTCATGTGATTTTAAACACATTGAATATGTAGACTAACAAGCGTGTAGACCACTCCTTTTCAGCCTACTAGAATGCATATCCACTTAGCTTTGTCGTTTGGGGTTAGGCACCTCAATACACCATCATGTAACCTCTGCCTGCTGGTCAACTCGACATAAAAGACCCTGACCAACCCTTTCGACTCGGGCATTCCCTTCTCCATACGAGAAAACATTCACTTGTCAAGGTAGGACGTGATGACGGAAATTTTTATTTGGCAATTTCTCACTTGGAGTGAAAGGGCCACATACGCGGACTGGATGGAGCACGACACTCAAAATAAAGTATCTACATTCTCAAATTTTCAATCGACACTACTGATCAGCCTGCTGGCCAGATCAGTATGTTCTTATCATATATTTCAATCACTTGTTGGAGCTGACGGCCATTTTCGTAGCGTTTCAAGGCTTCTGCTTTCCACTTCTCCCAGTGGAAATCACTCGACCTGCCCAGAGCTCCTGGAAGTCCAGCAAACAGACCAAGAAATCCTTCCCTATCTGCGAGGTCGTAGCCGCAACAAAATCGAAATCTGTGGACGAGACGGCCTTTCCTGACAATCCTGCCAAGATCTGGATGCCCCTTTGCTTCGAAACAATTCGCAAAAAACATTTCGTCTTCACCAAGGGAATTATCGCCCGCATAGAAATCAGCAACGGGGTGGATTTGCTATTTATGTGTTTAGTCCTAAAGGCAAATATCGCGTTGATTTTGTTTGAGTCTGTTAGGAGAAACCGAGGAGCATGTTTTATGTAAGTACACGTACACTCAGTAGTGATGATAGTACATAGGTTGGAAGTCCGCATGGAGCAAGTGTACCAGACTAAATCGGAAGGCCGATCCAGGGACTTAATAATCTTAAATTCTTTAACTTAACTAACTACGGAGTACTCCGTAGTTAAATTCCTAATGCTCATTGGTCATTGGTGGTAGGCTCAGGGCCGCTTATCTGGTGAGTCACGGGGGCTAATCTCACGATAAGCTGATAAGCGCCCCGATCGGGTCAAAGATCGTCTGTTCAGCTCTCGTGATGAGGGGATGAGGGACGGATGACTTGTCCTCGCCCTTCGCTTCTCTTGACTTGTTGCTTTTTCCCTTTCTCAGCTCTCCTCACTTCTCTTCCTCTCATCTTAGACTCTCTCTAGACACTTCCCCTAGACCACTGACCTCTCTCTTTACTCTTTCTTTTCTCTCAACTCGACCCGTCTCGTTTCCCGCGGACCCCAGATCGCCCGCTCACTTCCCCAGATCGGCCCTCCCACCCTCGCCGATAACGCAGGTCGCGGACTTTAACCGCGTCCTCGTCTGAACGATCTCAACAGATCATGGCAGTAACTCTACTTCAGTCGCTCATATCAGGGTCTCTACCAGATCACTGCGAGCCTTCTTCGCCATTTCTGACCGCTATCTCCTCCCACCTTCACATCTGCCTACCCACCCCACTCGCGCTGATCTCGTCCGTGCTCGGCACTCTCAGCATCGTCTCGTGGCTGTTCGCACAACTGCCGCAGATCTATAAGAATTATCAGCTGCAGTCAACTTCGGGGTTATCAATATTCTTTCTGATCATTTGGTGTGCTGGAGACGCGAGTAACCTCCTCGGGGCACTATTCACCCGCCAGGCGGGATGGCAGGTCGTGGTTGCGAGCTACTATGTCTTGGTCGATGTCACACTAGTGATTCAGTTCTTCTGGTACACTCATTATAAGTCGCGCCGGTATGCGGGGTACAACGAGGTGCCATACCCGCATGACCACCATTCTCGAGGCGACGTTCTGCAGGGGGTGGCTTTGTCCGGCGACGATGCGACCCACCAGGCGCCGGCACCGGTGGATATGACGCAGAAGAAGTCGGAGGTTCAGGATATGGGTGTGCAGACTGGTTCAACACTCAACTCGAACCTCGGTCGCACGCCGCCATATAACACTGAGAAATTCAGCTCCTCGCGCCGATCGGTACGAGTGGCCAGCACCTCGACAAGCCCGCCGTTTGCACTGCCCCGGACAATGCTCATCGCCTCCTTGGTCTGCGCTGTGGTAGCCAAGGCCAGCCCTGCACACCCCACACCATCGCCATTGCCTCACCCACCCATTTCTCACGCCCCTCGTGAGGCTATTATCGAGATCGTGGGTCGCATTTTCTCCTGGATGTCGACCATTCTTTATCTCGGCTCGCGGCCCCCACAACTCTATAAGAATTACCGCCGCAAGAGCACCGAGGGTCTTTCTCCATTACTATTTATGGCTGCTTTCAGTGGAAACCTCTTCTACTCTTCCTCCCTCCTAACCAATCCGAATGCCTGGGCTGATTTCCCTCCATATGGCGGCGGTGGCTGGGCCGATGGACACGGCAACGACCGGTGGGAGTGGATCGGGCGCGCAATTCCGTTTTTCCTTGGTGCATTTGGAGTACTTGGTTTAGACGGATTCATGGGTGTTCAATTCCTTATGTACGGTCCTCAGGATGTCGATGACGAGAGTGTAATTGATGGGGACGATGAAGATCCCAAGCGTGGCCGTGGCCGATGGCGCCGTGTGCGCGGCTGGATGCGCGGCTGGATCCCTTCAACTTCTCCCACACGCAGCGAATGTGAGCGTGAATTCCTTCCGCAGGAGGGACAAGCTCTCCTTGGCTCAGACCGTGGTCGGTACGGGACTGTCTGAGTCTGCATGATGCATTTTGCGTATTTTTGCCTTTTTGGAATTCTCCGTCCTCTGTTGGAGTGAGGCGGATTATGATACATTACGATTTCATGACCTTGTGATTTTTGATCTCACCCACTTGAGACTTCATTGCGTCGCGCATTGCTTTCCTGCCGTTCTTCCTGGTTTTTCTCTCTCGTCTTTCGTTATTACTGCATTGTTTTGTACTCGGCCACTTGAGCCTAGCCCATATCGTGATTATGCATTTCGGGTTCCCTCGGGTCACATATGGTCCCGGCGTTGTCTTTGTCTTTGTTGGTTTTTGGGCTTAGGGAGAGACGAATAGATACATGGGCTGTTGTACCACTAGACTTTAGTGCTGGGCCTTCGGTCAGAACCTTGATTCTGTCTGGCCCTCAGATTATACATATCCTTCAGCAATCGAGGTGTTGATTGTCTTATTGAAAGCATCCTCATGAAGTTCTCCTAAATCTGTACGTGTCGTAACTAGCAATACAGTACTTGAGAATGAAAGTGAAATACATGAATTGAGGCTGAGAAATCAACATGGTAGTAGCGGATCTGATAATGCAAATCCGTAACAAGGGAAAGGAAACTGGATGCATCGCATATCGAGAATCTCGTTTGACCACTGCTTGTCTTGGGCGATAGTAGAAGAAGCTAAGAGAGGATATGATAATGCAAATGCGAAAATCGGATCTAACGAAAAAATCGGGGATCCAACGAAAAACCCGGGTGCATCGCATATCAAGAATCTCGTTTGACTATTGCTTGTCTTGGGCGATAGCTGAAGAAGCTAAGACAGGATTTAATAATATAAATGCGAGACAACGAAAAATCGCAGTCAACAAAAAAGTCACAATTTAGCGAAAAACCCGGATATAGCGCCTATCGAGCACCTGGTTTAACCACTACTTCTCATAGGTGGTAGTAGAAGAAGCTAAGAGAGGAGCTAATAAAGCAGATGCGAGACAACGAATAATCAGATTCAACGAAAAAAACGGGATCCAAGACCAATTCGCCTTACACGCATGGTCAATACAAAAACAGCTATAAACATAGATCCTTGGCCTCACACCTCAGAGACAGTAATAGTCTCCGTCACCACTTCCACCTCAACCTCCACATCAGGCCCGACTACAACAGCCGACTCCACAGTAATGACCTCTGTTACAGTCTCACCTGGAGGTGATTTCACGGTAGTAGTAATCCCTTTGATAACACCATCATGGTACGCATCCTTAATAGCCTCAAACCAAACCTTAGCCATCTTCGCATAGCCAGCATCACTCGGATGAGTATCATCCGATTTACCATCAACAGTGTAATCCTCGGGCCAAGTAAGCGCCTTCTCCATCTCCGCCAACCGGATCGAAGTGCCTTTCTTGCTCATGGTGGTCACTACTTTGCGATATTGCTCGTTCACAGCGTCTCGGTGGGCTTTGATTTCTTTTTGGTTCGAGGGGATGAGTGTTGATAAGATGATTGTTGCTTTTTCCATGGTCTTCTCTTTCAGGATGGCTTCAATCATTTTTTGCATGCGATCGCCTGCACCGGTGATGTCGAGGTTCAATCTGCAGTCGTTTGTTCCGGCGTTGATGAGGACTACATTCGGCTTGTCTGGGAGATGTGGGAGAGCCTCGATGGCGGCGGTTTGGACCTTGGCGATGGTATATCCAGGGTAGCCCTCGACGTTCTGCAGGTTTCGGGGTATATTAGTCTTTCATAAAACATATTAGATCTATGAGAGAAGGTGCACTTACATTATCAGTCATGTTTCCATTTTTCTTGGTGCCCACCATATCCACGTCCCAGCCATCAGACACCAGTTCGTCCCGAAGAGGCTTGCGATAGCCATTACCAGATTGAGAGTGTTGACCCCAGGTGATAGAGGCGCCCAGCGGCCATACTTTCAATTTGAACGGCTTATGGTTGTCTCTTTCCAAAATATCACTATTTTCAAGTCAGCTGAGTGAACAGTCGAATCTCGGGTTGGAGATCATATCATACCTTGCAGGAGAGGCCGCTGGGTAGCCGCTAACGCTTGCAACCAACAAAGAAAGAGATATCAAAAGCGAGACCAGCGGCCGGGAAAGCCCCGCGCGTGAGTTGATCATGTTTAGTGACTTTGCTAGCTTGGACTCGAGTATACAAGAGGTCTCTGGGGATATAGTCACTCTGGGTCTGTTATATGTTTACTTCAGAGCAGCCTTCCATCGTGAAACGCAAGCCAACTCAGCGCGGAGGGAGGAGACGAAAATAGAAAATAAGGGTCCACGCTTATTTTAGGGCGAGCAATCCTGAAAGGAGGATTTAGTCCACTTGGCCTCATCCTGTAGGCTGTGCTGAATGCCCTAGTTGACCTTGGAAGCTGACCTCGAAGAAAACGGCATGTTTCAACCTACAAAATAGAGACCAGTCCATCGTCAAAGTACAATTTCTCTATCTGGTTGGTATATCTATACTGTTTCGTGATATTCTAGAATCTGAGCAGTTCTATGGTCTCTTGTATAATCAGGGTCTTGTCAATCTGACTGGTATCTGCATGTACTCGAACCTACTATAGCAAAAGGCCCCCGAGTTGGGCCAGGACCAAGCTTTCCCGTAGAGTCGAAGGCTCTTGATCTTCAGGGGCCAACAACACCTTTCGAGATTCGCCGTGTTTTTTAGATAGACATTTAGATTTCTGAGACTCAAAAATGTTCCAAGTGAAGCTTGTGTTGGTAAGTATTACGGGCCAAGATGCTAAGAATACCCCAGTGTTGGTGGGGGCCATCCATCTCACGAGGCTCACGAATTTACCCCCACACTCAATCCCCTGGGTGGCCTTGGATTCTACACACCTTTCTGGCTGATGAGATGAGGATAGTTCAACTAATGTTTCCAAATATCTATTTTAATGCGTTGGTAGCTGGCTGACCTCTGCGACGAGGAATATTTGGTGAAAGGGCGAGAAGGGATTACTCTGGCATCTTGTACTCGACGGGCTGCCCCGAATACTGCGTGGGGCGAGATTGATTCTGCCTTGATTGTGCCTTGGTAAACTGGTGTACCTTTTTCAAAGATCCTGCGTCCAGCTCAGGGGCTGAACAGATGTTGCGTGGCTGCGAACAACCCTTGAGAATTGGGGACTATCGAGAGCACGTCAAGAGCTGAATGACGGGTCGTAATTGCTGATGCGATTTCAAAAGCCTAGCCGAAGTTCAGCCGCTGCCTATAGAGAGTCACATCATATACCATCTACCGCAGTGCTTCCATCTTGACCCCAAGGAATGGACTAGGCGTGTTGATCAACAATCAAACAAAGACTAGAACACTAGCGGTTGACAAAAGCATACAATCTACAGCCCACAAGTCAGGCTGAGCTACGAAAGCGTATCATATGAAGAGCTCCGTCTAATCTAATGTCTAATCAATCATGAAGTAATTTTTCCCTTAATCACTTCATGCAATGTTCTCATCGCCATTCTTTATGGGGGCTCTAGTGATACTTGATTTTTGTTTGAGGACTTCGCGCCGTGAACGGACGCGGTTCTACCAAATCAAATAGTAATTCTGGGTCCATTTTCAGCCTCAAAGTACTTTTCGTGCTTGTGAAACAGCCAAGCAAGGATCTTCATCGTGCTAAAGATCGTAAGTGTGATGGCATGCATATACTAAATCGTCCACGGCAGTTTCTCTGGCGAGGCTCGGGTTTTCCACACTCCATATAACTAAACAATTGCGAATGCATCTCGTCGGAAAGAGCGGCTCAACACTTCAAAGTCTAATTTATTTTGATAGGTCTGATCTCGCTATAGCTTAAATAATAGCTAAATCTTCGAGGGTTGCCTCTCAAATCATCAATACGAGGCTAGGCTGAATTGATCACTGCGGTACTTTTTCTCATAGCAAAAACAAGGCTCGCTTCCCACTGGCAAACGCCCCACATATGTGATTGGAATCATTCAATATGATCATCGACATCAATGCAGCATACTTGGGGCCAATACAACACGCTAGTAATTATAAGACCCAATCGCGGCAGCTACGGTCCAAGTGGATCCGAGCCTGCCCTCAGCCTGCCCATTGATGAAACGATGGAAGACCGGCACACCAGAAATCGCAGTACAGTAACATTAAATACACAAAATATCCTCGTCTCCTCTTTGCCCGATCATACCCCTACATCTTGTTACCTAAAGCCTTTACAATGAGTCTCAGCTGGCTCCCATGGCCTACACGGCGTCTTCACACAGCCGTCCAAAGCAAAACAACATGGGGATATGTTATTTACCGCACAACCTACACTCCCGACTCAGACGTCACTTTTCCCCGCGTCGTGGATCTACTCAACTCCTATATCAAACACGGGCTATACTCGGAAAGCACATCTTCTCAGAGCAATACATCAAGGCAAACGAACCCAGCGCCGTATCATGAGATTTGGGCCCGCCACGATCCGATCATTATGGATGATGCATTGCAATTCGACGGTGTATCAGCCGATGCTATTCAGGCGCATTTTAAGTCTTGGTCCCGTACACAAGAGAAGAGTGGTTTCTCGACTGATTATCGGATGTGCATGATTTTGGATGAGAGGTCTTTGCAGGGATTGAAGGATTTCCCACCTCCGGGAGAGGACTTGGATGGTGAAAAGAGAATGCACCCGATACAGTATGTCACGGTGATTGAGACGCAGCCGGACAGTGACGACGAATACGATAGTTTTATGGGTGGTTAAGGGGGGAAATTTGGGCATGCTTCCCCGTTCTATGTAGTTATACGTCTCCTGGGATGTCCCGAATTGGGCAATCGATGAGGTTGAGGAAGCCTTGCTGGGATTTGCCAATATGAAGATAGATAATGTTTGAAAGACCTCGGTCTGATGAGTGTTGTCAAACGGATTGCTCATGATTTATGATTTTCACGATTAATGACGATGCGTTGGAGGATTTATCTAGTATTAAAAGCCCGAAGACGAAGGGCATCAGTGCCTCTAGGATCCAATTCTCTCTGGACGCGTCTATCTAGCACAAACAATGGAATGTCAAACAATCTGAAATAAATAGATTCTCTTCCACCATGAATCGAACCCTCAACCTTCTCTTCCCCTATATACCTCCCCATGTTACTCCATCGCCATCCACCATGCCGGAGTACATCACCCACTGCCAACGCGATGCCGCTTATAATGAACAGCGCCCTCTTTATATCCCCGTAACACCTTCAATTCTCATTTTTTTAAGTCCTAATAAATAATAGTACAAAAGCTGACAATGATCTTCATAGTTAAATAAATGACAAAAAACTTGTGCCGCGGGGAGATGGCAGCCACCTCCTCGCATCCCGCCCGCCCACTCTCCCTCGCCTAGGGGTGTGCCCGGCCATCCGCGGAGCTATACTCACAACGGTGGCTATGTACTTATTTTTGTTTGCCCTTGGGGGCACACCCAGAGGTCACCGCGTGGGGTGACCAACTAGGCCAATCCGAGGGGGGGAGTGATTGTTTGACCTGGTATCCGGTGATAAGTCCTACTTTTGAAAGTTTACTTATACTGTATTTTAGGTTCTTCTCATCGTACCAAGATAGTAATACATTATATTCACTATGTACCATGCTTCCAACACTATAAACGTCTATTCTGTAGAAGGGGGTAGCCTTGATGAATAAATCCAGCCGTAATGCACACAGAAAAAGATCTTGCTTGGAGGACTACCTCGAGGTCCGACTCACGCCCTGGGACTCCGTTGCATCTGACTCTCAATCTGCCCAAACTCGCTGCGCGCTCCTCGCTATGTCCATGCTCACTATAACCGCGCTCACTAAAGCCTCGATCACTACTGTCCAACTCGGAGTGCGGTGAAAAACTCCCATGTAATTCCGGCGTGTAAGTAGGTAGCTCCACGGGCTCCTGTTGAGGCGTCTTCTTGAATATGGACCCACCGCGGGTGTGACCAGCCGAGGGCAGCGTAGACACAGCCTTTTGGTTTCTCCTCCGTCGAACCCAGAAGAGGAGACTGAGGATGATCGCGATGATAGCTGCTGCTGCGACGCCGACTCCGATACCTGCTTTCGCGCCTGTGGAGAGACCGGTTGATGTGGATGCGCCTCCTGTGGAGGTAGATGTGGATGTCGCGGAGGTTCCAGAGGAGGATGTTAGTTCAACCGTGGCGGAACTTTTCACGCCTCCGTCCACGCTGTCGGTGGATTGCCATCTTAGTTCGATGGGGTATGCGTGGATGATAGGGTTTTTGTAGGTGATTGCGGTCGTAGTCGTTGGGGTTGCGCCGAGGATAGTGAACTCGAGCACGGTGGTCGTGGTGCTTATCTTCGTACAGGGCTCGGGGGTCCACCAAGGTGCTTGGAGTTGAGTTGCGAAGGCGTATCCTCTATTTGAATCAGAAAGGTTAGCTATGATGGGGGACTTCGCATATGGTAAACAGGATTCGGCAGGAGCGTCATACGAAGGACAGCATCTCGCTTGAGTCTCTGTAATACCCAAACCACTTGTGACAACATTGGTATCATTCACAGTATATCCAGTCGGGCAATATAAGCCTGGTGAGAACCAGGTGGCTGTTGTGGCCCATCCGGAGGGATAACAGTTTGTGTCGGTTGTTTGGACGATGTTGTACAGACCATCGCAGGTACTTTTCGAGCAATCCGAAGAAACCAAATTCACGCTTGTGCACGAGGCCGGGGGTGTAAACACCGTCGTCAACGGGATAGCTGCCGATGTGGCAGCAGTGGCTGTTGTCATGTTGGGTGATGTTGTGCTGTTGTTACAACATCATGGATGAAGAAATGGAAATGACGGCACTGAAAGCGGATCCGTCGGCCTTGAAGAACTCGCAGAGGGGTTGGGAATGCATCGTTTGATGGCTAAGCCGGTCGCAAAGCCCCCTAGCTCAGGCTGTGCCTACCTAGTATGTAATGATATATGGGGGCCAATACAGAGCTCTTGGCTTTTCAAAGATTACATAGTACATTATTAGCAAGCGGGTTCCCTGGAGCCTCTCTATGCGAGACATCATGCATGATTGGACAGGCTTCCTTAGCAACAGTAAAATCAAGGAACCCTAGTCTAAGCAGGGATCTCGCATACAGCTAGAAGTATTGTAAGATAATCTATGATTTGGCGTATAAATCGGGCGCACAGCAAGTGTGGATTACAATTTGCCCCCAGGTCAGTTAGCCTGGACGGTCGTTACCAAAACAACTCCAACAAAGTAATGAGTGCGCTCCGCCCCGCTGAACAGGGTTCTCCATTGGCTCTCATAAATATCTAGAAATCCCATTGTCCATCCTCATTTCACAAGCTGAATGGTGCTCTTTGCCTAGAAGAGTATATGTAACATTGTTTACCGGCAGCAAGTGGTTTTGGAGATCAACATGAAAAATCTTTTCGCCCGAATGATGCCTTTGCTTTTTCTTTCACATGGGCCATGGAGACCACAACGTGGCTAAAGCTTATCTTCGAGCCATTGGCTGAGACTATCTGGCATCAAACTCATGTCCGGGCCAAAGAATGTGTCAGTTTCATGCTGATTATGTCCGGGGAGCTTTGGTGGCACAGCAGTCCCTATTCAGTGTCTGTCATTATTCTCGACTACTATACTCAGCAATTGCCATATCTTTCTTAATCAGGCAATGCGCGACCGCTAAGGGTTCAAAACTAGGCCCACCAAGTGGAATAATACAGGGGCCATCCCATCCACCTTTGTATCCGTCAGTCAGCCCCCTAATACAGAGTGTATTGGCCCCCAACATGATCGGCATTCGGTTCGAGAGAGGCTGAGAGCAGAATTTGGAATGATCATGTCTTCATATGTATCTCTGTTTCTTATAATATGAACTCGGTATTGGTAATTTTCAAGGAAGAGACTGCTCATGGTTATAGAACAAGCCTATAGTTCACTTAACACAATCTGATAAGGCGACAGTTTGTCCGGGGGTGACGTGATAAAGCTTAACTATGGAATCAGTATTGCACCAGTCTCCTTTCGATCAGCCTCAAGACCTGTTATCACATTTATCGGTGCGATACTTCGCCTCGGTTGATTAAACCCGTAGGATATTGACATTTCAATCACTCATCTAATTATAAACAAAGTATATCAAGAAGGTAGTAGAAGGAGACATCAGCCCACCATAATGCAGCCTCGCCTCTTCTAGCGAGTAGATAGATAGAGGCTAAAGGTAATGTGTGCAAGCGCCGTCGTATGAAAAGCCAACTGTCACAATGCGGAATTTCGAGGGAAAAAACAGCAGTGTGGAAAGCTGGGAAGAAGAAAATAGCGGGAGCTGGAACCATCTGTGTCTTTGCCATTAAGAAAGATGGAATCGACATAGGATAGTGCCAGCTCCATGAAGAATGTAAAGGGGGGAAAGACAAGAAGTGGAAGCCACCCTGTACCAGAAGCAACGGGCAACAGGTAAAGCAATATTAGGCAAGATTCTAGGCGACAAAAAAGTGACAGAGAAAAAGGGCAAAGGGACATGAACTAGAAAAGGAGCATCTGTATGCGAGGTCCATAAGAACGGAATTCGGGGATAGACATCTCCAAGGGAACCAAAAGAGGATCATATGGAAAACAGGGGCATATTCATTCGTTGCTTTGTTCGAATAATTCATGACCGGATCTTGGGTTTCTTTCTTCGTTCCTTCAACTAGCACTGTCGCATTCTGTTTGAGTTCGCAGCTACCGAGAAAACAGCAATTTCTGCTTCGTCTGGTCTAGAAGTTTCAGAGCATCCGAGCAAGAAAGTACTTACTGAGCGACCAAATAGGAATGGAGCAGACAGGAAAGCAAAGGGCAGGCATTGTGAAGTAATAAGCCGCGGCACGGTGTGACCAGCACTAACCAGGACCGTGTAAAAAGCTCCAAGCGAAAGAGCCAATCCAATAAAAATGCAACTCCCGAGGCAATATCATATAACGCGGAGGGTGGATGTCAAACTAATATAATGGCGATTTGACGTCTTGAACTCCGCGACGGATGACATCCTCGAGCCGCCAGCGGGGAGGAGTGAAGTTAGCACTGCGCTTGCGGTGCCACTCTTTCTCCATCTCTGGAGGGGGAGCCATCTCCTCGGCGGGAGGCAGCGCACCACCAGCGATACCGGTCGAGAACTTCAATTGCAGAACATTGCCAATTTCATCACAGGCGGTAAGGACACGGTCGAGGTCGTCCTTGGTATGAGCGGCTGAGACGCAGAAACGAGCACGGGAAGAGACCAGGGGAGTAGCGGGGTAGCCGACAACCACGACCGAGATTTTGCGACGCAGCATCTCGTGCGAGAAAGCGGGCATCTTGGCGGGGTTGAACAGAAGGACAGGGATGATAGGTGAATCATCATGACCGTAAACGATAAAGCCGAGACGCTTCAGACCGAGACGGAGGTATCGGGAGTTGAAAGCCAATCGCTGCAGACGCTCCTCACCCTGGCCAGGAACGAGCTCACCGTTGATGATGCGAAGAGCGGAGGAGATCTGCATGAGGACCGCAGGTGCGGGAGACTCGCCATAGAAGATACCAGAGTTGGTGGCCCGGAGCTTGTCAATCATGACCTTGTCTGCGGCGATGTATCCACCGTTGGCACCGAATGACTTGGTCAAAGTACCCATCAGAACATCAACCTCGGCAGTGTCAATACCGAAGTAATCGCAGACACCACGGCCCGCAGGACCGATGGCACCAATAGAGTGAGCCTCATCAACGAACAGGTTGAACTTGTAGCGATGCTTCAGGGCGACCAGACCAGGAAGGTTGCACATAGATCCCTCCATAGAGTAGAGACCTTCCACAACCACCAAGATCTTCTTCCAGGGACGGTGAGTGCGGGGCTGACCTTGAGAGATAGCCTCACGAAGCTTCAGTTCCAAGTCCTTCATGTCATTGTGCTTGAACATCGCAATCGAGGCACCGGAGAGACGAGCGCCGAAACGGATAGAGGCATGGTTCAATTCGTCAGAGATCAGGAGATCACCCTTGCCAACAAGAGCGGGGAAGACGGTGGCATTGGTGCCGAACCCCATGGAGAAGACCATGGATGCCTCCTTGCCAACAAAACGAGCAATAAGATCCTCGACCTCGACGTGGAGATCTTGAGTACCAGCCTCTGCGCGAGTGCTAGGAGTGGCGATTCCGTACTTCCGAACCGTGTCTTCCGCAATGTCCGCACAGGGTCCCTCTGACTGAGCGAATCCGAGATAGTTGTAGGAGCTCAGGTTCAGAGTATCGGTGGTGGTTCCGGTCAGGTGGAAGTGATGGTTGTGATCATTGGTCCCCCGGTCGATCAAAGTGATGGTACGTCCAGGAACGCCGGTAACGGGGCGCTCAAAACAGTCGTTGATGCGCAGTTTCAGACGACGCACATAGAAGTTGTCAAAGTCGCTGTTCAGAGCACCGTAGCCATTGCGAGGTTTCAGGTGTCGGTAGTTTTCCTCGCGGAAGCGCTTGCCGAAGAAATCACGGACGTGACCAAAAGCAATTAGGATTAGATAACTGATGTAGGTAGTGAGCAAGTAATAATACGGAGGCTCATCCATCACCGGCTCCGGGAAGTCACCGCCAGGGTGCTGGCTGGAGTACCGATGGCTGGGGTGACCGATAACGCCGAATTGAGCATGGGCCTTGGCCTGTCGGCGGGCCTCCTCAGGAGTCGGGGGCTGAAAGAGTGTAGTCGGCATTTCGTCCATAGCAGGGTTGTCCGCAGTGGCAGTCGACAGAGAGATCGTCGGTAAGGACAGTGATGCCGAGCTGATCGGCGGAGGAGCGTTATTAGGGTTGTTGCCACTAGTCGACAGAGACGTGACCAGTGTCGATTCCTTGTTTTTGGGCGAGGATGAGAAGAGCTGGGATAGGCGATTGGACTTGACTGAAGGCGCCTTGATGGCAATACCGCCCTTTCCCAAGGAAGGCGAAAAGGACGGTGAGTTGGTAGAGGTGTCGTTGGAGGGGTTGTTGCTGAACCGGCGAGGCATCGCAGAGGGAAGCAGCGAAGCAGTTCCGACGGTGGATGCTCGACAGGTTTTTACCGTCGGAGTTGAGGAACCGGGTGGGGGGGGGTAGGTTCTCTTCGCGCAACCAGTTCGACAAATTGAGGCAGGGACTACCCACGGCAGGAGTAGTATGAGGGTTTTGTTTTCGCGAGATTCTCAATCAGGACCTCGATGTTCAGTTAGAGTGTGACAACAACCAGCGACGGAACCTGGGAGGCGCAGGATAAGACGTGTTAGTCGACAGGAGCTACCAACGATCGATGGTTGACCGAACAGTGAGGTTTGGGAGCGCAGATTGGATTGCAGGAAAAAGAGAAACAGGGGAGCAAAGCCCGTAAGATTTCCCTGGGACGTACCTCGAAGTTGACGTCGCGGTTAGCGGATCCGAAGACCTCCGGGCAGGGCTTGGGTGAAAAATTGTGGCTTTTGCACGTGGAATGGGGGGCAAAGGAGAGGAAAAGAGGGGGCACAGGGCCCAATAACGAAGAGGCGATTCTGTCAGTCTCGTTGCCCTGAAATCCACGTCGTTGGAAGGTCAAACACAACTGAAGGGGAAGAGGAAGGAAGGGAAAGAAGGAGAAGGCGTAAATAACGTCCTCGATGAGTGTCCCATCATCATGCACTTCGATGCGGACCTCCTGGTATTAGATTGGAACGTGGCTGATACCACATTACGAGGGCTGAATGCACAGTAAATGGGGCCATTTTGTGTGTGCTTACTAAGTGGATCCCGTAATATTACCATTACCATACCAACAGGCCAGACTTTTTTCGTCCTTTGGGCACTTTGGATCCACTCAAAAGGGCTCCAATAATTGCAACTTTGTAACCAGGATGGAGAAGATTGTGGGATCAGGGACTGGTAGGCTGATCAATTCTTGTCTGCTTCGGACTCCGTAGAGTCCGTACAGTATGCCACCCCGAATCCACCAGGAATCCTCTCGTGCTACATACTGTCCATCCAGCAAGCATATGTACAGACTAACTTTTTACCCCTGACATGGGCACATCATAGCCAATTGGTCCATATGGATTGTGAATTTGACTGCTCAATAATGGTTAACACAGAGTCACAGACTCACCCAACTGACAAGGCCGTGCATCATCTACATTGTGGCGTTCAATATCCCGATCGATATGGCGGTGCTACTCGCCGGCTTGCTAGCAAAAAGGGGCTAGTAGTTAGTAGCTCCTCCCAGTGCCCAGTGCGTATCCCGTAGTACAGGAGCCTGGAGGACGGGGAGTACGAGTACGGAGAAGTGTCAGTGCATTATGGTGCGCACCTTGCTCCGTACTTGTCATTGGCAATTGCAGAACAAGATGGTAGTAACATTGATGTTCGCCGAAGCCATGGCCCGGTTCGGGCTTGAAACGGACGATTTAGTGGTCAGTGGTGAACCCGACCAGACAGGGCCGTGTAATCAGGAATTATGAGGATAAATGACTATGGGCACCGAGGCCCAAAAGTATAAATCTGTAACCTCGAGAGCCGCGGTTCCTGAGTCTTGTGGGACGAATCAGTTGAGACTCGTCATTGAAAGGACAAAAACGGTCGAGGCCTGATAGCTGTGCATGAATGCCTGAGGCATTAATTCCATGCCTGAGGCGCCATCAGTTCACCCGCCTTCCGCAGTTAATCCCGCCTCCATGACATGTGCTGAAGTCAAGATCAGTATCGAGAGGGTGTTCTGGACATGTCTACATAGGTGAGATTGTAAAGAGAGGTGCGGTTCGTCACAGAGATTCTGAAAAAGCTAAGATCTCCAATCACCCTTTTATAAAGTACGACCTAAACCTGGCATTCTCCTCTACCCGCAAAGCCGCGGGGATCATCGGTAAACGGATACCCGTCTGGTGCCGCCCCATGATCCCTTGTTGGGGCAATTGCAGCTTGTGAATTTGCCCTTTTCAAGTCAATTGGAGTCCCACCCCTGCACAGTCCCTCCAAGGCTTAGAGGTACCTGATATAGAGCGTTGGGGAAAGATTTTTCTCGGCATATCAATCGGGTGGCCCTCCCACCGTGAAGCATATTGTTCCTACCCATTGGTGGAGAACCCCGACGTGGAAAGTGCCAAAAACAAAGATTGCGGTTACATCCCTTCTTGACGTTCTCTTCCTTCTCCTCTATCTTCTTCTCTCATCATCTCTTTCCAAGAGTTGTGGCCAATTTTTTTTCTGTGTGTGATATCGCTGTAGTATACTTGCGTTCACCATGCCACACATTGACGAGACCATCACGCCCGAGGTGAAGGAGCTCTGGCGGCCTTCATCACCCGAAAAGACGCAGATATATGATTTCATGACCAAGGTGAACAAGAAACACGGTCTGTCTTTAAATGATTACGATGCTCTCTGGAAGTGGAGCGTCTCAGAGCCGGCCCAGTTCTGGGAAGAAATCTGGCACTATACACACATCAAGGCCCACGAGCCATACACGAATGTGAGTCACATCGTACTAACTGCTCAATTGATAAGTCGAAATAGATACTAACGTATCCACAGGTCCTCGGGTCTAAGGAGGTGATGTTCCCTCGGCCTGGATTCTTCGAAGGGAGCACTCTCAATTTCGCCGAGAATCTCCTTTACCCGGCTAATGCGCCAAGCGAGGACTCTATCGCCATCATTGGCGCCACAGAGGCGGACCGTGAGCTCATCTCGTGGAAAGAGCTTCGTGAGCGTGTTCGTCAACTCGCCAATGCTTTGATAGAGGCCGGTCTGAAGACGGGTGACCGTGTGGCAGGCTTTGTCGGCAACCATGCGAACACTGTCGTCGCGATGTTAGCCTCGGCATCAATTGGCGCTTTTTGGACAGGCGTGTCTCCTGATACGGGTGTTCACGCAGTACTTGAGCGTCTCAAGCAGATCGAGCCTAAGATTCTGTTTGCGGATAATGCCTCGCTTTACAATGGCAAGGTGCATGGATCTTATGCCAAGGTCCGCGAGATTGTCTCTGAGTTGCCCGATCTAGAGCTCCTAGTCGTTTTCGACACTGCCAAGCCCGTAGACTTTAACCTCGAGGGTGTCCGTCCGGCAAATGGAAAGGTCATGACTTTGGAGGAGTTCCAAATCGCGGTCCGCGATCAGAACGCCCCCCTCGAGTTTACAAGCTTGAAGCCCGAGCATCCAGTCTATATTCTCTATTCATCCGGAACCACAGGCGCACCCAAGCCCATTGTCCATGGATCATTGGGCACACTGCTTCAGCACAAGAAGGAGCATCTCCTCCACTGCGATATTCGCCCCGGCGATCGGCTCTTCTACTTTACTACGACTACTTGGATGATGTGGCACTGGCTTGTCTCTGGTTTGGCCAGTGGTGCTACCATCGTTCTCTATGACGGCTCGCCATTCCGGCCATTCGACGTCGAGGGTGGGAATGGAGAGATGGCTATGCCCCGTCTCATCGATGAGCTCCAAATCACCCATTTCGGTACATCAGCCAAGTACCTATCCATGCTGGAGCAGGCGGCTCTTAACCCACGCAAGCATGCCCACCGACCTGTGACTCTGAAAACCCTAAGAGCAATTTTCAGCACTGGGTCACCCCTGGCTCCTTCGACCTTTGAGTATATCTACTCCTCCATCCATCAAGATATCATGCTAGGTTCTATCACCGGCGGTACAGACATTCTGTCCTTGTTCGCCTCTGGATGTCCAATCCTGCCCGTCTACAAGGGTGAAATCCAATGCCGATCTCTCGGTATGGCCGTGTCAGTCTTCGACTACGCAGGAAACGATATCAGTGCCTCTGGCGAACCTGGTGATCTGGTCTGCACTACGCCTTTCCCAGCACAGCCAGTCATGTTCTGGCCTCCTGGACCTACTGGCCTTGAAAAGTACCGAAAGAGCTACTTCGACGTGTTTGGTCCTACTATCTGGCACCACGGAGACTTCGTTCGCATGAACCCCCAGACCGGCGGTGTTGTCATGCTGGGCCGCAGCGACGGAGTTCTCAAGCCATCCGGCGTCCGCTTTGGCAGTGCAGAGATCTACAATGTCCTGCTCAAGCACTTTGCCGACGAGATTGAAGATTCTCTGTGCGTTGGACGTAGACGAGATGGCATCGACACCGATGAGACGGTTGTCCTCTTCGTCAAGCTCGCGCCTGGATGTCCCTCTGATATCAAGACGCTTTCTGCCCAGATTCAGGCCATTATCCGCAAAGAGCTGAGTGCTCGTCATGTTCCTGGTGTGATTGATGCTTGCCCGGAGATTCCTGTCACTTCCAACGGCAAGAAGGTCGAGAATGCGGTGAAGCAGATTCTGTGTGGACTCAACATTAAGATTGGAGCAAGTGTGGCTAATGCTTCTTGTCTGGATTGGTATCGCAACTGGGCCTCGGAGCACCCGTGATTATGTTTCCTTTTCATAGCTCGGATAGACAAACCTAGTAATAATGTGCAATAAACATCTTTTCGGAATCATCTTGTTAAGTCGGAGGCCAAAATATGTCATCGTAGTTCTAGATCATGGAAATTTGGTCAGCAACATATAATCTGCGACTGTTCCAGTCTTCTTGGATGGCTAGACCACGAAATTGGGCATGCTTGATAATTTTACAAATTACTCTCCTTAGAACAGAAATATAATCCTTAGAAATGTCAATCCTATTAAACAATTCATTCATCGACATTCTTATCTGATCAGGTTCAGTCCGAGGCCGCCGTAAACTTGATTAGATAATCATATCCGGCGCAGTTCTCCGGAATCGATTCTTCGCCGGCGCCGCATTTCCGCAACCCCCAGATCCTCAAGGAAAGCGTGCAGAACATCTGGTTTGAACTCCCCAGGACTTTGACGCGTATTCAGAACCACAGACAATATGCGCCGCTCTGCATTGCGGGCCATCGAGTCCACGAAGCCTCTCACACGAGCTCCTCGCTCCGTGTCGAGAAGCTTTGCTACTCTCAATGACTCGGCCAAGGTATGTCGTTTCTGAATAACCAAGTGTTGTCCTCTTGCCTCTAACAACCCGTTTCTGCAAATGATAGGATCCCGCCGAACTTGACCAGATCACCACACTCCCGAACGGAATTCGAGTTGCCACAGAATCATTACCCGGTCCCTTCGCGGGTGTCGGAGTTTACGTCGATGCCGGATCTCGTTATGAAGATGCGAGCCTCCGTGGTGTCAGCCACATCATGGACAGACTCGCCTTTAAGTCGACCAAGACGCGCACGGCAGATGAGATGTTGGAAGTTCTCGAGTCGCTAGGCGGCAACATCCAATGTGCTTCTTCCCGGGAGTCATTGATGTACCAGTCCGCCAGTTTCAACTCGGCGGTCCCCACAACTCTCGGTTTGCTGGCGGAGACGATTCGGGATCCTCTCATCACTGAGGAGGAGGTACTTCAGCAACTTGCGACGGCGGAGTATGAGATTGGCGAGATTTGGGCGAAGCCGGAGTTGATCTTGCCAGAGCTGGTCCACATGACTGCCTATAAAGATAACACCCTTGGCAACCCGTTGCTGTGTCCGAGTGAGAGACTGGGTGAGATCAACAAGGCGGTGGTTGAGCGATACCGGGAGGTGTTTTTCAATCCAGACCGTATGGTTGTCGCCTTTGCCGGCGTGTCCCATGCCGAGGCTGTCAAGCTCACTGAGCAGTACTTTGGGGATATGAAGGCCAGAGAAGCAAGCAAGGGCCCCGTTCTATCAGGCACAGGAATCGATACCACACTATCAGACTCCCCCGCTGTCGCCAAGGAGGGCCAGGTGCCGACTGTCCCTCAATTCACTCCCTCCTCGACCACGACCAGCCCAGCCGCTTCCCAGCAAACCCATTCCTCGCTCCTGTCGAAGCTTCCTTTCCTCAAGAATCTCACCTCCGCAAACAAGAAGTCCACCGTCGAACCCCTACACCCGTCTTTGATTGAGCCTTCGGCTTTGGATCTCCGCAGACCTGCTCACTATACCGGTGGATTCATTGCTCTTCCCCCAATCCCTCCGCCAGCCAATCCCATGTTGCCACGCCTGAGCCACATCCACCTTGCCTTTGAGGCACTCCCTATCTCCTCTCCCGATATCTATGCCCTCGCTACCCTCCAGACCCTGCTTGGTGGCGGTGGGTCCTTCTCCGCCGGCGGCCCTGGCAAGGGTATGTACTCGCGTCTCTATACAAACGTCCTCAACCAGCACGGCTGGGTTGAGAGCTGCGTGGCCTTCAACCACAGCTACACCGACAGCGGTATCTTCGGTATCTCTGCCTCGTGCAGTCCCACCCGGACGGCCGATATGCTCGAGGTGATGTGCCGCGAATTCCAGTCTTTGACCCTGGACACCGGCTACACTGCTCTGCAGACGCAGGAGGTCAACCGGGCGAAGAACCAGCTTCGGTCATCGCTGCTCATGAACCTGGAGTCCCGCATGGTTGAACTCGAGGATCTCGGCCGTCAGGTGCAGGTGCACGACCGTAAGGTCGGCGTGCGAGAGATGTGCGACCAGATCGAAGCGCTGACTGTCGAGGATCTGCGTCGTGTGGCTCGCCAGGTCTTTGGCGGCCTTGTCCAGAACAATGGCAAGGGTACCGGCAAGCCCACCGTTGTGCTCCAGGAGGGCGAGCTAGAGGGCTACAAGCTCCGTGCATTCCCGTGGGAGGAGATCCAAGAGCGTATCTCCCGTTGGAAGCTCGGTCGACGATAAATAGATGATAGTGTCCAAAGATAGACTGGGCATTCGGGGCATCTACTAAGGGTAGTGTCGCATGGCCGGATAAGTCTTGACAGAGAGTGACGCATATGCATCGGGCGGATCTGTTGTATAATAGAAAGTAGTATCAAACACAACTCTGTAAAATATTTCACAATTCTTTCCCCCTTCCAATTTGTAAACCACTTCCCAAGTATAATAAGTATAACCGAGCCTGTTAGTCCGATGATGTCGCGTTCTTCCCGGCGGGTCCAAGCTTCCTCGCCGCTTTTGCCCGGCAAAAAAGTCGGAGCGCCCGAACTCGCGCTCCGTTCTTCCATCGTTCATCTCCATCTGGGCTAAACAGCATCTACAAACTCTCCCACTCTCTTTCTTCCCCCAATTCACAACCGCCAAAATGGTCAAGCTTACCGAGGTCGAGGATGAGCACTTCACCGACAAGCCCATTCCCAGCAAGGGCGATGCTCTGCTGGTCTCCGATGACGAGGAGGATTACACCGACACCGGTAAGTGTTTGACGAATCTCGTTTCTCCAGCCCTTTTAGCCCTTCCGAATGCGCATATAATATTGCACTGGGTTTTCGGAATGAGAATCATTTTCGAGAACTATCAATTCGAGTCGACGTGTCCCAAAACAAGTCCCGACCCGGCCCAGAAACAACTCTCCGCAAAGACATTCTCTCAACACCATAACCCATGGATATTATCATGATACATCTATCGAACGCAATATCTGACCATTGTCTTTTATCAAAATAGAGTCTGAGATCTCCAACGAGGAGGAGGAGGACCTCGAGCTCGAGGAGGAGTCCCTCTACGAGCGTATCTCCGCCCTGAAAGACATCATCCCCCCCGGCGCACGCCGCACCGTCAGCAACTCCGTCTCTACCATCACATCCCTCACCAAGTCCAGCCTGTCTTTCAGCGGCAAGGCTCTCTGGATCATCAGCACCAGCGCTTTCCTGATCGGTGTTCCATGGGCGCTGGCCTATGCCGAGGAGGAGCAGTATATCCAGATGGAGCGGGAGCAGGGTATGATTAAGGGTGCCAACGAGGTATGATTCTTAAGTTCCTTGGAGTAGTAGATATGCTTTGAACGCTGGATTCTGGCGCGTGTTTGAATCTTGAATCACGATGAACGCCTGCGTTTCGTCTTGCCTCGGGACGGTGTGGAAAACTCTTATTGCAGTTTTCCTACTGAAGCAGGCACTGTTCCGCCATTCCAGTCATGAACCTTTCTAATTGGATGATTTACTGACCATGTATTTACCCACCAGATGCTCACACCCGGCGCCGAGCCCGAGAAGCAGGGGGTCCAGGCCACTCTGTAAATTAATTCCGCCCTGAGAAACGAGATGAACAGGCAACAAACCGAATGACCTGATGGCCGATCATATAATTGACAGAAGATCGGCATAACGGCAACGAGATGGGCGGATGGACTCTAGGCTGTGACCCCGGGATCCATAAACCCCCCCTCAACCTGCAACCGACGACGTCCCTCAACCACATAGGTTCGAAGGATTAGCTGCAGGGCCGTTGCTCATCAAGTCATTCGGTTTTACCGGCCGTTTCCTCTCTTCTCCTTTCCTCGCTTCTTGATATGTCTTTTTCTCCCCCAGAAACCTTTTTGGCTCCGGCAGCTTATGCATGCATGTATTTGTACAATCACATCATCTTCCTTTTTCCTCTCTCAATATGTCCTCGATATACGTTTTGTTTTTTTCAATTGTTCTTCTCTTCGTGATTTGTATGCCTAGGTGATGCAATTTGAATGGTCGATCAAACCAAGTGTAGTGCTTTGTAGAGTAATTCATTCGGAGAGCATAGCTGTTTATGCAGCCGTTGAGTTGCAATAAGCCATATCAAATCAAGCCGAATGATGGCATCATGGAATAGAAGCCTTCGATTCGTCCAAGACAATCGCTACGCATGTACGATTCACGGTGAATGGTAAGAGATAAAAATTGGGGTATCATTATGCAACGCTAAGAGTAAGGCTTCATAAGCCGAGGATAGATATAATCCTCATAAACGATGAGATCTTCTCACCCCATATTCTGCAAGAGCTCCATGGTAGACTATAAGAACGAAACATTAGCGTAATCCAGATATAATTGACCGGGATTCGACTATAAAAACTTACTGTCTTCTCACGAGCGGTCTTGAGATGTATATGGAAGTCTCGGTAGAGCCTCTCAATCTCACCATCCGCCTCCATCTTCTTGCACACGTCAATTGCATTGCGTGTTTTCCGCTTCTGGCTCAAGTTTTCGCGTCGCAAGACCTCGGCGTCTTCCATGTGGCCCATGCGTCGGAGGTAATCGACAACCCATTCGTTAAGTTGGTAGCGCCAGTGGGTGAGGAGATGAGCCATATAGGCATTTGCCTTGCAAGTTCTGTGGTTGTGTTAGCGGTGGATATATTGAGTGTGGTTCAGCATTAACTTACTTTCCCAGATAAAACCGCGTGTTCTCATCAGGCAGAATGTTTCCATCACGATCACGTTCCACGTCTGAGTCGTCGGCACTACTATCCTTGCTGTCCTCATCGCTAGAGTCGGATGCTGTGGATGACTCGTCGTCGCTGCTATCGTCGGTTATAGGTTCCAAGGTCTCTTCAGAGTACGGCTTGCCGTAGAACTTCAGATCTGAGGATGCGGGGTGGCCAGCTCGATTGCAAGCATCACATGAGTGCATCATTGACGTGGGAAACCCCGTAATCTCGAGATGCGGTCTCGCGAGAAGTACCTGGCGGAACTTGGCCGTCCAGACGGAGGAGATGAGCGAAGACCCTGCACGAGCTTTGACTTCATCGCTTAGCTTCTGGAAAGCCATTTGGTACATAGCGTCGTCACGGGGGAAGGCCGGGTCTATACGGTTGTGCACCATCCATGCCACGACATCGCGGAAGTACTCCTTTGGTTGCTTATAAGCGTGTCGTGTAAATTCAAGGGGAATCTCCTCCGTCGGGACGCCGAGTTCGTTGTCCTCCAAGACGAAGTCATCCTCATAACGGTCCAGATCCTCGTTAGCATCGATCTCGGATTCAACTTCGCTGTCGTCGTTGTTATTGATGCGCCGTGAAATGAAGAAATGGTTGGTCGGACTGGATTGCGGAGGCTCATCTTCCGACTCCTCGTCCGACTCCTCCTCGCTTTCTTCTTTCTGCCCGGCACGCCGACGACGAATGCTTTCGAGAAGTTTCTTTTTCTTGTCCCTTGCAGACTCATATGCCCGACCGCGCGTGCGAGTGTTCTTGACAACTGTAGCAAGTTAGTAAATAAAGCTGCGTATGCATAGCGAGCGTAGAGTTTGACTGTACCAGAGTCCCGAAGGTCCCTCACGTCGTCTTCCAGTTCTTGTTGATCCTTGTCGACACTAGAGTGGGGTGTCCGAGGAGTCTCCATCGGCGAGGCCCGGCGTCGCCTCTTGACGGGCGAAGACACCACGGGCTCGGAATCATCTGAGTCGCTTAGAATGACGGAAGAGCGCTCAGCCTTACGCTTCAGTCTGCGACGAGGTTGAACAATGTCTACCTCATCCTCCTCAGAAGAATCGAGTTTTATGACGTTGGCGGGGGAGCCGGAGGGAAGCTGTGGAGATTGTGAAGATTGGACGGGCTTCATGATGGCGAAGTCGATGCTGGAACGCCGCGCTCGTTTCGTTGACCCCGGCACGACGATCTCGTCCTCAGAGGACTCTTCCGGCTCCGGTGGTGCTGGTTGTGCTTTCGTAAATGTCAGCCCATAATCCATTGAAGCGTGAGAGACGGATCTGTATCTCTGTGCCTACGTTCTTCCTCTTGCTCTTTCAGCTTCCTCTTATTCTTGTCCTTCTTTTCCTTCTTCTCCATCTTGCCCTTTTTATCCTTCTTCTCTTGCTTCTCCTTCTTTTCCTGCTCGCTTTCCTTCACCGGAGAAGCCTTCGGGCGGGAGGTTGTAGTGGACGAGCTGGCTGTCACAGGCGGGGATGCGGGCTTCGTTCGACGGGGAATTTCGGGTCGTACAGTGGCCAGGTTAGGATGGCTGTAGGAAAGCCTGGCAAAGCGGTCGATTTCATCCTCGTTTGAATCACCAGAAGCGGCGGTTGGCGCAAAAGCAAGCCGCGTCTGCTTCTTCTTCGGTTTGCGGGGCATGGCGATGGCGTCCCTGGAGTCCTTGGTGTAGCAAACAGATCTAGAGACGGCGATGTGGATTTAGTTTGTTGGAGGAGACTGTTTGTATTTCATGGTCGAATGAAATATCGCAAGCTCGATGGGAAAGCTTGAGAGAAAGGAGGGTGGATTGTTTCTGCACCTGTCACAGCTGCTGGACTTTTTTCTTGTCGCGCAGAACCGCGTTGGAGAGGCGCGAGAGCACGTGACTGATAGTGGGCTGACTCTTAAGAGTGTTGATATGATATGGTCACTTTCAAATTACCTCTTATGTTTGAATCTGAAAAGATGTTGAAAAAGAGGGTAGAATGAAAAGGAGAGACCCCAATAGGAAGCTGAGAATGGCCGTGGGTGAGAACCTAAAATATTGTCCAAGTATGTTCGCGATGAGCTCGAAATGAGGAAACTATGGAGTACTGAGTGGAGATCACATAGAAGATTAAGCTCATTTTGGAATTCTAGAAGATCTCATTCATTTAGTCAAAAGGATTGTCAGATAACATCGATTTTTAGTAGATACCAGTTCACCACTCGTCTTGGTGGCCGTGAATGCCTTCATCTAAGCTGAGGCTATCTATAGAATGCAACACCAACAACGGTCATCTTTGTAGGTCTTGGCTACCTAATCAAGTCTCGAGGCTTCTTAGTATTCTGAGTCATGGCAGACAGCTCGTGACCTCAGCACAGGAAGATGACAGTCTTAGAATGTGTAGCGCTGCCAAGTCTTTAATTAGCCGGGTTGGTAAATGAGGTGCTTGTCCAAGAAGTTAGTAGAGTCATCACATGCTGGAGATGCTTGGTAGAGGCGCTTCGTCTTCGCCTTTTAAGAAGTACCAAGGAAAAGGCTTAACTTCCTGTTCAAATGAGAGTTTATAACTTACAGGATAGAAGAGAGGGGTGTTTTGGGTGGCCCACTCACCTGATCTAGGAGTCTGGGGGAAATCTGGAGAGTCCAGTGACTCCAGTTTTAGGATTCCCTCCTTCTCCACCTCCACCTTTTGCCTCTCGACCAACCCTTAATTCAAACTGAGGAGCTCGCTTCACTTCACCCGATCTGCTTTTCTCCACAACTCTCTTTAACCGGTGGATTTGGTGATGGTCTGTACTCCTCTATCCCCCGCGATTGGTGGAGTCAACTTTCTCCCAGCCCCGGGTTCGGCTGGCTGTTGATTGGTGGAAATGCAAACTACATGAGGCCCTACGGGACAAAATATCCTCGAACCCCAGATCACGGTTACCCCATGTCCGCACCATGTGTTCCAGCCATCGAAAGTCCAATAAGCTGTTCTCAGCTTGCATAATGCCCTTGACCATCTGTGGACGTCTCGAAATACCCCACCACTCAGCGACCCGCAAGCTGACAGGGCTACCGTTATCAAAATGCACGTCGTGCTTAGCGTCGCCTGGGGGCGTCCGACGCGGCCATGGGCTGATTGGTGCAGTGATTGTCTTTTGAGCTAAGGCGCTGGGGAGGAGCTCTCTTTCCCCCAGAATTCTTGCGTGTCAGAGACTTATATATCTGGGGCAGACTCCGCCCGTTCTTTCTTTCCCCCGGAAAATTAAACGTGTGGGTTGCTGATCGTTTCTCCTGGCCTGAACGACTCCCCTTCCCCCGGACAACTTACATTGAGTGGACTACTTCACTGTCCCTCAATCTACCTACCACTAGGCAGAGTCACCTGGTGTCCAGCGTCAATAACGCTGCTGTTTGAACATTTCTCTAGAGCTGAGATCATTCTACACTCGTCAAAATGGTTAGCTCTAAGCGAGCCTATAACTGGTATGTCGAACCTACTGCAATACTGATGTAAAAAAAAACAATCCTCTAAAAACATCCTACAGGTTCGTTTCTTTGGTCGCGGCGGCCTGCATGGTGTTGTACGGCTACGATGCGTCCGTGTTCAACTCCGTCCAGGGCTCCAAGAATTGGGTGGCTTGGTTCAATACTCCCAACGCCTCAGTGATCGGATCCATCAATACCGCGTATACCGTTGGTGCTATCTTTGGAGGCTTCTTCTGCGGTGGTCCCATCGCGGACTACCTCGGCCGCAAGGTCGGAATGGGAACCGGTTGTGTCATGGTTATCATTGCTACATTCATGCAGACCTTTGCCCCTCGCCACAACCTCGCTTGCTTCATCGCTGGCCGTGTTCTCATCGGTATTGGCCAGGGTATTGCCTTGAGTAAGTCAAGGGTCTCGTTGCACTGTTCGTTGATGCGAAACAATCGCTGACCCGGGCATCAAACAGCCGCCGGCCCCATCTATATCGGCGAACTGGCACCTTCCGAGATTCGTGGACAGATCATGACCTTTTGGCAGATGTTCTACTCTGTCGGATCTTTCATTTGCTTCTGGATCAACTATGGCTGCACCAAGCACAAGGCCAGCCTGGGCGAGTGGGACTGGAAGTTGGTTGTCATCTTCCAGCTCATGGTTCCCATCTTGATTCTCGCTACTCTCCCCACCATCCCCGGTAGCCCTCGTTGGTAAGCAATCGTTCTGGGCAGTCCTTATGAATTCCGCTGACAATACCAAGGTTCATCAAGAACGGACACATCGAGAAGGCCCGTGCCGCCCTCCGACGAGTTCGAGACACTGAAGAGGAGGTTGAGGATGAGATCCTGCAGATTCGCGAAGCCATTGAGTACGAGAAGGAGGCTATCTCCGGCAACTACAGCGCCCTGTGGAAGGACAAGTCTCTCCGCAAGCGCATGGTCCTGGCTTTGATCCTCAATGCTGGTCAGCAAATTACCGGCCAGGGCTCGCTCAACTCCTACTCTACCAAGATTTACTCCAAGATTTTCACCAGCAGCAGCCAGATTGCTCTTATCAATGCTCTCAACGCTACCTGTGGTATTCTCTTCACCTTGAACGCCATGTGGATTGTCGATCGCTTTGGACGAAAGGTTCTTTTGATCGCTGGTGCTATTGGCATGGGAATTTGCATGATTATCGTTGCTGCAGTCGAAACCGAGACACCAACCGGGGCGAAAGGGGCTAAATCCGAGCCTGTCGGTATTGCGATCGTGTTCTTACTATTCTTGTTTATCTTCTTCTGTGAGTACCCGACACCTCTCCGCTATCCCTCAACCGGAAACGAACTAACAATATCCTAGACAAACCATCTTGGGGTGCCACTGTGTGGATTTGGACGTCCGAGATTTTCTCTATGAACGTCCGCGCCCAAGCCGTCGGTATGGCTTCACAGACCCAGAATGTCGCCAACACCATCTTCCAGCAGTTTTTCCCCATCTTCCTTGACCACGATGGCTTCTTCGCCTTCTACTTCTTCGCGGGTATCAACTTCCTGCTGGCAGTCTTTGTCTTCTTCTTCATTCCCGAGACTAAGAAGGTTACCCTCGAGGAGATTGATACTCTGTTCGGTGGTGCCAACCACGTCGCGCAGGGTGAGGAGGTCCTTGCTCACCAGAAGGCTGCGGCTCTTCAGGCTACTCATGAAGTGACTGAGAAGCCTGGATCGGTTACTGTTGAGAATGTTGAACGCAAGTAATGGGCATGTACGACCGTATGCAGAGCGACTGAACGAGGCTTTATTTCTTGTTTGAAAACTACTTTTGGAGCTGATTTATTGTGGACTTATACATAGGGGATTGCCGGTTTTAATACATGCGCTGAGCGCGATTAGGAGACGCAGTGTTTCTTAATTTATTTTTCTTATATATGACTCTTCACTGGGTAGATTTCCGCTCAATGGGCTGCTCTCGGCGGATCCTGTCCCGCAATAGAGCCACAAGTCGGAATAGATATCCACACGCTACACTTTTCGAACCTTGTATCTTGAAACCCGCGATCCGTCACTAAGGCCCACAGCCACCAGATCGAGCTCATAACCAAACGCCCAAGGAAGCAAGATGAATCGACCGACATAGTAGATCACTCCCAGGGCCAGTATAGCCAAGGACACAACAGGGGAAAGCCAATATGGGAGACTCGTGCTGCCCTTTCCATTGACTGGCGGAACAAACGGCATGACCAGTAGGAACTGACCCTGTCAGCAAAAATCCTAAGAAAAACCCAGAAACGAGGGATGAACGCTGTACTCACAATATTTCCGGCTAGATAGAACGCCAGGATAGCCCATGGCACTTTGAATGATGACTGGAATTTATCATTCTTGTCAAGACGTAATTTGATCAGTCCAATTGTCACTAAAGTCAAGAGGAAAACCGTGGGATAAGTGCCTAGGCCGACGACGAAATTGAACGCATCGCCGGCTGGAGGAGCACAGATGAAGATGATCGTGATTGCCAAGTGAATAGCAAGGCAGGCGATGGGCGTTTTGAATGGACGATTCTGCATGAGGAGGTTAGGGAAAGGAGTTATGCCGTCTTTGGCTAGTTCTTGGAGAACTCGTGCTGTCAGATATCGCTTGTTAGAAAAGTTGGAAGAAATCGGAAAGTCTGACGTGGTATACATACAAACAGTAAATGCAACGCCGAGAAGATGTCCAATTGCAGAAATAGCCACCAGGGCTGGAAGAGCTTTGACTGCTGCGGAATGACCAAAGACGTTGTTGAAGAGAGAAGCCGCAATAGTTAGGTCTGAGCTTAAGAATTCTGCTCTCGAGACACCTGCGAACTGCTCCAATTTTAGCCCAGAGAATTATATAAAGAGGAGACCAGAGACTCACGTAGGCAATATTTGCAAGGATATAGAGCACGGTGACAGTGCCCATGGCTGTGGGCAGGGCAATACGCAGAGTCCGTTGCGGATTTTTGACCTCCGAAAGAACCTATATTGAAAGTTAGATAGGACCTGTAAAGTGAGTATCATCCTGACTCACAGCATTCATATTGTCGTAGCCCTGAAACGAAAAGATTGCATTCAGCAACGCTGTTCCGATATTGTACCCATTGTTCGACGTGCCCTCGAAAGACGTCGAGATGTCGAAGTTGTGAGGCTTGGCTCCTTTAACATGCCCTCCAAGCGCAGCAAATCCAGTGCAGACAATGAAAAACAAGGTGAAAAGTTTCACTGCACTGAGAATATCTTGTAATCCTCTTCCAATACGTGGCGTGATACTATGAACTCCCACTGCGAAGCCAACTGCAGCAATTGCTAAACCACGTAGCTTCCATGTAGTCGAGTCAGCATCAGCGGCTTTGAGAAGATATGAGGAAGCTGTGATGGCATTGCTAGCCGAGGTCTCTATATTCCAATTAGATGCCCGATCAGTGGTCGCACCATAGCCAGTGATACTGTTTGGACGAGACTTACGTAGAATAGCACAATAGAAGAGGTAGATGCAAGTGAAAAGTAACTTCGGTGAAAACGAGCGCTCCAAATATACTTTCATACCCCCAGATCGGGGAATGCTGGTGCCGAATTCTAGCATCACCATAGCTCCACATGTCGAAATCAGGCCGGCAATAACCCAAAGGACAAGCGCCATACCCGGACTCCCACTTAGTTTGAAGATAGACGCCGGGGTTGAAAAGATTCTAATTTAGGGTTAGTTCATAATCCCGAAAGTCCTCGGAAGAAAGATCATACCCAGCGCCGATAATCTTGTTCACAATAAGTGAAATGGCTCCGAAAACGCCAATCTTGCGCTCTTGCAAGATGTGTGTTTCTTGGACACGAAGGTCTGTGCTGGACACATCTTCGCTGGATGAATCCCCGGTGGAGGAGGAGTCCTGTAGGTAAGGCTCTGACTAGTCAACAATCGGAGTTTTCCCTGTAAGCTGTAGACGAACATACTATAACTTGATCCTCGTTCTTCAGCCATCGTGAATTGCTTCTGTTATAATTATATCTATTTTTGCGATACTGTAATGCTTAAATACACGGGTAATGTTCGCAGAGCTTTGACGAGTGGACGCCCGATGGCAAGTATGTAGCACGAATGATGTGATCGCCTTGGCCTCGAGCTTGTACATGCGCCTCATGCTTAGGTGGGGTGCAGATATTCGAGCATCGCCCAAATAAGCGACAAGGCTATCTGAAGTGGGGTAATATGGGATAACTCTTTCAACTTCAATTTTTCCTTTGAAGAAAACAGTGACTGATGAGGGTGTTTCATTCAAGGCTGTCCTACAACGGTTACCATGGTGATAAGGTTAAGTCAGTATATGAAAATGATTGCTCGCTGGAATGTTGAGATAAGGAAACCTGGTGCACTTTGAAAATATCAGAGTGAATCTATCATACCATGCAGCGTGATACTATTTAGTCATAGAAAACATCCACCGAAGCTAGGTTGACGGAACCTCGCCGACCTGCTCCTCTTTATATTCACTGAAACACATCTAGTATCCCCATCTTGCTTATCAATCAATCACCAGGCATTGAACATAAAATATCCAAATCTGTCGATCTATGCGACGCGGATGAGCTCGTCGTGGGTGGGGCCAATGTCGCAAAAGATAGCGAATGACCACATCTCAATTAATCAAAACTCCACCAACAGCCAACATGACGCGATCACACGCGAGTGGCAGGACTAATAACGCGACTTGCTGTACTATGTAACTCTGTATATTTAAGCGTCGTATTGTATCTTCTAAGCACCTTTTACCCCCTCTTCGAGACTCATCATTCAAAGCGATCATGTCTGCTACTGTGACCATCACTCAACCCGTTCAGCCTGATATTCAATATCACCCTGACTATGTTAAATATCAAGCGCGTTCACGCCAGCGCAAGGAGACGGAGTCATTGCAAACTAGTTTACCCGCTGGGTTCCCTCAGAAGTTAACATCACCACTGGTTTGGGAGGGAAAGGACATCGAACAGAGGAGTGACTGGATTTACCAGTTGAGCGATGAACAGTTGGATGAAATTGATGCAGGACTGAAGAGCTTCAAAGGTAAGATCCTGAATGATAGTTCAATTCAAGTATACCATTCTCATTTTCAATTCGGCAGCGTTGAATAAGCCTTTGGGATACAACAACGAGTCCACGTTCCCGCTGCCGACCCTCCGCCCAATCCTGAGGAATCTCTCGAAGCAAATCCATCACGGCCGTGGCTTCTTTGTTCTCCGGGGACTGCGTATTGATGACTACTCCCGAGAAGATAACATAATTATCTACACTGGCGTGTCTTCCCATATCGGAAACATCCGAGGTCGCCAACAGGACACCCGACTGCAGAACGGCAAATCCCCAGTGATCTCTCACATTAAAGACATTACAAGCACCGTGGAAGCAGAAAGGATTGGAGCTCCTTCCAACACGGCCGATAAGCAAGTCTTCCATACCGATGCTGGAGATATCATCTCTCTCCTCTGCCTGAGCCCTTCGGCTGAAGGGGGTGAGAGCTATCTTTCAAGCAGCTGGAACGTTTACAATATCCTCGCCAAAGAGAGACCTGACTTGATTCACACTCTTTCGCAGGACTGGCCGATTGATGGGTATGCACACTCAATAAGACTTCTAAATCTCAAGCTAATTCCTTCCAGATTCGGTAACCCCGAGAAGCCATACACTCTCCGCCCTCTCTTATATCACCAACGTGCAACGGAATCTAGTCCCGAGCGTGTGCTCATCCAATATGCCCGCCGGTACTTCACCGGGTTCCTCGCCCAGCCTCGATCCACAAATATACCCCCTATCAGTGAAGCCCAGGCCGAAGCTCTAGACGCCTTGCACTTCTTGGCAGAAAAGCATCGGGCATCGCTGGGCTTTCAGAAGGGTGATGTCCAATACGTCAACAATTTAAGCATTTTCCATGCGCGGAATGGTTTTAAAGATCAACCCGGCAAAGAGTGCGTTTCTTCCCGTCGCTGTATAACTAGGTACCGGATTGTGCTGACTATAATAGACGTCATCTACTTCGCCTGTGGCTTCGAGACCCGGTGAATGCATGGCCTACACCTGAGCCACTACAGGACCGGTGGGACGCGGTTTATAAGGATGTTGCTGAGGAGGAACAGGTATTCCCGCTAGAGCCAGCTCTGCGAAAGAACCTTGGCTCTTAGATAGCTGTCCAGTAGCATTGCTAGCCTATCATACTCGAGCTGACCATAAGATCTTATCTACCAAATAACGTGATTTTCATATCAAATTTTCTCGTAAAAGCATGTATAACTATCAGAACTATCAACAGATCCCAAGTCTTGGGAGGGATACTGTAGATCCTCCGGGGAAGCGGGGTAACTGGGGTAAATGCCGAGTGTTGAACCCCACAACATAGCGGGAATTTCCCGGTCTTGAGATAGATGGGAAGATGAATTTTAACTTCAACAAGTATGCTAGCCCCGCGGCCCAGGCTTGGATGGCGGAACAGGGTTCCGCTATACAAACATCCTCAAATCTACTTGGCTCTCGGCCTGTGCCAGCTCAATTTACAAACTTTGTCCACGACCAGCCCTGCGGCTATTAAATTATGGCAAATTCAATTCCGGTGGTTATACTTTCGCTTTCTTTCACCTACAACTGAGCAATGGATGGCATAGTTATACTTTTATCAGCCAAGCCTCAAACTTCTTGGCGCCTTGGATAGCGGAATCAAGAGTCGTCTGCATGTATACAGCGGAATGGAGTCTGTCGGTGATGTGCGGGGGAAAGGGGATCACCGCGGCCCAACTTCCCCAGTCAGCGTGTTCGCATATCTTGTCAGTGTGTGAAGATTGTACTTAAATGACATTTCCCGACATTCCAATCTTGATCCGCACAGTTAATATAAGCAACGGCTCCGGACTTCCTTACTTACTCCTTCGGACTCCATTTGGCCATTGATCCTATATCCCAATTTCGCGTCCTCGGCAAAGATCCCAGATTACCCCGATGGAGGAACTCGAAAAAGTCGCCGATCATGAAACGATCGAACACATCAAGTCGGATGATGTTGTCGAAATAGATCGCGCCGCCGAGAAACGTCTACTCTGGAAACTCGATATTCACGTCGTTCCAATCCTCATGTTCCTATTCCTCCTGGCCTTCCTCGACCGAATCAATATCGGAAATGCTCGACTGCAGGGTCTAGAGAAGGACTTGAACATGAAGAATAACGACTACAACATTGCTCTATTCATTTTCTTCATTCCATATATCCTGTTCGAGGTGCCGAGTAACCTTTTGTTGAAGAGGATCGCTCCTTCGTGGTGGATCAGTGGGATTATGTTCGGATGGGGTAAGTTCTATTTCGGACATAGAAGCTTCATGGATTGTGTTGATGCTAATCTCTCGGGCGAACAGGCATCATTACCATCTGCCAAGGACTTACCCAGAGTTTCAAGGGATTGGTTGCGTGTCGGTTCCTGCTGGGTATCTTTGAGGCTGGATTCATGCCAGGTGATTGCTTAATCAATCATTATGTCCGTCTCGATGGGTTCTGACAGTTATAGGATGCATCTATATCATCGCGATGTACTATAAGCGCTATGAACTGCAGTGGCGCTTGAATGTGTTCTTCAGTGCTAGCATTCTCGCCGGCGCAGTTAGTGGAGTACGTTACTGACCCCTTCTGACAACACAAATGCCGGGATACTAATGAAGAGTTTAACAACAGTTCCTGGCCTACGCTATCGCAAAGATGGACGGAGTTGCAGGATACAGTGGATGGCGCTGGATCTTCATCATCGAAGGTCTAGTCACAGTGGCTGCTGCCCTTGTCTCCAAGTTTCTCATCGTGGACTGGCCCGAGAAGTCTCGTTTCTTGAACGATGAAGAACGAAGACTACTGCTGGCTCGACTTCAGGAGGATCGAGGAGAAGCCCGAATGGACCGACTGGATCGTTCGGCCAGGGGACGTGTTGTTCGCGATATCAAGATCTATCTTGGGTAAGCTTATTCTTGCAATTTTTCTTCACGAGGTTTGCCCACTAACAGATCTAGTCCGTTGATGTATTTCGGCATCGTGAACACTGGATATGCCACCTCCTTTTTTACTCCGACCATCCTGAAGCAGCTCGGTTGGACTTCAGTACGCGCTCAGGTCATGAGTATTCCCATCTATCTTGTCGCAACCGTCATTGCACTGGTCACAGCCTGGGTCAGCGATCGACTACGCCATCGTTTCGCGTTCACAATTTGCGGATGTCTCATTGCAACTGTCGGTTATGTGATCCTCCTCTGTCAAAAGTCCGTCCCCGTAGGAGCTCGGTACTTCGCCCTGTATGCAATCACCGGTGGAGGGTATATGACACAACCGATCTTGATGGGCTGGCTTAGCAACAATATGGCCGGTCACTATAAGCAATCGATTGCCTCGGCGATGCAGATCGGGTTTGGAAATTGTGGTGGCTTGGTGGCCAGCAATATCTTCCTGGCGTCCGAAGCTCCGACGTATCGTACTGGGTTTGGCGTCAGTCTGGGGATGGTTTGGATCTGTGGGATTGCCTGTACGGTCTTCTTTGCTTGGCTTGTCCGGGAGAATCGATTGAGAGAGGCTGGGAAGAGAGATCATCGGTATGAGTGGTCTCAAGAGGAGTTGAGTAACCTCGGTGATGATCATCCGAGCTTCAGATTCACATATTAGCTATAGTAATATGGGAGACAGTGTGTTTATATAAATCGATTTTGGTCTATACCTAGTTCGGTTTGTTTTCGAAACCCCCTAGAGCTGTAGAACTTCAACGTGTTTACTCGACGCGGTCGAGCCCAGGAAGGATTCACTTCTCATCTCTCCCCTATCAACAACTTCTTCCCTTTAACACCTCCCCACAACCAACGTAGGGCTTCATCATCCATCCTCATCATCATTCCCCGTGTCAGATATTCTGTTATCTTGATATCTCACGCACCCCCAGCATCAGACATACAACTTGCCTCGGCCCTTAAGGGCCTCTCCTATCGTGAGATGCATACCTGATCAAGTGAATGATCCAATGGAAGACTTTTTGACAGACTGACACTGACGCGTTTCTAAAAGACCAACACTACAGTCAGCCACCCTGGCACCTCCCTGCATCCATAAACTAGGATATAACCCTGCTCCATGCGAGGCCTCAGGTGAGCAAATGAGACGCGGGGAGTAACCCTCGCAGCCGCCTTATCCGCAGGATGATCCGAGCTAATTGTCAAGTGCAGACTCATCCAAGCCTGCTCAACTAATGGGGCCAGCTGAGCTTTCATCTCAAGCTACCATGATGAGTATTACACATCGGATGAAGCTCATATATTCATCCTATCTTATTGAAGAATGGATGCATCTCAAACCCCACGACCTCGAAGACACTCCGAATGGAAACGTTGTGGAGGCACAAGCCGCAGGAAAGGAGCCCAGGATGAAGAAGCATCGGGCAAACTTGGGAGACTAAGTGGGGAAGCGCCAGCCTGTCACAATCTTGAGCCGCAAAAAACAAACCATCAAGGCAATTGAACACGAGCATCAATGCTCATTGACGAACATGCGAGCCACTCACATTGCCCCGGTCGGAAAGGATCCTGACCAACGCGTTGCCAATCCCATGTGCCTTCACACTATACTCCGTATATGGATGCACTTGGGAATCGGAAGCCGGTGGGCATGCATGCCCCAATCAAATCCAAGTGGGATGAAACACAACTCGGACAAGTATTCCGAATATCGTCTTGCTTCACGAAAATGTGAGTTCGTGGCGCCGTGATCTGCTGTACTTCACTGCGGAATTGCTCGGTGGCAAATCAATCAGCGACCACGCTCGTATACCTGCACATCTTTCTAGGCGGGGCCTTCGAGGCGTTTCTGATCCACTGCGCCTGCCGCTCACACGCTGCGGGGCCCCATTCGTGCAGCACTGCTCACTGACCGACAAACTGAACAGGCATCTTGGAGATCAAATCAACCAAGCCTTCCACAACCAGGTACCATCCTGGCCCTACAGTCTTGCCGCTGCGATCATCGTCTTGGCCACAGCAGTGATTCCTCCATTCATATATGGGGCGGCATAGACCCCTCGACTCCACCCAATCACAACTGTTTCTGGCCCGGCATCGCTCTTCCGAGATGACGTACTTGACAGCAATCAACGCAGAGGGGATTCATGACCGTCGAAAAAGGTTATTTCATCCAGCATGAGGGAAATACAACGCAACCTGGGCCACGGGTTTACCCACGTAAACTCTACCACATGCGGTACACGCCAATCCTCGAATCCACCTTGAGGAGCGCCAGCCAGGTGCGCTGCCCTATCGCATAGCGCGGTCCGGCATGTCTGGGCCGTGAGAGGGCTTTCAGAACCCACCTACGATACCTTAAAACCACTTGATTCGAATACCACAATCCAATCAGCCTGGGATCCGCGCGCGTGCAGCGGAGATATTCTCAGCACTGACCTGCCCCGGGCCCCCATCTACCCTCATCTACTCCCATCTACTTAATCAACCATCTCCCCCAGTCCACTTTTGTCCTCAAGAGGATAAAGGTGACCGCATCAATTGTTCCTCTCATACATCCAACCATCCTCATCATCATGGCCAGTCCTCGCTCCTCACACAACAAGCACTCCCGCTCCATCGCCTCCGATATCCCATGGCGAAACGACAATCCTTTCGGACCACCCCAGGTCTCCCGCTCATTTCCCAACGGCGGGATTCGACGTCTGCGCAACACCCTCTCTAAGCTCTCCCCCTCCGCCTTCGCCGAGAAGGAGCTCCTGCGCAAAAAGAATCAATATAAAATTCCCCTCACACACCGGAATGTGGATAATTTCGTTACGGAGCAAGAATGCAACGAGGCTTGCCGACCCAATCAGCGAACTCCGGATATCCAAGTCGTCGAATGGCTCCAACATGTTTCTTGATCGGGCCACTTGCAGGAAACTCCAACTCGGCTATCAGTTCGAGCAGAGTTCGACTAGGCTTTTTCTCGACTCTTCGAGATGCGTGACCCCGCACGCCCGCTTGCTGTCAGCCAAGCGCACCACCCAGACTCAATTCCTGTCCGTGCAGGACGCCCCGAGGGGCAGCCCACAGGGTCTCGTGTCAAGTGGTCAGCCAAAACATCATGGATGTAACAGTATTCTATGGGCCCCTTCTAAAAGGAGGCCACCATCGTCTGCTATACCCCCCTGGCTGGGCAAGGCCTTGGCACTGGTGTCATGGCGCAAGGCGCACTGGATCAGCTATGCATGCCAAGACGGCCTGCTGCCGTCGATAATGCGTCGCAAACAAACACCTACATATGTACCAGCATTTGATCTCTGATCTGGAGCACAATCTATTCAGTACCTAATACAATCGGAAGAGTTTAACCGTATCCATGTCAAAATCCATTCCTTACAGGCCCCAGTAGGAAAAACGTAGCTTATCAATCCTACTACACCAAACATACTCGCCGTCCGTTTCTCGACTAATTCCATAGACTAGCGAAATCACACAGGTAATGATGCATTCTAGAATGCCACCGGTAGCGATGTCATTCCTCGAGTCCAAAGACAACGATTATTGCCCCGCATTAATTGAGCCTCACCAAAGGCTTTCTAACCGGTTAACGTCTATTACTCGCGCCGCAATAGCAGGGGTCTTTGCGACATGCCTGCCAAGTACAAGGGGAGGCGGTGCTAATCGGGTATTTGAAACCCTCAAAATTTTATCAGGGAATTAGTAACCTTTAACAATACTCAGAGAACTAGTCGGACCTGGTTTACAATGTGCTGCTAGAGTTCCTAGATAGGGCTATGATCTTGATAGGGCCAATACTACGGCCGTAAGGAGTAAATGACATGAAAATAATGAAAGGTCTCTAAGCCAGGTAGTTTCAGGCAGCAAGACATTTTCTTCTAGCTTGGGTTATTTCCTGAAGGCAACACTTTGGCACTTGCTATTCCACGGCTTATTAGCCTCAGCAACAGAAGATCGAAACTAGAGTCAGAATCATAGTCCATAGTGCAACAGCATGGAGAAAAGAACGCAAGACATACAGGAAGACAACGACTTTCAGGACATTTGTCCCCCACCCTACAAAATGGTGAGAATCCATACCGAGATCTAAGTCTACTTTAGGGATTGGGCTAACATGATGAGAGTATTAGGAGAAAAGCAACCCCTTTACAGCCCAACCAAATCAGTCCACAGCCCTTTCGAGCCATAGCAGAAAGGAAGAGCCTCAATATAACCAGGCTTTATATCCTGCTAATGCTCAAATAAGGCGTGAAGATCCATTTCGCCGCTCGCACAGATATTCAGCGACTTCATAGTCAGATATCTGTCATCAAACAGCGGCAGGAACATTGATACTCGCGGAAAGATGTTCTTCGGCTTTCTGCTTTTCGCTGTTCTGACCACTCTTGCCCGTTGTGTCTTCCGTACGGATGAGCTGAAGGAGGGCTATACCAGTGGTAGTTTGATTTCCAATGAGAGTTCATTCATTGGTTTGGAGGGAGTGTAAGTGAACCTGGTTGTTACTCAAACTTTCGATTCTTTCCCGTTCTAACGCAATATAGGCTCATTGTGGTCGCGGTAGCTTCCTTGTGCATTGGCCACCCAGGGTTTATCTTCAAGACAGAGAGAGATCATGAGTACACCAGCGTCCATCACAGAGTTGAAATGAGCGTGTCATTTCGGTCTCACAACCACACCCACAATTGCATAGGGTTTACAAGGCAGAAGGAACGAGAGAACCTTAGTATACCTGCTTGAGTCCTGCATGCTTTGACTAGGATTGATCAGGAAAATATTACCCAGGCCACAGATTCTAGTATCTAATATTTTGTTTGTACTTAGGTTCATGTCTTGACTTTTGGTTTTCTCGTAAGGGTAACTATATTAAACATCCTTTTAATCCCTCAGCCTCCTCTGCAAAAGGTCTGCATGACAGCGGAGAGATGGTAATTTTTTTGATGAGATTTCTCCACGCCTCGAGATGTGTCCAGAGAAACTAGGAGTAAGAGTCAATGTTAGATTCATAATTCATTTTTCTGGCACTATAGAGTGGGGTGCTGCATAGCATAGCATTGGAGGGTGTAGACCATACTGTGAAGCTAGACATGGAAATCTCATTGAGTCCATCTAGGAGTGATATTTATCAGAATCCCACTCCCACTGCTCCAGGGTAAGAGACCAATCTTGCTTCCATCATTTGGTTGGCGGACCCTTGCGCAGTAAGGGTTCAAAATATATGATAATTTACGAAAGTGGCCGGATAGTACTCATCTGGATATCTGCGCTAAGTACTGTGCTTTGATTCTGCTAAAATTAAGGTGCATGTTGAGAGGCAAAGGGTCCATGACTCGAACAGAAGCCTCTCAATTTCCAACGTTCTTACGACTGTAAAGCCGTGAGCAACGAAATATGATTACCTCCGAGATACTTTCATGAGGAAAATTCGATCTCAGCATATAAGAGCTGACGGAAAGCTCGAAAGGACAGTCAATTCATAACCGGATATTCTCATCTTTTATCCAAGAAGCATCTTCTCTTACTCTCCATCACCGCCACTTCTATACTTGGCCTAGTTGCTGCAGACAAGCCCCAACTCCTTTGAGACCTGGAAACAAGGCATCCCCTCTTGCGCTCAGCCATGCTTCAATGATTTCTACTCCAACAGCGTGGTTACTTCTTGCGCCAGTGATGCAGCATCCAGCAGCAAACTGTCTGATCTACAATGTGTCTGTACTGCAATGAAATCAAATCTTGAAACGGGGGGATACACGGCAGTCCAATGCTCTTCTTCGAAGTGTGGGTCCGACAACCACATAACTTCGGAGATCACAGCAAGCCTACAGGGACTAGCTAGTATGTACAGTAAAGTTTAACCAATATTGTGTGAATCTCCCAGTGACTCGTGATATACGGAACTGTTGTACCAGATGGCAAAATAAGCTGTAAAGTATGGCTGTACAGGGGGCTTGCATCAAAATTTCTGTACAGAAATCTTTAGCAACCCATGGCATCTATATAATCATAATCAATTCTTCAATTTCGATTCTCTGTTATGTGAAATACACAGTACAACTGGCGTTCAAGCCATCGTATCCCATCGTTCGACCTCACGTGCGGGCTTTCTCGTCTTCGACGGGGTGGATGTACTAGATTTCGCCGGGCCTCTGAAAATTCTCTCCCATGTCCATCATGGTATGGATAACAAAGTTACCGATCCAGCCTTCGAACTCACTATTATCGGTTCTTTCGACATCATTTCCACCAGCGCCGCTGTCAAAATCGTTCCGGATGTCTATATAAAATCTGCACGATCTAAGCTGGATGAATTCGACATTCTAGTGGTTCCTGGTGGACCACCACCCATTGTGTTCTCTCTCGTTGAAAGTAACTCAGAAGTTCTGCAGATCGTGAAGGATTTTGGACAACTCCAACACGGTGAGACAGAGAACCCAAGAACCATTCTCTCCATCTGCACCAGGGCTCTCTTTCTGGGAGCTTCTGGCTTGCTGGACGGACTAAGGGCAACTACACATCATATATTCCTGGACGAGTTACAAGAATCCGTGGGAAAGAGGGGGAGACTGAGGTTATGCAGGCCAGATATGTGGATGGCGGGCTTAGAGAGAATGGGCTTGTGTGATTACGGGAGGTGGAGTTTCTTCTGAATCGGACTCAGCATGTTATTTTGTGTTTCAACTGTTTTCTCCCGAAGTGGCTTCGTTTGCGGCCAAGATGTCTAAGTTTTCGTGGATTCCACTATGAACATGCATTAAGTGATCTTTTCAGTGCCCGAGGTTAGGTACATAACATCATGTACATTGGCGGCTGCCCCGCCGCGGGGAAGACTTACCCAGTTAGGCAGAGAGATTAACTACTATCAACATCAGCCCTGTCAAACAACCCATCTCGATCTTCCTCAACGCGCATAATACTTTCAGGCGAGAAAGGGCTTGATATTGAAGATGCGATCAAAGAAAGTCGCCATCATTGGTAAACTCCCAGCATACATTTCAGCCAAATCTGAGCTTTCCCCGCTAACCTGGATTGCAATACTTAGGAGCCGGGCCATCAGGACTCGTCACAGCAAAGACTCTCCTACATAACTGTCCCAGAGGAACATTTTCACCTGTCATCTTCGATGCCCGCCATGAAATCGGAGGCCTTTGGCCCAACCAGTCAGCCGAGAGAAGCACTCGGCATGGCACGGATTCACCACCGACACTAGACCCGTACATGAGGACCAATCTCAGTCGGTTCACGGTGGCATTTTCCGATCTATCGTGGGACTCTGCTTTATTGTGTGCAGATGTTCCGATGTTTCCGCAGGCACGACAGGTTGGACAGTACTTGGCTGCTTATAGTAGTCTGTATATCCCGAGGGATGTACTGAGATTGGGACATCGGGTCGTGAAAACGGAACGTTTGCTGGGGATAGATGATACTTGGAGATGGAGGGTATCTTGGATGAGAGGGAGGTTAGTACTATGCTTATGGATTTGCTGATCATTTTTGTCGGAACTAACTTTTCTCGATCAGCGTCCAAAACAGCAGCCAAGAGGCAGCTCACCAAGCCAACGAGATTGAGTTTGAAGACTTTGACCTCCTTGTTGTCGCATCCGGATACTTTGCCCGTCCATATGCACCAAAAACTCCGGGACTGAAGGAATTCAAGGGCCAAGTCATCCATAGCTCTGTCCTGGAAAAAGGCCGCGCCTCTCTCTCCGCAGACACAGACATCACCCTTCGCGGACACACCGTCGTGATCGGCGGTAGCATGTCAGGTGTTGAAGCTGCATCTGCACTCGCACTGCGAGAATCTTCATCGCGGATTTCCACAAACCCTGCTACTGCAAGCTCGCACGGCAAGAACAAGGTGTATCACATACACTCCCGGCCCTTCTGGACTCTACCCACCTATCTCCCTTGCGAGACGTCTGATGAGACCGTATCTTTCTTGCCTCTGGATTTGGCAATGTACGACCTGAGCCGTCGGCCGCCGGGTCCGGTAGAGTACAACATAGGTCCTCTCTCGGACGAAAAGATTGAGAAAACGAACGGATATTTCAGATCACTGCTTGGTGCCGAGTATGAAAAGTACGGACATTCGCAGCAACAGTCTTCCTCGACAAAACCAGTCTCTCAGCCGGAATGGGTGGCGATAGGAAATGACTATGCGGAGTTTGTCCGATCTGGAGGGATAGAAGCTGTTATGGGTCGAGTTACCTCGATTCATCCGCAATCTGATCCCAGAACTGCCTCAATCAATATCAAGACTGCTGAAGATTCTCAGACGCTAGATAACGTGACCTCGATCGTGATGGCCACGGGATTCACGCCATTTGATTCACTATCTTTCTTACCCGAGGACGTCCGGTCTAGCCTGGAGTATAACGCAGATGACCCATTCTTACCACTCATACTGGATAAAGGCGGCACATCACGCTCAGAAATACCAGATCTAGGATTTGTCGGGTTCTACCGCGGCCCTTACTGGGGCGTCATGGAAATGCAAGCCAAGTTCCTGGGTAAGGAGTGGGCAAAAGAACATGATGCCTCCGTTGGTACCGAGCTCGAGACCAAGGACCAGAGCCAGAGGGAACTTCTTCGGAATCTGAGACAGCCCAGTACAGAGGCTCGCCGTGGTCAGTTCTTCATGGGTGACTATGTGGGATTGATGGAAACGTTTGCCAAGGATCTTGAAATAGAGCGGCTGCCGTTATCGGATGATGAGAGTCGGAGCGGACCGGTTATACCTGCTCGATATGCCCAAGAAAAGGAAGACGGCGAAGGACAACATACATTGGATAGCTTGCGAGCTATGTTGCGTCAGGATCACCCCACAGTCCAAGCAGCGGCATCTCTAGCCGTGTTTAGGGCTTTACACGGGACATGGACGTTTACCCGGACATCGGTCACAGGAGAGCGAGCAGAAACCGGGACTGTGGCGTTTATCCTGCGATATTCATCAAATCCGATATACGACCGGGAATATGTTTTGGAGACACGTCAAGAGGCAGTGTCTGCAGAGAGCCAAGCCTCGTCTGTTGGGGTGACTGTTTTTCGCCTGTCGGAAGCCAGTACCGGCGAGTCAAGTTCTCGAATTGGAGTATATCATGTCACCACGGATGGGGACAGAGAAACAGATCAACTGGCTCATAGGCTACATCTCACATCATTCTATCGCGGGAAAGAGGCTGGGGAATACGTGATCCATGCAAAAAGCATACACTCTAACGCTACTGACGGACCAACTGCACGACAAATTCAATATAGCTTCCATTTCAAAGGCGTCTCTATCACCGAGTGGGAGTGTTTTGAGTTAGAAGACAGTTACACAGAAGGCAGCAGAAACATCGAGAGTCAAGCTCAAGATCACTGGCGAACTGTTTACAAAAGATAGAAGGCCAGACTATGAACAACGAATTGAAAATGTGACATTACCAACCTGCCAATGCTCAGGCATTATTGCCCAGGCCGGTGCCTCGGCAAATTTCCCCAGAAGAAGAATTGGGACCTGAACTATACATTCGAATATAGACTACAGCTACTGTAGCATGAGGCTTCGGTTCCATTGTACCGGGATGAGGCCAAACTTCATTCGGAAGGTGGCTTGAAGGTCCGACCTTAAAAATTTTCAATCTAGACTCAATGTCAACTAACAGATAGGTGATCGAATTGTCTATGACGTTATGAGCATACATCTAATCATTATTCTAGAGCAGCCTAGGTCTAGATACTGATCAATGCTTAGATAACTGCGTACCTCGCACTTCATTCCCCTGTTCAAATTCAGACTTCTCCCCGGGTCCCTCCAAAGAATCGAACGGTCGCGTACCTAGGGCCTCGGTATAATCTTCATCGCTATTTCCGTCGGCCCCGACCGGACAACACGGTTCAGGTGGCGTCGGATTCCCGTTGATTGATCGATGAACCGAGGTTGAAAATCACGGAAATGGCGAGCGAGCCAATTGTAGAGAAGAAACCATATAAAAACAAGAGTTCGTTCCAGATAATGCTAACGTTGCATTCAGGCTCTCGGGAACTCCGCTCATTGCCATAGGGATAGATAGAAGAATTTCTCGGTCTGGACCTGTTGGATGAACTGTTTTTTCTGATATCAGCTTGATGGAGATTTTCGTCTGGGGTAGATCACCCGCAAAGGTGCGGCTCTGCCGAATTGACTTCTTCGGCCGAAAATATGCCGATAGAACCTTCGTTCTTCTAGGTTCTTGGTTGATATTCTCGTTGATCGAATGTCTATTTAAGTGACCTCAAGCCTCGAGCTTCAAATTTCAAGTTCCAAGTCCCAAGTTCTACTCAAACCTCCGGTTAAAGAAGTATACGAAGTACACGAAACGTATCTTCTTCTATACCACCACCCATCTTCTTTTGAAGGAACTATACTATACATCCAGCCCTCGATCTACGAACTACAATGGCTCCAACCAAACAAACACAACCTCCTCTCACCCTGGATTCCATCTCCGAATCCCGCGCCTTACAAACCCTCGAAATCTACTTCACCATCCTCCTAAACCGCCAAATCACCCGGCGCTTCCAACTCGAACAACAAGCCATGCACGACCTCCCCGTCTCCCAACGCTTCCGACCCGTAATCCTCCTGGAGCCAGTCCCAACCCTACAAAAACCACATTCACCCTCCACAAACACACTTGCCATTCTAAAAACAAAAATCCACCTCCTCCGTGCCCGCGTCGAAAAAGGCAAAGAACTTGCCTCCGAAATCGAACGCCGCATGCAAAACCCTTACATCACATTTCCAACACATTTCTGCCATACATGCGTTGTGGACGGGGAATCCGGTGGCGTGGAGGTATTACTGACGAAATGTGGACATCGGGTTTGTCGGACTTGTCTGGGCTTTGGGATGGACGGGAATGGGGTTTATGAGTGTAGTATTTGTTTTAGGCCCGCGCAGTTTGTTGTTCGGGAGACGGGGAGGTCGCCTTTGGGGGTTGAGATGGGAAAGGGCATGGGAGAAGGGGTTGGGGAGCAGAAGAAGAGGGGAGGGTGTCCGGGACAGATTGCGAATGTGTCGAGGAGGTTTGGTTATGGAGGTGATGGTGGTGGGAAGGGATTTGTGAGGCCATTGGTTTGTCCGAAATAGGCTGGATATGGTGTTCTTTTTGCATACTGGGATGTTATTTGGGCATTGACTTCGTTCTAGCGGCATTTGCATTATGATGTTTCGCTCGTAGAGTACTCTAGATTATGGAAATTTCAATCGAGTTTCAAAATATGACCCTTCTCATCCAACATCTTACTTCCATCCTATCTTCGAGCCCATCACTAGTTTACATAGAAGATCCGTCCATATTATACACCGATACAAAATCCAACCCTCTCCCTTCAAACAAATGAAAACAAGGGGAAAAAAAGCAACAACGGACTTGGATATCAGGATCTAAGAAACCTCTAATTACGAGACCGGAAAAACGACGGACAGCTTAACCAAAAAGGAAACATCACATTGAGACATCAGGGGTAAAGGGAAAAATGCATCATGACAGCCATGGGCCAGCTCCAAGGCCATTGCAATTGCACCGAACAAGTCAAAAAACGCCTTCTTTACCCCGCAAAGGCCGAAAAGAAAAGATAAAACAGACAGAAAAAGGACAAACTGGTAGCCCGGCCGGGGGGGGGGGAGGGAGGGAGGCTGTATATGACGGGGTGGTGGAAGAGACATTATACAGGAGAAGGGGGTGGTAAAAATGATGCAAAGCGCAACCATGCGAGATAAAGCAGTGTTTCCCAAATCATGCAACGGGGGATTGGGGGGAGTGTGGGGTATATTCATGTGGTGTATGTTCATTCGCTTTTTCACTTGTGCAAGTGCCGAGGTGGGCAAGATCGACAGACCTGTTTTTGATTCTGTTCAGACTCTGTGTCTGCTTCTGCTTCTGTTCGGTTTCTTCATCGATCCTCGGCATGAGCCCCTTCATCAATCACCATCTGCACATCCTTGACGGGATGGAGGAGCATGGGGGGCAGACACATGCGTCCCTCACCAGCCAGCTCCTGCTGCTCACCACCGTCATTATCAACGCGCAGACCAAGCCAGCGACGCCAGAGGTTAGGTGAGAAGCCTGCAGAGTAGAACCAGGTTGTACCCTTGAAGTTGTGCTCGCGGTCGCCAAAGACTGATGTGCGGGCACCACCAGAGGCGCCGTTGCGTCCAGCGTTAAAGACGGATTCCAGGTAGCGGGTCGGCCAGCGACGATCAACATAGACGGCGTGTGGAACGTACACGGCCTTAAAGCCGTGGTGCAGCGCCGTGGTGGCAGGCCACATCTCCGAGAACATGGTGTGGTGGCGGAGACTGGTCTCTCGGTGCATGGTGGTTAGAAGCTTGCGGGATAGACGAGAGGCGGTGATGATGGCCGTGCGGCGCGGAGGGAACCCGTTCTCGTGGCTGTAGCCAGTAACATCATCACGGAGAAGCCAGGTGGTGCTCTCGGGATCGTACAGCGGATTAAAAACAATCAGATCCGCGTCTTCACCCACACCCCACTGGTACTGATCCTTCTCCACGGTGGTGGGTGGGATGCCCTCGCCCTCAACCTCGAAGATATCGGGCTCGTCAGGCCGCTCAGGGCCCCAGACCGCCTTGTCGCCTTGCTGGTGTAGACCATGCGAGTTCTTCTCGCCACCTTCAGAGCCGGCCTTGTACATACTCCACATGTTATTGGGGCTGTTGGTACCAATCTCAGTCTGCACGCGGACCATCTGGCGGAAATCTTCCCACGACCCATGCACCGAGGGAACATAGAAACGCGCATTACGCTCCCACATACCCTTACGAGGCTGCTGCTTCGCCCAGTCGCCCACCTTGTCAAATAGGTGGTACCAGTGACCCGTGTAGCGGGCGTCCATCTCCCAGTTCCAGAAGAAATCGTACTCTGGATGCTGGTAGGCGAAGTATTGCATCGGCATGTAGGTGCTGCGGTAGACGCCGTGAACGGGTAATCCACGAGTGAATGTTTCCTCGAGCCCGGGGTACATCAGAGACATCTGGGCTTCCGTCCAGAGTGTGCCCATGCCACGGAATTCCTCGGGAAGGGCCTCGCTGAGCACTTTCTCATAGGTCTCGTCGTCCGCCCAGATCTGGAGATCGTTGTTCTTGACGTGAATGAGGAAGTGCACGGTGTACTCACCGCCAGACGACAGCGCAAGCTCTGAAATCACCGATCGAAGGTAAACAATGTCCTCGGGAGTATAGTTGAAGTCATGCCAGGTACGGATGACAATCGCAGTTCGAGGCAAGCGCTCCGACCCAATCTTAGCCTCTGTCTCACGGTTGTCCTCGATAGATGGAATCTCCACCTTAGGCATACCCACGGGCATAGAGACAAATCGGTTCAGACGTGGCTCGGTCAAGTTGAACCGATGGCGGTTGGCCGCAAGACAACGCTGCTGCGCACCCGCCCAATCCACCTGGCGGAAATCCACCGGGGGCACATCTTCCCAAATACGCTCAGCACCATCGCGGTGGCCTTCCAATCCAGCCCCGCTGCCGCCCTTCTTGACTCCATATCCCAGGCCGTATGGCCCCAATCGACCGAAGCGGTCGAAACACATATCATCGCGAATTCCCAACATCGTATTCGAGCCGATTGCCGGGTCCGGGAAGCCTTTGGGTATACCGGGGTATGACTGAACGGCGGGAACTCGAATAGAGTTGTCCTGATCCAAAAAGCATTCGCGCTTTTCACCATACTTCTGAATGTATTCCAACGAGTTGTAATCCGGGTATGGGTTGAACACACTACTCGTCATAGTAGGTTTCAAATCTCTCGCTTTCAAGCTATTGTTGTCCTCTTGGGCGGACACTTCCTCGGGTAGCGCCAATCCGTCCGCATTGTCGCCGGGGTATTCAGGTACATTGTCGCTGCGCTTCACCAGGCTGGTGAGTCCACCCTCGTAGCGTTTCAGGAACGGGAAACTTTCCCATAGTGGGGGTTTGTTCGGTTTAACCTTTGGTAGCTCAACGTTAACCTGCGAGACGGAGGAGGAGATTGTGAAGCGGAAGAGTGTGAGGATAAAGAGCACGAGGGAGGCGAATAGCGCGAAACACAGCCATCGCATAATCCGCTGCGGTACTCTGAAGCCCACGGGTGCTCTTGCGCGACGCATGCCCGCGCCGCCGAAGGGCGGGTAGGATGTGGAGGAGTGGTCGGGCCCAGAATCGGAGGTCTCATCGTCGCCATCGCTTAGGTGATGGTGGTGGTTGTGATTGTGGTTGTGGTAATTTTGGCGGGCATTGAGAGGGTGTTTTTCGACGTCGCTGTCTTGTACTTGTGTCCGCGCAGAATACGGCGAGGGTTTGCTGTATGCTGCGGAGGATCTCCTGGCCTGGACGGTCATGATGCCAGCAGACGAATCGTCAACATTGACGTGTGGGGAGAACGGGAACTAGTCCAATCAAAAATTGCGCGAGCACATCTGTCGGTCCAGGACTGACGCAGTCACCGAGTTGAATACGGCGCAATTGACTGTTGAGGTAATAGGGGGGAAGGTTGGAGGGTTGGAGGGTTGAAGAAAAAGGCGCGATGGCGAAACGATGTGGACGTTTGGCTGGTTTTGGCTCGGGGAAGTTGGCAGATCGTCGGCCAGGCAATTCCAAGTTTGAGGGGGGTCGAGGCGTCAGGGGAAGCACAACACAACACAGCAAACACGAACCCTGAAACACAGGAGGAGAAAACTCCAGGTTTACAATTGACCTCTGAACTGCAACAGTAATTGAACAGTAAATAATAACCTGTAGGAATGACCAAAAGAAAAGAAAAAACAGAAGACAACAAACGAGAGTCTGGACGAGTCGAAATGCCAAGAACCCGCCGGCCAGCAAAAAGAGCGAAAGAGATTACGCATGTCCGCTGCTAATTTTGGCCGCCGATGATCGCTCTCTCCTATCTGCTTTAGGGTGAGATGTAGGGTTTAAAGGTGTATAAGTATTTAAATGTGTGTTAGTCCACGAATAAAGTAGTAGTTCAAAGTGAGAATCTTTAAGTCCGTATGCTTCATCTCATACTTCCTTATCCCAGTGTATACCCGAGGCCCCTCATACTTCCATACTCTCTTTACTCGCTAACTATGGACATCTACACTACTTGCGATCTACATGAAAGAGTCGAGCAAAGAATAGACTCCATAATACTCTGATATAGTAGTAGCACCACTCCTTGGATTCCTCCAAGCATATCGCATACTCAAGTTACATGGTGATACACAAGGGGGTTTAACAAGGAGAAAACCGCAATTTTGACGTGGCGCCAGGAGAAAAAGAAAAGAAACAAATGAGGCTAATAGCATAGCGAAGAGAAATAGAGAGCCGTGGAAAGCTCAAACACACAAAGCACCGATAGAAAGAAGAAAAAAACCCCCTTCCCGAGGAGATTCCATTCACTGGTCCATCCGGGATTTGGCCTCGCGCAGAAACTCCCGCCGTAGTCATCATCAATCCATCATTTGCAGATTTGCCGTTGGTATTTCTCTCGCCCTGCTACATACACGCATCCCGTTCCCTCCAGTCGTCCCCAAGTGAAAAAAGTGGATTTGGAAAACTCGCATCATTCGCCATATTATACCCGCTTAGTCGCGGTTGGTTTTCCGGAGAGTGTCGGCGAGCCACTCCAGACCCTCGTACAGACCATCACCAGTGGTGGCGCAGGTAGATTGGATGAACTGGAAACAGGGGAGAAGAGTTAGCAACATGGATTGCAAATACGAAGCGGGGGTGGAGAAGGGAAATATCAAAGGAGCAATAATGTGGAGAGGAAATCAAACTAACCCAAGCACGGCGGGTCAGGCTCTGGAGGCCGAGCTGCTGGGTAATCTCGGCGGGGCTCATAGCGTTCTAAAACAAGGCGCAATCAGTAATCCATCTCATGCAAGTTGTGGTGTTAGCTGGAGGTGCCATTTTGGCAAGTACATACGGGCAGATCTTGCTTGTTGGCGAACACCAGGAGCAGAGCATCACGGAGCTCATCCTCGTTCAACATGCGCTGCAACTCCTCGCGGGCCTCGACAATACGGTCGCGATCGTTGCTGTCCACCACGAAGATGATACCCTGGGTGTTCTGGAAGTAGTGGCGCCACAGAGGACGGATCTTGTCCTGACCGCCGACATCCCACACGGTGAACTGGATGTTCTTATACTCGACAGTCTCGACGTTGAAGCCTGTCACGTTCTCAAAGTCAGCCTCGGTCGCCGGATGCGTGTGAATGCCGTTCCGAGTCGGAGCCTCGAATTCCTGGAACGACGATGGTCGACAGGTAAAAAGGCGGAGCGGACTAACCAATGGTGGGGATGGTGGTGACAATTTCACCGAGCTTGAGCTTGTACAGGATGGTGGTCTTTCCGGCGGCGTCGAGACCGACCATCAGGATTCGCATCTCCTTGCGACCCCATAGTCTATCAAAGAGCCTGGAGAAAGTGATACCCATATTGAAGGAGCCTCGAAGCCTGGCGTAGTAACACAAAAATAGAGTTAGTTATGAAGGAGGGGGGGGTAACAAGGGAAGATTGGAGAGAGGGGGGTGGTTGATGGATGGATGTGGTGGTGGTGGGAAAACGTGTTGTGGACTGCGGTCAGGGGTGTCGGAAGTGGGTTTTTGGAGTGGGTGCAGCGAGTAATGCGGCAGGGGGGATCGACGAGCACAGAACTTACCGGCAGCAAAGAGGGACAGATGTAGAGAAGCGTGGGTTGATCGGAGGAAGAAGAGGAGGAGAGGAAGGAAGATGATGATGATGGAGGTTAGGCTGACCAGAAAGAACAGTGGAAGGGGGTGTTTTTTTTGGTTTGGAATTGGGAATACCAAAATACGGCAGTTGGCGGTGGGCGTAGTCTCCGTCCCTAACCAACGGCGGCGGATGGGGTATGGTATGGTAATGAAGGGTCTTGGCTGGTAATTTACTGTCGACTTTGTCGTTGGTCGAGCTTCAGAGCAGGTTTGAGGGGCTCCAAACTATGGTATTTATGCTGGTGGCACGAGATAACTGCCACGTTGGTCTATATGAGTTTCTACAAAGTTTTGAAGGTGTAGGCAACAATATAATAGATGCGTGCACGGTGATGGCATATTGGCATATTCATTATACACTTAAAGCCATATTTGGCTGGTCTATACTTGGTTAGAGGTGTTTGATACCATGCGCTCGAAAGAGGACACCGTGTTTCCCGTATGTGAAATACGGAAAGAGGCGAAAGGGGACTCGCCTCTCCGTAGCCGGGCCTGTTGACGAGAGTACAGTACTGTACTCTCCGTACTCCATATACGGAGTTAGTCAGGCTCCCTCCCGGTCTTTTTGCACCTCTTTATGGGACCCTCCACCCTCGCCCACTCATTTCTTGACCTCCAGCCTCGACCCCCCTTCGACCCAGATTCACTTGCCCCATTGACTCCCTTCTGATAGGCTCATTCCCGACTTATCGGCCCAGTCTCGTGCCTTGCACCGCGCCAACACCGCTCTGCAAATCGCCGCAAGCCAATGCACCGGGCCCCCAATGGGAGAGTGGGACAGTGGGACACACATGGGACCGAGGAGTCCACCGCCGCGTCATGACACCATCGCGATCGCGTGCGTCCCCCAACTCTATACCTATCGAGTACACACGCTTCTCCATTTGGGAACTTCCGGTCCTTTGGATCAGTCCTCTCGTTTTGCTCGCCCAGTGATCCTTTGTCGTGATCGTCGGAAGAACGTCTTCACTAGCGACCGATAAATCGTCTTGCCTTCTACGGTATCGCTGGCGAACCCGAAGATGGTCAGGACGAGAACGGTCACCACAAAGATCACCGTGAATGCCACCCAGTATTCTGCCTGGGTGTATATACCCTTGACACCTTTGAGTTCTGTTGAGAAATAGGCCGTCATGAGACTGACAGGCAGGAACAGCATGGTCGCTTTGGCGAGCAGGATGGTGATCCGGGTCAATTTCTCCACAGCCTGGGAGTCCTTGAGTGCGATCAAGTTGAAGTTCTAACCAAAAAGCCATGGTCGCATTAGCATCAGAACAAACTTTGACAGGTGCCATTTGAAGAGAGCAATTCTTACCAGAAACGTCAATGACTCCTTTTCCAAAAGGCAGGTGTCAATCTCGCTCAAACAATATAGGTTGATACGGTCGACCAACCGCTCGAACCGGGCCACCGCCGCAGAGCTCAGAGCCACCCCGACGGGCTTATCATTCGTTGCAAATCGGTTACCCTCGCTGACGATGCTTCCTTGCCGGAGATCGGAGAAATCGGAGTCTGCAAAGGTGTTTCCATAAGGCATAGGCGGAGGATTGGAGGAACGAGCCTCGTCGCGTAACAACCGTTGTCGCTGGAGTAGACGTCGCATGATGAGCTCGTAGCTCTGATATAGTCGTTTGAGCACGCCCAGCCGACGTCCCAACCAGTGGAGTTCGTCAACGAGGTCAACCATGGGCCGTTCGAGCATTTGTCCTCTCTATCTTGGGGTCAGCGGTCTGAGGGCCAAACTAGGCCGAGGGTCTGGCCCAGTGCCTTGCAATACTTACCAATTCTTCCAGAGAAACCCCGTACTTGTGCTGACGCTTCGCGATCAGCCCAAAGCTCGACACCCAGTCGTCGAATAGATAGTAGAACAGCAAACTCGGCCCATCCTCCTGCTTGATGATCACCTGGTCCGGTCCAGTCTCATGGAAATTTCTCACTCGGATCGTTACCAAAGACTCGCTTTGCGACTTATTGGCGTGCTGCTTCGAGATGCCAGAAAAGATAAATCGGATATTCCGACTCGCGACGTCCAGCACCGCGGCCTGCTCGTCCTCGGTCAACGTGTGAATTTGTGGTAGAGGGTTTTCCTGGATTGAAATAAGAGTCCCTGACATCAATCAGCAAATATTCAAGCTATTGGGTCCTATGATGAAATCTCCTACCATCATCGCACAGGATCAGCCATGACCAGAGTCTCGTGCCTTCAGGTAGGTCCTTGCCATTTTCCACGGGTACACCGGGTGCTACAAATAATGTGTTGTAGCCGACACATGTATCTGCTTCCCGTCAGCGGCTATGTTTCCTCGCGTCATGATCATCTACTTACATCGAGGACCGTAGTCCACGGATGAGAAATGCCAAATTTGGTCGGTGACTTGCCCAAATGTGAGGCCCTCGAATGAGGCAGACTGGTATTTCTTCGTCATGGCAGATCCGTTCTCAATATCGTCGAGTTCAAGGTCAATCGTCTGGGCCGACACTCGCTTTACTTTCCTCACGGGATTTGGGGCTGTGATTGCTGGTGGCGGGGCATGGAAGGGCTCGGTGTACATCATGCCTTGTAGTCGTTCAGAGACTCCGTATTTGGATGTGATAGTCTAAGCATGTTGTCAGTGTTCATTATTCCATGAAGATGGTAAACTCGACACACTTGAATAGTATCCTTTTGCTGCTCCGGATTCCAAATATGACTGCAATTGCAGGAGTCAGCCTCAACCACCCAATCATTATCCTTCCTCCCCATAGCGAACATAGAAGTCAGTCATATCTTACATCCATCTAGTCCCAAAACACTTTGCCCTCTTTACACCGTTGCAAAAGTTCCCATTAGCAACCATCCCATAGATCAACCGAACTCCCATCTCTAGAGTGAACATCAACCTACCTGACCAGTCAACAAACCCCGAAAATCACCCGTATTCAAATCCGTCGCACAATACGCAACATCATTCCCAAAGTCTAGCACGAAGCTCCTCGTCAACGGGTTTTTTAACCGCTGCATATAGTCCATGAAATGAACTTTGTCATCGATATTCTTGAATTTGGACTCCAATGAGCCCTGTGCGCCCTGGAGACTGGCATAGTACTCCTCCGGAGTGCGTGGGTCGCTGCGCTCGTAGATTGTTTCGGCCATGGTGGTTCGGAGCTATCAGCCTAGCAGCTACTGGTCTAGGTTGGTGATAAGCGGAGTTAGCGTGTCCGGGCGCGGGGGGATCGTGTTTAGCTATTAAAGTAGTTAAAGGTAAACACGGCTGCTAGATCGAGCGGGGGGCGCCGCGCTGGTGTATTATTGCGGGGAAAGGGGGGAAGAAGGAAGGGAAGCTGGAATTATCGCAGCGTTTTGCAGAAGAAAAAGATCGAACTGAGACAGAAATAATAGCTGCTGCAGGACTAGGCTGATATTAATACGAAAATTCACGCCTTGCCAAAAGGGGGGCGACCGTCATCTGAGGCTGATCTTGCCGCTGGTCACGCTTAAGCGCCGGCATCAGCTGCAGCGCAGGGTCGCCCCGCGACAACCCGTTTCATACTACCTCTACTTGACCCCGGTTCCAAATATAGTTTTCATGTGGAACATGCTGCACAACCTGGGCGTGGTTTAGCTTGATTCCGGGTTGTCGGGTGCTTTTTGCTTAGCGGAAGCTTGGTCACAGGGTGGTCTTTTGGAGATTCTCCTGGGGTCGTCGTAGACATACATATCGGGGGCAGGTCAGATGAGGTTATGACAGAAACAAGCATATTGTCAGAAACTAACAGAACTGTAAAATTGAAGAGGCATTCTGGCAGTAGATAAGCACACGATCCAACCTAGGTGCTCTAGAGCCAAGATTCGAGATACTTCGATAGTTCTAGTTCGATCACGATATATCGTGTTCTCCGCGCGCTAGCGGAGTAGCCATCTGTGAATACACCCAAGAATTCTAGATCCTCCAGGTATGAATACTCGAACCTTTGTAAGACTATTGACGCATGCAGCTACATGTCTACAATTATGTCACACTTAACCTGGTGACCATCGGGCAAACCACTTCTGTACGAGTATGTACATTTGCCTGACCTCACAGCCAATCAGGTCACAGGGCATTGGCGCTTACCCGTAACGGGTCTAGCGCAGGGCATGTGACGTTGACGTCTGGCCTGATTATCAAGGCTACAAATAAGTGATGCATCCCTACCGAGTTTCCAGCCTCTACTTCCCCACGATGTTCCTTCACGCCCGAATGTGAGCTTCGGTACTCGTTTAATCTCACAATGGTTGGGTCAAAGGTGGAAAAGACCAGTCGCTCTCCAGCCTCGTGTACCGAGTGCCAGCGGCGTAAGCAAAAGGTAGGTTATTCGAGATCATCTCAGACATTTATCTGATGTTCAAATAGTGCAGCCGGCAATGGCCTTGCAATCATTGTCAAGCGCGGAAGATCCCGCATCAATGTAGATACCCTCAAAAGCAAGCGTCTGTTGGATCAAAGTCCTCGGCAGAGTCTCCAGGGTATGGAAAACGTCGGATACTGGCGGAGCGTGACTGACAACTTTTGCAGAAAATTATCTACTGATGATAATATCCAGGCTGATGTCAAAGCAGAAGAGCCTGAACTGAAAGCTACGGATCTCCCGGCTCTTGCTGCGAAGGATGAACTTCGTGGCTTGGGGTATCTAGCCGATGATCAAAATCTGCTATTTGGAAATGCGGCACCAACGGTATGTGTTCCTCCTCAAGAAATATATGGAGTAGATAACTGAGTTCCGAAGACCAGCAACACGTCAGCATCCAACCAATCTACCGAGGAAATCTCCTCAGAGATGAAAAATGTGTTGCGACTTTTGCCTCCAAAGCCCTACACAGGTTCGTAATCGCCATCGTGGCTTGGAAGTTGATGCCTCTCTAACGGCGATCCAGACATCCTAGTTGAGCGATACCTGGAGGTCACAAATTACAGTTACTACTGTTTATACCCGCCCACTTTCTCGCAAGATTACGCAGCATGGTGGTCTGATAGAGCCAAGGGCAGGCCCCTCACACCCGAATTTACTTGTCTGCTCATCCGAGTCTGCGCATGCTCAGCCCAATATCTCAGCGTCGAGATCCAGCAGAAACTCGAGTCCGACCTGGGTGAATCTGTGCAGAGTCTTTCAGAAATTTATCACCACGCTGCTAAACAATTAAGCAACACTATTCCCCCTGGAAAGGGAGGGCTGGCTCAAATCCAGCAACTTTTTCTCACGGCTGCTTGGTTCAAGGCCGAATTGTTATTTGTCGAATCCTGGCATGCTTTGAGTTCTGCAATACACGAGGCTCAGGAATTGGGTATGCATAAGTGTGCTCCACGGGCGGGCTTGTCAGAATTCGATATTGAAATGAGACGTCGAATGTGGTGTCTCTTATATGTGTGGGACTGGTGAGGGGATCTCTTGTTCTGCTGGTGTAAATGCACATGATATCTGATACTTTTTCTAGGCAAATGTCTCTGCTGCTTTCTCGTCCGCTCATTATTAATCACAGTTACTATGCATTCGAGCTTCCGAACATGCAGCTTGAATGTCAGGACCCAAAAACGTGCCCACCCTCCCCGTTTTCTCATATAGCTTCCCAATGCGAACTTGGCAAGATAATCTCACGGGTGGCAGCTACCATGGAGGGACCAGTTGATCCGATTCAAGCCAACTCCGTCAAATGTGATATAGACCAGTGGTTTGCGACTCTTCCACCAGCCTATCAGGAAACAGATCCAGATACCCAATGGGATGAGAAACACATCTACGTGGCCCTACAGCGGAACCAAATGCAAGCGATCGGATATATGACAATGCTAGTACCATTCAAAGCATTCCTCACCAAGACATTTGACAATCATAGTTCCGAGACGGACAGGGCACTACGAAGCACTGCAGTCGATATTGCCGTACACCTGATGGATGTCTCTCATCGACTATTTGATCATGTCTACCCGCTAAACGCCAAATTCCACCTCGTCACATTCCTAATCTTTGATACTGCTGCGTTCCTATCCTCAGCCATGATCCATGACAAGGACCACAGTCTTCCACAACGTGAAAAAATCATCCAAAAAATCAGCCTCGCCTGCTCTCTTATGCAGAAACTTGCCCAAGTCACCAAAACAGGTGCAATCTGTTATCCAGTTCTCGTTAGACTTGCCAAGAGCCTGTCTACATCGTCCAAGAAAACCGCTTCTTTTACTGGAATCAATGGCGGTCTCCCCAGCCTGGAAGTCAACGGTGCGGGCCCGTCACCAGAACTAGAGCTTGATGCATTCCCTTCACTAGGATTCACCTCCACAGAATCGTCATCCTCATCACAGGGTTCATTGGGTCCGAATGAAATCTTTTTGCCTGCCTCTCTTGACCTTTCGGTCCCAGGTATGGAAACACCGCCGGTCATCAGCGTGGGCGACTTTTCGAATTTAGACGTTGGCCAATTTGACCAGATTTGGGACTGGCAAAATCTTGACTTGACGTTGTTTCCTGCATGATAAGGCGCTTGCTTCTACGGGCGAAATGAGCGGAGGAATTGTACATAGCTCAGGAATAGTGGTTCAAAAGATATTTGGAAAAACTATTTTGAATAACAGACAGTTCAAGCATACTTGGGGATAGCAAGTCGTGCGAGAAGTCCCAGCCTAAAGAAAGGACCCCAGATGGTGGGTCCAAGGAGATAAAATAATCTAGAGCAGTGGGAGATATGAACATGGATACGGTGGTGGATAGAACCTGTGCATAGCTTTGGGGTGTAAATCTGTTTGTTAAGTAGGCTTAGGCCGCCCCCTCGTGAAGACGGAAAGATCCGCCCCAATGTCGTATCACACTATGCAGTTGACTCACACCCTGTCATGACTCTTTCAGCGTCTATTTGTACATGACTTTCCGGAGTTTAATCATCTGGTACTTAAGTAGCCTCCGCCTGAAGCATTAGTGCCCCAGACATCATTTTTAACATCTTCCTCCGCGGTCCCACTCTATGACAGCCCCTCACCTCGACCCAGACGAGGTTATCCTCGTGCCTAAAACATTCCTGCACCCCCAACTTGAAGAAAATGTTGTGAACAGATACAAAAAGCTCAGGCTTCATGGCCTCCGAGTCGATCCTCAGTCATTCTCCTCGACATATGAGGATGAATCCCAGTTCCCTGACAGCACATGGCTATCACGGATCTACAACCCAGTGGGCAAGACCTTTGCCGCTGTGACAAACCCAGACAACCAGCCAGAAGCCTCGACAGATAATATCCCTTTTCATGCCCTGGGCACCAATGATGCGCTCCAAAGTCTACTGCGAAAAGAATGGGTAGGCATCGTGACACTGCTAGGGCCAGGGGTATTCTCTAGGCCAAACGAGAGCGTTGCGACAGAGTTGAGCCAGCCATACGAAGTCTTCATTAGGGACAGGAAATATCAAACCCCCCTGACGACATCTGAGCTGGGTGATCTAAGCGGTGCAAACCTGGTTTACCTGGTTGTGGGTATGTTTGTTTCACCTTCAGCCCGGCGACGAGGACACGGTCAGCGTTTAATGGACGCGGTTCTTGCAGCTGCTACCGAGGAAGCCTGCATGCTTGGAGCGCGCAAAGTCAGCATTACCGTACAGGTCGAGTCTGGTAATCTCGGTGCAAAGCGACTATACGAGAGAGTGGGGTTCAAGGTGGTCGACGAAGGAGTGGTAATTGAGAACCGTCTTGGAGCAAAGTCGACTGTAGTGTGCTTGGAGATGGAAGTTGATATTGCTAGTCGTGAGCCAAGTCCTTCTTAAATGCGTGATCCAGGCCGAAGATTCAACTACAATGACAAGCAAATATGATCTTTGTGCCTCCAACTTCCTCTTTCCTTTTTCGTAGATTGTAATCCTCGGGCATTAAGGCAACAACACAAACAGCACGTGACTGCTGATTCATCATCTCGTTAGAGGGCAGGGCTAATCCCGTTTAGGACTAGTCGCACAATTTGCACCCACAAGCGGAGAAATTCGCGACATACATTTTCTTCTCTTCAAGACTTCAGCGTAGAGCCACACCATAAGTTTACCTTTTGGAAGACTGTCGCCATCATGTCGAAGATCACAGTCGGTATGTTCTACGCTTTGTCCCTCGCATTTCAATCCTGAGACTCGCCACTAATACCCTCTTAGCCGGAGTGCGCCAGAATGTCGATGAGCTGCTCAACTACTCTCTCAACGAGAAGAAGCGTAACTTCCTTGAGACCGTTGAGCTGCAGATTGGTCTGAAGAACTATGACCCCCAGCGTGACAAGCGTTTCTCTGGCACCATCAAGCTGCCTTCCGTCCCCCGCCCTGGCATGAGCATCTGGTGCGTTATTACAATCTCTCTCGTCCGCCCCGAGTCGAGTCGAGTCGAATTGTTGCTGCGACGTTTTGTGACGGATCACTGCAAGAGACCGACAAGCGAGGGATGGAGGAAAAATTCCTCATCTATGGCATTCACGACTGACATGGTGAAATTACAGCATTCTCGGTGACCAGCACGATCTCGACCGTGCCAAGCACCACGGTATCGATGCTATGTCCACCGATGACCTGAAGAAGCTCAACAAGAACAAGAAGCTCATCAAGAAGCTTGCTCGCAAGTACGATGCCTTCCTTGCTTCCGAGGCTCTCATCAAGCAGATCCCCCGTCTCCTGGGTCCCGGTCTGTCCAAGGGTATGTTTCAACTACACAAAACTCTGATCATGCACAAAACCGGTAGAGCCAACGCTAACTATTTTCCCCTCCTACAGCCGGCAAGTTCCCCACCCCCATCTCCCACGCTGAGGACATGGCCGCCAAGGTCACCGACGTCAAGTCCACCATCAAGTTCCAGCTGAAGAAGGTTCTCTGCCTCGGTGTTGCCGTTGGCAACGTCGGCATGACCCAGGATGAGCTTGTCGCCAACCTGATGCTCTCCATCAACTACCTCGTCTCCCTCCTCAAGAAGGGCTGGCAGAACGTTGGCAGCCTTGTCGTCAAGGCTACCATGTCTCCCCCCAAGCGCATCTACTAAATGTTCCGTCGCTTCATTGCGCTGGATCTGTAGTATGTGTTTGAGAAGTGAGGGTGTCATAGTTTAGTGACCAAAAATAAAATATGAATCTCACGGTCTCAAAAGTTTCCTCTTCTAGTCAACAGATATAGCCGTACACGTAAGGTTTATGGTATCAAGGCATATAGTAGTACACGCTAAATGTATTCAGGCTATATAGTAACAAAATTGTAAAGATGATTGTATAATACAAAGAGGTTCCCCATCTACTGCATGCCTTCCATCAACTCTGTCTTATCCAAAATCATACCCCGCATGCCAATAAACTCGCGGAGACTGTCCCATTCCTCACCCGTCTCCTCGCCATGCATGTATGGATCCTGGAATCCCCATGCACAAGCAACTTTATCCAGCGCAGCACGCTCCTCCTCGCGCAGCCATCGATGCCGCAAAGGAACACCAGGCAACCAGGTAACACGCTTCATCTGGTCATTGGCAGTAGTGATGGCCAGAATGCCAATGGAGGAAGTACCCGCAACATAGGCTAGTGATGCGGCAAACGCAATACCAGTCGCCGTGCTAGGGTCCATGGTGTTTTGGAACGTCGACGCCCAAGATGCCAGCGTGAAACACGCGGCCGGGGCAGCGGCCAGACCAGCCAGAGGGACGGCAGCCTTGCGGAAGACCTTTGCGCGATGGAAAGCAGGTGCACAGAAGGTGTTGTCGATCATTGCAAGTACCAGTGGGAGATTCTTTTGCTTAATAGCAACATCAATGGCCTGGTTTGCCAGCTCCGCGGAGACAGCGCTGTTGACATCCTTTGGATTGGCCTTGTGGAATTTAGGCGGGCTACTCTTCTCCTCGGGAATAGGCTTGTTGGCATAGAGATGGAAGACCTCGGGAAGGTGTTCAGCCCTGTTCAAGATGCACTGGGCCCTGACGTAACGCTCCAGCGCTGTGGGAGAGATGAAGACCTTCTCGTCTATGATAAGTTGTGTCATGACCCCCGAGAGTTGATCTGCCAGCCCGCGGAGGGCTTGCTCTACCTCATGTCGCTGTGTTGTGGATCCCCGCTTCTCTTCCATCTCCAGTAGGGAAGAGATCGCATTTCCATCACTGGTCGTCGAGTTGTCATCGCGCACATCCCAGTATGGCGAGAGTGACCGGGCTGTCTGTTCACATTGGAGAAGGACCTTCTCCACGGACTGATTCTCAGGCACTTGGTCAGATCCTAGCAGTCTGTATGCATTTGATTGGCATCTAATGGCCATTTTGACGAGGTCCTCGAGAGAACGGTGGGTCGTTTCAATGGCTCCATTATCTTCATTCGTGGCAGAAGGCTGCTCCGGGCTCGCGTCCGTTTCCACGGCTTTCTCGGCTTTCTGAGATGCCACGTGCGACTTATACCGCGTAGCAGAAAGTGTGTAGGTTGATTGCTGTGGTACATTCGGTCGCGACGACTGCAACACGAGGTTGCTGTTTGAAGCCCGTCCTTCGGGCTTCCCGGCCAGGCAAGCGAGGGGAAGGGCACGGCGCGTGGTGGAGGCTGAGAATTCACAGAATTGGCAAATTGCAGCTCTTTGAGCCTGAGAGCCCCGATGGGCCCTCAAAGGAATCCGGTTCATGGCAATTGGGGCAATCGCAAGGCGGCAAAGGTGGCTATGTTGCGATGGGAAGCAGGCGGCTATCTTTTTCTGATAGGAGGCTCCAAAGGCGGAGACTTGGCCCCGGCCCGTTAACTCGCCCTGCACTGACGTCTTTGCTTCTGCCTTACACACGCCGCTCCTTCTGGTCAAGGAGACCACCCTCGTTCATCTTGATACCCTTCCTATATTACATACCGCATCCAGATCGACTCTCGCATTCTCACTGACTACGCGCTTTCGCCAATATGCCTCCGCCCCCTCCGCCGCCGCCTCCGCCGCCTGGAGGCCTAGGTGGCCCTCCTCCCCCACCTCCCCCAGGAGGCCTGCCTGCTAGGCCATCAAAGGGCGAGGTGAAAGGCCGGGTATGTTTGGGATCATAGCTGAGATCTCCATCAGTGGGGTGCTGGAATATACAGGAGAAATAGGCTAACAGGAGAGCAGGGCGCATTGCTATCGGATATCCATAAAGGCGCCCGATTGAAGAAGACAGTCACCAATGATCGATCAGCGCCACTAATCGCAAGCTCTGGAGGAGGTTCATCTGCACCACCTATCGGCGGTGCGCCACCAGTTCCTGGGATGAAGGCTCCTTCAGGGCTTGCACCACCTGTCCCGTCAGGTTCCGCGGCCAATCGGTTACGAAGCAACAGTGAAGGAGTATCTGGGTCAGATGGAGGACTTGGCGGCGCAGCACCGCAATTAGGTGGTCTTTTTGCAGGTGGAATGCCAAAGCTTCGCAGCCGTGGCGGAGTCGACACTGGAGCCAACCGAGATTCACCTTACATGTCCGAAGGTGAAATCACGCGACCTCCAGCTGCACCAGCTCCCAAACCTCCTTCCGCTCCTCGTCCTCCTGGAAGCCGCCCGCCAGCTCCGCCCTCTTCAGAGTCGCTACCTGCTCCTGCTCTCAATCCATTGATTGCCAACCTCAAGAAGCCTCCTCCACGCCCGGCCTCAAGGCCATCATCTACAATCTCCACAGCCCCTGCCAAGGCACCAGACGTCCCTCCTCCTCGCGCTCCTCCACCACCTCCAGGATTGCGAAAGGCTTCTGGAGCCCCTCCCCCTCCTCCATCAGCTAGCCCAGCAGCTCCTCCCCCTCCTCCCCCGCCCGCGCCTACATCTTCCAGGGCTCCACCACCCCCTCCAGCTGCTCCTGGCCGACCAGGACCTCCCCCTCCCCAATCTGGGGCTCCCGCATCAATTGCTGCCCAAGCAGCGCGCACTGCACTTGGCTCTACGAGTTCTCCAGTCGCTCCTCCCCCTCCACCACCTTCTGCGGCCCCAGCAGCTCCTCCACCACCTCCCCCACCAGTCTCAGCTCCCGCTCCTCCACCAAGCGAGCCTCCCTCTCGCCCATTCCCCGGTCCTTCACGTCCGGTCTCACATGAACCTCATACGACACTAGATCCCAGTGCATACACACTTACCAACGGCGGCTCATCTCCCGCACCTGGTCTGCGCGCCCCGTCTACGAACGGTCCAGTCCGAATAGACGACACCCGGTTCAAATTCCAGGGTGATGGACTACTTCCTAAGCCTCGGCCATTTACCGGAGGAGTGCGTAGGTATCGTGCTGGGCGAGGTAGCAGTGTACCTCTGGATTTGAGTGCGTTGAGTGGCTGAGTGCATGGGACATTGCGGGCGATATCGTGCACAGATAGTGGTTGTTATACATATAAATTGTTTGATACAACAAAGACTTTCAAGGTCACTTTGTAGATAATCTTATTCATTGATCAGTATATTTGTAGATATCCCATATCAGATCAAAATCTCAAAAAAGGATAGTTTCTCGTTCTCGTTGTCGAAGGCCGAGAAGCTTAGCTATGGCACGTGACCTACAATGCCAATCAGTGCAAACAACCTCAAAGACCCCGAGATAATCACCATCAAACCCACCAACAATTGAACAGGAGCTTTCGGTTTTACGATTCTGTTACTTGTGACGTTAAAGCTTAATAGCCCAATTACTTTCCAGCTTTCAACATTCCAAGTCTGGCCTTGTGATAGCATCATCAACGTTCGAGTGCTCACGAACAGCGGATTTCGTTTCGGCTTCACCTTCACTCGCAAAGACCCCAAATTGTCACGCTCAAGCTCGCCTCGGACACCATTTGCATGCCAACATCTGCAAAGTCTTCCTTTCTGTCCTTAAAATAAGCAAAAGTCTGCCGAAGGACAGCTACGATCTCGATCTTTGCTCCGGAAAGCTGCAAAATCACGATTGCTGGCCGCAGAATAGACCGGTGCACGCCCGTCTCGAGCTTCAATTGCAGCAGCGCAATCAGCACACCTACCCGAACATCTCACTACATTAATTGAAGACCCCGTGTCGTCATACAACCCACCCACCATGTCTCTACCTCTCATGTCCCTCATTAATAGTATGTCCCAAACCTACTACCTCAACGCAACTACACCCTCAGTACTAACTCGTTTCCCTCCTTATCACAACAGAAAAAGTCCTCATCCTCACCGTGGACGGCCGCACACTTCTCGGCACACTCCTCTCCACCGACCAACTCACCAACATCGTCCTCACCAACACGGTCGAGCGCATCATCCGCACCCCAGACGACGACGAGCCCTCCGCGCAGGTCGAGCATGGCCTGTACCTTATTCGGGGTGATAATGTGGTGGTATGCGGCGAGGTAGACGAGAAGATCGATGCAGATATCGATTGGTCAAAGGTTAAAGGGCAGGTTATTCGGGATACGAAGAATGCATGAGCAAGCTTGGCTTTGATTTGCGCGCGTTCGGGCGTTGGTGGTTTGGGAACTTTTTCATATTCTTTGCATGAGAGGGACCAATGAGAGAGGCACTGCACTTTGGTTCTTTGGGGGCATGCGCCAGGGTGTCGTTATCATGTGCCTGCCCTGTCCATCATCGAAAGACAGTCGATTTTCGTTTCGCCCATACCCGGTCCTTTTCTATTTTCGTGTCCACCTACTTAGGCCTAGCATGGTCTTCCCTTTGATCGCAAACATATGACAAGCAGCGGCTTAACGACGACGTCATCAAGTGATTGGTCTGCATGTGGTACAATTGCCCCGGAGACATCAATTCCATGACTTCACATGCGATGAAGCCCTACCCTAGGCCCTTGGAGCTCGGCATTCATGCGGTTGGCTGCATACCTGCGGGGATCTACGGTACATTGGGGCTTTGGGCACGCGAAAGAGGACAACAACGGCATAGACGGGGGAGATCTTAATGGATACAATGCTGGAGAAAGGCCAAAAATACAGAGAGGTCTACGGGTGCTTGCGCGGGGAACATTCCCTGGGTCATCATAACAGGGCGGGGAAGGCCGGGCATGGAATGGGGCTCTTCTCGAGAGATATTCGGTAGATAATGACTATGAGTACTCTATCCTGACTTGAGCGCATGTATGTCGAAGGATGATGTTCGCATTGCTTGCCCAACTTTCTGCCCAAGTCGTAGTTTCTCGTTCTCCTATTAGTGGGTGTAGAGTGACAATATAGAATCTTGGAAGGTCTCACCTCAGACCATCGAGTGTATGCAGTAGTATGATAGTAATCAACTTACCGCCAAACAACAGGGAATATCCTTGCAGTATATGAGCCCTATATGTGGACGGGTTTTGTATCGAATCATGTCTGGCCTGACGAGTAAGCCTCATGATAATTGTTCCAGGCCAACAGCAACGAGATGTGGCCTAAATCAGACCTTATTCTTAGGTCTCGACCCACTGCGTTTAGGTGACACGACTCGACGGGGCACAGGGGACGTTGTATGGAGTTTGAAGTGTACAATAATAGTTACTCTGTCGATTTATTTCGTAATCTTTTGCCCAACCATAGAAAACATCGCGTAGTAAGAGTAATAATCATACTCTCCAGCCCCTTTCCATCCCGTTTGCGGCGCAGTGTCCCCACACGCGGGACGAAGGATTGATGCTAAGCCCAGTATAAACGTCAAGTCTTTCGAACCAAGGACCATACACCGTACCTTTTTCAAGAGCTTCCTCTTCGTGAACAGTCCCTTCGTTTAAAGGTTCAAAAAGAGGGGTTCAAGACCAGGATTAAGGATCTAGCCAGTCCAACTGGCGGCCCTGGAAATGTTGCCCGATCGCATGAATCGTACAGTAGCGCTATGCGGGTTCTTGGCGCCAACCGGTTGTTAGGGGGATTTGATGCGGTCAATTCGCCGGTGGAAGTAGATTAGGAGTCAGTTAGGCCGACGTGTTCACTAACTGGATTTCGGGGCAGTACTAAAGTCTGATGTATCTGGTGGGACGTCGAATTGACGCAATTGTGAATGTCAGAGCCTGTTATTAACTTTGGAGAGAGTATGTAAATAGGTCCAACCGCAAGCAGGGCAGGGTTCACTATGTAACTTGGCGAAACTCGTGGTGTAATCGTGTACGGAGTACGGAGTATAGTTATAGGGGAAAGTACGGAGTCTTTAGCCATGTTAGGGTACCAAAGTCACCGTAGTATGGAAGTACCTGGGGGAACCGTGGGTGAATAGTAATGTAATTGGGATGTATTGACCTGGTATGGAGTAATACGGAAAGTCTGGAGTCCGCGGTGTGCTAGGCAGCAAGTGTTCCTGTTTAAGCTGGACACGGAGGCGGACTCCGTAGTTTTCTACCTGTCATTCACTCCGCGGTATGGTAATTTAATGCGGTAAATCTGATACAGCAATACTCGCCCCATCCGCCCCCAATGCCCAAAGTTCTCCATTGCCCGTTTCTCCCCTCGGATTCGACTCCTGACCGTTTCATCCTGAGGCCCCCTCCCCCTTCCACCCTCACTCTCACTCTCTCTTAGCTTTCTCTTCCCCTCTTACTCTCTTACTTTCTACCCTCTTTCCTATCTCCCTCGACCAAATCCCCCTCCGCTGGTCGTTGGGCGTCACAATTCTTACATCTTCGCCTGCGCCACTCATCCTTCCGCGCTCCGCCTTCCGCCCCCTATCCGCGATTTACCTCAGCCCTTCATGTGGACTCCAGTATCACGACGAAACAGCGATCCAATACCGGGCTCGACTCAACACTTCTCCCGGGCAGAGACCCCGTCGTGAGTGAGGCCGGACTTTATCACCATACATCGTCAACAAAAAATATCCCGACCAGGCATCGTTACAGACAGTACGGGCTTACCCCCTCCCCCGCGTCGGCGATGTGGCTCTATCGGGGCGCGCAGTCCGCCGTCTTTTACTACGCGACTTGCACACCATGTGCTATGAGCGTCGACCGACGGAAACGCAAGAAGGATGCCATACGAATTCAACGTCTCAATGAGAAAGTCGCCGCCGATCTTGTCACCGATCAACCCCGGCCATTTCCCCAGCCGACTGCCTTTAGCACCAACGAAGGCTGGACCGAAGAAATATCACTAGGACCAGGACCTCCAACTCGTCGCGGTGGCAATCGCAACAATGCGAGGACAAACAGCTGGAATACGGATCAGAGTTCGCAGCTCAAGAAGGATAGGACCAGTGGCCTCATGCAACCTCTCAACGACCGATGGAAATCTATGCGATACCAGCGTGAAGATGAACCCCTCTGGGGCCAGGAAGTTCGAGGATCATCCATTGGCTTCTCGGGTCGTGGTCGTACCGATCATCAGGAGCCGCCCAAGTATTATGCAGCGCGTGTACCCCCTGTCAATGATCTACATCCGCCTATCGTGAGTGGACCCCGCAGCCGCGCGGAAACTAGATGGATGCTCCAGCCACCACCCAGTGCAAAGGTCATGGCTGGCAAAGAACGATTCGACATGACATCTCCTCGTGATAGTATGGGTGGCTTCGACTGGCCATCCCGCACGATCAGGGGAGCCGCAATTCAGGAAGAGGAGCCTGAACATATCAGCAAGGAGACTGAAGACGGCACAGTCGATACCTCTGGAATGCAGCAACAACTACCTCGCCGACCATCTCTCTCGCGCGTCCGGACAAGCTTTGAAAGTGATATTTGCGACGACTTTGATCAACATCGGGACTCTCGATCTGACTCAATGTTCTCTGTGGGGGACGATCAATCCTTCAGTACTTCATGGAAGTACCCCGACACGCCTGCGACACGGCCCGCTTCCAACTCCACCGAAGGCAGCATCAAGGCACCTCGCCCCCAGATCTCAAAGACGTTGTCCACCCTGAAACGCGGCGATGGCAACAAGCATAAGGTCCACCTTTTGCAGTTGGAGATCAACGATGACCGAGACGAATTCGGTGTCGGCCAGCTAGAACGCATTCGCCCGTGGCGCTGGAGTATGGACATATAATCTGCGACCTCCCCTTTTTATCCTCAACTCCCTTATCACCATCATCACTACACCAGCAACCTATCCTAACCTTCCACTTCCTCCTCTCCGACTATCCCCTCCTCCCTATCCGACAGTTCTGGATTCTTCTTTAGCACCAAGGCGTTTATTCTGGAGCAAAAAGCACTGCGCATTCCTGGATTATCATTTGCTTCTCTCGCCCCCTTTCGCCCCCACACCAACAGATCATCCATCCCTCCTTTGGGCTCGAGCGCACGGCTGGACCAGATGCCCCCAACAGCGACCGATGACAACAAGCAATTCTAGTCGGAATCAATGTGAAAACCATTGGCGAAAGGACACTATTTTACATCATTCCTCCCGTCCCAGCTATTAATGCTGGGTACACTTTTACCTTGACACTACCATCCTCCTATCATTCCTTTAAGCGTATTTTAAGCGCATTGATACTCTCTTCCATTCCTTTTCTCTCCTTGTTTACATTATTATTATTGGCGAATATTTTTTTCTGCCGCTCGCTACCCTCCTTTGACTTTCCCCTAGATCGACCCTGAAGCCTTCTTTCTCCTGTATCATAATCGCCTTTGCCATTCGGGTACATACATAGCGCATACATAGCATGATGATTCATTGGAATTGGATTTGAAATTATTTTAGCTCTAACTATATGTCGCAAACCTTAAAAACATTGTATGAGCTTCGGCAATCTTCGGGTTGCTAGTAGGTGGTGGCTGGCCGGAGCCATCTCGATGGAAATATATTGTCCTCCAGCAGGTATCTACCAGCGACTGGAGGTAGTATACGCTACCTATCAAGGTTATTACTGTAAAGGCTTTAAATGATAATTAGATGGATTTGATGTATTATTTTGCATTCTCCAGAATTCTTAAACGAGTACCTCACAACGTAATAAAGGATAGCCATAACGAAACACACTTTAACTCTAGGCTCGACACCTCTCTGCATACAACAAAAGCCCAAAGCTGCAAACCTAAGCATATCTTATCGGAACGAAGAAAACAGGTACTAAGCTAGCAACAATAGAAGACTTCCCACAGTATTCTAGGTGCGTGATGGAAATGCTCCCCTGTGCCACAGGATTCGCTGGTCAAGCCCATTAAGTGGCAATGTAGGAAAGACGGCCGGCGAGAAAATAAGTTTATAGATTCCAATTCGATGATGAGCTCGATGTACTCGACGTAGAAGGATATGGTATAAGGTGGTGTCTTGAACGATTGATATTTGGAATAGATCGTGGTACGTATCAACCAGACCTAGTAGGAAGAGTTAGTGACTTGTGAATGAATGATCTTGAAAAGAGTCCTCCCGTTACCTGGCTAGTGAGCTCCTTGTGGATATAGACTCTATTCTCAGTGACTTTCGCGAAGAAACGAGATGCGTAATCGTCCGCCGTCTCAGTATACGGAGCACTCACGTATCGTGAGGCATCAACAAGATTGTGGTCACGACCTACTTCCCATCCAGGAGAGAGGGATCGTAACGTCGCTCGATGCGCAAGTTCCAGTGAAACGTGCCGAGTAAGGTATCACCCGTGAGTAGGGGTACGACCGCAGACGAGTGACGATCCATCGTATGCTGTGGGCCTCGACCGCGATGCGGCTGCACTGTGCAATGCGTCGCTAGCATTGACCATATGGCCTTGGCGGGGCTGGCGTGTAATGGCGTGCCGCGGACTCGAGGATTGCATTCTGTAGACACACAAACGCGATAAAGCGAGGTTTGCTTACTGCTTGAAATTCTCCCCGAACTTGTTAATGGAGACGTGGGAGTCAGTGCAGGTAGAAACGGTTGCGATATCGAGTCCGGCCGCCCCATGTCGAGGTTCCTGTTTCTCCGTCCATCTAGTGGAGACTCCTTTCTGTCTTTATAAAATTCAAGAACGGGAACATCTATGATGGATTGATTGAATTGTGTAAGTGGCACCAAGGAAGGTAAAAGCCGCGTAATGAAGGAGAAACCAGTGATGGTCGTCTTCGGGAGTCCTGGAGTCCTGCCGCCTTTTTTTGATCTTGCCAAGCAAGTGTAGGGTATTGGTACAAGTCATATCGCTGATCCACGGCAGGACAGGACGTTAAGATCTTCTGTATGGAGGGTCTCTCTGAGAAGTGGGTGTAAGACATGAGTAAAGCAGCGGGGTGTGAAGTTGACCAGGTGTCTTTTGCTTGGTCTACTGTGGATTCCGAGTGAGTCTTTGTTGAATGTGATCTCGTAGGTATCAATCACTATGACTTCGCCGAACGAAGGCCTGTATATGATCAAGTGAGTGGCAAGTAAGGAAAAGTCGTCACTTTTCATGTCGGAGTACTGGCCACTGAGGAGGAGGTTCTTGCGACCCTCCTGTAGAGCAGAGAGGGAAGTGTCGGCGTGCTTTCGGTAGAGGCTACCATAGTGATATGCCGGGGTGTATGAGGAGAAATGATGATATATAGCCAAGGCCCGAAAGATGCCTCCAATCCTCCCTCCGAGGATATGATAACCTCTAAGACGGCGTAACACCATTTGAGAAGTTCTCCATGATTTGCTCGAGTTGCGAGACTGCTACTATCTCTCCCCACAGCGTTTGTTGGGTGTGGAGTTCGGCCGTAGAATCAAACGTTTTAATCGTGCGGACCCGTGCTGTATGATCCCCGATTTTCTCCCCAATCAGAGAAGCAATATGGTGGATGCCTTGGTGGGTCTGGTTGTTGTGTATGACCGAGTGAGTGGTAAATATAAAATACAAAAGTAGGCGTCTCTTATAGGTATAGCGAAGGGCCCGTGATACGAAAGGCGAGGTAAATATGATATACAAATTATTTTGGCAGAGACATCTCCAATCCAAGAAGGAAGAAGCTCAGGTTCATGACTTCAATGCAACTTATCATTCATGATAGATTCGGCAGTAGTCCATGTCGATGAGTTGTAAATCATCACATGCATAGGGACATTTCCTTTTTGCTAAAGGTGAGAAAAAAAAAAGAAACGCAGAAGGGATCCGGAAGGAAAAAAGTATGATGCGGACATGAGGAACACCAGTCCAGTCCCCGGAGGTATGAGGAGGGACTGGGGAAAGACAAGAAAATGAAAAGAAATTCAGAAAGAGGGAGAGAGAACATGCAAAATGGTGGAAAAAAAAGAGAAAGTTGATGGCTCTTTCCGCAAGACCAAATGGCAGACAAAGAACGAAAGTACATGAGTAGTTTGACTAACCTCTCTAGACCAATCTAGCAGAGGCGATGTATGTGTTTGCTTTGCGTGTGAGAAGAGGAGGGAAGATGACAGCCGCGTTTGTTTGGCATCATCTACACCTGGTCTGTCCGTTATTCCATTGGCTGCGGGATGCAAGAGCTCGGGGATATATAGAGAGAGGCAGTATTGTCTCTGCCCCTTCCTAGTAAACCTTCTTCTTCTCGTCCATGGACAATTGACCTGGACCCATGTTGACCAGGAGAAGGAGACCGCCGCTGACCCAAAAATTAGAAAATTGGATAGAAATAGGACAGGGGAAATGAAAACATACACAATTGACAGAATCTGGAAAAAGTCGTACTTGGCAAAGTCCTTGTGAGGGTGGTGGGGGTGCAGCTGTTTCATAGTCAGTCAATCTGAGACAGATCCCAAACCGCAAAATAAGGAAATCAAAGACATACCGTCCAGAAGTTGTTGACCAGCACGTTGAAAACGCTCAGCAGAACAACAAGAATAATGGCGCTCCACTTAGCCTTGAAGCCGACGATGACCATCACACAGGCGACGAGACCGAACAAGCTAACCAGTATGCGCCAGAAGCTCCACTGACCGGAGAAGACGAATCCAATAAAGAGGAAGATCAGCAGCACGCGACCGGCGAACTGCACATACATCTTGCGGTCCTTCTCGTCAAGCTGGGGCAGACCGGCGGGCACAAACTTCTTGCGCACCCACGAGTCCGACAGCACCATCAGCAGACCACCAACGACACTCAGGTTGCGCAGGAAGAAGTTCAAGTCGAAGATGAGGCCATATCCAAGTCCCTGGGTAATAACAACAGCTAACAAGCCGGCCACGGCGTACTCGGTGCGTTTGCGGGCGATAACGAGGAACGAACAGACAGACATGGCGATGACATTGATGATGAGGAACATGTGCGTGATTCCCCAGGGAACTATATCCACCAAGGACGAGTTAGATAAATTGTCGCGTTGCAATTGTAGTAGATCTGATTTGTTGGGGGGAGGGCGCAAGCCGCCGACAAGCCACCGGGGGAAGCTCGTGCGGGACAGGATCCAGGGTCCGAGGTTCAGATTCAGGGTTTCTTACTCTTCCGGAAATCACGTAGATAGAGCAGCTGGTCGCTCCATTGTGTAAGAATGCGTAGCGAGTCCTCGATGAAAGTGACCACGATCAGGAACCGGCCGATCGCAGGGAGGTACCTGTAGAGTAAAAGAACACGGTGTCAGTGCAGGCCTGAAGATCCCTTGTTTGGGGGGAACAACTGGTTTTCGGGGGCCGAGGGAGCTGGCGAACAGCAACGACAGGCGAAGTTTGAACCAGAATTATATCCAGGAGCTCACGTACGGCTTGACGGGGTCTGCCAATGAATCCAACCAGTCTTCAATCTTGCTTGTCTGCTCGCGGATCGCATCGAGCGGGCTAGGGTCGTTGGTAGCATCTGCGCTACTGGGCCCGCCGAACGGGTTCTGGTGGCCGAGGTTGTAGCCCGCGGTGCCACGAATTTGGGCCATGGCGAATGTATTCGGGGAGGAGAGGGAGTTGTGAGGTTTGTCGAGAGTAAATTGGAGCTTGCAAGAGGGTTGAAGAAGATTGGAGGTGGTGTAGAAAGGGAGGGATCGAGGGAGTAAATACAAAGTGGAGTCGAGTATACCAAGCGGTGCTCCTCTTCAGGCCACGATGCCGGAACTCGGCGCTAGTCCCGTTTGGGCTACTGTGACGACAGGTCCAAAACATGGGCGCATTCTATACATTCTATACATTCTAATATTTTGAACATTCTACATTCTCTAGACTTGATCCCACAGTTCTCGATCAAATGCTGCAAAAAGCATGCTTCCATTGTAATACAGGTCGAAAATAGAAAATGACAACATGTCCCAGTTTGTGCTTTTGTGCTCCCCTCGCGCAATTTCGCCGAGGAGAGCGGCGAGTTCACCACGAACAGCACAAGAGCCACTCGTGCCCACCCCTAATCACGAAGGGGTGAAGCTGGGGAGACAAAGGCTGAAATTGTGGGCCGCACCCCCGAAACGCCAAAGCCAAGTCAAATGAGTAATAGGTACAAGGTCAAAAAGTGTGATAAAGAAGAAATGTCACATGGACAAGATCAAAGCATTGAGAAGAGTTCAAGCGGCCCAGTCCGAGTCCAGCGGGTGGCCCTTCTCCCGAGAGCGGAGGATGTCAGGGAGGTAAGTAGGAGTCACCGTCACACGGGGCTCAACGGGGAGAGGGGCCACGGGAGTGGGCTGAGACTCGGAGGCACTGGCCTCGCTGAAGCTCTCGTCGGCCTTGCCACCCTTCTTCTTGCTGACCTTTTTGCTGGATACGGTAGTCCAGTCGTCGTCAACGTTGGAAGATTCCAGGATGCGGAGCTGCTCCTCCTCGGAGGGGAGGTTCTGGTCCCACTTCTTCTGGGCGGGAGCGGCGGCGGAGGGCTCAAAGGTGTCGAGGAGCTGAACGGGCGCAGCAGCAGGAGCAGCGGGAGCGGACTGAGAGGAGCCGTTGACCGCGGGCTTAGCCTGGGTCTGCCAGGCGTTGCTGGTGGGTGGCTTGGAACGAGAAACCTCCTGGCGCTCGAACTCGCGAGCGGTGTGGAGCTGCTTCTCGAGCAGCTTCTTGCGCTCCGCCTCGGCCTCCTGAACCTGCTGCTTGCGGGCCTCGTTCTTGAGGCGGTTCTGGCGCTGCTTCTTGGTCTCCACCTGCTTGAAGTTCTGGGCCTTCTGCTTCTTAGGCTCAGACTCGATGTTGCCGGTCACGCGGAGGACCGCGGCACCAGGGGCGGGGGCCTCCAGCATGTCGGAGACGTATCCAGCGGAAGGAACGGTAGCGTTGACCTCGGGAGAGGCAGCGGGGGAGAGGTCGTCATCCGCGTCAGCGCCGGTGGTGGAGGAGGCGTGGGAGCCGCTCTCGAGCTGGACGGCCTTCTTCGCCTTCTTCTTCTGGCTCTTAGAGGTAGGCGCAAGGGCAGGGGAAGTGCCGTTCTTGATGGCAGCCAGGCGGCGGGCCATCTCGTTGCGGTCAACATCCTCATCGGGCTGGTCATCCTCGGTGGTTGGGGGTGAGACCACAGTCTTGACCTCGGGCTTCTTCGCCACGGCTGGTTCGGGTGCCTTGGGCTTGCGCTTTTGCTTCTTGGGCGCTACGACAGCCTCCGTCTTCTCCACGACAGTCCGAACTGCGGTCTTGGCCTTCGGGGTCGAGCCATTGGTGTAGTACCAACCAAGACCACCTGCCACCACGAGCAGGAGGGCCCAGCTGAGATAGGGGTTCATAGTCATTGAGCTATGGTCGATGTTAGCGTCAGTGCCCGTTACTCACGTAAGCTTGGTTATGGAATTTAAATTGAGCGCAAGACATACGGTTGGAAAGAAGCCTTTGAGGCAAGGTAGTCGAGGACGTACTAGTGGCCCACGCGGGTCACAGGTTTCGGGTATGACAGAGCTCACGCGCAGGAACTATTCGGCACGCGCAAAGATTACTGCGACTTGGTGGTACGCCGCAACGGAAGAAAAGGGGGGACGGTTGTCGGAGAGGGGTTCGAAGGGATATTCAAAGGACCCGGTTGAACATTGAAGTTGTCGGGGCCTGGTGAATTGATCGATGATGTGCAATCGGTGAGAGCCAATTGCACTGCTAGCGAGGATGCAGCTCACGAGTCGCTCTCGAATCGTCTGCGAGTAGAGAGGGAAAGGGTGTCGTGGGAATTGAGGGTCCGAGGAGGCCACTCTCAATTGGGGAAATTGGGGGTGGATTGCGCTCGGACGGGGAGAGATGAGGAAGAAGGTCAACGCAAAAAGCTGTGCTCAGCGGGCCGATGGCATGGATACCGAAGCTGCGCAGAGAGCGAAGAAGGGTGAGAGAGAAAGAAAGGAAAAGAGAAGCGCCAAAGGAACGTTTGAGCGAGGAACAGGAGAAGAAGAGGAGGAGGTGGAGGAGGACGAGTAGGGCGAGCCAGAAAAGGACACGCTGCGGTACTGCCGTGTATTTACCGTCACAGTGGTGTATTGACCACTTTACGGGGAAATCACTCGCTTGAAAGGTACTCACAGATGATGACAAGAGAGAATGGATTTTTCACTATGAAAAAGGGGTATTAGTAACAAATTAAAACTTGCTCAATGTTCCAATTTTATTACATCCTTATAGAATTGACTGAATACTACCTAACACCATCAATTCTTTGGCAATTGCATCTACATTCCCATACTTTCTCCTCGGTACACCGCCGGTAATATTAAATACCCGCCCAGACTCCTTCCCCTTAGGTTGACTCGGGACTCACCCACCAACCAACAAGGGAAGAAGACCCAAGTCCCCTCCGGAGTAAATTGACTAGCGCTACCGGGAATTGATCCAGACTGGCCCTGAAAAGCTCAAAGCTTCCCGAATCCAGCCACGGGTGTGGAGAGCTGGAGAGCTGCAACTGGGGGAAACCAAGCGAACAGGCCACGTCTCCTCCGCCGCTTGTCTCATTTCCACTCCGCTGGGCAAATCCCCCGTAAATCCATCTGGATGGGTCTGATCGTAATCACAATGTACAGTACTCCGTACATAACACTATGTAGACAGTATGTACTCTGGACTTTCTGCAGGGCCAACCCCCTGGAGCACCATGATATCAGTGTTTTTAGTGGTTGTCCACTCACCGTCCATACTCCGCCCACCGGTAGCTTCTCGCGTCGATCCGGCAGGGGATCTCGTTACCCCTTGCAGCCGCCCTCACGCATCCGCCACGAGGGGCGGAAATGAATTGCCGATGGAAAGGATCAATGCAAACACCTATTCACTGCCAAAAGATAGATATATCTCCCCAAGATCTGTTAGTACTTGTGATTCGGTACACAATAGATGGAATGCTCGATATGTACCTCGTATACGATAAGAGTGGAGCTCACGTGCCCACGCGTCTTTCAATTTCATTCCTTCCATATTGCTTCGATAAGGACTCTATAGGGATCGAGCAAATTCGAATGAGTATTCTGAGTGGAAATCCGTATAATATCCCATGGAGATCATACAGAAGTCATACAGTATGATACACCATCTACCTTTGCCAGGAACAATGAACCTTATATTATGGATTGATTAATGATGACGAATTTACCAGGAACCCCTGATTCCTGGTGTGCATGATGTACTACGGAGTATACGCACAGGAAATTATATGCGCCAGCGTGGCTGGCTGGAGGCTGGCCGATTGGGCCATTCTCGAGTTGACAACTTGACAGCACTCTTGTAAGCAATGGCTGGTAACTACCTTGTGCTTTCCGTGATAATTTGATAAACTTAGTACATTATTCTATAACTATCAACTCTTTTGCAAGAAATCCGAGTCGGAGCTAATTGTACCTCCGTCTAGTTGTAGAGTACTCCGTAGTACTCTAGTAGAGCCGCTAACCATCTCCAAAGTACAGCTTAGTGGGGCTGTCATGCTGATGCCTCAGGAAGCAGCAGCCCTGGCGATAACGTGCGGGCAAGTGGTTTCCACCGGCGATAAGCATTCTTTCCCACTTCCAACATCCAACTATTTCAACATATCCCACCATGGCTCGCAAGAAGATCATCATCGATACAGACCCCGTAGGACCATCTCTTCTATATACAGGCCTATTTCCACAAGATACTGACCTCCCTAGGGCATCGATGACATTCTCGCTCTGCTGCTGGCGCTGTCCGCCCAGCCAGAAGAGGTCGATTTGCTGCTTATCTCGTTGACTTTTGGCAACATCGAGGTCAAGAGGTAAGACGTTCCAATCAATACTAAGGGTGTATATAATAACATATATCTAATCCTCGTCTATTAGCTGCCTCCGCAATGTGGTCTCCATGTTCCACATCCTTGAGCGTGAGATCCAATGGCGTCGCCAGAATGGCCGTCCTGAAGGTTTTGGCGCCATGCGTGCCTCCCGGCCCGTTGTCGCCGTTGGTGCTGAGGATCCGCTGGAGGACCAGAAGATGTTGGCTGATTACTTCCGTATGTACCTGGTTTGCTGATAACTCCATTGCCTTGGCCGATGTTCATTTCTAATAATTACCCTGCAGATGGAACGGATGGACTTGGCGGTATCCATGCTAGTGTATGGCCATATATCTCTTCCCCAATCCTACACGATTGTGTGTTCATACACCAGGGCAATAACTAACTAATGCATATAGCACCCGCACCTCACTCCCAGTCAGACTTGGAAGCACCTCTTCGACCCCGCGATTGATCACCAGGGTATCGAGGCCGTCAAGACTGGCGCCGATCCCGAAGATCATTCTTTCATTCCTTCAAAGATCCCTGCTCACAAGGAGATCTTACGGGTGTTGCGTGAGAATGAGCCGGATTCAGTGACTTTGGTTGCTGTTGGCCCTCTTACCAACTTGGCTTTGGCGTCCGCCGAGGACCCCGAGACTTTCCTTCGGGTGAAGGAGGTTGTCGTCATGGGCGGTGCAGTTAACGAGCCTGGCAATGTAAGTCGTAGGCGAAGGACCATAGATTGAGCCAAATCCCGACTAAATTCTTTGGCAGGTCACCCCAGTTGGCGAATTCAACGCCTATGCTGATGCCTTTGCCGCCGCACGGGTATTTGCACTAACATCACCCAACCCTAACTCGACCCTGCCACTTACAACGAGCTCCATGTTTGTACCATACCCCGCCAAATTGAGTCGTCAATTGACTCTCCGCCTATTCCCACTGGACATCACTCTACGGCACAACCTGTCCCGCGGCGAGTTCCGCACTGCCGTAGCCCCCCTCGTCGAGGCCGGTTCTCCCCTCGCAGAATGGGTCTCCGCCTTCATGGGTCACACTTTCCGAACCCTGGAGAGACTTCATCCCGGCCACGTGGGTGATGATGCCGAGCTGAGTCTACACGATCCGGTTTGTGTCTGGTACGCCCTGACATCCGAGGACCCGACCTGGGCGCCCACGGCCACATCCCCTGAGGATATCCGTATCGAGACGACGGGCCAGTGGACGCGTGGTATGTGCGTTGTTGATAGACGCAGCCGGCACCCTGTTGAGGGTGATGAGGAGAGCTCTAGTGACCATGGCTTGTGGTTGAGCCAGCGTGCTGGTAACCGTATTTATCGGATGGATGTGTCGCCTGTGGAGAAGACATTCGGAACTATTCTTATCCAGAAACTCTTCAGTTAGAATCTTGATGGGTTAGGGTTAGTGGTATATAGCTGGAGTAGATCTTGATGGTAATGGATAGAGATCATGTCCTCTAGACGTTATCCACCTCGCTTGAAGTTACCGTAGACGTGCAGTATTTTCTTGCCCGTCTGGCTATCTGGCGAAGAAATATCCCAGCCCGTCTGGAGCATGTTAAAAAAAGTATCTGTATATCAATACGCATTAAGAATGACATCTAGGGTGGCTGGATACGGCATGTGGTCAACGCTCCCTGTCATGTTGAACTGGAGTCCACGTTCCACCATCCAAGGAGCAGTGCCCGGCACTTGCACAAAGCTAATTTTGTTGCTTGGTCTATGAAGGCTGACTCTGATTGGGCTTTAGAGTGGAGGCATGTTTGTCAGGAATGCAAGGCCAGTGCGAGTCGCGACTCTCTATGTATACAACAAACTTCCAATTGCTGACCTTCGATTCTGACACTGTAAACGGACTCATTGCTCTGTTCCACGACTTTACCACGTATGATGACTCTCACCAACGGTAGCAATTAACACAATTGAGTCCCAAATTAATCTATCTTCTTTCATCGTGGATGATGAGGTGAAAATTCCCCCGCCTATCCCAGGAATGTGGAATGTTATATCCCGGTGATCGGCCGTGTCAGGTCTAGATAGAGCCAATAGCAGCACTGTACAATCCATTAGACATTTTTTTGACTCCGTGGAGAGAATTATACCAGCCACAAGCAAGTCAGTAGCTCCAGCATATAAAGCAACAAAGCCCTACCAAGATCATCGCTCCTCCACATCATCCCAGCATCATCTCAATACCCTGATCAACAAGAACAACAATCCTCCTAAAACCAATTCTCCACATCCAATTCCTACCACTATGCAACTCACAAGTATCCTCGGCCTCTGCCTAGTCGGCCTAGCCACTTCCGCCGCCGCCATGCCCAGAATCGCCGGTCCATACCACGGCAAACCCCTCGCAGTCCATGTCCCCGTCAACCTCACCACGACTGCCAACAAAGCATCAACAACAGGCTCTCTAGTGAAGAAGCCCTTGACTACTGGAGCCCACCATTCCCCGCAAATGCAAAACTCGCCCAATCTTCCCAACCACATTAAGCACATCAATCATTGCACGGAGTTGTGCTCGCTGGAGGCGCAGACGTGTAACATCGCTGTGCCGGATGATGATAAGTTTTGGTAAGTGATATGTGTCCCGGATAATATGGAGATGGGAGTGCAAGGATGCTGATTAGTATGATTGTAGTTCACACACTTACAAGCGCTGCATTACTAAATGCAGACCGGATGATTTTCAGTGAATGGATTAGGAGGCATGGATGGTGATGTGCATGTTATGGATGCAAAGTAAATAGGTAGATAAACTCGTTGGGATCAATGTACTATGGGAGTTCGGTTCTTTATATCTCAAGGCAGTAGGTCACTACTGTCACTTCCTAACTCATAGATCACTCACTCAACTTCTTCGAACCATTCTTGGAAGTAGAAGTTAACGTCGTATCTAAGCCCTCTCCGGCCAGCCCCCGCTTTCAAGAGTAGTTTGACGGTTGTAAAACGCTTGTTTTACGCTTGTTTTCATCAGGCTAACTCATTCGCAGTAACAGAGGGACCATCTCCGATACTAACGGCATCCAATTTTGCTCCCGCCTCGATAAGAATTTCACGACCTCATTTTTTGCGTGAGAAGCAGCTAGATGTAGCGCTGTGTAGCCTCCCAGTAGATTGTCCAAGTCGAGGACACATCTATAGATGGTCTTATATGGAGGAGTATAGGCGTAAATATTTTCTCCTGCCTCCAAAAGGAGCTGAACAACTTCCACGTGTCCGCCCTTAGCAGCGAGGTGCAATGCGGTCACGCCCTCATTCGCAGAATTAAGAAGGGCATTCGCATCTGCTCCCGCCTCCAGGAGCAGTCTGACAATTTCTTGATTCCCCCATTCCGAAGCAAAGTGTAGTGCAGTCTTTCCAATACTTTCTGAGCCACAGTCATGTACAGGTCCTCCTTCCATTCGTTTCCTTTCGATGATAGATGAAGCTGATTGCAGTGCATTGAACTTCCTGTTCCCTCGTGGGACGTAAATATCACCCGAATGCCCAAGTAGACCGTAAATGGGTGTTTGTAGAAGGTACGGCACGGAATAGGAAGCCGACAATATGGAATCAAGCAGTAGAGTGCTGTCTGCATGTATCGACTGTGCGAGCAGTGTAATATCGATCTCCTCGGGAGTTTGATCGGTCTGGATGATGGCAACGGTATGGAATATGAGCCACACAAGCGCAGTGTGTCGGCTGCTGAAGAACCAATTCAGTGGTTGGTTTCGCGTCAGACTCAGTGGCTGGTTTGGACTCCTATAGTAAGTAAGGTACTCAATATCATGGTCAGGTAGTTCACCTGGTGGATCGGGGAAGTAAGATCTGAGTGGTTGTGTCGTCCAGGGGAACTGGACCCAGCTTTGTCCGTATTCCACCCATTTCTGCCAGAGGTCCCAGGTTTTTGAGGATGTCTTCTTGAATCGTCTTGTATGTTCAAACCAGTAAAAAGAAGCATATTCAAGAAAAGGGTGCTCCCGCCGCAGTTTCAACATGGGCAAGATAGGCTCTTCGTTGAAGCTGGCTAAGCTTCCAACGACGTCGAAAATTGAATTATTGAGCCCAGAACCAGGTATAAACTTCCTGAGGGCATTCATGGAAATCTTGGATGCCGGGGAAAATCCTAACGCGCTTCGGGCTATATTAGAGGGAAGTATACGGGGCATCGATTGTTGTAGCTTTGGCAGTCGGGTTAGACCGGTCTTGAAGTCACCAAAGTTGAGACAAGTGACACATATTTCACCGACAAAATGATCGGCATCTTTGAGCTTGATATGAAAAGTGTTCAGTTCAGAATCCTGACATCGCGTGGTCAGGAATTCTCGAACGGTGTGATGCGCGAACTGAACAATGCCCTCCTCCTCATCGAAAACGATGAGATTTTCGCACCAGGACGAGATCAAATGATTATCATTAGGAAGCCGCTCTGGTATTGATTGGCGTTGATTGATTTCAATGAAAATTGCCTCTCGGAGTTCGTCGAGGGTCAAAGGTCTCTGTGCGGCTGCAACCCATCCGAAGCACCTGCGAGCAAGATCTGTATAACTTCGTGAAAGGACTCGAGGAAGAGCACGATTAAAGGTCTCTGATAGATTTACGAATGTCATCATCACAATGTTGTGTGCAAAGCTCCTCGATCTGGAATGCAACCCAAAGAAACCTTGATCACGATACTAGGAAGCTCATCCCAAAGACCAGCTCCCTCCATCTCGAAACCAATGATGTTGTGTTGATTTGCAATTTTGTCACGATGCTCTGCGGACTTCATGACAGCGGCTCCTGAGCTGACGCGGCCAATGAAAATGTCCAGCCCTTGGGCTTTCATGCGTTCCAACGCACGAAACTCGCTCGAATTCGAGGAGGCTCTTGCTACCAGGTATGATTCGTCACACTCGAGGTCGGAACAAGACGTCTGGGCAGCTTCGTCACATACTTCGTTCTCTCCATAACACAGATCACATACAGGTTGCCCCCTGTGTTTATGTGGGTATTTCGCCTCAAAGAGCTTGTCCTCAGCCAGACCAGGGTATTTGTAACTCGACTTGTATTGTTTGGCGACAGAGAGTTCCTGGAGCCCCTTGAGATGATGTGCACTATGTTCCTGTAGTTCCTTTCTCCCAGGCTCTGTCCTGAGGTAATTGATAAGACTGCGGATCTTTCTGTTAGTGACATGTACATTTCTCTCGCTCGCGATTCTGGCTCATGGAAAGGCTGTCGTCGAGGTCTCGTATTGAAACAACATCAAAGCATGGGGGGTTCGGTATTCAAAACTCAGGCGGATGCTATTGGTACACGATTGCCGAGTGTCCGAAAGGGAATAGGGCAATGTATGTGATGCATGGAGTCGTTCGGGCTTTGATTGAATCGCCTCGTGGATCTGGTGGTGTCAAGTTTGGCTATCAGCACGGCTCGGAAACCGAGATGCCCAGGCCCCCGGATATCAAGCGGGAGACTTTCCCGGCACTAAAGTACCGATTCATGTCGGAGAACGAGCATATATCTGACCGATACATGCTATTAAAGTGTTACTAAAATACGCTTGGTATTGTGTCTTGATGCTGATATGTTTCTAGGCTCTGTCACAGGCTCTGTCTGAAATGATATAGATAGGATGGGGATCGCTATGAGACAGATATTATGCCCGTGTGCAATCCCACAACGCGACCGGCGAACTTTCCTACCACTGGATCTTTCTATTAAATTCTGTCTATTGCCAGGAAACATTCAACCCAAAGCAAGGCTCAGCTTTGAGAATCATGTTCGAGGATATTTAGTATGGACTGAACGAGTGGGTGGCTTAGATTTCCATTCCAGCCTCGCACGTGAGCACTTGGTAGCATTGCGCCGCCCTCCATAATGAACGTCCAAGCGGTTTGAAGTAAGATTTTTATGCTTACTTTATCTGATAGGGGAGATGTCCATGATTGCGCTTGTTTCTGTAGGATCGACAAAGCCAATGTAGTGGCCCTGATCAATTATCAGGTTCCCCCTTTTTGCCAAAATAGTTATAGCTGCTCGTGGATGCCTAGAACTGTCATCAAGTACCCTGTACAACCACCCAGATAGGGAGTACATGCCAGGATCAATGGGAATAGAGTTTGGCACGTGGCCACTCAAAACAGATATGAAAAAGGAAACGAGAGCGAGAAGGATTGTCACCATTGTGTTGCCTGGATGCCAGGTACGGTTCCGAATAATCTTCGCAACGGTGGTATAAACTTCAAATTCCGCCATTCTAAGGGACAGACAGGCACTGCTTGTGAGAAGAAGGAGAGGGGCCGTGGCGAGGGGTTGCAAAAAGTATGTTTGTCTAGTCTCCACGCAAACGTACTCCCGACGATCCCTCCACAAAGAAGGTACAGGATGTATGGGCTACTCCATACTTCTTTGGTCGTCCGTGTGTGAGCACTGGCAATTGCCTGCGAGTCCAGGGCGCACGTGCTGGGCTACCACTCTGGATCGGAGGACAGACTGCAGAGGGGTCGAGGTGGTCGAGGTACTGGTGACTGCCGGTACTTGTAGAGGTATTCAAGGTACCTGAGCATTGGGGTAACACTCCACAAATTTATAAGTACCAATCAGTAAACCTCCTGTACCAGGCCTCATGATAAGCTCTAGGCCCCACCAGCAGCGCCAGCAAATGCCCGTCGTCCCTTGGCCCACGGGGATTCCCCGCCAATCAGCGGGCCCCGTTGCGGCTCGTGGGCGCAAAGCACGCGACACCAGCTTTCTATAGGGACGTCCGTCTTCATACCCACGAGGGTCAATTACCACTCGGCCTTATAATCATGCCTCCTCCTCGGATCATCTGTAAGGAGACGTGCATCTTTCATCCTATCTTTCAGCTCCCTTCTTCTCCTCCATCCCCCCATCTCCCTCCATGTCTCGATCCCGATTCCCGCCTACACCCGCCATGTCCGGTGAACTGATCATCAAGGATCAGCCCGTTGACGGCACCGATGCCTTTGCTCTGCCCCCGGCAGCTCTCAGTCCCGCCAAGGGGGACTCGGCCAGCCGACGTTCCTCGCGATCAGACCCAACTTATGTGCCCGCATCCCCGACATCCCCCGAACTAGCTGCTCGGGGACGCTCAACTCAACATGCCCGGTCGGGAACAGCTACCAAGCGACCTCTAGAGGACTTGGATCTTCCTCCTCCACCAACACGCACTCGCAAAATTATCCAAATGAAGCCTAAATCACCCGCAACTGCCAAGTCTCCCGCAAAGCCCAAAGACTCGGCCAAAGGAGCAGCTCAGACTGCTGCCGAGCCCGCCAATGCCACTGCCAGCGCCTCCAAGAAGAAGCAGCCGAGTGCGACCAGTGCTGCCGGCCGCAAGATTGCTCGCAAGACTGCCCATAGTCTGATTGAGCGCCGCCGGCGATCCAAGATGAATGAGGAGTTTGGAACATTGAAGGATATGATTCCCGCCTGTCGGGGCCAGGAGATGCACAAACTGGCAATCCTTCAGGTATGCTCTTCTATATCATCCTTGTTTTCACTCATTAGAATCGAATCTGACCATCTCTTCAGGCCAGTATCGACTACGTCAACTACCTGGAAAAGTGCATCCAGGACCTCAAGACCAACGGCAGTGCTCACCCCACAGCTGCACCCCCATCTCCCACCTCCCCAGAATTCATTGCCGAAACTGGCACAGACACTGTCATGCACCAAGCTCCTCGACGCCCTCCCTCTTCCACATACTACTCCTCCGCCTCCTCTGTCAACTCCCCAGAGATCTTACCCCCGAACACGCACTTCTACGACGCATCCCCGTCATTTTCTCCTCGCACGAGGATGCCCTCTGTCCACACACTCCCAGAGGCTCCCTCTATCCTGCCCAGTCCAGCCTTGGGTCCTACTTACGCCTCTATGGACAAACTTCAAGATCTCCAAGGCATTGATCATGAAGCATCCGCTGCCCTGCTGATGTTGACACGTGACCGCCGTGGTACTGCAGACTCAATAAGTGAGCACTTCCAGGGTAGCACAGCACTGTCGACGTCAGAAGACAGCCGGATGAGTGTTGACTCGCAACGAAGGAAAGGCATGAGCGTGCGGGATCTTCTGATCTCATAGATGGGATGTATTATGTGTCACGTGCTTGCTCCCTGGAGTCTCAATTTTTCCTGTTGATATTTTGCGGGCGTTTTGATGGTTTCACAAATACTCTGGGGTTTTTAGAGTCTGATTGGTGCGAGGGTTGGAGCGATTATATCCTGGAGGCTTTTTTGGATTTCTGGTAATTTTTGGAATCTCAAAAGAATGGAATGGTTTCATGTGTGATGAAATAAGATCGTGTGCACTATAGGCTGATCAATCAGTTGGTCCTGTTTCTGTAGTGCCTTTAGTGCTTTGTTCGGACTCCATATGCATTGGCAGAGCGGATAATCGGCGCCAAGCGGACTGTATAGTTCTTGCTGCCAAGGGTGCAGTTCCTCTACATTCAAATTGTCCCATGATGCTAGGGAACTGGTGCATGAACTCCATTATCAATATCCGCAACCCTGGCCAGTCTAAAATCAATAAAAGCCCACTGCCATCACTATGCGTTTCCCCGGGTTTTGCATGGCTTTTGCAGCGCTGCCATCAAGGACCCTGATCTAGCCCGACCCACAATCAGCCCACTTCTTCCATATCACCACTCACTGATTGGATATAACCCTCGGCCTTTCACCAAACCCCGATCTCCGAACGACCGACCCTTTGTCGCATCGACGATCGATCACTCCACAAACCAGCACAAATCAAGCGCAGAACGACACCCAAGAAGCCTAAAAGCGCAAATTCCGAGACCGAAAATTGCGCGGAACCCCCTTATATTATCTCCGCAATCCTCGCGTGCGGATGGATTAATTTCTGAATGACCGAGCCTGTGTACTCGTCATCATCTTCATCAGCATCAGCAACGAAGATGGAACAGGTTCGCCGGTACAATGTTGAGCGCTCATGTCTCCGCTGCCACGAGAGAAAAGTCCGTTGCGATAAGGGCGTTCCTTGTAATAAGTGTGTGCGCGTGAATGTGCCCTGTCAGTATCCGGGCCCTAGACGGGCTAAGCGCCGCCCACCCAAGACGACGGTGACGGATGTCGTGGCGCGGTTGGAGCAGCTCGAGCGCTCGATTACCACATTAGCGGGGAGTAAGATGGGGGGTGGCTCGACGCAGGGGAATCAAGCTTCTGTGGGTACGAATGCTCAAGCTCAAATTAGTCCGGTCTCGGTCTCGTTGCCGAGTGAGTCTGGACCGGGCCCGAGCAGCCGACCTGCTGGAGATGAGGAGTCACATCATGGATTCTTGTCTAAGGATGGTTGCTATATTGATGAACCGCTGTTATCCCGGGTTCTCGAGAAAGAAAAGGATTTGCAGACTGCCATGGGATCGCCGAATACGGAGAATCCGGCCTCGAGGAAACCGCCTCCACTAAAGGTTGATGGGATTATCACGAATCCTATCTTGCGGCAGGCGGATTTTAAGGCTTTGTATCCGACTCGATGGCAGGCTACGTTGCTTTGGCAGATATTCTTGAGTCGAGTCGATCCTGTCTTGAAGGTGATTCATGTCCCGACGACTACGCCGCGGATTTTCATGGCGATTAATCGGCCTGATGCGGTACGGCCTGATGTGCAGTGTCTGCTTTTTGCTATTTTCTTTGCTGCTACGACGACGCTTGTTTCGGATGATCCTACCAATGAAGAAACCAGGGAAGATTTACGTCGATATCAACAAGGATTGGAGCTTGCCATGCATAACTCATCGTTCCTGGATTCTCCGACTGTGACTTCGTTACAGGCCATGGCGATTTACCTTGTAAGATCTATAAGCCCTTCTCTTCAAAGCAACCTATTCACATCTAACAATACATTATCACCAGACATGCCTCCGCTACACCAACAGCGGCCGCTCCGGCTTCACACTCCGCGGCCTCGCCATCCGTGCCGCCCAATCCATCGGCGTCCACCGCGACGGCAAAAACTTCAAACTCCCACCCCTAGAATGCGAACTCCGCCGGCGTCTCTGGTGGATCCTCTACACAACAGACGCCCGCATGGCCGAAGATCACGGCATCACAGTCTCCGAACAAGACTTTGGCGCCGACACCGAATTTCCCACAAACATCGACGATCAAAATATCTGGGAAACACAGACAACACCCGCCCAGCCCCTCGCCCGCTGGACAGAAATGACTTTCATCCTCATCATTTCGGAAATAAATAGCATGTGGGTTCCCATATCCCGGGCTAGCTCCCACGCCGAATCGCTCATCGCGGACCTCAAAACACGTCTGCATGAGCGGTACCTCCAACACGCGGATATGGATATTCCCATCCAACGGCAAGGCGTGATGGTCGCTCAAGTGCTATTGTCGAAATTGGAAGTACACATGCGTCAGAAATTTCTTCAGCGCCGCTCGGCTGCGGATACAGATCTTAATGCTGAGGCTGCATCGTCTCTGTTAGGCATGGCATGTCATGCACTTGAGTTGGGACTGGAAATGTATTCGGACGATTTACTCCGCGGAACTCGTTGGTTGACTTCGACGTATACGCAGTTCCACCTTCTCACGTATATTCTTTGGCATCTGTGCGTGTACCCGAGCGGCCCGCATGTAACCCGAGCCTGGCGCGGTGTGAATCGTCACTTTGATCTTGCGGAGAATGATCTCTCGTGGCCGGACCCGGGACCTAAATGGCCTGTTCTGGTCGGGTTAAGGGCGAAGGCGTACAAGATTCGCCAGGCTCATGTTCCGCCGGGGGTGGAGGTTATACCTGAGTCTACTGTTAGCGTTGTTGGAACCGGTAATGGTGAGACTGGACCAGGAAATATGGCTCCTACCGGAACTGGGAATGGGACTGGGGTTGAGAATGTAGTTCCAGTGATGGATGGGGGATTTGTGCAGAGTGCGGAGGCGTTGTTTGATATGAATGGGTGGGATTTGAATTGGGTGGAGTTTCCGGATTGGAATTATTTGGCGCAGAGTCTGGCTGTTATGGGGCAGGAGGGTGGGAATTATCCTGTTGGTTGAGTATAAATTCCGTCAGAGGAAGAAGAATCATAGAGGATATCGGGATAGACGGAGGTTTTCGGTGGACTCGTTGTTTTATACCCCCCGTGATGTTATTACGATTCGAGTATTTCGGTCTTTGAATGAGACAGTGAATGACATCAAAGGAGCATTCCAATTCCAAAATTCAAGATCAGACCATCTTTAATCAATTCAACAACACCCCAGAACCCAAAATCCCCAACACTGCCACCAACTCAAGTACTCCGTACATATTAACGACTCACCCTCCTCCAAGACAAAACAGCAACAATCCCAAAAATCATCAAAAACAACGACATAGTCATCATCGTCCTTGAAACCGTCGCACAGCACTGATCCCTACTACGCTGTCTCTCGCGCCGCTCAAGTTGGCGATCACATGACTCGCAGTGAACATGGTCCCCGTTGGCATTTGTCCGGGCTTCAGTCAGTTCGAGCGAAGATCGGTTTGCAGCTTCGTGCTGGTGATGGTGCTGGTGCTGGTGTTGGTGCTGGTGCGCGTCGCGCTCGAGATCGGGTTCGGGGTCGTCTGCGGAGACGCGGGCGTACTGTTTGGAGATTTGGTTATGAGATTGGGTTGATATTGGATTTGGGGATGGATGGAGGAAATGGGTGTTATTTTTTGAGGGCAAGGGAGGGGGATGACATACGCCAGTATGCGAATTCGATCCTCGCTGTGAGTATAGTTCCTCGTAGGGTGGGGCTATTTCGCTTGGAGTTGAGGCGCCCATGGGTGAGAGGCTCTAGATATGTAAAGTGTGTATTGATTTTTGATTTTGTGATTATTGAGGGGATGAAAAAGGGATGAAAATGATAACGACCCCATGTCGTTGTCGCTGTCGCTGTCGTCGCATTCAGTGTTGAGGCTCAGGTGAGAGAGATGCTGACAGGCGCTAAACTATGCACTAAATCTAGGCATCCACTACTTTTAAGCATGCTGATTGGAGGCTAAAGTCCCCTGCGAATGATATCTGCGTTTGCACTGTTAACGATGGGTTCGTACTCTAGGAATATTAGGATATTGGAAATTCGGGCCGACACTATGGTTGGGGTTTAGATGTACACTGACTACTTCCCGGTATGGGTATGCAGAAAGGCACGGATACTGTACTGTCTCTAACTGATCCACCTCCAAAACTAACAGGCGATCTACAGTAGTTGTTGTAACATTCGGTTTGGTCGTGCTGGTAGAACAGTAGAATTGCCCCTTGTGATAATTGTAGTGCCATTGTCCGTCAAATTTACCAGAATACCTCCAAAATGTGTGTTATCAGCCTCTCTGATTGGGGTCACTCACAACCCCAACCGGGACATGTTTCCGGAACGACGAAGCAGCGAATAATTATCCATGGGCACTTACTCATCAAGACCAAGACCCTGTTTGATTTTTGAAAGAAGGATAAGTGGATCCGAGTCTATTGTGTGGAGTTTATGAAGCCTATAGCCTTGGAAATTTGTTTTAGCCTAAATAAGTAGCTCCCACATGACATCCTAACGATAGGTATTGTAGGCTCATTGTTGAAATCAGATTCGCGAACTTCGTATATATCCAAGGACAAGAGACCTCGATACAAATAGCCTTTGGTTTTTCAAGTCGCTACCTGCGCTCTGCGTACCCTTTTTGTGATACCAGGTATCTGTCAGAACCCGCAGGCCACGACCCAAGCTGTCAAGGTTACAAGGTCGTCTTATTTCACACCTGACATACAGTATATCTTATCTAGTAATTACTATATGAAGATCCGTACGAGCTAGTTGGTTTTTAAGGTCTTAAACGGTTTAAATATCCAGGTACGAATAAAGTTGATCCCAAATCCGGTCTTCGATGTCCCAGATGTCACTAAATTCAAGAATCCCACATGATTTCGATCCATAGAGACAAACAAACTGGTTATCTTCATCGATATAGCAACCACTCAGACAATCTCGTAGGATCTGCATTGTGAGTTCATAGGTGCATGTTCTGGCACCAAGTGCCCGCGCCAAACTTCCTAGCCATCGCCCTGTGCTGTATGTGTCGGGCCCGAGGATAGTGTCGACCAGCTTGTTTTGCAGATTTCTGAAGCTTGGAAAACGCTTTGCACATTTTTGCAAGCCTGGCGACTGTATGATTCCCCGCTCAAGCAGTGTCTTGACTGAGACCCGATGCTCCGGAAGGATTTCCCACTCAAACAAGTACTATACTTGAAGACGTTAGATTTATCATCGCCCCGCTGCAGCGCAAGCTCTCGTGCATGATGAGGGCCGTTGGTGTTTTCACCGCTCGGTACTCGAATAATGACGATCCAGGCTATTTCTGGGGCTTCGCGGAAGCGGTAACATTTCTCTAGAGCACGGTGCACAGCTTCAAGTGGACGACTTGTGACAGGAACCAACGCAATAGGACGTTTCCTTTCTCGAATCCGATGATTATCAAATTGGTCGAGAACCTTCGCTTCAGTTAGTGGCGGATGATCGTGGGAATAACGTCCAGATCTCAGCTGGCCAGCACTCGTATTGCAATAGTAGCGATAGAATAATTGAGATCTCGCGTTGTCCATATTGAGACGATTGGCAGAATCGACTGATCACCGGATGAATGATGGGGATGTCTTTCTTTTAGGAGTGATGTTGAGTTCTGAGAACAATGTTACGCTGACACGCTGATCATCACGATGAGGAGCCCCGCTTCCTGCATATCCGGAAAAAAGAATTCCCGGTGATGGGTGGTGTTGGAATGCAAAAGGATACTGTAGATGGATGCTCGAGGCAAGGATGGATGTATACTACAGTCGTGACAAGTCAAAATTGCTCGAAGAGATAAAAGTAGGCTTCTCCTCCTCTTCGGCGTAGTCAGTGAAAGGTGCGTAGGAAAGTATAGGCAAGGAGTGTCTGTTTAGAAAAGAAAATGCTACCTCCACATTAATGAGCATTTACCCTCACGTGCCATTTCAATGGCAATAGGTTCATGATACAGTAGGTGGAAAAGGTGGTTATGTTTACGGGCCAACATCAAGGTTATTCAGATGGCAGCGGTGTTGTACAAAATCATCTGGCACATGTGTCTACTTTCATGTGTGGAAAAAAGCAAAATTATCATTGTGATTGTTTGCGTCCCTCGGCCCTGGGCACGTCAGACGCGTCGCGCTCGCCAATTCCTGATTGATTCAGTGTTATGGCTGAAGAGGCTACCCACTCTTTCTCAGTTTACGTTTGAAACCAATGGAAAGGTGAAAAGGGGCGAATAAACATGCATTTTGAGACCTATCGAGATCCACAGAGGAAACAGGATCCATCTGTAAGGCACTATATAGAGTAGGACTGAATAGCCCAGCCCTGAGCCAAATGCCATCGAATGGTAATCAGTATTATTACATGAGTTTTGATACATCTCAAATCCGCTCTATGTCTTCAGTTAGGAACTCGACTACTGACTGTAGTGGATCAAGATGATAAGCAATCACTCACTAACGCGAAGATCGAATCCCCACTTTTCCTGGGACCGACGCGTCTTACCCGCAATCCCAGTCTCCCAGGCCTAGTGTTAGTAGACTCAACCATAAAGCCAGCACTCCCCCACGGCTGAAGGGGTCAACATCAATTATCTCTCTTTGACCTACGTTTCTGCAAGCTTTGCGAGTCCCAAATTTATCGAACATGACCTCAGAACAAGCAAAGAATATTGAGCCAGACCTGCTCGATCACACAATCGATACACTGTCTATTGTCAAGCTGCGCCAGGTCTTCAAGACGATTTGCAAGATTTCACCGGAAGCAAGAAAGCAAGCAGAAAAGCTCCTCCTTGCAAGCGAAAATAAAGAGGACGGGAAGCTTGTCCCTCACGACAACAACGAACAGGGCGAAAGCGCCAAACAGCCCGTGCCGCGCTTCACCTTTTGCGAGAACTGCGAAAAAGAATTTGACGTTACAACAAACTCGAGCACCAGCTGTCGATACCATACTAGTGAGACTCCCGCTGCTTCATCATTATTACAAATCCAGTGCCTAATTTAGGTCTTTGGCTAATTTTCGTATAGTGGAAGACGAGCCTGACGAGTGCCTCTATGAAGACAATCCCACGAATACTTACGACCCAGACTCGAGGGAAGCGCGTGAGGAGTTCCCTGAATTTTTCACATTCAAGTGTTGTGGACGGACCCGAGAGGAAGATCAGCCAGGTTGTGCTGTCGGATGGCACAAAGAGCTGGACGGGGAGAAGCCATCTAAGAGAGCTCGTGTAGGATATAGCAATTTGGCATACGCCTAAACCTCTGGTCACTGAATATGTTGTCAATTTGCCGAGGGCTAAACATTCTATCTCTATATTAATCCATTATAAACCACTTCCATCTCTCACTTCAATAATATACTCAGACCGGGCGATGAGTTTGCGAATTAAGCCCGCCATCACTCAGAACTTAGCTCTCAACACTAGTCCAGTTGAATAGAATCGTGCGGCTAAAATGAAACAGCTTCCAGCAAGAAGGAAGACTCCTGCGAAAACTTTCATGCCTGTATATGACCCACCATCCCGTGAGAGAATAGCTCCTGCAATAGGATTGGTCGTCAGACCTCCGAACGACGAGAACAAGAACAGGAGGCCGGTTCTGTACCCAATCTCCGGGAATGGCGAGATTTTTACCACCATGGCAGCGGCGAGAGAGACATAGGCACCAGATGCGAATCCAAAGAGGGTGGAGAAGACAATGATGGCTGCGTTACCCGTGGCAGGTATCCAGAGAGCGAGGATAAGTACACTAGCTATCATGCACGCGCTGACCAGAATATTGTAAGCACCCAGCTTATCAGAGCCAATACCAGCGCCTATACGACCAAAGAGACTGTAGCAGCATATATTAGCTACGTGAAATTCGTGCCGAAGGGCTTGACTTACCTTGCGGCATTCAGAATCGGAACCAAGTATTGAGCAAGGTCGTAGCTCATGCCCGCATCCATGGCTTGAATCACCAGATAGTTGACGGGAATAAAAATGCCAAATGTCAAAAACACGAAACCGGCGATAATGAGCAACATCTTGATCTCCCGGAACGGTCGGACAAGACTCGCTTTATCGATGTTCTGAGGCTTCGGCGGTACCCGCGACCGAACCGTTAGGATAGCAATTCCCAAGAGGAAAAGGATGAGAAATGCAGCAGTTCGCATAGCCCATGCATATCCAACCTCAGCAATCATGCGGCTGACCATAATTGGGAAGATCACGCCGCCTAAGCTGGATCCTGTTGAGACAATTCCGTAGGCGGCACCACGCTTCTTGTTGAACCAACTTGGGATACAGTTTATTGATGGTTGAAAGATTGCACATACTCCCATGGCGCTGCAGACTCCTTGGGAGAGGAGGATCTGGTAGTATTCTTTCGAGATCGATGCCATCATGAGGCCGAAGACGTGGAGGATTGAACCCCCGATGAGAACGTAGCGAGGACCAAAATTATCGTAGAGTCGACCGACGACAGGTCCCTACAGAGGTAGCTTAGTTTAGTAATTAGAGTATTGAATGGTTCTATTTCCGCCTATTGACCTACCATTGCAAACATGAAGAAGATCTGGAGCGACGGGATCCATGCGATAGTACTTGCAGAGTACTTTGACAGTAGAACTGTTTCATAATAGCTTTGGAACTCCCCAACGCCTGTGCATAACAACAGCGGTTAATATAGTATCTCAAAAATTTCCGGGCTTTATTTGACAGCTTGACCTACTGTTGATCCACCCGAAGGTGCAGAACATTGCACACCATGTGCCCAACACCATCAGCCAAGCTTGCAATCCTCCATCAGGAGGTGAATCTTCGGACGGCCAGCTCTTGGGAGCTTCAGAATCCTGCACCCCAGGTTCACCATCAAATTTCTCCATGACAGTACTATCGTTGGAGGCAGCAGAAGAGGGTAGATCAGCAGGCGGGCCATGGGCTGCCGCTATTTTGGACTCAGCGGCGGACATATCTCGCGATGAAAGGAATTATCCGGGTTTAAAGATTTTTTCAATGAGATTTAAAGCCGAATACTTATTTCTAACAAAAGAAAATTCTCCGTCAATGGGAGAATATGTACTTATTGGATCTAAAAGATCCGGCGGGCTCGGCCATTCGCGAACTGCCGCGCGCGGCGCACTTAATTCGTGATGGGCAACCTCAAGCCCGAACGACCGATGGTCAATAAGCATCGCTTGACTCCTTGGGGCCAAAACTAAGAAATCTTTGAAATAGGATCCCGATATTGAAATATGTCTCTTCTAAGAGATAACCCGTTGATTCAAAGAGCCTTTAATCAGATTTCCAGTCAACGTATGACAATGGTTATATATTTGATCAGGATTGAAATAAACTTGTCGGAAACATGTGGCTCCCACATGCTAGTTTCACCTAAACATGAAGTCAATTGATATCCACTGTGGCACCCTTAATTGAACTTGCTGCCTGAATTCTGGGGTTAGCCTTTTGAGCCAAAGCGAGCAGAAATGAAATGACGGCGCACATTTGTTTCATCGGGCAATTGTTTTTTTTCCCCAAAACATGGAAAGTTTCATTCCACGTATACGTCTAGCATATCACGAGTGTAGTTCGCTTGCAGTGGAATCTTAAACCTAGTAACAGAGCCTAGTTTGGACTCTGTCAGCCCGAACCCAGAATCCTTACTTATTTTGGCCAGCTAGCTACTAACCGGCCCCTTACAAATATTACTTATTTTCCCCAATTGCTCCTGCGCCAATGTTTGACAGACTGCCTTCGTTGTCTTGTTTCTCCAACGAAGAGGTCTCATTAATGGTCATGAATTACGTTCCAAAAGCTTCGTATGAAAGTTGGTATTACAATATTTTTAGAGATACAAAATGAATATCGACTGATCACACAAGCAAGTAGCATCATTGTGGATGGTTCTTGTAGTGAGACATTTCCATCCAGCCTTCCGGGCCACTAGTGCTACTAAGAACCGTATGAGGGGTCTCAGGCTCTTCCTCGTCATATCTAGAGAAAGAGCCGGCTGATGAGGCCGTACGGACAGGTTCAGCTTCAGCTGACGGCCCCTTGGTCGACGAAATGGAGATAGTGGTCGTAATGATAGGACCGGCAACCGCCGAAGTGAGATCTCCTCTTGACGAGGGATACTGATTGTAGCCCTTGTATGGAGGCGCACTGCGAGACTGTCCGTGGGAATTGATGAAACGATGGGTGAAGGGTCGGAATAGCGGCCAGACAGGTGGGATCGACATGGAAATGAGAACAACCCATTCCTCGACCTCACCCCAGCGGAATAGGATACCGACACCGTCTATTAATTTCAATCCAATATTAGCACTTGTCAAAGTTTGCGCTGGGAGAATATCAAGGCTACTCACACGACGGATCGTCACCCAGAATAAAGCTAGCGGCCCATGTTCGCACAATAGCTGCAACACCGGCGAAAATACCACAGCCCATGAGGAAACTCAAACCCCACTTCAGCTTGCGATCGATCCGGAGTGGGGCCAACATCGTGATCGGGATAATGGCCAGATAGAAATCCGAGAGTGCTGCCACGGAGCCAGCGAAGTATGTATAGTGCACACTTGTGCGGTGATCACATTGACTCTGTCGCAAGGGATCCCAAAGAGCATTGGGAGGGGTGCATTGAAACCAGGCGAGCAAGATTTGCGGAATATTTAGGACGATGTTAAGCACGGCGACAGCGATCAGACTGCGGCGAATCTTGGGGTCTTTGTAAAGCAAATAAGGTTAGATTATGACTTGGCACGCTTCAAACACACATTTGGATCTCTTAATAACTTTCAATTGCCCCCAACCTGGCATTGGAATGGAAAGAACTTACTGCCTTGAGCGTTCATCTCAATCAGAAACGCTGCCACCGCGATCTTTCCCGTTGGAATGGCCAGGTTGAAAAAGAAGACCGTGACCCATGTAAAAAAGAGATAATTACGCAGCTCGCCAGTTTCCTCAATGACTTCTAGATGATTTCCAAGTCCATGCAGAATCGAAATGACACCAAAGGTTTGCGTAATCGCAGTGAGAAGCTGTTACCTTTGATTAATACGACGGTTCTGCTCGAATATCAAGGTGCGACGGAGATAGATCTCATACCCAAGCGACAAGGGACAGAATCAGTGCCGTAGTGCCGAATTTGTTGACACGAAGTCGTACATAGACTCGTAAAATCATGAAAATGGTGGCCACTGATCCCAATCCAAGACCCAGGCGTAGATCGCTAGGGCCGCGGCCCCCATATGCTGGGTAGTTCTCATGCAGGCCCATGATGGGAAGGATGGGGATGGTGATAGAAAATCACCCACTGGGTAGGGTAGACAGGCATATTTAGGAATATACCCCTCTCTTCACAGGCACTAGTCAGGACCTGTTGGACATGAAATTCTCGGTTCCGAGCGGACATTAACCAGTCACTGCCAGTGATCTCAGAGTGGAGACTCGAACCACCAGATCCAAAGGCTTAGTGCTCCAACTAGTGCTTCAATTGTAGTGTTGATGGAATCTTCCGACCGAGTGGAGTCGGAACCGCCGAATGATCCGGCCAGATCCATTGGATTCGCTAATAATGGGGCTGGCCATGTTTTGGCCTCGAAGGCTCTTTGCCCTCCTCGGGGTTAAACCCAACCTGAAAATGAGACTTGAAAGGGAATTAGGGATTTGGTCGCGGCGACTTTCCAGTAATCCCTCGGCTGGAAGAAATTGTCACGGTGACAACCTCGGCGCTTCTCTGGAAATGGTTTGATTGGATCTCAAAGGTATAAGGTTCCCTTCAATGTATCCTGAAACCAGGCAACTAATGCCGCGAAGAAACATTATTACCGATGCCTTATCAGCCACCAAAACCTTCGAGTGGAGAAAAAGTGGTCCGTGTAGCGATGGATCGTGTGTGCAATGACAGCTCAAGATCAGGTCCCCGCACACAAGCCTCCTCGCCAACCATCACCAATATCGATTTAATTTGATTTAATTGCCACGTTTCCCTGGATAGAAGGTGTATCTTTCTGAAACTTCTTAGTCAACCCTTTCCTATTGTGTATTAGCGTGGCCACCTTCTGCCTTCGATCGGAGGAATCGCCCATTTCGTCTGGCCGGAACCACGTGGAAGATTTTTCCCATCCAAAAAGAACCTCACTCCCCGCTCAATTCATCTCCACCAGAAAACTTTGATGTTGTGCTTTTAGTATACTCGCTGATTCTATCATAATAATAGAAGACGTCAGCTGTGTCCGTCGGTATCGGCAGTACTGAACTATGGAGTGTTTGGTACATACCTTCAAGTTTGACAAGCCCTAGAAGCCCGAAGAGAAGCCCGCAAAACCCCATTTTTTACGGCCAGAAGGCCGCGGCCTCTTTATACATTACGGAGCCAATCATACGATTCTTAACCTTCTACACATTCTTCAAGCCGGATTTGGCTATAAAGAGGCTAAAAATGGAGAAAGAATCTTCAGAGAACACTTTGAACGCTAGGACAGGAAACTAAAGATAGAAACGGAGCCCGTTGCTGTCTCAGAGTCTCTAGTAAACTACAAAGGCATAGATTATATATTAGAGTGAGCAGAACTATAAACAAGAATTGAAAGGCAAAACTTCGCAACCTTACCCGGGAGTTCGTTCCCCGTTCGAATTCGAGTGTCGCTACCATACATTTTAGCAAAGTCGGCCTCGATTAACTCGGACCGAATCTTCCGTTTAAGAACTTCAATTGAACCTGGCTGAAGTCGCCGTTGGAGAGGCCCACGAGAAATTCTTGGACGTGGCTTAGGATATAAGCCTCGCTCGACCAAAAAACGTATGATGGGCTCGCAGTTTGACATGTGTGCTAATTGCGTCAAAAGAATTTGCTCTTGAAGATTCCTAATATCTGCACCCTTTGGCACCAAAAGGAGAATTCATCTGACTTCCCTGCTGGCGTCGCAGCGCACAACGTCAAATCGCTGTCGGCTCCGGCATTAGCTCCATACTGTAGTAAAAGCCGGATCACCTCATAACTGTCCTCGCGGCCGATGGCCAGTCTTAAAGAGGTCAAAGCGCGACCTGTATCCCAATTCCTCTGGGTGATTCTCGGGCATTTGGGTCGGCCCCATTCTCTAGCAGAAGCCGAACCATATGTACTAACAGGCGCGCTTTTGACCGCGTCACATAATGGAGTCCGACTTTCCACAGTATGTGAACTGAAAGTTAATTTCAGCGCCTTCGTCTGAGGAAAGGCGCATGACTCGCGTCTCGTCCCCACTCCCTACAGCGTATTGTAGCCTGATTTGGATATCGGCTTTGGCAGTTAAATATAGACGTGGGAAATTGTGCAGAAACTGGTCAAGCAAATCATCCGCGATATCATTATGTCCCTCGCGCGCTGCGTAAGTGATAGTTCGACGACTTTCTAAGTCCTCTGAAGGAAGACAGGCACTGCAGCTTGAAAGCATCTTGACGGTATCGGAGTGACCACCCCCTGCTGCCAACGCGAGCGGGCTGTGACCAAGCGACTCTTATGATTTTAACCAACGACATAGTCCAGACTTGGCCACGACAGCAATGTGGCCATGCTTGGCAGCATTCGAGATGGGATGTTTTCCCGACGAGCTTGATCCTGTGAGGTATCGGAGATGCTTGGCTCTCCGGAAAGCCCCAGAGCGAGACCAAAAGCTTGACTTCTGGCATTCATTCGCTCCAGCATCACAAGTCGCTGAAGAGCCCCCAGAGAGCTGTGATCCGACGCCCATCACAACGGATAGCCTTGTGTTTCAAGCCGCGGGCATAGAGATAATTATTGAGGGCGTAGTATAGATTAGGATGACATTGTACGACTGCATTAAGGTCTTGGAGACTCAAATCCTGATGATTAGTAAGAGAAGCTCAGAAGGTAAAGGAGAGACAATCTCCGTGGATGCATGGTGCAAGCTGCTTCTGAGGCTGTTTTGCAGTAAACACGATGCCAAAAGTGGTAGTGACTCATAAATACCGGATGTTAACTTACGAACTAAAAGCCTCAAATACGCTGCAAGTCCGTATCGCTTGCGAAGCTCACAATACGGCGGCAGTTCAGCCTATAAAAACCACCGAAACAGACCAATCAGCCATGCTTCATTCACTCTTATTTGAAATTTATTTCAGAATTTCTTTCAAACCATCTTTCTTGAAAATACAGATACCATTTCTGTGTTTATCGTTCAATTTGTGACTGCTAAGATGATTCCAAAAATTTGGCGAGGTTTCAAACTTGACGAACCCCACTGTGCAAATGTTTCCAACTGACATTTGGTTCTCATGAAGTCCTATATCGAGCTGTTAAGTTCTAGTGTCGAGCTACGCGCTATTTAAATATTTGGTTTGAATTATTGCTGTCGGTATGTCTATAGCTAGGCCCCAAGTGCCATAATAACCTTCATTATAACCTACGACGGACAGAGAAGGGGAGTTGGCTGCACAGCTGGGGGATTTCCTATTTGCCCGGAGGGCCGTACAGTGTAGACAATGAAATTTGTTCGCACATTACCCAGGTCGTATAAACTGGTTAGAGAAACGAAAATGCTGCCTAAATTGATGGAAATGAACCAGGGGGCGGCACTAGGGATCTGGCTAGTGAAAACAAAAAAGGCCCTAGTTGGCCCCCAAAGAATACAAATTTAGGTCGTTGCGCCATCAGCTACTACTCGCCTAATATTGCCGGACAACCGCGCTTATACATTAGCATGTATGACAATGGAATCTGACAAGGATCACTCGGCAGATTTGGATCAAATGCATTATAATGACGACATATGTGGAAATTAAACATTAACAAGTGAGAGGTTTATGGTCTCAAAATCAACCATTTCCGAAAACACCATTCTCATATGCAACGAAAATGCTTCGCGTGAATGCAAGTTTGAAAGGAGCTCATGGTCTCATAATATCCTCGGTATGCTTCATAGCAACACCTCAAGCCTCCGCAGGCGTTCGAGTTCCGCTCGACTGTTTATTCATGTCCTCCTCCAACAACCGTTGGCAGAATGGACTTCCCTTCCGAATCGACGGGCCATAATACAGCAATGCAAAAGGAATAGGAATGCACGCTATACTAGCGAACCCAAGTATCGAGGTGGCCCACGAGACTCCGAGTTTGGAGTAAAGCGGATCCGCAGCGAGAGGGAACAATGCTCCCGCAATACTGCGCATGATTACCGATGAGGCGAGTGCACTAGCAGAGTAGATTTTGTAGGCGTCGGTGACGTATGTGAGAAGCGAAATGAAGGTTGTCTGGTATGCGAGTCCGAAGATCAAGCCTGACAGCACAGGGACGATCCAATGGATACTCGATTTTGCCGACCAGGCCAGCCAGAACATGCTGATAGCTAGGAGAGGGCCTGCTGTGCACGAAAGTGGAAGTCGATGATATTCGGGGCCCGAAGCCCATCGTTTCCCGAGCTTCTTGGCCTTTTGAAAAAGCATGTCGTAGTAGAGAGCGAAGAGACAGGAGGATGCGGCCCCAATACCCACTATTCAAAATTAGTCCGGGGACGACTTGTCAAAATAAAAATGTTGACTTACTTGGAAGGTATGTTAGAGACGTCGTCGCGACGTCGAACCCATATGTTCCTTCGCATTTTTAGCTTCATTTCATTCAGTTTTGGTATCGTGGGGACATACCTTCGAAGATGATGGGATAAGCTTGGAAATAGAAGAATACCATGCTCCACGCTAGAGAGACATAGATAGCCGTGAATAGAATGATTGGCTCGAAGATAAGCATTGTGAGAGGGCGTGTGATTGTTTGGGCGAGAGTAAAGGCCGCGTCTGACTTGAGTTCTTGTGGAGCAAAATAGCGGTTGCAACCCGTCTCCTTGCGTAGCTTTTTAGCGTGCTTCTTCAGTAAAACAGGCGCGAATGTTTCTGTACGATATTGGTCAGCTGTGTCCACTAAATAGCAACAAATTCACTTCTTACCTGACAAGAACAGAAGAGCTGTCCATGTAAGACCACAGATAATCAAATCAATACGGAAAGTCCACCTCCAGCCATATTTGACAGAGCACCCGGAGATAATAGGTCCAATAATTGGACCAAAGCTAGAAGCCTTTTGGGGGAATTAGCTTGGACGACATCGGAGTCAGTTTAAGCATTCACATACCGACATATACAGAGCCATTGCACGGCCACGACTTTTCATGTCTGAAAACATATCGGCATACACTCCACCAGAAACAGTCTGCGGTGCGGCAGCCATGGTACCACAGATCAGGCGGAAGATCAAGAGTGCTGTCCAGTTGGGTGCAACGGCACAGCCAAGTGTCCCAAGAACAAAAACAGTAAAGGTCCAAAAGAGAACTGGTCTTCTTCCAACCGTCTCACTCAAGGGACTCCAGACCAAGGGTCCAACACAATATCCAATTAGGAAGATAGCGGTTGGCAAGACCTTTTGGCCGCCTCCCTCTAGACCAAAGTCCTGCATGATAGTGGGGACTGCATTGCTAGGCAAGGAGGACGACACGCCGCTATTAAGCACGACAACTAGCCCCACAACTGCATTGTATATTTTCTTTTTCTATAGTGGCTGTCAGTCTTGAATTATTCCGATTGGCCGAGTCTTTAATAACGATCAATCTTACAAGCGTCCAGTTGGTTGGGTCTATAGTAGAGTGTTCTGAGAACTCGACCAGCATTTCTTTGGGGGTCAAATTGACCAATGTGTAGTTTTCGTCTATTTGAGCGCTTTGAGCGGGCTTAGTTGAGCTTGAAGCAACCTTTTCATTGCAACTAGGCTTGTTTGCTAGAAGCAGTTAGAGGTATTGTTGGCAGTGAGAAAGTATGCGGGGTCTGATCGCACCTAAAGAAGAAAAGAGATCCATGGTTCGAGATATGAGTGAACAATGTATATTCATAAAACATATATTTCATAATAAATTTGTGCAATGGAAAAGGGTTTGAATGAGATGAAACGTAAAAGAAGATTGAAAGGCCATATCTATCAATTCAAACCCTTCCGGAAACGAGGAACTGAGTGTTATATAAAGAAATCCATGGTCGCTCGCTGCATCCGGTGGAGCCCAAATTTTCATCGGAAAATTTGAGTCACAATGTCTAAAATCCCACATCCATGCAAAATATTCCAAGCTATAATGTTCGAGTCCATTCAACACACCAATAAAGTGGCTGCTATAGTTCAAATTCTGAGTGAGTGGGTCGGGGCCGGTACGGCGCCGACCTGGGCCCGGTTTGTTGACGGGTGCTGCCGACGCCTGGATCTCGCCTAGATCTCCGGCCATTGCACGTTTTTGACAAGGTCCTTGACATGTTTTTGGTCATTAGCGTGCGAATTGATGTGGATTGTGACAGGCGAACATGATTTTGCGGCCCAATCTTGGGATCACCTCTAATTACCCCTCCATTTTGCGATCTGGTCCGCCGAGACTATCAATCTTGGACCAACTTCTGCAGGATAACATGATACAAAACGTACTACTACTTGAACAATCCGCTAGAAATTTGAGAATCTTGAATGCTATTATGCTGTAAGGGTATTCTATCAAGGCAAAGAAGGCATCATAGGCAAAAAGTCAAAGATATCATTCTGACCCTCCTCGAAGAGCCCGAATGAGTCTGCAATGGAATTGGAAATCGTCCAAGTAGGGGCATCCATAGTGTCAGGCAGCCTTGGGAGAGGCGGTCTGGTTGTTGCAGCTACATCGCCACCTGGCATTGGAACCATATTTGAGTCTTTGTCACTCGGGATGGTCGTGCCGCCTCTGTATCGAGTATCCTCAAGTGGTGCCAAAGGAGGGGCATTCTGCATGGGACTGTCCGGACCCCTGTATGGAGGCACGTGCCCATCGCCTTGCTCGGACATGTGAGTTGGTTCTGTACTGCCATTGCTCTGTCGATCATTGCCGAGGGGGCGCTGACTAGCAATGAGAGCGCGAGCATAATTGACGAAGATAGAAACTGTGCGGTGGATATCGGGGTATGGTGGCTGTTTCAGGAAATCGCAAATCTTTTCAGCTCTCTCGAGAAGAAGATCTTGATCTATGAGATTAGGACGCCAGCGAGCGATTCGAAGTGCAAAGGTAGCTAGTACAAGTCAACAGCCGCATTGAGACATTTACAGCAATTTAGGGCGGCAACTTACTGACAAAGGCAACTGTCAATGCAGGGTATGTTGGTGCCCATGGAAATTGACATCGATAGGCCGGTTCGCCAATCAAGAACGCTAGCTGGTCCATGATCGTTGCAACCAGGGATTGCCATAGGCTCATGACATTTTGGTCGATTCCCTCAGACTCAAAGTTGGAGGACCCCGGCTGTAATTTTTGAATGCGAGCCAAAGAGGCACAGAGGACAAATATCCTCGCATAGAGCAGCATGAGCTTCAGGCTGCTTCGCTGAAAAGCGCCAGCATGAAAGCCGTTGTCTACATCCGGTGTTACTCAAAGTTTTCCTCCAGACTTTCAGCATGGAAAATGTCAAGACTCACTGTTGTGGATTTCATCCCATGTAGTCCACCAGTTCTGTAGCTTCGTCATGATTGTTGGTAGTTCTGTTGATACTATTTCTCGGATCGAGCCTGAATTGTCAATTACAATGCGCGAATGCCCTTGTACGAGATCAGCCATTGTAGCAAAACTGGAATAGGTCATACAAACCTCGAAGCTGATGAAGCTCAATAATGCATACTGTGCGCATATCACAAGGTAATGAGAGAGGGTAGTCTAGAAATCTTCGAAGTTTCATGACATCAACCTCGCCAATGCGAGATTTTCGGCCTGTCCCAGACGCAACATCCAGTTCTAGCGTGAAACTAATGAGCCACGTCCGTACCTCCCACACCAACTGACGTTCTGCCATTGAGGCAGAGAGTGAACTGCGAGGAAGAGTCTCTTGAGATAACAACGTATCGAGCGATTTCTCCAAGCCCGAGTCCAAAGCAGTGCGCAAAATGAGCGCGGTGGAGAACCATGTTTTCTCCGAGTAGGCGGCTAGAAGGATCATCGCCTGCACAGTCTCAAGTTTGGTAGGCCGTTCAAAAAAGCTGTCTTCGGCGAGTCTCTGCGATTCGTCCTGCAATACACGCTGCATATGTGTGTCGCCACGCAAATCCATCACGGCTCGACTCGCAAGATAGATTATCACTGTGAAACAAAACAGGGAACGTGATCGAATAGAGTCGAACGTGTCACGTATTGGGTCAAATAGCGGCAAGAAATTCTTGCTTCCGCCAACAAATCTGCCCGATGTGTTAGGATGTGCGTTTTGTGGCTCTCCAAACCAGTTGAAGGTTGACGACTCTCTTACCTTTCGTACATCACTCTAGCATTTTCTTCACTGACAATACCACGAGCAATAATATCGCCTCTTCCATCACCTTTAGATGAATTGTCTAAAAAAATCTTTCACATAGGTCAGTGGAAATTCTCTTGTATCACTCGGTGGTTTGTTTAGACCCACATGGTTATTGTCGAGGAGGTTCACAGACATGGAATGAACCGCTGACGCTGGAGCAATCATGTCATTAGGACTTAGCTGCTGCGATTCCGGTCCATGCTGATCAACAGTTTGAGACCGACGCAAGTCACCAAATGCCGATGAGTTGGGCAGTGAATCAATCGAGGCATCAAAGCTAGCATCGCCTCCCGCAATTGGGGAATACTCTTGCTCCCTTGATATAGGAGTATGAAGCCCGCTTCTCTGATCAAGTGGCGAAGTCACTGCGGGGCCGCTACACCAAGACATAATTAGCTAGCTGCTTTCTGCATGAAACGATCTGGTCGTAGTTGATGGAATTTACCGCGCGGGCGTTGTAGTCTTCCTTCGACGGTCACTGCGACGTCTGGCATCTTCAATAGGGTCGAGGATACAGTCACGACCAGTCGAGCGACAGCGAAAGCAGGGTACTTGTGTACGCGCATCACAGCGCATCTTCTGCCTACGACACCACCGGCATGCTTTGAAGAAGCGGATCGGAATGTTCTCCGCCCGAAACACAATCTCCGAACCGCGCTCGCTCATGATTGCTGCGTTTGGTGCTCCTAGCGACTTATTGCTTCGGTTTCTGAGCGATGTCAGTCACCGTGGACATTCTCTATCCCCCTCTTGCTTGACCGGTTGAATGAGTCTTGCGGTGCGAAGCTGTTCGTGATTTGGTCATTTCGCTGAGACTGGACGTGCCGACCAGATGGGTAATCCTTCTCCGGTCACGTGTGAGGTATCTATTTCTCTAAGAGGGTAACTTCGACAATCCTTCGTTTGCTCATGCGAGATTACCATGCAAGTTGAATCTCACTGCTTAATTGACTTCATATTCTTCGTTAAATTATGAAATTAAGTAAGCAATCCACACTGCTCCTTCGGCCGTGCCAGCAGGACCTGAATATCCTTTTCATCGGGATGATGAAGCTCCAGATATAAGCAGATGGCTTGGCATTCTAATCTGGCCCGCTTCGCCATCCACCAAAGAGACTCGCACATCGGGCCGTACCAATAAGCGAGAATAAGAAGGGCTCGAGGGTCCTTCCCATGTAGCAAGGCCTTGAATGCGGGGCCCATGAAGCACATGAATTGCATATACCTTGTCATCGTTGGCTGTGTGCATTTCAAATGCCACAGCCGAGTCAAAAGAGATACGGCAGGGAAGTATGGACTCTGAGTGGGGTCCGCCATTCTGTTCAGCTGGCAAAGATCCACGAGCTCCTTGGGCATATCGTGTATTTCGCACAGTGCTGGTTTGGTCATAAGCGTAAGATAGTCATCCTTCATCGCATGGAAGATGCTATCCGGTCGCATTGGGTCCGTTGCTTTCCAGATGGCTTTTTTACCGTGAGACATGTTCAGCCAACCTAAATCGGACGATTCAGCAGGTTTAAGAGGCCATGCTTCCCATGGCGTCGATGCTTCGATATTGGCAATACTCAAGAGTCCAAGGATGGCGGCGGCAGCCCAAAGAGCATCACGATCTTGAGGCCGAATTGGAGCCGAAAGCTTCTGGCTGAGCAGTCCAGCTCCTTTTGACCAGTGGTATGCCTCGGCAATAGAACGCTTCGCGTTATCTTTTGACATTGATAGAAAGCGATCGTGTGTCGCTGTTAAGGTCAGGATGACATGCATCAAGAACGGATTCTGTTTAGATCAGTATCGGTACTAACATCTCAAAAAGATTCATGGATTGCGGCAGGACTCCATATCAAAAACCTACCTCGATGGCAATGCTAGTCACACGATTCTGATAAACCTCATAGTTGCGATTGCCTGCAAATGTGTAGACAGTGCGACGATAGAACCGGTCTAGGCGGCCGATACTTTCTGCATCCAGTTGAAACGAGCCTTGGCCAGATCCAATGATCGTCGCCGGACGCAGAAAGACGGGTGAAGGTCGAGGCTTGACATTGAAAATAACTTCGCCGAAGAAGCCTTCCGGATGAGCCTTGTCAGGCTTATCTAGTGATTTTGGCTGCGGATATTTTGGCTGTAGATCTTGGCCATGAGATGTATTGTAATTGCAAACAACCCCGAATTCCAGGCATTTTTGGCATTGAGGCTGGCTTTCATCGCACTTCAGAGAGCGTTAGCAAGATCATCCAGGGAGTCGCGAAGCAGTATTAATCGACAAGGCTGGCTCACTCTAACATGACGGAGCTTGCAGTTCCGACAACCTCGACGCGATTTAGTGTGTGGTCGGCGCCTCCGAGCACCGTCTTCACCGGGTCTTAACCTCTTCGAAACCATCTTTACCTCATTACTTTGGACAGTGTTCAGTGAACAAGAAAGGAGAGATAAAGAGAAGATATCACGGCGGGATTGGGGGCCCGACCCACTGCTTAACTCCGGAGGATGGCCCGAGACAAGCTCATTGGCTGCCTTCAGACTCGCGCTAACCACCTCTCGTATTTGCGGCGGTAGGGGGCCTTGGATCGGACTTGAAGCGTGCAGTTCTTGCTTGTTCTTTGCGAGATCCCTGTGAAGATCCTACATGACTACTGCCTCTGATCGTATAGTCGGTCGAACTAACGTTCCACGGATTTGAATCGGCTAGAATCATGGAGTTCACTTCTTTAATGTCCGTCGGGATTTCGCATCGATAATCCCACCCGAATAACTATATATTGACTCGATTCCAGGGTTTTTGAATAATCCTCAACCACAACAACTCAACTGATAATCACAAACAGGCCAAATCAAATCCACATTAACTTTCAAAATGCATGTCTTTGTCACTGGTGCAACTGGCTTCATTGGCCAAGCCGTGGTCCAGGAGCTTCTCGATGCCGGTCACAGTGTTGTCGGCCTTGCTCGCTCAGACGCATCGGCAGCTGCGCTGAAGTCCAAGGGCGTCGATGTGATCAAAGGCTCTCTTGAAGATCTTGAAGCTATCAAGAAGGGCGCCTCCGAGTCAGACGGTATTATCAATCTCGCCTTCAACCACGACTTCACCAAATTTGCAGAGAACGCCAAGATCGAGTACGCCGCTATCATGGCCATGGGCGACATTCTGACAGGAACCAATCGCCCCATGGTACTCGCATCCGGCACTATGATGCTGCCCAAGGGCAAGCTTGTTACAGAGGAAACAGGCCCCGACTTGGACTCTCCTGTGAATGTTCGAGCCTCAACTGAACAATCGGTGGACACGCTTGCGTCCCGAGGCGTGCGAGCCAGTGCCGTTCGTCTTTCACCCACAGTCCATGGGGACAATGATCATGGATTCATTTATCGGATCACCCAAGTGGCACGTGCCAAGGGTGAATCTATCTATCTTGGCGAGGGTCTCAACCGATGGCCTGCCGTTCACCGCTTCGATGCTGCACGCCTCTTCCGTCTTGCTCTCGAAAAGGGCGTTGCGGGCGCTAGATATCACGGTGTGGCTGAGGAGGGTCTCAGATGGAAGGACATTGCGGAGGCCATTGGCAAATCGGCCGGGATTCCGACTTCGTCCATTACATTCGAGCAAGCTGCCGCGCATTTTGATGGTGGCTTTATGGGACATGTCATTGGTGCTGACAACCCAGCATCTAGTAAGAAGACACAGGAGGAGCTCGGATGGACTCCTACTGGGCCGACTTTGCTCACTGATATCAACGATGGGGTGTACACTCAAGATTGATTGAATGAGACTAGAATGCCCTTACTGCTTCGTAAGAAGGGTACTTTCCATGACTGAGTGTTCCTTATAAGGTGCTCACAATTTCTGATTGTATTTCGTTGGCGAATAATTACATTCTCTTGATATTTACACCGAAGTCAAATTGACTTCCTTTGTAACCAAACCAAGAATTGTCCATCTCCCGAATATCATGTTTCCTGGATCTATTAGAGATCAGTAAAGGTTGCCAGGTTTTAGTTGCCACATCTCTGGGCACCCGAGCGGTTAAAGGCTTCTTGAGGATATAGTAAACTCCAGCTACATGCAGGATTCTTGTGAAATTTGCCGGATGTAGAATCACGAGTAGAACTAACTAGATAAGTACAAACAAGAATAGAATAAAACAGACTCTATTAATGCACACAATGTAGAGGGTCCAGGTGGGATACAAACAACGCTACATGTGCTCAGCTGTACGCTGCAGGTGGAACGGAGGAACTGAGCTCGCGAGGCTCTCAAAGCAAGAAGCTCAATTCCTCACAGGCCGACTTATTTCTGGTTTACGGGTACAGAATCCTGGAAGATTAATATTGCATTGTCTCGGGACACAGATATGCCAGCTCTGTTGTAGGAGACTCCATGAATTCGAAGAATACTCCCCGAATCGCTGGGAATGCTCCATCAGATTCGGATCTCGTTCTCAAACGGCGGAAGATTCGCAAAGGCACATTCAGTTGTTGGGAGTGCAAATACCGCAAGAAGCGCTGTGACTTAGTGCTGGGATCTACCTCATGCGCTTATTGTCAGCAACATGGATTGCCATGCACTAGTCAAGAGTTTCCAGATACCTCAAACAACCCTTGTCGTAACGCCGGAAAGCGTCTTGACCGAGTTGAGGCAATGATCAATCGACTGGTCCAGCAGAGAAACGGAAAGACTGGTCAGATAAAAGTGGGACCTTCATCAACGATATCAAGTCTTAAGCACTACGAAAATCCAACGTTGAATTCTATCAATCATGAAAGAATGTCTAGGGGCCCGTCATTGACGAGCTTTCTGTACTCGCTCCTCCCCAACCCCACAATTGCTGCGGTGATTTTGCGCAACAGCAAACTGTTTAAATCGCCTCTTCAGATCAACCAAAAGCCCAATTCAGCAAATATCGACCCAGAAGGGCTGAACGGCGATCCGGGCCTTCCACAATCTGCGCATCCAGTGCTCTTCGCTCGAAGGCTCATCCAACTTGCCCTTTGTCTTCGGCATTCTGACTCAAAAGCATCCGAAAACCTTCAAATACAATTGAATGAGTCTGTCACCAGTGCCGCAACTCGCTACTTTGATGTAGCTTGTGGTTATGTCTTGTCTCATGACGCATTGATAAGCTCTCTCGACGGGTTACAAACTTTGATACTCCAAGGACGTTACTACATTACAATCGGGGATCTTCGAAAAGCGTGGTCGATCCATCGGCGGGCCTCCAATATTGCCTCCGCCATGGGAATTCCACTACTGGCACTGACAATGGGTGGCCATGCAGATGCTGTGTGGTTTCAGCTGGTCTATAGTGATCGCTTTCTTTCTCTCATGCTAGGGCTCCCTTTTGCAATTACCGAGAATTACTTGGAAATGACAAGCTGCCGAGACACCATCACCCCAGCCCAACACTTGGAACGAGTTCACGTCTTGGCTGCAGGGCGAATTATTGCCAGAAACGTGCGTGTACAAAACTTTGGCATGCCGTATGAAATTGCGTGGTCGTCTTGCAATGAATTTACCGAGTCAAGAGACATCGACCAAGAGTTGAAAAGAGCCACGAGACTTCTCCCATCAAGCTGGTGGCTGACTCCGTCTTTGAACAATGCAACCATGGAAAACGAGGTACTAGAAAGGACGGGAAGGCTGCTTATTCAAATGCACCAACACTACCTTCTAGTCCTCCTACACCAACCATATGTGATCCAACAGCTTTGTTCTGTTTTCAATGCCGATGACCTTCAACTCTCGGCTGAAAGTACCTATAGCACACTCGCTGCTGCCTCAGCAAGCCGTGAGATGATCACACGTTATCTTGAATTTCGTGGGTACCATCGATCTCCATCTTCCCGTGTTATAGACGACAAGTGCTTCATGGCCTCTATAACTCTCCTATTTGCCCACTTGGGCGGCCATCGTCTAAGCAGCATGAATGTCCTGGAGCACCAAAGATGCCATGATCTAGGAATCATTGAACGGGTCATCGCGTTCATGAAGGAGATCTCCGTTTTGAATGATAATCCTCTTGCTGCAGCACGGTCGCACTCTCTCAGCAACCTTTTGGAAACCGAGGCCCATGCAGCGGATGGACTGCCTTACCACGTCTCGATTGAGGGGAAAATAAGCATGAGCATTAACAGAGATGTCGAGGGCACACTGCATGGCTTCCAAATTTCGGTTCCTTACTGTGGAAACATCTATATCTCACACCAGATACGCCAAGGTTCTCCCACTGAAGGTGTCTGGAGCTCCGATGTATTCGGCTCAGAAATCATTGATACCGACTTTATTGAGAACCAGAGGACACTCGCTATTGCAGACGGAAATCTCCTGGCGGTAGAGGGGCCACCATCCCTACAAACCTACTTGGGTTAAGACATAGAAAGTCCCATACAAACAACGATTTTGGAGAGACGGGAAATATCTATTCTAACTCACATAGCCCTCTCTATGAGTGTCCAATTGAATCAAAACAGAAAAGCCACTTGATCGCCCTCAAGGCTCCAACGCAGGAGTATCCCCGAATGCATAGCCGGTCATTTCCTGAAACCGGCCCCCGACGATTCCTTTTGCCAACCGCCGCATCTGTAGCTCGTCTTCCTCCGACAGTGTCACCTCAAGACTCTGAAGGTTCTGGTCCAGACGTTGGATGCTTGAAGATCCCGGAATGGGGAACACATCGTCACCCTGAGCGAGCAACCAAGCAAGAGACAACTGCGGGAGGGTGACACCATTCTTCTTTGCAATCTCCGCGATTTGATCGAGAACCACAATATTGTTCTCGAAATTGCCCTCCTTCAGCCACGGCAAGACGTTACCACGCAGATCGCCCGGCTTGGTCACATCGGCGCGTGAACGAATTGTACCCGTCAAAAATCCGTTCGCCATAGGGCTGTAACAGACAATTGCCACGCCAAGCTCGCGTGCCACTTCAAGTAGGCGTCTCTTCGGCGACTCAATCTCAGTACAGAGTAAGCTATACTCTACCTGCACGCATGTGACTGGATGCACCGCATGAGCGCGACGCAGGGACTCAGCACTGCACTCGCTCAGTCCGATGTACTTGATCTTTCCGGCGTTCTTGAGTTCCACCATGGTCTGCATGGTCTTCTCAATGGGTGTGATCTTATCCAGACGGTGGACATAGTACAGGTCCACAAATGGCAGTCCGAGACGACTGAGGGATCTGTCCATACACTCGCGGCAATACTCCGGTGACGAGTCCATCGTGTTTCCTGGAGGGGTTTTGATGGGCTTGATGCCGAACTTGGTCGCAAGGAAGATGTCCTTCCGCTTATCAGGGTTCGCAGCGAACCACTTTCCGAGTAAATCTTCGGAGTCACCGTATTTGTCCGCTTCGGGAATATCAGCGTTGTGACTTCGTTTGGTGACTTGCTCTTCAAGGTGAAGATGCCATTGCCCATGCGTTACTTACCTGTATCCCAAAACCGTTCTCCTCTTCTGTACGCCTCATCGAGGAACACAAATCTTTCTTCGTCAGAGAGATATGAACCATACATTCCACTAGCCCCCATGAGACCAAGTCCGAGTCGCGGAACAAGAGGCCCGTTTCGGCCAAGTGGACGAGTGGGCAGAGCTTTGAACGCGGCCATGTTTTGCTTGAGAGTGTTTGTTGTGAAGATCGGAAGTGTTCTGGTGAACCAATTGCTCTAGGCTATCTTTTGGTACCATTTTGAGTACGCATCCTTTCAGTCTTATACTTTCGTGACTTCGGACTTTGCGGTGGACGAATCTCGTTCTGAGGCACTGGATTAAAGCATAGTCCATTTGGGCCAATCATATCGTTCCGCCGCCAATCGCCGTTATCTCCGTGGGTTGACACCTGAATGTTAAGGCTGGAAATCCAGGCTCTCTCTTCCAATGGGTATTCTTTCAATAGCAGCAGATGCGAAATTAGAAGGTATATTACGGCTGTCCACAGAGTGTCTGAACTTGATTAGATCAGGTGCGTAATCTTTGTTATGCGCAAAGCACCGAAATGGTTGTCATTGACTATCAGTAACATTCTATTTAGCCAGGCCTCCAAGTTACAGTATCGACAACTTGTTAGATCTTATTCTCCCGGGGCTGCGTCTTAATACCCATCTCTATAGCCTTGATTTGCAACGCCAGGAACTTGGAATAGATTCGACACAATGCAAGGTTGCCGCCAAAGTACCAGAATCCTGGATGACCGCTTGGTCGCCACATCTAGAACCAGCGTTAGCATTCTATGTTACCACGTCGGGCGTAAAATCTCCATATAAACTTACTCCTCGGAGTTCTCCCTCGTTGTCCAAGTCCCAAACATCCAAGCACCGGTCTGCAATTCTATCACCCAGTACCTTCCGCACCGTCGTCCGCATGTTGTCATAACCAGTCGCGAGTACGACAACGTCAGCAGGCAAGTCGATGCCTTCAGCGAGCTTCACTTCACGGGCGCCAAAGCCAGTGATTCCCTGGGGACTGTGCTTCACCTTGATCTTACCATCGATAATCAGCGAGCTGCAGCCAACATCGATATAATAACCGCCACCGCGCGTGTAGTACGCCCGGGCAATACCAGCGCCGTCAGGTCCGAAATCTAATTGGAAGCCCGCACGACGCAGACCATCCAATGTTTCTTTCTCGGCATCTGCAATGCGACGAGTCATGTGCACACTTAATGCGAATTGAACCGGGAAGGGCAAGCTCTCAGAGACAATGTCAGCCTCTTCTGTGGGCGGGCCACCGTCCTCGTGAAGACCCTTGTGCATCATGAAGACACCTTTGTCGGCGGTGATCACGTATGTTCCGCTTCGTTGGAGCATGGTTACGTCCGCACCGTTCTCGTAGTAGTTCTGGGCAATATCATGACCACTGTTACCGGTGCCGACGACAACTACCTTTTTGCCTCGGACGTCGTATTCGGACGCGTCGGTGTGTTGGCTTCCGTGATACAGGGTGCCTTGGAATGAATCTTGGCCCGGGAAACTTGGAATTCGTGCCTCGCCGGAGTGTCCGGTGCACCAAATAACATGACGGGGCTGAAGTGTCCGCTGGGATCCATCACCACGAGTCACATTTACTGTCCATTGGGCGGTAGCATCATTGTAGTTGGCTGAAATGACAGTGGTCTTCATCCAGACATTGAGTTCCATGATATTGGCGTAGGCTTCAAACCAGTCACCTAGCTTGTCCTTTGGTGTGAACTGAGGCCAATTCTGCGGGAAAGGGAGATAGGCCATATGGGTGAATTCGGCAGGGTCATGGGTGACGAGTGTCTGGGGGATATACCGATCAACCTCAAATTATGAATAGTGGACTCAAAAATATTGGAACGATATTTTTTACTCACACGATACCGCTTGCGCCAATTATCACCAATTCGCTCATGCTTGTCAACAATCAAGCAAGAAAGCCCCAGGTTCTGTAGACGCGCGCCCATGTTCAAACCAGCTTGACCTGTGGGGTTTTATTAGTATCGCTTTTGAATGCGTCTCCCCTCTGCAAGTATGAACTGACCAGCACCAACGACCAACACCGTCGGTTCTGCATCCAAGAACTCCTTCTGCCTCGCCCTCCTCTCAATCCACGTCCCACCCGCAAGTCCACCGGGCATACTCTCCGTAGTCCCTTCGGGTCTTTTCTTTCCCAAAGGCTCCTCGGCTCCCTTTAGTCCCTGCAAAGATGTATACATCGCATACGCCCTCCAGCACCCATCGTCTCCCTGGGTAAGCCTCACCATTCCGGTACCTTGACCAAAAGCAGTCTCAAAAAGAACATGCTGGAAATCCAGCTCAACCCGTCGACCACATTTTCCCAGCGTGGCTGAAATTTGCCTTGTTCTTGGATTCGAAAAGCTGAAAGCCGGGCCTTGCTTTGATGGGCGCTGAGGAACTCGGAGATCTCAGCCGCACTGTGCAAGGTGCGCATATCCCAATCCAGAGCCAGCATATCTCGCCACCATGAGTCCTCGTGGAATAATGAGGCAATGTCGAGGCTTGCTGACCTTGACAATGCCATCTCTAAAGCCGTGAACCACTGTTGGACCACCGCTCCGGCATCTGGCTCTGCGCTGTTGGGTGTTTTGGGGAGCTCGATGATATGCGGGTTTCCACCCGTCAAGGTTGTTGCCATTCTGGATGAGAGTTGTGTCAATTCTGCAAGACAAAGTTGCAAAATATATCGAGTATCTCGGTTACTTCAATCGCCAAATTGGCGGGGAGCAAGACCGTCTATAAATACCCTTTCTCCCCCATGGGGCTGGTCACATTGAAGGAACATTCGGCCGACTTTGGCGCAGGAGGGGCAACGTGGGGAAGCTGCAGAGTCAGTAGACCCCAGAAGACTGCAGGATCTCACCATCAACCTACTTTCCAGCGGTTAATTCGGGTGATTTCATGCCGTGGGGAAGAAGCTCGGCTTGAACTCCGAGAAAAGCGTGGGGAAAGTCTGCCGAAAGCCATCGCCTGATCAGGAAAATCTCGCGGCTGCTCGGTTGTTGGTTCTTTCTTGGAGTTCGCGACCCTCGCCGTTTTGGCTTGCACCAATCGCGTTACGGATGTACTGCTCCATCTGACTTCCCCGATTGGTAGTTCCAGGCACTTTTACTCCTTTGAGGAACCCGAAGGTGCTTGCAGGTGCCCTACTAGGAAATTATATCATGGTCCCGGAACACTGGAGGGTACAATTCTACGCGACGCAAGGTCACATGGCAGTTCTAATTCGGCTCTTTCATTGATTTCGTATATCATGCAGTCATGTGTCCGATGAAAATTGACGCCAAGTCATCCTCTACGTCTCGAGAGATTGGTGGATGACGCTCGTCCGATATGTCTCGCTGCGCTCGATGAGTTCTTCATGAGTACCCTGCTCGACGCAGCGCCCATCCTCGATCAGGTAAATACAATCCGCCCGATGAATGGTATTGAGCCGATGTGCAATCGCGACTATGGTCGTTCGGCCGGCAAGTGTAGCGAGGGCTTCTTGGATCCGCTTTTCAGACTCAACATCCAAGGCGCTGGTCGACTCGTCGAGAAGCAGCATCCGGGGACGGCGGACTAAAGCTCGTGCGATTGACAGGCGCTGTCGCTGGCCACCAGAGAACTGCTTGCCATCGTGGCTGCATTGGGTCTGATAGCCGTCTGGCAAGGCCTCGATCACCTCGTGGATGTTGGCCATGCGGCAGGCCTCTTCGATCTCTTCTTGGGTTGGCTCGTGACCCGGGCGTGCACCTAATCCAATGTTGAAAGCGACTGTCCCTTCGAAAAGGACATTCTCTTGAGGTACGAGGGCGATGTCATCCCGGAACTGTGTGCCAATTTGCCGAGTAACATCGACGCCATCAATTACCACTGCACCAGATTCGGGTCGGTAGAATCGTTCCAGCATGGCAAAAGTGGTGGATTTTCCCGAACCACTAGGCCCTACCAGCGCACAGAACTTGCCTGGCTGAATGCTCAGGCTGAGTCCACACAGCACCGGTTGTCCTGGACGTGATGGATACTCGAAGTGGACATTCTGAAGCTCCGCTCCAATCCCACTCTTCACCGGAGGCACCGCAGAATTCACGCATGTATGCCCTGAATAGGCTGCTTCGGGATCGGGATTCACCTCGTCGATAAGATAAGTATCATAGGCTTTGCGCTTGGCCAAGGCAACTGGGTTCAGCTCTTCATCGGCTGAGTGAGTGGTGAGTAGCTCTGCAATGTTCGACGCAGCCAAGCCGGCTTTGGAGATATCGGGCGCAAGAGCGAACATCTGGCCACAGGACTGCGTACTGAACAAGAGAGCAGGGAGCACGATGAAGAATTGAGTCTGAGTATAAAGGCCATTCACAATCTGCTGGGTTCCCCACCAATACGCCAGGGCATATACCAGATTGCTTATGCTGAAAGCCAGGGCGAGAAAGAAATTGCCGAATGCAATGGACCAAAGGGTCTCCCGGTAGGGCTCTGCTAGTGCTCTTTCATAGACCGCGCACGATTGTTTCTCCAATGAGAATGCGGAGACGGCCCGGATGTTGTCAACAGCTTCCACGGTAATGGCAGTCGCCTGGGCAAAGGCTTTTTGATGGCGTTCCGCAAATTGCGCCTGTGTCCTAAGTTTCATCATTCCTGAGACTAGCAAGACAGGAATTGTCGGTAGTAGCACGATAGCTATCTTCCAGGCGACCGCAAAGGATACCACCAATCCAGCCACCAGGTTGACCGCTGTGGCTAACAGCAACCCAATGGTTGTCCCTGTGATGCTGCTAAGAGCAGTTGCATCACCGGTGATATAAGTGAGAAGCGTTCCAGGGGTTCTATTCTCCATGCCATGCCATTGAATAGTCTGCCCCATGAGGGATCTCAAAGACAGCACGCGAATTCGGTAGAGAATTTTGTCAGCCGCCCAGCCGAATGCGCAGCCACCGATCACGTTGGCTGAGAGCTCGACAAGAGCCATGACGAAGAACAATAATCCGTACAGATGACCGCCATGTCTGATGCCGTCTGCTCCAATACATGGATTCAAGCTACCGATCGTGTGGCCAAAAATGACCGCTTCAGCTGTATAGCTACCTCCAATCACAATGGACATGGCAAAGCCAAGCATGACATAACCCAGATTAGGCCGTAGTAGAGAGAATGTGAATTTCGTTGTAAACCACATGGTGCGCTTGCGCATTTTCTTTGCTTTCAGCTCCTTATTAGGGCGCCTATTCCTTTCTCCCTTTCTATTCCGCTCGGTCCCATATGGAGGAAGCGCATCGTCTGAGACATGTGTGACGTCGGTGCCAGTAACATCAAGGAAGGACTCCTTGACTTCAGTGGTAATGGTCTGATGGCCGAGCATACCCTCTTGAGCTTCGCGAATCTTATCTTCGCCAGGCGTCAAGGCTGGGCTCAGCTTTCCAAGATTCTGAAGTCGCACCATCTCAGCATATGGGCCACCTTTAGCGACAAGCTCGGTGTGGGCTCCCTCCTCGACGACCTGGCCTTTCTGTATAAGCACAATCTTGTGAGCGTCCTTAGCAGACGCCAAGCGGTGCGCAATAGAGACCATGGTCACACGTCCAGCCAGCTTGGCGAGAGCATCTTGGATCAATTGTTCGCTTGTAGAATCCAGAGCAGCTGTCGCCTCATCGAGTATCAAAACAGCAGGCTCACGCACAAGAGCCCGAGCTAATGCGATACGTTGTTTCTGACCACCACTCAACTGGTTCCCAGAGGAACCCACGCTCGTCGCAAACCCCTGAGGAAGCGCATCGATGAATGTTAAAGCGTTAGCGCTGGCCGCTGCTTGTCGCACCAATGTGACAATTTGGGCAACCTGAGGGTCGAATTCCTGGAGAGCATTCTTTTCGGATATTCCCAATCGAAGATATTCCACCAGAGCGGCCAGTGTGGAATCTAGAATATACGGTGCCAGGCTCTGATGCTGCTCGCTTGCAGATGTGACCAGTCCATAGGCAATGTTTTCTAGGATCGATCGATCCAGCAGAGATGGTTCTTGCTGGACAAATCCAATTTTTCCTCGAAGATACCTCACTTTCAAGTTCCTAAAGTCTTGCTTACCGATTTGGATTTGCCCGGCTTGAGGGTCATAAAAGCGTTCCAGAAGAGCGACTATCGTAGACTTGCCTCCTCCCGATGGTCCAACAATTGCAGTATGTTTGCGAGGCGGGATCGCAAAGTCGATCCCTTGTAAGACGGGCAAATCTGGTCGAGAAGGATAAGTGAAGTGCACATCGTGGAACACGATGTCTTCAGATTCAAACGATGCAGATTCGTCACCGCAGTCGGCTGTTCCGTCAATCTTGGATTCCCGATTGATGACCGCGAGAAGCTTCTCGGATGCGCCAGTCGCCGCTGCAAATACATGCACGAATGGTGCGACCTGGCTGAGAATGAAGGAAGCATCAATTAGGACAAAAATGACCGTATACACGGCTCCGACAGATGTTCCCGTGCCATTTTTATCCACCGAATCGGCGATCAACCGAGAACCCTCCCAGAAAGCCAAGGCGTTTGCAGCGTAGGCAATGAAATACAGTAGCCCAAGTTGCGCAGCATGGGCTCCTGCCTTCTTGAGAGCGGCCATCCGGGAGCCAGCCAGATAATCTGCATATAGCTTCTCCAGTCTGTTGTGTGAATTGAACGCATGCACCAGTGTCAGATGTGACAGACTTGACGAGGCAATCGACGTGGCCGCACCGACATGCTCATTAATCTGGCTCGCATATTTCTTTATGTAATGCCCACCGACAAAGGACATGAAAAAGTAGCAAGGCACAACAGACACCAGCATTCCCGCAATTTCAGGCACCTTGATAAACGCCACGACGTATGAAGTGACAAAGTAGGACACAGTGGAAATTACAAGGCCTACTTTTTCCGAGGTCCCGGATTGCACAATTTGAATGTCGCTCACCAACCGCGATACCACATCTCCAGCTGGCAGACTCTCGATGTAGCCTGTCTCCTGCTTTATGATACTCTCGAAATATCGTCGGCGGTACCGTCGTGCAATTCGTTCGCTAATATAGCTCCAACAGCCGCAATGGATGTAAATGAAGCAGAAGTTGGCGATAGTGATGTATATCACATAAAGCACCTTCTGACGCACGCTATCGGCGACATCGCTACTTGTTTGTGTGGATGGAGAGCAAGTTGCCGTATTTAGATCGTTGATCAAGTCACCGAAGACGATACCCAGAAGAGGGAACGGAAGGCCTGCCGCGATAGAGAAGAATACGCCGCAAATGATGAGGCAAACGTCCGTTGTGGTATAGTCGAGGGAGAAAAGGAGGTGGATGTAGGAGAAAGGCTTGCCGAGGCTTTCTTTGGAAAGGGTGCATTTCTTCAGGCATCTAGTCTATACCTGACGTCAGTGTATCAATCTCAAGTTGCATCTTGTTCAAGTTGAAGTCTAACCATCCGTGTTCTTCTGCCAGTCTCCAAAGCATCTTGCTCTTTGTTGTCCGCCATGGCTGAAGAAGATCTCTAACAGGAAGCACACACCACGGCGCACTATTCTGGCCCGATTGTTTGGAAGACCGTAATCTCGGGCTTGGCCCAGAGATCTTTAATGGTAGAGGAAAGGGAAACTAGAGCTGTAAACAAGCCAGTTTTCAAGCCCTTGTATTCCACCTGTTCTCGACGCTGAGCAGACACCTTCTCATGGTGTGCTCAACGACAGCAGTAATAATGTACTCGCAAAGACTCAGAAGCAAGAAACACTCACCAGGAGCCAGTGGAAATCGCTAAATTTCGTCCCCACGCCTCGGCGTCCCCGGCAACAAAAGACTCATTAGCCCTTAGCAGATCCAAGGCCCTGCTCGCGGACCATAGCAGCGTTGACGCCATATCGGACCCTGCCAAACCCCCGTGGAGCAGGGATCCCAAGCGCAACAACGAATAACGCGAACCAAAACGAAACCCCAAGACCCGTGAAGAAGGAAAAATGGACACCGCCACGAATCCACCATGGGGGCATACGGAGGATTTGCATAAATCTCTTATTTAGCGAGCCAGTCATTTCCATTTTCCATGGGTACTGAAAAAAGCGGAGACGGCGAAAATGAGAGCGACTCCACTGGCTGAAGATCGATTCCCGATCGCGTAGTGGCAGACCCTGCACATCGTTCCCTGCCTTTCTTTTGCAGGCCAATCCGGTAAATCAGGATAAATTTGGGAGTCGACAGAGTTTCAGAGAGGCCTAAGTGTATCCAATAGGGAAATTTTGATCGGCTCGTCAGGCTGCATGGAGAAAACGCCCCCTCTACGCCTTCATCTGATAACCCGCCGTGCGGGCTGGTGGCGGGTCCTTGTCTCCGCTAACCGATACGATTATTGCGACATTAACAAGCGCATATTCCGCTTGTATTGTACAGTATTCTGGTGTTGATGGATTCTTCACAGAGATTTGTTGGTTTGAATCATCCTGAAATGTGGACGGGGAAAAAGCTAAAATGATGAGCAAATTTTATCTGATGATCTAATCTGATCGATAACAAACCCTCCATATTCAGGTCATCTCACACAAGGTTTAAGGACTTACAAACTCTGAGTTCCCTCGTATTCTTGCCGTTTATTGTTTCTTCTTTCATTCAGTGTTTCATACAGTACCGTTACTGTATATGCATGTTTAACCTCCACACACACTAAGGAAGGGTCCACCCACCTCCCTGCGAACAAGTCCCCGTCATGCTACGTACGAGGATGTTATGCTGTCGCGCAAAATCAGCTGTAGTCAACGAAGGTTTCCGATATGCGATGCATCCGGGTTTCTTGTCATCCGGTTTTTTTTCATTGTTTCGATTTTGCATTATCAGATCCTCTCTTGAATACTACTACTATTTTCCATCGTATAAGTAAGATAAGCAGTGATACACAATGGTTCTCGACATGCGATGTATCAGGTTTTTTTCGTCATCCTGTTTTTCCGTTGCTTCGCTTATCAGATCGCCACTAGACAGTATCCCCTCATCCTTTACCGTGACCATTCACCATGTCTGGGTATGCGCGCACAGCTGGCCTGGCTGGTATGCGTTTCTCTTAAATGGTTTGCCCTCGCCGATCATCAGTCCAGAGTATCTCGCGGTATATTCCGACAATTAATGGGGAACAAATTACCCTACGAATCGCAACAGTGGGGATATGCACAATAAACTCCGTAATTTTTTTTATGTACCGAAACATCCGATCAGAATCAACGCCACCGCGTCATGATAATTACAAAATCACGTTGATCAGAAAAATAAGGCAGGAGAATCGAAAAAGAAAAAAAGAAAGTCACAAAGAAACTAATCACATGGTCGGGTGTCGTCGACCTCAGCACTCTTTACTGGGACCGACGGGCCATGAAATAGGTGAGCAGATTGAGCGAGCCCTCACCAGCGGGTGGAGTGACCCTTTGGACACGGTCGAGGCCGAACTTGAGGTTGAGCAGGGTACACAGTTCAGTTGCCTGCTTTCGCACGCCGGGTCTGGAATGGCCTAGTTCCTTGCTGACCACAGTACCGACATTGGCCAGGGTGTCGTCTGAAAGCTCAACGGGCCCTTGAGACAGCGCCTGATGAACAGTGGCAAGTCCCATGATGATAGATTGATAGGAATCCTCGTCCTTCACATTCTCGCCTAGATCGATCCCTTGGAGCACACCCTCGATGACTGTTTGTGGTGATACCAGGGAGACCAACTGCTCAGCAACCTCTTCCAGACAGGTCACAAAGTGCGAGCTGGACTCGTAGTGGCGGCGAGCTCGAATCAGGGAGGCAATCGTGGCTACGTCGTATCGGTGGAAGAGCTCGCTGGTCCGAAGGAGCATTGAGCGGATGGTGGCCAGAATCTGGGTCTTCACATCATGGTCCTTGCGGCTGGTGGGGGCCGCCTCGAGCTCGTGCAGCAGAGCCTCAAGTATGGCATAGTAATCCTCTTCGCGAGAAACGATCTCCTCGCCATGATATTGGTACAGTCCCTGTAGCTTTCTATACCCAGAGATGTCCATGGTCTGGGAGGCAATCCGGCCAAGGGCCTTGTTCAGCATCTCCCTTGCGTTGGCAGGATCCTTTGATCGAGGGCTTGGGCTTCGGTGCCGGTCTGCCCACTTCCGCCTATGGCGGAATGCGGGCTCCTCGCTCGTTGGCTGGGCTGGCGATTCAAAGGACCGACTTCTTGCCTCTGTAGGCAGCCGCGAGGTAGACTCGTTCAATGGGACCTCCTCAAGCGCACCAGGCTTGGCTACAGACCGAGGGGTTGCGGTGAGCTCTGCAGTCTTCATAACATGCGCTGTCGCATTCTCGTTATTAGCACTGCTCTCAAAGGTATCCGCCACAGCTGGCTTCGGTGTTGAGGTGGATCCCAAAGTAGGAGCATTTAGAGAAGGTGTGGTGGGATGAGGGCGATTCCTGGTAGGAGAAGGGGTTCCTCGAAGTGCTGTCCTCTTCGGTGAGGAGAAACGGGGCTCATTGGCCCCATCAAGAGTGTGTTCTTGAGGAGGAGCCAACTCCGGCACAGGGTGCTTGATAGGGGTCTCAAAGGTAGTCGTGGTACCTGGCGTGGGGTCTTTTCTAGGCTCTTGTTCATCGGGGTGACGAGGAGACTTCTCGGGTGTGAAATGCTGGACTGGAGGCATCTTGGGTGTTGTAGGCTCCGCAGCAACCGGCGTGGCAGGGTCCTCGTATATTACCATTTCTTCCGGCTGGGGCTTTGGACTGGATTCGGGCTCAACAACCAGATGAGCTGGGCGCAATGGATTTGCCCGTTCGGCTTCAACGATACGTGGAGAAGCTCGCACAGGGCTAAGTTCAGCAAGTGAGAGCGGTTGCGGCTCTTCAACGGGCTCCGGCGTGATATGGCCACGGTGAACTTGCTGACTACGAGCAAGTGTTGGTTGCGAAGCAGAAAGGGGAGGACTTTCCAGAACGATAGGCGCTGGGGAGTTTCGACCTTCAGATCCGCTTTGATGGTCAGCGTGAGGGCCATGCACGGAGAGCTGATGTGAAACGCTATCGGCAGAATCGCTGCGAGCACGGCTCGCCGCAATGAGGTCTCCATGGGACTTTGACTTCGAAAGGTCAAGCTTCTTAGGCTTGCCTCTGGTAGTGCCCGTTTGTCCAGCATCGTGAGGTCGAAGGCGAGGCGCGTTAATTGGTTTGGATGAGGGTGTCGATGCCTTAGACCGCACTGATCTCGGGGAGCTGACTGGCTTACTCGAAGATTGGGCGGCTCTCGAGTCAGGCCGACGAGCATAGGGGTCTGCTGTTGCAGGACGACTAATCTCGGGCCGGCGGGCTTTCATAGCAGGCCGCATGGGTGCGGATGATAGGGAAGAGAGAGGTGCACCCGTGGGGACAGTCCGTGTAGGGGGTCGGGGAGCAGGATCTGAATCGATAAAAGCGGACTGAGCGGACTCTGGGCGAGAAGGCGGCATAGCCCTCTTGCGGGCTGCAATGGCTTCTTTCAGTGCAGAGCGGCTCGCTCCTGGGCCGGCAGCGCTCTTTGTAGGCGTAGAAGCGACCTTGTTGGCATTAGGGTTCGAGGAATCTTTTTCCAGCAGTGTACGCGATTTGGCATCGAGAGTCGCCATGATGGCGTTGGCTCGATCGGGCCAGACACCATAGAACGTCCAGAAAGTGCTGCGCACGGCCTCTCGTACAGCGGGATTGGCATCGCCCAGGCCCTTTTTGATGGATTTTTCAATGAGATCCAAGCCACCACCATGTTCAACTGTGCTCTTGTGATGGGCCTGTCGGTTAATCAGGGTCCGAAGCCATCCTGCCGCAAAGAGGCGCAATTGTAGGTTTTTATCTTGGGAGGCCCAGTGGACGTGCTGTAGAAGGCGAATATTGTACGTTACGTTTCCGAGAACAGCATCGACGGTGGCGTTTCCATTCTGTGCGGAAATCTTTTTCAAGGCTCCGCACAGCTTGATCAAGTTCTGCATGATGATCTCGACCATGGGGTCGAGTCTGGAACCACAAGTCCGAGCAATATCTTGCATCAACAGGCAACCATTTGTGCAGAGTGTTGTTCGTAAGGAGTTGACGACTCTGAAAAATCCATCTAGGAGGGTCTTGACGCCTTGTAGGTAGCTCTGGGGGAAGTCGTGAGGCCCGTTGCCACGAGTGAGTCGGCGGAAGAGAATAACGTTCTTCTCACGTTTCAACCAATTATCCTCAGATTCTTTGCCATCGAACCAGGGAAGCATGTCTCGCACAGTATCGTCAATATCTCGGGCAGATGAAACGAGGAAGGGCTCGACTCCATCATCTTCTTGCGATATTTGCTGCATAGCCGGTGTCTCAGCCGGGGTCTTGGGTCTTAATGGGGCTTCTGGAGGAGCGGGGGTAGATCTATCGTGGTGGCCTCTTGATGATCCTGGTCGGCTTCTGGTAGGTTCTGGCTCTTGACAATTATTAGCACAGCTCCCTGTAGATGAAGAGAAAGGAAACCTGAATTCCGCACTCATACCATCGTCCACTAGCTCCCTCGCATGTCCACGTGAAGACATCACTGAGATAGGCCGCTCCGCACGAGAGATGGGCCGATTTGAGCTTACAGGTTCCGAGTCGCCAAGTCCAATGCCAGAAAGAATGGCGCTGGCAATCGACTTGCGCACGCCTCGAGTAACCATCTGCTTTTGCAGATCAGACTTGGCTCGCGCAGGAGCATTCCTGAGTCTTATAGTCAGTATCGAGAAGGTGAATTTGGAAAATATAGAGTTCGACATACCGGAACAGTTCAACCACAACCAATCTTGCTGTGTCTCGAACAGCGCTGTCTGCATCCTCCAAGCAAGCGACCAGAGAAGGGACGTATTGGCGAAACAGCAAGCCGTGGTTTTTTGTCATCTGCAGGAGCTCGTGTTAGTGGCCTACATAAAGCTTGTGCAACAAGTAAACGCACATTTGAAAGCCAGAGCATGCTCATCTCTTTAGCTCGGGGGTTTTTGGCCGTCAAAGCGGTTTCCAGCACATAATATTCAACCTCGTTACTCGCCACGGACCAGAGCTCAGTAAAGATCGATGCCGCCTGCGCTCGCACACGTTCTTTATGATCACCAAGCCTCTCCATCAGGAGAGGATAGAAGTTCCGTGCTTGGCCCACAATCCATTGTTGCTGGTCTTGAATCGACAGCCGCTTCAAAAAGTGGCCTAGCGTAGAGAATCCTGCGCCAAGGACTGATGTGTGTTGGGATGTAAGAGCGAGTCGCAGAGTGTCGAAAATGGTTGGAATAGCGCCCTCAGGAACATTTTTCTGTTTGATTTCGGACTTGATGGCCGTCAGGTGGGCGACCTTGGCATCAACGGAGAGATTTGGGTTTTTGAAGGCCGCCAGGAGCTCTGCAGCCTTTGCCTCCATCTTGAACACCAACAGGAGATTCTCGGATTATGTCAGGCAAGAATCATAGGAGCTACCACCGCTTGGGGGGAGCAGACGAAGTCGATTGGTAACTTGAGCGGTCACAACGGATAGCCCAGGGGACGGTAGGCACGGAGAATGGAGTAGAGAAGTTCGTAACTGCTTATTTTGTGTGTTAATTCGCTTCCATCAGATACTCGCCGCGCGTAGATAAGACAGGGTCGCGACAGGGGCGGCGCGCAAGACTGTGGCACGGAGTTGGCAGTGGCGCGAGGTCAAAGAGCCGGAGCGCAAGAGAGCAATCAAGACCAACACCGAATCCGAGGATAATACAACACAATATCGGAAGAAGGATGGCACTTACCAAGTCAAATGCGACAGTAGAAGGCAGGACAGGCAGGTGAGCGGGCGCGAACCGTGGATGGTGGGATGTTGACGAAGGCGACGGAAACTCGGAGTCAAGGGGCGATAAGCGCGGATAAGCGCGAGCGGCTCCACTGATGCGACAATCTTGTTCCAAAAGGAACTGAGCAAGAAAGGGGTTCTTGAGTAAAGGGGTTGAATCAGGACTCAAGAGAGCTGAGATTGTTGTTGTCTTTTTTCCTAAAGTTCAATCTGAATCTCGGTGGTGGATAACCGTGGTTGTGCCTAAACCCCGCCCAACTTTCCAAGTCGGTTTGTTTATATGGCGGTCGCAGAGGGCAACCAACTCCGATCTAGTACAGCCCACTTAACCTCAGAGAAACAACTTGATATCAACGAAGAAGATAAGGCCTGAACAAAGTCCGACCCCAGATACATACACCCTCGCAAATTGGGACTACCGTCCAACCATCTATCCCCTCGTCAATGTTGGCTACGCAGCTCAATAATAAACATAGGTCATGTGACCGGGCGAGGCATTAATGCTGGCCTACGAATGCCATAAACATGGTGTTTTCACCGATCTCAAGGTTATCATGTGTAAGTTTCTATCTAAATTTTGTATTTCTCACTAGCTTTAGACTCCACTGATCTTATCAGAATGCATTTGCTATCTAGTAAGACTAGGTAGGGATGGCTGTCACTTGTATATTTATCCTTAACTATGAACCTGCGTGCCAGTTACAAAGCGACCAGACGGTCTTCACTTTCTAGGTATGCTAAAGATATATAAAAAACGTCCAGGTGCTCAATTTGCCGGCATGAGATCAACAACCACTAAAAGACAAGGGAGAATAGTGTGTGGAGTAAGTAGATGCAATGGGCAGCTCCCCCACCTTCGGCATTACTGTCACTACTTACAGACATAAACGATTATGCCGCTAGTCTACCACGAACTGCTCTAATTGGCCCCAGCTCAGCCTCAGCATCGACCACCAGTTCTCCCACCTCACTGACCGCAAATCTGAGCAAGATTACTGAATCGAATCCCTAAGTTTTTGATCTGATCTTCTCCAAAGGCCTAAGGCTCTATATACATGCACGACTGAACTCGCAATGACGACTACTTCGGCCCCACCAGCCGCTGCATCTGCAATCCCCAAGGCCAGCCTGCCCAACGAGGAGAACCCCAAAGATCAAGACCAAAACCAGAAGAGCCCAGCAAAGGAAGTCCAAATATCAAAGCCAAAGTACCGCCTCCATGCCGAGGATCTGCGTCATCCAGAATCTGCGTCATTCTCCATCTATATCCCGGATGTGACCGCGACGCTCGATACAGCCCTTGGCCATATCGTCAGATACCTCTATACGTCCCCAGAATACGGGTCTACGGAGGAACTGAAAAGTGCCCCGAAATTGAAGCGGCCTCACTTCGTCCCTTCCATCCCTCAAACGCGCTCGGTGACGTTATTCCTGCGCGACTTTGGCGGCGTGGCCTACACGACAGGCACAGAGCTGGACGATGACCATAAAGAAATCCACCTCTCGCTGCCGTATATTACGCACTGCAAGAATTCGGCCGCAAAGGCTGACCCGGTGCATGAGCTAGCAGGTGTGCTCACACACGAACTGGTTCACTGTTATCAGCACACTTCGCCTCCGGACTCTGGAAAGGATGGAAAGGATATCCCTGGTCCGCCTGGCGGACTAGTTGAAGGCATTGCGGACTTTGTGCGGCTCAAGGCTGGTTTGTCGCCGCCACATTGGACGCGGCCTACGTCTTCCTCGCAGCGCGAGAAGAAATGGGATGCTGGATATCAGCATACGGCGTATTTTTTGGCGTGGATTGAGGATGTCTGGGCTGGGGAGGGGGCGGTTGGCATGCTGAATGATCGACTCTTAAGGGTTGGTTATGTGGGCGAGGAAGAGGATGACGAGGATTGCCATGAAGGGGGCTTTTGGAAAAGTCTCTTCGGGGCTGGGGTTGCGGAATTATGGGACGAGTATGGACAGTGGCTTGATGACGGGGAGAAGAAGACCAAAGGCAATTGGGAGGAGGAGATTATCAACCCAGTATAAAGTAGAGGGTAGTGATGACATGTACGGCCAGGAATAGTAGTCGGCCTGTAGTTCCAATAGCTATAGATAACGCAAAGGTAATGAATGGGTATGTCTAGAATGTGATTTTGTTTTTAGAATACATTTGATAGGAGCAGCTCTATACACCAATGCCGAGACACGCGACCTCGGTGCCCTATGTTGACCGAATTTCGCTGGAGAAGAGCGGGGGGCGTAGCCAGATACATGAGACGAAGAAAAGGACGATTGGGGGGAAAGAGAATGAGATAAAGAAAAACAGATCCAGTAAAACAAAAAGACACCAGATGAATCGAAGGAATCACAATTCCCATACTATACAGTATCCAGTCATGCAAAAGACAGGAAGAAATGACTCTTTTTCCCACTGGCCTGCTTCCCATGCGAAACCACAGCACCGTGAAAATTGGTAATAAAAAAGTCAGTAATAACAAAGACATGAAAGAATATGGAAAAGCGCCCGATGGGACGCCCAAGTTCAGAGCACGTATTAGACGATGACCTCACCCAGGTCAACATAGACGGGCTTCCAGGGGGCAGCACCCTCTTCCTCCATGGAGCTAGGAACGCGCACGTTGAGTGGGCTGTAGAGATACCATCCCTTCAGCGCAGCTAGAGCCGCGCGCTCCCGAGCCTCAATCAGGCTGGCGCCAGCGCCCTCGCCCAGCTTGTCCTGACCGGAGAAGATACCAACAACGAAGACAGGGTGTCTGCTCTTCCGGCCAGTCTCGCTAATGATTCTGGCGACTGGGGGCTCGAAGTTTTCACGGGCACAGAGGCGAGCCAGGTCACGGGCAGGCTGCGAGAAGTTGAACAGCTGGGAGATGTTGAGATGGCGGGAGAGGAAGTGCTGCTCGAAGAAGCGCTTGGCTGCCGGGCGGCCAGCGTGGAGATAGATGGCACCCATCACGGCGCGGACGAAGGTGGCACTGGCAAGCTCAGCGGTAACACCTTCACCCGAGTTTTCCGGTCCCTTAATCGCGTCGCCAAACTCGTCATCGTAGAAGATCTTCGAGGTCACCGTCATCCTCCATGCTTTCTGTGCAGCATACGGGCGTGGTGTGCGTTTGTTATAAAGGACGTTCAAGTCGCTACCAGGCGCGACCCTGCGGAACTGCAGCAGGCCGGGATCAACTTCTCCACCAGGCAATGAAGCGTGTTCCACACCCCATTCTCTGGCCATCGCGGCAAGTGTTTTAGGGCCGGCATAGGCGTACATGGCGGCAAAGATGACAGTCAAGGGAAGGCGGGGGTAGGTGCAAAGGAGGTGCTCGGTGGTGTAGTATGTGAGGAGGTCGTGACCAAGCGTGGCCAGCGATTCGTTGTTGAAATCAGGGTTCGAGTCCGCGGAGGCATCGACCAAAGCTCGTGCCAATGTTTGAGGAGGTAATCGGGAAGGAAGGTAAAGTCGAGCGTGAAGAGCAGCGAGTTTGGCGGAATTGAGCGCGGCATCGACCGGAGGAGAGGGATATTTGAGCATGTCCTTGCGCCTGTGAGCACTCCTAACGTGCTTCATCAACTCCACATCTTCAAAGCCAGAATCTCCAAGGCCCTCTTGAGCGCTGGACTCAGCCTGGAGAGGAGACGCGGTCGATTGACACCGCGATCCGGCAGGGAATACATGTTGATGCAGCCGGCTAGCAGTCTGAGCCCGGGGCGAAAGGACCGTACTGCTCCATCGTTGGAGCTGTACCCTCTTCATCTGGGCGACTGTATTATAGACTCGAAACAAAATAGAAAGCTGAGAAAACAACAATCCACGCTGCGTCAATGGGGCGAGACTCGGAAGGCGTGCGGCCAAATTCACGGGATGGAGAAAAGAGAAATTGTCTCGCAAGTCACGGGATCACCACTGTCGTGTGAGCTGCGGCTAGTCCCAATTAGGCAGTCGAGGCTTGGCACTCGACCTTCGATTGACGGCCCTTTCGGCTTCAACCCGCTTGCGAGAACTGTCCAGCCCGACACTCCTTTTTCTACCCAACAACTCCCTCAATCGCATCTCATTCACAATGGGTGGAGGTGGAAAGATCCCGTATGTTTTCTAATTGGCCCCAATTGGTGGCTGGAGGCTAACAGATTCTGCTACACAGTTACCCCAAGGAAGTTTGGTCCCCCGCTGGTGGTTGGTATGCTCAGCCGGGCAACTGGAAGGCCAACACAGCGATTATGGGTGCCTTCATTATTGGAGTTGCCGCTGTCGCCTTCAGCATCAGCGCTGACCGGGAGTACCGCGACAAGATGCCCGAGCCCGGCCGCTTCTTCCCCAGCCGGTAGTACGTCTGCCCGGGACACCCTCATGTGTTTTGAAACTCCTCCGTACTGACTGTTCTCTTTTCACGCGTAGCTGGAGCCGACAGATCCGCGAGCACGAGAAGCAGCAAGCTGCCCAGAACCCCTCATAAACGACATATAACCGAGCCTTGGACGGTGGCCCGAGGAGGAATTGCAGCGTGACGGAACATTTTCTTATCCTGTTTTTACTATCATTTCATCATTTTCTGTGGCTGTACGACAATAGAAGGGCGTTCCTTAATGGACCATTTGATCAATTGGTCAATAGGTGTCTCTGAGGAGACTCGTCTAATGTCCTAAATAATCGCTGCGTGTACAGGCGGACTCGTTCCGTGAATTCAGACTGATTCCACAATTCCTTTCCCCCAGTCTCTGCCACAGAGATCTGCGGCACACCAATCTGTTCAACCACGAATCCTGCAGCAATAGTAGCACAAATCAGGGCCATGGGCAGATTGCGACGGACTCCCCATCCGTCGAGAGATTCTCTCCAGTCCTGAGAAGCTGAAAGGATAGATTCAATGATATTGAATGGTTCACGCCCGGCGGTCACCAATCCCTGAGCCAATGCGCCGAGGAAAGAATTGCCTGCGCCTGTTGGGTCGACAACGGCCGTAGCACCGGAAGTCTCTGGTTGATGATAGGCGGGTAGCCACAACTTTTGGGTTCTTGAAAATGCGTAGCTTCCTTCCTTGCCCGCTCTGATGACAAGGCAACCGTCACCATTCGGGCCAATTCCAGAGGCGAGAATTCTTTGGACGAGTTGCTGGCCTTCCTTGCTCTCTTCGGACCACCCAGGCTGGTCAAACATCATACCTAATTCCTGATGATTGGGACTGACCACATCCACAACTTTGTTAGCGGCCAAGAACTTCTCTTGCTCTTCTGGTGTGCAAAGATCTGGCACTGGCTCCCAGACAAAGATGGGCCGAGTAGACGCATGCTCCGTGGAGGGGGCTTGGCCTGCCTGGCGTAGCTCGTCCCGCCGCCGTAATATATCGTCCACGATAGAGATGCAGCGAGATGAAGAGCAGACCATATGAAATGTACGTGACCACACTTGTGTCTCTGATAGCATGTAGGGCTCTAGTCTCAACTTTGGCGTTAGGTATTTGAAATCTATATCTCTTCTGTCAGTCATGATTCTCCGACAGTCAGTATGAGACTTTCAACCAACCTCGCTTCTCATCTGGATGATATCCGTTCCATGCCCTAGTTGTTAGTCTGCCATGGTCCTTTCTGATGACACAATCGGTGCCCCAGGACTGGATAACAGCCAGTGTCTCGGGTGGAAAGTCGGAGCCAACATCGACAATCCAACTAACAGATCGTGCATGGGCAGATCCTGCGACCAAGCGAGCACCAATGACAGCAAATGAAGCTGCACCTCCAAGTATATTCTTGACAGCTGGCCTGGAACCACCGAACTCAATGTCATCTGCGCGGCAATGCACTGTGAGCATCTGGGCCGCGGGGCATCAAGAGAAAAGATAAGCATACCGAGAATGAACATTCCCAAAGTGCAGAATTCAACCTCGCCCGGTTGGGCTATGGCCAAAATAGGCTCAGCCATGCTCATCAGGGAATCGAGACTCAATGGCTGTACACGAAGGAACAGTAGACAGTAGCGGAGTTACTTCTAACTAGTCAATCGGGATGGTTAAGGGTTGTGAACATTTATGTATTGGAAATACCAAAGATACCCAGCGACGTCATTGCACTCGGTACACCCCAACGTAACGTACTGTTGCGGGTCCCGGGGCTGCGGCTTCAGGAGCTCCAGCCAGACTCCAAATCAACTTTAACCCTTTTGACACTCCCACCATTGAGCGTCTTGTGGATTGCAAAGGACTGACAACTGCCGGATCGTCTGTCTTTCTGATCCCCTTTCCGGAATCAAGTGATTCGTTCCCATTCGTCAAGCTCGTTTCGTCCCCTTTCCGACTTCTTCAAGCAACGTGTTGCCTAACATGGCGAGCGGCGGCCATATGCATAATTTCACCACCCTCATCAAGCGGTATGTATGATTCTTGTTGGTAGCTGCAAGGTCCTTGTCCGTTTGGCTTTTTCTTTCAATCTTGTCCAAGTCGTGCAACGATATTAGCGCAGGCCATGCTAACGAAGGAGTGATGATATAGGCTCGAGGCGGCGACCTCACGCTTGGAGGACATGGCTATGTCCCTGGATGACCCCAACATAACTAAGGGCATGGGCAGTCCTTCTGCAGCTGCGCCTGCCACTCCCGAACCTCCCAAGCCTGCTCCTCCTCCCCCGGCACCCCCTGCTGCGCCGCAAGTTCCCCCCGCAAATCCAAGACTTCGACGCATTGATCAAGGGTGATGTCCAAAACTTTGTGAGCTTGGGCGAGAAGGTTGGCGGTCTTGTTGCAGAGCAGGTGAGAATCCGATGCCAACAGCATGGCTCGAAAAGCTCCCCATGGCTAACGCATACAACCAATAGTCGAAAGCAGTTCTGCAAGCCTTCCAGGCCGAGCGTACATTCCTCTATGTCTCGACAAAAGCCAAGAAGCCCGATGTGCCTCCTCCAGAGCTCATGACCGAATTGCACAAGGCCTCAGACAGCATCAACAACATCAAGGAGTCGAACCGTGCGTCACCGCTGTTCAACCACCTGAGCGCCGTTGCGGAGGGTATTGTTGCGCTGGGTTGGTTCTTCGAGACCAAGCCTGCGGAGTTCGTTTCTGAGATGATTGGTGGTATTGAATATTACGGCAACAAGGTGCTCAAGGAATACAAGGAGAAGTATGACTGTCCATGAAGTACATATATGGATCAGTGGCTGACATTCTTTTTGCAGGGACCGAACACACGTTGAGTACATCCAAGCATACTACCAGAACTTCAAGGCCCTTTCGGCCTATCTCAAGAAGCACTACCCTAAGGGCCTGACCTGGAACAACGAATCTGGTCTCAGTGCGCTGGATGCTTTGAAAGAGATCAAGCGCGGCTCTGCCCCAGCTGGCGGCGCTGTTCCTCCTCCCCCTCCCCCTCCTGTTCCGTCTCTCAAAATCCCTGGCGGCGTCCCACCTCCGCCTCCTCCCCCTCCTCCTGGTATTCCTCCCGCGCCTGCGCCATCTGCTCCTGCTCCCGACATGGCCGCTGTGTTTGACCAGCTCAACCAAGGCGAACAGATCACATCTGGGCTTCGCAAGGTCGATAAGTCGCAGATGACACACAAGAACCCCAGCCTGCGTGCCGGCTCCGTTGTGTCAGACGGCTCTGGCTCTCCTCGGGGCAAGTCCCCGGCACCGAGCAAGAAGCCCAAGCCAGAGAGCATGCGCTCCCGCAAGCCACCACGCAAGGATCTGGAAGGAAACAAGTGGTTGATTGAGAACTTCGAAGGCTCCGATGAGATCATTGAGGTCTCCGCGCAGCAAAATCAGTCCATCCTCATCACCCGCTGCAACAAGTGTATCGTCAAGGTCTCCGGCAAGGCCAACGCCATCGCCATTGACAACTGCACTGGTCTCTCTATCATTGTCGACTCCTTGGTCAGCAGCTTGGATGTCATCAAGTCGCCCAAATTCGCTCTGCAGATTGATGGTACTGTCCCGACTGCTCTCCTGGATCAGGTCGATGGTGCTACTATCTACCTGGGCCAACAGAGCCTTGCCACTGAGGTCTTCACTAGCAAGTGCAGCGCCGTCAACATTATGCTTCCCCCGAAGGAGGGCACCGACGATGATACCAAGGAATGCCCCATCCCTGAACAGATCAAGAGCTATGTTAAGAACGGTGTCCTGGTCAACGAGATCGTTGAGCACGCTGGCTAAGCCTGCTGTAGAGGTTGCCTGCGCGAGTGATCTGGCCGATTTCCGAAAATGGTTCGGTTTGGACTCACTTATACCTACCGGATATTATCTCTGGTAGGATTCTGTTCTCCCTTTGGATCTTTTCTAATCTTTGCTTGCTGTACCTAGCGTCTTTTGTAGATATATTGCAAGAATACAGATCTGCCATACTCATACCTACCCATCAATCTATCTCCCGAGTAATGATCTTCATTTCCATATTTTTCAAAATTTTCTGTGACTATCTGCTATAGTAAACGTCCAAACACCTGACAAAGGAGATGCAACGAAGGAAAGACAAACTGAGCCAATAGTACTTCAAGTCCTGTGAACAGCGCCACGGAAGAGCATCACCAAAAAAAATAAAACCATCGATCTAAGCCGTCTGGCATGTCCAAGAAAAATGGGAAATTATGTGCTTGATGGTCAAATGAAAGATAGAACAGGGGTATATACAGTGCGGACCCAAGCGCCAGGCCTACCCTGACACAATGAAACCGAAAAAAAAAAAATGAAATGACTGCGAAAATGGGATACCAGGTTCCACGTGAGAAGACAATAGCCGGCATCTGCGCCTGCAGATGAAGTATCTCTCACGGGGGCCTGTGGCTGCTGTATGGGTATGGTTAGTTAATGCGATCAACCTTGCTACAGACCGGCACGGCCGTCTCTCGTTGTGATCAATCACCAAAAGAAATGGACAAATGTCAATGCTAAAACAGATAGAAAATACGAAATTCGATCATTACACCGACAGTAAAGTGAGACTTTGGTGTTCGGTCACACAGTCGGCTTTCAACTTGCGAACAGCTGTAATCAGAGACGAACGATGACACATCGAGACCTATGCTGCCGACTGAGGTTGAGAATTCACTCCAGGAGTCGGCTCAGTTATTGTCAAAGGCCTCGTGTTTGTGGACATCCAGCCCACGAAGCCGCTTGGCAAGCAAACTCTCACCGTTTTCAGAGCCGTTCTGGCTAGAGGCGTAAGGGTAGCCGCCGTAGCCAGCATCGCCTCTGTTGAGCTTGTTGTATACAGTGTCAGACTGATAGGATGTCTGCGAAGGGCCCATAGCACCCACTGGCTCGGCTACATCCCAATGTAGAGGGGCGTCACTCGGCGACGACATGTAGTGTGGGAACCCACCTTGACCGGCGCTCCGTCGGCGAGATGCTTTCTCGATCGCAAGTCGAGCACCAGCAGAAGTGGACAGATGATTTTCACGGACAGGTTTATACGGGCTGTATCGAGGTTCTGGTAGTTGAATCTCGTTGCGGAGCTTCTCCTTGCCGTCGGGCACTCTGTTTGCGAAGACAACCCGAATACTGGAGTGTAGGTAGAAGCGGCCCCGAGACGGGCAACAGATGTTTAGATGGACAAGATACCGCAGGATTGGCTTATCCTGCGGATCTTCTGTGGTGTTCAACGACGCTTCCGGTCGATCAGTCCCGTAGTTTTTGCGAACGCTCAGGGGCATGTCAATTATCGGACCAGCCGAGTAACTTCTTTGCCGAATGAACGTCTTCGTGCCGGGTTCCATGTCGCTGAGGTCATACGGAACAAGGAACAGCTTTACGGCTGTCTTGTGCGGGTTCTTGATAATGATTTGCAGCTGACCCTGTTGAGGAATTCGATAGCTCCCACCGGGGGGGCATCTGGGAGATTCCGCTCTGCGGTTCTTCTTCTCCCGACGGCGCCTGGAGTCGATGTCTGGGGCTCGCTGAGCACCCGTCTCGTTCAAGTCGATTTCCTCAGGGGCCTTGGACGGGCTGAAATGCCGTTTGCGACGCCGGGTCGTGCTAGATTCATCCTTGGGCAGCGAATTCTCCAAATCGATCTGCCCGACGTAGGGACTGGGGCTATCGTCCGCGATCGAACGGCCACTACCCGACGTCGGGTAGCTGTAAAAGACGGCCGGGAAAGGGACTGTCACATGGGGAGGGCATCTAAGATGTCCTTTGCATTTGCCTTTTCCTAGAACACCAATTTGAGCCGTGAAGTCTAACGGCTTAGATGGGTTCATAGACATTCGCCCACGCAGGATAGACTCCTCGTACGATCCGACCATCGGTGCATGAGCTTTGGGAGAGATCTCCGAGGCAAGAGAAGGTCTCCGCGCTCGAAATGCAGGCGGAATCGCCGTAGAAGCAAGTTGGAGGCTGTATGCCGAGGAAAGGGATCGACGAGGGGAATGATGCGGTTGAAACATTCCATCTTGTCTTCCTTGCGAATACGGAGTACCGATATTAACCGACCGCAAGTTGGGCGGCGTGGAGTGCAAATGCCTGAAGGTCTCTGGAGGCAAGGTCCGGCGTCGATTAGCCCTTTCAAGTGGCCCTAGTGACTCGGCTGAATCAACCCGAGGCGAAAAATCGAGATCGGTGTTATTTGCTTGGTAGACCAGAGGGCTTGTCGGAGCCTTAAGAACATAGCTCGACGAGAACGATCCGAGTGACGGTGCTCTGGATCGTGTCTGTATAGGATGTTCTGCTTCACGACGCTCGTGAAAGAAATTGGGCTGTCTCTGGTTGCTCTGAAAAACGGCTGCTCCAAACCACGGAGTGTTAGGAGACGTGCCGAGGCGGGGAAATGGCGAAGACGGGCTTGGTTCCACAAAGCGTGCTTGAGGTGATTGTTCCCCAGGGTGGTGCGGGGAGCCTTCCCTAAAGTCACCGGAGTGTAACGCCGATCTAGGACGCTGTATTTCGGCTGGCGAGCCTAGTTCTTCAGTGTTTTGTTGGTTTGGTGAGACCTGCTCTACTACCTGCTCGTCGGCTTGCGAGTTAGGGGGCGGGATAGAACTATAAGGCATATAGGATTCGCCAGTGTGGGTGTTTTGCGGCTTCATACTTGGTTAGCTTAAGAACAAGAAGGTAGTTCTACCCAAGAAGACCTCCAGATAAAGAACCAGAAGTATTATCTCAGCCCAATAGCAGCCCGACATACCTGATATTGCGATCTCCAAGGCGATGACTCTTTAATTCGGTTTATGATCGCCCGCCGGTCGTTAGCCCAGAACTTGGGCGAGAAATCCTCTGTAGATGGTGAATCTATAGCCCTCCCAGTTGGCTCTGTAATACAACGTTCACGATCGTCGTCTTGGACTGCCTGATCTCGAGGGTACCCTGGGGCTGGCTGTTCCGGCTCGTTATGGTCACCCGACCAGCGGTGCTGGGCCCGTCGATCCGGATCGTGAAAGAGGGGCATGCTGGCGAGGCTGGGCAGACTATGAGGGCTGAACCGGCGAGTCGAACATTGCAGGAGGCCCCCGACGTGGCGAGTATTCTTGAGATCAGGCCGACAGTGCCGCGGTGGGGTGGATTGGGGGATGCGGTGTGGTGCAGATGAGCGGGTATACGTTCAATAGTTTCGCGGGATGGGATGATTTGGCAAGCACGAATAAGGTACTTCGGACAGAGAATATATAGTGGTACAAAGTACAAATATCGGCTTAAGATATACTGGCGAGTATTATCATGGAGAAGAAAGAGAGTGTCGGAGGAGGAGTCCGGGAAAGCGAGGAAAGATAAGAAGATGTCATCTGAGGTTCCCAGTCGTGGGTCTCCGATGATTCATCGGCGAGTAGTTTTCGGGTTTCCTTTTTTCGATGGCGGCCTTTGTTTCATCCAAACAATTTGGTCTAAGTTTTGGGTGAGAGAAAAGTATTAACCAAGCAAGAACTCGAAATATAATACAATAAATTATATCCAATCTTGTTTTTATTGTGTTTTCTTACCTACATAATCAAGTGCTGGTAACTATTAGCTCCGTCTTGCGTGGGGGAAATCCAGACCTTACCTAGTAGTCAACTTTTTCTCGGCGCTCGGCCGCGGTTGGCCGCGTTTTTTTCTTTCTCCAACTGCAACACCTGCAACAACCCATTTACCAACAAACGAAACCCCCAGCCATATACAAGGATCCCAGGCCGGTATCGAAACAACATGCCTCCTATTCGAACTCGCGATGGCGAGAAGAAGCCCTCCGAATCACGAGCAGAGCCCGCCTTCAAGAAGCGCAAGGGTTTCAGTGTCGGCCCTGCAAACCTCCCCGATGGCACATATCGGCGCAAGAGTGAGTCGCTATTCACTATACATATTGAAGGATACACCAGTCTAATCAAATAACTCTTAACAGCCCAAAAAATCAAGTCGGACCTGATCCAAAAGGCCAAAGTTAAGAAAGCCTACGCCAAGATCAAAGCCCAAGAACTCGCCACCAACACATCAAAGCCCATCTTCACCACGGCCGAAGAAGAAAATACCGAAGACAAGCCCGAACCAGCTTCACTGGAACTACACCCTGACCGTATCGCAATGATGAACGAGCCAGAGCCCGCGCCCGAACCTGCGCCGCGACCAGAACGTCGCCCCCGCGACAGAAGAGAGCGGAGACCCAAGCCTTCGGCGTTTTCCAAAGAGATTGAGGTTGCGGAGAAGCGGAAACAGGCTGCCGAGGCGCGGCAAAGAGCTATCGAGGCGAAACAGAAGGATCGCGAGGCAATGACGCGGGCTAAGCGACCGGATCAATTTGGGAAGAGGCGCCTGGGACGAGAGAGTAATGTGCTGCTGAGTCGGGTGCAGCGCATGGTTGGTCAATAAAAGGTGAACAAGGGAGATATTGATCTCGGTGGAAAGAGGGCTACGGCAAACCCAAAAAGTTGTGATACCCGATTGTTACTTATACTATATTCGATTTGTGAGCAAAGAATTCATGAACGCTTCATATTATATGAGGTTTCCCCGTTGAACTATGTACATACGGCTATGCTATGTCGAAGTGGAGGGCTTGGAGCCACCGCTTCGGGGCTTCTTAAAGCAGGCAAACTCGCCCTTCGTCCGATCCCGTAGGCGTTTAAGCACGACACGCATCTCTCCCAGTTCGGCTTGGAGTTTCGTGCGAGCCTCGTTGGTAGTTCGACGATCCAGTTCCACGTAGATTTGACTCTGAATGTTGGATGCTTCATCGGTTGAATACTGGGATAAGGTCTGCGCGATGAACTCAGTGTCCAACGTGGCTTGCATCAAGGCGGCCAGGGAGAAAGTGGGACGAGAGCGGAACGCTGCAAGCAAGGACGAGGACACTTCCACTAGGAGGTGCGTCAGAATCGTGGCCAGCAACGAGGATGGAGCATTTGGCGATGAGCGACTGGAGCTCTGTGAGACTGTGGACGGGATAGTCGTCGAGATCTCCGTATGCACCAGCACCAGAGTCAGCATGGTGCTGTAGACGTAAGGGCGAACTTGATCTGGGCGATCGGTGGAAGGCACCCAGTCTGAGGCGGCAATTCCTGTAGTGATGGTTTCGTTCAAGGTGGCAATAGTTGGCTTGGTGTATGACTGGAAGAGTCGATCTTCGATTTGCTTCAGGACATCTCGAACAGTTTTGCCCTCTTCCGTCAACTTGACTGAGAACGATGTCTCAAAATTGGCGATCAACTGCGGCACATATTCGGCCTGAAGGGCCTTGAGGTTTGAAAGTGTGAGGAGAATCCGTACATTCTGCTGAAGTTAGAAACTGAACCCTTAAAATTATCACGATACGTTGACACTCACCCTGTTGCGGGAATCGACGGAGTCTGCAGTAAGGACCGACAGAGCCGCATCGACTGCTTGGCTGGCTATGAGCGGCCTAGATAGGACCCATTCGTTCTCCTCCGAAAGCGCGAGTCGTTCTGCGTTCTCGACCAGTCCGCTTAGTGCCTTATAGACACTAGACACAAATTGCGCTCGTACCAGCTGAAGCAACTTGGCAGGCGGTTGGGTCACAACGTCGATAGAGCCCGATTTCGCCATAGCCTCGGAAATATAGAGAATCTTCTGCATGCCTCCAAGGATAGCGCTCTCAAAGGCCACAAATAAGCAAGGCATCTTGGTGAGATCGCGCTTCTCCGAGTCGCGAGTCCAGTCCTCTAACATCTTGCAAATTTCCGCGTCCTTGCTCCACGCAGAGCATGCGACGCGAGCAGAACGCTCTCGGGCAATGCTGACAAGAGACTTCAGTTGATCATTTGTTGGTCCGGCACTAGCAACAGGGCCCAGGGCCGCCATCTCACTGGCAGCCGTGCCTAGAATGATGAGGAACTTGCTGAGATAGTGGACACCGCTGAGAGAATTGGAATAGGGCGGCCAAAATGCATAGCCTTCCCAATGCTCTCCTTTCTTAGGAGCTAGAATAGGCAGGTTCTTAGGGTCCAGTTTGAATCTAGACTCGGTAGGAGTGACACCCCGCGAGGCCGGGCTTGTTGGACTCGGCGGAATGGGAGAGGAGAGAAGGGAGATGTCCTCCATCGGAGGCTCATTGAAAAGAGACAAGACATTCTCTCGAATGAGGTTGACCAGCTCCACAATGCCTCCCTCAAGTTGCGTCACATTTGCAGGTGTAAGTCGGTGGTGTTTGCGGCTCTCGCCCTCGAAGCCGACGGGAAGAAGTCTTTGGCGGCTGCCATCGATGAAAGATTGTGCTACCTCCCAGAAGTCAAGCACTTCACCTAAAAGTCCACTCTGCGATGATAAGAGCCGAGTTAAGAATGCTTGAACACAATCCCAGAGCTCAATAACTTGATCCGTGTCTAGTCGCTCGGGTATCTCCGCCGAACCATCTCGAGGAGCTAGACGCAGATAAGATGCAGTGGCCTGGGGCGCTGGTTTCTCTCCTCCCGCGAGCCTTCGCCGCAAAATCTCAATCTCCACCTTGCATCGATCACAGAATGATGTTATCTTAGTCTTAAGGAACTCGTAGCGGCTGAGAAGCCAGGTCCAAATAGGGTTGTTGTCGACACCCAATTCCAACAATGCTCCGATCAGCTCCATGTGCTCCTCCACAGGACCGGATGCTGTACTGGTGGTGGAAGTAGTGGGTGCGTCACTCAATCGTCTCCAAAGATCCCGCTTGAAGTTTTGAATCTGTTGATCAACATCCATCCACATTCGACCCATGGCCAAGATCGTGTGCGTTTCGTGATCAGACAATTGTCGTTGGGCGCTGGAGGCCTGCTCCACGATGTTCTTCGCCCGGTTTGCTAGTGTCCGAGCCTTGGTATACTCTTCAAAGACAGAATCATAATCGCGCTGTTGGATGGACTTGGACAAGTGACTTCCGATCTCGTAAACATCGCGGTTCTTCTCCATGGTCTCCACAACCGACTTGAGCATCTGCTCCCGGTCACGTCCTCCAAGCGCAGGACCCCAGACTTCCTCAGCTTTCACTGAAGCTTCCACCAGAGGGCCTCGAATGCCCTTCATACCATATTCACTCTCCTTAGTCAGTGCGTTCTTCTTGGGTCCCCTTGTTACTATCGGAGCAGGCGATATGCTCCGATGCTGACCTGAATAATTGCGGAAGTGTCCTGATCGGCGGGGTGCTAAGGCTTGCTCCGTTGTTGCTCCCTGATCTCTCATCTCCGTGTATACGCTGTCAATAGTTGCTTTGGCGCGGACGAAGCGCTCAAAGTTCGCCTCCACCAGTACCTTCAGCGACGCTGACTTCTCGTCGATGGAATTCGACAGATTGTCCAGGCCAGCTACGAGCGATTCGATCGAAGCATCATGATGGACTTGAGAGAGGAATAGAGCAGGCGAGAAGGATGTTGATGAAAGGAGGAACCGAGACCGTTTACCCCCGTCATCCTCAAGTCGTATCCCACGGCTCTTGAGAGTGCGGAGAATACTGTCACTCCCTCCTAGTGGATCCGGTTCGTCATTCTGCGTATTCTCTCTGGCATCTTTCCCTCTACGAGACCCAAAGTTATTCCGCCAGTCACTAGGAGTGCGCTCTAGCGCAAAGTAGCGCGACTTGCGGGCGCGCGACTTGGATTGTTGGGCGGGCTCCTGCTCGGACTGGTCGGCCTCGTCCAGCGCCGCTGGCCATTCATCAGGGAACTCCGAGGGCAAGTTGTAATGGCTCGCGACATCAAGGTCGGACATGATGGCTTGTTGATATGCTGGTGGAGACGGGACGAATCGAAATGGAGGGGGGTTGTTCCGGAGTCACGGTCCGGGGTGGAGGGGAGAGGCCACTGCTTGGAGCCTCCTGCAGGAGACTGCAGGCGAAGAGATCCGCAGAAGCTGGAATCGCAGATTTGCGTGTATGGTGATGGTCAATGGCAGCTGGCGGAGTAACTGGTGTATGTAGTAGTATGAAGCTCCAAAGACAGTGGGTGCCAGGTGGTGTCGCCGAAGACCAATGACCAGCAACGAAGTGGACTTTCGGGTAGCCGGGGGACCATCAAACCACCAATGCGGTCTGCCAGCCCGGTCGGATCGGGGCGGCGCCGAGAAACTCGATTCTTTCGTCCCTTTTCACTTCTCTCTTCCTTCTCCCCACCATCACCTTCCCCCCAAAAAAGCCGATTGTCGGGATCAGTTCACGATGCTCGCCGCCAGAAACTTCTCTGCTGCTCGCCAGTGCCTGCGGTCAGCCCGCATGGCCCCCAGCTTCGTCACCCCCGTGTCGCAGGTACCGTCCACCACCTGCATCCCCCTCTCGCCCACCGAAGCCGAGTCGCCCACTTGAAGAACATCAATTAAACTGACCTCCAATTCGAATTATAGCTGCGCGGTTACGCTTCTTCCCCCGACGACGCTGTCGCCAAGTTCAAGGGCCAGAAGGGCTCTGATGTACGTGTTGTTCCCAGCCACTGCGGGTTTTTTCTCTTGGTGCCGGCGCCAACCGCGCGCTGAACACCACGGACAAATTTTCCACCTCGAAAGACGGCATGCGATCGCGGTAATACTGACGAATTTTATTTGCATAATAGGGCAAGTACACTGTTACTCTGATCGAGGGTGACGGTATTGGCCCCGAGATCTCTCAGTCGGTCAAGGACATCTTCGCGGCCGCTAAGGTAAGGACTTGTCGCAACATTGATTGGACGATACAATCGGGATACTAAGATTTTATCATAGGCCCCTATCAAGTGGGAGTCCGTCGACGTTACTCCCATCCTGAAGGACGGCAAGACTGCCATCCCCGACGAGGCTATCCGCAGCGTCCAGAAGAACTATGTCGCGCTCAAGGGTCCCCTGGCTGTATGTCTTTCGTCTTCGCGCATTTGGCGAAACCAATATCTACCATTGGCGATGCTAATCGCTTTCTTCTACTATTCTAGACCCCCGTTGGTAAGGGTCACGTTTCCCTGAACCTTACTCTGCGCCGCACTTTCAACTTGTTCGCCAACGTTCGTCCTTGCCGCTCCATTGCTGGCTACAAGACCCCCTACGACGGTGTCGACACTGTCCTGATCCGTGAGAACACCGAGGGTGAATACTCCGGTATCGAGCACGTCGTTGTCGATGGTGTCGTCCAGAGCATCAAGCTCATCACCAAGGAGGCCTCCGAGCGCGTTCTGCGCTTCGCCTTCCAGTACGCCGAGTCCATCAACAAGAAGAAGGTCCGCGTTGTGCACAAGGCCACTATCATGAAGATGTCCGACGGTCTGTTCCTGAACACCGCCCGCGACATCTCCAAGGATTTCCCCGATGTCGAGTTCGACGCTGAGCTGCTGGACAACTCGTGCCTGAAGATCGTCACCGACCCCACTCCTTACAACGACAAGGTTCTTGTCATGCCCAACCTGTACGGTGACATTCTGTCCGACATGTGCGCCGGTCTGATCGGTGGTCTTGGTCTGACCCCCTCCGGTAACATTGGTGACGAGTGCTCCATCTTCGAGGCCGTCCACGGTTCCGCCCCCGACATTGCTGGCCAGGGTCTTGCCAACCCCACTGCACTGCTCCTGTCTTCCATCATGATGCTGCAGCACATGGGTCTCCACGACCACGCCAACCGCATCCAGAAGGCTATCTTCGACACCCTGGCTGAGGGCAAGGTATGTTCTTAACCTTATCTGATCTTGTATAGAATCAGTTGCTAACATTCGCTTTTCAGACCCTCACTGGTGACCTTGGTGGCAAGGCCAAGACCCACGAGTACGCCGATGCCATTATGAAGCGCCTGTAAACTAAGTCGCTACTTGGATTTTCTGTACTATGACCCCCCTTTGATCTTTTTCTCCTGTACCTCTCGAACGACCTTAGACTTCCTATAGCGATCGAAATATACCTTTTTGTGGTTACGCCTATGTTTCCCATTCCAAACACATACTATAGGTGTTCAAGCTTGGCTTATGTGAGAAGTTGGTTCATAGAAGTGGTTGTAAAAGTACAAAAGCCCCTCCATACATAACAAATCAGATAGTAACCCAAACGCCGCCCCAAAAACCCGCTGGTATCAAGATATAAAAACTGAGATCAAGGAAACACCTGGTGTTTGGCTTCAACGTCGACGACCGGTACGGCGTGTTGTAGTACTTGCCGAGGCCTTTTTGGTGTCCTTTGGCTTCGGCCGTGATGCCTTTGCTCTCGTGCTTCTTGACCCTCCCTTATCACTGCTCTCCTCTTCTTCCTCATCGTCGCTGTCCTTGCCGGCGTCACTACCCTCCTCGGCCTCTTCTTCATCACCTTCATCGTTCAGGTCGGAGTCCTCTCCAGACTCGGCGTCCTCGTCAGATGCCTTGCCCTGGCTACCAGAGCCAATCTCAACTTGGAGTCGTGTCGAACGAGTTTCGCGCGCGGCCTGGCGAGTGCCGCGGTTGTACTTGCGGCCTCGAGATGGGGCGGGAGACGAGCGGGGCTCTACAGCAAGCAAATCGGTCAGACTTTATATTGACACGTACATGGAGCTGGGGCAATGGGACTTACCGTCAGTATCTGCTACTGTGCTCCCTCGTCGAGACTCAGTGTGGCGACTAGTAACCGGGGACAAGGAGCTTTCTGTCGCCAACCGTCTCTCAAACATGAGGTCGCCATACTCGTCGTAGGGAAGCTCAAACGGCCAGTACATCTGACTTGGCTCTTCATCATCTTCGTTCGTATCCGCAAACACGGCGTCCTCCTGTTGCATCAATGGTCATCAGCAAGGTATGACCAACGCAAACGAGTGGTCGATGGTTGCCTACCCGTTCATCCAGGGCCTCCAAGTTGTATAGGCTACCCAGCTTCTTCCATATTCCGGGAATGCGCATGTGTTCTGCAGATGAAGGCGCATATCCTTGGCTCTTTAAGTAGTCTGCAATTGCGAGCATACGGAAATGCTTGTGAACGCCTGCATAGAAAGAGCTCCATTAGCTTCCCAAAGCCCCCAAGTGCGACTCAACTGCGCCAGGTCATGACTTACCGACGGGTTTCCATTTTATTATTGCCTTCAGCAACGCTGTCTCTTGCTCATCCGTCCAGGGATCGCCGATCAAGTCATATTTGGGCTCGGACTTTTCGGCGCTGTCGGTCGATCCGGGGGTGTCCGCGCTAGATTGCGCCGCTGTATCCTCGGGAGGTGTGGTGGAGTGTGCGCGCTTGGTCTTCTTTCGAGGCGGCATTGCGACCAGTCAATTTCGCACAACGGAACAGGACGAATTGACGCGTGCAAGATGTGAATACTGGAGAAAGTCGAGCTTCAAGACTGACCGTCGCGGGTTTCTGTTATCGGATGGCCCGTGCACGATAGCCTTTCCCATCGCGGGACTGTCCCTCGAATTTCCAACGCGTCTACCACAACATCACGGAGTCTCTCTTGCTGGCTATGGGTTCAGAATGGATTCGGCTGACCGTGAGCCTGATCCTTTCTCCAGCGAGAGTCTATGGAGGCTTTCCAGGTTTAGTATTGAGACTCTGCAACCATTAGAGGATCTACCGTGGAACGCGGACTTGCCGAGTACGTATCCCGCTTTGGATGGTTGTATGCACCTGGCTAATGATGTCTGTGTATAGCGATCCCCAAAGCATGCTTCCAAGCACCACTTGATATCATTGACACACCTGACCCGATATGGAAGCTCAGTCTCTTCCCAAATGACCTGGAACGCCCCGAGTCGTCGGCCAATTCAGTCATCGACCCTTCCATCGATGCCCAATCCGATGCGGCACTAGACCCCCTCCGCGATCTCGCAGACGTTAATGATATCTGGAAACTTGATTCTCTACAGGAGGATTCCTGCCATGTTGCTCCCCCGAAGACGTGGGAGAAATTCACAGATCGATTACATCGTGAACCAGTGTCGGCATACTTCACCGAATCAGGTGCGAAAGGCTTCGATGCCGCGCTAGCACACCAAGCAAATGCAAAAGGAAAGCCAATCGCGGGCCGTTTGGTTCGAGACGACGTCTTTATTTGGTCTTTGCTTCGCCTTGGACTCGGATGGAGCTCGTCCTTTTTCCGCTACAATGAGGGGATAAAGACGTTTGAGAGACAAATGAATGATGTGCGCGTTTCAGGTGTGAGCCTTGCAATGCTAGATACTGTCATTTCAAGTGTTCTGCAATGCGGTACGAACATGCAGCACGTACGGCTCTTTGCAAAAAATGCGCCAACCAAGTCCAAGGACCTGTCTTCCCTGTTCACGTTGCGCGGTACCATTGCAATCATCATCTACAACCTCGAACAACAAATTCTCATATATTCTCAAAATATCGTCTCAGTACTACAGGTCATGATACTGTTTCAAAGATGTGGGGACTTGATAAGTTCTCTCGCCGATATTGTCCATGTGGCGGAAAAGGCCAGTTCAGATGCACAGGTCATATCTGCTGTGATTGAGCGGGCAGCAATCTTTACCCATATGTTTGGGTGGATGGAGAACCTCTTACAGGAGATTGTTGTCCGAGTTACTAGCCCCTGGTTCGAATTCGTCGAACGCTGGATAGGGCTGCGGCCTGAAGAGGGTGCTCTCAGCGAACTGGTTGCAAGCGGAAGGATGTTTGTTCAGTTGGAGCATCACGATGACCCTACCAAGTTCAAGACTGGCTCCAAAAGGATCGAGTATAACTATCTTGGCGCCAACATGCCTTCTTTCATACCTCAAGACCAAGCACGGACCATCTTTGAGAGTGGACGGAGTCTTCGACTTCTGAAGAGATCACACCCACACCACCCTATTGCACGGCATGACGTGCTTCCCCGTGCGGGAAATCTTCATTTACATTGTGCAACTACGTGGAATGATATTGAACGAATCCAAAGGCGTGCAAATGAGTATGAGTCGAGTCTTCGCAATGAAATTTTGAGATACCACAGAGGACAGAACTCTATACAACCAGCGGAATCGGACACTCCTGGAAGCAATGAACCATCATGTGGTAACCTGGATGCCACGTATGAGTTATTCGATATGGACAACGAGAGAATTATCTCGTTGTCTGTCCTAGATCGAAAGGCTCTTGCCAACGAAAAGGTCAACCAATTACTCCAGACGGCCCGAGAGCCGGGTTCGGATTTTGTCGATGACGCCAGTCGATTTGGCCCTGAGTTATCATCTGCGCTTTACCTCTCGCTTGCTCCGGTCATTACTTCCCAGGCACAACTCATCGACTTCTCTTATCTACACCATTTGTTCAAAGAACACAACGTACGGCACCACCTGGACCTCCAATGGCGATTTCAATTGCTCGGGGACGGCTGGTTTGCCTCCCGTCTCACACATTCCCTGTTCGACCCGGAGATGGAGAGCGGCGAACGCAAGAAAGGCGTAGTTCGGAGTGGTGTTCATACTGGATTACGTCTAGGAAGCCGTGATGCCTGGCCTCCAGCGAGCTCTGAATTGCGACTGGTTCTCATCGGGCTTCTTGGTGATTGTTATTTTTCTGAACAGGACCCCGAAAACTTGGAAAAGACCGAGAAGAAACAAGACAACGAACTTCCAGGTGGACTGAGCTTTGCGATCCGCGAGTTGACGGACGAAGAGATTGAGCGGTGCAGAGATCCGAATGCTATCGAGGCATTGGATTTCCTCCGTCTCCAATACAAACCGCCTGAAGCTCTTGAAGCACTCATAACAGCAAAGTCATTGAAGAGGTATGATCGTCTCTTCAAGCACTTGCTACGCCTATTGCGCATGGTGTCTGTAGTCAAGGGACTCGTTCGCGACTCGACCAACCGCGGCTCCATGTCTGGGGACGTACGCAATGTCTTCCAAAGATTCCGCATTGATGCACAACATTTTGTGCTTGCAATTAGCGACTACTGCTTCCACGTCGGAATCGGATCTATCTGGGACCAGTTTCAGAAGACGCTCACTAGAATTGAGCACTGCCTTGACCGCGGTGACATCGACGGAACGATTGAAGCCGCTCACTCCGTCCCGCGCCTGCGTGACTTCCACGAAAACATTCTTGACCAGATGCTTTTTGCGTTTTTCCTCAGCAAACGGCACGCACAGGCGGCTAAGCTCTTGGACTCCATCTTCGGCACTATACTCGCCTTTAGCCCCCTGTCCAAGGTAGATGGGTTGAGTGGACTAAAATCCGAAAGCGAAGGAACTGTCCAGCACTTATACTCGACTTTCCGGAAACAAACGTCCGCCTTTGTTGGTTATCTTCGTGCCCTTGACACGGGCAAGGCATCTTCCAAGTCCATGGGAAAGTCAGAATCGTTGCTTAGCTCTCGTGCTGACACGACCAGTGTTTTCGAGCATCTGCGAGTCAGGCTAGATGTAAGGGACTACTACTGAAATCTCAGAATGGTCAGAGTGTCGTGGTGTGGTATGATCAGAGGAATTGATGGATTAGGAGTTCAGGCTCAAAATCCTCTCATAATGTTTGACGATTAATGAAAGCTCCAAATACCACCGAGATTTGCATGTTTGCTGAAGCTCGTAGTTCCGTACAAACAAAATTTTCTTCGTGTGGAAGGTCACATCCAGGATTGAAGGCCTAGTCTGCTACGCATCTTGTGGATATTTAATGTCTCTTTTTCTCTCTCGGCTGCTTGCTCTCTTCTTATTTTCCCCACCCCAGTGCCTTCGCTATATAACACTCCTGGAAGGGAGCCTTCTTTTGTTTTTTGTATCTTGGCTATCACACCTTCTGAACTTGGAAACCCCTCCCTTTCCATATATCTGTCGATACTTTGGACACCTTCTCTATACCCCGCCACCTTTGCTGCATATCTATTTGCGAGTGTTTCCCTGGAGTTCACCGAGGTCCCATATGCCTTGGTGAACTCGGCGATGCTGGTCAAGCTGGTGCCAAATGTCAATATCACGCCATCAATCAGCCACGAGTGTTTCCCATTCTTGTTCCGCGCCTGTATCATGATGCCAAAGTGAAACACCACTAGATCAAGAGGCCCGAGGAGTATCTGTCAACCTGCGATTACCGGTTTGAGACGGTGATACTTGACGAATGCCAACACGTCAAGTCGATCCGCACTCGCCAGCACCATGGTGTGTGTGGCACTCCTCCAACGGTACTCGGTGATTGGTCTTACCGGCACCCTCATGTGGAATCGGATCCTCGATCTATATGGCTACTTCAATCTTCTTGGCGGTCACCTCGAGGCAGACAAGGAAGAAGGAGCCCCCCTCACTCCCACGCCCGACCTGTCATATCAAGAATACCTCTGTAGAGAGGAAGAGTGGGACTTTCCGCGCCCTCTACAAGGCATGGTCGGAAATGCGGATCCTCCCCGAGGACTTCGCCAAGGTGCTACATACCTTGGTGAGCCCGGCTATGCTGGTGAAGCTCGTCCCAAACGGCAACATCACGCCGTTGATTAGCCACGACTGCTTTCCCTTCTTATTCCGTGCCTGTATAATGATGCGGAGCATAGGAGACCGAATCGTCGGGCTTGATGGTGAGGAGATCATTATCGGCGCAGAGATTCCGCCTATCAAGGTAATGACCGTTAAGGTCCGTTATGGGCTATTGGATCAGCTTGAACATAACGCCCGTTATTTCAGGTTGATCCAAGCACTTTCGTCAAGTGGAGAAGAAGATGACGGAGCCAACAACGACTTGGACAAGACTGCCGGCCGCCAGAATATCGGAGTCATGCGCCAACTCGCATTGTTGGGTTCAACCCACTTCTGGATAACTTCCTACAAGGGGTCGACAGCCCGGATTCTATCAGGAACCTTCTACGATTTTCACTCTTTTATTCAATTCTCTCTTCCCACTTCCCACTTTCCTCCTTCCATCCAACCTCAAGTTCAGAAGAGACAAAATCCTCTTGATTTTGGAAATGTCTTCGCCAGATGGCATGCCCTCCCCGAAGGCTACGAACCCAGCAATCCCCTCACTCCAGAAGATTCGCGAGCAACCATGAGCAACAAGTCTTCGCTGGGGGCAATTAACCGAGAGATGCCGTCTAGTCCCGCGACACGCAGAAGATCTAATCTGCTTGAGCGAACCAAGCTATCGCATGGAAACTTAGCTCAGATTGATCAATGGCTAATGCCTTATAATGTCTGATGCCTAATATCATTTGAAAATCCTTGTCTTGAAAATTCTCGTAGGTCGTCAAATTGTCCTCATTATATATACATGGATATCGTTTCTATACAAAGTAATCGACTGAATCAAACGTAACATGTCTGGGTTTGATCAGAAGAAGTGCAGATCAGATTCGGCCCAACCCTGGGCAAGAAGCACTTTCTTTGCCGACTGTTCCATGGCCTCCGGTCCACAAATGATAACCATACTGCTCTCTTCAGCAGGCGCATATTCCTTGATCAAATCCTCCGAGATACGTCCCCGCCGACCAGTCCAGGTATCAGAGCCCTGAGTGAGCGTATGGATGAGAGTGCACTTTTCACTGTCGGTTTCAACGTAGGAATCAAGCTCGGAGCGACACAAGATGTCCTCCTCAAGTCTGTTTCCGTCAAGCACCACACACTTCGTCGGATCTTGAGGGTTTTCCATAACAGCGCGCAGAACCTGGAAGATGGGTGTAATACCGGTTCCACCGCAGATCATCTTGAAAGAGCGGACGTGGCGTTCCTTGCCGCTGATGAGCACACGTCCGTTGTCCAGGTACTCGAAGCGACCAGTGGGACCCTTACAGTCGATCTCTGCTCCGATGGGGAGTTTGTCCAGGGCCATTGTCATCTTTCCACCGGGAACATCATCGGTTGGGAAGTAGATTTTGACCAGCAGCTCCATCTTTCCCTCCAAATTCGTGTCCGAGATTGGAGTGTATGATCTGATGATAGCCTCCTTGGTGACAGGGTCGTTGACTTTGATCATCAAGTGCTGGCCGATTGGCAGACCAAGAGTCTGCTTTGAGTGTTCCAGGTCGAAGACGAATAGCCTAGTGTCCCAGGATACGGTCTTCACCTCTGAGAGCTTGAGTTTTGACCAGACGCGCGATTGGAGAAACTCTGGACGTGGCTCGTCAGATACGGCTTCCGTGTTGCTGTTGAGCGCCTTCAGGGATGCCTCATCCAATGTACCGATGTGGTAATCGGGCATCATCAGCTTCGCAGTCTCGCTGTCTGCGAGGGAATTAGCAGAATTTCGGAGAGTGTGGGCTTCGATAAACTTACGAATTGCCAAGAAGTCCTCGGACACATCCAATCCAGCAGAGGATGTAATACTGATTGCGCCTCCGGGATGACCTTCGAGGAAACCGGTGCCATCATACACCTCGCCATTGACAACGAACCAGGGCTTCTCGCTGCTGCTGTTTTCCTTGAGCTCCTTCAGACTGATCTGGCGGCTCACTCCGTCCTTCTTCATGTTGATCTCCTTGACATGCTCCACCTCCACGGGTTCTTCGCCCTCGTGCCTCTCGCCCCAATTTCCGTTCGTCAAATCACCACCCGCCTTCTTGACCCGCTCCATCCAGCCTCCAGCCTTTGCAGGGTGCGTTGGGTGTTCGAACTTCAAAAGGTTGCCTTCTCTGTGGATCATGACACGGAACCATGGGTTGTTCATCATGCCGAGAACGGACCAGTACATATCGCGCGGCTGCGCGGTCATTGCCTCGTCCATAGCTCGCACAAGCAGTGCATCGCTATCTTTCAAGTCGGCGACAGGGATAGGGAGAGACCAGAATGACCAGCAGTAGCTAGTCTCTCGCTGCCACATGTCGACTTTTCCTCCAAACAATTCGCCTTCGTATTCTCGGTATTTGTCTTCGGCGTATTCAATGTCCGCGAGGCGCCATGCTGTAGATCATAGGCGCATGTTAGCAAAAGGTCATCAGCCGTTGGACCAGGTGGGTAGACTTTACATTTGCCTTTATCCAAGGAAATCTCAACTCTTGTGATGCGTCGACCACCACCTGCGTATGCATAACCCTTTGCAGTATATATTTTTCCACTCGTCGTCAGGTCCAATGTTTCTTCGTGTTCGGGATAGGCCGCGACGGAGTTGACATTCAGGTCGTAGATGGCATATCGCTCATCGGTCCACCACTTCTTATCTTGGGCAGCCATCTCGGGGGAGACAGTAGTACTAAGAGGGGTCAGTACTCTGATGTAAATCTTCTTCTTTGGCACGACTTACGGAAGTACCCGATTATCATAAATATGATACCAGTTTTCACTGGGAGCATCGGTCACAATTAACTTGGTCAACCACTTGACACTGCGACCTCCGATCTGGCCTGGTACAACTGCCCGCAGAGGACGGCCATGATCGGGTGTGAGTGCCTCACCGTTCATCTTGTAGGCCAGCATGATGAGCTTGTTCCGGTCCATGGCCCAGTTCAATTTAACCGAGGTGCCGTAATATCCGTTTGGCTATAAAGCGATGTTAGTTGCCTTGTGTTTTTCCCGTGTCATAGTGAAGTTTTCCATACCAATTTATCAGCACCCTCCATGCACACATACTTGGCACGTCGAGAAGGCTTTGCGCTGCGGAGGATATCGGCCATCAAGGGTCCTGTGAACAGGGCAGTTGACAGGCCAGCAGGGCCCCATGAGAAACCTTTTGACTTGCGAACGGTGTTTTGTTCTTTACGTCTGTTGCCAGCACAGACGAGGGTGATTGGTGCGGTTATTTGTTCGTACTTCTCGAGGATATCGCGGAAGCTCAAGGTAATGGGGTTCTCGACGAGACTAGACATGCAAGAGTTATTTATGAATTTTCTTCACTGTGTAGATGGCCGACAATGTTAATGTTACTACTCACCCTTCGATGCTTAGCGTCCAGTCGGGGATGTCTTTGTCAAGAACCTGTGGCACAGCGCCATGGTTTCGGACATAGAACAACTCGGGTGGTGTGAGAAATCCTTAATGGGAATATTAGATGGATGTACTAAAGATATCAATCATTGTAGATGATATATGAAAATAGTACCTTGGTTGTATAGTGTTGTTAGAGGAGCCTCTACATTGAAAGGGTGCACACCCGTTAAACGGATGAGTCTTGAATCGCGAGGCACATGGTGATCTGGGGTGCCTTTGTCAATGTCTAGAATCTCGGTCGGGCTGAAGGACGGCGGTGGTAGAGGAAGATCAATTTCTTGTGGCGTTGGTAGATCGTGGAATGTGATATGTGATTTCTTGAATGACAACTTGTCACTAGAGACAAGAGTTTGTGTAGTAGTCATCGCCATGGCCAAGGTACAAAAAGTGCGCAAGTGACACTGTGAAACTTTTCTTGAAGCAACTGTAATGAACAACCGAATCTAGAATGGACTATTCAACTGATAATAAGGATAATAAGGATAAGAGGAATTCACGCAATCTGATCTAATAACGGTCGATTGCCGAGAATACCGTTAATTAGTAAAAAGAAAACGTCTATAAGATGTCAGAACCCGAGATCGCCCACATTTCCCACGTTTGTTCCAGAATATCTCCGCGGTCCGGGGGGGGCTTAGGGTACTATTCTTACGACATCAGTAATGTTATGAGAGTGTGGGCCATTATTAACTCCATGGGGGATTGTTCGATCTGGTGTTTGCAACCCTTATCTGGTCATAGATCATAGCCAATTAGCATGCAGAGATTGTTATCTGACTGGGATTTAGGTTGATCTCCATTACCGTAGTCTCCCATTATTAGTGGTTCTTAGTGTTTCTCATCTCCGCGGACTAACACCCAATTACGCCCAGTCCCTGGCCACTTTCTTATCAACGATCGCCTCTTCCTTACTCCTCACCGAAGTGGACCCTAGTTCTCCCGATATCCTAACATCATTGCTTGTTTCTTCTTGTTTGGGCTCAAGGGCAATCGTAAAAGTTCGGTTTTATTAAAACTAGAATGTAGCCAGATTTTTGTAGTGTAGTACGGTTTCTTCTGTCTTCATCTCTCCGACACAGTCAAATCCCGTCACCATGCCAGTTCTAGACGGGCTTCGCCATGGCGAGCCGGTTGACGGTAGCGCCAGCCCTAGCTTCCAACCTACTACCAAGCGACAAAAGATAGTAATTGTTGGATTGGGAATGGTCGCCATCTCCTTCATGTAGGTCTTGCAAAGACATTACATTGCGGTCGCATCTCGTACTAACAAAAATCAGTGAGAAAGTCATCAAGCAAGATACAGCCGGCCGATATGATATTGTGGTCATTGGAGAAGAAGCACACATCGCCTACAACCGTGTAGGACTATCAACATACTTTGAACACCGAAAAATTGAGGACCTATACCTCAATCCGAAAGAATGGGTTAGTCTCTTTGCCCAAAGGCCATGAACCTTTAAAAGGGCTATTTCATACTAATACAATAGTATAGTACGGATCATTCAAGGAACGAGCCTTTGATCACCATCTCAACACCCGCGTTACCAACATCGATCCCACCAACAAGACAGTCCAAACATCAACAGGAGAAACAGTCTCCTATGATATTCTCGTCCTTGCAACTGGCTCCGATGCCGTCCTTCCAACACACACCCCCGGCTACGATGCCAAGGGCATTTTCGTATACCGTACGATCCAAGATCTCGAGAACCTTATTGAATTCGCATCCCAACACAAGGGCCAAACAGCTGTTACGGTCGGAGGAGGTCTTCTTGGCCTGGAAGCGGCCAAGGCCATGACGGATCTGGAAGATTTCGGCAATGTCAAATTGATTGATCGCAACAAGTGGGTCTTGGCCCGGCAACTAGACGCAGATGCCGGTTCCTTGGTAACTCGCAAGATTCAAGAATTGGGTCTTGATGTGCTCCACCAGAAGCGGGTCGCGGCTGTGAACACAGATGAGGATAACAATGTCATTGGTATGACATTTGAGGATGGTGAGCAGATTGACTGCTGCTGCATTTGCTTTGCGGTAAGTTTTTACATGAAGCTGGTCCTTCTTGGGGCGATGATTAATTGTTCTTTGTATAGATTGGTGTGAAACCGAGAGATGAATTGGGCCAATCGGCTGGTATTCAGTCGGCTGGACGAGGAGGTTTTGTCATTGACGAAAGGTATTTCAACTCTTCGTGGTTTCATTTTCGAGAAGCGTTCATTTATCTAACAATGTTAGTCTCCAAACAAACGTCCCAGACATTTACGCCGTCGGCGAATGCGCCAGCTGGGAGAACCAGACATTCGGTATCATCGCGCCCGGTATCGAAATGGCCGATGTCCTCGCCTACAACCTCACAAACCCCGACAAGGAGCCAAAGCGCTTCACACGACCAGATCTCAGCACGAAGCTGAAGCTACTTGGAGTTGATGTCGCCTCGTTTGGAGACTTCTTTGCCGACAGAGATGGACCCAAGTTCCTCCCCGGCCGACGTCCCTCTGTCATCGACGGTGCCAACACAGAAGTACCTCGTGAGAAAGAGCCTCCCGTCAAGGCATTGACATACAAGGATCCATTCGGTGGAGTGTACAAGAAGTATTTGTTCACCATGGACGGGAAATTCCTTCTTGGAGGTATGATGATCGGCGATACCAAGGACTATCTCAAGTTGAACTCGATGGTCAAGAGTCAAAAGGAACTCGATGTGCCGCCAAGTCAATTCATTCTTGGGGCGCAGGGTGATGGCGAAGAGAATGCTGATGACCTGTAAGCATAGTCCTGGATTTTGTTGTCTTGCATGTCGCTAACCCTTTTTTCCCCCAGTGATGACAGCGTGCAAATCTGCTCTTGTCACAATGTGACCAAGGGTGATGTGGTCGAGTCCGTCAAGAACGGTACTTGCAAGACCATGGGTGAAGTTAAGTCCTGCACCAAGGCTGGTACTGGTTGTGGTGGCTGTATGCCTCTGGTGCAGTCCATCTTCAACAAGACCATGCTTGAGATGGGACAGGAGGTTTCAAACCACTGTGAGTATAGTTTGTTAACATCGGGTTCTCAGCATAAGTACTGACATTTATCTAGTGTGCCAACATATCCCCTACTCCCGTGCCGATCTGTACAACATTGTCGCCATCAAGCAGCTGAAGACATTCCCCGAGGTCATGGCTGGCGCCGGCAAGAACCCCGATTCATTGGGTTGTGAACTGTGCAAGCCTGCCATCGGTTCCATTCTATCCAGTCTGTTCAACCCCCACGTTATGGACAAGGGATACAACGACCTCCAAGACACCAACGACAAGTTCCTCGCCAACATCCAAAGGAACGGAACATTCTCCGTCGTGCCTCGCGTACCAGGTGGTGAGATCACCGCTGATAAGCTAATTGCCATTGGCTCGGTCGCCAAGAAGTACGGATTGTACTGCAAGATCACTGGTGCTCAGCGTATCGACATGTTCGGAGCGAAGAAGCAGGATCTTCTGAACATCTGGACTGAGCTTGTGGACGCTGGTATGGAGAGTGGTCATGCGTATGCCAAGGCTCTTCGTGCTATCAAGAGTTGTGTGGGTACTACCTGGTGCCGATTCGGTGTTGGTGACAGTGTTGGTATGGCTATTCGGTTGGAGGAGCGGTACAAGAGTATTCGTGCTCCTCACAAGTTCAAGGCCGCTGTGTCGGGCTGTGTGAGAGAGTGTGCCGAGGCACAGAACAAGGAGTCAGTTTCTCTCCATGTTATCAACCGCTTGACAAGCCAAGTACTAACAAATTAACAGTTTCGGTCTTATCGCGACCGACAAGGGTTTCAATATCTATGTTGGAGGTAACGGTGGTGCGAAGCCTCGCCACTCTGACCTGCTTGTTACGGATGTTCCCCCCGAGATGGTGATGCCCATCATTGATCGCTACTTGATCTTCTATATTCGCACAGCAGACAAGTTGCAACGAACGGCCCGATGGATCGAGAACTTGCCCGGTGGTATCAGCTACCTGAAGGAAGTCATTATCGACGACAAGCTCGGTATTTGCGCCGATATGGAGCGACAAATGCAGGAACTGGTCGACAGCTACTTCTGCGAGTGGACCGAGACCGTCCGGGATCCAAAGCGCCGAAAGACTTTCCAGCAATTCGCCAACACGGACGAGACTGTTGAAACGGTTGAAGTGATCAAGGAACGCTCTCAAACCCGCCCCACATACTGGCCCGCGACCTCAGCACAAGAAGATTTCAAGGGCCACCAGTGGTCTGACCTCTCATGGCAACCGGTCGTGAAATCGGATCACTTCTCTGATGAGCCTCCACAAGTCTCGTCCGCGAATGTTAAGCGAGGAGACACCCAACTCGCAGTCTTCAAGATCAAGGGCAAGTTCTACGCCACCCAGCAGATGTGCCCCCACAAGCGAGCATTCATCCTTTCCGACGGTCTGATTGGTGACGATGACGCCGGCAAATACTGGGTGTCTTGCCCGCACCACAAGCGCAACTTCGAGCTCAACGGTGAGCAAGCCGGACGATGCTCTAACGATGAGAGTCTCAACATCGCAACCTTCCCTGTTGAGGAAAGAGACGATGGTTGGGTCTACGTCAAGCTGCCTCCCATCGAGGAGCTTGATTCCGTTCTTGGAACAGAGAAGTGGAAGGTCAAGAAAGGTGAAGCTCCAGACCCATTCCAGAAGCTGGACAAGCGGTACAAGGGCATGAAGGGCAAGAAGGTGGCTGAGGGTGAGGGTGTCTCCAAATCACTAGCTCAGCCCGCGAAGGGGATCGACTGGTAGATCATAGAATGTTTCATTAATGATTGGATGGTCATTTGGCGTTTGGGCTGGGTCATCAATAGGTTATTCCATAGCGAGATTCTCAATTTTGATACATTTCCCATCATTTAATCTATCGATTCATTCGTATAGATCTGTAGATCGGTAGATCTGAGAAACGACCTAGCTCAGTGAATTGGATATAGACAAGCATTGATGATTCACGAGAACAGCTAGTACGGTGTTCTGTCATTGGCTATACGTATACTAGCGTATAAGCGTATACAATGATCCACAATTCACCAAATAGGTAAAGGGCTGTTGAATCTTTCGATACACAACGGCCACTGCGGAACTGTATGACGCGCTAGTACAACACTCTCAGACTGCGTACGGCTAGTTTTGGGCGTGGGATACGAGTCACTGTCTAAAAATTCTCATTCTTTCGCTTATCGAGAAACAATTCATGATCTCAGGATTCCAAAAGGCGCACATTCACTCACAAAAAGACCTCAGTGTTGACGTTGACCAAGGAATCATTTGATCAGAAGACTGCATCCCAAGCTTCCTGCAAGCCATTGGGCTCTTTCATTCCTCGGAGAATGTTCTTCTTATTCAAAATTATGCTCCCAATCTCCGGCTTGTGTATGAGATATGGTGATAACCTCCGGAGTACTCTGGGCCGCAACAAGACGATGGGCCACCAACACAGGCAGTGAACCAGCATTTCAAGTCTATAGAGGGATTGACAAGGGCAAGAACTTCTATTTAACTATTTCCGCGGAGGTCAGATCGACCCGCTAAAGATGATTCCGACCCACGGAAAAGTGGTTCGCATCTCCATCCCTATCTACACAGTAAGATGATATCCAATGAGAGGCAATGCGTTTATCAATGCCGCGCATGGTGGGCCTGACAGACCCTTCAAGGGCTCCAGCGAACCGCCTCCACCCCCAGACATGCTTACATACTCACGGAATTCTCAACGGTGGCTGTAAAGGATTCTTCCATTAATGCATTTCCATGGTTAGACCCGCGGAGTTGTGGTAAATCATAAAATTATATAATTCAATTCTTATCCGGTTTTGGCACTCGGGCCGCTCTTTCATAGGCTATTCCGAGTCCGTCCTTATCTCTACGGTTATTTTGGCCCAGACCACCCTCCTGGCTCCTATTCGGGTCTTGGGTCAGCCCCGGTCTGTCTGGGGATTTTCCTTATCTACGAAAGATCTCCTAATGGGAAAAGGATCTTCGTCGAATCAGCGTGGGTGGATATAATCTGGTGTGTTGCTTTTTTGGCTCTGAATAATCTACCCGATTTTAGTTCGTGCGCTGCTGGTCTTTGCCCCCAGGCACCGCGATAACCGTGATTGTGGCTCTGCATGTGTCATAATGAATTAGGCCTAGTATACGCGACATCTGGCATCGATGCGAATATCGATGTCTATATAGATGTTCGGGTTGGCCGGTTAATTTGAGCTTCATTCTCCATTCAGCAATTCCAATCTCAGCTACTTTAGCCTCGATACATTAAACGCAATTCTAAAGCTGACCTTTCGATACGAAAAGAGCCCACAACTATATCCAACCATCCCCATCTTCTCAAAGCGGATCAATATCGCTTCACAAGCCCGCAATGGCTTCTCTCAAAGTTCTCTTCACCTCGCCTGAGATCAACCCTGCCAACCGAAAAGCCCTAACCATTCCCATCTTCAACCCAATCGATCGATATGGCCGAGTCTTCTTCTTCGCCTGCTTTGGTTTCATGGTCGCATTCCTGTCGTGGTATGCCTTTCCTCCACTGGTAAGTTGTATAGTTCCCGCTCAAAGATCTCAAAAGCCTCAATTGGCCGCTAACTTGATTCTTCAGTTGACTGTCACCATCAAAAAAGATCTGCATATGAGCCAGCAAGATGTAGCTAACTCTAACATTGTCGCTCTCCTCGCGACGTAAGTATTTTGATATCTTTTAACTTATCAATCTGGTCTAATTTAGTCTTAGCTTCCTTGTGCGATTCATTGCCGGACCACTCTGCGACCGATATGGGCCCCGCTTGGTCTTTGTTGGACTCCTACTCGCTGGCTCTCTTCCCACCGCAATGGCCGGTCTTGTCACTGGTCCTAAGGGTTTGATTGCCCTGCGCTTCTTCGTTGGTATCCTGGGTGGTACATTCGTCCCATGCCAGGTCTGGTGCACCGGATTCTTCGATAAGAAGATTGTCGGCACTGCCAACTCTCTCGCTGCTGGCTGGGGTAACGCTGGTGGTGGTATCACATAGTACGCTTCCCCAGACTGAGATCTGATAAGAATCTATTCACTAACAATATTTGAATTTTAGCTTCGTTATGCCCGCTATCTTCGATTCTCTCGTCCACAACCAGGGCTTGCCTGCCCACAAGGCTTGGCGTGTCGCATACGTCGTCCCCTTCATCATCATCATTGTCATCGCAATGGGTATGCTGTTCCTTTGCGAGGATACCCCGACTGGAAAGTGGTCGGAGCGTCACCTGTGGGCCAAGGAAACCTCCTCAGCCGAGTCTGTTTCTCAAGGCAAGGTTGTCGACCTCACCTCCGGCTTCTCCTCCAACGGACCCTCCACTACGCCCTCTCTGTACAACATGGGCATGGACGATATTGAGAAGAAGGGTGGTGCTCAGACTCCTCGTGTTGTTGACAAGGATGCTTCGGCTATGGGTCAGATCGACACTCTCCGACAAGACACCGTCGTTGCGCCCACTCGCAAGGAAGCCTTCCGCGTTGCATTCAGTCTCTCCACCATGGCTGTTGCAATCCCCTATGCCTGCTCCTTCGGCTCTGAACTCGCTATCAACTCCATCCTCGGAACCTACTATGACAAGAACTTCCCTACCCTGGGTCAAACCAAGACTGGACAATGGGCCGCTATGTTTGGTCTGCTGAACGTGGTGTTCCGCCCCATTGGTGGTCTTTTGGGAGATGTCCTCTACCGCTGCACCGGTACTGTCTGGTCGAAGAAGCTGCTCCTGACTTCTCTGGGACTCATCATGGGGGCCTTCGAGCTGGCCATTGGTTTCACCAACCCCCACAATGAGGGAACCATGTTTGGTCTTGTTGCCGGACTGGCTCTGTTCCTGGAGGCTTGCAACGGTGCCAACTTTGCAGTTGTCCCTCACGTTCACTCTTACGCCAACGGTATCGTCTCCGGTATCGTCGGTGGCTTCGGTAACTTGGGTGGTATTATCTTTGCCATTGTCTTCAGATACCATGGCTCCGATTACGCCAAATCCTTGTGGATCATTGGTGCCATCTCTTTGGGTGCCAACTTGGCTGTGGCTTGGATTCGGCCGGTCCCCAAGATCCCAGTCATCAGTTCTTGAGAGTGAAATGAGCATTCTGCATAGAGCTCGGGCATTGTTACGATTATATTACATTAGACCATTTTCCTTAGCGAGGAGTTTCTTGTTTCATTGGCGAATATCTTTCTCATTTCTTAATATCACTCTGTCTATCATATCAAAAATTGATTCATGATTTATACACTTTCAAATTTCCAATTCTGTGCTTGTAGTATCCCTCGGCATCCCGAATATTCTCCAGTATTGTAGTCTTGGCCTCGGGCTAGTTTACCCCGAGCGCGGACTAACGCTGCGGCGACAAACCGACAAACGAGGGGCAGACGACAAGCGCGTGCTGATACTTGGCCTCTTAACTCAATTTAACGATAATTCTTTTCTTCTTCATACTCAACTTGTCTTGGAAAATATTATCGCCTCACTTTGGTGACCCTTCTTCTTCTTCCCCGGACCACTACCCCGCAGACCCCCACTCAACCCACAATTGATTGCAAAGATTGAGATCTCAGGTCCAACCCCATTCTTCAACCTATAAACAACGCACAAAATGCCTCAAGTTCGCCGTGTTGCTCAGATCGTCCACCTCAAGCCCTCCGCCGTGGCCGCATACAAGGAATGCCATGCCAATGTCTGGCCTGAGGTCTTGCAGCAGATCAAGGACTGTAACATCGTGGACTGTATGGCCTAAGCACTATAACGGACTCAATTGGAAGATCACGCGCTCAAGAATTACTCTAATTGTCGGAATAGATTCCATTTTCTTCGACAATGACCACACTTTGTTCGCTACCTTCAAATATATCGGCACGGACTATGATGGCGACATGGAGAAGATGCGGGCCAACCCTAAGGTCCGGGAGTGGTGGGCTATGACTGACGGGATGCAGGTACGGTAATTAACATATTTCATCAAGCACTCGAAATACTAATGTGTCATCTCTTGAATAGGAGAGTCCTATTCCTGGCGCCATCGGCAGTGCCGAGGGTCCTGGTTGGTGGAAGGTATTGGATGAGGTCTTCTACACCGAGTGAAGGTTTTGATAAAGCCATGCTCAACCTGTACATTGCAGCATAAATACCAAGATATTCATGATCATCGAAGACTACTTGAAAAACTGGTCAATCCTCTTCTGTCGACTATCATGTGAAGAGCTCCCAATGCCTCCACGGGTGCGGCGTAGGCCCGCAAGATGCTCCTTATTATCAACAGCCAGGATCTTCATGGACCATCCCTGCAAAAGGATATCTCCAGCAGGACTGCTGGATGGTGGTACTTCGGTGTCTGTGGTCGAGCTCGGTGCTACCCGCAATTCTTGAGAAGTGAGTTGTCGCTGTGGCGGTGATACCGATGGTGACGGCTTCATCCGTATCGATAATTCCATATACCCTGTGTTGGACCAACTCGGAGATAAAAGAGCAGCAGGTCCACCGTCCCACGCGGTGATACCCGGCATCAAAAATATGCTCATAGGGTCGAAGAGTTCCACGAGACAATTCCACAGTACTCGAAGAATAATGCCATGAGCGACGATGGCAACTTTACGTTTGGAAGTCGAATCATCGAATAGAAGTGGCAGAAAATGGCTATCAAGGAAAGAGAAAGCCCGTTGTCGCATCGAGACTGTGGTTTCTTTTTCGATGACGACGGACGTGCTCCTGCTCGGACGACCAGGCGAGGCATTCGTATCGTTAGATGGCGCAGACGATGACTGCCAGCGCACACCCTCCCATGAACCAAAATCCCGTTCTCGTAGATCTGAAGTCAAAATGGGGGTCACAAGCCCGCCATCTTTCTTGGGAGGTTGGCGGCGACATATCCCCTCCGCTGTGATGCGTGCTCGACTTAGATCCGACGCGTACACCGAGTCAAAATGTATGGATTTTGTCACAAAAAATTTAGCGAGAGATTCTATTTGCATCATCCCATGGTTTGTCAAGGCCGAGTCGGTCGTCCCCGCCCTGGAGTGTGGGTCAGTATGTAGATGATGGTGATAGAGGTACAACGCTGAGAGGGCTCCTTACCAAGCTTGTGCGACATTGTGGACTGTTTCCCCATGTCTGATAAGATAGACTCTCATGGTTCAAACATATGCATGCACGGTATGTCGGGATCCGACATCGTTACAAGTCAAGAATCAAGTTGCATCCATCATGGCTTCCGTCTTTGTTAGCTAGTCACGTGGTCATGGTTTGCCATGTGGGCATCATGTAACGGACAACTACAAATCCCACCTAGGTTTTGTACACTAAGTCAAGAACACCGAGGAAGCGCTTGAGGGAACGATGAGATTGCATGGACATTTGGAGCAGGTAAAACTGTGAAGGAAATTGCCTTGAATAAATACACCGAACTAATTGCTCCCAGAAAAACCTTGAAAGAAACCCCTTAAGTAACAAAAGTGGTATGAGCCCATGAATCCCATCATCTACATCGCATTAAAGAAAAAGAAACGCCGACTGGCAGAAGCCAATTCCCTCATTGTATTTTTAATAGAGGAACTTTTGAGGAGACAGCCGAGCAATGCGCTTAAGCAGCAAGCTGGCGGATCTTCTCCTGGACGCGCTCCTTGCGCTGGGCGTGGGTGAGCTTGGCGACCTTGTACTTCTTGGACTCGGCCTTCCACTCCTCCTTGGTCTTCTTCTCGCCCTCATCCTCATCCTTCTTGAAGGGATCCTCACGGATGGCCTTGTGGGCCTCCTGGTAGAGCTCCTCGAGGTCACCAGCATCAATCTCCTCCTCGATGTACTTGGCGAACTGGGACTTGTAGCGCTCCTCATCCTCATCGGCGAGGGTCTCCATGTACTCAGTGACGTGGCCACCGAAGATGTAGTTGCGGAGGGTGTCGGCGTCGAGCTCCTCGGACTCGATGTCGTAGCCGGGGAAGCGGCGCTCAGAGTGGGGGATGAAGATACCACCGTCGGAGGCACCCTTCATGGCAGCGAAGACACGGTTACCGGTGGAGGTGCGGACGAGACCAACATCAAGGAAGGCCTTGAAGGGGCGGCGCTCGCCATCGTCGGTCTCGACGGCCTCGGTGAGGGTGTACTCGCCGGTGGCCTCCTCGACACCAGTGAACTGGTCAGCCAGACCCAGCTTGGCGAGGGTGCGGCGGGCAAGGAGCAGACCGGTGGCGTAGGCAGCGGACCAGTTGGTGAGACCCTGGGTGATGCCGTAGCGCTTCAGCTCGTGGGCGTAGGCAGAGGCGAAGACCTTGTCGCCGGAGATCTCAGAGTAGACGATCTGGGTGACGATGTCGCGGTTGGTGAAACGAACGACCATGCGGTACTTGGGCGCATTGTACTTGTTCTTGGCCTGGGTGATCAGGCGCTTGCGAGCGTAGTAGTCGGTCTTACCCTCGCGACGGCGGCGGTACTTAGTCTGGTAGCGACTGAAAAAAGGAAGACGGGTCAGTGAATAGATCCAACAGAGACGAGAGGGCTAGATTGATAAAATTGGCTTACCTGAAGTACGCATCGTTCTTGACAAGCTTGGTGAAAGGCTGTACAAGAAGATATCGCGAGTCAGCAATTTGCGCTTCAGAATTTCGTCCGAAGCATCTTGCAGGGACCCGGCTCCGAACGAGCGGAGGAAGGATGCGTTGGGAACAGCAGAGTGTTGATGATTTCAACCATCTGCAGTAGCAGACACACTCACCATGTTGACGGTTGTCGGAGCTGAAGCCTGGTGGTCGACGGATGGAGGAGAGAAGGAGGGGAGAAATTTTGGCGGTGACTTTGTGGGGAGTTTCGCTTAGCGGGCTGCATCCCGCAACCAAAAGTGCGGTTGGCGACGACCGGCTTTTGGGGTGGGCGACGACCAGCGAAAATTACAGTACGGTAAATATTTGGTAATTTGAGTGGCCACCTGAGTGAAATCTCTTACCAAAATACCCAGTCATTACATTAAATACAGTATTCTACAAAAGTCATATCTACAGCAATAAGAGTACTAAATTATTCTTGAGTCGCCTATATTTGCTCCGACTTATAGCTACAGTATACCACTAGTATATCAGAGGGAAATATCGAAAAAGATCTGGAAACCGTTGACGTGGGGGAATCTCTGCCAATCTATACCTCGACTCTATACTGTACTACCTTGCCTCACAGTCGTGCCTTGTCCTCTCCCTCGAGCAATGATAAACCAGTGATCTTCTCAAGCTCCTTGACAGCATCTTCAATTCTGCCCAAAGTGACCTTGACAGTGCGCATACCAGCTCTCTTAGCGCCCTTCAAGTTCTCGCCGATGTCATCAAAGAAGACAATATCCGAAGGCTGAGGCTCGGGCAGCCCGCGCTGCTTAGCCAAGGCCTTCATTTCTTGAATTGCGACTTGATAGATCTTCGGATCAGGCTTGCGAAGCCCGGTATGTGCGGATGAGATGAAGAAATCAAACTGTGATCGCACTCCGGATACATCACTGTTGTATGCATGGCCATCAGGGAACTTCACGGTGTTCGAGAGAGCACCCATCAGATACTTCCCCGATGCCTTCAATTTCTGAAGTGCTGGGAACATGTATGGGTCTGGGGTGCGGGATATCCTCATCATCTCCCAGAAGAGCCACTCTACATCCACTTTCGGCAGCGGGGGAACGGGGCCGGGGGTCTGCCCCTTCTTCGCCGCTAGTTGTTCATGGAATTGCTTCCACAGCTCGGGGTTTTGGAGATCATCTTGGAATCCAGCAAAGAAACTGGCATCCATCGGGATGTGACCGCGCTCGAGCTTATGCCAGCTACCGTTGGGCGATGTCCGGGAGATGCTGAAGTTGACCCAGCCTGGTGGGATGTTCTGTGCAATCTCATAGTCCAGGATAGCTTGGAATGGAGAAACGACCTGCAAACTAGTCAGCGATATTCTCGGCCCCTTGAATAAGGTACCTTGGCGTAATCTTACACAAACTCCCCCTATGTCGAAGAGAAGGCCTACTGGCCGCTTGGTCTCTGCCATTCTATTTCGATGTAGCGGCCGGGAATGGGATTTGGCCAATTTTATTGTAAAATGTATTTGGGAAGATGGTCTTCTTAAAACTTGAGTGCTTGTATCAGATCGATGCGGAGGGATCGAGACTGTTTAAAAGCGACCCTCGATTGCCGAGGTACTGGGGCGGCTCGAGACCGAGGGAGTGAATTTCACCGGCTTTGATGCGACCTTTGCCAACGAACATTCTATAGGCTATGGTTGTGTACGAGGTGTGAGATTAGTATTGTTTATTCATCACACCAAAACCACGAGATTCAACTACTGATCTAAAGTATATAACTAATTTCAACTCTTCTACCGTTCTACAATACTGATCGTGGGGTACCACGTGATCTGTTATCGATAAGACTGGAAGTGGACGCGTCCAGCGATAAGAGAAACACGCCGCTCATCAATAACGAACACAGATAATGCGGCTTCCTCCAACATCGTGGGAGCCATGGACTCGACTCGAACCATATCGGAACTAAAATCAGCATTCATTCGGGGCCAGGTTCGCATTCTATCCGAGAGTCTCGAACCGCCCGAGGACTGGAAGAACTATGCAGTGGAGACGGAAGAGGGCGATTTGCCTGAGAAGGTGATCGCCGATGTATTGCACAAAGGTACCAATTTTCACGTTGCTCAATAGATGGCTTTGGTTGCGCCATCCTCTCATTTACAGTGCTATCATTGTAATCCTCCCTGGATCCTCGAATGCTAACCTGTTACTAGTCAATGTCGAAGCCAAACAGCACCATCGCGTCGTCTACTCTTCACAGGCAATCCACCATGTAGCTCACCAGGTTGCCAGTCTCTATTGGTCTTCGGTCAATCAGGAGACACAAGACAGAGCTTCTTTTGCCAATGGGGTAGAGAAGACAGCGGACTTGTCTCGACATATGTAAGCTCCCCACTCGCTCTTCGGGGGGTCTTCCCTCAGTCCCCGGGATCCCTGCTAACTTTCATCAGGAATATCATGAAACTACCATTGGATATCGAATCACACGGTGCGAGTGATGAGGCAAATAACAGGTCAGCCTCCAATAAGCCCGAACTTTCCCTGATTAGAGTCCCGCCTGCCTAACCCCCGTTGTACAGATACCAACAGCTCCGAGAACGACTGGTGACGCTGGACGAGCAGCGTCAGCAACGTCAACGAAGACTCGACCAATTACGACACATGCAGCGCCTGCTCGGACCCTTCAAAGATCCCCAGAAGGATATCCAGCCGAATCTTGTCACCAAAGATGGAGAGCTGGTCCAAGAATTGGAAAAGATGCGAATGCTGGCCGCGCGGGTTGGAGGACGGATCTCTCAGCAGAAGCAACGCCTCAGCACCCAGGAGGGCCAGGAATATTTACTACCAGGGTCTGGCCCAAGGATAGGGGCCTTGTTCGATACGGAGTCATGACTTTTAACGACCTCAGAATTCTACATGGAAGACCCACGACGATTTGAAACCCGCCCTGGTCCATACTACATGGGTGAGGGAAGAATCTAGCACCGCAGCACCGTAAAAAAATTTGCAAGCCAGTCGTAGCATCTCCCGCTAGTCTACTTCTTCCAATTACTCCATCCGCTGTAGTTTCTCAAGTGCGAGCAGATCCCGATGATGCGAACCAACTGCGTGAACTATATAGATCATCATCTGGCCAGGGGACGGTAGGAGCCTGTGGTTCAACCTGGAAGAACGTTTATGGCAATTGCAGCAAGAACGGTCCATGGTCGAATGCATGATTAGGGCAGCAGGTACGATCCAGGAGATTTGGAACGGCAAGAAACTTGGTCGGTTCCTAGCGAATTTCCAAGTTCGAAGCTTCATTCTCCAATCTCTCCGTCATCCATTACACCTACATCCCGCTGGGTCTCGGAACTGTTCGGTTGGACTGGACGGCGATGCTGGACTCGTCCAGAAGAGATCCTCAGTATACTCTCCAAAATTTCATGCACCAATGAATACTTTTGATCGCATGAAACGACTGGTTGGGCTGGAAGGGAGCAGTGGACGTCCACCGAATAGTTCCTCAATGGCTTCGGCGACTTCCAGTGAGGGCAGCCGTGCGGTGAAGATGACTAACCCGATTGGGGATGGCGTCGACTCCCCCGAACAGCGCCAGCTCATCGAAGGGCTACCACTCGCATTGGATCTTACTCTGACAACCTTCGATTCCAACTTTGATCAATCAGAGTACCGCGAGCGCTTCGATCACCCCGTCCATCCCCTCAAACCTCTACCCTCTAACCAGCCTCTCCACGCGCCTGTCTTTGACGATCTCCCCGCGACTGGCCACGGCGCCGACCCTCCCTCCCCCATTGACGCGTACGCCGCCATCATCGAGGGCGCCGATTCTTCCTCCTCTTCCAAGGCACCTTTTACACGTGGGCACCGCCGTCGTTCCACCCACGTTACTCGCCGTGACCTTGAGAAGTTTCAAAAGGAGGTCCTGGGCGTTGAAAACCGCGCCTCCTGGTACGACGAGGAAAACGGCTCCTCGCGCCCCATCAATCCAAACGATCCCCAGCTCGAGGAATTGAATCGTGCCTTTGCGCTCGCCGATATGTCCATGAACAGCGGTGCTGGTGGAATGGCTGGCGGAAACAATCCAGGACCGGGCATGTATTCCAATTACACGGAGAATTCGCCCACTCCAAACATGGGCGGCATGCCGAGACAACCACCCAGCCCCGCATACCCTCACTCCGCTCCCCAAGTGAATGGTGCTGGTGCAGGTGCTGGTGGGATGGGTGCCGCGATGAATGCTAGCATGACTATGAATGCGGGTCATCAGATGGACTTACATCACCTGTATGAGATGGTGCTGGAGCTGAGTGAGGTGCTGAAGAACAACCGAGAGATCACAAAGAACATTGTCTCAAGTGCCGAAGAAGTCATGGTATGTTCTGACCTGGACAGTTGAGTGACGGAAACCGAGCTAACACTGGGAATAGAAGCATGGCAATTCAGAGGATGCAAGTGCCGTTATGCGGCATGTCAACGGCGAGATCTCCGGTAAGTTCTTGGAATTTCTTTCCATTCATTTTGAATTCAATGCAACTAACCATCAGTCAACTAGCTGCCCGCATCTCTGAGCTCGAACGTGCCCTCGCCAAGGAAAAGCGACTAACCGAGGATCTAAGACGTGAACAAGTTGAGAACACCAAACTGATCAGTGACTACGAAGCCAGCGTGGGCACCATGGTGGAGCAGATCCGCAACTACTGCCAAAACAACAACATGCATTTCCTATACCAAAAGTCCCATTACAACAACCTCCTGCAAGCAGAGCGAGACGCACATCTGGAGAGCCGTCTTGACCGGGACTATTGGCATACACAAACAATGAGATGTGCACAAATGATTCGCAACGCACACCAACTCAGGTCGACTGAAGAAGAAGTCCCTCTCCGCATCATTTCTGGTCTACAAAACGAAGTCCGCGCATACCGCAACGCTTTGGGGATGGCGCCCGAGAAGCCAGAAGAGGAATATGGCTGGGAGATTCTCAAGGACGTTTCTCCGGAATGAACGAGAATGGACACCGCAGTGCCGGATACTTGGCTTCAGTTGGATGATGGACGCTGTCATGACCTGTATTATTAATTCTTTGTTTCTATTGCATTATTCCCGCTGGCGGGTTGGACTCTGGATGCCGTGATGATCATTCTTTGCTTTCGCTTCCCTTGCTTTGATTCTAATTGCTACAATTAGGGTCAGCTTTTTTAATTGTACAATAAATAGCAAGTGTGTCCCAGGTGGATGCCTAGAAATTAAATACATTGGGAGACCTTTTCTTGCAAGTCAATAGTTGCTGATCGGGCATCGAGTACCTACATATGCCACTCAGACTCGCATAGTTCCAGGTACCCTTGATGCCGGGTTCGGCGTACGAGATCGGAAGTATTGTACCTCAATATCCAACAGTACGCAGCTACACTGCGTGATAACGCAGATGATTAACAAGTATTCTCTCGGGATAGGTATACATCTCCTTCTTGTACTCCACAAGCTATAGCTGCGCTGGACTTGGTAGATATCATCCACAAATCCTAACAGCCTAGGGCATAAAAAATCACAAGGAATCATGAAAATGACAGTGAGATAGAGACAGAGCATTAGTATCTGGCGAGTACTGCTAAACCAACCAAGGAAGTCACATATGTACAAGACCTATTCAATAACCATGAAAAGAAATTTGGTAGCAACGAATAGGAGAAAGCATAGTGGTAATACTGTGGTAAACTTGGTGATATTCGAACATGGAGGCGGTATGTGCAATAGCAATGCTTTCAAACAACAGAAACATCAGAGGACATATTAACAATCATAAATTATGCGTATCGATACGAGCGGGGGGTGTTTGAGAGGTGTGGAGTTAAGGAGGGGAGGGAGATTTGTTCTCAGAGCTTTGCTGAGTGTTTGCAAGGGGGCTTTTCTTGGAAGGCTCCCCGCTGCTGGCGCTAGGCATGGATGCGGCAAGACGCAGACCACTGTTGATCTGCGCTGCAATCTGGGACTGCTTGAATCGCTCGAAGCCCTCCACATCCTGGCGTTGAGCGGCCCAAAGCTCGTCAACAGTGGAACCGAGTTTCTCGAAGGCCTCTTCGGCTTCGGCACTGTCGAAGGGTGACTGGGACTGTTGCTCGTGCATACGCTCCAGTCTCTCCCGTAGAGCCACTAGATGCGCGGCAGCATCATCGTCAGGGTCACCTTGGCTGAGTGGTGGATTAAGGAAGTCACGGCGGAGATTCTGGCCGAGTCGGTGGAGGTGGCCTTCCTCTGATGTCATGGCACGAGCATGCAGGGAGGTTATGGAGCTGGTGCGGGAGAGATGTATGGCGTAATGGTCGGTTTCTTCGTCGTCAATTGCGTTCTCGTTGTCCATGACGCTGCCATTCAAGTTCCCGGCCACGCTTGGTCCGGTTGCATCCTCACCGGAGTGCTGTGAAGTGTTGTCGGGAGCAGCCGATGTAGGAGCCGGCTGAGGGACGATGCGAGTCTCCGGATACTCGTCTTCGAAGCGTTGGATCATCCTGTGGAGAGTAAAGTCCAAGAATTGCAGACGTCCTGTAAGAAAAATGTCAGAAGATGGTCGAAAACCGGTTGCTGCGATGTACCTACTGTAGTTCGCATCGTTACCAGCTCTGTCCTCACGAATAAGAGCTGACTGAATCCGGGCTCGAATATTCCGTGCCGATTCCAATAGGTTCTTCGACATGTCACGAGGCCGCTTGGCAACCACGCCTCGAGACTTGCGGCGTCTGGGAGTCGTGGTGCCGCTAGGAGGAGCTGACTGGTCTCCGAGCGCATCGCCACCGTCTTGGTTCAAGTTGCCAAGACAAACACCCAGTGCCTTCACGACACCTGTACCACCGATAACGTAGTCCTCGTCGGGAGCTGCATCGTCTTCTTCATCATAAGGCTCTTCGAGGCCGTTTGCATGGCCGACGATATGTTGTAAGATCTCAGGCACAGGAACATCCCGAGTAGGGGAGGAGATGATAGATTCCGACAGTTCCTCTGCGATTGCACCACCCTCGAGGTTTCGAAGAGAGTATGCTACAATCTGAGACGCCAGAGCCTTCACAACTTCATTGTTCTCTGCGGTGGGAATTTCGATATCCACCGCAATGATCGTTCTCGAAACGCGGACAGCAGCCATCATAGAAGCATAGACTGCACATGCCTCTTCTTGAGCAGCAGCATCTGTACTAGAAGCCACTGCAGCAATCTGGGGGTTCTCCAAAATATTGAGATGACAGAGGCTGGGACACTCTGGAAGAACCTCGGCCAGACCAATGACATGATCCGGCGAAAGGTCAACATCTGCCAGATGGATGCGCTTGAGCGATGGCATCTTAGGCAGGAATCGTCGGAATGCTCCAAGGGAACTCGGCTGTGAAGAAAACAACGCAGGGTTGTGAGAAACGTCCATGAAGCGCAGATTGTGAAGTCGCGTAAGGGCTTGAAGCAATGGACAGATCACAGATGGTGTCAGTGAACAATCGGCAAGACTGAGTGCGAAAAGAGGCTGCTCGGGCTCAATGGCAGCCACGATGAGATCGAGATCGTCCTTGATGAGATTTCCACCCAAGTCCAGCCCTTCACAATTGCCATCTTTGAGGTACTCGATCACATGTTCCAGGCCCTCCCGAGTGATACCATTATTCGCAAGACCCAGTCTTCGCAATCTCATTTTGGTGGCGGCAACGCAGATCTTCTTCACTTGATCCATAGAAGGCATGCACTCACTAAGCAGCAATTCTTCAAGATGCTCGCCACCAAAGCGTTCTCCCAAGGCGTCCGCGAATATGGTGCAAACATCAACAGGAGAGGCTTGGGGCTGCCCTACAGAGCCGGTAGAGCTATCAGATGATGCTCGGGGCTTGGGGAAAGGAATCCCCGACAGATCAATGGCCTTGAGGGATTTAGACAGATGAATGAACAAACTGATATGGCGCCATCCTTCACGCCCAATCTTCGGGTTATTCTTAAGCGAGAGCTTTTCCACAACACCCCATCGGACGTCCTTGACGATGGGTGAGTCTGGTTTCCGGGCCCGTCTCCGCCGGTATCGCATCTGCTCTACTGTCTTGGTAGAAAGAAGCCCAGAAAGAATGGCTCGCACGGAATCATCGGTTAATGCACAATTCTCAAGAATGAGCTTGCGCACAGGCACAACTGCGAGCCAGTCGCTGAAGGTTGCGATATCTTGCGCAGTCATCGGGAAGTTACTCAGGTCCAAAGCTGCGACAGTGCCAGGAGATTCGGCCAGCGTTGAGGAAGGCGAGGAGATCTCATCAACAATCCTCTTGAGGACTGGCGTTTCACGTAGTTGACAGCAGCGGCGATAAATACGCACGGGGTCTGTGGTAGGGTGACTCTGGGTTTTCGAGCGAGAAATCCCAGCTGCTGGGGCACGGTTTTCCTCCTCGTCATGCTCTGCATCGAGCTGTAGCGGAATCGACCCATTTGCCACGGCTTGCCTGCGCTTACGTTCCTTGCGTTCTCTTCTTTCTTCCTCTGAGCGCTTCTTCTTCTCCTGCTTCCGTGTCGGGTCCTTGGCTTCTCCATTGGGCTTTACATCTGTTGAAGTTTTCGGGGTAGTCGCTTCAGTTGCAGGTGGTGTAGGAGGTTTTGTAGACGGTGTATCAGGGGAACCGGTCTCTTGAGGGATCGGCGGGAGAGGTGCTTCCTTTTCAGTCACAGCAGGTTGAGGTTTCTTCGGCGCCGCGGTCTCCTCTTTGCTCTTCTCCTTCACATCGGCGTTTTTTGACTTTTGGCGATTGGATTCGGGTAGAGGCTGTCGCAATTGGTTTGTTGGAGGCGCATCCTCATCAGAATCCCGATGTGAAACGCCAGCAATCTCCACGTCGACACAGAATGCCACGCGGTTCAGCTTGGCTGGATTTAATTCCGTGATCTTGCAGCGGTCACGACCCTCATCGACGTTCATCACCCGTCGCGGGCAAATCACTCCATTAGGAGGCAGCTTCGGGAGGCCTCCGGAGTTGGATGAGAACTTGCGCAGCGCATTATGGATGAAGGAGGGTCCCTTAGGCGAAGTCGAGGTAGATATAGCGGAGTCATCCTTCTTCTCATCATAGCTGCTCTCCTTTGGGAAATAGGCTGCGCCAAAGGGGTTGTGAGCATCGAGGGGAGATGTGGCCTTGGGACTCGCAGGGCTGCCCTTCAGAGTAGACTGCGACGGCGGCGTCGACCCAGAGGAGAATTTGGAACTCAGACTAGATATCCATGAACCTCGCCGCCCGCCGACAGGCTTTGGGCTACTCTTCTGTACGGCCGGGGACGGAGTCGATGGTTGTTGTTGTTGAGGCGGTGGTTGTTTCGGCGGCTCTGCGGTCTTCTCGCTTGCCTGCCCTTTCTCCTCTACTTTGATAGCGTCATTCTGAGGTTCTCGCTTGGGTGGCGGTTTGTCCGAAGAAGGCGGGCCAGCTGGGCTACTATTCGAACGAGATCTTCGGTGAGAGTTGGAGGTTGCAGTCGTCGAGCTCTTATCTGTGGAGGGTTTGTCGCTGATGGTCGACGAAACTGACTTTGTTCGCGAAAGATGATCTAGAGGAGGCAAGTCAGTTGTTGCCCATGAGAGGCACCGGATGCTGCCCCCGAGTGATGTACCCGCGGGCCGCCAGTACACCGAGCGGGCCTTGCGACTTGCCTTTTTGTGAATGATGAAGCCAGCTCACATCCACAGTCTGAACGCCCTCCATTTTTGGAGCGTGTCTCGGTCACGTTTCGAGTTTGCGAAATGCCAGGGACCGGCTACACCGGCTACAAAGGTTGCGTCCAGGTTAACCAGCTGTGCGACTGTGTGGCGCGAAATCAAGGTCGAATGACAGGATAGGTCTAGATCGGATGACGCATCGTGGGCTCCCCCGCTTCGCATGTATGACTTTAGTGTAGGCCGGCGATTTCAGCCCAGTAATGCTCCGGTTGGCGGCAGTCCAGGATAGCCGATACTGGTGATCAGAAATCCGGGGTTTTGCGACCGAGCAGGAAGTTCCGCAGTAGACAGGGTGCTGTGTGGGGCAACAGACACACCGTTTAGAGACGACCGTGGGGCAGTCTCACCATCCAAAGGTGAGGGACTGAATTCATATTGTGAAGTGAGAGAAGAGAGTGATGTGAAACTCCGAGATATTGTCGGAAGAAAAGACCAAAGGCTGGAAGCGACCGGAGATGAACTTAAGCATTGGAGTGAGGTGACATAATCCCCTACTACTGTAAGTTATTACAGTATCCCCGTCCCCCCAACTGCTAAAAAGGTAAAAAAGCGGCTCCACACCGGCACGTGAGGTGGTACATGGACATTCCCATTCTCTCCTCTTCCTCATTCTTACTGTGCCCTAAATACTACTACAATACATAGTAAGTGTTTCGTCCCGATTATTGCCGTCCTTTGTTATCCGCAATTTGTCTTTATGGTAAGCTTCATGATCTTGGAAAGTTCGGGTAACCACAAGCAGTGCGTATCAATGACTCTGGGATCTCCGGTGTGGACTGTGGAGGGGCTCTACGGGGGGAATGATTGGAACTCCGGGTGGCGGGAACCAGGTCACTGGGACCTGCAAAAATTATGGGCGCCCAGTCGTGTTGCAACTCCATTTGTAGAGGAGGGTGGATTCGCGATAGACTAGGGATTTGCATATTCAGCTAGTTCGCTAGTGATTATTGTTTAGGTGGGCGAGCCGAAAAAACGGGTCCTATTGTAAGATTGTATGTCATTTTAGACTGTTACCGTCCTTCGTATCCGACGGATCATCAATATCCTGCGGGCATCTACCTGTCCCTGTGAGTGTGGGCGACCTGAGTACCACCAACCTTTGTGGTGGTTATGATTGCAAGATTAGGCGATAACTGATTCAAGGGCCAGATCTTAGACGGTCCGCAATATTTGTTTGTACCAGCCCCTCTTAGCAGATACTGTCTTAGGTAAGTATACACTCTATTACCAAGATAGTACTGTACAGTTGGTTCAATAAGAAAAACTTTATTCTATACTGTGGCGTCTTGTAAGATGTGCCGTGCCTCGTTGGCAAGTACTGAGTGCTGAAGGCGTAATAGTTAATGGCCAAAGGTGAGATGCTAAAATAAGCACAATTTATGGTGGATTATTACTGGGTATTTGACCAGGTTAGGAGAATAAACTAGAAGCGGCAAAGAAAAATGATCGAGAAACATATAGCTCTTCCTTACTCAGGGTAACACTCTTGTGGAATGAAAATGGTTGATGTCCATGTTCGATTTCAGGATCGATGAAGGAGGCCGGTATGCGACGAGCTAGGCGCTAATACTGCAATTAGCTTAGCTCACTCGCACTAAGTGTTAGTTAGCTGGAAAAGACGAGCGAGCCGTTAAAGCCCTACAAGAGTCTACAGAGTTATTATTCCTTCTCCGTCGTGCGATCGCGGAGATCTATAGCCAAATTTCCTTGGTCTCATTCAGTGACCCTCGAAAACAGGACTCGCTGCACTGGAGCTCTGTGATAAGGTTGATGTTGCAGGTTTCAGCTTCCATGACTACGATCCGGAGTATTCAGTATATATATACTCACTGAATACCAGGTACGTGCTCACCACTGGACGTGTAGATCTTCAGCGGCGCGCGCAGGAATGAATGTTACCCACTTATCATTCTCCATACAAAATAGACTCCATAGTGTAGATCTCGCCCTGGTAGAATCTGTTTTATCAGTACGCAGTATATACAGACAGTACTGTAAGTTTACTTGAAGAGTCCACAGTATGTATGTACGGGTGGACGCTAATGGTTATACTAAGAGCTCTATATGGTCCCTAACGGGTAACGTTATTACATAAATCAGCGCTGGTAGTGTAACGGTTCATCATTCGACCCTTCCAAGGTCGAGATCGGGGTTCGACTCCCCGCCAGCGCAAAAGTTAGATTTCTTTTTGATCTCTCTCAAACAGCACAAATTTTTTCCTCGTAGGCTCATACAGACACTAAGGTGAATTGTGAAGTAAACTTGCTTCTACTACCTGGATATCTTCAACAAGACCTTTGCATTTCTCGCGAGTCAGGGTGCCAAAGGGGTATCAGGGTGTTTGTTGCTCAGGGTCGCTGTATCAGATCGCTAATTTGTGACAGAAGGTATGATATTTTTGCAGTAATCATTAACAGTCGTGCCAGTACATAAAGATGCCGGCATTGATACATGTATGTAATAGACCGGGAGTGTCGACCAATCGCCACATAGGTCGCGCAAAAAGGGTCGCAGCATCATAATCATTCAGTGCGAAATGGACCTAATGGCGATAATAGCCAAATACAAACAAGAATGATACTAAATTGATAATAAAAAAGATAATGAATCCACAGAATCCGCAGATATTGCGCTGGTGGAGTGCTACATTGTACATCCATCTTGAAGCCACAATTGATCGCAAAAAGATCAATTTTTTGTTAACTTATTACGCTAGCGGGGAATCGAACCCCGATCTCAACCTTAAGTATAGTATGTATTGTACTTATGTAGAGTAAGTAGAAAGGATTTGGTTTCTCCGGTTAACATAGTCTGATCTTCATTCTGATCTTCAGTTTAATCTTCAGTCTGATTTTTAGTCTGATCTTTAGTCTTCTTCCTTCCCCCCCCCCTTTACACTGTCTGCCTGGTTTGCATTGTGGGCTCGGAGGATTGAGATGGAAGGCTTGTGTATGCGATCGGGTCAAGGGGCTCACACACATGTCAATTTTCCAATTTCAATCCAGTCCATGGCCTAACGTAGGAGGAAGGAGCAGTAGGTACAGAATAAAAGGATGACGGGCGTTGTCGTTGTTACCCTGGGCGATGTTGACATAGTGCTTTCCGTCTTCCTTGAGGTTCTCCAGAGGCTGCAATGGGTTCATTATTTAGCCAGCGTATGTCATTCTTCGAGGCAGTTACACGTGATGGGCACCACCGTCAACAAAAGTGAGGCCACTACTGTACTGATGATGCGCCAGTAGTCTTGATATCACGGTAGAGCAGTGTTCTAGGCAGTTCAAGCCATGCTCTCAATATCCAGTTTAGGAAGGTTGGGTGTATATATGATCCTTCACGAAACGGCCAGCAGGATCTTCTATCGGTCGCATTGTCTCTGGACTCTTGCATCTTCCCTCCTGTAAATTTGGTAGGCTGTAGTAACCACTAAATTGGCTCCATAGTCCGCAGTTCCTGCACCTTCCGATCACCCGTCTCTCTTGTGCCTCGACCTATCTGTTTTGTTCAGCCTGCTGTTAACGCACCCCCTCATTTGGGAGAGCGTGGGGGAAAAAGGAACCATAACCCCTCTTACGTTTAGTGTAACCTCTGTTAACTGCGTTGAAGTACATAGGGCCTCGATGGAATAGCACGATTATGATTGGGGTCAACTTGTCATCATGCGCGATTCCTGGCAGACATATATTTTACTGTCCTGTATCGCTTCTAGGTCTTTGCTTCGTAATCATCATGATTGCTTTAGCCCTGATGAGACTAATTTTCATATAGTTTCGTCTACTCTTATATGCCCTTTCTTACAAGGCCCGGTAACATGTGGATGATCTGGGGAGTTGTATTCATGCAACCCAAGGATATTATTGGTTTAGGGCTACTTTTAATATACGTCTTGCAGTAATGAGGTCTGATTACTTCAAAGCTGGCTCTGGTACCGATGTGAGAGCGATGAACTGAGACTTGCTTTCTGATCTGGTCAGGGCCCCCTACTGCAGTGGGGTTATGGAGATGGATCGTGGATACAGTATTTGCCTCGTTACAATGGGAACTGGAATCATACATTTGTGTTTCCTAATTGATGTAGCCAGTTGTCAATTTCGATATCGCACAGAGCCGAATGGCTGGCCTGCTTACTTTTGTATACTGCTGAATATGTGGGTTTGCGTAGTACGGTATTTCAAACAAGAACCTGGACAATCCCGCTCGTAGGGGCAGATGGCATATTCTTCTGCCATCCAGCACGGCCCAACAACCAATCTAGGCCACCCTATATGGTCACCTACAATTGATTCCGCATTTCTAATCAATTGAAAGCACTTAGCAGGATTGCTGGTTGTACGGGACAGTACCCTTCTGGGGCCTAGGATATCAGCAAGTGTAGACCACTGCCCCCCTCCACCTTTTGATACAATTGACAACCGAGCCCTACTCAATTCAAAGGCTCCATAAAAGAATTACTGGCTGATATTGTCAGTGAGTGCGCTGGTATGCCGTTGTTACCAGTCATGTACGTAAAATTTCTCGAAGCGCTAAACTAGAGTGGTATCTATCATCAATCACATAATCATAACCCAGCTGAAACGCCATGCTAAATGTATGCAGCATGTTTAGTTCAAGGTTGCCTTGAACCCCTGGTAGGCCTGCTCAATATCAAAAGCAAGTTCCCTCGCCTGATCATCACTGAGCTCTTCGGTTGCCCGCATCTGATTGAGGGCAATCAACCACTGAATGATTTTGCCACGGTTCTCAAACTCTCCATCTGTCACTTTGTTGACAGACTGAATGACTTCCGATAGCAGTGGATGCAGCGCATCCTTCGAGACCATGTTCAACTTCAATGCGTCGAGGAATGTAATAAAGTTCTCCGTTGCTGCCAGGATGAGACTGCCCGATGCACCACCGACCACACCTCCAGCCCCCGCGCTACTTGCTTGGGGTGCGCCGTGTGAGGCTTGTTCGACGGTTGCCGGAAGGCCGATACGGAGTCGTTCAGTTGCGCGAGGACACTCCAACTAAGCCAGATGTTAGAAGCAGGCACCAGGAATACAGAGCAACTTGGGTAGACTCACGCCCCACGTCCTCTTAAATGTTTCCAGATCAACAAATTCTCGCGATACGGATTCGTCGCCTAGACTGGACTTGTATTGCTTCAATAACCTCGTGCATGTCTCGGTGTATTCCGCCTCCGTGACCACATCCTTGATGTAGGCCTTTTCGAGTCCATCGAGGGTAATTATAATACTGTAGATTTCGGCAAGTGATTCGTAGAGATCGCGTTCGCCCGAGCTGGAGACCAATTTCACTTCCTGAGGTTGTGTTAACAAGGGAAGCCCCACGTTCATACCACTGAGCATACCTCATCGAGGTTAATCGAAGCCGATCGAGCGGGGTTTGGTGTGTAGCTGTAGGGAGTGGGGGCGTATGATAATGGGCGTTGTGAATACATCTTTGACCGAGATGTGAGAGGGAAAATAAAACAAATCCAACTCGTATACGCCGTCAATCGTTCAGTACAGTCGTCTGTTGCCTTGTCGAGAGCCGCGGAAGCGGAGCTTGTCCTTATCGGCAGCTCCCAAGGCGGTCACAAAGGCGGACCCGCTGATAATTCCCCCAGCCAAATTTTTTTCTTCAAGCGTCCGCCAATACTGAAGAAGCGCGTTTAATTGCAGCGAAATCTTTCACCATGGCCGGCGCTAAGAAGTCGACCAAGAAGTTCGAGAAGAAGCATCTCAAAGATATTCTCGAGCGACGCAAGGCTTCGGCCAAGATCAAGCAGCGCCACCACCTCAACGACAAGCGCAAGGCCCAGAATGCCAGCCGCCGGGATGCCGAAGATGAGGAGGAGTCTGATTCTGAGGAGGTTAAGAAGAAGAATGCTTTTGCAGAGATGAAAGTTGATGACTTCTTCGCTGGTGGCTTTGACATTGCTGATGCGCCCGAAGGCAAGAAGAAGGCCAGCAAGAAGGATGTTACTCCCAAGATTGGAAAGCGCAAGCGTACCGACAACCAGGAGCAGGAGGAGGCCGGCGAAGACAGTGCTGCCAGCGATAACGATGAGGAAAACTCCAGCGATGCCAATGCTTTCGATGCGCACAAGGACCAGCTCGAGGCGTTGAAGGAAAAGGACCCCGAGTTCTACAAGTACCTGAAGGAGAACGATGCAGAGCTACTCGACTTCGGCGCCATGGGCGATCTTTCAGAAGTGGATGAGCTGAGCGAGGGAGAGGCCCCCGAGGAAGAAGGACCCGCTAAGAAGAAGAAGAAGGCCAAGAAGGGTGAAGGCGAGGACGAGGAAGAGGAGGTTATCGACAACACCCTGACTATCCCCATGGTCAAGAAGTGGCAGACCTTGATGGAGGAGCAACATTCGATCCGGGCTATGCGCCAGACCGTTCTCGCCTTCCGTGCCGCCGCCTCTGTCAACGACGCTGAGGCTCCCGAGCAGAAATACACCATTTCCGACCCCAATGTCTACCACCAGGTTCTCGTCACGGCGCTGAATGTTGTTCCCAAGGTCCTTGGCCACCACCTCCCGGTCAAGGAGACTGCCTCTGGCAAGATCCGAGTGTCTCTGGACTCGAAGAAGTTCAAGACCCTTACCCCTCTGATCAAATCATACACTTCTTCCGTTCACCAGCTCCTGGTCAACCTGTCCGACGCCTCAACTCTGAAGTTGACCCTGTCGGCCATGGAGCCCATGCTTCCCTACCTGCTCCAATTTCGCAAGGTCCTGAAGACCTTGATCAAGACTGTTGTCGGTATCTGGGCTGATGTGTCTACCGCCGACGCTACTCGGATCACAGCATTCCTTTTGCTACGCCGCCTCATGGTTTTGGGTGACCCCGGTATCAAGGAGACCGTCCTCAAGGCTACGTACGAGGGTGTGGTCAAGGGCAGCCGCAACACTACCGTGCACACTCTGGCTGGTGTGAACTTGATGAAGAACTCCGCCGCTGAGATTTGGGGTATCGACCAGAATGTTGCGTACACGACAGGTTTCAGCTTCATCCGGCAATTGGCCATGCATCTTCGCAGCAGCATCACCAACACCTCCAAGGAGTCATACAAGACCATCTACAACTGGCAATACGTGCACTCTCTCGACTTCTGGTCGCGTGTTCTCTCCCAGCACTGCGATGGCCTCGTCGAAGCTCAGGCTGGCAAGCAGTCTGCCCTCCGCCCGCTCATCTACCCCGTCGTCCAGATCACCCTCGGTGCCATGCGTCTCATCCCCACCGCACAGTACTTCCCTCTCCGCTTCCAGTTGACCCGTGCTCTGCTGCGTGTCTCCCGTGCCACCGGCACCTACATTCCGCTTGCGTCCTCGCTCATCGAGGTTCTTACCTCGGCCGAGATGCGCAAGCCCCCCAAGTCCAGCACCCTCAAGCCCCTCGAGTTCCACACTGCTATCCGCGCCCCCAAATCCTACCTGCGCTCGCGCATCTACCAGGACGGTGTCGGTGAACAAGTCACCGAGCTTTTGTCCGAGTTCTTCGTCCTGTGGTGCAAGCATATCGCTTTCCCCGAGCTGTCTGTCCCCGTTGTCGTTGCCCTCAAGCGCTGGCTGAAGCAGGTCTCCGCCCGCAACGGCGGCAACAAGAACGCCAAGATCAACCAGATGATCCTGCTTCTTGTGCAGAAGGTCGAGGCGAATGCTCGCTGGATTGAGGAGCGCCGTCTGAACGTCTCTTATACCCCCCGCCAACGGACTGAGGTTGAGAACTTCCTCAAGGATGTCGAGTGGGAGTCTACACCGCTGGGTGCATTCGTCAATACGCAGCGTAAGTTGCGTGAGGAGCGTGCTGCTATCGTTGAAGAGGGCCGTCTTGAGGAAGAGAAGCGTCGTGCCGAGGATAAGAAGCGTGACGAGGATGAGTTGATGGAGGAGTTTGGTAGTGATGATGATAGTGATGAGGGTGAGGATGAGGAGGAGATGGAGAGTGAGGATGAGATTGAGGAAGAAGATGAAGAGGTGGATGAGGATGAGCTGGAGATGGAAGAGGAGTAGTTTTTCTTTTCTTCTAGCTTCCCTACCCTGTTCTGTACATTTCATTATAAAAGAATTCTCGGCGTCTATTTGGCTTTCATACGCAATGCATGAATTGAATATCTTTCTGAATATCTTTCTACCAAAATGTTCAACCCATAGAATAGAGTAGGTAGTATCATCTCACCACCTCACCACCCTCGCCTAGTAAGAGCAAAGGTCATAAATCGAGACAACACAATGGGTATCTCCCACCAATGACACGCTAAGAGCAAGTCAATCCAAAATCAAAAAGTCATGGTCACATAAAACCTAATCAAACCGAACCCAAAGGCATCCTCTCCTGGCCCCAATTCCTCGTCCTCTCCCTCCTCAACGCCGCATCTTCCTCCTCCGCCCACGCCAAACTCTCCCTCGGCAACATAATCGCCTTATCAATCGCAACCGGCAAACCACGATGTCTCCCCCTCAACGCAACCGCCGCAAGAATCAATTTACTAATTGTATGCCAAGCCCCGCAAAACGAGTAATTCTTGCCAGGATACCCAACACTAACACCCACACAGCCATACGCAGAAACAACCTCGAAAATGATGTTGAAGGTGCTGAAGGCGACGGGTTCGTCGGTGTAGTGGTCTGATTCGGCGATGGCGATGAAGAGTACTGCAAGGGCGATCCACCAGATGTCGTGGCTGAGTTGGGAGCGGACTTGTTGGTGGACGAAGTAGCCGCGTGAGGATTCGGAGAGTGTTGGTCGGCCCATGTGGTGCCGCATTAGGTCCATGAGGACGTTGCTGCGGCTGGTGTTGGAGGGGGTCTCGGGGGTTTCGTCGTGGGCGTAGATTCCCAGGGAGCGTTCTTCGTAGACGTTTGTGTTGCTGGGGATTTTTGTTAGATGGGGAAAGAGTGTGGTTGGAGGGTTTTGAGATAGATGGACTTACCGGATTGTCACCAGCACGGGGAATGCGGAGACGTACTGAGTAGATGTTAGTGTTGGTTATATAGTACATGTGATGTTGATGCTTACCATCATGAGGACTGTTCAACATGTTGTTAGTATGATACTTGGTAGTAAAGCCAAGGAAGCAGATATAGACTTACCATAGAGTACAAGGAGTCCTTGTCGCAGATCAGCAATCGTCACCACGTAGAATCCACCAGCACGCACAGCTACATACAAAATTAGTCAGGTTCAGTCTCCTGCTCATCCCTGATACTCACCCAATGCCTGGAACAGGCCATCGAGAATTCGATACTCAGTCGGCAAGGCCTCAATTTCCTTGTTTCCAATAGACAAGAGCTCAAAGGCCGCCCAGTCAATTCCATTGAGGACAATGATAGTGGCAAGAAGATACCATGTGTGTCGAGCGGGGAAAAGGTTGGTGTATACCCTTCTTGGGTGATCCAAGATAAAATCAAGTGTCACCCGCCATGACTTCCACGACGGGGTATCGGGCAGCATTATTCGCATAGTCCAAACGATGAAGCGTAGGAAGCATGGGTAAAGGGTATTACCCGCAAGAATGAGCATGCCCAGCGTGAGAAGTGGGTAGGCACTGGTAAGCTAGTCAGCATCATAATCATAGGGAATAATGGGATAGATAGAGAATCGTACTTCAACTGTAAAGCAGTCATGTTCTTATCCAAAAGAGACATGCCACTGTTCACAAATGCAGAAACTGCAAAGAAAGCGCCGGTCCAAAACGGCGAAAGTCCATTGACTTCGGAAACTTCAGGGTGGTTCGCTTCAAGCCATGCACCCATACCAACGATACCAAGAATCAAAAACATCGAAAAGTAAAGCGATACGATGATCGCCAAGAAGGAGACGGCCTTGTATTCGACACCGCCGAGTTTCTCCCGCTCGGTAGAAGTCAAGCCGTAGAATTGCGAGTTACGTGAGATAAACCCTTTGGAGGAGAAGTATTTTTGTGTGCCACGGATGATCCCCTTGAGCCCAGATACTGAAAAGTCGTCGGTATACAGAGGCAGTGGTGCAACATCGCGGGGGTGATTGTTCAGATCTGGCCGGGCGCCTACACCGGCCATGGGAAACACCCGGCGGTGATGATGGTGATTCCGGGCTTGGACATCGCCAACAGTGATTTGATCATCGTCGACCCATATGATTTGATCGCAACGAAATGTGGATGATTCGCCCAAACGCTCGTCAGCCGTACCTTTCAGCTGGACCTGGCTATCCCCTTCGTTGAGAGTAGCATCCAGTTCCGGTGTGGAGTTTTGCAGTTCCAAAGCCGAGGCACGGCGAGAGGCCTCACGCTCCTCTGAGAAGTGCTTTAGTTTGTCCTCAAATGCCTGCTTACGCACCATAAGAACGGTGCTCGAGATGAGAATGGCAGATCCCAAGATCAAGAGGATGAACAGGATGGCTTGTTGGAAGGTGTTCAATGTTGACAGGTCGACCTATTGTAGAAGGTTAGTCTCTTACTTCAAGAACAGAGAAGGATATCATACCGTATTCAAACCCGCGCCAGTCATGGCACTGACGCACAAGAAGATGGCATCCACATATGCCACACTCTTCCACGGGGTGGAGGTCAAGTAGAAGATGATGCTGGTCACCAGACATGTCGCGATGAAGTAGAGATAATGAAGGGTGAGGAAATTGCACGGCGGGAGTACAGCCATGATGGCCCGGCCCATTGTCGCTCTCACCTTTCGAGCTGCAGGCAATCGTCAATATGATTAAACCGCAGGCGAGGGAAATATGTGATAAGAGATTTATGCACCAGGGGAAAGGAGCACGATTGGACGTAAAAGTTGCAATAAAACGGAAAGCAAAGGAGACATACGGATCAGCATGGCCTGGAGTCTCATCTCATAGGATGAAATGGGAATAGCAGTATCAAACGCAATCCAATGAGAAGAGAGCGGAATAATGCAGCGCCCTCGTGGGTGTCGGTGTACGATGCAGCTTCTTTCGTGTTACACAGCAGTGGCTATCACTTCCAAAGTAGCTCGAGGAGTTCGAATAGGTCAATTAGGTCAAGTAGTTCGAAGTAGAGCTCCCTCCGCTGCCCGGTTAATCGTCGGACCACGAGATGTCAAAGGCGCGCAACCACTACGGGCCGCGGGCGTGTTGGATCAGGATGGCTAGGCGGCGAGGGATCATGGCTACAGTTGTTGCAGGAAGAAGAGAGGGGGAATTTGCCTAACGGGCAAAAACTGCACGTCTGCAAGACCAGTGTTTGAAGTACAGATCAGGCACCAGGCTGTGCGGTGTTGTGTGGGTTTTGGGCTTGGAAGGGTTTTTTTTTTCTTGGATCAACGGCTGCCCCACCTGGGTGAAGGTGTGGCGGACCGAGGGAAGTCGTGAAGAAGTGGAGCTTCAACGTTGAATATTCCTCACATGATTTGAGTATTTGCAGAAATTTGAGAGTAATCGATTCAAATTCAGGGGAGGTTATATAGAGAAAAAATAATTAAGTATAGGAAAAGACGGTGAGACGGAGAATTTTGGTGATTTCTTTTTCGGGTCTCTCGCGTTCTCGGCGGGGACCAGTGGGAGTCTTGGCGCTGCGTAGGGCTGGACATTAGTCAGGAGATATTATTAGACACTTTTAGATAATCTTGCAGGATTATACCTGAGTAAATGTATATTGGCATTCAATAATGATCATATAAGTGTAGCCTAGTTGGACCTAGGGCACTATACGTACTACATCAGGAAAGAGAGATGACGCTTGGTCGATGACAGAGAACACAGTCACCGTTTATACGACTTTTGCAAGTCTAAGGGTGCCTATGGATAAATCTCAATGAGTCAACACATGTGGAACTTAAGCGTACTGGAATCACAATTGATAGTGATGGAGATTCCCATGGAGATCTCCATGGGATCTTCCACTCGGATTTCGCTCAGCGCGCAGATTCATTGCTTCGGGCTTATTCGTTATTCCATTCCTTCTCTTTCGAGGCAATGCGAAGAATAGATCTCCTTGGATACGACCCACGGTTCCCGGATGAGAATGCGGAAGATATTCCCGTGGGCATATACCTCGATCCCGTCGTTAGGCATATGCCCACGGACTCGGGAAATAATAGTCGGCTGTTGCTCCCATTTGAAGTCGGGGGTCGTGGATATGCGCGAAGCCGCAATGGAGTCCCATTGAGTAGATGCGATGATAAGTATGATTAACTATATCGAGTATATCATTTCAGTGGCATTTTGCCCAGGGACTCGCACAGCTCAGAAATTCACAAAGTATTGAGTAATTGGGCACAACGTGTCGAAATGGGGGATTCGGAGGTGGGCGACGATGGGGTTGTGGATGGCATCGAGAAGTGCAAAGATGCTGATACCCCAGAAGGTTGGGAAAATCATCAGACTTTGTAGTAAGAACCGAGCGCCTGTGGAAGTATGAATAAAATGGTAATATGCAGTCCGTCCACGCGTTGAGGATGAGTACGCGGAGATTTTGGACGTTTTTTTGGGGATCGCGCACGCATTATTATTAGACACTTGATGCAGAATTATACCTTAGTCATGTATATTAGCATTAGATAATTATCATAATACCAGAGTACTTAAGGGTACATATGGACTCTCAACAATACGGTATAATAACAATACTTAACCAGAGTACATTCAGAGTCAGATTGATTTTTACAACAATATTTCTTTGGATAGTATAGTATAGATCAATCTAAATCACTCCTTATTCTTTCTCTCTTTCACCACCTCCTCCTCCCTCCGCCAATGCCCACTCTTCCCCCCAACCTTCTCCAACAACCTCACACCCCCAATAACCATCCCCTTATCCACAGCCTTCAACATATCATACACCGTCAACGCCGCCCCCATCGCAGCAGTCATGGCCTCCATCTCGACGCCCGTCCTCCCAAAACAACTAACCGTAGCGACAATCTCCATACACCCATGATCGTGATCATCCGTCTTGTTCTCCGCAGGCCCAACAAGTTCCACGCTCACTTCCACGCCCGTAATGCCAATGCCCGGGTGGCACAGTGGAACGAGATCAGGCGTCTTCTTGGCGGCCATGATGCCGGCGATGCGGGCCACGCTGAAGACGTCGCCTTTGTGGGTGCCTTGGCCTTGGCGGAGGAGGGCCCAGGGGCGGGCGTTGGAGAAGGTCACTGTGCAGGCGGAGGTGGCAATTCGTTTTGTTTCGGGTTTTGAGGTGATTTGTGTCATGTGTACTGTTTGGGACGGGGTGAGGTGGGGGGAGGTCCGGGTCGGATGTGGTTGGGAGAGCGTGGGATTTGCGAGTTTCCTCCGACTCGGCGGTTTGTGAGGAGGGTTGAGAGTCAGGCGTAGACCCTGTGCTGTGATAAAGACGGGTTTGCAAGGAGCCATGGGGAGAGGGAAGTATATGTGCAGGAATCTTCGACCACGGAGTGGACGGGGTTGTTCGGGATCTACTCGAGAATCCTAGTCCTGGCAGCGCGGGCTTACTATCTATACGCCTATCAGCACAGGAAGACTAGAAAACCAAACCAGAAAAAGACAACCGATGGAGATCAGAACATTAATTTAATAAATAAATGACACCCGAAAGGTAAATGCGATATCTGTGACGACAAGAGGTATGCAAGCCAATTTCCCATGGACATAGACAAAGGTCGTGAAATCATTCCAATCATGAGTGTGAACAAGATGAAAAGGACGACAAGGAAAGGACAGGCCTACCCACCGATGAGAATCATAGGCCGGTTCTTCATATTCTCCAGCTGGCCCATGCCGGCGTGCTTGGCCTTCTTGCGTTTCACAGCCATGCCAATGATATCGAGAATCTGGCGTTCTCGTTCGTTGACCAGTGCACCCTCATCACTCAGACGAGCAGCGGCCTGGACTGTCTCCATGAGCTGGAGTTGTTTCGCAGCAGCTTCATCAATGGGCTGTCCGTCATTCTCTTTGCGGATGATATCTCGCAGAGAAACCTCCGAGTTACCAAACAGACAGACTTTCAGATTCCCATCACTGGTAATCCGCAAGCGATTGCAAGTCCCACAGAAATTATGGGTCATACTCGTGATGAATCCCACCCGGCCCTCGAATCCAGGAACTTGATAAGTCTTGCTGGTATCGTTCTTATGATCTTGTACCTTTTCTAAGGTCGGGTATTTTTCCCGGATCACAGCCAACATCTCCTGATATGAGAACATCTTGCCCTTATTCCACTTGTTCCCATCGAATGGCATGTACTCGATGAACCGCACCTCGATGGGTTTCTCGCGGCCCATTTCGACAAAGGGAACAATCTCGCGGTCATTCATCCCGCGCATCACCACACAATTAATCTTCAACTTAATGCCCGCACCGGCCTTGTTCATTTCCAGAATTCGGTCGATACTCTTCATCACCGCATCGAAGCCCTTACGTCTGGTCATGATTTGGAACTGGAAGGGATCTAACGTGTCCAGGCTGAGATTGACACCGGTCAGACCGGCTTCCACCATAGAGTCAAGCTTGCGATGTAGCGAAATTCCGTTCGTGGTCAAGCATAGCTCGCGCAGACCGTGCTGCCGTAGCTTGCCAATGTCCTGCATCAAGGGCACGATATCCTTGCGCACGGTCGGCTCTCCACCCGTCAGGCGGATCTTGGTCACACCTTGTGAGACGAAGAGCGATGATAGGTAGACGATCTCCGGGGATGTAAGTAGCCGAGCGGTTGGCGACAGCTCGATCCCTTCCTCTGGCATGCAATACAGACACCGCAGGTTGCACCGCTCGGTGACGCTAATTCGGAGGTAGTCATGTTGACGATGGAAGGTATCGGTTAGGAAATCGGAGAATGGTTTTGCAGATTTGAGTGATGTAACTCGTGAGGGAGAGGTAGAGGAGGGAGCATTGTGCGGGTGAGGCGGAGGAATCTCGGATAGCGCGGGGTCAGCTCGTGTCGAGGAGGAGGAAGCTGTTGAGCTCTGCCACCGAGTCTGTGCTGCGACCGAAGCCCACGACGCGGTGATCCCTGTCCTAGGAATAGACAGAACCCGTTTGCACAGCATACCCGCCATATGTTAGTTTTTAGGGATTTGGAAGGTCATGGCGGGGGGAATGGATTGAATATAGAATATAAAGTCTGGGTCCGAGAACACGGAGGGGCCCAGAAGCGTAGTACTACTGTAAGGAGTTTGGTCAAGGGAGAGCCCAAGGTGGCAAGGCGGGGAGCTTATCGTGTCTCGCCCGCTTGGACATTCCCCGGGCGGTGAAATTCTCGGATTCTCGGGCCTCTCCGCGGAACTCGAATCAGCGTGTAGGGGTTAGTCACTCATCCATCCGCGACCAGTGATAACAATTGGTTGTGCTAATCCATACATGAGTGATGATTCATAACCATTTTACAGTTAACCAGTTCCTTATCTATCTACTATGGCTAACTTGTGCTTTCATACGACATCATATTCCATTTTCGGATACAGTGGAGGTATACACTTCAACTTTCCCTTTTTTGAAAGGTCTTTTGAAATGTCTTTCTTAATAGCTCGAGTAAAAGGCTTAGTAGGTATTGTAAGCATATCTAGCTACTCGACCTGGAGAGGACTCTGTCCTCGGCCATGATCCTTCCCTTTTCGCCTTCTCACATTTTCACACCCCACTTCACCTGTTTCAATCCAAACATTCCATCCGAATATCCCATCCCTTGCTCGAGAATTTCTTTTCGCGTTTGAAATCATGGGTTCTCAATCGTGCCCCCCTTGGATGCGAGGCAATTCCGATCCTACTCAGATCGAAATGTCCGGAGGTGAGTTATGGCTGGCGAGGACTCTGGCGAGAACTCTGACCAAGACTCTGGAGCGGACTCTAGAGAGGACCCTGATCACGAAGGCAAAGTCCCTTCTGACGTAGACATGGACAAGGAGTTAGACGTCTCCATCCCCGAGAAAGATTCGTCGGTTGAAGACCCAAGTGTGGCCTAGGCTCACATGGATGTATAGGATGATCAGGAGCTTTTCTCTGGTCCCAGTCATCAAGACCAGAGCCAGGATGCTATAGATATTCAGGATGACGAGGAAATTTTCTCTGATGACCGTCCCCGAGATGAGATCCAGAAAAATGAGATTGCCGATGCCTAGTTTGAGGAACCTGCCGAAGTGCCTCAGCCTCAATCTACTTCATCAACTCCTACCTACTTGAGTAGCTTCTGCACCCGCTTCACCAGACTCTTCTCAAACTGCTCCACTCCGTTCGACTGCTCATTCAACTTGCCCGCCTTCAACACATACACAGACCGGCGTCGTGGGGAAGACTCTGTAGATTCTTCCTCTTCAACACCCTCAAAGTCCTCATCAAGCTTGTGCTCAGTATCGCGTTTTCCCTCTATCACAGACCGAACCAGGAAACGGTCGTGCGAAACGAGAATAATGGCCCCGTTGAACGAGGACAGCGCAGTCGCCAGTGCAGTCACCGTGTGGAAATCCAAATGAGTGGTAATTTCATCCAAAACCAGGAGCTGGGGTGAATTCCAGACGATTCGTGCCAGTGCAAGCCGAACTAGTTGTCCGCCAGACAGTTTGGCTACGGGCACATCAGAGGCAATGCGACCGGCCAGGCCCATGGACGAGAGCAGACCGCGAATGGCTCCTTCATTGAGATGACCTTCCGTCTCGGCCGTCAACAGTCCCAGTGCAGTTAGACTGGGCTCACTTTGACCGCGCTCCTGCAACTCTTCAACAGAATGCTGGCCATAGTAGCCCACCTTCAATCGTGGATGGTTTGAAACCTTGCCCGTTGACGGAGGGATCTGACCATTCAGAATGCGGATCAAAGTGGTCTTGCCAGATCCATTGAGGCCCATGATGCCCACACGATCACCAATATGAACCACGATATTCACATCATCCAGAATAACCCGGCCATTCTTCTGATATTGGAAATTGATCCCTTCTAGAGATACCAATGGTCCAGGGAATCGCAGCTCTGTCACATCGGGTATCGCCATCGACGCACCCCTCTCATCCTGCGGCACCTCAATCTCTGCGCGGCTGGTGAGATGATACCCGACCAGATCACGGTTGAGCTTGAAGCGATGGCCATTGGCATTCACCTGTAGACCCATCCGATCATCCACTTTCTTCTGCCGGGATTTAGCTTGCCGAAGCTTATTATCATCATTGGTCTTCTTGCCAATCTTCAGGTTCTCGCGGATACTCGCTTCCATGTGTGCGATCTGTCGTTCTTGCGATTCCTTCATGCGTCCCCAGTACAGCTTTTGCTCTTCGAAGTCTTGCTCGTAGGCAGCGAGATTGCCACGGAAGTAGGTAAGCTTCTGATCTCGTAGAATCACGATCTCCTCGCAGACGGCATTGATGAAGTCGCGATCGTGCGAGACTAGAACGATCGTTGTTTCGGATGTCTCGCGTAGTTGCTGGAGATATTTCTCGAGCCAGACTACTCCTAGAAGGTCCAGGAAATTGGTCGGCTCGTCGAGGATCATGATATCGGGGGACTGGACCAGAACACTCGCGAGCATACATCGCATCCTCCAGCCGCCCGATAGGGTTGAGACCTTCTTCTCGAGGTTTTCTTCTTTGAAGCCGAGGCCGAGAAGGATGCGACGAGCTTCTTTCTCCATATCTGCAAGGTTCATCTAATTTCAAGTAAGCTTGGCTGCTTAATAGTCAGAGTATTGGGGGTGAGGCACTTACATCTTCGAGCTGTGACTGCAAAGTCTGTAGTGTCTCTACTGCAGCTTGTGTATCCACCTGAACGGCCTCTGCGTCGATGGACTCAGCATCTTGGGCGAGTCTAGTAAGGGCGGCGGTTAGCGTCTGCCTTTATCAAATTATGAATCTTTTTGCACCTTCTCACCGTTCACTGGCAGACTCCATATTTGCCTCGGCCGTCTTAAGGTCTTTTCTCGCCTGGAACCCTCTCGCGCCACTTTTAAGATTGGCATTCTTATGAGCAAGAAACAAATTCCTCTCCGCTCGCTGATACTGAACCTTGCGAATCGCCTTGACTGGTTCCAGCGGATCTTCCGTGTCGAAGCTTTTAGAAAGGACTGGCTTCCCATTAGCCACGAAAAATTCCAATGCGATGTGGGGTATATTCTCACATTCTGCCGTGCGTGCAACCTCATTCCTCGTTTCATCACTGCCCAGAACGGCATCCAAGACGGTTTTGTCTAGTCTCAAACTTCCATAGCCTCCAGATTCATCGTCCACGCCGGTTTGCTGGAGAATTGAAATTCGGGTAACATGAGGGATGCCGGGGATGAGTTTATCGGCCATTGCTCGTAGGAGTGCTGCAAGTGAGAGTTAGCAATTGCATCAAAAAATACTGGCGCGATTGCTCGTACTAGACTTTCCCGTTCCATTACGACCGAGCAGGCCGTAGTGAATGCCACCCTTGAGACGCAGATGAGCATCGGCGATGAGCTCCTTCCCGGGTGCTTTTGCCTTGGATTTCCCTTTGACCTTTGATTTTGGGGCCTCGTCTGGAGAATCTGCTGCAGCAGAGGTGATAGTAATACTGAGACCCTCTACATCAATCTTCGAGGGGGTGATTTCCACAGATCAGAGTTGGCATTCAGTATTCAGTCATAACACTTCACACACCTCAGTCGACGGGTTCTCATCCAATAGATGGAATCGCGTCTGCTTGCACGTTGCAAGGATAGTCGGAGCCGAAGTCATCATTAGTTCGTGTATCCGATTCGTCTGCCAGGAACGCGATTGTGGCAGAGACAAGCAGCTTCATATAAAATGATGGCGCGGATTACCTCGGCCCCCATTAGAAACCCGCCACCAGCGATCGGTCGATGGAGAATGCGAAGATCTTTTCAAAAGAGTCATCGCCAAGCCATTCGAAACGAGGGTAATCCACAATCATTCATGTTTGATGTACACTCGGTCACTCGCGGTTGCTGGCTTTCTGGGGTCGGGGTCCCAATGTGGTTTAGTTTTGGGCCTCAGGCCGCCCCGTTGCATTCCCGAGCGTGGCAGTTGGTGGGGGTGTCGCCTTCTGCAGAAGTTTAGTATAATACATACGATCAAATTGAGTATTGTGCTGTGATTGTGCTGTGATTGTGCTGTGATTGTGCTTTGTGCTTTTTTTGTGGCTGCGCTGTTTTTGATAATGTATGAGTCAGAGCCTTTTTTGATTCAAAAGACTAGGACTAAATTGTGATCCTCAGATTGTGTGCCCAGCTGATGGTTAGAGAAGTATGGAATCCCGACACAATTGCTAAATCATCAATAATGCCCGTTTCAAACATATTTAGAAAGTCTGGTCGAAAGACTTGTCTAGATAGATATTCCTCTGCCTTTGGATGAAGTTTTTTCAAAGGTAGATGTTCCTACTCGCTAAAGGAATGAGTACTTATAAATTATGCAAAATTATCCTTTTACTAGGGTACCATTACTATATACAGGGTCATATCATACAACACACTAAACCCTCGTGAACCTGACGCAGTCTCTTCTAGAAGAAGAGAAGAGCGGATAGCACAGCCGCCATAGGGAACAGTATAGACGAATGCCACATCTTATGAGCGTCTCCAGTAAAGAGACTGCCAGGAGCACCGGCTGTCACAGAGGATATCGTTTTCCCGGATACTGTGTTTATCTCTGTGGCCTGTGTAGCGGCCTGGGTGGAGCCGGAAGATGCGATCCCAGACTTCCAGGAGCTGGACGACAGAGTATGGGGCGTAGTATGGTTACCAGATGCACCTTGACCGAAAACATGCGGCTGAGCTGGTGAGAGAGTAGACACAACCACGGGCTGCACCGAAGTGGTCATAGATTGAGAGACCAGTGCAGATTCCGTGACTACGGCCAGGTATGCCGTCGTATAGGAAGCGACGGTCATAGTGGTAGTGTAAGTGCCCCTCTGTCTGGCAGGGCAATTATTGACCGAAGGTGGACAGGCAGTGACTACATCGATCTCTGTAACATAGACGGTCGAGGTGGTCATATGCGAAGGAGAGGCAGCAGTCTTTGTGCTCTGAGCAGAAGAAACACTGGCGGTCTGGATCACGCTCGTATGAGGGATAGTTGTCACAGAGACTGTAGCTTGGGGAGCTGTAGTTGGAGAACCTTCGGGACAAACTGTCGTGACATAGGTAATTATCTCAGTGGTCAAATATGTCGTCTGTTGGTGCGAGGGGCAATTGGTGACTGCGGCAGCACAGGAAGTGATTGTTTGAACCTGGGTTGTCGTGACAGTATAGGTTGAAGCACTTGGTGTGTTCCCGCTGGATCCCTCCGAGGACTGAGTTAAAGCACTCGGTGTCACAATTACGGTAGCAAGCGCGGTTGAGCTGGCTGTGGGTTGTGTTGTAGATGTGTTTGGACCAGAAGCCGACACATCGGATGAGGCTGCAGGGACAGAAGAACTTATAGAGGGTGATAGGGATGAAGAAGGCAGGCTAGAAGCAGATGATGAACTGTCCAAGAACGAGCCAGTCAATGATGGGCCCGGGGAAGACGAAGGAGTTGAAAAGAAAAAAGAAGAGGAGCCAGAAGGAATGACCGAAGGGGAAGCTGTAGAGACGGAAGATGTAACCGAAGTACGAATCAATGGAGTCGACGACGGCCGCACAGGTGAAGACACCGGGCTAGATGATAGACTGGAAGAGGATGGGATTGATGACCCTATCAGCGGAGTCGAAGAAGGCGTCCAAGATGGCGACACGGGGACAGAGGAGAGCGGCACCGGGGAAGACGAAGAAGAAACTCGGACAGAAGAAGGAGATATAGGAGTCGAGAATGGTGACACTGGTGTAGAAGACGGAGTCCCCGTGGTATATGGAGTCGGGGTCGAGGTCGAAGTCACAGTGTAAACCACCTTTCCCGTTGAAGTGACCGTGTCCGTCTCTGTGACCAACCAGGTCGATACGCAAGGACTAGCACTGGGTGCATAACGCATTGCTGCTTGGTATGGTCCGCCAGGAGTGATAGTCACATCGCCCTGGAACAGATAACACATATTGATGGCGCTATTGAAAGAGGCAGCACTACAGGCAGGCCTCACAGCACAGGCTGATGTACAAGCTCGTAGTGAAAGGCCTGTGCTGCTCAAGATGAGGATACCACCACTGAGGGAGGCTGCGCAGGTCTCCTGCCACACTGCGCCATACGTGTTGTAATATCCATTGCTACAGGCAATCTGCATGGAAGACGCGACTGTGCAGCCCGGGATTTCGGAAGATGAAGTGACCACGGCAGTAGTTGGGAAGACCGTTGTAAAGGCACTGGTGATCTCCAGGGCACTGGACAAAGGAGCCAACCCTGTTAGGGCTACCAGAAGCAGCTGTTCTCTCCACCGGCCCATGTTCTTGAATAGTTCAACGAATGTAGAACAACAATTTAGAGTGAATCAAGGGGACATAGTCTTTAGCATGAGATTACTGTGCTTGGTTCTCATATTTATCTTACTGCTCGCTAAGACATACCATGTTTCTAGTTTCCATATGGTCCCTGCAGTAGAGCAATACTTGCCGACGAACTAAGGAACTAAGTCATGTAGGTGGGGCCATTTTAGAAATAGCAATCGATAGTACGATCTAAATCCCCACATCGCGCACGACGGACTGATTTCAAATCCTGATCTTAGCTCTTGACTAGGAGAATTCACTGGCAGAGCTAGTCAAAGTGTGAGATTCAAAGTCGGTGTTGTCCGAAGTGGCAATTCTCGCACACCCCGACGTCGCGACAACGTGCCCAAGGAAGGGCCATTGCGCCATCAGGTTCTGAGCCCAATAGCTCGTTGGCCTGCCCCGGAAAAAGACCAATGTGTTAGACAGATACCTGTCAAATAACATGGCCCTATCTATCTAGATCCTCCAACCTCATATAGGGCTTAGCTTCAGCAACAATCTTACCACTCCCGAGGGTTAATCCTTTCCTCCATTTCTATCCGGTTAAGAGCCCTCGAGCCGACTAGCACAGGGGGGCTGCGATCAACATCGCCGCCCCCAGGCCTTGCTCTGTTAGGCCTTCCTCGCCTTCGCAGGCCTTCCTCGCCTTCGCAGGCCTTCCTCACATCTAGCCTTGCTCGCATCAGCAGGCCTTCTCTATCAACAAAGCCCTCTTATGAGGCACCGTCGACGCAAATCACGCCTCTCGACACTTTTGCTAGGCCCGTCCAGACAATTTCGATGTGATCTCGATAAATCGTTGAAAGACGGCTTTATCATCCACTGGGACAATGGTCCGCCATTGTGATTGAGGCACTTTCTAAGCCTCGCTCGCACGTTAGCCGGCTTACCTTTCGCTCCACCTCTAGAGCACCCTTCATATCGATCACCTCGCATCGATGAAGCCCTACGACCGTTAGCAGGCACACGCACGCCTTCCTCAGTCTTCGCTAGACCGACTGGCTCTTCGCTCGACCACTAGAGCACCTCGCTTATCCAAAGCATCTTCTAAGCCCTCTCTTAAGGCATTCTCTACTATCCCTTTAACCTTCAGGGGGGAATCTATGGTGTTTTCGCTGGTTCCGTTGTGTTTTCACCATGTTTCGAAGCTCAGGTTAGATGATCAGGGGGTGTTAGACAGATGCCAGTTACATAACACGGCCCTGTCTATTTTAGATCCTCCAACCTCTAGATAGAACTTAGCTTAATCAACAATGTTACTATCCTTGAGAGTCTTTATTTTCCTCCATTGCTATCACAGTGTTTGTCTGCGGGGTCCACTTAGGGGATCAGATCTCCTCTCTGTATTTAGACCCTCCAGACCTCAGATAGAAATTCTCTCTTTCATGCATCTCTCAGACTGCTCCCTTCTTCACTTTCTTACAGCCAGCACAGCCAAAAAAACTCCGCTGCTGGTTCATCTTCCGTGAGTCCCTCTTCCGGCAATCCCTCTCTGCCTGCGAGTACTTCGAATCTGATAGAAACGCTAGTCTAACGGAGACGCTGCTAGTCTACCTTCCGCGGGTCCTTCTTCTGTCAATCCCTCCACTCGCGAACACTTTGAAAAGCACGCAGAAGCTTTTGTTTAGGCTATAGGCCCTTCCAAGTTATCAGGCTATCAACTAAGCTCCTGACCCGATCGCCATTAACTTCGGTCTTACACCAATTGCCCAACATACGCACAAAATAGTTCCTAGGATATCAGCAAATGTAGACCACTGCCTCTCTTTACCTTTCAATACAATTGATTACCAGTTCGTACACAAATCAAAGGCTCCATATACGAAATGACTTGATAATTCAACAATCAGTAGCAGCATATCTGTTCAAACACAGGGAAATAACTTGCCTCGTGGGCCCGAGGTGTATTGTCCTGTGAAGTTGGACGAATAAGGTGATCAAAGCTTCAACCACAATCGTACAAAGCTAGGCTATTGACGTCAAAGATACTCACTGCGTTGGTCCTCACTAAGTTTGGTGTTTTCGCGTTGCCCCGGAGACTTGGCTCTCACATCAAGCCCAGCCTCTAGGCTGATCCTGGTCCACATGACATCTAGCCAGGATGGGTTTATGGGTATTCTGAAAAGCATGCACGATGATTTTGCTTGCATTCTGGTCGAAGGCATCAGCGATCACGATCGAAACCACGACCGGGTATCCACACATATCGTGAGACAGATTGACATGGGTGATAGCCAGATCTACCGAGATTCTCATTTTCTATTTGGTAGCTATCCTTATGCCATTATGCTGTCCCGTGGTGATTCACGAGCTAGGCCTCTCGGGGACCTAGTTGTTACCAACCATATGCGAACGCCACCCAAAAGCCCAAAACTCCATACTCCTAAAAGTATCAGCATTACTCTGACCACAAAGGGATTGCTTCGATATGGACCAAATAAGCTCTATGAATAGTTGTACAGATTCTGATGATGCTGCAAGAGACGCTAGGCAAAAACTGCTCCTGAGCGATGTTTTGAGTCTCTGCGGTTTTTGAAGGGGCTTAAACGCACTGGCCGAAAAGGCCAGAAGAACGAACATCATAAAGCCTGGTTTTAGCATATCCGTGATCAAAATCCATGTCTCATCTTTTAGATCTTCATTCTAACGAGGAAGGGAAAAAATAATGAAGACGAAAAACAAAGGCGAATTTGCGCTGGCGGGGAGTCGAACCCCGATCTCGACCTTGGAAGGGTCGAATGATGAACCGTTACACTACCAGCGCTGCTTGATGAGGGACTCTCCACTTTTTTGAACCACGTAAGATAATATTCAACCTGTTCCCTGTTGCAGAACGTGCTTCCACCGAGAAATCTGTACGACTTGGAAACAATTATCCTTCATTTCTTGTCGAGTGTAATTCCATCTCCCCAAAGTGCCATCTCAACCTGATACCTCTCGGATGCATGTCTTAAAAGTTGTTCACAATGGCCTGAGGCTTCTATGTACTAGATTTGGGTTGTTCCTATTGGCCTGAATCATCAGGCAACAAAGTCATAACGCGATCCGCGGAACTGGAGCCAGCCTTTCCTCTTTGGGATTTTTCTTTTTTCCCGCGTGGCGGCGGCCTTTACGGGCTGGGCTCCGCAGATAAATCCGCTTGTCGCCCGATTGTTCGGTCTGTCAGGAAGGCTTTCCTGCTGAAGTCTCCAAAGCCTACGAGCTTCGAATCTCGCCCGCCATGATCAGTACCACAACTGACGAGCCAATTCACGGTATGTCTACGATCTACATCCATCTTCCCGGTCCACCGAGATAGTGGAACTGATAAGAGACCGACAACGGCCACAGTGCTCGATCTGCCCCAGATCTACCAGAAGGCCTCTGGGACCGAGCTCCTCAAGGCGCTCGCTTTATTAGCGTTGCAGCCACGCACATTCGGGACCAGTGCGGAGGCTATCAAGGGCCCCTCGGTCCAGCCGGCGGGGGTGACGAGGTATCTCACCCAGATCATCTCCAGTCCACTGTCATGGCTGGAGACCGATGAATTGCGCGAGGCTGTATGGGATACGGCGGGAGCTCGTCTGAGTGAACGATCGGGTCGTACTGGTAAGAATTGCTTTTTTCCGCCTCAAACTTCCCCGGTGATGGTCTTGCTGACACCCCTTTGCTTCCGTATAGCCATGCCAGCCATGTCCCGCATCTTCAATATTCCCACGTCCTCCGGCGAAGACTATACCCTCACATTGCACGAACCATCTCTCACCTCGGACAACCTGGGCATGAAGACTTGGGTGTCATCCTACCTGCTCTCCCGTCGGCTGCACAAACTGCTCGAATCACCGCCCGAACTCGTCCCCGTTAGTTCGACAGATCCATCGACCGGATCGTCTCAGGGAAAGAAGCCACTTCGGGCTCTTGAACTCGGCTCGGGTACCGGACTCGTCGGATTGTCCTTTGCGGCATTGAAGGGCAAGTCAGCCACGGTTCACTTGACCGATCTCCCCGAGATCGTCCCGAACTTGGCTCATAATGCCGCTCTGAATGTCGAGCTGCTCAATAAGTCCGAGGCCAATGTGACTAGCGGAGTGCTGGATTGGTCTGTGACGCCCACGCCGCTCCCCACTGCGGAAGAGCGATTCGATGTGATCCTCGCGGCTGATCCGCTGTACTCACCAAGCCACCCAAAGTGGTTGGTTGACACAATCGCACCCTGGCTGAGCAAGGGATTAGATGCTCGTGTTATCACTGAAATGCCGTTGCGTGATGCATACCTGCCTCAAGTGCAAGAGTTCCGACAGCGCATGACTGATCTAGGCCTTGCGGTCGTTGAAGAGGGCGAAGAGATCGGGTATGATGACTGGGAGAGTCCAGACGGCGATGCACTAGCAGTGAAGTGCTGGTGGTCCGTTTGGGGATGGAGTGAGAAGGTATGACTTTAGCCCTGGATTGCCAGCCGCTACAATCAAGGTAATATGAGACCACGAATAGACGATACACGATAGATTAGCATGACCCTAGATATAGAGCAGAGGTCTTTGTTAGAATCAATAGATGATTTGCCCCTTTGAAACTGATCTTTGGATGCTGAGACATGGAATAGTATTACGAGAGTAGTGACTTGAAGAATGCAATGCAACGAAGGAAGAACGTTCACGCGACCAAAATCACGTGTGGGGCGATGACGTCGATCATGATGGTCAGCGCCAGAGGCGTTCAAATGATGCTTTGTCCATTTTCTCTCGACTACACTTCATACTTTGTCTATATTCCTCATGGGACCTCCTCAGATTCTACGAACATATACTCATCCACCAGGGTGAGATGCATAGAACATCGGAACTGGGGAATTGCAATTCGCCATACAAGTGAAGAACGTCATTGCGACTCAAACCCATCCCTCTCCACGAAAATATAATCTAGCGCGATCTAGCCTAGATACTTAACATACTTGATCAAATCGGGCCTTATTTGGGCAACCGCACATCATGGTTATCGGTCTGTTAGTCCTCACATCCATCCCGACCACGGCTGGCGTGGCATTCGGAGTCAGCGAGCAGCGTAAAGCGAACCAGCGCAAGGAGGATGCGCGGCGAATGGCCAAATTCAACATCGATGTAGAATGCGATGGTGAAACAGATGATGATCGCGACGTTAATGGACGAAGATTAGTAGTTCGAAATGACAAGGTCTGCTCACATACACCTCAACATTTCCCCGTCCTAATACTAACTCCATTTCCTCTATAAAGGTCTACCTCGACCACCCAACCCCATCAGATCGATCAACACCCGCCTTCACAGCGCTAGCCTTCTACATCGAATACCCCGAACTCGAAGAAACCAAGCATCTCGACCGAGGCCTCGGTCTACCAACTTACGTATCCGCCAATCCACCCTTACTAAACTGGATCTACGCGGACGTCAACACGCACGAGATGAAATACGGGAATCGCTCGCAGAGCGTGGCGCATATTGTCGGGCCGTGGGATTGGACGGAGGATGAAAGAGTTATTACCCTGGAGGAGAGTAGTGGGTTTGTCGCGGTTGAAGAGGAGGAGGGGGAGTGGGCGCTTTATTTTGACGGGGATGGGGATGAATGTGAGGCTATACTGGAGGAACGGGGGATGTTGGATAGGGCGTTTGTGCCGGTTAAGTTGGTTAGGAGGCCGGCGGAGGAGGAGGAGCCGTCGGGGCCGTCGGGGGCTCAGCAGGGTTCTTCTGGACAAAGTCAAGGACCGAGTCAAGGACCAAAAAAGGCAGAGTAGAGGTGAAACTCTTTGGATGAATGATTTCATGATTGAATGCGTCAACGTGTTGAAAATTACAACTGGTATACCTCCATAGTCCTATCCTATACAGAATGCATCCAAAAGCATCATCACCTAATCATCCAACCCATTCCAACTCCCATTATCACTCTCCTCCCCACCTCTTCCCACCGTCTCATTCGCCTTCCGATTCCGACTCGCCTCAATAGCCCCCTTCCTCCGATTCTCCATCCGTCTCTCAAATCCACTCTTCGTACTAATTCTCATCCCCCGCAAACCCTTCCCATTACCCTCTTTACCATCCTTACCAACCTGCTTCGAGACCTGTCGCGCCTTAACGCCATGCTTCTTCAGCTCCTTCTTATCCTTCTTGCTCAAATCAGGTAGCGAGTCCAGAAGCCACTTCTGAATGGATTTTTCGCCCTCGGTGCCGCGCAGCTTCTCGCTCACGTCGATGATGTTGGCAATGCTCTTGACGTAGGGGATATCCTCCTTCGTGTAATATGTCACGGCAATACCGCCCTCGCGACCGGCACGGCCGGTTCGGCCAACGCGGTGGACGTAGACGGCGGCGGAGTTGGGGATGTCGTAGTTGACGACGCCGTTGATGCCGCGGAAATCCACGCCTCGGGCGAGAAGGTCGGTTGTCACGAGGATCCAGATCTCGCCCTTGCGGAAATCACGCATAATTTCGGATCGCTGGGTGTCTGATAGATCCGAGTGCAGCACTGCGATACGAGAGGAACCGCCTGCTTCGGCGGGGATGTCGTACTTAAGCTCGGAGTGCAGGGCGATGGCACGGGGGATGGTTTGAGTGAAGATGAGGAATGGTGGGCGGAGGCGGACGTCTGAGGCTGTGGCAGCGGCTGGGCGGAGAAGTTGGCGCAGACCGAGGAGCTTGCCTTGCTCGGTGGCGGCGTAGACGAGTTTGTGTTCGATGTTGGGGATGGCGGAGTCCTTGAGGCCGACGACGAGACGGACGAGTGGGTGTTGTGTTGTGCTTATCTGGCCAATGTCGGCTTGTCGCTCTTTGATCGTTGATCGGGTGAGATCGTCAATGTTGGAGCCCATGGTTGCAGACCAAAGGCTCACGCGTAGATCTGGGTGGATGCATGAGCGCCAGATGTCGAGCGTCTGCTCTCGGAAGAGCGGGTCGAGTAGGACATCTGCTTCGTCGAGGACCAGACTACGGACCAGGGGCAGTTTAGCCATAGGCCTAGTCTGATGCTCTGAGAGGGCGTTCACGAGTTGAAGTGGCGTAGTGACCAAGATATCGCTCTTAGTGATAGGAACTTTGCTCGAAGGCTTCTTCGGCTTGTCGTCGTCTTCTTCAGACTCAGACTCGGATGCCTCGCTGTCCTCATCAAGGACATTTTCTTCACTCTCATCGTCGCGTTCCACAACACGCATGCCCTTTTTCATCAAAGTGATCTTCACACCCGTACCGGCCACCAATTTCCGGCCCTCGTTGACAATCTGACTTGCCAGCTCCTTGGTCGGAGCCACAACGATTGACAAGATACCATGCTCATTAGACAGCGAGGAGTGGTGGTGTCGAACAATCTTGTTGATCACAGGGATCAAGAATGAAAGCGTCTTTCCACTTCCAGTTGGCGCAACGACCAGCAAATCCGGCTCTTCACCAGACTTTGATGAAATAGAAGAATCACCCAGAAGAAGAGGCAACGTTCCCAATTGCACTTCCGTAGGCACCGTAAAGCCCTGCTCCGCAACATTCTCCGCCAACCGACTCGAGATCTTGTATCTCGTGCGCAACTCCTTGAACGAAGTCAAAGGCTGGGGATACACGCGACGTGCACGCTTCTGCTCCTTTTTGCTGAGAACGGGCGTCTCATCTTTCTTTTGCTTCTTCTTTTTCTTCTTGGATTCCGTGGTAGCCACCGGCTGGGCCTGGGGTTGAATCTCGTCCAAGTCCCGTAGATCAGTCACCTTGATCTTATGCGAATTTAGGATCGTGCGGCGCTCGACTTCATCCATTTCATCCTCTTCATCGGATTCATCATCTTGGTCAGACTTTTGATCCTCATCGTCCTTGGCGGTAGCAGAAGACTCCGCCTTAGCAGCGGAGGGGCGCTTAGAGGACTGGAAAAAGTCTAGCTCAGCTGCATCATTGTCGCCCTCTTCTTCGTCGGCGGCAGCGGCTCTCTTTCTCTTCTTCTTGTTCTTCGCCGACTCGAGCTTCTCGCCTGCGGTGGTTCGGAAGAGCTGTGGATTCGCCGCCTTGCCTGTCGAGGGCAGACGAGCAGTCGACTCTGCAGCCGACGCAGCGCTCGACTTGAATTTTGTTGACCTGGTCAACAATCTGAAAGCATCCATGTTGGATGGTGTAATATTTCGTGGCAAAGCAGGCTGAAACTGGACTTTTGAACTTTTGAGCTTTGGACTTTGATATTTTGGCAGAAAAAAAAGTGACCCGCACTGTCCGCCCGGACCAATCAGCGTTGTCCGGTGGCTTCATTTGATCACCACGCCAAAGGGCCGCAGAGCCAGAAATATATAAAGTACACTAAATGATAGAGGTCTAGACTTGATGATCAAGTTCCAATAAATACAAAGAGAAGAAGATGTTCAAGAATTTCAGTGGCGGTATTAAAATTGAGGAGGTACTATTGCACGACTTATATAGCTAGACACCTACTCCCACGACAACGAATTTTGTCACAAGACCCGGAGAACCAGGCTCAAATGAATTGCAAAGAAAAATGATTCTATCTCAGACAACAGTTTATATTCCATCGTCTATCATACAGAGCACAACACGGGGCTGAAATAATGGTAGAGGGCACATAGGAAAAACGGGGGATGATGTTTAAAGAAAAAGAAAGGACGAGCATTTTCCAAGTTTAGTGGTGAGCAGCCTCGCCCCGGTAGCCAACGATGTTCATGCGGCCGATCATCTCGCCGACAGTGAAGAATCCAATGACCTCGGCGACGGTAACACTGGCGAGAGCAATCTCCTTGGCGTTGGCGTTGCGAACGCGGGTCAGGAAGCCCTGGGGGGAGGGCATGCTGAGGTTCTTGATGGCGGCAGGGTTGCGGAAGACGTTGATCAGGGGCTGGAAGTAGGACTGGAAGGTGGCCAGGGTGCTGGATAAAAAAAAAGGATGTTAGGTCCGGGACTCGAGTCGAGAGCTGTGGGATCGTGCGGTGTGACTTACGGAGGAGACATGTTCTGGCCACGGAACACCAGCTTGCCGAGCTCGAGGCCGACACGAGAGTAGTAGATGGTCGGGGGGATCATGGCTATTGCGAATATCAAAGTCAGTCATGAACCGGGTATCAAATTGGAGGCTGGATTTGTCAACAAGGAGGTCCCGGAGAACGCCCTCAATCGTAGCGATTGAACATCCGATTCCTCCTATATTGACCATCCACAACCCATCCATCCAATTCTGGGAATTGCTTGATCCCAAGCAGTCGGGGTAGTCTCTTACAGTCGACGAACGAAACAACCTTGCCGACGGGACCGCCGACCTTCCGCAGGGCCGAAGCGGCATTGGAGAGAGCCGGGCCAGCAGCAGCAGTGGCCTTGGACAGGCCCTCCTGAGCCTTGGAAGCAGCGTTAGAAGCAGACTGGCCAGCCTTGGAGGCAGCCTCGGAGGTGGAAGAGGCGTGTCTGACAACGGTGCGGCGAGTCAGGAACTGCGACTGCCGCAGGATGGCACGGGTGGCAGCGGGCATCTTGAGAAGTGCGAGGAGGAAGAAGAAGAAAGAGTGGGTATGAAGAGAGACCAAGCACAGATCACCCGGGACAATCGCTGGTGGGAAGGGACGGGGGGTATAAGTCCAATGGCGGATTTCGTCTTGCGCAACGACGGGACCAGAATCTGCGGATTTGGAGATTCGGGAAGTTCAGGGAATGATGGTCACGTGAGGGGGTCTTCCGGCGTGCCTGGATTGTGAGTAAACAATTGCCATTGAACGGAGAGAATTGTGGATTTCAAGATCATCTGGGGATATTTGATGAAAACCTGAATTGATCGGATTATCTAGGTTGTTAGGGGAAGAAAGGATGGTCAAAGTGCTTCTACTCAATTGTCTCTCTGGGTGTACCTGCATCTGGCCTACAATGGACTAGCCGGGACCATAGATGCCTAGCCCTTTGTCAAGTGATTTAGGTAAAATAGAGTCTTGGTCAGTGAATGGAACTCAATCAGATAGAGGTGATATGCCTTAGCTTGACTACAATTTGGATTAGACATACTGAGGTACTAGGGCTGTTTATTGGCGATGTCCGTAGAAATATATATATCGGGTAACAGTGACGGATACCCTATAGGTATTACTGTCCTTGAAAGAGGCACATCAAGAAGAGGATTTATTGAGCGCTTAAAACTGCCAATTCTGCAGTCGACAACCAAAAAATTTCACAGAGTCAGATAGAATAAACTCTATTCACAATTGATGATAATTCTCGAGTCAGTTCTGGGCCAACAGAACCAAACTATGGATCTCGGCGGTGGAAGCGGTTGTTCGGGTAAATTCCCGATGGCCACATGACTTGATCCGGTCCAGTCAAGACAGGGCTAGTTCCTTCCGAGCAGACAATGTTGATGCACTAGTGAAACCATTGAAGAATGCATATTATCTAAGTAGTCTAGTCTAACTAACTTAACTAGATACAATTGTGCTTATGCATATCGGGGGTCTCCATAATGATGGATCTCGGTAGACATGTTCCTCGGATAGATTCCGGTATGGCAGATGGCATGCTACCGGGCACAAGGTTAACGATATCTTGTTCATTATGATCAAGCTACACTTGAAGTGACTCCACTGCCAATGACAATAACCTCATATTTCCTATCGCTGTTGGTCTGACACCGGCTTCCTCAGGCTGCGATACTACCGGTGGGGTTTTCACCCAGGGACGGCAAGGAGAGAATCTGGTTCGTGGAATGAAGTTGCATGTGGTCGATGGAACACAAAGCCAGGATCAAGGATGTATGAGAGCTACTGTATCTACTTAGATATCATTCTATGCGGAGCCGTTGTCAGATTGACCCCAATCGCTGTATACTCCGAGTCATCTCCGGCAAGAAGCAACAGTGCATGTAGAGAGCTCTAGGTTTGCACTGTTTGCAAAATTTGTCCTGTTTACATGCTTACGGCGGGAAAACGGGCCAGCGAGGCCGCCCGACCCATCCAAAAACTCCATCAACCAGAACGAGTTTCCACCGGAGAATTGCCACTTCGGTCATGGAAGGCTTCTGGAAGGCTATGCAGTGCTCTGGGAAGCCGCTACGTTGCACTGACATAGCATGTCCGAATGACCGTCATCAATTCATCCGGAAAAGCAATATGGCTTTTACAATTGTGCTTCATACCCCATGGTTGCTGCAGGAATTACAGAATAGTGATAAAATATCATAGACTTCAGGGCTTGAAACTGAATTTACCCGATAGCCGACTGTCGGACTCGGCCCGGGTACGGATTACATCGGTGAACCAGACACTGTGTGTGGACTTGTGCAGTTGTTAATTGTGTGGACTTGTTAACGGGTCCAGATCCCCGTCAGTCGCCGCCAGGCAGGTTAACCCCGCGCGGTTAAATCAGTTGCCCCTCCACTCCACTTTTCTATCCAGTCCCAAGACTAACGGAATCGGAGCTTTTTGGCTGGGTGTTGGTGACAAGGGGCAACTTCCTGTAGGACGAACTCCGCGTCGCTCTCCACGTCTGGTCTGATTCATGGACCGCGATGGGTAAGAGGGTAAAAAAAAGAATAAATGCCGGCTCCCCCGTCTGATCACCCGCTTGGCTGCCCGAATGATTTAAATACTTGCGCTCGCGCCTCGTAGACACAAAAAGAGAAGACTGTTGATCTCTTCCTTTGCTTCACCTCCATTCCCTTTCTACTCCCCCCCCCCCCCCGCGTTCACAGTTCTCCGTTCATAGCCCACCATGTCAACCGCTACAACCGTCTCCAAGACCAACATTGGTGTTTACACCAACCCCAAGCATGACCTGTGGATTGCCGAGGCCGAGCCTAAAGTAGAGGATGTCGCGAGTGGAAAGACCCTCAAGCCTGGTGAGGTGACCATTGAGGTGCGCAGTACTGGAATTTGCGGGTAAGAGACCCTCCCTTGTAACATGTCCAGGGCTAGCGCAGTTCTTGAAAAAAGCAATGAACCTGTTTCGCCGTCATTCTATAGATTGCAAGAACAAACGCACTAACTCACCTCCCCGTACTCTTATAGATCTGACGTACACTTCTGGCATGCGGGCTGTATCGGCCCTATGATCGTCACTGACGACCACATCCTCGGCCACGAATCTGCCGGTCAGATCATCGCGGTCGCTCCCGACGTCACCTCTCTCAAGCCCGGCGACCGTGTCGCAATCGAGCCCAACGTCATCTGTAACGCCTGCGAGCCCTGCCTGACTGGCCGGTACAACGGCTGTGAGAAGGTCGCCTTCCTGTCCACCCCTCCCGTGGACGGCCTGTTGCGCCGCTATGTCAACCACCCCGCCATCTGGTGCCACAAGATCGGCGATATGAGCTATGAGGACGGAGCCCTCCTGGAGCCACTGAGTGTGACTCTGGCAGCCGTCGAGCGCAGCGGGCTGCGCCTGGGCGACCCCACACTTATCACCGGTGCCGGTCCCATCGGTCTGATTTCATTACTGAGCGCTCGCGCCGCTGGTGCTTGCCCTATTGTCATCACCGATATTGACGAGGGCCGTCTGGCCTTTGCCAAGTCGTTGGTCCCCGAGGTGCGCACTTACAAGGTACAGATTGGCCTGTCGGCCGAGGAGTCCGCGGAGGGAATTATTAATGCCCTGAACGACGGCAAGGGTTCTGGACCGGATGCTCTGCGTCCTAAGCTGTGCTTGGAATGCACTGGTGTTGAGAGCAGTGTCAACTCGGCGATCTGGAGTATGAAGTTTGGCGGCAAGGTGTTTGTGATTGGTGTTGGCAAGAATGAGATGACGATCCCGTTCATGCGTCTGAGTACTCAGGAGATCGACTTGCAGTACCAGTACCGCTACTGCAACACCTGGCCGCGCGCCATCCGTCTGGTGCAGAACGGGGTGATCGACCTGCACAGGCTGGTCACTCACCGCTTCGCCTTGGAGGATGCCCTCAAGGCCTTTGAGACTGCCGCTAACCCCAAGACTGGCGCGATCAAGGTGCAGATTATGAGCTCGGAGGAGGATGTTAAGGCGGCCACTGCTGGTGAGAAGATCTGAAGAGGCGGTGGATGACGAAGTGAGGGAGTATGATTGCCGCTTTTCTTGACTTGAGGGAACCTGGTCAGAGCGGGGCCAGATGATGATTTTCTTCTTAATCACGACACGAATGATGTCTAGAGATGCCCACTGGGTTACTATAGAGAGACCCTGAAATGAATTTCCTTTTTTTTTGTGCAAATCTCTGGCGACCTGTAGATGTTTGAATAGAAAAATTCTAGGCATTGAGTGTAAAGGTTAGCTGTCTTTAAAGGGGAACCTTGGGGACCGGCTTATCGATGCCCGAAGACATTCCGCCGCCCGAAGTATAACCAAAGTCAAAAGTATACACCAGGACGCCTTGAAAAACAAATCCCAGTAAGATAACAGCTGGCTGTTGCTGTCAATGCTTTCAATAGGTCGAGAATTGGGATGTGATATTGAATTTGCTGCAGATCACCGAGAGACTGACCAATACATTCCCTGTTCTTAGCGGCTAGCCGTTATGAAAATCAACCTTTCTCGAAATACCACCGTACCATTTCGAAATAGAGAGAACAATGTTGGAGAGTACATTAGTACCATATCATGTCGAAAACATAGCTATGAGTATTTCAAAACGTCATGCTTGTTCTATGAGACTGGCATCCCATCATTTAACAGACTTCCCCTCTTCTCGGCAACTGCCGACCAACAGGGGTCTGTGATTAGATCTCGGCTTTGAATTTACGCCTCAATTCTCGGCTCTTAACAAGCCAACCGTGCCAAAAAGCCACTAACTTCCATCAAAACACACGGATGCAACCCAAATGGTCCCTGCAGATCAGCCAAGCCACCCTCTCCGATAATTGCCCGCGCCTCGGCCCCGTCTATAGATGAATGATGTAGCAAACAACAAAGCTCAGATCGCGTCAAAACATGGCAATAGCTGCACCTGCTGGGATGCACGCCTGACTTGGCAAGTCTTGGTATGACAAAATTTAGCAGCTTCTCGCCTCCTCACTTTACTTCTCGCGCATTCATCGGATATTGGATGTTGGACCTCTCCACTCCCCTCTCCACCTTTCTTCTTTCTTCCCCTCATCTTGTTCCTTGTGCATCTCCTCATTTCCATCTCAACCGGCACGCCTGTACCTTCGAATCATCACTGGTCTGCCTTAAAAGCCGCGCTCTTCTCCCCTTTGTTGTGCATTCAACTGCTCGTTCAGCTGAATTTCCAACATGCGGGGATCTCTGCTCCTCCTTTTGGCGCCCCTCGTGGGAGCTGCCCTTCTGGAGACTCGTGGTAGTCCCGATGACTGTCCCGGCTACAAGGTTGTGAACGTCCGCGAGAAGGATCACTCTTTCGAAGCTGACCTTACTATCGCTGGCGACCACTGCGATGTCTACGGTACTGATTTGGAGAACCTGAAGCTGTTTGTCGAATACCAGACTGGTTCGTATCACCATGTTTCAGACCAAGTATAAACAAGCTCATATGCTTATATTGAAATCATGCAGATGATCGCCTTCACGTTCTCATCTCCGACCTCGAGGAAGATGTTTATCAGGTTCCCACTTCTGTCTTGCGCCGTCCCGATGCCAACGGTGATCACCATGACAACAAGCCCAACATCCGCTTTGACTACGAGGAGGAGCCTTTCTCCTTCCGTGTCCTGCGTGGTGATCAGGTGCTTTTCGATACCACTGACACCCCCTGATCTTTGAGAACCAGTACCTCAGACTGCGGACCTGGCTGCCTGCTGACCCGTATCTGTACGGTCTGGGCGAGCACACTGATTCTCTGCGTCTGCCGAATAAGAACTACACCCGTACCCTCTGGAGTCGTGATGCCTACGGTATTCCAGAGAACACCAACTTGTATGGTAACCACCCCATCTACGTGGACCACCGTGGTGACGATGGTACCCACGGAGTGTTCTTCCTGAACTCCAACGGCATGGATATCAAGATCGATCAGGCCGACGATGGACGCCAGTATCTGGAGTACAATACCATTGGTGGTGTTTTGGATTTCTATTTCCTCGCTGGTCCGACGCCCAAGGAAGTGGCCAAGCAGTACTCAGAAGTTGTGGGACTGCCCGCGATGCAGGCCTACTGGACCTTTGGTGTATGTTCAAAAAAGCCTTGGGAGTTTAAAACCGGACTAACGCTAGACTTTTCTTCAGTACCACAACTGCCGCTATGGATATCAGGATGTCTATGATGTCGCCGAGGTTGTCTACAACTACAGCCGTGCTCACATTCCTCTGGAGACCATGTGGACTGATATCGACTACATGGATCGCCGCCGGGTGTTCACTCTCGATCCCGAGCGCTTCCCACTGGAGAAGATGCGCGAGCTCGTGGATCACCTGCACAAGCATGACCAGCACTACATTGTGATGGTGGATCCTGCCGTTAGCGATAGTGGTAAGTACATTTCCCCCACTTGTTTCAACCCCTTTGACGATGCTGACTCCGGTACATTATAGACAACGGTGCCGCCAACCGAGGCAAAGAGCAAGGCATCTTCCTCACCCGCGGCGAGGAACTCTACCAAGGTAAATATAGCCATTCATATTCTTACCATGTCTCAATCTAACCCTACAATCTAGGTGCCGTCTGGCCCGGTGTCACCGTCTACCCCGACTGGTTCAACCCCGGCACACAAGAATGGTGGGACAACGAATTTGCCCGGTTCTTCGACCCTGCCAAGGGTGTTGACATTGACGGTCTATGGATCGACATGAACGAGGCTGCCAACTTCTGCCCCTGGCCTTGCAAGGACCCCGCGGCCTATGCGGAGGAGAACGACTTGCCCCCAGCTGCTCCAGCTGTCCGCGACTCCTCGCCTCGTCCCCTGCCCGGTTTCCCGTCTGACTTCCAGCCCAAGAAGTCTCCCACTGTCAAGCGGTCTGCCTCGGGGAAGACTCGTCGTGCAAAGGGTACCAAGGCGGGTCTGCCTGATCGGAATCTTCTTTCGCCCCCGTATCAGATTGCCAATGCGGCTGGGTCGTTGAGTAACAAGACTATTGATACGGATCTTGTTCACGAGGGTGGTGATTCTTTTGTGGAGTATGATACTCACAATCTCTATGGTACAAGTAAGTTATTACAGCAGTGGAGAGAGGTGTACTTTCTATATCCTTATCCAGATACACATACTAACCCGTTCTCAGTGATGAGTTCTGCATCTCGCCAGGCTATGGTTCTGCGTCGTCCTGACGTCCGTCCTCTGGTGATCACTCGCAGCACTTTTGCTGGTGCCGGTGCTCACGTTGGTCACTGGTAAGTGCACCCATAATGGCCTTCTCAGCCTGATATATGGTTCTAACCTTTATCCCCAGGCTCGGCGACAACCTCAGCCAGTGGGACAAGTACCGTGTCTCAATCTCACAGATGCTGGCATTTGCCTCCATCTTCCAGATCCCAATGGTCGGATCAGACGTCTGTGGATTCGGTGGTAATACGACAGAGGAGTTGTGCGCTCGCTGGGCGACTCTTGGCGCCTTTAACCCCTTCTACCGTAACCACAACGAACTCGGCGCAATCCCCCAGGAATTCTACCGCTGGCCCACCGTCGCCAACGCCGCGCGCAAGGCCATCGAGACCCGGTACCGCCTGCTCGATTATCTGTACACGGCCTTCCACCGTCAAACACAAACCGGCGAGCCCTTCCTGCAGCCACTGTTCTACGTCTACCCCTCAGACGCAAACACCTTCGCCAACGAGGCCCAGTTCTTCTACGGTGACTCCATCCTAGTCTCCCCGTCCAAGACGTCGGCCAAACCTCGGTGGACGCCTACTTCCCCAACGACGTCTTCTACGACTGGAACTCCGGCGCCGTGATCCACGGCCAAGGGGCCACCGTACACCTGGATAACATCGACGTAACCGAGATCCCGATTCACATCCGCGGCGGTAGCGTGATCCCCCTGCGCTCTAAGAGCGCAATGACCACTGCCGAGCTGCGTCGTCGTGGATTCGAGATTCTGGTTGCACCGAATCAGAGCGGTTACGCCTCGGGCTCGTTGTACCTTGATGATGGCGAGTCCTTGGACACGGCTAGCAGTCTGATTGAGTTTGAGTATAACCGTGGCCATCTTACGATCCGGGGTCAGTTCGGATACCGGGCTAATGTGGTTATTGAGTCTGTGACTGTGCTGCGACAGAGTCGGCCGTGGAAAGCGAAGCGTGGTGTGGAATTCGATGCGGCGAAGCATAGTATTACCAAGAAGGTGGATATTGACTTGAGCGGGCCTGCTGAGATTGACATTTAGGGGGACTGAATGTCGATGGAGAATTTTCTGAAAATTTTGTTTAATTTTTTTCTTCGTTAGCTCGTGATCCTTTCTGCTCTTGTCTTCGGGAATCATTCTTTGGGGGGAAATGTTGGTCGGCTGTTCGTGATGATTTTTGCCGCCGTCTAAGACAACGTCTTAGGGCTCCGGTCGGCGTGATCTCCCTACGGCGAGTCCGACCCGCCACATGTCTCTGGCTCTTCTAAAAATGGAAACTCGAAGGGAAAAAAAGAAGAGAGCAAGATGGGAAGGATCAAAATGTATCACAATCACTAATTTCGATAATTGAATTTCTCCCCTTAGAAGTTACAGTAGGACCCTTATTCCCTTCAGTAGGGGGAGTCGGGAACCTAACTAACCAATAATTGCTTCCTGGCGTACCTTGAATATGATACGATACATACAGTAGGACCTTGGGTACTCCCCTCCATAATAATACTTGCAAGGAGAAGAGGATGAATAGAGTTACCGCCAGGGCTTTTCCCCAGTTCCCCAGGAACGAAAGCTAAACGGTCCGAATAAGATCACAGGGGGGAAACTGACATTAATCCCAAACTGCCAAGAGGTAGTATATGTTAGAGAAGTCTGGTATATTTACCCAACGAATCAACGAACAAGATCAATCATATGACGTGAAAAAGAAAAGCAGACATGTCCACACGCACATGGTTGTCCTACATCCGGAGCGGAGCGAAGAACAAAGAATTTTACGGGGAACCACCGCTATGCCATGATCTATCCACTGTGACTCCATGCCGAAGAGGACCGAGGACCAAGCAATTGTTCCTGCGTTGGACCCAACCCAAAAAGAATTGATCCCCATGAGTGATGGTAGAAGGGGGTGATTGGACCGTTTGTTTTTCCCCGGAAGGGGAAAAGAAGAAGTGGAAAAAGGAAATCTATTAATATACGGGATATACGGAGTATTCCGTATAGAATACTAATGTGTTTAGTTTTTTCCCGTGCAGGTGATTCAGAATATCCTTCCTTTCACCGATCCCGTGGTTCAAGTAAGGGGGGCGCAGGGCAGAAAGAGTCAGAGAGAAAGACGAGGGAGTCCGAGGGGCGGGGGGCGGAGGAGGAGGGAGGGTGCAATGGACGGTCGCATTTGGATGGGACGCTAACTAACAGTTTTAGCTAACGGAGTGTTAGATGTTTTATGTTGGAAGTGGTGGGATAAATTGTTAATATATACAGTCGCTACAGTATGGTTAAATATCTACAGGAAGTGTGGTTGGTATAAAATTGATTAGTTATGTTAAGAGAATATCATCGTCATTAGTACATGAGGTGATTGTATAAACTACATGAGGCGTACGTACTTCATCAGCAATTCAGCATCGGATGGTGGGCACAGAGAAGGGCACGGGCCGCTCGTTCACCGTCAGTATGCACTTGGTACTGATGGATGGGGCTGAAGGTAAGTAGAAGCGAGGCGAGAACGAGAGAACCAAAGAAATCAGAGAAGAAAAGTTTCGAATTCCCTGGAATCAGGATGGACAGGATGGAGAAGATGGACCCTGGCGATGTCATGATTAACTCAGAAATTGAAGATCAATCTTGACTGTACTGAAGGCTACCAAGGAGTCTAAGCAGAGAGAATCATGACATTCGTGATATTCATGGATATCACAAGAGTGTCAAGTTGAAAAGTCCGAGGTGTATTGTATTGTCAAGCTCGCCCCAGTTTTCCATCCCGGGGGTCCTTTTTTGTCTCAGATCGGGTAATAATAAATAATCAGAGCTTCGTATTGGGGTCGCTTACTAGTAGGATCTGTTAGTTTCTTTAGTATCGTTAGTATTTTTAGTGTATTTTAGGATTTTCTTTGACTTGGGGGTTTTAGGCCTGCTACAGTAGTAGTAAGATGTGGGAGGCCTGGTGACTGACAACTGCACGATGGACTGATGGTCTGACGTGCATATTATTCATATACGGGAGATGTGTATGATCTGGATATTATGGAGTGTACTGTAAGTAACTGCCATGCGTTAGCCAAGGGGCGGCAGGATGCGAAAGGATTAAAAAGCTGGGGCTGGGGCTTGGGCCATCCTTTCCATAATATCAGTCTATGTATATTGTATACGGAGTCTTTTTACTTTGACTTTGACGGAGGAGATGCTGTAACATGATCGTCCGGGATGATCGGCCGATCGGAGCGAGGAGAGAGACTCGAGAAACTCGACAGTACAGTAGTAGCAATTAATAGCGAGGGGAAGCTGAGGATGAAACAATCAAGGGCGAACGAGGGTGATGTATCTCCTCCCGTGTTCTGACTCTATTACTTTCTATCTCGAGTATAACTAATTCTGTCGTGTCTCTGGGGTGTGTCGGTGTCTCAGCCTGTCCGTGACTCCGCCAGTGAGGGTTTCCACAGCAGCTCATGCGGAGGCTCCACTACGATCCCCTCTCTATAGAAGATCCAATCAGCATTGTCCAGTGTTGTGTCCCTAGAGGGAGACTAAGGGGATGCTAACCGCCTAAAGGGATCCTAGTCTTACTAGCCGATTTCCGGGGCCAATCCACTCGCAGTCTCGCACGGCTCCTCCGTGTTGCTCCTCATTGTCAGCCTCCTCTATTTTTTCTTTTTGGGTTTGGTGCCTGGTGGCCGGTTGACTAGCGTGAGTCAAGGATAGATTTTTGTCTCGTAGTAGTGCGATACTACCGGAGACTTCGTGACTACTCTGTAGACTCCCTAGTGCAGTACCAATAATAGGTGCAAGAGGCAACGGGGCGTGGCGGGGTGGGAGAAGTACAAAAGAGAGCCCATCGCCCGTCGTAACCATGGACCTGCTATCAACTCGCTCTGACTTATCTCGCGCATCTATTGATTTTCGCTGAAAGACTCCACTTAAAGGGACCACTTTTAGGAACCACTTGGACCACTTCAGCTCCACTCGCTACTGCCTGCCGTGATCGCCTTGCTGCGTTGCTTATAACTTTCGCTCTTCCCCTCGTCCTCACGGTCGTTTCCAGCCTCATTCTTCCATCACATCTTCTCCCCTCTTAACCTCTTGACCTTGACACATATTCATACCCCTTCTCACTATGCCGTCTCTCTTCAAGTACGCCGCCGTGGCGCTGGCTGCGGCTGCTCCTTTCGCCTCGGCTCAGACATACACCGACTGCAACCCGCTGCAGAAGACTTGCCCTGCTGATGCCGGTACCACCGAGTCCAAGCTGAACTTTGACTTTACTCAGAGCTCTGGTCTGAACAAGTGGAAGACCGTTGCTGGCTCTGTCAGCACTGGCTCCAACGGTGCTGTCTTCACCGTTGCCAAGAAGGGTGATGCCCCCACCATCGAGACCGACTTCTACATCTTTTACGGTGAGATCTCGGTCACCATGCAGGCTGCTCCCGGCACTGGTATTGTCAGCTCCATTGTCTTTGAGTCTGATGACCTGGATGAGATTGACTGGGAGGCTCTCGGCGGCAACACTGCCCAGATCGAGACCAACTACTTCGGCAAGGGTGATACTACTACCTATAACCGCGACACTTGGCCTGCCGTCGCCAACCCCCAGTCTACCTTCCACACCTACACGGTGAACTGGCAGAAGGACAAGACCGTCTGGTCCATTGACGGTACCCCCGTCCGTACCCTGAACTACGCCGATGCTCAGGGCGGCGCTCGCTACCCCCAGACCCCCATGCGTGTGCGCATCGGTATCTGGGCTGGTGGTGACCCCTCCAACGGCCAGGGTACCATTGACTGGGCTGGTGGCAAGACCGATTACTCCCAGGCTCCCTTCTCCATGTACGTCAAGTCGGTGTCGATCACCAACGCCAACCCGGCCGACTCGTACACCTACAGCGACACCTCGGGCTCCTCCGACAGCATCAAGCTCAGTGGTGCCGGTTCCCTCAGCCAGACTTCCAGCTCGTCCAGCTCTTCCAGCTCTACCAGCTCTACCAGCTCTACCAGCTCTACCAGCTCGACTAGCTCGACTAGCTCCTCCACCAGCTCCCAGTCTACTGAGAGCTCCACCACTGCTCACACCACTCTGGCCACCACCACCCACACTTCCACGGCCAAGACTACCACTGCTGGCTCCACCACTGCCTCATCTACGGGTGCCACCACCTCCGGCTCTGCCTCGGGTTCTGGCTCTTCCACCACCCCCTCGGGCTCTTCCACTCAGTCTGGTTCTTCCTCGAGCACCGGCTCCGGCTCGGGTACCACCTCGGGCTCGGGCTCGGGCTCTGCTTCTGGCACTGCTCCCAAGGCTAGCGCTACTTTCAACGCTGCCGCCAACGTGGTTGCCAACTACCTCGCCCCCATCTCCCTCCTGGGCCTGGTAACTGCATTCTTCCAGCTGTAAAAAACCCATGAACCTATGTCCATTACGCTCGCCTACATTTTTTGACGTTTACTCGACCTTTTACGCACAAATCACCTAATAACGTTTACTTGAAGCATACTGGGCTGGAACCGGGTCCTTGCACATGAGGGATGCATGTTTTGTTTTTACTACCTTTCTTTTGCGATCGGTTACTATTTCCCCTTTGGCGTGTGATGTATCTTCCTCCTTTTCCCCCCTGTCCAGTTGGGATCTATAACGTGCTTTCCGCGCCTGTTTCACGGCTCTTGTTGAGCTGTTTTTGGGAATTCGGGGAGCTTTGATTTTTTGGATCTACTGGTGTTCTCTTGTCTCATCTCTCACCACGCCCGACATGTATCTATTGATCTTGCACGATCATCACTCATACTATTATCACTAGATTAATCTGTTTCCCACTGGGACTGATCATACTGTTATTTTCACCATGCGTATTCAAATTCAATGCACAGTGCAATATAGTACTGCATACCTATTAGTGATCTGGTTTAGAATACTTGTCCTGAGAATCCCGACGCAAGGCTGAACCATCCCCGCAGCAAATACATGTGCTTTTTACTTCTTTTGACATCGCGCAGACGCTAACGGTACTTCTATGCATGGTGTATCTGCATCTACTGTACATCGTATCTGCTTACGGAGTACATACATAATCATACATGCAGCCCCTCGATGCTGTACGACGCAAAAGCAAAAAAGTCCCGTGTAACGCTCGGCTGTTGCTGCCGATTTCAAATCCTTGTCTTTGTAGGCCCCGTTTACATACTGCAGTTTAGTGGTGAATGTCGTTGCCTAAGGTGGTTCGACTCTTTGTCTGTTCGACCGTGGATCCATCCCGACTCAACATCATAGTGGGGAACTCCAGCTATAACTTCGGTACATAGGCAGTTATCTACCGAGTAAGTGCTGTAGTAACTGTCATACATTTTCGGCCGAAGCCATTTTCCGTTCGTTTCTTTTTTTTTCTGATCGTGTGAGTTTGTAGGCTCCATAGCTTGGTTTTGTATTATTTAATGATTTGTGATGCCATTGGTGTGTCCACGTTCTTGTTCGGTGTTTAACCATGGGCGGTTGATGAAAGGATTCGGTTCGTCCGAAGTTTGGGTCGGATGTTGAGAACAGGGCAGAGCATGGCGAGCATGGAGTACATGTTTCTATTCATAGATATATGACGATAACGACTTGGAAGGATAGATGGACGTGCGGATTTACATTGAGTCAATGCAATTCAATTGAAGAAGAAAGAAGTTGTGTAGTTATCGTATTTCATAGCTATCGTCATAATTCATACCCTCGTATAAGTTCAGCCCCAAACACCACACTACTGAACGCCTCCAAACGAAACAAAGAACCAAAATACCCCGAAAGGCTGAAAGAAACCCCTGAAATCCCCCAAAGATTCCAAAAGTATCTTTTCTTCCTCCCTCCCAAACCTTCTCGCCCGAATTCAAATTCAAATTCAAATCAAATCGAGATCCCAGCGACTAACTGCTCTGACCCCGTATCGGTATCGGGTATCCACGCACTAACAGCATCTATCGACCAGTCGCAAAACTTTCGCGTGGAAGTGAAAGAAGAAACCCCCTCACCAAGTGGGCCCCGACCGAGCTCGCTGCTCATCCCGCAACGCCCTCGCCAGCCGAGCGACTTCATCGGCTACGACACGATGCTGTGTCCCTGCAAGCCTCAGTAATGCAAGGGTGCTCGTGGGTCGCTGCGGTGCGTCTGCACTGGACGAAGCTGCAGATGATGGGTCTGTTGATCCATCGTGCGAGTTTGCTTTCGAGGCCGAGTCCGAGCTCGAGCTCGAGCTTGACCCGAATAGCCGCGCACTGAATCCGGCATAGCTTGATAAAGAGTGCAGCAAGCCCTCACCGCGTTGACCCCCTGCATCTACATGGTGGCCCTCACCGTTCATCATCGACGCCCGACGCGATTCACGGGATACTATCCCATCAATAGCCTCGAGATGATCATCTAACGTGGCGAACCGTCCGCCCAGCGACTCAGCTTTATTCCGCAACTGCGCCCTCAATCGATCGAGATACTCCGCCCGTCGACGCAATTGTGCCGCGAGTCTGGTATCCCGCGCGATCGAGGTCGCGCCCCCGGACTCCAATGCCAGTGGGGATGCGAGGAGACTGTCTATGGCGGAACGCAGGTCTGCGCGCAGCGAGTCGAATTCCCAAGCCGCGGCGCGCAGGGCGGCGTCGCTGCCTTGGAATTCGAGGGCGAGGGCGTTGCGGGCGTCGGGTAGGCTGGTTTGTAGGTTTGTTTGGAGGGTGGAGAGAGTGGATTCGCTGTCTTTGAGAGTTTGGGCGAGTGGAGTGAGGGTAGATATGGTGCTGGTGAAGATGGCTTCGAGGGTGTTTTGTGCGGCGATGATGGTTTCTTCCGGGGAGATGGGTGCGCGGAAGGGGTTGGAGGGGAGGGCTCGTGGGTGGAGCGGGACGCAGCTGGCTGGGTATGTGGATTGTATTGTTGGGAAGGCGCAGAGATGTTGCGCCTGGTAGACGAGTTCGGGGAGGATGAGGAGGTGCATGATCAAGGCGATGAGGATCGTGTTGATGGCGGTGCGGAGAATCGTGCACTGCTCTTGGTAGAGAGAGGAGAGCTTTGCGATCACGCTTGGTTTCTTGGTTCTATGCTCTGAAGCGGACGAACCTGCGTCTGATGCTCCAGGTTTGATGCTGGACTGGCTTGTCTGCTTTCCACTCGGTATGACCTTGCGGCGCTTCCTCATCTGCGGGGCGTTTTTGTCTGCGGATCGCATATTCGGCACAACCCATGATGCCTCTGAGATGGGTACCTCGTAGATGGACGGCATGACGAGCTCCGGGCCAGACATACTCATACTCCATGATGAGGTGGATGAGGTCAGTGACTCTGATAGCTTGCTTTGGCTCTGGCTTTGGTCTGGAATCGGCTTCGGCTTCGGGCTTGTAGTTTTGTTTACCGGCTTGGCGGTATCAACTGGCTTTTCTCTCCTGGGCGCCGGCGTCGGACTTGCGAGATCGTTGCTAGCTGCAGGGCTGGAATCATTATTCTTGATCGAGATCGTGGAAGCGACAACCCATGACTCCCCTAGCGCCGAGCGATCTGGAGTGCGTGGGGGTTCTGTTGACATGGCACCGCACACATATCGCGATGGACAGCAGTGCAGTTCGGGTGGATAGATGATCGGGGGAAGATAGTGGTTAGGAAGTAGAGCAAAATTTACTTGTGAAGCTCGTAGTATAGTTTCCTGTCGAATGCGACACAGGTAGTGATCATATAACGTCCGAAGGGATGTTGGAGAGAAGCGCGCAACGGTTTCACGCGCAAAGCGGTGGGGCAATTCAAGAATCGTCCGGCGGTCCACCTTGGTATGTTGATAAACAGAGCACTCACTATGGTAAGATAGGTATATTAATGGGTTCTAGAAAACTTGATTTGACCTTTTAGTTCCTTGTCTGGTACCATGGATGAGGCTCACTGTTTATCGATTAGTTCAACTCGATATCATTCAGCTACCCAATGTCGGCGCTAAATACTTACCCGTGAACTATGTACTGTTGCAGATTAGATGACCATGAAATGAACTGGAGACTAATTTATTAGCTACTGCAGATTAGCTGTCAGTATAATAGCCAGGATACTCATATACTTGGTTTAACGTATAAACTAATCCTAGTAGGTTACTGTGAATGTAGAGAGAATAGTCCGATAATTGCGCGATGGCCGCGAATTGTCCCCGTAGAAACCAAAAAGTTCGGATCGACAGTCAACCTGCGGAGAAAAAGAAGACTGATCGGTCACTCCGCAACACAACCATGCGCGCAGTCACTCGGCTACGGCCACGTCTCATCTCACGGCCTTCGATCAATCGACCGGAACGATGGCCATCTACAAGACTGCAATGGTTGTCGACCACCGCATCGCGCCAATGTTCGTGCGCTGACGCTGCCAACGGCCGACCTACTACCCAAGCTCAAGCTCCCCCAATTCCACCAAACGACCACCGAGCTCTGGGGACAAGTCAGGAGCTCTTCACCTCGTCGAACTATAGTCCCGGCTCGCCTCTCTTCCTACCAAATGGCACCCACGTCATCAACAAGCTCATCTCCTTCCTCCGCACGCAATACCTGCAATACGGCTTCCGCGAAGTCCTCACCCCGACCATCTACAAACGCTCCCTGTGGGAAGTCTCCGGCCACTGGCAAAACTACAAGGATGATATGTACGAGGTGACCGGCCGCGGCGCTACCGGCGAGACGGAGGGCGAACTCGGCGAGGATGAATCCTACGGCTTGAAGCCTATGAACTGCCCAGGCCACTGCCTGCTTTTCAAATCGCAGAACCACTCCTATCGCGAGCTCCCGGTGCGCTATGCGGATTTTAGTCCCTTACATCGGAACGAAATCTCCGGATCGTTGACGGGTCTCACGCGCGTGCGACGATTCCATCAGGATGATGGCCATATCTTCTGCCGCCCATCGCAGATCAAATCGGAGATTGCGTCCGCGTTGGGATTCGTGGATATGGCCATGACTACGTTTGGACTTGGGCCGTACCGATTGGTGCTGTCTACGAGGCCTGAGACGGATTATATTGGGACATTGGAGATGTGGGACAATGCAGAGCGCCAATTGCGCGAAGCCCTGGACAGCACTGAGCGTGAATGGGCATTGAATGAGGGTGACGGTGCATTCTACGGGCCAAAGATTGATATTCAGCTTCAGGACCAGGCGGGCAAGTATCACCAGTTGTCTACTATTCAGCTGGATATGAACCTGCCCCAGCGGTTTGGACTGGAATATCAGGTTGCAGAGGGCGAGGAGGACTATAATCCGGCGACGCCCGGATTTGCTACTCCCGTCCTCGTGCACCGGGCTATCTTTGGCTCCCTCGAACGATTCCTGGCCTTGCTCATCGAACATCACGGTGGCCATTGGCCGTTCTGGCTGTCGCCGCGCCAGGGAATTATCTTGACAGTCAACCAGGATGATGCCGTGGTTCGCCAGGCACAAGAAGCTGCGGCTCAGTTCTCCGGGTTCAAGGTCCTCCAAAATGACGGAACTGCTGCACCACCACGTCCTCTGTCCTCGGTTGATTCCACATTCCTGATCGATGTCGACACCAGCGCGCAGACTCTCAGCAAGAAGATCCAACGAGCCAAGCAGATGAAGTATAACATGATCTTTATCTTGGGTTCACGCGATGTTGCTGAAGGTGGCATCACCCTGGACGTCACTGGGCAGATGCAAAGCAAGACCGACCCGGAAGCTCAGCAATTCCGGTCATTGATCAAGTCCCACCTTGGTGACGACTCACTGAAGAACCCCCGCGCAGTGAAGCTCAAGTTGAACGAGGTGCATCCATTGCTGGAGCAATTTGAGAGGAATTTCCTGTGATTGTGCCATTGAGCGTCCCAGTCCCCATTTGTACCATATGCACCATATCCTCCACGAACTTCCCAATTATGTATAACAAGCCAGAGTGTTCTCCTCCCTAAACGGAATCAGCCCATGCAATTGAATCCACTATGTCCCCGTCTGACGCGGTTAGCCTCGGCAAAAGGTATTCGCCTGAGGCCGCAAGTGCTCCGAGTTCGGGGAGATGGTTACTATAGCGAGTAAGGAGTATACAATTGCATGTATGTTCGCCACAGTGTACAACCCCAAAGATGCAGATATGGGAAGGTCAAAAAGCTTGAAAAAGTAAGGAAACCAGATTGATTCGCTATATTTACATTGAAACTCAACTGCCGATCGCCACTAAACTCGCAGGGCGTCGCCGAAAGGCGTAACTCACGTGACTCCGCTGTCGGCCCCGAAAAACTCGGCGTCATCGACGATCGCGCCCTTTCGATTGAGTCACAAATTCCTTTTTCTTCATTGGCCTTAGTGCTTTTGTCTTTTAAAAGAGAACATATATCTCAATTCCTGCTTGTCAACTGTGGCCTTTCTGTTCGACCAGACCGCACCTCCCGCTAGTCGCTCTCCTCTTTTTCTCTTTTATCGCCTCTTATCACCTTTCTCACCCCACTGTATACCCCGCCAACCGCCAATATGCCGATGTACGTCCGTTACGCGAAAGCTCTGTGGCTGCAAATCCCCTAGCCATGAACACAACCGAGTAACTCAATGCTAATACTCGGTGTCTAATTACAGGCTGAAAGATCCCTCAAAAAAGTATAAGCCATACAAGCCGCTGAACCTCCCCAACCGGACTTGGCCCGACAAGCAAATCACTTCCGCACCAAGATGGCTTGCTACGGATTTGCGTGATGGAAACCAGTCTCTGCCCGATCCAATGGACGGCGAGCAAAAGTACCGCTTCTTCAAGAAACTCGTCGAACTCGGCTACAAGGAAATCGAAGTCTCCTTCCCCTCTGCATCTCAAATCGACTTCGACTTTACCCGCCGTCTTGTTGAAGAGCCCGGTCTCACTCCCGACGATGTCTGGCTGCAGGTTCTCGCTCCCTGCCGTGAGGATCTCATCCGTCGCACTGTCGACTCCCTGAAGGGCGCTAAGAAGGCCATTCTGCACATCTACCTCGCTACCAGCCCCTGTTTCCGCCAGATTGTGTTCAACATGGACAAGAAGCAAAGTCTGGAAAAGGCCGTTGCCTGCGCCAAGTACGCTCGTTCTATCACCAAGGATGACCCCGCGATGGCTGGTACGCAATGGCAGTTTGAGTTCTCCCCCGAGACTTTCTCGGATACCGAGCCTGAATTCGCTGTTGAGGTTTGCGAGGCTGTCAAGGCTGCTTGGGAGCCTACTGTTGAGAACCCTATTATTTTCAATCTGCCTGCTACTGTCGAGATGTCTACCCCCAACGTTTATGCCGATCAGATTGAGTACTTCTGCACTTCTATGACTGAGCGCGAGAAGTTCGTCGTCTCCCTGCACCCCCACAATGACCGTGGATGTGCCGTTGCTGCTGCGGAGCTCGCCCAGATGGCCGGTGCCCAGCGTGTCGAGGGTACTCTGTTCGGCAACGGTGAGCGCACGGGTAACGTCGATCTCGTCACTCTTGCTCTCAACCTGTACACGCAAGGTGTTTCACCTAACATTGACTTTTCCGATATTCCCTCTGTTATCAAGCTTGTGGAGGAGTGCAATAAGATTCCTGTCAACGAGCGCTGGCCATATGGTGGTGCTCTGGTCACGAGGTTAGTCATACCTTCCATGTCTCGGGCTACATGCATACTGACATTTCTTTCCCCTCTAGTGCTTTCAGTGGAAGTCACCAAGATGCTGTCAAGAAGGGCTTCGCCATCCGCGAGAAGGCTGGTGCTACGGATGACGATGAGTGGGTGATGCCTTACCTCCCCCTCGACCCCAAGGATATCGGACGAAACTACGAGGCCGTCATCCGTGTCAACTCCCAGAGTGGCAAGGGCGGAGCTGCCTGGATCATCCTGCGCAGTCTGGAGCTGGATCTCCCCCGCGGTCTCCAAGTCGAATTCAGCAAGGTCGTGCAAAAAGAGACCGAGCGGGTCAACCGGGAACTGCGCCCATCCGAGCTCGTCACCCTGTTCGAGGAAGCCTATCACCTCAAGTCAAACCCTCGCTTTACCCTCATCGACTACAACATTACCACCGATCGTTCCCAGTCACCTGCGCCCCCTGCTCCCGGCAAGGCCCTTAACACTCAGAACCTCAAGCGTCGCTTCACTGGTATCATTGAGATCGACAATGTCCAGCACGCTATCACCGGCACGGGTAACGGTGCTATTTCCGCCCTTGCCGCCGCCCTGTCTACTCTGAGCATTGATCTTGATGTCGTGGATTACAAGGAGCACTCTATCAGCCAGAGCAACGAGGGTGGTCTGGGTCGTGAAGTGAAGGCCGCCACATACATCCAATGTACTGCCGCCGGCAGCAAGGAGCAAGTATGGGGTGTCGGTATCCACGGCGATGTGGTACAGGCTTCCCTGATTGCCCTCCTCAGCGCCGCCAGCTCCGTAAGTCTTACCTCTTACCCAAATGACCCTCCAAGACCCCACATATGAACTTGACTAACCTTCCATCCATTCTAGTTCCTCACCTCCCGCGCTGGCTCTCCCGCCCCCTTCCGCCCTATCCGCTCCAACACCCTTACAAATGAGGACCTCCACGCTCTTGAGCAGCTGACTGGTTCTCCCGAGACGGCGACTGCTAACGGTGGTCTCAGCGCCAAGGTCAACATTGATGATCTGACCCGGCAAGCTGAGCAGCTGTGAGCTGTTGAAAAGTTTGATGCTCTTGTCATTTCGAGGAGCAGGTGTAGCAAATAATGCATAGTTCATGAGTTCAATTTGAATATTTGGAATCAATGGTGTTTTTGATGCCTGTTTGAAACTTTGTGGCTCTATAGAAAGGTATCTCGCTGGTAATACCGAGGATTGCTTGACGATACATCGTTGCTAATTGGACGACACGCCCCTTATTCTGGCTTGGCGTAGTAAATGGATTAGTTAGTCCCTTTCTCTGGACTCTAGACTAAGACTTTTGAACATCTATAAGGATATTCTACAGAATTACTGTAGAATACAGTAATACAGCTACTGCGCTGACCCCGAATGGGTGTGTATCGTGTGATTAGCAATCTTGTATCGTCGTTTTAGAAAGTCCCCTTGAGCATCCTGGTTGTCGGGGTTGTTTATGTTCTTCGTCATCTCCACTTCCATGCCAAGAAGATGGACCCTTTTTAGGCTCTTACATAAGGCTGAGACCAAACAGTGCAAACATGCGTCTATCGTAATCGGACCCGTGGCCTTAGATGCGCCTCGTCCTTTCTATTGACAGGTGGCCACAGCATCCCCTCGCGCCCGGATGGCCTGAATTTAGTGCATTATCTCCTTTCATTCCATTTAACGTTCCCCGAATCCCTCAATTATCGCCCAAGGCCTTCATTGCGCTCCGATTCCATAGCTCCCACAGCTTCCCGTTCGCCGCAAGGCCAGCGTTCCACCAGCACACGTCTTGGCAATTTGGTGGTGTAATTCGGACCCTATCTTCAATTTTTATGCCTATATAGTGCTGTCTTCATGTGTGCCGAGCTCTAAATAACCGATTCGCAGCTTGTTTAGACAATACCGGCTGACTCTTGACTTGCAGTGCGCAGCTTAGAGATACAACATGGCTCTCCCGGGCCGCGGCCGGTTACTTACCTCGCCGTTCCTTTCCCTCGTGATCCTCCCATTCTTGATATTCCTCGTCAGTTTCACCAGTCCAGCTGCCGCAGCTGGATCAGCAGTCCTCGGTCTTGATGTCGGCACCGAATATTTCAAGGCCACTCTAGTGAAACCCGGTATTCCGCTCGAGATCGTGCTCAGCAAGGACTCGAAGCGCAAGGAGTCAGCCGCCATCGCATTCAAGCCGACAAGAGACAGCGATGCCTCCTTCCCCGAACGGTTCTATGGTGGCAATGCGCTGGCCCTGGCGGCTCGGTTCCCGGACGATGTGTACATCAACTTGAAGACACTTTTGGGCGTGCCTTTCAACGACGGAAATGATGAGGCGGTCAAGGGCTACTGGAGCAGGTATCCAGCTTTGAACCTTGAGACTGCTCCCGATGGCCGTGGCTCTGTTGCCCTGCGCAGCAACCGTCTTGGCGAAGCGGAAAAGAAGGACGCGTTCTTGGTCGAGGAGATCCTGGCTATGCAATTGAAGGAGGTCAAGTCTAACGCTGATGCGCTGGCTGGTAAGGGTTCTGATGTCCGCGATGTGGTCATCACATACCCTGCTTTCTACACCGCGGAGGAGAAGAGGAGCTTGGCCTTAGCCGCCGAATTGGCCGGTCTGAAGATCCAGGCCCTCGTTAGCGATGGTCTGGCCGTGGGTTTGAACTACGCTACCAGCCGCAAGTTCCCCAGTGTATCCGATGGGGAGAAGCCGGAATATCACATCGTCTTCGATATGGGTGCTGGATCGACAACCGCCAGCGTGTTGCGCTTCCAGAGCCGCAAGGTCAAGGATGTTGGCAAGTTCAACAAGACTGTTCAGGAGATTCATGTCCTGGGGAGTGGTTGGGACAAGACCCTGGGAGGAGACTCGTTGAACGATCTGATTGTCAACGATATGGTTGCCAAGTTGGCCGAAGACAAGAAGCTAAAAGACAGCGTTACCCCCGAGCAAATCAAGGCCCACGGAAAGACTATGGCCAGATTGTGGAAGGATGCCGAGAAGATTCGTCAGGTCCTTAGTGCCAACACTGAGACTTCTACTAGCTTTGAGGGACTCTACGATGAGGAGCTCAACTTCAAGTACAAGCTCACTCGTGCCAATTTTGAGAAGATGGCTGCTGAGCATGTAGCTCGCATCGGTGGTCCTCTTGAGCAGGCTCTCGCCGCCGCCGGCTTGAAGCTCGATGAGATCGATTCCGTTGTTCTCCACGGTGGAGCTATCCGTACTCCTTTCGTCCAGAAGCAGCTGGAGAAGATCTGTGGCTCGTCCAAGAAGCTGCGTACCAATGTCAATGCCGATGAGGCTGCCGTCTTTGGTGCCGCTTTCAAGGGCGCAGCTCTCAGCCCTAGCTTCCGTGTTAAGGACATTCGTGCCAGCGACGCAGCTACCTACCCCATTGTCCTGAAGTGGAACTCCGATGGCAAGGAGCGTAGCCAGAAGCTATTCACATCAGTTTCCCAGGTTGGCCCGGAGAAGCAGGTTACTGTGAAGAACCTTGATGACTTCGAGTTCAGCTTCTATCAGCAAGTTGAGGAGGAGGGTTTGCCTGTTCTGAGCGTCCAGACCGTGAACCTGACTGCCTCTGTGAACAAGCTGAAGGATACTTTCGGCTGCACCACTGCCAACATTACCGCCAAGTTTAACATTCGCCTGAGCCCTGTTAACGGTCTCCCCGAAGTTACCAGCGGCAATGTCAGCTGTGAGGTCGAGTCCGAGAAGAAGGGCAGCGTTGTTGAGGATGTCAAGGGCTTCTTTGGTCTGGGCTCCAAGAAGGGCGAACAAGAACCCCTTGCCGAGGATGAGCCCAGCGAGTCGATCACCCTCGAGCCAGAAGCCGAGTCTTCCACTACCGCATCCGTGAGCTCTTCCACCACGACCACTACTAAGGAGAACGCCAAGCCGACTACCCAGACTAAGCTTGAGATCATTCCTATCAGCTTGAAGTCGACCCCTCTGGGAACCCAGGCCCCCTCTGTCGCCGAGATGGCCCGCATCAAGGGTCGCCTGACTGCTTTCGATGCTTCTGACCGCGACCGTGTTCTCCGTGAGGAGGCTCTCAACGAGCTTGAGTCCTTCATCTACAAGAGCCGTGATCTGGTTGACAATGAGGAGTTCATTCAGGCTGTCAAGGAGGACCAACTGACCCTCCTCCAGGAGAGAATTGCCAAGGCCAGCGATTGGCTCTACGAGGACAGTGACAATGCCAAGACAGCCGACTTCCAAACGAAGCTGAAGGACCTGAAGACCATCGTCAACCCTGCCCTGAAGCGCATGAAGGAATCTTCTACTCGCCCCGCTCGTATTCAGCTACTCCAGGACATGCTCAAGAACGCGGAGTCCATGAAGCAGTTGATCGAGAGTCAGATCGCCACCGACGAGGAGACATACTCGTCTTCGCTTTCGGCTTCAAGTACCTCAACCGCCGAGGAGTCAGAGACTAGCTCCGAAGCCACCCCCGCTCCTTCCGCTTCGGATGACAACCTGGATGACCTAGACGATGACTCGTACTCGACTTCATCGTCCTCGAAGACCTCCACCAAGTCCGCGGCAGCGGCTAAGCCCACTGGACCGAAGTACACCCTCTTCAACCCCACCGACCTGGCCTCCCTCACCACAATCTATGAGTCCACTAAGCCCTGGCTGGAGACCCAGCTTGAGCTGCAGGAGAAGCTCACAGAGTCCGACGACCCAGCTCTCACAGTTGTCGAGATCGACTTCCGGCTCCGCGAGTTCGAGCGCGTCTTGAACCGCATGTACGAGCGGATGACCGCCGCCGCCGGCCGCGAGGCCAAGAAGAACAGTGGCAAGCAAAATAAGAAGAAGACCTCCGAGGAGAAGGGCAAGGGTAAAGAAAAGGCCAAGGAGGAGAAGAAGAAGGCGAAGGAGGAGACCAAGGACGAGCTGTGATGAATCCATGCTCTTTCTTGTCTACCTATGCATCGTCTCCTGTTCATGTTGCATTTTGGGTATTCTGTACGCCTTAAACAGTACAGAGCATGATTTCCTTTTTTATTTACACTTTACACTTTTCAGATCCCATGTACCATGCACCAGTGTCATATTTGCAAGAATAGAGAAAAGAATTGCAATGGAGTTTTGGGTTTGAATCTATCCCTCTTTTTGACACTAAAAATTATCCGGGAATTGCTAAAACGACTATACACGATTGCTAATTGGACGATACACCCCTTATTCTAGTTTAGCGTTGTAATAGTATGACTATCTTCTACAATAGGGTTCTATCGGTTTGAAACGCCGAGAAACTTTCCAAATTATGTTCGCACTCGCCAGTTAAACGATATCTATCTGATTCGAAGGACGATTTGAAAGACATTCAAAAAGGCATTTAGAAGGACCTTCTAAAAAAAGGATTGATTGAAGCATGTCCAGTTGGTCCGTTTCTCCGGAAGATGTTACCCCAGCTCGCGGCCCAGTACCCCCAATCATGCCAAATTACTCGCAGCGAAGCGTATCGCCACTATCATAGAATTCACCACTGTCGCATGCACTTCGGCATATCTCCTCAGTCTTACAATTCCAGCCACTCGCACCGACCTTGGCTATTATCATGTTCAGTTGCCCGAAGAAATAAACATGGAAAATGCAGGGATACGTACGAACAACTTGGGCTCCACTCGCCGGTGATACTGGGACAGACGTTGCTCCGGGAAGCTGGGGGTGTGGAATAGCTAGAGCGACAGAGATCAGCCAGAGGGCAGAAAGAGCAAAAGCAGCTTTCATTTTAGGCAATGTCGACTGTGTGTATCATCATTAGAAAAGAACCTTACGGGGAATAATAGTTATCGACTTACTGCTCGGTTGACTGAAAGAGATCCGCACGTTGATGGCAATACACAGCGGCTCGAGGAGTTTCAAACACTATCAAGGGATACCAAAGTCGAGTGCTTCCCACGATCATAATATAGTTTTCCCCTGTGCTACGTTCAGAGCACAATTTCGAAATTTTCATGCCAGGTACACGAAACAAAGCAAGGGGTTGGGCTTCCCATTTATTGATTGGTGGCTCATTGCTTTTCTTTGGTTGTTGTCCTTAGCCCCAAAACAAGCAATAGTTGGAATTGACCATTGGCACGCCACGCAAATTATCTTATTCATAGCTATAATAGGTAGAAGTCTCGATTTTACATAACTACAGTAACAGTGATTGATTTAAGCATTGATCACCTTGGTAACCAACCAGACTTTCAATTGTATTGTATTATGTAGAACTTCAGTGGGGTTGTTGCGGATCTGAATGGCTGGTCTAGGACATTTGAGCCGCACAACTCGTGGCTGTCAATTTTTTTCAGGAATATAACCCCAATGAGAGAGAGTTTCGGGATCCTGACATCTTGTGCTGCGAAAATTTTGCAGAGTAATTGTTCCTGATGCCTTAGGAGTTCAATGTTCGGCTTGATGCATGTCACCCACAATACCAACTTGCTTGATGGATGAGTCGCCCGCGTATTGACAAGAAGGCAATCCGATTGAGCTCAAACCTTAATGCAGGGGACGGAATTATAAGGTCCAGCAGCGAGATTTTTGATAATAATATCAATTTCCAGAGAATCGCGAAACCTCAGGTCAAACCACCTAGCAACGCACTGCCACCGTAAGTGCGCTCGGCTAGATCCTTGGCCCTCGTGTTCCATGATGATCATCATCTTAGCCAACGAGCAACTACGGTTACTATCAGTGAGCTGTAAGCTAGTCAATTTTTGTGGGTGCATCGATTGGGACCCTAATTATAACAAATACCAGTGTCAACCACCCAAAAATTTCCATCACTCACATTTTCATCCCGAGTTTTGGTTCGGAAAGAAAGACCACCAGGAGCATCTCCTTAGAAAGCAAAGATGCCCAGAAGTAGAGACCTATTGCGACGGTTATGGTCCAGGTAAGATAATCACCCCTCGGCTAGCTGGAACACCAGATGTAACCCTGATACCATTTTCTTAGAACAAATGGACGCAAGGATAGCGATGATCCAGATGAACAGCCACTACCCGAGGATCTATCATCCATCGAGGCATCCAACATCCTGGAGGCACGAGTGGAAAAGCGCAAACGAGAGCTAGGTTCGGAAGATCCTGCCACGCTTGTCAGCATGAATAACTTAGGATTCTCCTACTGGAAACAAGGGAGATGGAAAGAGGCCGAAAAGCTACAGCTGTATGTGATGGAAAGTCGCAAGCGTGTTTTAGGACCAGAGGATCCTCTCACTCTGTCTACGATGGCTAGTTTGGGATTTGCCTTCTGGGGTCAGGGACAGTACAATGAAGCAGAAGAGCTACAAGTCTACGTATTGGAGTGTCGCAAGCGCCTACTCGGACTAGAGCATTCGGATACCCTTGAGATTATGAATAACTTGGTCTGCACCTATCTCGACCAGGGCCGGTTCAAAGAAGCCGAAGAGCTACAGACCCAAGAGTTTGAGTTATCTTCCCGGACGCAAGGACCGGAGCATCCCGACACCCTCCTCAGCATGGGCAATCTGGCATCTACCTACACGAAACAGGGCAAATGGGCTGAGGCAGAGTGCTTGCAAACAAAAGTGATTGAGCTATATTCTAAGAGCCTCGGGCAAGAGCACCCTTCAACTTTGGATAGCATGGCCAATCTGGCATCAATCTACCAAGAGCAGGAGCGATGGGAAGAAGCTCTGAATCTGCATTTCAAGGTCATGAAAGCTCGCAAAGAGGTACTCGGACCAGCGCATCCCGACACCCTGTCAGCTATGGCTAGCATGGGATCCATCTACCGGGAGGAAAAAAGATGGGAAGAAGCAGAGAAGATAGGCGCCCAAGTCGCTGAGGCTAGCATGGAGTTGTTTGGACCAGAGGATCCAAAGACATTAGTCGCCATGTCCAATCTGGGATCCACCTACCAGAGCCAAGGGCGCTTTGATGAAGCGGCCGCGGTACAAGAACATGTTGTGCATATCAGCATTGAGCTACGAGGACCTACCAATCCTCATACACTCACCGATATGGCCAACCTAGCATACACTTATCGGGTCCAGGGACGACTTGAGGAAGCTGAATCGCTGGATAAGCTGGTCCTGGAAGCCCGTCGGCAAGTACTGGGACCAGAACATCCCGATACTCTGTCCAGTATGAACAACCTTGCTTTTACCTACAAAGCATCCGGCAAAAAGGAAGAGGCGTTGCTGCTCATTGGTGAATGTGTCGAGATCTTGAACAGAGTTTTGGGTCCTCATCATCCTCGTACTACTCATTCAACTGCCGCACTGGAAGAATGGTGCAAGGTCGGGGCCTCTGGATCTTAAAAAGACGGTTCAAGGAAAACATACATGAAATATTCGCTCATCATTTACACTGTCTCATCGATGAGACTCTATCAGAGAACGAGTTTAAGCGGGCATGATTCTTGTATCTAGATTGCCGATGATGTGCTCGGCTAGGCATTTTGATTTTGAATTTTGAATATACAGGGGCTTTTGCAGCAGAGGCTTTCTATACACACACCTGTTAGCTAGACATGGTTACACAGTCGTAGATGAATAGCAATTTGAATGTGACATAGCAAAGCCACAAATTCTGGAAAATGTAGAGAGCTGCCGCTTGTGGAGATGGAAAACATCCCTATCACATCAGAGTCGATAGCAGCATCGGCGTCGACTTGCCCGTTATGGAATGAGCATATCCCGCGTAATTTCGTCGTATTTACTATCAATAGTGAGCGGCCACGCCGAAATGTGTGCTATCGCAGGGTCTGTCCATCATACTCTTCACCGTTCCTTTAGCTCAGGTGACGAGCGAGTCTCTGTTTTTAGAGGCGGAATATAGGATCAGTCGGCAGTTGAAGAGCCCAACAAATCCCGTCCACAGTATTAAACTCCCCCGGAATTCAAGCCAGCTCCAACTCAGCCCCACGTCGCCCCGCGACCCAAAGATAAACCCCCCGCATTCCCATACCCCAGAAGCCACAATTGTAGTATGATGCAGACGCCGACCGGGTATCCCGGCCCAGGTATCCTCTCAATTCTAGCATGGAACATGTCCAACTTGATGATGCTGTTGAAAAAGGGGTATTTATGACGAAATACTCGGAAATAGCTTTCGGTGTTTAGGCCCCCTCCTACTCCAACTCGAGATTGTCTAAGATCAAGAATGCAATCTGATTGGATCCAAGGGGTGGGCATGGCTCCCACATGCTGGCTGAATCGGTTCCGGCTCCGCGATGGGGCTTGAATGTCCTGGATGATAAGCCTTGGTCTAGGTCGTCGTGGCAAGTTTCCACGCTTCAACTATTCTGGCAAGCCCCGGTAGTTAGAAGGACGAGTGACATGCCGATTTGTACTATATCTTGCATAGGATATCACTTTCTCTGGCTGCCTTGGTGTTTTCAAACTTCCTCGTCTTTCAACAAGATTCTCTCTCAAGATGCATGGACTAACGGATCACATCATTCGCATCCTCTCCCAGCACTGGATAGCAGTGTCTCTGACAGTTCTGGTGCTGTGGCTAGCCAAGAATCGATATCACAATGGCCTCAACAAGTATCCAGGTCCGCTATTAGCTTCTTTCACAGACTGGTGGCGCTTCGTGGATGTCTATGGTCGAAGGCCAGAAGTCACCCATCGTGCTCTTCATAAAAAGTACGGCGATGTTGTTCGTCTTGGCCCAAATACTTTGTCTTTCTCAGATCCTCAAGCGCTCAAATCGATATATGGCTTGAATAAAGGGTTTATCAAGGTACGTACATGTAACTGCTTCGAAATCAGCGTCAAGACCACTGTTGACAGCCTATATAGTCTGAATTCTACGTTGTCCAACAATCCATTGCTAGAGGCCACCGCTTGCAGTCATTGTTCAGTTCAACAGACAATGATTTCCATGCGAGATTCCGCCGTTGCGTAAACTCGGCGTTCGCCATGTCAGCATTGGTCCAATATGAGCCCTTTGTCGACAATACAACCAAGTTGTTCCTGGAACAAACAAGAAAATTTTATGTCAACAACCCCAAGGGTTGTGATTTCACTCAATGGTTGCAGTTTTACGCCTTTGATGTTATTGGAGAGATCACGTACAGCAAAAGACATGGCTTTGTGGAAAAGAACAAAGATATTGACGGTATTGTGTCATACCTATCGTGGCTATTCCTCTATGTTGCGCCGGTATGTCACTATCCCTCACCATTGTCATGTGGATCGCTAATGTCTCTAGATTGGTCAAATCCCTTTCCTTGACCGGCTTCTTCTCAAGAACCCAATCTACCTCAAGCTCTCTCAATGGGGCTTCATCGATGCTACCTTCCCCGTGGCACGGTTTGCCAGCAACCGCATGGCTGAGAGACTCCCAGAGCTTTCCAACGGAAAGTCTGCGTCTGATCTCGGCGTCAAGTCGCCAGACCTGCTCTCCAAGTTCTTGGCCGCTCACGAAGCCCATCCAGAATTTATGAGCCAGACTTTAGTCCAGACCATGGCTGTAAGCATGGCTTTTGCCGGTTCCGAGACCACGGCTATCAGCCTTTCAGCGGTATTTTACTTTTTGCTCAAGAATCCTGATGCGTTGAAGCGGCTGTTAATTGAAATCGATGATGCGGCTCGCGCTGGTGCCTTTGGAGACTCTGAGACAGGACTTGTCACTTGGCACGAGAGTCAGCGGCTTCCTTACCTGGATGCCTGTATAAAAGAAGCTTTCCGGTTACATCCTGCTGCAGGACTTCCCCTGGAACGTATTGTGCCGCAACAAGGGGCAGAAATTGCCGGCCATTTTGTTCCTGGTGGCACAATTGTTGGCTGCTCGGCCTGGCTGATCCATATGAACAAGAGTATATTTGGTGAGGATGCAGAGGTCTATCGTCCCGAGCGTTGGCTCCCAGACGAGGAGCTTAGCAAGACAGAAAGTGGTAAGGATGCTGAAGATCACCGCATCAAAGAGATGAATGGCACGATGTTCCAGTTTGGAATGGGCAGTCGGACCTGCATTGGGAAGAATATCAGTTTGCTTGAGATCTACAAGCTCGTGCCCAGCATGTTGAGACGATTCGAGGTGAGTTTCCCTGGTATCAGTTTACAGTGATCACAGTCCTAACGCTGCGCTCAATAGATCCAATTCCAAGATCCTTCTCAGGAATGGGAATTGATTAACGCATGGTTCGTTAAGCAAAAGAATTTTACTACAACATTCAAGCTTAGGGAGATTGTGAAACCAGAGGGCGAAGCCTCTTGAGATAGTCTTTTTGGTGGTCTGTTTTAGCGTTGTCACAGGAATGAGGTATCAGAATTATACTATCCCCTTTCACGATGTGAGGGTGCTGTTCAATTTCGAGGGACACATAAAATCTCGTAGTGTATCCTCAGAGACTCTTTAAAAAGACCGCAAAACCTCAATGGAACGGCCACATCGCCTTCCCCTCCTCTGTAGATCTCTCCCCAGCAAGCTTTTCAACGTAGAAGGCCATTAACTTCTCATTCTCCTTTCTCTTCTCGGTAAGATCCAATTGAGGGGTAATCCATCCTTCAGCATCAGTATCTAGACACTCCTCAGCAAGCGCCCGAGCTTCCTGCCAAGCCCGGCATTCGGCAAAATGACATTGATGTTTTTCAAGTTCTTCCTGAAAACGGGCAATTCCCAAGGAACCCAAGGTTCGCCCAATTTTGGGATATCTCAATCAAACACGCATGAAGTGGAACAATCCCTACCTCAGAGACTCCTGCACATCGGGTGAATAGTTCTCGGAAGACATGGGGTACATTCATGGCATCATGTGCTTTCCTATTCTCAAGAAAGGCTGAGATCTCGTAAGCCTTCGCCGATTTTACCTGATACCATTCTCGCATCGCGATAGTTTTGCTCTCTTCATCGAGTTGGTCGAAATCAGGTGGAAGACTCGGTTGGAATATTCCCTTCACGTAATAGTCATAATTGTGCGGAGGTTTCAGAAATACAGGCCATTGAGCCTAGAGAAATGCAGGAAGCACCAGACTCGACTGGAAATCGATGGTTGAAACAATTTTTGAGCGCTCTTCTGGCGAGACATAAATATTTTCCATGTGAAGATCGGTATGCCCTAATGTAGGCTGGCAGGCTCCTCTTACAATCTAATAGATCCATGAGGCCTACTGTAGTATCCAAGAGCTGGCTTTGTTGCTCAAGAGTTCCTTTGTAATAGCTCGGAAGGCTTTGTGGACTCTGTTGTGGTATCCGGAGCAATTCGTGTTGTGCAAAGGATACTCCCAACGCTGAGACTGAATCCCCTGCGCAAAGCTCAGCAAATGAAACATCGATTGCGTAGAAGGGTAACATACAAGGGCCTCGGTTGATATTCGTAGTTAAATTGCAATCGAAAGTCCGACTGCAAGAGGGTCCAATGCAAAAGACTGGGATGGATCAATATTCCTATCGAGTCTGGCCTCTTCATGTCTTTCCGAGTATAAAGTCCCCCGTATGCTGAAAATTTGATCTTGGCAAACTGGGGTTCAAGTCTCGTCAGATTTTTGATCAGCTGCTGTTTTTCAAAATTGGTCATAGAGCCCCATTCCTGAAACAGAGGGATTCCGGTGGCTTTCTCTATGATGATATACTCAGCACCAACGGCGTTCGAGTTGTCAGATGACCAAGAGATCACACGAGGCACAGGCACGCTAGTATGTCTCCGAACTGGATCGCAGAACCTCAGTCTCTGGAACATCCTTACGATAAGGGCATACCGTATTCTAAAACTCCCACCTCGCCAGCCGTCGTTAATGAGGGCGGACCAGCAACACGACACGGAATTTTGGCTATAAATTGCGTTCCATCCGCCTTTTGCATCAAAAGAGCCTTGCTGAATCCTCCTTCCATTTTGTCGATCGCTATAACCGGGCTGCAATCTCCCCCGGTGGCTGCAGTGACAGCTGTACAGAGCTTATCCAGGTCGAACCGGACATGTCGTCGGCTGAGCTGATACTCCTCATTGACAAGAAAATGACCATTGGTGTAGTTGAAAAAATCCTCGCGAGCGATTGGCACGCCTGTTTAAAAGTTAAGACTCTGTCTCGCAGAACCTCAATTTTTTACCTCGACAAGTTATTGATACAAGTGCTCTAGACTGGCCAATACATGATTTTGGGGGGTTTTTGAGACCAGAGAACATCTCACATGCCAATCAAGGAGCCAAACATTCGATTGAAGTGGGCAGAAGTTGAGTTATGGGGAGGTTGTTCTGACTAAATGCACAGTTGGAGGGGGCGCGAATTCCTGCCTCGCCAATCTGGCTTGCCCCCTTGTTGACAAGATAAGCAGGGCCATCACAGACAGGGACGTGATGATGTCTCCAATTCACACATCAGACTGTAAATATACGGAATCTGGAGGTCTATCGCAAGCTCCTTCAAAGCTCGGCTAGTTTGCTCTAGAATCTTTCCATTTCTTATCACTTCAATGCTATGTTCCAGAATACGCCAATCATTTTGATGAAATTCGCAAAGACAATCGCTCGAGACACGCTTCGCAAAACTTGAAAAAAATAGTGCAACAGCTATAACACCCAGAAAAAGAGAAATTGATGTTTTTAGCAGACTCTTCGTGGAAAGAGCGCGTTACTTCACGCTGCCCTTTGACATGATCTCGGACGGGCTGTCCATTGAACTGGGAAGTTCCGGTACCCGATACACATTGTCCAACTCTACCGGACGATTCCTTCTATCGCGCAGGTTTGTATATGGGCCACCGAATGGTGTGCCGGCAGATGGCGCCATTCCTCGTCCCTTGAGTGCCCGTCGCCGCTCAAATAGCGCCCAGATAATCGAGAACAAAGCGATCGCACCAAGTGGTGCCCCCACTCCGGCGCCGATTGCGGTTTCATGGCATGTACTGCAAGTGGCCGTTGAGTTTGATGAAGATGGGGGTACGGATGAAGGCGAGGACGAGGTTGAGACAGAGGCTGTTGCAGATGGTGAAGTTGTTGTTGCGATTGCGTCGAGTAATGTAGAATTGGCCAACAGTGCGCGACCGGGAATAGGCCAGCCTGAAGGGACTTCGAAGCCAGAGGTAGGATTATCGGGGCAGACGATCTTGTCGCCATCGATGATTGGCGTGCCGCAGCAGTATATCGCGGTTTTATTATAGAAACTCAGGTTGATGATCGAAGCGCCCATGCTCGGCGTGCTATTAGCTAAAGAGCGCCATGTCTGTTAGCTGCGCTCTCTGACTCTCTCTCTCTCTCTTTCTCGGTTCAAGACTTTGCGCGCATGCGTCGCAGCCACTGCATGTACTCACAACAATAGCTGGAACATCCCGAGTTCCAGTTGGTATTGGTGCATGCCCCGCGAGATAGCACGTACGGCTGATGAGCAACGTTCAAACAGAGTCCATTCGACAGGCAAATGTCTTGCGATCCACAGCAGGTGGCACTTGTGTCGTCAGAACAAGGAACGTTCCCTTTGGCGACATTGCCCGAGGGAAAGTAACATAATCGATTATCGGCGACCATGTCCACAAAAGTTGGGTAGAAATTTTGGGTTGTGATGACAGGTAAGTGTCAGACACTCCCATTATTAAGAGAACGCATTTGCAGACACTCGCGCTGATCGAGTCGTACAATCACTGTACCTGACCCACCTGGGGCGGGTTCGCGCTGACCCTGAGGAATTGGTTGGTATGACATGATAGTAATAAGACGTCCCTGAAGACGTGATTGGCAGTTTGCAAATAAAGCGCGGCCCCCAAACTTCTGCAGCCCCAAATCCGCTAAAACTCGTGGCAAGCCTCAGCTTCACCGTTTTGAGATCAGCCCCCACTGACGCCTGCAGAAAGGCCTCCTGTCGAGTGACTCGGTTGGCCCCGAGTCGTGTGTCTTACCGCGAATGAATAATTTTTCCGACAAGTAGATAGGGGACACCGTGACAGCCCAGGATCATGTCAATCCAGCCTCGGACTGTCGCTGCGACCGTAGTTCCGTATCGTATCCTGTCACGGTCAGGATCAACAGGGTGCGAGCTAACTTCGGAATCCACCTCGATGCACCCAGGCTGACTCGTGGGCGATCTCCCACAGCCACTTACATAGATTGGAAACAGTGATTGACACGAGCCTCGGCCAGAAGCATAAAATTGGACATGCTCAGATATTGATTCGTACGCATTGGTACGGCGGGTGATCAATTTCAAAATAATGATACAAGCAATGATAGTACATAATTGAAGCAAAAGTGGGTATAAGTACAGGTATAGGTACAAGGCAAACAAGGCAAACAAGGCAAAAGTGGGTGGTGGTCATACAAAGGTGATAAGGGCAAAGGAGGACAGGTGGGAAAGCTTGAAAAGGTTTGGCTCGGAAATGTGGCGAGTCTCAACAAGGCGGATCGGAATTCTCTGGTGGGCCATCCAGTAGCAACCACGAGGGACCCGATGCAAGCAGGACGACTTAAACCCAATTTAGGCACAGTCCATTCGCAGGTAGTCCGAATCGACTTCCTCCCGTTGACGGAGGAAAGACGCCTCTTCGAAGTCATCCAGGTCCATCTTGGGCAGGTTGCTAGTGTTTTGAGTGAGCAATCGGCGTCTTGGAGATAAAATGGTTCGTCCTCGAGGGGCCTCGTTGCCAGAATCCTTGTAGGCATAAACATCATTCCCAAAGTCGAACGATCGTTTGTGGCCATTCGTACTAGCATATGACGCGGTTGATGTGATAGATTCCTGGCTGCTGGGAGGGAGAGAGAAGGCATCGCCGTCGTCAGTATTAACTGAATATGGATCGTTGGCTGATTTGGAGAAGCCAGAAAAGGGCGGAAGTTCGGCATAACTATTGTTGCCATAATAAGGTTGAGCAAGGCGAGGTTCAGATGCAACAACTGCAATCTTGGCCTTCTCGGCATTCAATGACAACTGGGTCTTATATCCATCTGCAACAGATTTGCGGACCCGCATTCCGACCGAAAGAAGTGAAGCCTGCACCTTTGCCGGTACCACCGGGGTTGCGGAGAAGGTCGAGGCAGAATAGTGGTTGTGTGATACGGTGTGGCCATCAGCGGACTCTGATGCAGCCGAAGCCGAGGGGAAGAAACTTGTGATTGGAGCCTGGAAGCGGCGTCGCTTGGACAGTGTGCTGTTGGAGGCAGGCATGTTCGGGTTGGTGATGATGGAAGGCATATCGAAAGGAGTGGATTTTGTGATGAGGACTGCAAAGCCGAGCGAAAGAAACACAAAGGATGGGTGTAAAAGGCTATGGAGGCCCGAGGCAAAAGTTCGAGGGGCAAGTGAGGTCCTTCAAGTAGGTTGAGGGGTAGAGAAATGAATGCGGGATAGGAACGATAAGAATTGAGGTGATGCAAAATGATGCGGCTGGGAAACGCGACGCGGGGGACACGCGCCTTGACACGTTTTCCATTAAGCCTATTTGGGATAGGGCTTAGGGCTCCTCGCGTCCCCAGTCACGTGGTATTGTTTACATCTAGAGGTATATCGACCTGGTATCGTAGCAACCCATTGTCAATTGTAAAATGGAAAATATTGGAACTGAAAGTAGGTGGCTTTTTGCCTTCATATCCTCAGTATCAAGCCATTCGCATTGCATTGCATGCCACGGTCTCTTGGGGTCCTCATCCCAGACCGTAAGAAGTTGGAAGGGGGCAAAATATATATCAATGTGGTCTACGTGTGTGGGCAATCAATATGGGTACATACTCTCAAACGAGCGTATGAATGACGTTGATCAAGAACTCGGAATTTCCATTGACTTAGCTGGGTTATCTGACACCCAGTCGATACGAAGCAAGGTGTACATCCAGGACACATAGGGGGCAGAGTTGTCGAATACCCGGCGCCAAACCCTATACTCGAGAATCGGGCCTTCACCTACGTAGGTAGCTTTGGAGCAGTAGGTAAGGTTACATGCTACTGATGGAAAATAGAGTACATCGGTAGATGCGATGCAGTATATTTTGAATCACATTTTGCTTCTCATTTATAACTTGCGAACATCAAATGGAAAAACAGTTTAAACGCCAATCCCTCGACAGACCAATGAGCATGATCTACAACGCAATGCCAAGAGCAAGTGTATCAAAGTTAGAAATAACATAGATGGACTTTCAATCAGTTTCCAGCATTGCCACGCTTGCCGCCTCTCTTCTGGCGTTCGTGGTGCGCCTTCAGCACAGCGCGAGTCTCCACCAGACTGCGCTTGTTCTTGCTCTTCGCCTTGCCCAGGGTCATGAGGAAGTTCTTGCGGCGGGCCTTCTCCTTGTTGGTAGTACTCTTGCCTTGCTCCTGCTTGCGTTCTCTGCGTCGGCCTTCCTTGCTCTTGTGCTCCTCGCGGTCCGGCTTGCCTTCACGTGCGTGGGCAATGCGTTCTTCACGAGTGGCCTTCGCAGCGGACAAGGAAGCCAGGCCCTCGATCTCTGCAGCAGTCAAGGGGTCGTCCGTGTGACGGGCAGCAAGCAGAGCAGCCCGGCGGGACTTGGGCCCATTGATAGCAGAGTCGACAGAGGCCTGAGCACGAAGCTCGGCAAGCTTGGCCAAGTCGGCAGGAGTCAAGATTCGAGTGGTAGCGAGGGTGGATAGCTTGACCTCCTGGGCCGCATCGTCCTTCTCCTTGGTCTCTGGTTCATCCTGCTTGGACTTTTTGGAGGGTCGGTCCTTGCCTTCATCTTCAGAGTCGCTGAGTTCAATCTCAACATCGCTCTCAACGTTGATCCATTCACCAGAGTCGTCACTGTCTTCATCATCCTCGACGTTCCAGGCGGCCCAGTCATCCTCATCGTCCTCGTCATCCTCGGCATCAGAAGCCAGACCCTTCTCCTCACGTCTCTTGCGACGCTCCTCTTCCTTCCACTTCTCGAGCAGCTCGAGACCCTCGATTCCGCCGATCTCCTGTTGACCGAACCGTCTCTGCTCTTTCTCGCCGGAGCGGAGACCCATGGAGGCTTCCTTGCCGCGATCCCGCTTCTTAAGCATCTCCGCTCCAACATCACGGAACAGACTGAGCAGACCCTTGGAGGCCATCATCACACCCTTATCCTTGCTCTTCTTGTACATGACAAGGTCCTGGAGTAGGGTTTCGTTCATTGCTAGGGGCTGTCTTACACAGATTTCTCGGATGGCATTGAGACCAGCAGTGGCAACCTCTCCTGCCGATGCTTCTGAGACGAACTCGTTGGCAATCTTCTGAATGAGAGGTTCAAGGACATCTGGAGGCACAAGGTCGTGCGATGCCTGGGCCAACGATGCAAGGAAGGAGGTGACCGAAGGCTGGCGAGGCGTAAGGAACTTCTGGAAGTAGGAGTAGAGCGGCATAATGTGCAGCTTGTGCAGGCCAACCAGACGCGAGACCAATTGCAGGACCTGGAGTTTCTGCTCCAAGTTCAGCTTAGACTTGCTGTTTTGCAAATGCTTGGTGAAGAGATTGTCGGCGAATCCCTGCGGATCATGGAGCAAGTGAAGGGCCGAGAAGTTGAGAGGGTGAGGCTGGTTCTTCTTGCGCTCCTTCTTCTTATGCGTAGCCATGGCCTTCTCCGCAACACGGGCCTTCTTCTTCGACTTCTTATTGATCTGCAGGGTATGACGAAGGCGACCAATATCAAGGGTCTCTTCGTCGCTGCTCTCATCCTCCATTTCTTCACGCTCCTTGTCACCACCCAGGAAGAAACGCGTTCCGCCAACAATCACCTTCTCATTCTGCGAAAGCGCCGCCTCTTTCATAACCTCAACAGCTTTGGCATCCGTCCAGATCTGGCGCTTCCATAGCTCTCGGGTGATTTTGATAGCCCACAGAGCCTTGGAAGACGTACGATCGGAGGTCACCAAGTTGAACAAAACGGTCTGCATCGTTCGGTTCAGCTTGTGGTTGGTGGTTTTCGAATTAGCCTGGCGCAGCTCCGACAGGATTTTTGTGAACAAAAGAGCGCGGAGGGTCTTGCTGGGCGTGGTAATAAGAATCGGGAAAAGGGTGTGAAGCAGCGTGGCCGAATCGATGAGGTCCTTCTTCTTCAGAAGTACGATGCTTCCCACGATTTTCTCTCGCAATTCCGGCTCCAACACCAGGTGGTGTTGCATCAGCATGTCAATGAGCTGCTGCGGGAAGTCCTTCAAGATCTCAGGATAGCAATCAGCGACATGAGAAATGAAGTCAATCAACTCTCTCAGAGAGATAATGCCAGTGTCGGTGGCCGCAGAGGGCGCCGCCATGAAAATTTCTCGATGCGATTCATATTGGTAGTGCTGGGCGCGGAAATCCTCGATATAAGACCTGGGCACAGAAAAATATTGATCAGCATTGAATCTAGCTTGAGAATCTCACATCACTAGAGCACTTGAGCCACTTACTTGGGATCCCTCCGGATCTTGTGTTGCAAGTTAGGCCTACGGCGGAAAGAGAACGAGTCAGTATTCGGCTTTACAACTCGGTCGCACTCGGGCGCACAGCAATTAGACACAATAAACACTCACAGATCAGCCTCAACCTTTTCTAAGGCTCCGAGCTTTCGTTTAACCATCTTAAAATCCTCCGGGGTGGGTGTAAATAGAGGGTGGAAGGGAAAAGAGGCTGGAGGTCAGTTGCGCTCTGAAACTTTTTTTCCCGCCGTATCGATAAGCGACCCAACTTGGAGAACAAGCGCGGGCGCCTCCACTATGCCCATTCAACAGCCTGCCAATCACCAAAGTATCAGATTGATACTGCAAATCAATGAGTTTTTACTTTATCAGAGCATTTTAGATTTGATTACAATGGAAGATTCCTTGAAAATGTCATCTGAAAGAACTCGTAGACTACTTTTGAATGCTACAGAAAATCCATAATCGCATGATGTGAACAGTAAAAAAATTTTGTTTTTTCACTTAAGACTTGGCCATTACCACCCAAGGCCCTTGTGACCGCATCACAACTGCTGAAAAGAAGCTATCCGATTGTGTTCCCATTTTTGGATCCTGCTTCCTCCGTGGCTGTCCCAATCCATGTACAGCCCGGGCAGTTGTATGTCAATCATCCGAAACCCGGTGAAAAACACCCCGTTCACTCCAGTATCCATAAAACACATAGGACCAAACGGAGAATGCATCCAGTACACCCTTTACCGGTTAGACTTGGCAACACGCTCCAGCTCGTCCTTCTTCTTGATGGCGTAGGAGTTGCTGCTGCCCTTGGCGGCGTTGACGAGCTCCTCAGCTAAAAGGGAAATGTTAGTAAAACTCTCCAACAAATTCACGAACATATTCGTCGAGGAATGGGATAAAACGAACCAAGGCACTCAGAGATGGACTTCACGGAGCGGAAAGAGCTCTCGCGGGCGCCAATGGTGATGAGAGCAATGGCGGTGTTGACACGGCGGAGGGGAGAAACATCGACGGCCTGGCGACGGACGGTACCGGCGGAACCAATACGGGTGGAGTCCTCACGAGCACCGCAGTTGACGATGGCATCAACAGCGATCTGGATGGGGTTGGAGTCGGTGGTGATGTTGATCTAGATGGAAGAGTTAGATGCGGATCATTGAAGATATAATGCTCCAGGTATCTGGGCGGAAGTTGAACGGTTGTCCAATTCTTCGCAGATCTGTCCCTAGAGGCAAATCATAAACATTGAATGGGAAACGCACGATCTCGAAAGCGTGGGCGACAATGCGGACAGCCATGGCCTTCTTTCCGTTGTTGCGGCCGTTCATCATGATCGAGTTGGTCAGGCGCTCGATGATGGGGCACTGGGCCTTGCGGAAACGCTTGGCGGCATAGCGACCGGCGGAGTGGGAGGTGTAGACCGGCTGGCGGATCTGGATGTAGTCGCTGTTGGCGGGCAGAAGAGGTTAGCCATTCGAATTCCACATGGTGAATTCGACGTTTGGTTCCTCCAGAAAAATTTGTCCCGGCGCGCGCAGAATTCCCCGCATGCCCTTTCTCCCATCTCTTGCAGCGCAACTCGCTCCCTGCATATCACCCCCGGGACCAAATCCTTCCAGAAAAAAACTCGTTGTCGTCGATTCGAGGTAGACTCACGTCAGGGAGATGTCGCGGATCTCGACATCCTCGTAGCTCCACTTGCCGAACAGGAGAACGGGCTGGTTGTCGAGGTGGGCAATCTCCTTAGGCAGCTGAACGGCCTGAACATCCCCGGAGTCAGACATCTTGATTGTCGAGGGGGGGTGGTGGTAATGGGTGACCGGGTTGTCGAGGGTGGTTGAACGATCAATCGGGATGACTATCCACACAGGAATTTGGAGGTGCTCTCGCTTAGCGGTCTGTGGTGTGTGGGTGGAGTCACATGAGGAATTTTAGGGCACTCGCTCGGATGAGTAAGCACGGAGAGGTCCTTCAGTCATGTGACCTAGGCCTTCCATGTATTGTGGCCTCAGGTGTCAAACACCACTGTTCCGGCTTGGCATTCACATTACTCCGTAAAGTGCCACAATTCGCAAAGTTTCAATACTTCCCCGCCATTGGATTGGACATGTCCGACATCTTGTAATTATCTTAACGCGACATTTTTCTCCGAATGAATCGCCTATCTTCTAGCACACAATTATAGGACAAATATGCAATTTCTCCATAGGATTATACTCACCAGTAGACAATTCTAAATAAGTACAGCTGACTGGGGGCCGAGACACAACGCCCACTGGTACCTGAAAAAAGCCACAGTTTCTATCACAACCATTTGGTACACCGTATGTACTTCGTATATAGCCCCTAATACTTCTAGCGTTGCAATGGCAACATAGATTTCCTTGACTCGCTAAACTCCTCACCTCCATAATATCCATAAATATAGCATCAAATTACCCGACTATAACTATTCTGGTCAGCACTTGTCTCACTTGTACACTTCGGCTCGCCTGACCGCCTTTGGGGTGGGTGACGTTGTCTCCAGCGGTCCAACACTTGAGACCAGAACAATTCGTTGGTGGTTGGTCAACATTGCTAGGGAAATTCAACTACAAGCAGCAGGGGTCTCTGCATGTCACCCCTCTTCGGCTACCACTTGTTGCACCTCGGGAAATTCCTTGAGATGAGGCTTTCTTGACTGACCATTACTCCATCCCTCCCCCGCGTGTTCGATCCACTTCCTCGAATTGAGGTCCTTCCTGTATTCTTCTAATGGCGGAGGAGAATCCAGAGTTCCAGTCCGCTTTGCGGGAGCTGGACAGGGAGCTGGAGGTATGTTTAACCACCCAGAGTTGATGATGTCTTCTTGCGCTTACACAGGGTGTTGTTCGAACAGGAGGGTGATATCACCGAGAAAGGGTAGGCAGTCGTCCCGTAGCATGGCAATCCTGGACGAGCATTAACATGGGGACACATTGGTCGCCCACTGAGTCACATGAGGTCTGCTACACAAGAACGGCGCACTAACGTCAGAATAGGTATCAAAAGCGACGTACCCTCCTGCTCTCCCAGTTTCTCGGCCCCAACAAGCCGCTTGAGATAGGCTCTCATGCGGCCGCAGGCTATGGGGACCCGTCCGAAGGCTCCCATATCAACCCGCCAGCGATATTGAGCGTCCGACCACCGACTGCCGAGTCTTTGCAACCGACCATTGCTTCTCCGACATATGCAGGCGCATACGAAGGCATGCAAAGTAGTGGAGGATATGGGTACAACCACCGAGTCAGCGTGGACGCACAGAATCCGTCCTCGGCTCCAGCCGGATCTCACGAGCGAGACAGTACGGGCATGTTACAAGCTGTTGATCGAATGCCATCTACGGCCTCGTACGATTCGCTTTTCCTTCCCAAACCTCCTGTCCCCGGTTCGCAAGGCCAAGATGGGTCGCGCACCGCGACTCTGATGAGCCAGAGCTACGCCTTTAACCCCGAGTCACAGCCGGAATATGTTCAGTCTGAATATGATCAGCCCGAGTACATGGATGATGGTATGGAGGGCTACGATCCTGCCTTGGGTGGGGTCACGCGACAGTCAACAATGTTGGATTCTCAGCAGGGCTACTTCTCGGACTTTGCCGGACAGCAGCATGATGATTACAGGGAAAGCTATGGTGGTGGTTTCCATCGCTACTCTCAATCAGGCGAGGCCTTCTCACCTACGGCGAACATGGCGCCGCCATTCATTCCTCCCTCCGAACTGCCCCACGGCCCGGCAATCCAGCATCTCTTACCCCTCGAACCTCGAGATATTCCCTTTGCAGTGAACGATCCTCATGACAAGAACATCCCCATGTCAAATTTTGACAATCTTCCGACGGTTCTTCGACACCGCGCACGAGTCCACCCGAAACAGCCTGCATACTGGGTGCTGGACCAGAAAGGCAAGGAAATTGCATCAATCACATGGGACAAGCTAGCAAGCCGCGCAGAAAAAGTTGCACAGGTCATTCGTGATAAGAGCAACTTGTACCGCGGAGATCGTGTCGCGCTGATCTATCGCGAGGCTGAAATCATCGAGTTCGCCGTGGCCCTCATGGGCTGTTTCATCGCAGGAGTGGTCGCTGTTCCAATTAACAGCCTGGATGATTACCAAAGCCTGAATCTGGTGCTCACCTCGACGCAAGCTCATCTAGCCTTGACCACCGAGAACAATTTGAAGGGGTTCCAGCGTGACATAACGGCACAGAAGCTCAATTGGCCTCGTGGAGTTGAATGGTGGAAAACCAACGAGTTTGGCAGCTTTCATCCCAAGAAGAAGGACGATACACCCGCCCTCGTTGTGCCCGATCTAGCATTCATCGAGTTTGCGAAGGCTCCGACAGGAGACATGCGCGGTGTCGTGATGAGTCACCGAACCATTATGCACCAGATGGCCTGTCTAAGTGCCATTGTCTCAACTGTACCTATGGAGTCTAGTGCCAGACCATACGCGACCAAGGGAGAAACCATTATCAGTTACCTTGACCCAAGACAAGGAATTGGTATGATTCTGGGTGTTCTCTTGACCGTCTACGGCGGTCACACAACCGTCTGGCATGAGGATCGCGCGGTTGAAACGCCCGGTCTGTATGCTCATCTTATCACCAAGTATAGAGCGACCATCATGGCTGCGGATTACTCGGGACTGAAGATCGCCGCATACAATTACCAACAGGATCCCATGTCCACCAGACATTTCAAAAAGAACTCAGAACCCAATTTCGGCAGCGTTAAACTTTGCCTAATCGACACAATCACTGTTGATTCGGAATTCCACGAGATCCTGTCAGACCGATGGCTGCGACCTATGAGAAATCCTCGTGCCAGAGAGATTGTTTGTCCAATGCTTTGTTTACCTGAGCATGGCGGCATGGTCATTAGTGTACGCGACTGGCTGGGTGGTGAGGAGCGAATGGGATGTGTCTTGACCCATGAGATGGACCCAGCGGGACGAGACAAGAAGGAAGAAGACGAGAAGCTTGAGAAATCGGACGCCCCGACCGGCTTTGGTAGCAGTCTTTTGGGCGGTGGGGCTCGCGTTTCGGCTCCAAAGGAGACCGCAAAGAATGACCTTGGTGAGGTCCTCCTCGACAAGGAGGCTCTCAAAAGCAATGAAATCGTCGTGGTGGCAATGGGAGAGGACGCTCGCAGATATGCTAGCAGCATGCCGCATACTGTCCGAGTCGGCGCTTTTGGCTATCCTATTCCTGATGCTACACTCGCCATCGTCGACCCTGAGACCAATCTCTTGTGCACACCAAATGTTGTTGGTGAAATTTGGGTGGACTCTCCGTCGCTGTCGGGAGGCTTCTGGGCGCTGCCCAAGCACACCGAGGCCATCTTCCATGCTCGGCCTTACAAGTTTGAAGATAATAATCCTACCCCCGTGCTCGTGGAGCCTGAGTTCCTGCGCACTGGTCTGCTAGGCTGTGTGATTGAAGGCAAGGTATTCGTCTTGGGTTTGTATGAAGACAGACTGCGCCAGAAGGTGGAATGGACTGAGCATGGCCAGGAGATTGCCGAACACCGGTATTTCTTTGTTCAGCACTTGGTCGTCAGTCTCCTGAAGAAGGTGCCCAAGATCCACGATTGCACAGCATTTGATGTGTTTGTGAATGAAGAACATTTGCCGGTCATTGTCTTGGAATCATATGCTGCTTCGACGGCGCCTACAACGTCTGGTGGTCCGCCGCGTCAGCTTGACTCTGTTCTTCTTGATTCGCTTGCCGAGCGATGTATGGAGGTTCTTTATCAAGAACACCATCTCCGAGTCTATTGTGTTTTGATCACCGCCCCCAACAGTCTCCCTCGTGTGACCAAGAATGGTAGATTGGAGATTGGTAACATGCTGTGCCGCAAGGACTTTGAAGCCGGTATGTTGCAGGCTGTGCACGTCAAGTTTGGCGTGGAGCGGTCTGTGATGAACTTGCCCGTTGGTGTTGACCCCGAGGGTGGCATCTGGTCACCCCTTGCCCTGGCGTCCCGGCAAGATATCTTGGCCTACCAGGAGAAACAATATTCTGGTGTGGATTACAGAGATGTTGTTATGGATGATCGAACCTCTACTCCACTTAACCAGTTCAAGACCATTGTCGATCTCTTCCAGTGGCGGGTTTCACGCCAGGCTGAAGAGCTTGCTTATTGCTCCATCGACAGCCGTGGTAAAGAAGGCAAGGGCATTACCTGGAAGAAGTTTGATCTGAAGGTCTCCGCGGTTGCAACCTACCTCAAGAACAAGGTCAAGGTTCGACCCGGTGACCATCTGGTCTTGATGTACACCCACTCGGAGGAATACATCTATGCTGTTCATGCCTGCTTCTGCCTAGGTGTTGTTGTTATCCCGGTGGCCCCCATTGACCAGAACCGCCTCTCTGAGGACGCTCCTGCATTCCTTCATGTGATCAACGACTTCAATGTCAAGGCTATCATTGTCAACACTGAGGTTGACCATGTCATGCGGCAGAAGCTTGTTTCTCAACATATAAAGCAGTCTGCACAGGTTCTTCGCATTGGTGTACCGGCCATCTACAACACCACCAAGCCTTCGAAGCAATCACACGGTTGTCGTGAGCTTGGCTACACTATGAAGGATGCTTGGCTTCAGGGCAATCAAGCTGCCCTTGTTTGGACCTACTGGACTCCCGATCAACGACGGATTTCCGTGCAGATTGGGCATGATACCATCATGGGCATGTGCAAGGTGCAGAAAGAGACCTGTCAAATGACTAGCTTACGACCCGTGCTTGGTAGTGTGCGCAGCACTCTGGGTCTCGGATTTCTTCATACTTGTTTGATGGGTGTCTACGTCGGTGCTCCCACCTACCTCGTCTCTCCCGTCGACTTTGCTCAGAACCCAATGACGCTGTTTGTGACCCTTGCACGGTATAAGATCAAGGACACCTATGCCACCAGCCAGATGTTGGACTATGCCATGAGCACCATGGCCGGAAAGGGCTTCCAGCTTCAAGAGCTCAAGAACTTGATGATTTCTGCCGAAGGCCGTCCCAGAGTCGATATCTACCAGAAGACGCGACTGCACTTTGCATCCGCGGGCTTGGACCGTACCGCAATCAACGTTGTTTACTCGCACGTCCTCAACCCCATGATTGTCACGAGATCGTACATGTGCATTGAACCGATTGAGCTTTGCCTAGATCTCCGCAGTCTTCGCCGCGGTTTGATTTATCCCGTGGACCATGATACGGACCCAACGGCTCTTGTGGTCCAAGATTCTGGAATGGTGCCCGTCAATACCCAAATTGCCATTGTTAACCCGGAAACCTGCACATTAGCTCACGTTGGCGAGTACGGTGAGATCTGGGTCCAATCAGATGCTTGTGCCCAAGGCTTCTACAGGTCTACACAGGAGTTTGATGCTGAGAGAATGAATGGTCGCGTCGCAGATGGTGACCCCAATGTACCCTATGTCCGTACCGGTGATCTTGGCTTCTTACATACTGTTACTCGCCCCATTGGTCCTGGTGGGCAGCCTGTTGAGATGCAGGTGCTTTTCGTTCTTGGAAGCATCGGTGAGACCTTTGAGGTCAATGGCTTAAATCATTTCCCCATGGACATTGAGAACTCGGTGGAGAGGTGCCACCGCAACATTATGAAGGGAGGATGGTGAGTGTTTCTTCCGTAATGCGCTTTGATTATACACGAGCTAACCAATCTATCTACAGTGCCATCTTCCAAGCGGGTGGCTTGATCGTGGTGGTCGTCGAGGTCACTCGCAAGTCGTTCCTGGCATCTCTTGTTCCTGTGATTGTCGACACAATCCTGGGCGAACACCAGGTAGTCGCAGATATAGTCGCTTTCGTCTCCCATGGGGACTTCCCTCGCTCGCGACTTGGTGAAAAGCAGCGTGGAAAGGTTCTGGCTTCCTGGGTGACGCGTAAGCTGCGCACAGTTGCTCAATTTAGCATCCGCGATTTGGACGAAGATCATCCATTCAACCTTATGCAGCCTCGTGCTAGCCGTAGCTCCAAGCCTGGAAGCACCATGGGTCACAGCATCCGCCAGTCCAGTATCATTCCTGACGCTGACGTGCCTGCCGTGCCTCGATCCCCAGTCACTGCGGTCCCTGAGGACAGAGCTGTCACCTTGCAAGAGTCTTATCGGGACATGGCGCCTGTAACTCTGCCGGAACTTGACACTCGCACGGACAACTTTGTTTCCTCGACGCCCGTCCCTGCACCGACCTCGGCTGTACCTCACATCCAGGAGCCACAGTCCGCAACAATAGTGACGGAGGATGACGACCATTTCGATCATCACTTTGATGATCACCATTTTGACGATCACCGCTTCGACATGGTGGATGGTTCTAATGAACCTGGTCTTGGACCATCCCGCGATTTCCGCTTCAGCTTTGACATGATCAATAGCCCTGTCGAGCAGCTACCGCATAATCCGGTTCAACCTGGTGCCGAGTATCACCCAGCCAGGCAGAGCTCTCTCGCCGGTCAGCAACAACCCGGATATCATGGGGATGGCGCAGGGTATGCAGTTCCTAGCCATCAACAAAGGCCCGGAACTCAGGAAAGCGGCCTGATCGATGACTGGCCCCAGGAGGCTCTCATGTATCAGTCCGCCCTTGGCGGAGAAGACGCTCACCGAAAGCCCTCTGACGCTGGCAACCGGATTTGAAGTTTGAGTCATGAGTCATGAGTACCCGAGGCATGCCTGCCTCTGTACATGCCACTATGTGTCAGGTTCTCTAGAGTAAAAAGGAACGCGCATGGCTTCAAGAGCCGTTGACGACGCGATTGTTGTTTCGACTGTGGACTGATTTTGTTGGGCTGTTTCTCCCTCCCCCCCCCCTCTTTGTTTCCCCCCATTGTTTAGCATTTATGATCTTTTTTGTGATTCGTTGAAGAGTATTTACTTCGCATCTCCCTGAATACCTGATTTGCACCATTGCCTGCACTGTTACGTTTTGCATATGCGCTGGCTTGTTTTCTTGTACATAGCAATCACATACCCAAGCATTCACCTACTAAAAACCACATTCAGTTTCCTTCAATTCTCGGACATCACACTTTTAGGCTGAGGCTAATCGCACGCTCACTTGTGCTTTTGCACGACAGACTGCCCCATTTTTCGGATATGGTGGATTTGATAATTCGACGATATAAATCTTATTCTGTAGCGTAGTAATATTATTATGTTCTTCTACATTGGGGTTCTATCAGTTTGAATCCCCGACAAATTTTCAAAATTATCTTAGCACTCACTGGTTGAACGCTATCTGTCTATCAAGCAAGACAATCAGAAAGACCTCTTAAAAAAAGAGTGATTGAAGCATGTTTAGTTGGTCCCGTTTCTCTGGTTCTAGACTCAGACCTTTGAACAACTATAAGGATATCCTAACAAGAAGATCGTGATTCAGTTACTACGCTAACCCCTCAATGGGTGTGACTTTCAGTACACCAGTACCGAGGTGAAGACGATGGAAGGCTCCTGGCGCCTGCCGGAGCCTTTGGAATGAAAACCTCACAGGTCCTGCACGATCTGTGCCGCAAAGACCAGTACAAGGCTGCTCAGAACGTCATCATGGACTAGTACACATTCCGACATGCCCACAATTACGGACTTGGTCCCGAGGCAAAGGTCCCTGGAATCGGCCGCAAAGGAATCCCAGGAGTTGATCGCCAAACCAAGATTCCTGAAGTTACTATCGGAGGATACTCGTGCTGAATATGCCAAGACCAAGTTCGCCGCAAGTGAAAGGGCAAATGTTTACACGCTCTAGTACGCCTACCAAATCATGAAGACAGTGTCGTCGCTGTTCCCTTCCTCTGATGTCACCGAAGAGCCATTCAAGCTTGATTTCTATAACAGTCTGCATAGCGTTTGTGTTCTGATTCGGTACAACAAGGTCTTAAACGATAGCAAAGGCCAACTAAAGACGAAGAAACCGCAGGCCACCACAGCCATTCCGCCACAATATAGGGCATATAGCAAGGACGGAGATGTCCAAGGTGCCGCTAAAGCTAGCTTGTCCACCGATCGGGATACTGACTTTGATGCCTACTACTTTAGCGCTCTACGAGAGCACCAGCGGAGCACCAGCGGAACCTGATCATATTCACGCTGAAGAATCCGCAAGGCACCTTCGCGACTAAAGAAGCCGTCCGAATGCTCACCGAGAATATAGGTCGAGCTAGCATCAATACCGATGTTATTAAGCCCCCAAAGCCAATAGATACCTAACAGCGGAAGGGCCTGCTGGAACGCTGTGTTAGGGAGTACTTCATCGAGGAGAACCTAGTCTACGAGCCGACGGATATGCTCCTAACACCCGATGTCTCGGACAAGGATCTCATAGCCACCGAGGTCCTTGCTACTAGAGAAAACATTGCCAGTTCCAGGGAGGCAGATACCGAACGAATAGAGAATTCTATAGCGCAAACCAAAAAGAACATCCGTACCGAGATAAATGTACCAATCGGGGAGACTGCGTCTTAGGCGAAGCACGCTCAAGAGATAAAAAGCAAACCAGGTCTCCGCACATTCTATACCGCTCGAGGAAGCCTGCGAGTATGCCGGAATTCCCTTGATTAACAGGCAGCCAACTCTGAAGCCGGAGGATAACGATCTCAATACTACCACCATCCTACAGCCATAGCAGCCTTCGGGCATGGCCTAGCTAATACGTCAACTTAACAGCCCACTTCACTGTAGAGTGTTGTCCGATGCATGTGGATTAGGGAAGACATTGACGTCCCTCTCGTGGGTTTACTTTGCGACCCGGCGAATGATCTTGCGCAATATGCAGCGCCAAGAGGATAAAGAGGAGCTGATACCATATCATGCTTCTCTCATTCTTGTGCCTGCCCGAGTCATTATCCAATGGGTTGGACAAGTGGATCGGTTTTTCGGCAACCAGTTCCGGGTGCTGATTTTTTGGGGCGATCCCGATCATATCGGTGACGCGGAACGGAAGGAACGGACAATTGGTTCCCTTGATGATCTCCTGGACAAGCTCCATAATCTCGCTCCTGAGGACCCCAAGTCTGCCTATACTCTGGTCATATCTAGTTATGACACTTTCCGAGTCCGCATTAGGGGTCGGGGTGCCGATGCAGTTTTGCCCATGAGTTAGTTGAAGCCAGACCCGGCCCTTTTATGCCGCTGACATTGTGCACCGGCGCTGACTTACTTGGGCAAGATATTCGGTGAATTCCACGATCTCTGGAGGGGACTGCTGGGCTGATGGGTATGACTAGTGGGCAAAAAGGTGTGAGAGACTAATGTGAATGAATCGATCTTCCTGGGAGATGTAAACAGTGAGAAGGCAACTTGTCCCACTGAAGTATTAGAAGAATGTCCGGAAATTATCCTTGTTGACAAGAAACCCTTCCTAGCCACAAACCACAAGCTCGACAACTTGAGGGCCTGAGAGTTGGTGAAAGGAAGCAGAAATTTCATCACGGGGATTTCCTCTTCAGTGGCTTCAAGCACTTTGTACAGCAGTAACCATGTGAGTTGGGCCTGGGAATTGGCCAAACTGTTTCTCCCATCGAGATTGGAGTGTGATAGCGACCTCGGACAGCCAGACTTTCTGGGCTTTAAACACCGCCGCGATTCGCGGTCGCTGAACGAAGGAAAACGATGATGGCCATTGGTGTCGGATGGGGAGGAGTGTCGGATGGTTGTGCGGGTGGAGCCTGGTTATTGTTGCTCGGAGGGGCCAGGTTTTCAGAATGATGAGTTTCTGGGAGAGACATAACGTGATCTTCGTCGTGATCTTCATCGCTCTCATCGTCGTCGATATATTCCTCGTCTGTGTAGTCCTTGTCAGTGTAGTCCTCGACGATTTCATCCTCGACATCAGCTTCTGCAAATGCTCCAGATAAGCCCTACTCATCTGGAGCATCATCGTCGCTGCTGATGACGATAAGATCACTACTGATGACGATTGGCAGGGTGGCGGCTTCATAACAATCAGTCATAAAAGTCTTCAAGTAGAGGGGGTGTGGAGTGGGGTTTCTATAACTCACCTCCGGACATTTCGATCTGAGCAGGATTGAGAAACGGGACCAACTAGACATGCTTCAATCACTCTTTTTTTAGGAGGTCTTTTCAGATGTCTCTAGAATCATCATTCTTGATAGAACAGATACCGTTTAATTATTTAGTGCTAAGATGATTTTGAAAATTTGTCAGGGTTTCCAAGCTTATAGAGCCAATTATAGAAGAACGTAATACTATTACTACGCTGTAGCGTAAGAGTTGTATCGTCGAATTAGCAATTCCCATGCTCGTGGAAATGCACAGCATTTGGAATTGCTTTAGTCTAGTCAATTGAGATAGGTAAATTTGTTAAGACTAAAATACCAAAAGACAAAACATTATATCAAATCAAATCTCATATCGATTATTGAACTACTTTATGCAGCACTAAACTAAACTAAGCCGTGCATCAAATATTGTGATAAGGAACGTCCGTCAGTCGTTAATCAGACCTCATAAAAGTGCTGCGACCTGCAAGGGTGCAGGTAAACAGGAATTAGAGAGACAGCCTCCAGGCCATCGGTATCTCCATTATGCCGGAAGCTGCCAAGAATATAATTTTTTTGTAGTTGTTTTCGTCGTTTTTCGGGTTGCCCGGCTTTACAATTCACCTCCTCTTCCAAGAACCCGTATATGATCTGTGAGAATATCGAATTAAGAAAATCAAATTACTTTCTCACAATGTCAACGAAGGCATTGCTAGAGAGCTTAGATCAGGGCCAGAACGACAGCCAGAGCGGGGATGAAGCCGGTCAGGGATCGCTTGAACTGAGAAGAAGCTCCGTTGAAGGCAGGGCTGCTGGTAGCAGGAGCCACTGGCGCGGTAGTCTGGACTGCGCTGGTCACGGGAGAGGCAGCAGGCGAAGACTGAACCGGAGCAGGGTTTGTGGGAGCAGGGTTTGTGGGAGGAACAACGGGAGCAGTGGTGGGAGGAATAACGACAGTAGTTCCCGGAACCGAGGTAGGGTGAGGGCAGCCCTCACTGCAGGTAATGACTGAAGTTACAGTAATTGTGCTAGTGGAAGTCACGGGCTGAGTGATAGTGGACGAGCCAGTGACAACAGTGGTCCAGGACACTAAGAAAAATTAGCAATAGAAGACTTCAAGCGACGTGGGTTGACATACCAGGGCAAGTGGTTGTAGTATACACGGTGGTGATAGTGGTGGTGCTCTCGGGAGGAGGAGTTGTCGTCTCAGTCTCACAGGGAGTTGAAGTGGGAGGTGGGCCAGTAGGAGTAGTAGTAGTCTCACAGGGAGTCGAGGTTGGAGGAGGGCCTGTAGGAGTGGTGCTGGTTTCACATGGAGTCGACGTAGGAGTAGTGGTAGTCTCACATGGAGTAGACGTAGGTGTGGTGGTCGTAGTCTCGCAAGGAGTAGAGGTTGGAGACGAAGTAGTAGTCGTAGTCTCGCAAGGAGTAGAGGTTGGAGATGGAGTAGTAGTCGTAGTCTCGCAAGGAGTAGAGGTTGGAGACGGGGTCGTGGTCGTAGTCTCGCAAGGAGTAGAGGTTGGAGACGGGGTCGTAGTCGTAGTCTCGCAAGGAGTCGAAGTTGGAGATGGAGTAGTAGTCGTAGTCTCACAAGGAGTCGAAGTTGGAGATGGAGTAGTAGTCGTAGTCTCACAAGGAGTCGAAGTTGGAGATGGAGTAGTAGTCGTAGTCTCACAAGGAGTCGAAGTTGGAGATGGAGTAGTAGTCGTAGTCTCGCAAGGAGTAGAGGTTGGAGACGGGGTCGTAGTCGTAGTCTCGCAAGGAGTCGAAGTTGGAGATGGAGTAGTAGTCGTAGTCTCACAAGGAGTCGAAGTTGGAGATGGAGTAGTAGTCGTAGTCTCGCAAGGAGTAGAGGTTGGAGACGGGGTCGTGGTCGTAGTCTCACAAGGAGTCGAAGTTGGAGATGGAGTAGTAGTCGTAGTCTCGCAAGGAGTAGAGGTTGGCGGTGGAGGAGGAGTCTCCGTCTCGCAAGGAGTCGAAGTTGGTGGAGGAGGAGTGGGAGTATCAGTTTCGCAAGGAGTAGTCTCCGCGGTAGTATGGTGGCCTCCACCATGGCCCCCATGGCCACCATGGCCATTATCATCGCCACCTCCCCATCCACCATCATCACCACCGCCTCCCCATCCTCCCTCGTCGCCGCCTCCGCCTCCACGGGCAACGATACCGACGTTGCCAGCCATGTCTCGGGGCAGAACACTACCCGAGGCCAGGCTGGCGGCGTAGAGTATAAGAATCGAGACGCCACGCATCGTGTCTAGCAGAAGAGCGAGGGTTATGCTAGAGCTGAATAAAGGCCGGATATTTGAAGGGCAATCGGATAATTGCCTAAAACGGAAGTATATAGATAGCCGTTCCTCGATAACGAAGGACAAGAGGAACCGTAGCGAGAGAGTTCCTTTGGACAATTTGCTTCCAAGAGCCAAAGAAGAGGGGGTTGTCGTGGGCGATGAGGATGGCTTAATTTATATCTCAAGCCACAAGGTTCAGCGCAAACCGGAGTCTTCCTGCGAGGGGGCAGGGTGGCAGACAAGCCAATGGACCGATCAAGCCATCCGGAATTGTTTTTTTTTCTCGCTTTTCCCTATCTCACCATATTTCTGGGCCCAAAGCGTGCATTCATCACGCCGCTTCGTCACAATTCGTCCAGTGGGAGAGTCAATTCGTACGACGGTGGTACCGAAAAACAATAGCCAAGTCGACCCACAACTGGCACCTAGCTTGAAAAGGTAAGTGAACCTAGTAGGTGCAGCAGACATGGAGACTTTTCCGCTGTCTTCCATCGACCACGCCAGGCCACAATATGCACTAGACGTACCGTGAACAGGATCTAGCTGCAGGGCAAAAGTTAGTGGCACGCCTCAAGCCGGTTGGCTCGGTGACCTGTGCTTGATCGATGGAGGACATGGGACGTATCCAATAAGGGCGGGCGTAACCGAAGCATTGGAGACTGGTTCGGTCAATCATGAGAAATCAGAAGACCAGAATAGTCGTTTACCAAACTCAAAGAGGTCGACTCCGAGCGGAAGTGAGATCGAGTCAACCGATGATGTATATAGTCTAGCTTGGCACTGCGGCGGCGGAGGCCCGATGGGTACGATGGAGAGCTCCACTGGGACCATTGTCCACTCAGCGTCCATGGCCGTAGAGGGTTGAGGCTGCGACTGGGGACCGTGGCCATGGAATCCTTGTCGATAGGACCCGCCCGTCCTTTGTTTGGTCAAGATCATGGCTTGGTGGATCATGGCTTGGTGGCTCATCATGGCTGGGGTTGTGATGGTCCCTGGAATATTCTCTCCGTTCATTTTGGAAGGTGTCCGTATTGTACGTCATGAGATCTAATTGAGACGAGTGAGACCATTGAGAGACGTGGCGGGAGGTCCCAGACCTCTCTGCTTTCCTTTTTTTCTTTCAGATTCCTTCGGTTTTCTGTTTGCTGGATTAGCTTGGACTGCGATTCGTGGACCCGAAAATAGCTAAGTCGTGAGATGGGTTTCATTTGCTGGTCGGAGGTTCGAGTGCTTGTGTGGGGAAACCTCACGAATGAAAGGCCGGCCTGCAATGAGAAGCGTCTCCCGCCAAAGGAGGAGTCCAGAGATCCTACCGCACTTGGGCTGGAATGGATCTTAGCGAAGCACCCTATGACAGTTTGGGTGCATGATTATTGACGTATTGAGGTATTATTGGGAAAAAAATTGGAGTCCAGTATTTTGAGTTGCTGTAAGGCAGAGTCAATTCGAAGAATAACAAAAAACTTACCGAAGAATGATGATCCCCGCGCATTGGGGAGTTCTAGACCCATCACTTTCATCGATCTGCGAGGATGAAGTCGATATCGAATTTTTTGTTTTTGCTTTGTCTGGCTTTGTTGTCATATTTTTCTTGACTGTCCAGGGGTCTTGCGAGTTGCCCTGGTCCAAGGTGGGCCAAATGCATGCCACGAGTTTAGTTCCTGCAGTTCACCCGCTTTCCCCCGTCTTTCGCCACTGCGATAACAACAACAGTACATCCTCCGTACTGTAGCCAGAATCATAATTGTTGTACCCTCTGGGCCAGGTCCTTGGCAAGAGTGGTGCATAGCGGGTAGTGGAGCCTAGGAAAGCTCAGACGGGGGAGAATAATCCCGGAAGGATCAATAATGGAGGCCGGCTGTTCGTTCATCGAGCCGGTCCCTGGAGTCGTCCTGGACTTCACCTGCAGGTAACGTTACATGACAGAGAGAGTTGTCCCTGCCCGGTTTTGAGAGACATGATGGGCGATGATGTTAATCTGACGCCCAAAGGTGGGAAGGCGGGCACTGGGACGGGACCTGAGGACTGGGGGAATACTGGGGACGCCCCGGGGGTGGTGCGGTGTGGAGCAGTCTTGGGAAGGTTAACGACTCATCGGAGAGGACTTCTGACCTGGCTGCCGAACAGACTGAGCTCAACTGGCCCTGAATTGAAACTAGCGCGAGTTGGTGCAGGGTACTTCCCGAGTGGCGCATGCGATTGGGTGCGATATCAGCCATGCAACTGACAGAGCATTTCATGATGTCACAAAACAGGCAACTGGACAGACCTCAGAATCAGTATTATTGTCCAGTTGACCTAGTGTGGGTTAGTGCAAGTTAGTACTGACAAGTAATGGTCAGCCCTGATCGGGTGGTTGACGTGGTGAGGAAGTTTGGCGTGTTTTACCCCAGTCTTTCCTGTGGGTGGTTGTTCTGGTTAGTGGCGGCCGCATCCACCAGGCCAAAATGTCTCGGATGGCTGGCCGGTTTCCATGGCTCCTCCACTCACAACACAACTCGACAAGTTTTCACCACATCATTACTGTACAAATAGTTAATAGTATTACCATGATGCTATGAATCACAATCCGAGTCATCAATATATGCTTGTATTTTCCTACCCATTTTCAATTGGCCTGGTGCCACAGTCTTCGATAACTTGACAAGCTATTGCTGGGGGGGGTTGGCAGGGAGGCTGGTTCAGTGCAATATAATACCTCATAACGATCACAATAATTCCCAACCTCTCCTTCCAACCGGCTAGCTCGGATCAATTGGCCCAGTCCATAGGGTTCAACGGTAAGCTATCCCAGCCTCGTCCGTTGCCTCTGTTACTGCTGCCCAGCGTCTGGAAAAACAAAACGAATGGAGGATCTCGAGATATCACCTGACACCAAGAGCCCAATGTTCGAGAGGGGTCACCGCGTTGTCTCACTACTAGGGCCGACGCTAAAGCAAAGCAATAATAATGTAAAGCACCGAGAACACAGGATGTGGCTGCCCAGCCAAAGTGTCTTAAACTCTCCCATCGCCACGTAGAATTTGTAAGACAGATGTGGCTACAGTGGTAGTTCAAAGGTCCGAGTCTACAGACTAGAGAGACCACCTAATAGATATGCTTCCACTTTTTGTTTTTCAAAAGGTCTTTCTAAAGGTCATTTCAATCGTCTTTCGTGATAGCTAAGGTACCATTACCAAGTCTATCATTCAACTTGTGACTGATAAGATGATCTCACTGATCCTTGGTCATAGTTTCGAACTTAGGAAACCCTACTGTATTTGGGCACGGACTATGAAGTCTGTCCAGCCCACTGTATTTATGGTATTGGCCGGTTTGATCAAACGTGGGGGAAGGAGAATAATGAGGCGTGGAGTCGCAACCATGGATTTCGTATTTCTAGAAGAACTTTTACTCATGACTCCATGACTCAGCGCTGACGGTGGCAGCCTTGCTAGCTTGCGATACATAAGGGCGTCATGCGCTATTTTGGGGATGACCGGGGTAAAAAGGAGGGGGAATCCATAATTCGCCGCACGCTAGCAAAAAAGAAGCCATTGCTGCTTAGTTCATTATCGCGGTATTCAACGTTCGCTTGTAGACTACGGTAAAACTGGCTCGACTCTCGCCAATCTAATAATATGGATAGCCGAGGACGATGAAGTCAGAATCCCCATGGCCAACTTTGAAAGCCGGATTTTTCGGTCTAATCGTCGTCCTCATCTGACGATCCACTGCTCCATCCCGTCTCATAGCATTCCCGGATCTCGCCCAGCCCGTTGACCATTGCCTCTCGCTCATCCACCGATAGCATCCGTGCAGCGGTGGCCTGAATAGCCTTGATCCTGTCGGCTGTCCGAGTTGAAGCGGTCAATGCGGTAAAGATACTCAACCCATCAGCACTAGACGGCGACGCGGAAAACATGCCGTGCGGGAAACTGTCGATAATGGGTAGCCGGAGAGGGCTGTGGTAACTAAGACAAGAAGTTCGTATGTCAATGGATGGCGGTTGAAACTGTCTCAGTAATTGTCCGAGTCATACCTTTGTAGCATTGGCTCTGAGTTATACAAACGAAGCTTGCGAAGGTGACCGATGTCACCACTTTCGGGTGATTGAGTGGATGTCTCGGTTTCGTTGCCTCGCATCATCTGAACTTGATTGAAAATAGTTGCGGTCTCGGTATCTTGGTTGTCATAGGTGAAGTCAATGTCAAACTTAGTCTGAGGTTTTGACGAGCCCTCCGTATCGGACTTCGGGGCTTTCTCATATTGATTCTCTGGGTTGAAGGTCGACTGCAGCTCGTAAATATTGTGTCTCCCATCATCTCCGGCCAACGAGGCCTCAAAGTCATGGTATGGCCGCAGTCGAGACGGCAACGTGATCGTTTCCACAGCCGCACTCAATAAAGCAGACCTTTGCCATTCAGAATGGCGGTCTACGCTGATGTAGCTCGGGAGTTTCTGAGGAATATCGACAAGTGGCACATAAAGGTTTGCCTGGGGCGAGATCGAGTATAGCGACTTCGCCTTATTCGTGTCCCTCTTGAATTGGTGGTGCTATATTCCAAGTAAGTATGTTTCCTGCTCGTAGTTGGAATGGATATTCAGACTGACTCGCTGTACTCTCGTCCCATCTTCAATGGCCCAAATCCAGATACTCTTCTTGCCATAGTCATCTCGTAACCTATCGATGTACCGAGCAGCGAATCCACCCCATGCGTCATCGGACCCTGTGAAGAGTTGAATTGTTCGCATTTGGTCACATTCTTCAGCAAATGGTCTGACATCCCGATCCAGCAGGTCATGCTCCTTATCGAGGTCATTGAACAGGTCTTCACCAACGTTCCAATCCTCAAAAGGCATGACCTGGGAATTCAGCTCATATTCGTTAAGTTGGACAGCAGAACGTGGGTGATAAAAGACCCGATTGTAGTCGGACCAGTATCGCACCGTTTCTGATGTTAGACGTGGGGCGGTCGTGCCTTGATCTAAGCTTCTTTGATATTCGCTTTGCTGGATAGGTGCCTGTTTCTGTATAATCTCAAGGCCATCCCTGTCTTGATAGTCAAAATCATGCATGGTAGCTCGGCAAGCGTAGCGGGTTCAACGTACCACAAGCCCTGGCCGGCCATGGCGTCTTCTGTGAGCTCGTACAGCGCATTATGCTTGCGCAAGGTTCCAAATCCGCCTTTCAAGTCATAGATGACTGTCCGTGGAGTGTACGTCTCGGACCCATCAGCCCCGACACCAGGACGAAAGTGGACATCATGGTCCACTGGTGACTCTTCGCCTTCCTTGTATGTGAAATAAGATTCCTACTCATACATTAGAAATAAGAACGTTGAATCTTGGCGAGCGGCAAGAACAGAACAAACCTGGAGATTCCAGAAATGGGTCGCTAGGTAGTTCGCCCGCTGACCCAGTTGAAGCGTGACAATCTCATGCATCTCTGAGATTGATTCTTCTCCTGTGATCAATATGATGCTTCTCAAATTCGCTTCCTCATATTGTGCGAGTCCTTTACAGACGCACAGATGTCAATGGGCGACTCTCCCACTAGCGCTAATCCCAAATAGGCATATCTGGGCACGTGATGATTAGCTCCTCGTGATTTTGGGCTTAACCAAGATAGGAAAGGCGCAACGGTGTCCAGGGCAACAGTCACCTGATTTGTCCCAAGTGGGCAATAAACAACGCTAACCACCAACTGTGGGTGCGTCACTTGCCAATTGTCAACGTGATTTTCCCCCGTGAACCGATCTATCTCCTTTCCACAACAACGCCCTCATGATCGCTTGAAGACCCATCTCATACGCCGTTTTCCCTCGCCATTATCCGCGATGGATTCTCCAACGCGTCCCATCCTCAGTCCCACGAAGATCCTACTTCCGGTATCGCCGGAACGCATGAATCAACAAACAATCCCCGCCTCACCATCGCTGCCCACAGACCTGCTATCGCTGCACTACAAAAATACAAAGGGTGTATCCGAAGTTCAGGCCAAGGTTGCGTTCCTCAATAGCCTCTCGCGAGGAGGCAGTCCCGTTACCCACACCCAATCCGCCGCACACAATGCCGCCCTCCAGCGAGCCATTCTCGGTCGCGAAGAAGCCGAGTCTGCTCTGGCCACCGTGCAAGAAGAACTCTCCGAGGCGCAATCCCGAGAACGTCGAATCAGCGAACGTCTCGAGTCTTTGCTAGAAGAACTACATGCTGCCAAAGAGCGCCAAGCCCACGAACGGTCAATTTTTGAGAAAGAGATCCGCAAAGCACGCAAAGAGGCCTTCCGAGCGGGTTCGACCCTCGTTAAGCTACAGGAAGAACTCAAGCACTCCAAATCCGAGTCCAAGGCACTGAAAGATGAAGTCGCTGCGGAGCGCGAGTCCAAGGATAAGGCAAGACAAGAAGCATTTGAACGTGCGTATGCTCTTGCTGGCCTTACCGAAGAGCTAGAAATGCTCAAGGGCAAGCTACGATCGATGGAAGCTGCCAATAAAACTAAGAAGGAGATGCAAAGAGAAAACTTTGGGCGGGTCTCTCTTGTAGAGGGCGATCTTGCTTTCCTGGCAACCCCGCGACGACCCAAGCGCGCTGCTGTGGGATCGGTCAAGTCTCCCGTGTCCGAAATTGAGGCGGATGAGGTTGTGGAGGCCACTCCACCTAAGCGTCAGCGTCTTTCGGAATGTACGACCACTGCCGACACCGAAGAAACGGCTTCTGATATCTCGCCCTCTGATGCGAACCTCGAGGTGTTAGAGGAGATGAGAGATGAGCTCGAGCAGGAACGCCGCCGTCGTACCGAGGCGGAAGATATGGTGCACTTCTTGAATATTGAGTGCCAGTTCCAGCGCTGCTCGTGTCGAATTGCTGAGAGCCAGGGTCGTCGATACATCTACGACACCGAGTACTACGAGACCTTCCAGAAACCTCAAATTGAGGCTAAGGCTGAGGCTGAGGCTGAAGCTGCTCGTCACGCCCACTCTCGCCAGAGCCAAATGCAACAAAACCAGCTTGAACAAATGGCCCCTCACCCTCAATCAAGCCATACCCCGAGTGTCGAGCCTCCTACCCATGTTCATCACCAGCCAGCTCCTCAATCTGAACCCGTTTCCGGACCTGAGCCCGTCGTCAAGCCCGAGCCAGTGGACCTGCCCGAGAAGATGCAGATGCCGGAAGAGCCATTAGTGACTTTCTCTCCAGAGACGGGCACTTTCAGGACGTTCCCGTCACCTCTCCGCGATAACGTCCTGCCTCGGCGAACGGATTCATTCCCGATTCCCGATATGCCCAGTTTGAAGCCCTCTGTGAAAAGCTGGAGAGACTCGGCCGCGTCTTCCAACTACGCCCCCGATACGTTCTCACCCTCGGAAGAGCCGAGGACTTCACGGGCTAGCGCAGAGAACATTCTTAGCGAGGGCGCGAATGCCCGTCTATCGGTGGAGTCTCGACCCTCCAGACGTACCGAGCGAGATCCCTACAAACCAACGGTCTCCACCACGAAACGAGTTCCGCTTCGGGAAAAAGCTGGCACCCGGACTTCTGGCTCGTCTGGGCTTGTTCCAGACACTCCCATCAATCGAGAAGATGCCCTTGCCCAGATCGCGGCCCGCCGGGATCGTGCCCGGAGCAAGCAACGCTCCGTGAGTGCAAACGAAGCAACTGGTTGTTCAGGAAGCACAGCCACGGGTCGGGGCCCAAGACGCATGCCCAATCTACGTGCAGATGGCAAACCGGAAAACGACCTGGCTGAGCGTCGGGACCTGAGTGCTCCTGTCCGGATGTACCGAAGATAAATGGTCTCTACTTTTGGTCTCGTCTGATATCATGCTTCTATGAGGTTGTCGTTGGATTTCTTTTGTGTTCGACTGGTTCTCCTTTTATATTGTCTTCGTTTCAAAATACCCCGGCGCAGGTGCATCAAATTGCGTTCATCTTGCATTCTCGGCCTTGGTACTCGCACTATCCATTCACTTGCATCACTGTTGCGTGGCAATGATTTTGGTGCGTTATGGATCCTTGTTCAGCCACGGCGTTTTGTGTGATTTTTTTCCCTCTCTTTGCATTTCTCATGGCCTTTTATCCTTGTTCCTGTTTCGGATATCATGCTTCACACTCCTACTCTCACACTCCCTATCCATTTCTTTTGTCAGACTGTGTCTCATTTCTGTATATATGCATCTATCTGTGACATTCGGCCATTGATTCACTTTAATCCCCTACCTTCGATACCAGTAAACTCTTCGAGTATGATAGTGCGGCAAAGAGCCTTGCTTTAGGTTCTTGCTACGGTTGTATTCATGGACTGATCCTAAACAGAATCGATTTGAGCAGAAGGTCATTCAGTCGCTGGCCTTGCTGGTGAGACCGGCTTTGCAGATGTCTTCAAACCTCGACAGAACAGTCTTTGTAAACTCGGGATCTTGAAGTTTTTCGTCTCTTCTCCCTTTTTCGAAGAGTAGGCTTCGGATGGTTTCAGTTCACCTTTCATCTATTGAAGACTCTGGACACACCAAGTTAGTCATTACTTCATGTTCTCCCTCAGTTTGGATTCTTTTAATTAATTCACCTTCAGCCCTGATGACTCCTGAGGTTCACTTTGATCGAGCGAGCCTTTCCCGCTCTGTGAATGATTCGATCCTTGAATGCTCTTCACGCGGTTTCACTCATGTAGTAGACGGCTAGTTGATGTTAACACAACGGTGTCAAATAGTTTAATAGTGCGTGGAACGGCAACATGGCAACCTTTCCCAGAAACACCGCGGGAAAAAAAACCAGCACCCTTAGCGGCACCCACAGCCATTCCTGTTTTGGATTTTCTCTTAGACTTGTCCATAGCGGACACATCGGAATCATTTCTGGCCTGTATTCGTGTGGTGGTAGTATTGTCAGTTGACGAAAGAGAAAGTAAGGTGGTTGTCTTTTATCTTACCTCTCGCTCATTGTATGCCTCCGAAATATGGTTGACAGTTGGCTTGACAATGGCTTTTACCAGGTGCCTGCCCAGTGATCTCTTAATTGGATCAGAGGCTGTAGCCTCGGGAAAAACTTCTGTCTCGAAGTTTACAATTTGGTATTCTCGACGCTTGATCCTGTTCACGGCGTTAATTAGAAAAGAAAATCAAGGGCAGTTAGTCTCAATGGGTGACCAAATACAGTTTTAGCTCAGATCTCCTTATCGCATTAGATCTCACGAGCACTGCTGCTGCTGCAGCAGTCGAGAGTTGAACAGTAGACTGGCTTTTCTCAATCTGATATACTGCAGGTGATGTTTTGATGAGGCCACATTGCATGTCTTGCCATGGGAAGTGGCGATGGAACGAGCCCACGGGGTTTGCCAGACCACCCTCCTTCTCAATTTACTATTTAATGTGATTGCATACTTGCTGAGTTTCGGGTTGCATACAGTGGCGAATCGCCGGGGTAATCGTCTCGCTGAAAAGATCTTTTTCGTGAATAGGAAGCGGCCCTGCGCTTACTTCGGAGACAGCATTGGCCCAAAACGGTTGACTGTGACGAGATTAATAGTCAATAACAATTGTTATGTTTGAACCGAGGATCTCACTCTCGGATGACTGGGAACGTGACCATCGGCTTTCCATGTCGAAGGCCCATGGATACCATATCAGCATCACCGTGTGTGATAAGAACCTCCATTTTGGGCATCAACCACTCTACAAAGAAACATTTAACACAATTATTACTTTATTCTAATGAATCAACAGCCCACTTACTGATCGGAACATCTGCAGCACGAAGATATTGGAATCTGAGACGCCCCTCACAGATTGGAAATGGCCTGGGAGTAGGAAGGTGAACCCGTATATGCTGGAAGTTTCTCTGAGGAAGTAGACAAATCTTTCTGGGTTGTTGAAAAGATCGATATGTGCTGAGACATAAATTGGAATGACTGCAGTTTCAAGGAATTGGACAAGATCATCAGGAGGGCTGTATGAAACCCCATGATCCACGGTCACGTACCCAGAAATATCTGTCGGTGTAGTTAGGATTGGAAGTCTAATACTCTCCATTTATGCCGATTACCTATCTTATTGCTCCAATCTTCTGGCCGTGGAATCAAAGCCGAAGACATGAGATATGTGTGAGGGACATCGAGCATCCGTAATAAACCCCACGTTGTTCTCAAGCGGAATTTGTGACGGCCCTAGAGTTGTTCGTCGGAAATAATCCACAACGTAGTATATCCTAGCCAGTGTGTCAGAAATCTTCTCTGATCCCATAGTTTTACCCATATGCATCACTTACTCATGCCAGACACACTCTTCAAACAGAATATGGGAGAGATAGTTCTGAGTCTCCTTATTGACTGCGTCGTTCAATTTAACCTGCGCTAGTGGATGCGCGAAGCTTTTCGTCGGGGTCCGCGGAGTTGTAGACATTATATGCAGGGAATCGATATCGCTGCACAATGAATATGGGGGTGGGCAAGAGGCGTCGCAATGATTGCGTCAGCTAAGAAAGGTTGGTCTTTCCGTCGCCCTGGATTTGTACTTGCAATCCAGGACGCTCTGAGGGTATCTAAAAGCATCTTGCTGTTTCTCTGCTAGACATTAATTCTTCCTCCGAGCGCATGAGGTCCTTCTTTTCTGACATTCTCAAAATCACTTGGCACAATTGAATGAAAATTTCCAATAATCGTCGTCAACCCCGCCAGGTGTTTGCATTAAGTCTTCAGGAATGCAGACAGACACTAGAACTTCTTTTCTCCTAGGCAGCCGTGTTCTTATTAGATATAAGTCTCTCGGAGTTTATTCTCGGAGACGCACCGAGTGACTAATTTAGACTGTTGGGCAGGTGTGCTGGATTTTTTTTTTCTAAGCGTATAAGCCAGCGATATTTTCTAGTGGATATACTTATTAGATTTGATATTTCATATGTATAATTTTTGGCTTCGAGAGTGGAGTTAAAAGGTTAATTAATGGTTGAACCCGAATCCGAACCCGAATACGGTATCCCGACCCGAAACCCAAAATCAAACTAGAAAAAGGAACTTTAAGGTTGGAAACTTGACGTTTGTAAATCAGATAATGGGCCATCTGGGTAAGGCGGTCAAATTTAATCCTTGACCTGCAAATGAATGCTGCCTGCAGAAAGTCTGTGGTGTCCTATTATTATGTGTTGCGCAATTTAAGCATATTACGCCTCTTTTGGGTGGGTGGACCAGTTTCGCTTCTAAATCTTTTCTGATACTCATTATATTATTATCTACTAGCTCCAAAACTTATGTTCAGTGTCATATCATTGTACATTCTTGCCAGGCGGCAATTCTAAGCTGACTGATTTCTTCAGTCAACCGCTCAACCCCGTTTCTGAGGCTTGGCTAGCTAGCTAGTTGTTGATCTTTATTCTAGGCGAACCATTGTAGGATCTTCGCCAAGAAGACTCAATTCAATCTCAATTCTAACCTTTTTCCAACCTGGATGGATTCACCATCCCGGGCTTTCAGCATCACTATGTAACTGCCTAAAACTGATACACTCTATAAAATCCCGCTTGATGAACTCGCACAAGCTAGGAAGACAACCAACTCTTGCTATTCAGCTAATTAAGCTCATCATCTATTATATTCATCGTTTCTTATTATGGCTCCCTCACAGTGTGAACTGTATCCATATATACCTAGTCTTCCTTTGGCGGTTGTCGCTATCATTCTTTACTATGCCCTGGTTGATCCATGCCTTTCGTATGATTCAGACAAATGCATGGATCAGTGCTTTCTTCTGTCTAGGAGCTCTTGGTAGGTGAACCTGTCCCATGATATAAGGCCGATTTGCTAAAGATTTACAGCACAACTATCCGGCTACACGGTCCGCGTATTTTCGACTTGTAATCGAGCTGCCTTTTCAGTTCAATCAGTCCTTTTACTACTCGGTCCGACTCTCATTATTTTTTCCGTCAATTTGACTCAAATAGAGTTTGCCCGAGTGATTGAAGGAGAAAGGTTCTGCTGGATTCCAATTTCATGGCAACCAACGCTTTATTCAATCTCGAACGCTGTCTTAAGGATAGTCCAACTTGTGGGAGGCGTCATAGCCACTGCATCTTCATCTATCGAGACTATCGAGGTGGGAACCAAGATTACTATCGCTATCTGCGTGATACAACTGCTCTTTTGGTTATTTAATCTTGCGGAAAATACGTACATGACAATCAAGCTGCGTCACCAGCCAACGGAGGCCTGCAATAGCAAATTCCCGCATTGGAAACGCAGGAGTCGACTTTTTGGCCTTTCTGTGTCCATTATCGCCGCTGGTCGTAATGTGATGCGATTGACGATGGCGGGCAGTGTTGCATTTTGGTGGATAATGAGTGGCCATCATATGTATTTGATGGCTATCAAATGGTGATTATCTTGGGTGCTTGGGCCGTATGGTACCTCCAGAGAAACTTGGCAAAGTCCGTCCCAGAGTGAGTTATACGAGTTTTGCGGAGCTAGAAAGAGCAGATGGGAGATCTGTTTGAACTTGGGAGTGGATGTCATGTTTTTAGTCTAGATAGGGATGCAGTTTGCACTTCCTTGATCTCAATGTATTTATTCGTATAACTCTGATCTCCAATTGTAGGTGTAGTTGATATGTAGTGTATGACGGATTAAAGTCCTTACGCGGAGCGCGGTTGACCACTTTGAAAGGAGAAACTTATGCACTTTGAAATGTGAAAGAGTAGACCATGATCGGAATGTCATGGCAGTTGGCATAATCCATGAAGAGTATCTAAACGAACCCACCGCAAGAGCAGTCATACGTTGTTTTATTCAGCCTATGGAAGAGAGGTTATTTTGGGTAGAATGTATGCGCCTCATATCTTGCCATATAGAAGTGTTATATAGACCGGAATATTGGATACAAGGAAAATATGTACAGATGTATTCAAGCAGTAGATCCGGGCAAGCATCCGGGAAATCGTTGGAAATCTGCCTTGGTTTGTATTTTGAAGGGGATGTCCCGATAGGAAGCTGTCGAATGAATCTTTATAAAATAGAAATGCCGCAGCATCGGATACGAGCGCTATCAACGTACGCAGAGCGCCCCCACCATAGAGAGACCAGCTCCTCGACGAAAATCCGATCTGGGGCACTCCACACATCGAGACCCATCTCTGCCATGTCGGCAATTGTGACGGTGATAGGATCACCCGCGCCCTGAATTTCATGGGCTGAACTGCGGTTGGTGTGGTTTCCGTGTGATCTTTGCCGGAGGAGCGGCGTATTTCCATCGTCGCCGCTGATCGACTGCCGTGACATAGACAGTGACAAGTTTGTGTCATCATTTGTTAGGTCATCGAGGTACGGGGTGTCAGTGTATGATTCACCCGGGTCATTCGCGTCTCGGCAGTCACCATCGTGCCGAGCAATAGCTCCAGCAAGAGTGAAAAATATCTGGGAGGTGATGCGGCGGAAGTACGCTACCAGCGCGACCTCCGGGGACTCCTGGACATGGTCTTCGAGATGCATTGAGCGACGGCCTGTGTTTGTACCAGGATATGCAAGACTTTCCACACTTGCCAGAAGCCTGGCGTCTTGTTCGATTTGATGTTCCTCCTCTTCTTCAGATAGGCCGTCACGATTTTCGCCCGCTGAGGCCCACCAGATGAAAGATGTATAGGCGAGGCGGGTCCAGGAGAGCGGCTCAACCACCGGGCTGGACGAGTATGTTGAGTCTGCGTCAGATGAGCCCGAGTCTGGGGAGGTTTCACGGTCATGAGAGAACTGCCGAAGGCCTCTGCGAAGCATAGCATATCGACGGGCATCACGTTGCGTTGCTTTCAAGTTGACAGTCTGATTCGAATTGTGTTTGGTGCTTGAACGGTCCACCAAGCTAATGCTGGGGAAGGCACTTTCATTGGCGTGCTGGGAGTATGATGGAGGGAGAGTAATGAGAACATCGTAAAGATCAGGCTTCATGCTCAGAACCGTGTCTGTTGAGCAGGCAATCCAGCTTGGATCGGTCTCAGGATCCAGTGTCGCCCGCGACGGGTCGAAAGAGGCAAGATCAGGGATATCATGAATGCCCACATTGAAGAGGGGGCGGGGTCGCAGTGGCGGAATCTTGTCATCAGGTAGGACTTGTAGTAAGGAATTCGGAAGAGATGCCAACAATGATAGGTCATAGACTACAATCCTGTCAGCAATAATGATTCCCAGCTTTGAGTTTGAGAGGAAATACCATAATTGCATGGTGTGTGCACCGGTGCTTCGGCCATAATGAGAATGCGCTTGCGTAATAGCGCCGCTCTGTATAGGGGGAATATCAAAGGTCCGAACGATTCGATGAAATCAGGAAGCGATGAGGCAGGATGAAAAGGTGTCAGGGCCGGCCTGGAGTTTTCCAATACTAGCGCATCGCTGAAGGCACGGTTGCGGTGCGCGCCTGGTCTATCGCCTGGGCGGAATCGCAGGCTAAGGGGCGAGTCAATCGGCGAATCCGGCGCAGAAGACTCAGGACCTCCAATTCGGAACGAGTCCCAGTAATCAGACAAGGATTGCATGTCAGACATGTCCGTCGCATATTTCCTATCACGCAAGTTCGGCGGTCAGCGGTAAGCTTGCTCTTTGGCATTGAGGCCAGGTATCACGTACTGCGTCAACTCCTTCAATCTTGGGGCATGTCTCCAACTTTTCCCCAGTCTCCCTGAGCTGAGTGGGACCAAAACTCCAATCGCAAACATTTTGGCATTGCGTTCTGCCTCTTCGGCGGGCTGGTTGAGGAACGCGCTGATTCCAGCATACTCTTCGTGAACGAAGTAACTAGAGGAGAGATGTCCAGTTAGCAATCTTAGATATGAAGCCCACGCAATCTCCAGACAGTCTTACATCAAATCCTCATGCACATTGTGTAGCCCGGAGGGAAGCGACTTGTATTCCACCACCCCTTCCACCTCGACTATGCGGGCGTCCCGTTAGCCTTGCACGTCAAGAAGCACATAGAAGCTCGGCAAACGAGTGGATGGAATCACTTACCCCCTGGCGCAGTTCGTTTCCATGAGACCACATACCTGCGCAGTGCACGCGCATCAGCGATTCGCCCACCCCGAGCTCTGAAGCTCCAACGAGGGGGATTAGGACTTACCCGGTCCTGATGTCGAAGCGGATGACGAACAAGGCCGCAATGCCTGGGGGCGACTCCATGGATGCGCGTGAGACGTCAATACTGGAGGGTTTCCTAGGAGTATCGGAGGCCATGTTTGGAAGAAACGCGACACTCGGGCGCCATTTAAGCAGTCGGGGAATCACGGTTGTCGGTCGGTCGATTGCCCGAGGGGGTTATCGGGGGATAAGTTCGGAATACGGGGAGTCGTAATCGTATGAGGAGCTGTGGTGGCCTGAGGCATTACACGGAGTAGTAGGTGCCTGACCGCTCAGGACAACAACAAAAAGTATAGAGTAGAGAAACTAGTCAAGTACATATCCTTGTGTGAAATGCGTCTAGTGAACAATAATCTTATCTTAAATTCAATAATATGTATGAGAATACAGATCTAAGCCTCTGCAGAATTTGAGGCGAAAGAACGGGCGTGTAGTAAGCGCTACTTGTCAATTATTACAACGAAATCATCTATCATGCGTCCTTGACTATAATGTACAAAATCGGTGCCACCGACTCCCTCAAAAATCTGGTTACTATCCATAATGTGCTTCAAATGTTCAGCAATATCAAGGGCTTCCTCACGAGGGTGAAGGTGGACTTGGTTCGCATCCGATTTCGATTGGGAGAAGCTTATTCATTGGGTCATAGGCTACCTAAATATGCTGTGAGAACAATGCGCAGTCAAGACGCAACAGAGGACGGGGACCTACCTATCCTAAATCGAATCGTAAACCTCCGTTGTGGTGTCGTCTGCTGCGGCAGTATCGGCGTCCTCTGCGGAAGTGTTCTCCGAGACAGTGCCGTCTATAGTGTAGTATTAGCATCGAAGTTAACTTGTAAGCGCATCACTCAAGTGACCAGAGATATCTAACACCTAGTGGAGCGTTAGTCTGCCGTTTACGTACGAAGTTTATCCATAGTAATAACAGGAAGCGAAGCCACAGTATGCTCGATTTTTGAAACGGATCCTATCGTTGAACCCAAGGCGCCCTCTGGAATGATTGCGCCACAGACGGTACTGGCGAGGGCGAGAGCAGCAGCAATATTAATGAGATTCATAGCTTCGAAAAAAGGTGTTTTTCTAACTCCGTGGATTAGAGACGGAATTAGGCTGTTCACGGGTGGGAAGAAGGTTGTTTAAATAAATCCCCAACCATAAACGCCTAAGTTTAAAGGCCAATATTGTAACACATAGATTCATTCCTGACAAACCCTGGTTAATGATCCCGATCATCATCGGCTCATTTAACTAAACGCTGCGATTCCACATATGTAACTCGCGTTTACTGAAGCCGAGGGTGAGCGGTGATTGGTCAGGTGAAGTAAATATTGACCTGCCTTATTTATGCAGCCACATTGAACCAGAATCCTACATGGCCGAGCCGCAAATTCTACAAAGTCCGCCATTTCACTTTTGTTTATTCCTGAGAGAGGAAGTAAAGACTAAGAGATTCTTCCATAAAGGTCCGAATATCTTGATACTGGTACAAAGTAGATTGGTAATTCTAATCCGTAACAGGAGGCTCTCATGCTACTAAGGAAGGCACTCGACAAGTTTCGTGGCCAGGTAGTAAAGAGGCAGGACACTTTAGCCTTGTCGCCTACTTTGGACTCTGAATAAATTAAAAATAAGGATATTGATATGTAGTGTATTAGTCCCCCCATGATAAGGACGCTTATTTAAGCCCTTGAGATAACAGAAATATGTAGCCAATTCTATGCAGTGTAGATAAATAAAGCTAGCCCTATTTTAAGTCACAAGTCTTACAGCCCTGCCTCTTTTGATAGGTTTGAAATATGGGAAGCGCTTACATTACTAGAGGGGTGGGGTTAAAAATTATCAAGGCCAATCTGAGGATCAACAAGGGTTATCATCATATTCCAGGTCAAACAATCACTCCTCCCCTCCGATGGCCTAGTTAGTCTCCATATATTGGTGACCATTGGCGTGCTCTGGAGGAGTGGGCAAAAAAGAAGAAGAAAAAATACTGGGCCAGTGTTGACGCTTCGAGTTCCACGGACGGCCGGGCACACACCCCTAGGCAGGGGGAGTACATTTTTTTTCGAGAGTTTTTGTCAATATTCATTTTTTCTAATAGAAACTCATCTCATACTGTTTAATTATATTGTTTTAATGTTTAACGGGGTTAGTAGTGTGTAGAGGGTTGTATCAAACGGCGATGTTCATTGGTGTCCTTGGATGGCGATGCAGTAACACGGCAAAGTATATAGGGAACTTGACGGTTAATGTTTCGATTCATGGAGGGAGAGAATTTATCAATTTCGTATTTTAGGCAAGTTTTGCCTTTAAGTATTCTCAACGTTGTCTTGTTGAACAGAGAAGCCCCGACTACAGCACATGGTATTGGCGTCAATTGTCAGATAAAATATTTAAGGAACTAATTGACCCGAGTAATTGTAGGATCTCTATCATTAGAGACCATATCTGAGATAATTATGATTCTCAGATTGAATATTAGGGGCCAGTTGCTTCACAGGCTTCATAGTCATCCCTTGCCGGTGGATCCAGAATGTACCATAGATCTACTTAGCCGACGGGCACATTCTTTCTTGGAATCGGACAGAGTATGATTCTGCACCCTGCATTCTCGAGGCTATCGAGAACTTCGCGATAGCCACTGGCGCTTATCACAGCCCCGGGAAAAGGTAACATGGACAATTGTAGTCCCCTCTTTTGGCGGGAGCCCCTTCTTTGTTCTGTTCAATAACACAGTACTAAGTATCTGGCCATCGCGAGAGTAGATTTGACTACATTGCATTTTCATCTCTTCAAGATGAAATCATTTGGACAGATACGTGACCCTGAAAATCAAGCCCGTGTTTGTTCGCTCTGAGTACCGGAGTTTCTGCGCCATCGCAACTTTACACCAAGGAAAGAACCCCTTTTATTGACCAGGTACTACTTAGGCAAGCACGATCGACGCGGCTTGAACTTTACTACAGTATCTCCTCATTGCACCATATTTATCCGCCTGAACCACCTTATCTCTTAGCATCTATTAACTGCCATTATACGAGGCGAAATGCTCGATACAGCGCTAATAACGACAGCCAGCACGGTTGCAACATTTCTGAGCACGTGAGGATATTGATTATCCGAAGTGACGTAAATTGGTTCTCCAAATTCATCAAAATCGACAACTCAAGTTTATCAGAATTGGCCACCAGAATGTGTAGCCACCGGAAGTCGCCTAATTGACCACCAGAATTCATCATAATCAACCGGTTGAATTCACCACAATTGGTCTCCATTTGTCTTGTTGACTTTCCCAGAATCAACCCAACCGACCATCCGAATTTACTCGAATTAGCCACCTAGACCGGCCACTCGAACTCTGATGCCCGACTAATTCAAGTGAATTCCGAGATCCATTTCAGTGGCCGATTGTGGACACTTTGCGGAGTAGGTTGATCAATTTTTAGGTGAAGTCAGGTGTATAGTTTGATGGATTCGGATCGCCAATATATCACATTCTGACCGACTGAATTCACCTATTATGACCACCCAAATTGACGAACAGTTTGTACGAACTAACCGTCTAAATTAGCCACTTTCGATTGCACTAGAACTCACAATCTGTTATTTCTTTCGGGTTCCCTGGCCGCTGTATACGGTTTTCTGGTAAATCGGGTCGACTTGAAACACCCAGGTCGAACAGTATGAATAGCTAGATGATTGCATTTACCCTGACCCCGCTCAGCAAAGTTGATTATCAACCCCACCCAATAGATTGAATGTGGATTCGTATTTCACTCTAATGGTAAACCAATTGGTATAATGATATGCAGGCAACTTCAAATATAGTTTAATCTGTCAATGGAAGTATGATTGAGGGGGAGTGGTGAATTAAGGAGAGAAAAATGGACTTCACTGTATATAATAGCGGATTAATTGATGTCACCAAGGCTCCATGCCGCTAAGGGATGAGTTTTGACTTTAGATTAAAATATATTTCCATGCAACGTGGTCAATGGAATCATTTGGAAATTGTTTTTCCGAAACCATCCCACTATGGTGGAAAGAATACGTATTACTTCAACAACCGTGCGGCCCTCACATTAGCGCTCACTGTCGATCATTCGCTGGTGACCGCACTGTTCAACAATGTACTATTTTAGGTTAATTGATGATTTTGTTGGTACACCGATCAGGTCACTGAGTCTCGGCCCGGACTGACATTTACTCAGTGAGTCTGACTCTGAGCGCTCTGTAAAAGAGACGTCATGAAAGACAGGAAAGCCCCACCTGGCAGAGGAAAAATACTAGGTAGAGTGACCTACCTAATTCAGAAAGAAATAGTAGCCAAAGGGTCAATCTATTAGACTTCATCCCTTTAGGTAGCCACTTTGCAGCTCACATCATCTATGACATAATTACCATGGGTAAGCTAGGCGACACGGATTAAATAGAAGCGATGTCATTCTACAAAGAATTGACTGTGTGCCGGACGATAAAAATGTATGTCATGTTTGATATAGTGCAATCCTTGAATTTGTACTTCTTTGGCATTTCAAGCGGTACCTTGGGAATTGAGTCTTTAAACAACTTGAGGACAGCGTCGTTGTACGAGTCGGACCTGATGCTCCTGTCTATTATACGCTCACATTCTCGCCTCAGATCGCTGGACACAAAATCAAGGAGAATCTGAGACTAAAATTATGATATTCTATTTGCAGGTCATACTACTATAGGGGTTGGAGAATCTGACGGGCACAGTTGAATAGGAAAAGATTCTATTCGGACCTATTTAATACATGATCAACTCTGAAGGAAAGAAGCGAGAGATGGAAACTGCTCATTTTACATGGTGGACAACGTGGCTGTGTGGCCTTCAATCAACTTCTAGAGTAAAGTATCCAGTCTTGCGGGAATGAAATGTAGCATTACCCTCCAATTTTTCGCTTATTCGCTTCCAAGAATTGCTCCTGCTCTAGCCGGCTCTTCTTCAGATCCACTCCCTCGAACAAGATCACGAAACTCAACAGGCTCAATGCGAACAGGAAGTAAAATGGCATCGATGTATTTCCGGAAGGCGAGGCATCGATAATAGCGCTGGAGACAATTGGTCCAATGAATGAGGAAGTTTTTCCGACAATGCTGAACAGACTAAAAAAGAGATATTCATAGCCTCGGGGAGTCACTTCGGATATCATAATTTGCGAGTAACTGTACCAGGGGCAGATCAGGAGACCGTAGAAGGCTTGGTAAAACTAAAGAGATTGTTATTATACGCACGACCCGGTACGGAGTCTTTTCTGTGTAACGAAAGGAAGACAAGGGAGATCAGGAACTTACCCACACTTCCCATTCGTGATGGAAACCAAATTTGCTAGTCCAAATGCCTATCATACCCCAGCCGTCCAGGAGAATGATAGAGAACGCAATAGCATTGAACATGGTCTTTGTACCGAATTTATATTGTTGTTGGATGAACCAGAACGCGTAAATTCCAACAGCCTGCGATAGCAAGTTAGATCCCGGCTTATCAGTACTCCAGATGGTACTCACCTGGGCTGCGATGCCAACGATCAGGAGGTATGTTAATTGTAATGTATTGTATGCCACAATGCTATTTTGCAGAGTGGAAATCACAGTAACAGTCGTGTTCAGAGAATCACCCAGCAAGAAGTAACCTTAGAGTGAAGTCAGTTTGCAGTTCAAGCAATGAGAACCGTTTATGTTACCCACCAACAAGATATAGCAAGGCCTGCTTCAACTGGAAAACCTGACGTATAGTATACGAAAGCCGCGACAACCCAGCGAGAGCAATATTCCTCCTTCCAGGATCCTGACCAGGTCTCCTCTTTTCCAAAAAGAACCAAGGCAACGAAAAAATCAACCAAACTCCACTCGCAAAAGCAATAAGCACACTCAACCCCCAATTATTGTTCGCCGTGCTCGCATTAACATCAACCCCAAACATGATCCCCACAATAACAGCCAGAATCCCAACCTCCCCCACCGACTGGACATAAAACGCAACATTCGCCAATTGACTCCTCTTCATTGTATCTGCAAATTCATATTCCTCCCTCGAAATTCTACCAGAAGCAAGATCATCAGCATGAGTTGTCATTTCCACGGTATTCCTAGCAAGGGAAGGGAATGCAGCCGTCCAAAATGTCAATGTAGTTTGGTAGGCGATCAGTCCGACGATATAGAGACCGACACCTATATGCCACTTGTCTTCGGTATGGACACCCAACCAGGCGAGGCCGATCGCGTACGCGATTACCGAGAGGGCAATGAGGATATTTGGTCTCCAATTTCCGAAATCGGCGAAGCTGCCGATTACGAGGAAGACCATAATCTGGATTGCGAATGAGATGCCGTTGCTTAAGAGAACGACGCTGTTGATTGATCGGGTTTTGCCGAGGAAAACGAGGGTTCCGCTTTCTCCGGCAGCTTGGTAAAGGAGGTTTTGGAAGGCTGTTGGAGCAAAATCTATGTGGCGTTTAGAAATGAAGGGATTGATAAAGCTTGGTACTTTTAGCTTACTGAATAGGGACAGTCCATTGTTTCCGATGTAATAGCTATTGTAAAGATTAGTTATTGCTTCATTATAAGCTTATTGATCACGCACGCATAATATGCCCAGATTTCGCGTTTGGTCGTGCGATATTTCTCGTCAATTTGGCCTGGCGCTACGGCGATGTTCTTGTCCAGCACCTCGTCAGCCAAGATGAGTTGTTCAATTACCGTACGTGGTGCAACTTTCGGATCATCCTTAGGAACTTGGTCGGTGCCAGTCATAATGTATTGTTATTTTAGAAGGCAAAGAGAGAAAGTATCTTAGATATCGCAATCATGAAATATCTAGTTAGTATTAAGTGATCTTTTATTCGCTCTTATTAATCCAGCAGTCTCTGGTATCTTTTGGACGCATTGACGGTGTATCAATCGGCGAATCTCAGAAACTTCCTTTATCAGGGGCTATGATGAGCTGAGAGATAAGAATAATAATTCAGCTTCGAGTCTGCGGGGTATATTTCGGCAGATACGAAGATCAGTAGGCTTGCGATAAGATTATATGGTGGAGGATCCAAAATAATTAGTGGGGGATTTACATGTGCATGACTGGGTGCTTGGCTAGATGTATGATAAGCTGAGCTACGCAGTAGAAGGGTCTTTCATATACGGGACCGACCTGCCAAAAGAGGAAAGCGGGTCCTCCCGATAGCCGATACAAGATAACGCATTCTTCTTTTTGGTCGACTCCACACTGTATCAATCGGCGTGGCCGACCGCTAAGCCGTGCCTTTTCCTTGCGAGCATTAGGAAGCCCATTCCACCGTCCAGAGCCAGCGCGCATCCTGGGAGAAATTTACCTCATTCAAATCATCTAGGATCCTACTTAGGAACCTCGAGGCCACTTACTTCAGTACTATTCAATTGCCATATTCGATCCCATGCTCTTGCTCAAGAAGTGGACCTTGAGCTCTGCCAAAAACATGGACCAAGAAGAGATATTTAACCCTTCAGTGTGTACAAATGGGAATCAAGACTGTTCTAGAATAACCGGAAAGCTCACATATGACAGATTCATCTGAACTACTCACCACCTGAGAAGAAGATCACAATGCAAGACTTGCTCTTGGATCAGAGCGCATCCGCTTCTTCTATTGCAGGAACAACACCATTTCCACTACTCTCACGTGAGGGTGTAAGGGCATATAGAAGGGCCTTGTTCCAGCAAAAGGTCCTTGATCGATGTGCGAGCTCGCCGTTCCCAGGCACTTTAGTTCTCCGTGATGCAGCGAAAGAATCGAACTTCATCAAGGATTTCTGGACACATCCTCAGACAATGAGCATAGTGTCTGAAGTTATGGGTGTTCCTTTGAATGTGGTTATGCCTACAGAAATTGGACATACTAACGTTCAAGTTGAAGGTGCTACTGTTTCGGAAATGACGAGAAAGCTTAAGGTTGAACCATCGGTCGAAAAGGTGGAATTGAGTGCAGAGGAGCGGGCCTACAACCCATTGAAGGATGCTAGCGCTATTATTCCATGGCAGTCAGTCCATTCTCGTCACCTTGCTAATAGTATCAGTAAGATTGACGTTGCCAAAGCTATGATTCTTATCCTTACGTATGTGTCTTGATGTTGAGCGAGACTGATGGTATGATTGGGGGAGAAACATATCTCAAGAAGGGAAATGGGACACCCCAAAAGGTCAGTTAAAATTCAAGACACCACACCAAAAATGTATGTCTAACGGCCCCCGAGGTTGAAGGACCTCAGATTGGCCATGCGGTAATGCTTCAGGGTGGTCAAGTGCAGCACCTAGCTGCTCGAGCCAGGGGTGTGAAGGAACGCATATCCACTATTACTTCCTACCGTTCAAGTGTGCCAACAGTCTATGACTCCAGCTACATGACCAATATCCGACCCTACGCAAATTTAAACAGTCTCTACCCGGAGTGGATCCAGTACCGATTGCGAAAATTGGGAGACGAGATCAACAATTATCTCAACAAAATTGAAAACGAACCAGAGCTGGCTCTGGACAAAGTGCAACTGGAAACCCTTATAAATGAGCAAGCAGAGTACCTTCGACAAACCTCGCGGCAGATGGTTTCGCCGGAGGAGGGGCAGCGGATTTTGAAGAAATATGGAAGCACGGCATACTACGATGCGCCGAGAATATGGATAAAAGTCCAATCTCTGCCAGAATTTAATATAACTGCATCTTCTGCCGATAAGAATAGACTCTGGATGCCAGGGAGTACTTACTGGTTGGATCTTCAGAGCTCGATTGAGACACTTCGTTTGGGGAAATCTCTTAAAAGTACAATGGGGAATTTGACTTGGGACGACAAACGGCAGTACTTCATGGGTGATGAACTTATGCGTCAAGGATTAAATGAGATGTTTTTGGATTGGCTGGGGGTTTCGGGGCTGTGGGATCTTTATTGCAAGATGGCTTGAGTAATTAGAAAGGAGGTTTTCAATAATTCAATGCTTTTCTATTTTCTATTATTCTCTTCTTATTTCGCTTTCAGGTGCATGAATTTGTGATATTCTTGAAATACCGTGCTTTATATATGTAAAAATGACCTAATTGTCCAATTCAATTCCTATGGTTACTCTAAGTATTGTGGTGGGCAAACCAGCAACAGAAGGAGTGAAGAAAGATCAGAGTGGGATTAGCTTTTCTGGCACCTTTCTACTTAACAACATCCGTTTCCTCTTTGGGGATCAGCATTGAGGCCTTATTTCTCAGTCCTAGAGTCCAGTCTAATTCATATCTCATGTGTTAGACGGCAGAGACCTTACACATCTCCCAGCGAAGAGATTTCATTAACACCCATCTTTTAATTCCCCATGGCCTTCCTTTTACGTCTCCTGTTATACCACTACCACCGAGTGCTGGTGAGTGTGCGATTCCTTGGCTATTTTGACCCGTCTGATTGTCCGACTGCCATTGAGCATCTCCCAATATGTAGTTTGAAGCAACGCAAAGGGTTTCTGAAAGCTTGACATATCACGGCAATTGGAGCAAGTTATTTGGATACTAAGAAACCGCTAGACTTTTATCCCTAACAATTCTCCACTGAATTAATTTTAAATACTCATAAATCATCCGCAATAATGGCACTTCACAGCCCAGCTCTTGAGCTATGCGCAGTGGATTACCCACAATAGCTTCAACTTCAATAGGTTGCCACGATCGACATCAACCAACATACTTGAACGAAAGTTTATTTCGCGTGGCATCCAGTCAATTGTCCGCTGCTGGATGCCATCCGGTAGGGTACACCCACTGGCCTTGGCGATAGTGACAATTTCATCCATCACTGGGCGGATTATGGTCTCTACACCACCGGAATCCATAATGGCGCCAGAACCAAGGCTTGTCATAGCGCAAACACCATTGAAGGATGCATTCCACACGAGCTTCTTCCAGCGCATGCAAGTGATGTCGTTGGCGAGGAGGCAAGATGCGCCACTGGCTCTGTACAGCGAGGCGAAAGAAGCTGCCAGTTCGTCCTCTGTTTTCCTTGCAATAGTCGCGTTATATATTGGGCCTAGGTGGAGAATATCGGGCTTGTCATGTCTGATCACGCCGCTGCTCAATTCACGGGTGCCAATCATGCTTCCGCCGGATAAGGTAGTGGAATCCGGGAAGGAATCGACGAATGGTTGCTCAATACCAATGCCGTTTTGTATCAGGACAATCGTTGCAGATCGCGTAATGGCTGGAGCAACGAGAGCTGGGATTGAATAAATATTAGGGAGGTTTTTCAGTGCTATAACGATGAACTGGAAAGGTCCATGACTCATTGCATCTCGAACCGAGCGCTCAACTGTCAAGTACAGTAAGTTACGTGCTCCTATGAAGCTCCTTTACAATTAACAAGAAAACCCACTACGTGATGGACGCCAGCCCGTGAGACTGCCATGATCAATACAACCGATGGCGAAGCCCTTCTGCTCAAGTGCGGTGAAGTTTGACCTTAGCACTGCTGTGGCGGTGGCACGTTCAGATCTTCCCAATGTGACGGCCGCCAAAGTACCAACCGCTCCGCACCCCGGTAGAAGTGTATTGGCTTTAGTATCAGGCATGAGAAGTTGCGTCAGAATAAGCTCAATGTTAACGAAATCCACGTAGTTTCAGCAACCTCGATATCCTACATTATCTAAGGACATGATATAGTTCTATCAATCGTTCCCCCAGCTAGAAATAGTGCAAATGATCTAGTCGCCTAGTCCCTTTTCGGGAAGTCCGATCACTTAAGGATTCTCTATTCGTCCAAGGACCACTTTGACCCCCACAGGAGATAACAACAGAAATAGGGGTTAAGCACGTAAACGAACTCGATTAAGGTACTCACATTAACCATGGTTACATAATGCCACCTAACTTATCTCCGAGTTCATCCCGCGAATTTTGTTGATAGAAAATCCGACAGCCCGACCGTTACAAACACTTGCGAGGAAATATTTGTCTTTTTGAATCATCCGGCGGCTGTGGAGGCCTTTTTTTGGCCTCGATAGTCACGTAAATTGCTAATAGGATGGTGAAAGGAATGGACCTGAAGATAAATAGTTACTGTTCTTGGTGTTACGCTTAGGTAAGAAGGGACAGTCATCTGTCCCATCTTTGAGGATAACCTTGACCTCCCTTCTTGGGAAGTCTGTTGCCATATTCTCGGAGTAGAATTTATATTGGAGACTGCCGAAATCTCGTCTCTTGCGGGGGATCAGCACATAAAAGAGGCCGAAAATGCCTTTTGCGCTCATTCAAAGCGAGTGCATAAAAGCATTCTGAACAATATTCGGAAATTTTGTGTCCACAAAATGGAGCTTTTTGGAAAGCCGTTGCGGCAACCCGGACGGAACTGGGAAGCCAAGAGCACTGACAGTGTCCCAAACGGCACATGCCTTAACTTTCACATACCTCTTTAAGGACTTCTTTTCCTCAAGCTCAGAAAGGCGATTCCTAGGGGATGAAAAATAGTTTAAGTTTCGGGGAACCTAGGTGATTATAAGCGAATAAGTGAAAGATAGCTTACACCCATCCGCAAAATAGGGTAGGGTCTAGTAGGTTCCTAGGAGCAATATCCTTAGGTCGAACTGCCTAGCCTAAAAGAGATGGTGATTGCTTAAAAAAGGGTTCTAATAAAGGCGCTCAACGGTGATAAAAGTAGCCCTTGTAGTCACACTCTGAACAATCTTTGCTCTAGTGGACGATTATTCAGTGCAAGATTTCTAGTTTCTGAGTAGACTCATGTAATTCGCCCTAAGACTAGTACCCCTCCATGATGCCCGGGAGACTGTGGAGCCAGTAGACGAAAGATTCCCAGGAGCTTAGGTGATCAACCAGTAGGCTTTATGGCGGCGCAATGAATAGCAGCAAGTGTACCAAAATAAACTGTCAAATTGTTGATGCAAGTGCTCTTTTGATAGGGCTGTAGGGGCAATCTAATGGAGGGGGGCGGGGTTTTACTTGGATGGAGCAGCGTGTTGCGTTTTATTGAGGTAGCTAGTTACCCCTGCGCTGAGGTTGTGCTCAGTGAGCAAATCAGAGCGCTCAGCTGAGCATCAGTGAGTGGATCAGACTTGCTCAGTGAGCAGATCAGGGCGCTCAGAGGCGTGCTCAGGTCTACTCAGTGAGCAAAAGACGCGAGGGTCTGATCACTAAAACGGGAAAGGAAAGCCAAGATGTGGCATAGGAAATCAAGTAGGTAGGAATGAAGCCACTACTGTTGCAGTGTTTTGCATTTCAGTCCCAAGAGCCCCTTCTCCTTCATCACAGTAATAATCTCATCCAGTGATGTTGTAAAGTATACTATCCCTAATCAGTCTAGGCGTACCGCATCCTCAGGTAAACCTTATTACCACGTGACATTCATTACGGGATCCTTGAGACTATTTGTTCAGAGCTCTACTAATCGTATACTTCTGTCATGTAGATTTGTAGCGATAGTCTAGGCAAGTCTATCATGAGGTATATGGACTTCAGGATGATTCTTACTTTAGTAGTTGTGGACAGCCTCCAGGGGTATCCCCAATTGGCCCAAGGAACTCGGGAAGATCCACCCGATGCGATCATCGCGCAGACCACCGGGAAGGGTAAAACCCAAGCAAACAACCCCCGAATGATATCTCGTCGTTGTGCATGAAGAGTCAACCAAAACTCACTCTATAAATAGGAGCTAACTTGACCTCTCTTCACAAACCCGGATCCAGAATTGGTCGCAGCTTGAACAAGCTTTCTACGCCATGACGGGGATCTCACCTGCCCACCCCTACTACCCCCTTGGGGCCAATATCATCGATTATTCACCCAACCAATCCTCCGTGATCGAGCTACTCGTCACTGCCGGTGGAGGCTGCGCGGCCCTTCTCGGATTGACTTTTACAGCGGCCAGTTATGTGCGACCGACACTCCGTATGGCCGATCGGATCGCGATCTTGTGGTTTGTGCTCTGTATGAAGCCCCTCCCCACACGTTTGACAGTGCAATGGAATGGAAGGAATCCAGTAGATGGGAACTGACAAGATCAACATCCAGCGGGCACGCTCCACTGCTTCTTCGAGGGCTACTTTATGATCAACCATGACCATATGGCGTCAGCCCAGGACTTGTTTGGACAGCTGTGGAAGGAGTATGCTTTATCCGACTCGCGGTACATGACCTCGGACACGCTGGTGCTGTGCATGGAAACGATGACTGTGGTAAGTCAATAATAGCCTGCCAATACATAAATAACAATGGTGTACAAGTGTGCATTATTGTGCGATAGGCGAGGCCGCCATTTCACGACTTCCTCCTACTGACCGGCTTCCTCCCAGCTACTGTGGGGGCCTCTCTGCTTCGTTGTTGCATATCTGACCGCAACGCGGCATTCTCTGCGGCACCCAATCCAATTGATCGTGTGTATGAGCCATCTTTATGGGGATACACTGTACTATGCGACCAGTCTTTTCGATCACTACGTGAATGATGTGCCCTACAGCCGACCGGAGCCATACTATTTCTGGCTGTATTATTTCTTCATGAACTTTATCTGGATTGTGGTTCCATTTTGTCAGTCTACCTAGCTATATTAAATTCTCGGGTGGCGCAGACCGACTGACTTTATGCATTAGATTACCTTCTCGACAGCATCCGCACACTCTCGGCTGCCGTTCGAGTTCAGCAGGAGTCAGGCGCGAGGCGTAAAGCCCAATAGCATCTCTTCCGTCATAGTGGCATGTGCGGGTGGACACTGGTGGAGACAGGGTTAATCTCCAACAGGGTTGACACCAGGACTCGGTCCGGATTGAGATTGAAGGGAAAGAGGTGTTCCGATCAGAACCTGTTGAGAAAACGTGAAGGCTACACTAGTCATTGGTCGAATCTTTAGAGTACGATGCTTATCGATGTGACTGGAACAATGGAAATGTAGACATTAGAAGAGTCATAGGCTTAAGTGGATCTAATCAGGCATTAACAATACTGCATAGTGTACGGAGTTACGGCGTACATAGTCTAGTCCATAGTCGAAACATGGTCAGAGTGGACTGCCCAACGCAGCAATGACGCCCATGCATATGAGGCACCACCGCACTACTCGAGACGCGCAATATGAAAATAAAAGCTGCCCTTCGTCCACCTTGAAAGTTCTTCTCAAGACTTACATGTCCTTGAAGGCTCCCCTGGGGCACTGACTGGCCGCTCAAGTCAGCTTTTCCCCTGTGACGATGCCAAGAGCATCGAGGCCCTCAGCTGCTCATAAAAGCCGCCCGATCAGATCACACGCGCAAACCGATCAGGCGGATCGATCCTTGCAGGAGAAAACGCGACCAGTGACAGATTTAGCTGGTGGTTGGGTAGCTCCAAGGGCGATCGCTGGCTGGACAAAGTAGCGTGTGTCTATTGGCAAGTTGGAGGGGGATCCAGCGTCGATCGGCGCGTGGTTTCCCCGGCAGCGGCCAGTGTTTGACTCGTTTGGTGGGCTTATCGACCCCCAAACCGACCAGAATCCAAAGCTGCGGTCAGCCTCACGAGCGACTTGTTTACATCTTCCCCTCCTTGGGTCTATTCCCTCGGGATCCTTGTCGGAAAAGCAGCAAATGCTGTCACTTTGAGATCTGCGATCAAAGCCAGGCCGTTGGGTCACTGTGGTGAGTTGTTTATAGTGCTGTCCCTCCTCCCGACCGATGACGATTGTCAACAAACATGTTTCGGTTATCCGCAGCGTCAACAAAACTCGACAAAAATGATTGTACTGATCTTCTCTGTTTTCGCGTAGACATCGATGCCGACCCCTGCGACGCCAACTCGCCCCTCCAACCGTGGAGGGAGTGCCAAATCGACTCCAAGTAAACCGCTTGATATCGGACAACCGCTAGGAATTCACGACACGAATACGGTTCGTTCGCGAGTGCGCCAGTGGCAGCAACAGGGCGGAGGCGTAATTACGATCAACGATGGAACATACGACGAGGACGATGAAGAGAATCCCCCAAAACCAAAGCCCAAGGTGGCCAAGTTGAAGGTGGATCAACTGGAGAAGTCAGCCAAGGAGAAGGAGAAAGAGAAAGAAAAGGAGAAGGTTCCAGCTGTTCGAAAACGCAGCCACAGCACCCCTAGAAAGCGAGTCATCAGCGATGAACACTGGAGGAAAAACAGATCTACGACAAACACGCCTTCACGCAACCTTCCCGCCCCGAGGCGCATCAATGAGTACACGACCAACGGGGACGCTGGGTCGCCGCGAGCCAAACGAGATGTCAAGAAGGATGTCCTGGATAAGACCCGAGATCCTCCCAAGTTTAAAGCCTATCGAATCAAGGATGTCTCTGAATCGCCAACCCGAGATTTCAAGAGCTCATCTGTCCAAAAGGACGCCGAGTCCGTCGCCGACAGTGACCTGGACACCGATTTACCTCCCCAGTCTACGATAGCGCCAGAGATACCGGAAGGCCAGAGGAGAAAATCGCCACCTCCGGAGGACATAGACTGGGCGAAGAGCGAGGCTGATTTCTCGGAGCTGTCTCGGAGGCGCGCCCGTGGACCTCAAAAACCGCCCAAAGGTGGTATCTTTGCCCACATGCTGGACGAATCGAGGAAGATGTTCAAGCTACCAGAGCCCGAACCACCGAGGCCAACTCCACCCCCCGCTGGTAACCGTGGAGCGAAGATCGAAGCTTGGCTATCTGAAACGCCGGATCCATTCGTGGACAACCGGAATCCAAAAAGCGACATGCCTGGTCCGTTGGACATCAAGTCCGCCCGCGCGCGACGGTCACAGCGCATGGTAGACGAGATTGCAGCAAGCATTCCTATTTCTGAAATATCTCAGGAAAGCGAACCTCGTCCGAAGAGTAGCGGATCTCGTCCCAAGAGCTCACATAGTCGACATTCCAAGGAGCAGGACGACGCTAAAACTCCAGAAAAATCACGGAAAATCCCAGAGGCTGACATGGAAAAGGTCGAAAAGCCACTCGCTCTGAGGATCCGCCATGACAAAGAGAAGCTTGGTGACAACCCATACGAAGACAGTCTGGCGCCTTCCGAATCAGACTTCCAGCCATTCTCAGACGGCGGGTCAGAAGTTTCTGGGAATAATGCGCCTGTCCCAGTCGGTCGCAAGAAGCCCTTCCCAAGCACTGGCTACCACCGACTATCAACCATTGCGTCGGTGGAAACCCTCAGCACCCTCCCAGAAGGCTCGACTATCTCCGAAAAAGCCACGGCAAAGCGACCAACCCCTGAAACCCTGGAAGAGGCAGAAGAAGCCGCCGAAGAGAAAGATCAGTTTGACCCAGATTCTCTGCCAGTGGTCGCATCGCAACTCCAGCGGCGCCTTACCACTCACAAGGACCTCATGTCCGTGTTATCAGGCCCTGTCTCCCGGAGTGGAAGTACTCGGTCCCGAAGAAGTATCCGCTCCAACAAAAGCCGACTGGCTAACGCGACCATTCCCGATCTGTTGGCCGAGCTTTCCGCTGATGAAGCCAAGTACATGCGCGAGCTCAAGACACTCGTCGGAGGTGTTATCCCTGTCTTACTCACTTGTGTCCTATCGCGGTCCGACTCGGCAATTGCCGCAGGCTTATTCCGGCCCTCGCTGGACCCAAAGGACGACCTCAACTTTTCCAAGCCTATTGTCAATATGGGTGTCGCCATTGAGCGCTTGAAGACCTTGCATAAAAGGATCCCTCAAGATGATGCGGATGATTTGCTCACATGGGCCCAGGGTGCTCAAAGAGTGTATCGCGAATACCTCAAGGCATGGAGACTCGGCTTCAAGGATGTCATTGTAAACCTCGCTCCTTTGGAGGAGGGCGAGGATGATGGCAATGCTGAGACGAAGTCATTAGATGAAGGCATGGAGCGAGATGAACATGGCGATGTCATTGGTTCCAATGGAGAGAAGGTGGATGTTGCGTATCTGCTGAAGCGGCCTCTAGTTCGCTTGAAATATCTTGCCAAAAGTTTCAAGGGAATCAACCATCTACAGCCATCTGCCAAGGCCGAAGAGATCTCTACTGCCTATGCGTCCCTGGTGACGGATGCCCGCAAGCGAGCACGAGATGAAAGAGCAAGGCTCGAGGATGAATCTGCTGCCAGCATCGATCCCACTCGGGCCCGAGATCCGATGACATTGGGGCTTTCGAGCAATGTTGTGGTCGACCAAACCCGTCGTGTACGAGCACGCGACTTTTTCAACCTCTCTCTATACCATTCGAGTGGTCAGTTGGTTGACTGCCGAGCCGAACTCCTATACCGAGACAACACATCGAGCAATGGTCCCGGTGGTGATTTGCTGATCTGTGAAATTGATCACTCAGATCGGTGGTTGCTCTTCCCGCCCATGGATCTCCGGTGTGTCTCTGCCCGCAATGGAGACAGCAAGGGCGAGATCGTGGTTATGCTACGCAGTGCTCCAGGAGAGGAGAAGTACTGGCAAGAACTGATCTCACTCCGCATCGATGAGGTTGAAATTGGTCTCGAATGGGTGCAACTGCTCGGCCAAGATCCCGTTCCCCCAACACTTTGCAGGAGCCAGAGTTTCATCAGTCGAGCCAAGCAACACAAGGCTCGCAAGTCCAGTAACAGTGATTCTCCACCAAGGGCGCATCCGAGTGACGTGGACATTCCTATCGGTGAGAAAGCCACCACCAAGCGACGCTCTCTTACACCGAAGGAGCATTACTCTGAGCCGAGTACTGTCAGTTCTTCAGTCACTGAGAACAAGAGCTCTATCCTGTCCACAGCTACCCGGGAGACGGAATATACCACCGGTGGCTCTGAAGTGTCTAGCAAGCAGGCTGTCCGGCCCGGTCTGCCACTCTTGCCTTCTACTCTGAGCCCTGAGAAATCTCCAGGTGGACTGAAGAGGTCCAAAGCAAAGAGGCATTCTCGCCATGCAGACAGCCCGGTGTCCGAGACTGCGTCTCCCATGACCGTCTTCTCAGACCTTCCAGTCGAACCCTCAACACCTACACCAGCTCCCGGACGGTTCTACGGCGGTGCTGACAGCGCTAAGGATGTAGCCTCCCCCAAGGAGAAGTCTGCCAAGAAGGCCTCTCAAATACCGCGTCCGAAGGAATCTCCAGAGAGGGAGTCTCCTCGAGTGTCCTTGACCCCATCTCCTTATCTGCCTATAATTCCAAAGATTCGCAGTACCAGCAGCCAGACCCACCTGTCTTCACCATCCACCGTCGAGCCAGAGGAAGAAGACTACCCACCACTGGAGTCTCTACCAGAACAAGAGCCCTTGGAGACTCCTACGAAATCTAACAGGAGAAAGTCCAGACGAAAGTCCAAGCATGAGGAGGCTCCTCCCCCACCGCCGCCTCATCGCTCACCAAGCTCCTCCTCGAATAAGCTGTCCAATAGCCCTGTGCTCACCCCGTCGGGCGTTAAACTCAAGCGCCGAGGCTCGTCACCACTGAAGCACGAATACGAACCCTCGACTGCTTCTGACTATTCTGAAACCGACTCTGATGCATCCACCGTGCGACACTACGCGTACTCCTCGTCTGAATACTCGCGATCCGTAACTGACTCGGACTCTTATTCGTCGGCCTCAGAGGAGGAAGATGTGCCTGAACTCCCCAAGCCAAGAGCAATTCAGTCAACTACGTCTGATGCAAGCTCTTTGTCTCCTTCGAACTCTGCGTCGCAAGGTGGATACCGCACTGTGCCATTGCAACCAACTAAGTCGACCAAGGCCGTTGCGTTTATCTTTGCTTGGTCTGACAAAGGTAGCTGGGATAGTCTCGTCCCCGACGAGTGCAGCATTATCGTCAGTCCTGGTCTGATCGAGGCGTTCAAGATGGGATCTGATTCGAGCTCATCTCGACCTCTCATATCCATGGAACTCACGCCACTGGTCCCAATTCGTCGAGGCACCGCGATTGACATCAGCGTCCGCTCGCCTCCTACCGACCGGTCTAAGATCACATCAAGCAATAACATCATGTTCAGGTCTCGCAGTCCTGATGAATGTGACGCTCTCTACAGCCTCATCAACCAAGCTCGGATCAACAATCCGACCTACATCGCCCTTCAAAACGCACGCGGCCCTGTCTATGACAATCACATGCCCACCTTCGAGGAGCCCAACACCAAATCAGGAAACAGCTGGTTCGGCTTCCCCCGTCGCAGAAAGAGCTACCGCGCATCTGATTCACCGCGCTCCCTGGCGGAGGGCTCTGAGAGCAGTGTTGGTACAATGAGCAGCGCCTTCTCTGCGCTGAAACGCTTCGGCGGCGGTAGCAAAATGTTCAATATCTCTCGCTCTACCGTGACATCTCGCAGCGGCCGTGAAGGTAGCATATACTCCGGCTCTGGAGGCTCATCCGACCCCTCCCCATCATCGGGCATTGGCCGTATTGCCGCCGCCATCAAGGGCGCCGACGGAATCGGTCTCTCGAATGCCAAGATCCGCCTCTACCTACGGGAAACTGCTTCCAAATGGCGCGACATGGGTGCTGCCCGTTTGACAATTATGCCTGCGCCACCCAAGAACCCTCCCTCTCGCCCTGGTACCGCCGTCAGTGCTCGCAGCGAAGGCAGTCGGGACGACAGTACTTCACCACCCAGCTCAGGCGCAGCCACACCACGCCGTGACGTGGAGCCCGAGAAACGAATCATCATCCGCGGCAAAACACGCGGCGAAGTCTTGCTGGACGTGTGTCTTCCTGAGAGTTCATTCGAGCGTGTTGCTCGCACTGGTATCGCCGTCTCTGTGCATGAAGAGAATGAAGGCGGCGTCATCGCTAAGCAAGGTGGCGTGGGCACGAGTACCCAGCGCATCTACATGATTCAGTTGAAGTCCGAAGCCGAGGCTGCTTATACCTTTGGCCTTGTGGGTAAACTACGGTATTAGGTGTGCTGGTAGTGAACCCCGATCTTGTGCTGAGATGCGATATGGAATCTGGAGCAAGAGGAATTCGGAGGGAGCATTTCTGCTCTCTTTTTTCTGTGCATTCAATTTTTATTTCTCTGTGATGTTTTTTTGGACTACCCACTGATCTTTCTAGATCTTGTCTGTCGTTATGTGATTACCCCCATTTTCTTTTGTACATTTAGACGTTGGTAGCCGTGTGGATGCATTGATGATTGTCATGTCATTTTTTCTCCCTGGCTTTGTGATACACCCGAGCATCTACTATGAATAAATTTACCCCATCTTTGATAATACTAGTCATCTGGCCATGTAAATAAGCCCTCAGCCTGTAAATTGTAGCAATACGTGGAAATTCTCTCCTCTCATCTCCAGTATAGTACGGTCGTTTGTGGAACTCAGAATCTAAAGATCCAACATCGGAATATAGGTTACCCAGGGTAGCTTCATGCTGCTAAACGGTTGTAAAAGGATTTGAAGTCGAAGTATTTGGATATGACTGCATATGGCTGAAAGGAACCTCGCTTGGTATGTTGATATCCGATATATTGGATTAATAAGACCTAAGTTTCCGTCCTGGCACATTCATTTCAAGATATCTCGGCGCCGAGAAGAAATAAGGTATTCGTACATAAATCTGCTTCATGAATCAGGTGCCTCCACAGGGCTTTCCACCTGCGCACCACTCGTCTTCTTGAAGATGTAGCCAATTTGGTTACACTCATCCTTGAGTATATTAACCAGCACATCATCGTCAACAGCAGCTGCAATCTCCTCGTCATCCTCAGTACCAGTGGAAAGCAACGATGGATCAATATGGGAGTAATGTGCCAGTGACTGGTGCATCTTTTCCTTCTGTGTTTTGGCCTTGCCCTTGGAGGCTCCCCGACCACGACCAGATCTGTCGCGAATCGCGCGTTCTTGTCTGTCCATGTCGACCTCTGAAGCTTTCATCAGGGTTGGCAAATCGGGGAGACTTTCGTCGTCATCGTCGTCGGATGGGGGCTCGCTTAGCTCCGAGAGTTCAGATTCGCTGTTGTCTCCGGGTGTGGTGGTACCTGACGGGGCAGGGGAAACTCCCTTGCCACCGCATTCACAGCCAAGGAGTTCGTGCGTTTGGCAAGTGCTCTCCTCGTCGAGGCGGAACAGATCGCGCAATTCGGCGGTGGAGAATTGTGCCACGCTGTCTTTGTGTTCCATGACACTGTCGGCCAATCCGAGCTTGGTAACCTGGCGCTGCCAGATCTTCTCTTCAAGACTGCCCTTGAGGATGACACGGTAGATACGGCAGTGGTTCTTTTGTCCATCACGATGAATGCGGGCCATGGCTTGTATATCAGTGGCTGGATTCCAGTCCACATCGAAGAGGATGAGACGACTAGCGCCGATGAGATTGAGACCGGTACCACCCGCCTTCGCCGAGAGTAAGAAGGCGAAACATGCTTCCGCTGGAAGACGGTTGAAGTCGTCAACAAGTGGCTGGCGCTTTTGTGCGGGTGTGCTTCCATCCAGGCGGAGGAAGGGAAGACCAAGCGAGGTGAGCAACGTTGCGAGCAAGGTCAATGTTGACGTATAATTGGATACCAATACAATTTTCTCAGATGTCTTTGAGCGCATACTATCCAAAATCTGATCCAAGACGCGGACTTTGGCACTCGAAGAAGCAGAAAAGTGACGCATGAGATTTGGAGGCAGGGAAGATAGAAGGGCGCTGATCGTTTCATTGGGCGAATTATCATTATTCTTCGCCGACAGCAGTGACGGACTGTTGCAAAGTTTCTTCAAAATGGTGATTAGTTGAAGCGCACTTTCTGCATTACCCATGGCAGTTTGGAAAATGGGCGACTGGAGAACAGCCTTGTAGATGTTTGCTTGAGCGCGGGTTGGTTTGCAGAATAGCACATACTCCGACTTGGGCGGAAGGTACTTTGACAAAATATCGGCTGTTCGGCGGAGAATGAATTTGGAAGTGAGGTCTCGGAGCTCCTCGCTCATGGACTCGCCTTTCTCAATGGCCTTTTTGGTGGCCTCCGGTTGTCGGCTTCGGACTATAGGAGTCTCAAACTCTCGAATGAAAGCCTTGAAGTTGCCAAGGACACCAGGATTGACAATATCCACGGCTGCAAAGAATTCTCTCAAGTCGTTTTGAATGGGCGTGCCGGAGAGAATGACTCTCTTCGCGGCATTGAGTGACTGGATTGCTTGGCCACTTTTATTTTGCAAGGTTTTCAATCGATGGCCCTCGTCAGCAATGATGATATCGACGCCAGCGCCCTTAGCCAAGCCCTCTTGCACGGTTCTCAGCTTCTCGTATCCAACAATCATGATACTGTAAGCTCTTCCCCTGGTGAAGTCGGTCAAGCGTTTCCGCTTATCGTCAAATACGAAGACTCCAATTCGTTCATTACCCAACCACTTGCGGAACTCCTTTCGCCAGTTGTTGATGAGCGTCACAGGACAGACAATGAGTGCTTTCTTGATAACTGGAGGTTCGCCATGGATGGGATTTTGCTTCAGCAAAGTCCATAACAGAGCGATTGTCTGCAGTGTCTTGCCCAGGCCCATATCATCGGCCAAGATGGCTCCCTTACCATTGAAATCGCGCATGCCCATGACACACTCATAGAGAAATTGGACACCTTCTCGCTGATGTTGGCGCAAGCTCTTTGTCAACAATGGATCAATAACCACATCGACAACCCGCTTCCCTGGGGGCAGTGATTTCGGTCGAGGCATGACCAACGCTCCCTTTGCATATGGATCATGTCGTGGAACTATTTCCTCGGAATTGGTTGACGAGTTGACGGTATTGCTGAGCAGCGGCGCTTTATACGCGCCGAGAGCATTGCCTTTCTGTGTCGTAGAGCCACCGTCCAAAGCAGATGAGCTGCGTTTCAGCGAACTCGTATAGCTAGGACCAGTAGGCAGCGACAGCGTCCGTGACTCGCTCCTTTTCATAACTGGCAGGGGTGTTTTCTTCGGCAGCGAAGGCGGTGTTGGCGCGGTCTTTGCATTATTCAAAAACTGTTTTCCAGCCAGGTATTCTGCTCGCGGTATCTCCGACTCTATCTCCACCTCTTTCCCAGCAACGTAGAGCATTTTACCGGGTTCAAGTTCTGACTCGTATGCCACACGACCCATGTCTTTGCCTCCCACATCGCGCAGGTAGAGAAATCCACCTCGAGCTGCCAGTATACCATCCCCATCCCATGTTTTGTTCTTTTTCGCCGTTGGTTTTCTCCTAAGGACAGAAGCTGTCGTGTTAGATAGGTGGCCCAATGCATCTGGCGATCTAGGGGAACTTGGAGCATGCGTACCAGAGGGCGTTGAAAAATCTCTCGAAGCTTGCATCTTCCTTATTCAAAGCCCCATTTGTCGTCTTGGCTGTAGAGTCTTTGCCGATGTTCCTCACTTGTAACAACGGCTTTCTGCCTAGTGTGGGTGTGGGCCTCGACTGAGGTTCGGACGTTGCTTCGTCCTTCCCCAAGCGTGGCTTCTTAGCCGGGTGATCATTTGCATCGGTCGTTTCGGTCAGTTGCACGGGTTTCCTGATTAAAGGAGGTTTAAACGGCTTGAAAACCATGGCGACTTGTACTGTGGGATCCTTGAAAAGACGCGGTCAGCGGGAAGACGCGAGGCGCGGAGCGCGTGGTCACATGACAGTATGCAGGTGCAGGTCAATATGAAAATTGGAGAAGTAAACATGCGGATTTAGAATTTGAGGGGGAAACTCTAGATTTTGGAAATTTGGGTTTAAGCTTAAATATGGGATCCATAAGATAGAAATCTTGACGGGTCTAGTTTGGAAGGTTGAAATATTGATTATTTTCCATGCTGGAGCTATAGAAACGAGCCCAAACACTTTCAGGATCATTAAGATTGATGTACACAGAGATTTAATCTCATGATATCCAGATCAAAGAATACATCTGACAAGTCGTGCAGATTGTCAGCGAGAAGAAGGTATAGTAAATGCGTCCAAAATGGTATATGAAAACAATGACGGCCAGCTCGTCGGCCTTCTCTCTCTCGTCCCCATCACAATTCTTTTTTCTTTTTTGGGGTTTTATTTAGTGGGCAAGTTCAGCGGCATGGGCCACATCCTTGTCATTCAAAGGGATGTTCTTGGGACCCTCGTACGAGCCCTGACGAACGAACCACCAGACGGTGACGAAGATAGTCAGACCGCCGGTCATCAGACTGGCGTAGTTCATCGTGGAAGCATCGACGGGCAGATAGTAGGGGAAGCAGAAGATGACGACGAAGGCAAGAATGTAAACGCAGGACAGAGAGTTGACAATGTATCCGATCTTGTTGTTCATGAAGAAGTATCCGGGAGCGAACGAGGAGCGGCGAGTCATGATGTGGGGGAAGATGGCCATGAAGTAGGACAGAGACGACAGCTGGACGAAGCAGCCAACGAAGGCGCTAAAGGCAGTGGTCGAGCCAAGGTAGATGCAGGCCAAGATAGTGATGAACACACCACAGGTCAGGGTGGCGTTGAACGGGTTGTGGAAAGTGCTGTTGATGCGGCCGAGCCACTTGGGGAACGGAGTGGCACGGTCACGGGAGAGGGTCCACAGGGTCCGACCAGCAGTGATAAAGCAGCCAGATGCAGTGATCAAGGTGGGAATGAAGGCAATGATCAGGAGGCCCAAAGCACCACCGCGGGTGCCGGTCGCCTGGTGGTAGATCTCAGTCAGGGGGAATTTGTAGCCGGTGCCAGTGACAGCATCGAGATCCTGAATAGAGTAGAAAATGGCGATCATGTAAAGGATGCCAGTGACGAAACCGACACTCATCTGGGCAAGCACGGCCTTGGGGATGTTACGGCTAGGCTGGGGGATCTCCTCGGCCAAGTGTGAAGAGCAGTCAGGGGTACCGACACTGTAAGCACCGTTGAGCATACCCATGACAAAGACGAAGCCCTGTTGCGTGTAACCAGTAGGATTCTGCCAGTTCTGCCAAATATCCTTGTCGGACATGTATCCAGTGCCGTTGACATGGGGCATCACAGCGCAGACAATGATGGTGATGAAGACACCAGACAGGATGAAGAACATGCCAATGTTACCAATGAAGGGCAACCAGCGGTTCATGAACAACACGATAGAGCAGCAGACCCAAGCGCAGATGATGAAACTGAGAAAAACGTTCCAGGTCTGGGGAACGAAGTCAGGGTGCATCAACGCATACATAGACACAGTCTGCTGGGCCATGATCAGACACATGGAGGCAGCACCCAGAATCCACGCCAAACAATTCCACCAACCAGCAAAGAAACCGCAAGGGCGACCATACTTGCCAGCAGTAACCGAAGCCCAGTGGTAAACACCACTGGCTGAGGGCATACCTGATGCCAGCTCGGCAATTGAGGCAGCAACTAGCCAGTAGCAAACCGACACAGCAATACTGTCAAGGAAGATGAAGTTAGCTCGCTAGATCTCCGACCAAACAAGGGCGTCTATGGAAATAAAATAGGTCGTCGTACAATTCATAGATCGTGGCACCCAGACCACCATTGCTCAAAGCAACCGTGACACTGCCACCCTGGGCAATCCAGGTGTTACCGGTCGTCACGGCGATAGCACAGATACTCAACAGAGAGAAGTTCCGGTCCAGCTCCTGGACGTGGCCGGACGCGTTAATCAACTCGCCCGAGTGATCCTCTGCGGCCGTCGAGTCGGCGGCCTTGGCCTTCTCATCATATTCGGACGACATTGCGCGTGAATCCACGTGGTGGGGGGATTGTTGTTCCCACGGAATATATACACCGGATTCAGGGAGATTGGAATGGACCGAAGTACCAAAGAATGCAAGAGATGTAGATCTCTGCTGGGTTGAGTCACGAGGGATTGTGCACGAAGAGCGCGCTCCCTGATTCTGGGGAAGGGGGAATTGATGTGAGTGACCGAAGTGATTCGCAAGAAAATGGGAGCAGGGCCAGGGATATATGATTTTGATTTTAGGAACGAGAGCGCATGGCGGCCCCTCCGAGTTGCCGGTGCGGAGTGTCCTAAAGGTGCAACGAACCCATCAGGGCTGGACTGTCCAGCACACCAGCACACTCCCGACCATTAATTCTTCCTTACTGACCCCACCCTCCTTGGCCACTCTAATCGACGGAGACTGCAATCTGCATCCAATCAGATCCCCGGCAGCGCACCTCAGAGTGGCCACTTCGGCAGGTGTGGGGCACCGCAGCCCCAGAATTGCGCTGCAATTGGGCACTGGGAGAGGCAACTTGACCAAACTCCAACAGAAAATCAGCCTCGACGGAACGAGTCGTGCATCGACGCTTTACCTAGAAGGGGAGCTTCAACAGACTGAATTTTTCTGGCGCTGCTCATGATCTGCTATTCGATGCTATCCTTCCGCCAAGGTCAGATGGCTAGATTCTACGGTGAATCACGGCTCATAACATGTTAACTCATCAAAGCTGCCTGTTTGTTAACCCCGTCTATGGGTTAGAAAAGATAACCACGGCAACAGAATCCAGAGATCCTGGGGACGTGGGCGAGGGTTCTCGACCTTTTGCTGCATTGGTCTCTTCAAAATGCCTATTTGCCCTACATAACCAAATGTTGTGCATCGCCATGTGCTATGCAACCAGCCTGGATCGTGACGTATTCTTCTTTCTTCCCAGCAACAGAATCCCATGAAAGGCAATTGATTGTCTTCCCACATGGCACCACAGGGCTGGCATTCGGGAGCTTTCCAGGCTTCGAGAAAGACTCAAGGTTCAGGGGCACTAACAATATCCATTTACTGAACGGAGAATTGCTTACAAGGTGAGAGTGAGACATACTGCGCGTCGAGGCACCACTCAATAAAGTCTTCGGTCAGGCTATTGTTTCACGGCTTTTTGACCGGATGCAACGCTAACTCGGCATCGCGCGATTACGAAGGACGGCGGCACTTCTATAGCGTGGATTTTTTTTGACCTGCTGAGTCAGAACTAACTGACTACGGAGATACTACCGTAGTGAGAGCAGTATGAGCATGTACTAATCGTCCAACGAGCTTGCCATATCATGTTTCACTAGAGCGGCGCACCTCGGGTCGGAGTCTTGCAATAATATTATCGGACCCGAGCGAGTATACCTCGGAAATCAGTATAAGAGATGCGAATGCTCCGCTTGCTCCCTGCAAATCTAATAAGCCTCTCCAAGAATGCATCATACTGGAGACAATCAATCTACAACAGTCTGTGTTGGATCAGGCCCACGATCTACGTTGCCGAGAGCACAACCCCTCAAAAAGTGAGGGCGCACTCTCTGCTGACTGCAAAAAATCTCCGTTCCGTTAAGCGAGCGGGTATACTCTGGCTTGGCCTGGCTAAAGCAGTTGTAACCGATCAAATATAATAATTGTGGTCTGATTTTGTGGATTGCAACAGAGATCTAGCCTTAGATCTAAGGATTGTAGTGGAATTGGTGTGGCGTAATGCATCTGAATCCAGACAAGGGCCGAGTCCCAGCAACGGTTAACGTACTTTGGCAAATAGTATTATTACTAGGATAATTTTATTATTCCGTTTTCTTTCCCTCTTAAATAATTATTATGGCTCCAAGTTGATTGATTTGGGGGCCATAATGGTGAAAAAAACACAATGTTAAAGTTTCCCTCGGGATTGAAGCAAGTTTTGGTTAGAAACTAGTGCTGCGACCAGTCACTACTACTGCCGGTACCTGTTCATGAAGAACGAACCTGCAGAATCTTGCAGATCCGATCGGTACTATTATTCCGTATTTCCTAGAATTGAGTAATCCATTCATATTGGTCCGCCTAGAATCATTGCATACGGTCAACTCTACATTGCCACGCTGAGGTCACGCTCCATACTCCAAGTTACTCCATAGAAAAACCTACGGAACACCCCGTACGGAGTAGGGATCCCCGTTCTCCACTGACAAAATCCCTCAATTCGCAAGGGCCTCGCTGAGAGTGTCCGGTCTGTTCCATCCTTGGGCTCCATCCGGCCCACTTTTATCCCCATCGCCGGATTAGCTGGAAAGTCTATTAAACTCGTTGATGCCCGCTTCCCCAGGCACTCGATCCGCTTGAAGTAAAGTGGCCGGACGATGCCCGCTCACATCTTTTCGGCCATCGCTATCTGATCCATTAATTCGTCAATCGAATGTGGAACTCAACTCTGCAATGAGCCCAGAAAGTCAGATCGTATACCGTATACGGAATGAGAGGTTCGCAATACAACCCCTCCATAGCCACCTAACTTTCTTAGGAAGGCTCTTTAGAAGTTTGCGTGCCCCCCAAATTGCCCAGGCCTTGCGTGCTTACTTGTTGGCTGACCTTCCATAGTAACCTTCATTTAGCCACCAGATAAACCAAACCAATTATTATTAGCAGTCCATTTTCTATCAGGAGAATAATCAATATCGCCTGAGACCTGTGGATTCGAGAAACGAAAGTTTCTTGCCAAGTCCACCCGGTAAATCCTTTACGCCAATTCTGAGGCATAAGTACATAGACTACTAGTTATGGAGAACTAACTACTCCGTACTTCCAAGCAAAAAGCCGATGCTTGGCCTGCGCAAATCAAGCCAAATCAAGGACATACAACCCCAAACTGGAAGGTCTGTATGCCAATCCCCTGATACTTGCGTAGCACTGGGGTTTTAGGAGCTGAGGCCCGACGGGAGGGAGGGGAGGAGTGGAGCAAGACTACATCGACCAGCACTGTCAGGTACCAAATCTAAATCGTGTTCTGGGTGAACTCTGGAAGAGGCCAACAGATCATTATTTTCCCAGAAAATCACAATTCCATGGTTTTATCTTGCCTCCACAGCCATGGAAACTTTTCCCACATTGGCTGGCATACTCCACCCAGTCCTATGGTTGGTCGATGGCTGTCAATTAGAAGATCTATCGCTCGCCTATGATAAGCCTTTTCCCTACACGCTTCATGGTGCAGTACTGCTCATGCATCTCACGCCGCAATCATACCTATCACGCTAGCCCGGCGAACTCTCCGTTGGCTCACCCCCCTGCTGGTTTGATCGTGTTCGGCAGATGCATAATTTACCAGAAACTCTATAGTCAGATATCGGCCATTCCTCCCCTGGTTAATTCTATAATATGTCGGTTGTCCACCTTTTCCGATCTGACCTGTTCTTTTGCCTCGACCGTTTGTTCTGACCCCCTCTCGTCACGCATACAGGCTCCATTCCGACACTATGTCTGGACTGGGAGGTGATTTCGGTCGCCAGTTCGAGCGCGAGACATGGACGCTTTATAGTGTTGGTGTCTTGGGTGCTGTTCTTCGATTGTAAGTTCATGAGCCCGCCTGATCGCCATGAACTGTCGCATCGACTTGGAACTAACTGGCTGTGTTCGATAGTGTTGCCCGTATTCGACGTCTGGGCATCCGCAATCTCCAAGTCGATGATTATTTGATGATGTTCGCCGTTGTGTGGTATACAATCCTAAGTGTTGCACTCAACTCGGTAGCAACGGGTGGAGGATCAAATTTGATGACGGACGAGGATAAAGCGAACTTGACACCCAAGACGCACGCCGAGCGAGAGCGAGGTAGTAAATGGGTGTTCGTCTCCGAGCATGCCTTTATTCTATGCATCTGGAGTTTGAAGGCTTGCATGCTCGTGATATACTCCCGTATCACGTATGTCCATGACCTCATCATGCAACTACGTTTACATTGGTCTTGTACTGACTTGGATCTTCATCAGTGAGGGATTGAAGCAGCGAAAATGGATCAACTACATCGCTATCTACGTCGCCATTGGCTTTGTTGCTACCGAATTATCGCTTTTCCTAATCTGCCGCCCTATCACCAACTACTGGGCTGTGCCTACGCCGGACGGTAAGAACTCAGGGCTGGTCCTTGCTGAACCCCAACTAAATAGCTTACTTGAGTATCAGATCAATGTTCGTCCTATCAATACTATGAGATCGTCCAAGGATCTTTCTCTATCTCAGCCGACGTGTTCATGCTGCTCGTCGCCATTCCCATGCTGTTACAAGTCCGCGTTCCCATGAAGCAGAAGCTGATCCTGCTGCTCCTGTTCGGCATGGGTATCTTCGTCATCGTGGCCGCCGTCCTCAACAAGGTTTACTGCCTTGTTCCTGCCCTTATTTCCTATGTCTATATGAACTGGTACTTCCGCGAAGCCACCGTTGCAATCCTCGTCACCAACCTGCCACTCGTCTGGTCGCTACTCCGTGATGTCTTCCCTGCCCTCAAGAGTTGGACTGGAGGATCTAAAAAGGGCACCGACCGCTACAAGTCTGGTCCATGGACCAGCAAGAATTCTCGACCCTACGGACCCCACAGTCAACTACGGTCCGGCGACTTCGATATGAACGACATTCAACATAATGCGACCGTGATCCCACAGAAGAGTAACGCCGCAGTTTCCGATGTGAGCCTCGGAGGAAGCGATGAGAGGGATCTGAGCAGCGATGATGGATCTGCTCGCGCTCTGCGGATTCGACAGGATATCACCGTCACTGTGCAGCACGATTCTCGACCAGCAGACTATCAATCCAGCACTGCCCACGCAACTCGGGTACCCCGCGAGCGCGAGGAAGTTTAGCTGCGGCCCCTCCTGCTGTTTACGCCGATCACCAAAAAAAATCCAACCAACTTTACGAATTCACGGAGTCCTGGTGGGCCAGATACCCAGCCTTTCATTGTTAACACCTCACCATTACATTATTATTACAACGTTTCTTTTTTTTACGCCTTTTTTCAGCATCGATTCCTTTTGTATATATTCGCTTCTAGACCTGTTTCTTTTTTTCTCTTTGATTGGGGGCCTCTACGCCCGATTGTCAGGAGGGGAGGGGCGGACTGGGAAGGTGGGGTTCTTACCGGGATCGCCGTGAATGCGGCAAACTACATAATTCTATAGAATTGAATCACACAATCAATATGACAAATACTTTTATGATGAACAATATGTGGGACGTTCAGAAAATAGCAGATCTCGAACATCATTCGCCTCCATTTGCACTGCCAATTGTCCAATCTTTGCCGAGTATCGCGCCTTTGCCATTCCCACGGAATCCCCGATGGAGCCAATCTATCACCGTAGCCAGTTAGAAAGCCACCCACTTGCCCCGCCGATCTCCCGCCTCCTTGCGTCAACTGCGTCAACGACTGCTGATCTGCTCTGTTTCGGGGGTGGCCGACTGTTCATGTGTTGAAGTTGATGGGAACTGAACACTTTGCTCGCCTCTGAAGCATTGTTCTCATGCTATGCAGTTAAATATGTTCCTATTCTGGAGGTTGCTCTTAAAATCTTACGAAGTTACATTCCAGAAGCCACTTGGCTTTCCCAGCGCCCAGCGTGCTGGGTCTCGCTAACTTTTTCCCCGAAGCACGAGCTCAAAATCCAACACCCTTTTTCTGTTCTAAGTTGGACTAATTAACGAATCCTAGCAGCCCTAAGCCTCTGAACAGGGTACTGTAGAACATTCCACGCGGCATCTATCGCAAAATTGAGTCAACTTCCCTGCCTGTTCCCCGCGAAGTTCATGCACGTCCTACCCCAAAAGCGCAATATGTCCACGAGTCATCCAATAGTTCCGCTCCCTTATACAAATCAAGAACATATCCCGGATAAGGCGCTGTTGTTGAACGGCCCTTTCCAATTCCGGCGCATCAACTGTCTCTTCTGGTTCTCTCCAAGAGCCGATATGGCTAGCCCAGCCTGTCACAGCCAGCGAGCCAGACGAGAGCTTACGGGCTCCACTTAGTCTTGCCCACGTATCCGGGCACTGCCTGGCTGCTGTCTATCAGCATTCTAACAGCCACGGGAACCCATCTCCCCGAGCCCAGCTTTGATTCCGTTGTCCCATGGTACTCAAATAAATGGTCAGCATGGATTTTCCGTGTGTGCTTTGGGGCTGTGTCCACTGCACCCATACGGGATCTACCTGCGGATAGATGCGACCGATAAGCGCATTGGAGTCTGGAGTGATTTATGTATCAGCAATGTGATAATAATCAGTCATTATCAATTTCCACTAACTAACTAGTAATCGGAGCCGAATATCCACGACCACCCGAGGTTCCTCCAGCATAGAGTCGCTAAATAAACGTATTTCCTTCTACGTGATAGTGAGACCGAAGGATGCAACGTCCTGCTGAAAAACACGAATTGTTTCAAATTAAATGCAACTTCCAGGAAACGGCGTGCTGGGCCAGCCACATTAATCCGCTAACTTTTAACAGAGTTTCGACAGACTTTCCAGAGATTCGGCGACCCACGGCTTTTGCATCGCGGTCCGCTCACAAAAAAAGAACTAGCAAAGTTAATAGAAAAAGTAAAGAAAATTTCAATGTCATAAAGAGTTCTTTAAAAATATGTATTATGATCCATTACGAAGCAAGATGTGATGCATGAAACCTACACTGTAGAACTTTGATTGATTTTGAGATTGTACCTGAGTTTTGTTTTTTGGTACCTCGGGGCGAGCCACCCTCCGTATCGTCCGATGTCGCTTAGCCAGGGGTACCGACTACTGTAACTCCCATCAGTAATTACAGTATCATAGCATACAGACTACTCCAAGAAGTGGTCACTGTCCAATGGCTATTTCTCCAGGATGATCAACAACGGTACCAGTAAATCGACAGATTAATCATTACAGTATACAGTATCATTTACTCACGGAACATTGCCGTGGAAATTGACCGAGACCCGACGCCCAAATTCTGGGCTCGTTTAAACCATCGTCCTACAATTTAAAATAATATACTTCTTATAGAGCATACATCCGTACGAAGACTAGGCATACGGAGAAATCCGTAAGTATATATTGATCTATACCATTCTTGTGCACCGCACGCGTGTGGGGGAGCACCCTAAACGAATATAGTCGTTCCTCCCATTCCAGATCGAGCGACTTCCGTTCAGGTCCGCCACGATCGAAACTGAATTGGAGCAGTACATAGTGGGCCTCTCGCTTCAGAGTGGGATTTATTATTTGGCCAATGCCTGTGCTAACTTCTACAGTAGCGTTGGCCTCGATCACAAACTGGCTCGTGTGTCTTCTTTTGTGGTCCACACTTCGTGAAGGCCCGTGCTAGCGCTGTTGATGGGGGCTACATAACAAGTACGGAATGTTGCTCCCGAGTTCCGATCTTCTTTTTCGGCCTCTGAAGGCCAGAACTTTGAGCTTTGCCGTTTAACCTTGCTGGAGCAGAGTGTCTAGGTGCTGGAATCTATTATCCTGGCCAGACACGCTTGTGGCTTGTGGGCTTCGGATTTGGTGCGACAATTCTTATTTGTGGCGTTTGTTGTTGCACTGTATGTAACTGGTAAGCTTACTCGTAGCGATATCCAAATTGCATGATTGCGCAAATTGGCCAATGTCTTATATTTTCGCATTTTTGATCATATCAATATTGTGACCCTAATAATGGGAAGCAACTGAAACCGAAAACACGAGGGAACTACTGTCAGAATCTAGGTTTCGATGACATCCTCATTGCTAGCATTAATCTTTTCTGCGACCAAGTAAAAGGAAGACAAACACCCACGTGAGAGATGATCGCGGGAAATCGACACGCTCAGATTGGTCGTGGAACTGTCAAATGCCAAGCTAGAATTTTCATTCATTGCGAAAGGTTCCCTGCGGGGCTTATTCAATATGTACTGTGAACAAGGCACGACAGACGGGAATCTCGAATAAGATATTGCAGAAATCAATCATCACCTCGCAAGATTGATTTTTTTTACCGAAAGTTTGTCAGTTCTCTAGACCTTTGGAAAGTGCCAGGTCCACTCGGATGTGCAGGAACGCCTCTGCAAATCCCGGACCCCTCCTGCCTTCTATGTATACTAGATACAATGGACTGTGTTGTGACTTCGTGACTGGATCTGCACCCAATTCTCCTTTAATCCGGTATATCGGGGGAATTCTCAATCAAATATCCGGAAACGAGAAGAAAAGTCGAGTCGGACGCAGGCGTGCAATGGTAAGATCATGCGTTGAATGATTCTGGCCCAGACTGCATGCGCAGGAGCTTGAACTTACCTTCTACAAAGCGACTCAGCGATTGTTGATTCTTTATCATCGGGATCCCCGAGGAGCGAAAAATTTCCACGAGGTGGAAGCATGGTGCTTAGTGGCCATCGGCCCATTGCCTATTTAGGCAGGATAATATCTAGACATGTACATACAGTAGTGGTTCAACCATCAGCTGTGGGCTTCCCACACTATCTTAGCATTACTGGATTTTTGATCATGCTAGATTAAAAAAATCCTCGTGCGATATCCTTCCGTAATCCACTATTTACCTACACCTCGCCATTCTAAGCAACGGGATGTAATTTCCCTAAGTTGATCCAGGGACTTGCCATTTCATAGTCAAAATGGGAACTAGTATGTAGAGCAATCGGCAATATTTGAGGTAGGGTATTCTGGTCTCCTTACCTATATATTGTCTTGTTGCATTTTTGTCTGCTACAGGTACCACTCATCACTCATGATATACCTAGTTATTGGCGAACTGGGTTAGGGAGATGTAACGTAACGATATATTGGTGTAACTATGTTAGACAGGAATTTGCTCGAGGTACTTGAATTTTACCGCGTGTCTCATGATCTCTGAATCCTCCAGACATGAATTGCATATAAATGGTTATCTTGGGGAATTTAGAGCAAACACAAGGTTACTACCTGCTCAACCATTCCGTAGTGCTACAGCTGGATCATTAGGAGATCATTAAGCAGGATATAAATGCAGTCAAGATTTTTCAGAACTTGGGAGGAACTAGGCATCAGAAAGGAAAACGTAGAGCGTACAATAGGACAAGAGAAGACATAAATATCCATTAGATGTCCGCAGTCAGGGTTACGTCGTTTTATGAGCCCCGTATGATAGAGCTAAATGCTGCTGTATGGATCAAATGCTAATTTTGACTTCAATTGTTTTATTCGTTCAGAAAGACAGTTGAAAGACAAGTAGTGTCTCAGACTCGGGATCATACGAGCATCTCATCATCTACAAACATTATAATATTCCCTACCAAGATCAGCTACTCCACCCATTCTGTGAATGCCTTCTCAATATAAATCAGTGCCTGTGAGTCAGTTCAGGTTACTACTACAGGGATTTAGGTACCAGAATTGCTCGCTTACTTATGAAGCTGGAGCTCATATGATAACTTTAAACTGGATATATTTTGTAGGGCGCCTAATGAAGTCTTAGTGCTAGCACTGGAGAAAACACCATGATCTCACCATTAAACAGGCAGTTTCCACGTAAGTAGTACAGATAAGGTTACGGTCATGCCAAAGAAACCACCAAGGTATGCTAGGTAGGCTTCCTTTGTTCTATGACATTTCAACTTTCTCCATCAATCACCATGCACCGTCTCTACCATCCACACCGCCCTTCAGGTATTATTGGCAGAATATATATCCCTAGCCCTGAATCAGATCGTCAAAACAAAGATCACCTGATATGTAGTTGTTTGCCTAGGCATGCTCTGAATCTCTATCAAATCTCATCATCCAACGGTTCCCCTCAGTTATGATCGTCGCCTCCCTAGACTTTGCTTTGTGGTCCTTTGTCTGTCCGCTTCATATCCCAATCCACAGATATCACGATACTTACAGAAGCTCTCACGAACGATAATTACTCATCCATGACTACACCAGCCATGCCCATATCCTCCCTTCAACGTGAAGATGAGGAAATACACTTCCTACCCCCTTTGAAGAGACCACATGGACTCCTGAATCTTCCCGGAGAGGTCCGGAATATGATCTACGGCCACCTCTTCGCCTCGACCGGGCTATCTTTTGGCAGGCGATATCTCCAGAGACGAAAATGGAGATGGATCAAGCCAGCACCACGATCCCTCGCTATCCTTCGTACCTGCCGCCAGGTGTACCGTGAGACTGGGAATCTCTGGATCGGTCAAATAACTTTCAGTTTTGAGCATCCCGATAGCATGCTCGAGAAACTCTATTCTCTACCATCGTCGTTCCTATCCCAAATCCGCATCTGCGCATCCATCTCGCCTATTTGCACCTTGATACCACCCCAGAAGCACAGAAGCTGTTGAACAACCTCTATCCTTACTCTGTCCTTATGACATTAGAGAGTATGAACTCCCTTTGCCATTTCAGCTACTCCCAGACCTGCGTCTTGAAACACTTACTGTGCTGGGATGGGAACTCGAATTTATGGAGAACCTACACAATGTCACTGCATTCTTTGAAGATGACAGCCACTGGAAGAAACTTCGCTTCATTACCCCCTGGACGGGTTCCAATGACCTCTTTGAAGTTGGCAGCGATATATCTGATCGAAGTCTTAAAAGCAAGAGCGTGCTCCCTCGATTTAAATCCCAGATCAGCAAATGGGCCGAGTACTTGCAACAGCGTGGTATGAAAGTCGATATGTATCACTCTTCAGCGGTGGGCCCCCAGAGACGATTGATCTATGATCAGCTGTCTGGGATGCGAGTGAATCTTTATGGCATCACCGATCCATCGTCACAGCAAGGGCATGACATAGACAAGGTCATACTTGTCATAAAGCGCGACGATAAAGATCAGTTACTACCATACGATTAACACAGCATTCCGCACCTGGTGGAGGACAGATTGTGGGATCAACTGAGGGTCCCTCCGCGTCACATCTGGCCAGAAAAACATGCCGGGGAAGAGGAAATCGATACATATCAATATGTTGATGACATTACCTGGGCACCCAAGGATTTTGACGCCCCTATGAGGGATGAATGGGACACGAATTGAACGTGGTTACAGTCTTTCAATTTTTAATCTCAGCAATAGAACATGTTTGGGGCTTGTGAATAGGCCCAGGTTGAACAATTTAGATATGCAACGGACATCCCCGGCAAAACACCTCCAGTATGACTTGGTATTTATCAAATAAGCTTTGCTCAAGATACATGTATTTGTCTAGATCGTGTCTCCAATCCTGGCGGTGACCATATTGCTTCTACTACCTATCTGTAAGTCGAGAAGGAGTACCGCTTGGTAGATAGAACATGACTATAGTTGAACCCTAGCTAGCTCGAGTTTATAACATCAGGTACCTAAGGTAGCACCTATTTTGGAATCTTCAAGTATTTTCCCAGTAGCGACGACCCCACAGATCTCTATCTCTTGTGGTCAAGATTTTCTCAACAAGACTAGCATACGTCGAGGTTTCGACTCAGGAAAAGTCATGCGGACCAGTGACTTAGTCATATTTATGAATGGAATGTGTATGAGAACAAGAAGGAAGCTCAGAACTGATGTAGAACCTAGGGAGCTTCTCGAAAACTGAAAATCTTTATTCTCGCCATCCCTAGCAAGGGATAATTGTATAGACAGCCTTCTTTGCTTCCTCAGTTTCTCCGTTTAAACATTGTCTATGACTTGAGCTTGAGCTGACGACTCGGTCTCTAGCATTTCAAGATCCTTTCTGTCTCTTTGAGTTCAAATACAGCATGTATATGCCAACAGATGCCCACCAAAATAATAGACGCAAAGGGAAGAAATACTTGGATTGCAATTACACTGAATAGAAGTTGAATTGATCAATGTTGCTGTCAGATGAAGATCAGCATTCTCGCGCTCGTTCAGCTCAGAAACAGATATTGTCAAGCCTCAAATTCTCACAAATTACGACCGCAGTTTGACTTAGCGTGCAGCAGGTGTCAGGTGCATACCCCGAAAAAATTTGCCCTGTGAGAGTAGCCAATGAACGCCCACCACCTCTCTATTGCTCCACCGCTACTTGAAGTTACTTTGCTCCCGGGCGGCAGTCTTTGCTCTCAGCCTCAATTTGTAAGAGTGAAGGGGACAAACGTACATATTCTTGTAGTCTGATGCACGGCCCGAGATATCATCGCGCCTAACTTGACGTTCAATGTTGGGCTGTACCCACCTTCAGATCGGGTAGAAACAAGAGAGCCCTTGTGATTTATGTAGAGCCAGGGCTGAATGGCCCCCTGCAACAAATCAGCGATGCAGAAAAAGAAGGATTGATGAAATTGTATCCCATCCCTTTTTCCTGCCTGCATGAACACGGTCTTGAAATCGGGTTGGTGACCTCAGCGGGACCAGCCTAGAGCTTATAATTCTCCCTGATATACAGTCAACTAAGATATGCCTGGCTTGCTAGTGAGCCTTGAAGGGTCGGCGAGCGAATACTTTCTCTTGCTCTTCACCGATTCATCCAAGACCCTTGTTCATGGACACACCATCAACGCGATCAGATTTTTCTTCTGGCCACTCCAAGTGCATCCTCAGCTTCCGGTAGATGTTCGAATGGGCAGCAAACGACATACCGTCGAGGAGACTAAGTTGTGCAGGATGGCAGGAGAGGCCTACAAATACCGTGTCTGAATCCGGTAGGACAATTTATTGTTTCTATTAGGCATCTCTCTTTTATCCCAATTTTTATCCCAATCAAAGATCACACCCTTCTAGTGCACGGTCACTTCGAGTCTATCTCGAGAGAGGCAAAAGCAATCTCATAATGTCTCCTGAAGCAAAAGACACGTCTATAGTCTCCACTTTCTTGGGAGAGTATCCTAAGAAGAAAGAGTCCTATATGAAGGATGCAGAAGCTGTTGCAGACATATGCACCCAGGCACTTCGGGATGAGAACCTTTTTGAAAGCTGTCTGATTAAGAAGCGGGCAAAAGCCCTCGAGAGCCTCCGAAAAAAGCTTGAAGTCCGAGCGCGAGAACATGGCCGCAAATACGACACCATGGAGAGCATCGAAAATGATATAGTCGACCTGTCTGGTGTTCGTGTGGCCTGTCGGGATCTTGCAGATATAAGCCGGATCCAGCGGATTGTGCAAGGCAAATTCATCATTATCAGGAAGAAGGACCACGGGAAATTGGCTCCACAAGTTACCCCAGGTTTTCAACCCCAATTTTCCGGCTACGATGGTGTCCATTATCTTGTCCGCCTAAAAGAAGACGATACCATCAAGTACAACCTTCAAAATTGCTGCGCACGGCAAGTTGAGATCCAAGTGATGACGATCCTCCACACTATGTACGCGGATGCACAACATGGTGATTACAAAGATGGTTCGAACAAAAAACGAAAATTTGCCCGCGAGTTTGATAACTTCCGTGGTTGTTTGGCCACCGCGGAAGGAATGGCCCTGGATTGGGGCGAGAAGGAAGCGCGACACGAAGAAAAAGATGCACAGCCATTTGCAACTACCGACGGCATTGGTCACTGCTTTCGCAAATGGATAGACCAAAACGGACCGGGGTGGGCAAGAAGAGAGGAACCTGGACATTCACCCACCCTGGCGACTTTTTTGACTGCCTGCAATATGAACACTCCCAAAGCTTTGACCTCGTTGCTGGATGCCCACCTTGGGCCTTATTCAGAGGAAAAGTACGTTAGTTTACGGCGTGAATATACCCCAGTCGAGATCAATCTCGTCATCTACCTTCTCGACCAGGTTCTTTTGACGACGGAGTCTGAGACCAGGGCAGCAGAGCCGGATAATCCTCTGTTCCAGATTCGAGCCATCATGAGCGCTATCATATGGACATCCAAGCTTTTCAGACCAGAATGGGAGTGGCAAGACAAGTTGCTTATGAAGGGAGACCGAGAAACTCTCAGAAGGGGGTTGAATTGGCTTGACAGCATTGAGCAATTGTCATTTCTCAGCGGGGAGCCGCTTGAACGGGAAGAAGATATTCAAATTTTGAATGGACTTTGGGATTGGTTCGAGAAGCACAACGAGCGACCGATCAGATTAGCGTTTGCAATGGCGAAGCGCGGTGTGTTGCGAGATATCGCAACGGCGGACAAATACGGTGACCTCAGATACGTCCTTCATCCATTTCTCGACGCCCTGAGATGGTCGTGCAAGACTGTACCAATGTCGCTCGTTCCAGAGACTACTCGTTGACAGTTATTTCATTTGTTTTTTCTGTGTTGACACAAAATTGAATCAAAAGTTCTTCGTACTGTAATTATTCCACTTGGCTTCAACAAGTCGACCGAAATCCATCAGTTAGTAGTATAGAACGGCAAATAAACCGCCGTAATGATTTTTGCACGCCGATCCAAATAAAATTTTGAAGTCACGCGGAGTCCAGAGACTAGGCAGCAACTCTTTCTCTCTTTCTCTCTGGGAAAGAATGCGGAAAAATGAGTCACTTGGTCGTAATTGATTAAGGAAAAGTTGATAGATCAAAAACTCTCGCCATGAAACACGGAAGCGGTACTCCAAATACAAGGGGAGGATGAAGGTAATTATTAGATCAACCAATTAGCTCTTTTAAATACCCGTCAAGGAAAACCATACCGGAGAAAGCAAAAAGATAGACATTTTCATCACATCACATACACCTGTTCGATGAGAAGCTGCACTAGCTTTGAACTGGAGTAGTGAAGAAGAGGAAGATTGATGTAGATTGAGTTTCTGGGTAGACACTCATCATCCCACGAGCTGCTCGCTTCAGTTTCCTTGAGAGAGGACACAGAACTTATTGAAAAGTAGGCGATCTGATCGGTCCAGTAGACATATTAGTACGGTGTTTTTTAAACCCTGTTATCGCATGGGCTTCTCGCATGTGGAGTGGGGCTGTATAAGCTGGAAAAACAGTTCGATACCGTCAGACCTGGCATTCAAAGGCATTTCCTTTCGCCACCAGAATCGCTCTTATTGTGTCATTCAACCTGTGGGATTTGTGCGGCGGAGCTGGCAGCGAGTCTCATCCCCAACCCCTGAGTTGCAAGCATCCAAATAGTTCATGCGACCCTCAAGCTGGATCGAGATCCCACAAATCCAGAGAACCAGATCCTAGAGCGGCCTTTGTATCTATGGCAGATGCCATGATTGTTATGAGTCGAGCCCCTGAGGCGAGTGGTCAGGGGCGCGCGACCGAAAGCCACGACGAAGGTTCTGCCACGACCAAAGACCTTGGAATGGAATGATTGCTGACCATTCTTTGTCTGTGATAGTGTTCGACGCTCCCAGAGAATTCTTGCGTGTTCGAGGGCTCATTTCCGACAAGCTGCCACCTACAGCAGCCTCTCCAGAGGAACGAAGATATGCGAGAAGTTTATGCCGTCTCGTAGAAAGGAAAGGGTACACAGGTGATCTCCGGCTTCATCGTGTCTTCGAGCTCTGGGTTTATTGTGGTTGTCACCCAGCCGCATGGCATAGAAATCCGGATGAGGATGAAGATTTGTGGAATGAATACAAGGCGTCGGAGCTGTTCCATTATATGGGTAAGTGGGATTTCAGTCACGGGACAATGGCCGAGCCCTATTCGAGGATCACCCAGGCATCCCGGCAAGCCCCTAAACAAAATCTACTAGGATCTTGAAAGCCGATTGGATTTCCACTTGCGTGTCGCATGTGACGGATTGGGAGGCTAACTACCAATAGTCGGGCCTATAGATGCAAACCAACAGCGGATAGACACTTCCGCATTCCGATCATTGCCGTCTTGGATCCATAGATATCCTGGATCGCAGATCACTGCCATGGAGGATCGTATTTGACCTAGGTTTACGCCGGTGAAAATTGCTATGGATATCCCTAGGGTCATCTCGAAGACTTCGAAATTGATTCAGTGTATCCGTCGATTCAGCCGCGTTTCATGTGTGGGCCTTGAGAGATCATCTTATTCACGTGGAGGATTGAAAGGCAGAGCAACGAGGTAGTGGGTTAGAAGACCATGGCGAGATACCTAGATGGTCAAAGTGAAGGAATATTGATGGTGAAGAGTCAGGAGATGGAACGAGGCCTCGTACCGTCTCTTGGGCACGAAAAGAGGGGGTTGCATTGCATTGGGGCTGAGATCATGCATCGCCGGGGCCTCTCGGTTTGGAACCCAGGAAGCGCGCTGACCGCACGATTAAGGGTGCATGTACTGTACCTATGTAACTAATATTTAATAAAGTAAGGATGTACCAATTTGAATACAAGATAGTGGTGTTCGCAAATCCTTGCTCCTTAAAAGTAGCAAAACTAATTAAGCTCTCTAATATCTTCGCTACATGCAAGACCAGTGTCTGAGAAGGATATGAGCTATAAGGGGAAGACGCCACCTAAAGCCTCCTGAGTATACGTATCTAATAATGATATGCTTAATAAGTTAATATCAATGCGCTCTTTCGTATACGGGGCGCCAGTCACAATCATAATAGTACACCGTGTTTGATGAATAGAAAAAACAAACATGAGCTGAGAGAGGTATGTGCCCTACCTAACCCATGTATACCGAGGATATATTAGAGAACCTTTCATCTAGTTTGGGCTCACTGTTTATACATGCAGAGTTTAGCTGATAATGACTTGATGACTGATTTACAATGTTCATCAAGTCACTTGCTACTCTATATGGACTGGATCACAGTTCATATGGACAATGCGATATCATCGCGAGAATCGACTGAGCACTTAACTTGAATTAGTATTACTCATTTGATGTTGGATGTTAGGGCACTATTTTCATTGAACGTGCGATATGTCTCTCGGACCAGGGCTATCCAGGAGGTTGATCAATCCTTATCTCACGATTGCCATTGTTTTCGAGTTTGCATGCTCTCTATGAGGATTCAAGTTATTCATCTTGCTTGTTATTTAGGACCGGATAGTGTTAGGCTCAGACGCCGCTACAAGATCAATTAACAGTCTCCTGCCTGATAACACTGGCCGGATTTTAGAGGGTCCCCTTGGGAACTACACCCACAATGTACCAAGAACAGACTCATGAAACATTCTTCGGGGAATCTAGATCAGTAGCAATCTTTGTCTACGCAATCGTGCCCTTCTTGGCGTCAAAAACTGGGACATTTAGTTTTGTGCTGTACTGAAGAGTCGCTACATAATCCTCCAGCCAAATTTCTCATAGTTACATAGGAGTAGAAAGCGTGGAGGTGATCGATGTTGACAATGTGCTATGGCTTCATATCCTGCCATTTTGAACCCGGTGTATTCAGCCTCTTGCCAAGTAACTACGCCGCGTCATCAATACCGGTACCTGAAGTTGTAGAGAAAACGCAAAAGTGCTATAGAGAAAAATCTTAGTTTAAGTAGTAGCAATGTAAAAAGAAATCGCTTACCCAGTCCACATCTAGTGCATCTAGTTGTAGTAAATAAACCTGTTCCCGGGCTTTCTGCTCCTCATTCTATTCCCTCAAAAATCAGACAAAAGCTCCCGAAATTCATGAAATCCCTATGAATACATTATCCGCAGTAGCGGGGAATAATATACCAGCCGTTTTCCTTTAAAATTGGCCAGAACTAGCCGTGGAATTCCTTTCTTGACGGTAGGGTGGAAATCTTTTGGCTTTGAATTGACCACCCCCTTCGCAGAAAGCCCCAGACAATCCTAGCATATCGCGTATATATGGATTGAAGCATCCGCGACCACAATCAAAGCATCTGAATCCGAGAAAAGCAGACCATCTGCTATGATCCAACGTTTAGGACCGACGACACCTAGGTAGCCAAGTTTGAGATTAGAACTATACTGCCGATTGCTCCCAGTGTAAGCTGATGCGCCCGGATCCTGATCTGGGACATAGTGGTTGATGGGGCTGTCACTGAGATGCTGGAGTAAAGCCTTGTCACTCTCAAAGTCATCTCCCAGACTCACAATGCTCATTTTCGTGAATTACTGAGAAGCGGGTGTTGCCGCTAAAATGGTGGTTTTGAGTTGGGCCAGGAATGAAGTCATGTTGATTATCAAGATAAGCTATCATCGGAGATGAACGCGATGGAGGAATTGAACCAACACATGTATTCACCTCGCGATTACGATAAGCATCGGATATTGGGGTATATGAGGTGATTAGTGGAAGGAAGGTACCTAAAGACGGCAGGCAGTAAATTAGGCAGTCCAGAAGAGGTACGGTGCCGAAAAAGTCATGTTCTCTAATTTACTCTAGGGCTTTCTATAATACATGGAAATCGGACAAGGTCATCTACAAAGAGAAAGATGTAGTTCGTGTTGATAATGTTGTAAGTGTGCTATGCTATCATTAATAACAACTCCATATCAACCTCCCATGCTCATAAGCCGGGAGGGAACAAGCTCCGAAACAGGCATGCATTTACATAGTGTAGAGAAATCAACAGATTAAAAGAAAGTGCGAGTGGAACATTAGAACACCAACGCCACGCCGGTATGTATAAAGGATAAAAAGCAATTCGTTGACGTAATTCGTGATTGGAATCGACTTTTGAGAGAACGTTCAAGCATGACATGCTTACTCGTCATACAAGTCCATGTCGCCGCTGTCATCATCCATCTCGGCAAGGGCATCGTCCGAGTCGACCATTTCCGAATCTCCGTCTTCGCTGTCGTTCACTCCGTGGTTTGGAAGTACATCAATGCGGCCATCAGTCATTACCACGCGAGCCTCCTCACCATCCCGAATGCTGCCACGCAGGATGAGAACAGCGAGGCGGTTAAGGACCTCGCGTTCAATGAGGCGGCCCAGAGGACGAGCGCCATAGGCGGGGGAGTATCCGGCAGCGCCGAGATAATCCTTGACCTCGTCAGTGCAGCGGATAAGAACGTTCCGATCGTTGTGCTCGAGACGCTTCTGCACCTCAGCCAGACGTAGATCAACAATCTTGCGAATCTCCTTCTTGGTGAGACGGTTGAAAATGACCGTGCTGGAGATACGGTTGAGGAACTCGGGAAGGAAATAGTCGCGGAGTGCGCCCATCACCTGCTCACGAACGTGGGGTTCAATGCGACCGTCACGGCCGATGGAGCGGGTGAGATACTCAGCACCCAGGTTGGAGGTCATGACGACAATGCAGTTCTTCGCATCGACAATGCGGCCTTGGCCATCGGTGATGCGTCCGTCGTCCATAAGTTGCAGGAGGACGGTGAGGACTTCCTTGGCAGCCTTCTCGACTTCATCGAAGAGCAGGATAGAGAAGGGCCGGCGGCGCAGACTCTCAGTCAACTGACCGCCAGCGTCGTGGCCAACGTATCCCGGGGGAGCACCGATCATTCGGCTGAGGGAGTGTCGCTCCTGGTACTCTGACATGTCGAAGCGGATCATCGACTTGGGGTCGTCGAAGAGGAATTCAGCGAGGGCCTTGGTGAGGAGTGTCTTACCGGTACCCGAAGGACCACAGAACAGGAAGCTGGGAGGCGAGTTGGGGTTGCTCAGACCGGAGCGCTGGAGTCGGATGGCGTTGGAGACGGAGGTAACGGCCTCCTTTTGTCCAACGACGACCTTGCTCAGGTATTTCTCCATGTGAAGCAGCTTATCCTTCTCAGTGGTCTTGAGACGAGTGACAGGAATACCAGTCCATCGGGCAACAATCTCGTTGATCTGGTCAGGACCAACGGCATCTGCGAGCAAGGCTTCACCAGCTTCACCCGAGTTAGCACGGCGTTCAGCATCAGCCTTCGCACGGTCGGCTTCGAGACGTTCAATGAGTGCCTTGGTCTCCGGGATGGCGTAGTATTCGAGATCGGCTGCCGTTACCGTGTCGCCGGAGCGCTCGGCCTCGTCACGCTTAACCTTGAGAGAGTCGAGCTTGATTTTGGCATCTTGAACTTCCTTGCTGCGCTGCTTCTCGCTTTCGTACTTCTCGCGCATGGGTCGCAGCTCTTCGGCAACGTTGGCGGCCTCCTGCTTCGCAGCTTCCAAACGAGCCTTGGAAGCTTCGTCTTGCTCACGTTCCAAGGCGTGGATCTCAATTTGGAGCTGTCGGGCTTTTCTCTCGAGGGTATCCAGAGCCTCCGGCTCGGATTCACGGGTGACACGAACTGCAGCGGCGGCTTCATCAACCAGGTCGACGGCGGAATCAGGAAGACGGCGCGCTGTCAGGTAACGAGCAGCCAGTGTTGCGGCAGCCACAATAGCGCCGTCAAGGATGTTGACACCGTGGTGAACCTCGTACTTCTCCTTCAATCCACGGAGAATCGAGATAGTCTCCGGGACAGAGGGCTCCTTGACCAGGACTTGCTGGAAACGTCGCTCGAAAGCCTGGTCCTTCTCGATGTACTTGCGGTATTCGCCGAGGGTGGTGGCACCAATGCAGTGCAGCTGGCCACGGGCAAGCATGGGCTTGAGAAGATTGGCAGCGTCCATACCGCCCTCGCCGCTGGATCCAGCTCCCATGAGGAGGTGGATCTCGTCGACAAAGAGGACAATGGTGTCCTTGGAGTCTTCGATCTCCTTGAGGACGCCCTTCATGCGCTCCTCAAACTCTCCGCGGTACTTGCTGCCAGCTACAAGAGAGCCGACATCGAGAGAAAGCAGTCGGCACTGAGTCAAATTGGCAGGGACATCGGCGTTGACAATCCGGCGGGCCAGACCCTCGACGATAGTAGTCTTACCCACACCGGGTTCACCGATAAGAACCGGGTTGTTCTTTGTTCGTCGACTCAAGATGCGGATGACACGGCGAATCTCTTCCTCACGTCCGATGACGGGGTCGATCTTGCCCTCGCGAGCCAAAGACGTCATGTCAATGGTGAACTTCTTTAGGTTCTCATTTTCACTCTCCGCGTCGGCGGTCTTGGAGTCCACGCGCTTTGTACCTCTGATCTGTTGAATGGCGGAATCGATCAATTTGAGGTTGGGGATGTTCGCGTCTGCCAAAGCACGCTGAACCTGCGAGTCCTGGGACACCGCTTGAATCAAGTGGTCGATGGCCACGAAGCTGTCCTTTTGCGTCTTTGACAAGTCCGTCGCCGACCGAATAACCTTGGCGAGTTGTGGAGAGACGGAAACGGTCTCTGGTGGGGGGTCCTGGCTCGGTAGACGGACCAGCAGCTTCATGAGTGACCGGTCGAGCAGTTGAGGGTCGCCGTGAGCGCGCTCCACAACTTGGCGGAAGAGCGGGGTTGAGGCAGCATCGTGTGAGGAGTGACCAGCTGGTTGCTGCTGGTCTTGGGATTCGTCTGTGGATGGGTTGAGGAGGGAGACTGCCAGGTGAATAGGCAAAATCTGGGAGTGGGCGTATTGTTCAGCCAAGGCGCTGGAGTCCAGCAAGGCCTTGTTGGCCCGATCCGTGAACTGAGCGCCGTTCATGTTGAATGGAGGAGGGTGTGTGCTATGATATTAGGTGGTATGAGATAATAAGAAGGAAGAATATGGGATGAGGAGGAGCTGAGATGAGAGTGGGAAGAAGTGACGGTTGTGTGGGAAAATGACAATGCCAACAAAGGCCAGTGATGTCGATCGATAATATACTTGGGCTGGTGGGCTGCCCGAAGCTGCTCCAACTGTCATGACGCCATGAGCGGGTTCCACCGCCTTCCAGAAGCTGCCAGTCGCATCACCTGATGTCCAGATCGTTCCCTCCCTAACGGATCACGTGATAGTCAAGCCCGTCATTTAGGTTTGTTTAGCATCATGCGATTAGATCCTGAACTATGACGTTGATTTGATATGGTAACACTGATTCTGATACAGGTCTAGACCCCAAAATTGAGCTAGAGGACCAATGAAGACAGTGGAGAATCGGCTCGTGCATGCATTGAATGACAACTAGACTATGTCCATGGCATTTAGACTGGTTTAGCCCTGAATTTCGGGAATACAGTAGCGACCGCAACCGTCTGTCTGACATCAAGGCTGGATAAGATAGATGAAGCAAGCATACTTTGTTCTTTCTCTACAAAGTTACAACCTCGAGTCATTATGTGATTCCTATGTCAAGGGAACAGGAATTTCGAATTCATGTGCATCCATTTGATAGATTGGGAAGGTCGGTACGAACAGAGCAGAAAGATCAAATTCAAATCCCGAGATTTGTGTGCTGGAGCCACTCAAATAGCCCTTATATATAACTACAAATGCAAGACTCGATGATGAACGTAAGCAAAAGGAGCAAGTAACTTTGATAAGTGCTAATCAAGAGCTAAGATATCTATAGTCTTGATTGTAAGTTAGATAATTATTCATCTTCCACAATTTCATCGATAACAATCCCATCACCTAAGTTCTTTAATTTCTCGATGAATTCGGTGGGTAGTGGTCTGGCACAAACTACTAGGTCAGTTAAGGTATTCAATACAGGGGCATAGCGACCTTTCAAAGACTCACGGGGGGAAGCCGATGGGAGGAAGGCTCCTGGTGGCAATCCACTGATCTAAACCGGAGGCTTCCTTAATAATTCTGAATTGAAGTTAATATACCATCGAATACTATCAAATTCTTCAATTCACGCTCGGACTTGGTGATCATAATCTTCATAAGCCCCGATGTCCTTGTATTGATAGCGCACTCTCTGCCGGAAAGCCGTAAGTGTGCTATTTCCTCCAGTAGAGCTAAACTATGACGCACCTTCTTTCCGTCCATTTTAACTCTCTTGTTTCGAAGTATTGTAGAAATATGATACGATCTGGATGGTCCCCGCGGGGGTTCTCTCGCTCTTATACCCGAGTAAGCGGTCGGAAGGATTGTCGTATCAACATCCCTCTATGATTATACTGCCTGCTATTTTCAAGAACCAGTCGTTGGCTTCCAAGGCTTTGCGCTTATGGGATTCCAGGAGCTTCACGGCGTTGCGGGCAGATCGGCAATGCTATGCGACATGAGCTGCAACACAAACCACACTATAGTATGCAGGCATTCCGAATCTGGCCTCTAGCTGTCTGAGTCCATCACCATGCATGGCTTTTGCCTTGGAATATGTGTATTGTCACTTGCAACACACTATCGGTAGCTGGCTGAGAGCGATGTGACCTCCTGAAGGTAGGAGCTGGCCCAGACCTGGATGAACCTCGTTGGCACCTAGATGACCTGTATTCGCGAGCTAGCCATCTTTTGATGCATAAGTGGAAAGTATGTTGCTGTCACCAAGGAAGAACGTGTTCCATCAAGTTGACTCTCTCTCGTTGTATAGAATAGCTTGAGACTCGGTTCCCAGGTATCAGTTCAAGCTTCTGGGCTATTTTCTAAGCCGACTGGGCCTTTTTGCTTAAACTAGCAGCTTTACGCGCCTCGTCAGCATGGATGATGAGCTTGCGAAATGGGTCAGAATGTAAGTTCTATAAGCATTCAGAGTCTTGTAGCACCAATCAAACTACGAGATAACTACAGTGTGAAGGAGTTATCATCGCACGCGATCATCGGCAAGAGCTCACGCAGAAAGTTGTACAGTTGTCATTTGAATGAATATCCATCTGCCCACGATCGGTTAGTACTCTTCTGTTTAATAACACACTCCCTATATGATCAATCTTCTACCACAAAAGCCTCAACTACTTGTCATCCTCATGGCTATAATTGCCCGCAACGCGAAGATTCAAATATTCGTGCGTATGCGGAGTCATTTTTTCGAAGCTGCTTTGCCTTTGGGTAATCTCACATCCCACTAAACACCTTAAATACTGCTATTATCAAAGGTATGATCGATCACCAATTTACCTTGCCGTTGCCCCTGTCTATACCTTATAACATATACCTAATGCTTATTGTCACAGAGGACAAAGTTGATATCCCAAACCTTGACTCCTTTGTTGCCTTGGTGCCTTGGTGCCTCGCCAGACTTCATATTGGTGCCTCAGGCATTAATGACGATCTCACTCGAGCCAGACAGGAAGGTATCGCTCCCCCACGTTGCTCATCTCTCCGAGACAGGACACGATGTTATCTTCTTCGGGTCATTGACGGAATCTTCCAATAATCTTCTAGATGTGCATGTGTTCCTGCGGTGGAGCGCGCGGGCCCTGGCACTCCGCCATACCATAGCAATCCAGGGAAACCCTGGGTGGGGGTGAGATCTTGATTTGACTGACTTGGTGCCGCTGACGCCAGCCTAGGCAATGAGGCGTCCTCGATCTGCCATGTACTCACTACATACGGAATATTCTCCCTCGGGACCACAAAGTATGACAACTATTAACAATCTTTCCCAATGAATGTATCTCTTCTGCTCAGGTAGGTACCTTACCATGCGGCGTACAGCACAAATTACTGCTTTCCCCTTCCCAATCTTCACAACAGCCAAAGAAAGTATAGCGATAGGCGGTCCCGGGTCGTGACGTCAAGCGGGACCGGCCATGAAGCAAAAAGGAGATGATCAGACTTTATGACCTGGGATCAGACCTCGAGCAACTCGTCCGAGGCATGGCAGATACATGACAAGTACGCCGATACTTCTCCGGCCGAAGGACCATCCTACGAGGCTGGAGAATAGAACGAGGCAAACGGGCAAGAAAAGAACAAAAAAAAATACGAACAGCCTAGAGAGAGGCCATCCTCCATCCATCGGACCGTTTTCCATCTACAGTAGATACTGAGAGGGGTGGGGAGGCTGGTGGATCAAGCCCTTCATCTCCATTCCAGCGGCCTAGCACAAATAGAAAGCCGTTCTTTTCCCATCCGCAGCAAAGCCCAGACATCGTGGAGTTGCCCTGTGGACACCTATCAGGCAGTTCCGGGTTAGTGCAGTCCAGACACGAAGATCAATGCCTCCCACTGTTCACTACGGAGCTCTCCATTGGCCCGTTGGTAGCGGGGATAGGTGGTCTCTAGACTTTGGAAGGTGTGAATTTGTGCATGTTAGGAGGGGCCGTCCGAGCATGGGACAGTATCGACGGCGCGGATATGGCGCAAAAACGAAGCAGCGGAAGGTTCCTGTGGCGGGGCAGCGGAGAGAGGGGCGAGGCATTGCGTCTGTTCTGATTGCCTCGTGGAAAATCCCACCCCCTCTCTATTCTGGGATCTCGAGATGATTTGTGCAAGTAGGCCGGTGGTAGGCTGATAGCTAGATGTAACTACTGCATGGTGAAACTGAGCTAAGTTAGGTTTGCAGACGGTAGATGAACCAAGTGAATAAATCTCTCGAATACTGTCAAATACTGCAGGCGAGTCAGAGCTACGAAAAATTATCGTCTCTGCATGTTCAACAGCATAAGCTATACCTGCGCAGCTTTGAACATCGGATGACAACGCCGTAGATCCTAATTGAAACCCGCTTCAGACAGTCGATAATGGAAACTGTCCGAAACATGCCATGATCATTATTGTCTAGGCAGGCAACAAACCTATGAAGACTTCATGGAGACAAGATCCACGGATAGTGGAAACGGGGCCGTGGTAGTTTAACGGACCTCAACCAGCTATCCCTTGGTGGTTCGGAAGCTCGATAATTTCTTTTTTTTTAACTCGAGATGTTGAGTAGTTAGAGTAAAGGATAGCATGTACTAGCTGTGCTCAGCTGTACCATCTCGACAACACCAACTTAGTTACCAAACGATCTTTCGCCCGAGGCTCCTCGTCCAGAAAGACCAAAAAAACCCGGTTTGGCCCCGAAACCGCCCTGATTTTCACTGGGCCGAGAGCGTAAAAAATATGGAGTCAAATCAGAGATCCAATTATGTTTCTCTTCATTCGAGTTTTTCATTGGAGATCCGGAATTTCTCTTAGGGGGAGATTCACCTAATGGATAATCAGCATTGGGATTAAAATCATTAAATAGCCAATTCTCAACTTTGTCCCCTCCACCATGCCGGACTAAAAAAGCCAAAGCATATGTCATCCACACGCCTATAAAAAAGTATTTTAGCCCTGCTGTCCTGGCCTGGCCTTCTCTGGTCTTCTTTCTCACGCCATCGCGCCTTCGATTGAGATCATCTACAAGCCCTCTTATTTGCTGGACGCTGCCTGGGACTCTGTCTGCTCGCTCAGACTATCCCAAATCCCACATCCTAGTAGCAGATCAAATCACCGACAAGGCAAAAATAATCAATATTTGCCAGCAAAGAGAAAATTGGCTTAGCCGCGCGAGCCTAGCTCGGGATTTACTGAACGGACAAGATCTGGATCTGGATCGTTCTGGTTGAAGGTCGCCTGTTGACGCTGGTCCATTCGTGTCGGCCCGCTCACATTCCACACGAGGTTATTGCCATTTACCTTTTTGGCACTTCCCTCCTGTCGTGTGCTCTTAAACCTCTTCTTTCGCATCCTTGATCAACCTGCAAGCACCCGTCGAAGTCTCGGCAGGATCTAAATTCTTAATCTTCCTTCCATCTTCCTACGAACCATCAGCATCGGATCGTCCGTGCATATCTACTCCTGCAATAATGTCGACCAAGCCGATCTTCGTGGCTACGCATCCACGTGCCTGTTCGACGGCTTTTGAGCGAGTATGTTGTCATAATGGAGCTAGATGAGCCTACAGAGTGCATCCAGACTAATAAGCTTCTCTACAGGTCTTCATGACTCAGCGAGCCACCATCCAATGTGTTCACGAGCCGTTTGGCGATGCCTTCTACTACGGTCCGGAGCGTCTCTCCGACCGATTCGAAGATGACGAACAGGCTCGTGTTGACAGCGGATTTAGCAAGTCGACATATCTTACCGTGTTGCAGAGACTGGAACATGAAGCTTCAGAGGTCCGACCCTTCTTCCCGCGAAATTTTCCCTGATTTCCTTATCCTTGACGCGTTCATTCCCTTTTCTCCCTTGAAACATGCTCCCAATGTCTCCATAAGGATCGATATAAGGAGACCAACTTCCTACCATTCTCATTGCCTCTCTATCCACTCTATCCATGGGATGGCTGCCCTTTTTACCACTTACCGTGGTTTTCTTCCCCCCTTACGGATGTGTCTATACACACATCTGACGGGATGGCTCATGCCTTTTCCATCATGTGTAACTCGCGCCCGTTTTCTTGTCGAGATACTTACCGTGCATGCAGGGCAAGAGAGTCTTCATCAAGGATATCGACCACTACTTGCTTCCGCCAGCTGGAAAACCAGCCAGTATAGCCCCTTCGCTGCGTCGCATCAAGCGCGGCGTTGGCACCACCACCAACGGCGATTCCCACGCCCCGGCCAATGGGGTGAACGGTGCTACAAATAGCACCACTCACACCAACGGCCATGCCACCGCGCCGACCAACGGCGTTGCCAACGGCACCTCGAATGGTACCAATGGCACGGTGAGCAACGGGGTCACCAACGGCCATGCCACCAATGGTGTGACCAATGGAGTCCACGAGGTCAATGGCCACGGCACCAACGGCACCTCCAACGGGACCACCAACGGCGTCTCACGTCGACCATACCCGTACGACACACCCGCCGAGGCAGGCAACCCAACCGTCATGCCTCGCGAGATCCAGGAGCGATTCCATTTCGCCTTCCTCATCCGCGACCCGCACTTCAGTGTGCCCTCGTACTACCGCTGCACGATCCCGCCCTTGGACGAGGTCACCGGGTTCCATAACTATGACCCCCGAGAGGCCGGGTATGATGAGCTGCGGCGACACTTTGACTACCTCGTTCGTGAGGGACTCGTGGGACCGCGAGTAGCGACCCGGCCCGACGTCAAGGTTGAAGCATGTGCAGCCAAGGAGACTGTTCATGAAATTTGTGTCATTGATGCGGATGATATGCTTGATTCTCCGGCGGCGACGATCGAGGCGTTCTGCAAGAGCGTTGGGGTCCCGTATGATCCGTCTTTGTTGACGTGGGATACGCAGGAGGATTATGACTTTGCGTGTCACTGCTTCGAGAAGTGGCGTGGGTTCCATAATGATGCGATTGAGTCGAAGGCACTGGTTGCGAGAGCGCATGTAAGCATACCTTAATCCCGCGGGGATATAATACCATGCACGGCGTAGACATGGGAGATGGGAAGAGACAATTGGATTGATCCCGTACTAACATGCTCTCATAGAAACGTGCCCGCAAGACCGAGGAAGAGTTTGATGCCGAGTGGACGAAGAAGTATGGTCCTGAGGCTGCAGCTCTCATCCGCAAGGCCGTCGACGAGAACATGGAAGACTACTTGTATCTGAAGCAGTTTGCCGTGAAGGTCTAACTGCCCAGAGGTAGACACAGCCATGCTCCATGTTGATTCCATCCATAAACATGGATCTGTTCCAATGAGCACTGAATCATGAGCATGGGGGGAGGGCAGCAGGGAAGAAAGCGAGAAGAAGTATGGAAGGAATCAGACCCAAAGCCTGGGAGTCTCAGGGGAGCGGGGGGCCATATATTCCCTCTCAACCCCGGGCCAAACGACCGATTATGAACCACTATTCTTATTATTACCGCACCGTGCCATGTTCAACCCTACATTCCCCCTTCAATTTCACCCCCTGTTATGTTGGATGTTACAGCCCGCGATGAGAACGATTTAGTCCCGATCACGCCATCCCCGAGCTTCGCCCACCCATCATTCCTGTGAGGCGGGATGATGATCATGTATTGTTGCGTGGGGATTGGTTGGCTATTTCGCTGATGATCTTGTATACGTTGCTGTTTCTTGAGCTTGGATTTTCGATGTTCACCGACTCTTGCGTTTTGTTGCTGCCTTACTTTCGTGCTTTGCGTTTATGGTTGTGGGGAGATGAGATTGGGTCGGATCTAGGTTTACTGTAGGGCTTGGTCCCGTTTGCGCCCGATGGCTGTTATGATTTTGTATGTTGGGAGAATGAATTGATGGATACCTACATGTCTAGTCTTGAATATTGGTTTCTATTTATGATTATAGGAGTTTGTAGCGGCGTTAAGGTTGTTAGGTTGGTGGTGGAATGGCCGACCACGGTAGACGGGTATAGCTGGAAGTTCTTCGCCACAGACCTCGAAGTTACTCTCTGAATCTTGTCAATGTCTCATTTTATTGGGCGTTGGTCGTCAATACAGGCTTGAAAATATCTCGAGGCATTCTGCTTTCACTGGATAAGTAACAATACTCGTGCATAGTTGTCAATCCGTGGGATCAAGCAGGATATACAAACGAAGAACTGCAAATACCCAAAGTTCAGCACACTTGTACAATCACGCCTGGAGATATGTGAAATAAAATACTTAACTATGAAAATAGGTATCGTCCAAGACCTCGGTCCATTCTCTCAAGCTGAGATGGTACAAAGAAACCAAACCATATATAATTCATTTTCATATCCAGGCCTACAAAGGCCCACCTCATAATGAAGGCCAAACATCCAGCGCCAGACAGACAGGGCCCAAGAAGTGCCCATCTTAACAAGTACAGGCTTCAAACAAAGCATCTGCCTTGTCCCGCAAGCAATCTACGGTACATAACAGTCAAACTCCCCCAATCTGTCCATTGAACGACTGTCACAAGAAGACAAAGAACAAACGAAAAAAATATAGCCTAATCGGCGAGCCTCTCAGATGCAAAAGATCCCACAGCTAGACAACCTGCACAATAACCCGATTCCAACCCGTTTATACCGCGCTGTACCCGCCTCTCGACCCGGACCCTTGCAGTGTGTTGATCACGCTTCGGACCCAGTCTTTGAAGAGGTAGGGAATGTCGCGGAGGGTATCGCCGTGCGGGAGAAGGTCCCAGCCACGGGCGCCGTAGCGGTTGTAGTTGAGCCAGGAGCCGAAGATGAGGTAGGCGGCGACGCAGAGGAAGACACTAAGAAGAAGGTTGTGAGTATGAGCTTCGAGAACAACGATCTGCGATCGTAATGGGGAAGAACAATCAAAGTTGAGAATCTTACATGATAATCATCCAAGTGAAGAAACCCCAGGAATTCGAGTTATTCTGCTTCCCACGCTGGTAATCATCACAGGCATACCGAGTGCGCCAGTTCAGCTTCAAGACATAGGTATCATCGTCGCTGAGATCGAAGCTCTTGAACTGCAGACTGCGGTCCTTGGACTTTTTATCACTGTTTTCATCGCGGCGACGTTTCTCATCATCTGCATCCGCACTGTCTTCCTCCGTGACAAGTCCTTCCAGTCCAGACCGGTCGGGGTCACATGTAAAATCGATCACGGCTGCTGCCTCCTTCTTCTTTCCCTCGTCGTCGTCTCCTCGGAATTCGCCGCCCGCAAGCTTGACCCGGACACCCTGGGTTTCGGGGTCGATGGTGGCTAGTCGCGTGAGCTCTGGCTCCATCGAGCCCCCACCCATGTGCTCGAGGCCGACGATCGGGAAGCCGAAGCGCTTGCTGCCGTTGCCGTTGGTCGGGTGTCGATTCACGAAGCCGCAGACTAGAAAGCATAAGTAATTAGTTATCCATAATCTCCCGTTGGGCTTGACGTCGTATCGCGTGACAGGGATTGCTCGAGTCAAGACGTACTTCGCTTGGTCGATCCACACTTCCCATCATCGCCACGGTCTGAAGCCTTGGTGCCCAGGCTTTTGCAAATGTTGAGAACGTAGGTCGTATTTGTCACGGCAGATTCCGTCTCGTTGACATGGTATAGCTCATGGACGCCGCCCAGGGGACTGAAATCGTACTTGTACTTGTCGACGTTGATGTGGGCGCAATCGAAGGTCAGCGCCGCACCTAAACTGGGCAGCACAGTGGACAGCAGTAGCGTGATTCCACCGGATTGTATTCGCATGGCGAAGAATGTGGAATATGTCGTCTGGGGAAGGGTAGGAAGGGTGTGTGTCGACTGGGTCGTACTCGCCCTTAATCTGATTCCGGCGCGGGTGGGAGCTCGCAGGCCCGTGTATGAGTGAGCACGTGGATGGGAAAAAGTGCGGAGAGGAGATTGGGATCAAAGTGCAGATGATGGGATCCCACGGGAGTTGAGGTGTAAGCTCTGGTGGCGCGCACGAGGAGTGGTCTGGTGTCGAGGATGACGATGGGCTGGGGATGATGGCCCTGCGGAGGTGTTTCGTTTCTCCGACGCGGCTCGTTACTAGCGGGAGCTGTAGGCAGCACAAGAAGGGAGCTGTCATAAACCGAGGGGAGAGTGAGACCTGTAAAGTTAGAGGTCGATTGTAAGGGGGTTAGAAAGGTCTTGGAAGCTATTCCAGCCTCAGGACTTTTGTCTTTTCTGCCCGAGTCTCTTCAGTGTCTGGATGAGCTGGATGGGGGATGATGTCACCCGACCGCGAACATTCGGATTGTCGCCGGAAGGAGGCCAGTCTAGTCTGGTTTATCCTAACAACAACACTACTTTTTCCAGAAGAATAACTATAGCAGATAGAAGTTTACTAGTATATGAGCCATAATATGTATCCATCGCTAGTGCATCTCCAGCTCATGATTCGGATGATGATATCTAGCATCGTAGCATGGCATATATACAGCTAGATACACTTTTCAAACCCATCCAAAAGACTCTTGACTAGCTAGAGAGCACTCTAGATATGCTAATCCCACTCCATAATAGAATAGAAACTTGTTGATATCCTATCCTAACGTAACTACATCTACTCCTCTCCTTTTCCACCAAAAGGCACCGCCCGCCAACACGACGCACGGACCACCATCAAATCCAGCGACAGTCAACCCCAAAACCAAAAGACCAAAGACCAACTCCCCTCCTAATCTTACGCCTCCATACATCAATTCCTCCATCCAGATCACCAAAATGATCCAACCACGCATGGTAAGCCAGTGTCCCCATCCACCCCAAGACCCTGGGGATGAAACACCCCATAGCAAGACCAAACCCATCTCACCAAGCTCCCCGCACCACCCTCCCCACGTAAAAAGCAACACGCGCAGAAGAAACTAACACATTCACCGCGCAGCTCTCCCGGGCCGACGAAGCCACGGCCGGTAGTGAAGATAATGAAGTTCGTCGCGAGGACCAGGAGAAGATTAACCGGTTCAGTCGGTTGCATCAGCGGGAGACGGTGCTTGAGGAGCAGTTGAAAGCGAAGCAGGTATGTAAAACGCATTGGGTAGACTTGGAGCTACCTTGCCCTCTTGTCTATTTGAGATTTAGATTCTAATGTGTGTTACAGAAAGACAAGGAAGATCTCGAAGAAGTCTCCATGGAACTTGAACTCGCGGATGAGGACGAGCTTGTCCCGTAAGTGACTCCTTCCCCTTCCCTTTCACATCAACTTCAATTTCATCTGCACTGGATATTTCCTTTCCACCCTTTTAAATTATACTTTGCCTGTGGCACTCCCTTCTAACACACCCACCAGCTACAAAATCGGCGACTCCTTCTTCCAACTCCCCCTCGCAGACGCCCAAGCCATGCTCGAGACCTCCACGGCGCAAATCGACGCCGACGTGTCCAAGCTAGAGGATTCGCTGGGTGAGTTGCGTGAGGAGCTACAGAAGCTCAAGGTTTCGCTGTATGCGCGGTTCGGAAGGAGCATTAATCTGGAGACTTAATTTCAAACTTTCTCCCCACTTATCCATGTCTTGATTGGTTGGTAATGACTATGACTTTTTTGTATACGATAAAAGATAGAGTGAATGGGAGGTGATGGATGAGATATATCTTCCTTTTTATCTTTTTTATTTTGTAAAAGGGACGGTGCTGCGTTATTTGTAGTGAGTAGTACGAAAAGTGGAAAGCATAGATACCACTATGGGTATGGAAATGTGTTTATCTTGATCTGATCACGGCTCATAAATCTCATTCAAGGTAAACCAGATAAACCAAAGGGGGAGAAAACACAAGTGAGGTATCTAGGCAACCATCAAGAGGAAAACAAAAAAAGCACAAAGACAGGCTATCTGCCATAAAAAAAAGTAATAATCAGATGACACAGAATGGATGGCATCTCGTAAAAAGAAGAACGCTCGGGGCAAGTACATATGGTGGGTAAAATGCCCCTGGCCAGGATATTCGAAATAACTGATCAAAATAAAGTGCAAATTATCATCAAACAACGCCCATTCTCCAGTAGTGCTGTCCGGCTAAGCGTGAGCGAGGGAATAGAACAGGCTTTAAGCTCTTATTCTTGCCTCGTTTTCCTCCCCCCATTGGCATCTCATTTCTCTTATCCAACGGACGAGATATTTCGAGGTCCCCGCCATACACCAGTCCGGTCTTTCCGCTCTCATTTTTCTGTTCTTCGCACGTATATCACACTCCGGGGTATATCAGTTTAGGGAAACAGGAAAATCAAATTGCATCTACCGGAACTTCGCACGGCAGCGGCCCATGACCTCGTTTTGGCAAACCAGCTCAGCGCTGAACTCACTACCGTCCAGTGTGAGGTAAATGTCAAAGTATACCCGGTAGAAGATACCCTGGGGAGTGTCCATGCGTTCGAAGTCGGTTTCGAGGTTCTTGCGTGAGAGGTCGGAGGTGAGAGTAACGACTTCCTTGATGCCTATAGAGCGGGTAATTAGTAAGAGTAATAATTTTTAGAAGATGGGGGAATGGCAGTGACTTACGGGGATCCTTAGTGTATTCAGGGCAGACATCTTCATCGCAGGCGTACAGCACGTCCTCGTACATGAGAGTTGCGCCAGGCGCCACTTGACGGAAAAAGCTGACCTTGACTGGCTCGCCGATCTTGACACGCTCTCCCTTCTGTACAAAGATCTGGCGGGTGTACTTGCAACGGTCCCGACCGTCCAGACTGGGAACCCGGTATTGCTCTGGGTGGTATCCCTCCTTGAAGGGCTGAAGGGTGGCCATTAGGTAGTGGCGACGGGCGACACGGTGGGTAATCACTCGTTCGGTGATACCGGCAGTCACGGCACCCTTGACGATGGCAGCAACAGAGTCCATGGGACGAACAACCTTGGTCTGATATTGTGGTGGGACGTGGAGCTTGATCTGCTGGAAGAGGTATTCAGAGGCACCGAAACCACCGACAACCAAGACGTTCTGAAAATGGAGTTAGTACGGCACGAACCAAAACCAGGGAAACAGGGAAAGCCCTACCTGAAGCAATCGGTTCTGTGCTTGGATAGCAATAATCTGGTTGCGAACCAGCTCGAGAATACGGTTCACCACGGGCTCGAAACACTGCAAAATCTCCTCATTGGTGAAGGTCATGTAGCCTTCCTCAATGCCCGCATCAGGGAAGTCTGCCTCAATGCCAACATCGACCGCCCATTTTTGACCGTTGTTGCGGAAATCGGCCTTGATACGGTTCTCAAAATCCATAATACACTTGGCGTAGACCTTGCCCGCAGTACGGGATCCATCAGGAAGCTTCATCTTGCGAATCTTGGCCCGCAAGATGTTGCTGAAGTTGCGGTTAAGAGCGGTCGAACCACAAGAGTCTCCAGATCCTGCAGTACACTCGGCCACGCTGAACGGTTGTTCCTCTTCGACTTCGTATGCAATCAGATCGACGGTACCACCGCCGCAATCGACAATCAGAATGGCGTCACCAATCTTCAGGTTCAGCAAACCGGTCTTGGCGCAGAAGAGCGCAGCTGCCTCGGGCTCCGAGACCAGAGTGAGACGGTTGTCATTTTCATCGCGCAGGAAACCAGCCTGAATCGCAGCAGCACGAGTCGCTGCCTTGCCGGCATCGTTCCAAATCGCAGGCACCGTCAGATAATAGCGGATGTTGCGCTCCTCTCGTGTAAATACCTCACCCAGAGTCTTCTGCAGCTGTGCGCGCATTGCCTGTCGCAACTTGAACAGATAGTCGGCCGCGACGTCAATTTCCGACTTGCCCGGCGGGAGTGGAGGCAAGTTGATGGGGTCGATATAAGTGTTTCCCGACAACATCAATTGAAGCTTGAACCATTCCACCTTCTGCACCCCAGGCTTGGGGTACCCGGTCGGCGCGAGCGCCTCGGCGATATCAGGGCCCCAGCCTACCACTTTCTGGTATTGATCGTAGTAAAGGACGGTCGGAATCTAAAAGAACGAAGGAGAACGAGCATATGGTCAATATAGGGCCTTTTTTGCGACAAAGAAATCTCTCCGACCACTGTCTGCCTACTTTTTGCTTTGTATGCGTACCCGCGCCCGGCCATTCCGTGATGATATCCTCGCGGGCTTCATTGTTGGTTGCAAAGGCAAATGCGACACCAGAAAAGGTAGTACCGAAATCGATACCAACAATGAGCTGCGCTTTGTTACGATTTGCTGCACCCTCGATCTCGACCGCGGGGTTGCGATATTGGTTCTGGGCCATCGACTGTTGAATCGGGTGGCCGAGTTGTTGTTGTGGGGGTTGCATGCTATACCCGGGTGGTGGGTTCATAGGCTGTTGATGGCCAGCGTACTGCATGGTGGTATTGGGGTTGAGCGGGGCGGGGTGCTGAGTGAGTTGGCCGGGGACCATGGGACTGGTGGGTCGATTTGAGGGGAAGCTTGGAGGACGACTTTGTTGCGGAGGCTGATTGACCGGCAGACTTGTCGTCGATGAGCTACGCTGCGAGGGCGGCGAGGTGGGCGAAGTCCCGTTGGAGGGGGTCACAACGAGGGGGTTGGGGGAGGAGGAAGCGGAAGGCGGGGGATTCTGGGGCTTTTTGTCGCGTCGGAAAGTGAACTTGCCAAGTCGGGAGCTCATGGAGGACATGTGTGGCGAGCGCCCACAGGCTGAGAGGGGGGAAAGAAAGGAAAGAGAAAGGGCGTGTCAGACAAAAGAGAGAAAGAAGGAAGAGGGAGGGGGTTGTGTTTGTGCAGGAAGTGGAGTGGAGGTGAGGTGAGGCGAGGGAAGAACAAGGCTGAGTTGGAATACGAGAAAAGGGAAAAGTGTGTGGTGCCTGTCAGCAAAGAATCGGAAAAAAAAAAGCTAAACAACAGAGGTGGAGGAAACCACCAGAAGTGACTAGGTAATAATGACAGCAGATCAGGTGGATTTGTTAATGGATCAGTTATACTGCAGTAGTATAGGCAGTATAGCGGAGTCTAGGTCAGGAAGTGGCAGGATGGATGACGGGTAGAGAGAGATGACAATGATAATAATGGGAATGCGGCTGAGATAGGAGACGAAAGTGAGAAGGAGGAAGAGTCTGTCAAGTCCAAGAAACTGTATTGTGGAAAGAAGAGAGAGTTGAAGCTGAAATTATTATTAAACAGGGCCCCCCCCCTCGTGTCGATCTAAAATGCCTTGCGGGCACTGCCCTTTCCTTTCCATATTTAACGAGTATCGACATGAGTTGAACTACGTAACTGGCCCCCTCGGAGGAGATGATTGACATAGAGATGTCATTGAGTGTTGAACATACTAGAGGCTATTGACCGAGTACATTTCTATCACTCTGAATGGCTAATCATAGTAAAGACTCGAGTTATTTACTTCTCTTTGTCTTGGATCCACGGTACCCTGCTGATCCCGTTGGCCCAACTTGGTCCGTCTTTGTTTGCCCGTTTTGGCCCCCATCGTAAAATCGTAAAATTAACCTGGGGGCCGCCCACGTTTGGGGGCGTCAAGACGAACACTCGACTCGCCATAATTGACTGAATGGAGTATTGAGTATCTCCTATCGGTTAACATGTTGCCTAGACAATATGTCTATCTCGAGTGTTCTGGACTGTCTGCGCCTCTTCTAGCCCCAAAGATAGAAACGCTCCCGGAAGCCAAACTCCTTCGTCCCATAGTTACCTACCCCCAATTCGTAACTCCCGACCATGTCAACACTACTGCTGAGCCACTTTTCGCGCCACCCAGTGCGATGGCTGATACAAGTTCTGAAGCATGCTCTCCCCATCCTGAATGTAGCCGCACGGCCTGCGATCGCCAGGCCGCGCCTCAATCCGGAAGCCCAATCGCTCCACCAAACACAGCACTTCGTCCTCACTCAACTCCACATTGCCCGGCTCCCCAATGCCCGAGGCATCTGCATCTTTACTCTTGCCCTCACCCGTCTCCCCGCCATCTGACCGGGGATGTCCGTCTTCGAAATGCCACAGTAAAGGTCCCACATTAATCCAGAGACCCCCGGGCTTGAGACAATGGTGAATCGCCTCGATGTATCGGATCAAGTTGGGCGCCGTGTCGATGAAGAACACGGTTGCTACTGCGTCAAAGGCCTCGCGGTTACTTGGTTCCATGTACAGCACCACAAAGTCTGCCGCTGACATCGACATTGAGCCGATGGGCACCTGTGCCTGCGCTGCTTCTTGCATCGTTGTGCCTGGGTGGACATCCGGGATCATGACAAGCCGTAACTGCTGCGCTCGGGAGTGTAGGTTGGAGAAATGCAATGCAAAAGGATGCAGCGCGTGCGCCGCTGGACCGGCTGTGTGGTTCAGGATCCAGCTGCTAGCCAGCAACTGGTGGTACGAGATCTCGTTGCCCTCAGCCGCATACCCAGCCAGACAGACTTCAAAGACGAGTCGGCCCAGTCCAGCGCCGGGAACTAGCACGCGAATCTCCTCTCCCGCGTCTCGGCGCGTCTGAAACTCAGCATGGAGGTCCTGGAGAACGGGGTCGTAGCAGACTGCCCGCTCGGCACGGCCTTCGGCGCTCCAGTCACGGTAAAATTGGCGGATGGTCGAGTGCGCCTTGTTGACGTCGGATGCGGTGGCTTTCTCGTGCCAGTTCTGGTTGGGGTCGTCCTTGTTTGGATTGGCGGGGAGTCCAAAGGACTCTAGTCCCACGGCGAGAATGGCGTCCGCGATTTCGGCATTGGTGTCAATGGCATCATCGACCTTGTTGAAGGTGTCCAAGATAGAGAAGGGTGGCTCGGAGAGCATTTGCCAGTGAGCTGAGGGCAAGGCATAGAAAGCTTGCCGTCGGCGATGCGTAGTGTTTTGATGCGCCGTTCGCCGGTATTGTCTGTAGTTGTAAGTTAGTCCTGAGATATACGTAAACACCTTCAAATCCTCATTGTGGCCCAAATAACCAGAAAAAAAAAACAAGTAGAAAGACAAGATAGTCATATTCATTATGGCATACGCACCGGAAGGAATCAAACGCGGCAAAAAGAACCCGTCGCTCTTCGGGATCAGAGAACGGATCAAAGTCTCCAGTCCAAGTCTCCTCCCCCTCAGCCTCATGGCTAACGCCCTGCCCTGAACCGGCCATGGCCAAAAGTCTTCCACTGAGCGGTAAAATACGCCCTCCGAGTGCTTTCTACGCCTCAGCGATGGGCTACGAACTGCACAGGCCAATGTGTCGATCATCGACGTGAGCAGTGTGCGGCGGGCAAAGCGAAGTGGGATTGGTGGACCGCCTCCGTTTGCCGGCACGGCGGAGACCCTTCAATCTTCAACCTCTCCAAGCTTGACAACATAAAACACACACGCGAGGTTCTCACACGCCACCAGAACAGCTTCATCGTTCTATCATTCGGCCTAATTAAATTTTAATTCTTGATCTTGAAGAAAGTCACATATCATGACGACCGCGGCCCCGCCAACAAGTCCCCAGACGGAGCTGGTCTCCCCCACTCTCAAGCCGCAAGAGCTCTCCTTCCCACTACCCAAAGCTCTGCACACGACTGGCCATGTCCATTTGACTTTTTTGGGTCATTGTGTAATGGTCCATCTTGCTACGTCGACGCCGGGCGACTCGTCGGGGTCTTTTAAGCCGATGGGGAGCTTTGTGTATGCCATGCCTGACGTGAGTCCTCCACTTTGTGCATCGTTTTCATCATCTGCTCTATCAAATCATTCCTACCTTTGTATCCCTGTTCAACTATGCTTTTTCTCATTCAAAAATCGTTTGCGAGCCTTCTTCGGACTCTCTAGTTGAGGGTCGCGTTTTGGCGTATATACGTCATTCAAGAATGTGGACATGTAATGTCACTCTTTTTCTACGCATGCATGATCTACTCCGTCGGACTCATGTTGCGCGTGGAAAGGGTTTAGCTGATCTGGCTCACCTATCTGGCCCCTTTGTGTTTTCTCTCTCCGAATCTTTTCCCTTGTCTGACTCTTTTCTCATCCCATTCGTGCCTTCAATAATCCCATGTCCATGCTAACTGTCCAAGCGAACATCACCAAATGCAACCATCTCAACAACACTCTACACAACACCATCTAGTATCGAATACACGACACGGGTGGCCAAGATCCTTGCCAGACGTATGCAACAGCCCGTCTATGTTGGGTGTAGCATTGATCCCAACGGGCTCGGGCAGACGGTAGAGGAGGAAATGGAGGGCCTGACGCATATTGTGAACTTGATTGTTGAGAAATATGAAGCTCAGAAGAAGCAATAATCGCAAATCCTAGGGACAGACATCCAGGGAATGGATTGGCGTGGGGGAGTATGGTTCATGTACGTGGCGTTACTGGACAGCTTGCATTTAACCACCTCCCTCATTTCCGGAATTCAAGAACCCTCTATCCAACTAAAATCCAATTGCTCGGGCGTCTGTTTGGCATCTCGGAAGCAGCATCCACTCGTCCTCCATCAAAATTCGCCCACTGAATAAGTCTACAAGCCCTTCCAACCCAGTAATCTACAGCTGCTGCCTTGGACTTGGCGCTATCCAGAGCCCGATACTTCCATCTCTTGTTTCACAATATTTTCCAATCAAAGCTGCAATTTTGTCGGTCGGATTTCGGGGAGGTGTTGACCACAGAAACCCGACTAGGCCGGATTTCATACAGGGATCCGATCTACGGTGTATATTCCTGAATGTCATCACCACCACCATCTCACTCAAGCACCACCATTCCATCACACTATGCATGAACTCCTTCGGATGAATGGATGTTTCCTATTTCTCTTTGGCGTCCCTGCAATACTTTCCCAAGCTGCTGCGAGATTGGACCAACGACGATGGGGGCTGTGAGCTCTGGTCCACTGGGATGAATTGGCTGTTCCTGAGAATGAGCTCATGGTATGAGATTTCCTGTGTACTGTTGAGAATATAAATAGAGAGGAAAATCCAACGTCAAATCTCTCTGAGAATTACACCAGACTGGTAGATTGGGTAGATATCTACGAATCTTGCAACGCATTCGGTCATGGCTCCTCAAAATGTCGGCATCAAAGCTATTGAGCTTTACTTTCCTAGCAGAGTAAGTTGATAGTTGATCTTGAATTGACATCCACTCTATACTACTTTGGTGGTCTTTGTTCTGACATCTTGGTAGTATGTGGCTCAGTCTGATCTGGAAAATTTTCTCGGTGCCAGCACTGGCAAGTATACGATCGGACTAGGCCAGACAAACATGAGCTTCTGTGATGATCGCGAGGGTGAAACTCCTCCTACAAGTCAATCCCAACTAATACAACAGTGGCCACATGTCTGCAAATGAATATCGCTGACGCCTAGCTACTCCAGATATATACTCCCTCGCCCTGACAACAGTCTCCTCCCTCCTCCGCAAATACAACATCCCCCCATCCTCAATCGGCCACCTAGAAGTCGGCACAGAGTCCATGCTCGACAAAGCCAAGTCTTGCAAATCAGTCCTCATGCAGCTCTTCGGCTCCAACACCGACATCGAAGGAGCCGATACCTACAACGCCTGTTACGGCGGTACAAGCGCGCTTCTCAACGCAGTGAACTGGATCGAGTCTTCTGCCTGGGATGGACGGAACGCTATCGTCGTCGCCTCGGATATTGCACTGTACAAGACGGTCTCCGCAAGACCTACCGGTGGCGCCGGTTGTGTGGCTATGCTTATTGGACCCGATGCACCGCTGGTCTTGGAGCCGCTGCGTGCATCGTACATGCAGCATACATATGACTTTTACAAGCCGGATTTTAAATCCGAGTATCCGATTGTGGATGGGCATTATTCTTCGAGATGTTATTTGCAGGCGTTGGATGGGTGTTATCGGCGGTATCGAGAGAAACAGGTTGCTCGCAAGGCGAATGGGATGATGAATGGAGTCGCAAACGGGCATTCCGAGAAGGCGGGCCCATCCAGCGTTCCTCTGGATGAGTTTGACTATTTCGTCTTTCACGCGCCCAACTGCAAGCTTGTTTCCAAGTCATACGCACGTCTGCTATACAATGACTATATCGCGAATCCGCATAACAAATCTTTCAATCCCGATGTCGTGCCATCGCTCATCCTTGAACAGTCCTACGAGGACTCTCTGAGCGATAAAGCACTCGAGAAACTCTTCATAAAACTCTCGAAAGAAAGGTTCTCAAAACGCGTCCAGCAAAGCCTCACAGCCCCGACTATGTGTGGAAACATGTACACTGCTGGCGTGTACTCGGGCCTCATCAGTCTGCTCAGCAACGTTCCGAGTTCGCAACTACTCGGCCGGCGTGTCGGAGTCTATAGCTTTGGCAGTGGTCTGGCCAGTACGCTCTTCAGTCTACGTGTTGTAGATGATGTGAGCGATATCGTATCCAAGGTTGATCTTCATGCTCGTCTCGCGGCCCGCGAGCGAGTTTCGCCCAAGTTCTACGATGAGGTCCGATAGCCCCTACTGAGCACATGATACATAACCACTGACCACAATTAGATGTGCGAATTGCGTGAGAAGGCATATCAACAGAAGAGCTATACACCCGTCGGCAGCGTAGACGCACTGGCACCAGGGACGTACTATCTCGTGGAGGTCGACGAGATGTTCCGTCGAACCTACGCCGTGAAGGAGGACTCGGGTAAGTCTAGCTAGCTACAAGCGACAAGCCCAGATACAACTTGAAAGAATTTCACATCTCACATTTCAAAACTCCTCGATTCGATCATCAATTTAATCTATCGCACGGTCTTCTACCATTGGTGTGAGTTTGGGTTACAACGAAATTTCTCCGTGCCGTGGCTACACGAACGCTATGACATGGACCACCCAAACCTAAGTAGAGTCCACCGATCCGGACTCCGAGAAACGCACCGAAAAATAAAATAAAACAAAGAATACACCATACTCTATCATATATATACGAAGTCTCTCCATTCACGTCGATAATCCATTCCATCTACGATGCCACCTGCGATGGCCTACTCAGTCGGGATAATAACCCCCGATATATACGTCATCGACCAAAGCCAAGCAATCGCTTAATCTGAGACTCCCGTAATAACGTTGCGAATTTAGGAATTTTAGGTCGGCGGAGGACCCCGGTCTCAGATCGAAAGGTTTGAAAAAGGCAAGGGCCGTGACCGTCAGGTTTCCCCCTCTGTGCGGTAACGCGGTTGGGCAGGGTAGGGCAAATCGGAAAGGCTCGGCTGTTGGTCGGGGGGGTTTCATCTATTCGGATCGTTGTCCCGCTGTGGGGCGGGAAAATAGACTCCTGTGGACAGGAAAATATAGTATTCAGTATTTGCATGGTCAGATGAGAGGGAGAGGCTTGCATTATTTTGAAGGATTGGGATGTTCCGTGTGGACAGGTAAGTGGTGCTATTCTACACTATTTAGTACCTAGTCTGGTAGTGTATTTTAGTAAGCGGCGTTGCACTGCTGAATTCTGCCGATTATGTACACAATGGATTTGCTATTTGAGGGTAGTAGTCAGGTTACCTCTTTGATTTTTGCTTCTGTGGTTTAGGGCCGGTTCTCACAGAGTCAGTAATCTGTTCGCTTATGGCTCATAGGTTGACCTCAATTTTAAGCCTAGAGGCCGTACGTAAATTTGTGCCTGGCTGGGCTGCACATTATTCTTAGCACGATAGTGGGGACTTCGCGATGATACAGTCAGATACACAAAGCCCAGTCATAGAAACACATGCAGGCATAATGATCCCGGTAAGGTCATGCGAAGGACAGGACTGGAGGTAGATAACGACGCTGATGCTCGAATTCAGCTACATACAGAGCCACGAACCAACAGCTCAGCGCCAGACTGCAGGAGTAGGGCTTCACTAGTGATGAATTTGGCCTTCGGCTCGAGGGAGCTGAGCGGGATCACTAAGCTTACTACAAATGCCAAGACGTCCAGTATCATAGTGTGCAGTAGTGTTTGCATGGTTGGGTTGGGTGGGTAGTTGGTTTCTTCTGGCTTTTGATGTTTAGTGGTTCAAACCAGGCCCGACAACCTGGATACGAAGGGACTGTACGTTTATGTATGGAACACATCGAACGCTGGCGCCTCTGTGATGAAGAAAACTCATGGTTTTTGCATGGTTAGAAGGTGGGGGAAAAGAAAGATTACACGGTTTACTTCTAACCTAGCACAATGCGCCATAGTAGGTCCATGCGTATGGGTAGATCTATCTAGCAGCTGGAGTACAGATGGAAGCGAAGTAATCCCTGTCCTTGCAAACCAAGTCATACTAACGCAGGAGAACACCCCCCAACAAGCAACGGCACGAACCGAGGGCTTGACCGCCCAACCGAGTTTGCTTTCTCCAGACAGGTACGCCCGGACGGAGAACTCGAGGTAAGGTTATGCATGCAGTATGCAGCCGGGCACAGCTCTATCCATGTGACATGGAGAACCGATGAACCACTCGCTGGGAAGTTTTCATTTTCGTCTCCAGACTACATGGTTAGTTTGATCAAATACGACGGCTGGCGCGCGCATTGATGTTCCGTGCCAGGGGCGGATGGAATGGCGCAATTGACACGGCTCATGCAGTGTTGCAACTGGTGCGTACGATGGTCCACCAGCTCGGATATGTCCCTGGAGACATCGGTCATTAAACTGGTAGGGGAATTGGCCATGCGACTGGTAGTCTGGTACTAATCGCATGGCCAATTTCCCCTACCAATCTCACTGCCGATATGTCTACGAAAGAGGAAGGGAGTGGGAGAGGGGAGAGGAATAGAATAGGCGAGGCGAGGTCCGGGTGGGCTGTGGACGGTGGCCGCTCGGATGGTGGCTGATGTGGATGGATCATGGGTACTGTACTGTAGCACAATATGGGGCCGGAGAAGTCTTATCGCGTAGCCGATGGGTGCGGGGAAGCCGTGGTTTAGTTTCTATTCAGCACTATCACCACCTCGGACTAGGAAGAGTACATGGGTGATTTCAGATTTCAGATTTGGGGTTGCTTAGCCTTGGGAGCTCGTGAGCATGACGAGATCGGGTATGGACCTGCGCGCCAAGGCTTTGAGCGTCGAGATGGAAGAATGAATATGGCATGGAATGACACAGGGCCAATGCATCTTTGTCAGTGTCAGCTCCTATCATCCACGAATTTGCTCCATATCAATGATCCAGCCTCAGCTTCCTATCCTAACTATCTGATCCTCTCGGCCGAAGAAAAATCAACGAAAGAAAAAGTGAAGGGGTTGATCCTCTCGGATCAGGGGCAGCTGAAGCTGGCAAGTGTACAAAGTAGAGCTGAGGCATCAGCGATTCAGCATCGCTCGGGCTTGCTGCACAGCATGGCCATGCACGCCGGTTGCAGGAAACCGCAAGGTCCTGTGATCAGGCCGACAGGGTAACAGGGCTACTCCCAAACCCGTGGGATCTGTCTCCGTCGCAGATTGGCGCGGGATAAGTTCTCCGTTCGGGGGGGGATCAGACGTTTTGTTTGCGTTGACCAATCGTGATACATGGCAGAGATGGGGTGGATCTGCGGCAGCCCCCTTGGGCCGTAGATTTTCACGCAGAGTGAGAGAAAGTGTGTGCCAGTGGTTGGGGGCAACCAGGAGAGGTTGGCGTTAACTTCGGGAGGGCAGGAGGCACGAGGCACGGTAGCCTGTGCTTCTCTCATAAACGTGGGAAAAGGCACGCACAGTCATTGATTAGTTGACGAGTTTAATATGTACGGTACACCGCATTGTACAGACTAGATTGGGAAACAATACAGTATTTAGTCTATTGACTTTGGAAATTAAAGATTAAGAATCGATTTCGATCCATCATTTATTCAGGAACCATTCTAAAACCTTCTACTGAATCTCTCATGTCTCGGTAGATGACCCGTGAACCGAGTCATTAACCATAAAAATCTCTCTCCCCTATTGCGGAGTCCCAACGGGACCCGAACAACGTTTATTTCGGATAAAACTCGGGACCAACCATTCAGCAGCTCCTAGGGCTCGGCAGACCCGACTCGTTGGCCTGATCAGTTGATAGGCGAAATTGGGGGTCCGAATTGAATGAAGTCAGTCCAATCTGATTGGGGGACAGGGCGAGATGATGGCAGTCTAGCGTCGCTGACTCGCTGAGTTCAAACACTAGCAACGATGGGCGATAGGGGAGAGAGAGAACCAAGAAAACAAAAAAAAAAAAAAAAAAAAAAGGCAAAATAATTGCCACTTGGAGAAAGGTGTCTCCACTGTTCCGGGTCGACATCCGGGCTTGGACTGGGCTTCCATGTGGTCCGGTGAAAGCTTTCCGAGTCGATCAGGGCTTGCAACCGTGCAGGTGATGAAACGAAACGTCAGCGGTGGAACAATCCCAAGCTAGACCAAACCGAAAAGAAAATTGGGTCTTGTAGTTGTAAATTGTTGGGTCCCGGGATACAGAGAGAGACGGCACGGCGAGCGCCGAGATCTTCATCTCACATACCATAGGCTACGTATGCCTCTTTTTTCCTTTTCCTGCTTCGTTCTGTTCCGCCTGAGCGCTGGCTATGGGATCTAGGTTGGAAAGGGGAAGCGAGCAGGAGATAATCGATTAAGCGGTATAAATCATCAACGAGACAAAAAGTAAGTTTAAGGGTTAAGAAGGGATTAAGCGTGTTCGAGCCGGAAGTTTCCTGTGATGTGGTTGGCCTAGCAAGCATTTGAATCGGAAGTATAATTTGGCTTCTGCCCCCCTCGCCGGGCTCCATACTTTAGATGCCCGATACCGGGAGCTTAATGCTATCCTTAGATACCTGCTGCGTCAGGAGAACCGAGTATACCGAGTATACTGAGAGCATGTGTACTCTGTGTCAATCAATCCAGGCATGTTCGTCGAAACTTTGAATTTTGCCTTCTCAGGGGCAAAAAAGTAAGATTACATTCTGACTGGCGTGAAAAGATGGACCGGTCCCAACCACCACTGACGATCCATGAACCGTTCAGGAAACGCGGCGCACCAGCCCTTTTGGATGGGACCGTCCCGATCTGCCATGATGAGGTGAGCAATCGAGAGACATTGGATCGAAGGAGGAAGTTGTATATCATAGTTCAGCTCCCACTGATAACACTCTACGTTTAATTGATGGATTGCCTCACCATAGTGATAACAATTCAGCTGGAAATCTACTCTATTAGTGAGTACAGTTGAATAGCCAAGGGATAGACTCAAGTTCTCGTGCTGACTCCAAGTGGGACCCGCCAACGCTGCCGAGTTCAAGGGCTGACCTACCGGCGTGCTCCCTTCGCTCCGGGTCGAGGAACGCCATGACTCCCCTCCGTCAAATGTAAATGGAGACAAGGTTCGCCAATTCCCAGGCTCCCCGACGGTGGGGCCCCCGGTGGACATGGTCTCCAGCTACCATCGCTGGTCCAGCCGAAAAGGAATAGGAGAGAGAAAAAAAGGAAAGTGAAAAAAAAAGAAAAAAAGGACAAAGCGCTGGTTCGAAAACTACTTCAGGTATCCATCGACACTGCCTCTGCCGATCTCGGGATGCCTCTTGGGCGCAAGAGGTCTGATCTCGGGCAAACGAGGAGGGCGATAGGAGGAGCCTAGGAGGAGCTGACCGTTACTCTGCAAGGTGAAGTAATTTAGTTTCCTTCATGAAGAATTTTTGTTAAATTAGGAGTATGAAGAGTTGAAGACATAGGCAGTGCTTTTATGAGGCGATCTCAGGATTCTATACTTTATTACTTCAATCGTCTGTAGATATTTCATAGGAGATCAAGAACGACCTCGACACGACTCATGAGATGTTGGAGTGCTCCATACTCTCCGTATAACCAAGGGGGCTAGACCCAGTTTTAGCGGTCACCCGTGCAAAGTGTCATTTCGGCTGAAGATTCCTTAATTCAGTTTCCGGGTCCTGAGTTAACTTAGGCTCTTGGTTCGTTTACCACTAAACCAACTCTACCAAAGAAGATTAAACCAAGAATCATGGCTGAACTGTGACCAGCTAACAAGCTCAGAGATCAGACATCAGTCGACTCATCTCGATCGGGACGATGGTTTAAGTCTGTCCTCTGTCTAGTAAACTAGCCTGTCCAGGCTATCCAATGCAATACGGGAGAGACCCTGATGGAGACCTGTGAGGAACGGTGATCCCAATCCCACACCTTTTCGCTCGTCGATCTGGTTCCTTTTATTCTTTAATTTTTTAGTTTCTTTTCTCTTTTTCTCTCTCACTTCTTTTCTTCTTACTTCATTTCATCTCTTTCCCTTTTCCCCCGGTGCTACCCGAATCATCATCCCGACAGTACTATACTTTCTTCGTTGGAAGAACGCCCCATCTGTCCCCATCGCTGCGGAACTGCCAGCCGAGAGGCTCCAGTTTGGGTTTCGGGTCTATTGCCAATTTGCCAATTTGCCAATTTGGCCCATTTGCCCATTTACCAATCGCCAATCTGTCACCTCTGGTGCTAATCTCCAATCGTGCATCTGGCATTTTGATTTTGGCATTTGCTGCATTCTGATCCTCATTCTTTTCCCCGGGTCCTGCATTATTCCCCTCCTCCCTTCGATCCTATCTACCCGTCTATTTGGGTCGACATCTTCAAGTTATTATTCCTGCATCTTCATTCGATCAGGTTCCCTTCCTCCTCCCCCCAACCTCGGCATTTATCATCTCCACGATCTACCCTGACGTTCAGATCCCCTGGTACCCTTCTTCTTGACCCTGGACCCTATTCGCTCCTTTTCTCTCCCCTCGGCCTTGGCTTGCCTATTCTCATTGGGGTTCTTTCTTTCTTTTTTTCTTTTTCTTTTTTATTACCCTTTTTCTTCTCGCTTTTTGCTTAAATCTTGTTTATTCTCCGCACTCTCCTGTCGCCCCAAAGAACCAATCCGCTTTCGCCTGCGCGACTCATACGAGAGCTTCTGTGGCCCATCGTGACACTCTTCTGGATTTTTCTCTCTCTCGACAATATGGCTTCTGGCGATTTGCCTTCTTCCCGTGAATGACCCCCGAATTCACATTCCACCAGTGGGATTATTGGCGCTCGGCAGTTTCCAAGCGATCGAATGAACTGACCCGGTGGCGAGTCTGTTCTCCTTCGGCCAGTCGTATTCTCGCGCGGCGACGGCTTTGGATACACCCCCCGCCAACTTCACTTTCCAACCTACCAACACCACAGACTAACTTACTACATCCACTGGTCGATTGGTTGATCCCGTGGAATTCTTGAACCCTTTCTTAATCAAACGCGCCCGTTTGATTTCTTTCTCCGGGCTGTGAATCTGTGGTTATCAGGTTGCTGACGATCTACCTGGTTTATCTACTTTGCGCTCTGAGTTCCTCCCACCGCCGCAGTGGAGACTCGTCGACAGTTCATTTTTTCGCGATGCAGCAGACGCCCTTTCGACCCGCCAACCCGAACCGGGGTGGCTCGTATGAGCTTCCTTCGGTGCAGTCGGTGACGGGCGCATTCCCTCCCGCCCCCGGGTTACCCTCCGCTCCGCCAAGTCGACCCGACAGCGGAATGCGAATGGCCCATCTGTTGCAGCCGATGCCATCGATTCAACAGCCTCAGCAGCCACTACCACAACCATCCGCGTTGGTCCAGGGATCGCTTCCCCCGCCGCCTTCTCAGCAGATATCTGCGCCAGGCCCAACCCCAGCTCCATCAACTTCACCCTATGCGCGATTCTATGATTCAGCATCAGGATCTCCTGCAGAGAGTGGTGGCCTGCCCGATGCGCCTCCGATGGTATCGATGCCGGGAGGCCCGGGCATGTATCAAACGAGTCCGGTTGGGCTTCAGCAATCGACCCCCACCCCGCTCCAACAGAAGCGAGCTTATCGGCAACGCAGGAAAGACCCCAGTTGCGACGCCTGTCGCGAGCGCAAGGTCAAATGCGATGCGACAGAGACATCTAATTGCACAGAGTGTATCAACCGCAAAGTTCGCTGTCTGTTCACCAAGGAGACGAATCGGCGCATGTCTTCGATCAAGCAGGTCCAGGATCTCGAGAAACAACTACACACGACCAAGCAGCAGCTCCAACAACTACGATCAGGCATGCTTCGACCAGATGGGATGATGGATATTGAGGAATCGCCATCTGCACCTATAATCAAGCTGCCCGAGATCGACTACAAACCTCCAAGACGACCCAAGGCGATGATCACGCAAGACTTGTCCCAGGTACGGTCGAACTTGCGCCAGCACGGCCGTGGGATTTTGAAAGCCCCTCATCCGCATCGGCACCAAGGCTCCAAATCCGTAGTGCCGGCCGATGCGGCGCCACAACTGCCCCCGAAAGAGGTTGCCGACCACCTCCTCGCTCAGTATTACCAATGTATTCACTCGATTCTACCGGTTCTGCACTGGCCCGAGTTTATCGAGGCGTATGAGAAGTTGTATCAAACAGGGTCTTTGACAGGCGTGTCTAGTGAATGGGCGGCGGTATTGTTTGGAGTTTTCGCATGCGGCGCAGTGCATACAACCGAGCCAAACCGAGAAGAAGAGGGCAAGAAGTTTGTTCGCATCTCTTGTGGGATTATCGATGTGTGGCAGGACGAGTTCAACTTGGATCGAGTACGGGCGGCTCTACTTGCCAGTATTTTTCTCTACGAAGTCAACTCCAAATCCGCCAGTTGGGTCTGGATCGGGTCAGCAGTGCGTGTGGCGCAAGAGATTGGGTTGCATATCGAGTCTGGGCCATGGCCTGAGCTGGAAGGTGAAATGCGCAAACGCATCTGGTGGGGATTGTATACTTACGACCGGTTTGTACCTCGTGGCTGTTGGAATACAAGAACCCGTACTGACATTTTTCTCACTCCAGACTTTTAGCCCTCGAGATGGGCAAGCCAGTCTTGATCAACGATCAGGACTGCGACATTGACTTGCCATGCCCTGTGGACGACCAGTCTCTTGCCCAAGGGAAATCCGCTGAAGATCAGTCTGCACCATCTCCATTACTCGCCACAATCCACGTCGTCCGCTCCATCGGCCAGCTCACCCGTACCCTCCGCTCCCCTTCAATCAGCTATGCAACTCTCGAAACCTTTGAACGTCACTTCACTATTTGCCGTACAACCTTCCCAGCTCACCTCCAACTCAAGCAAGACACCGATCTCGACCCCCGATCCCTCGCTCCGATAATTTACCTCCAAAACGCCCGCCTTCTCCTCCATCGCCATAACATCTCCCCTTACTGCCAGTCCGGCGTTCGCACTGCGGCCATGGACTACTGTGTCTCAATAGCAGTCGATACAGCTAATATTCTCTCGCGCTGTATGCGAAGTCACACGGGCACAGGGGACTGGCGAGCCCTGTTTGCCTCGAGCGCGGGCACTCTTCTCTGCACGCATATCTGGCGCTGCGCTTTATTCCTCCTTTTCCGGCAAGAATTCGCCCCAGCATTGGCTTGTGTGCAAGCTAGTGCCTCCGTGGGTGATGACCGTGCTGTAAATGCTGCTTGTGGCCGGTACCTAGCATTCTTCCTTCGATGCCTCCTCGACCGCTCCCAACCCGGCGAGGTTGTAGATCCTGAGCAGGACGAAGCGATGATGGCCTATGTATCTGGTGACATGCAGGGAACTGCAGACGGTAGCTGGGTCTGGCAGGGTAGCGAGACCGGCGCGAATTTGGAGAATATTCCTGGGCAGCCTTGTCCGGCACCGGTACCGGCTGACTCGCAATGGGAAGGCTGGGACTGGGTCGAGAAGACCGTTGCGCATCTGCTTGGTGAGAAACAGCGCCGTGAATATGAGCACCGCGATGTCTCCATGGACTCTAGACCTGAGTCTTCAAATATGCTTGCGCCTCAGTCGGCGGGGTCGGATACGACGGAACGTCGGTCTAGCTCTGCTCATTCGCGTATGACTATTGCCAGTATTATTTGAGCAGGTCACAGCGGCTATCGTTAACTGAGTATTGAGATTCATTCAAGCTTGTCTTCCAAAGATAGGAAGGCAGGCAGGCAGTACAGCGAAGCCAGACAGGAGCTTCGCAACACCCAAACATCCCGTCGATGTCAGACATCGCTCGGTCAAAGTTCGGAGCCTACGATTGCAGATTCTCCGAGGCCACTGGCCTAGAGAGACTCCCAAAGTGAGAGTAGAGTACAGCTCAATCTAGACAAGAGCTACGTCTGCACTGAGGTTTTCAGAACCGATGGATTGGCTTCACCCATCCACACACCTACTTTCTTGTGAATATCTATTTTGTATGCCATTACATTTCTACCTAAATAAGACCGGCTTCAGAAGCCGAAGCCGAACCCTTGATTGAAACAAAAATTTCTTCAAACCTCTCTCACTGTACACTATCATCACTCCAACCTCTGAGCGCAGACCGATACATACAAATCATATCACATCACTGTCCACGACTTAAACCAAACGTCTCCCGCCCATCGACCGCCTCACCTTCCGGACAGCCTTAGCCTTCCCCAGAGACCGACCCTGCACATTATCCCTCCGCACCTTATTTGAGCTCGACGGGTTCGGTCCATTCAGCGTCGTGTTATACGTAGCATCACTAGGAAGAACCTCCATCACAACAGTGCTATTACCCTCCCGGTAGTCACTCGTGGGTGTTCCATGAGTCTTATATCCGCCATGCGACTTCACGGTATGTTTACCCGTCGCGATATCTTTCCTTGCGAGTGCTCGCTCGAACAGTTCTAGTGAGGCGAGGGGCTGGTAGAATGGCACTTCATGGCCGGACTCGTAGATCCGCACGAAGCTGTATAAATCGCTTTGTCGGACTTGGCCGTGTACGACGCCGTCGGAGGTGGTGATATTGACGAAGCCGGCGTCTTTGTAGCCTAGGGCGTTGATTTCGTCGGCGACGACCTGGCCGCCGAGCCAGTTGCAGTTGTAGTCGCTGGATACCCATAGTATGTCAGTTATATTTGCCCTTTAAACGGAGGGGAGAGACTGAGGAGGGGAAACTCACGCATCACCAAAATACATAATAACCTGCACACCCGCATCCAACAACTTCCTCACATCCTCAATAGTATTCGACTCCCGATCATCATCACCGGTATTCGAAAACGCATTGCCCACCGTATACGAATACTCCGAAAAGTTCTGATAAGCACCAATCGCAGCCTGAACCTTCGGCGTATTCAAATACTCCACATAAAACGAGTACGGGAATGGATCAGGCGTCAACTCGCGCATATCATACTCATCCCGTCCAGAGTAAATATCAAACATATTCTCCACCTTATTCGCGCAGAAACTATCCGCCGTGGCGCAGATGTCGTTGCGACCTGTTGCGTAGCATTGCTTGGTCTGGTCGAGGCAGTTTCCGGGACCATAGAGGTTGTTGTACCATTCTGCTTTTATGGATGCGTTGTACGGATCGTAGTCGTAGGTGTTTCCAGGGGAGATGGAGAAGTTATAGTAGGCTTGGTATTGGATTAGGGGGTCGAACCAGCCGTTTCCGATGAGGACGTTTTCGAGTTTTATGTCGATTGCGTCGGGGATGTTTTTGGCGTTTTGTGAGAGGAAGTACTCTGTTTCGAGTTAGCTGGGATTGGGGTTGGTGATTCTTAGGGGAGATGCTTACCGTTAAACACCGGACCGTAGTGTCCACCATAACTCTCCGTCGTAAAGGAGAAGCCATTACGCGAGTAATGCGGGAATACACCCATGAATCCTTGCAGCGTCTTCCACATATTCGGTGCCGCGCCTTGAGTTGAGTTCGGAACAAGGCTAATATCTGATTTGGAGTATGTGCCGCATGTGCCGACCTCCTCGGCATAATCAGGGCATGTTTCGCTAGGTAGTTGGATGATATTGCCATCGCTATCTTGATACCCTGGGATTGGAATCGAGTATGAAAGTCCGACGGTGGTTGGCTGGTCAATGAAAAGCTGGTTGCTTGTTAGATGAGGTGCTGGTAATGTTATAGATGTTGGATGGATTTACCATGTTGCTTGCGTTGGACCATGAGTAAGGGTTGTTGTAGGCGTTGCCGTTGGAATCGACGCCACATGGGCCAAGTTCTTGGAATAGTCCAATCATGGAAGATGACCCTGGCCCGCCATTGATCCAGACTGTGAGTGGCGCCTGGGTAGATTGTTAGTGTTTAAACTATGGGCTTCTTATAGTTCCATTCAAATGTATTCTGTACCTTCTTCGGGTCTTCGTTTCTTGCTTCAAAGAACCACCTATGTTCCGATAGTTAGTCACAATGCTCCAAAAGCGATTCCAATCTCGGTAACTCAGGAAAACTGAGCCGCAGTTTGTGTGAGGTCCAATCAGTCCTTGGAAACATGCGACCGCAATAGGTCGCGTGCCTTTGACGGAGACCTTCTACCTCAGGTACCCCACGGTTTGAGGAGACAAGTTCTTACCAGAAAATATGCTCATACTCACCAACATCCGCGTAGCCAGAATAGCTCTTGACATTGGGATCTTGCTCGCAAATTCCAGCCGGGACTTCTTTGTACCGCACATTGATCCCCGCATGTCCCTTCTTGGTGATCAAGTCGGACGGGGCGGATACGAACTGTGCCGAGGCGCAGGGAAGCAACAAAGCTGCTGCCACAGCCGAAACTTTCGAATATCGCACCATCGTAGACCGTGAAAGCTCGGACAGAATGTCAATCACAAAATAAGCGATACGAACTGCAAAGACAATTCCCCTGCTACAATATCTGAGAAGACTCAATTGAGGGGAAGTGACTCTCGTTTTATTGATAAACAAGGAAAGCTCTCCATCATCTCCACTTGTCTTTCATTCCCGATCATGTAATTAAACTAGGCCCGGTACACCGTCGGGATCCCCCTGGATAACGATAAGACCTCCCCCTTTTTGATCTCGCTTCTTTCAATTGGGAAGGTTGCATTGTGCTCTCGAGCGGGGTATAACTTAGTTATTGCTTGCCTAAACCTAAGGCGGCACATGCATGGCTATTTGTTTGTCAGCGAGGGAAAACAAAGCGATAAGTTAGTTAACTGATCATCAGCTGAAGTTAGCATGGGTCATTGTTGTTCAGTACCTTCAATTTTCCACTATAAATGAAAATGGGACACCATGGCTAACTAAAGATCCGTTACCAGAGAGTAAGTTTAAATGCTTCCGCGTCTTTGTAGCTTGTCTTGTTCAAAAGGAGAGTCAAACTCAAAGTGGGATCTTCATCCAGATAACGGCATTTCTTGTTAGTCTGAATGCTTGATTCGACTTGATTGGCGGTGCTGAGCGCTGACGTATGTACATGCACGTATCATTAGAATCCTTGTGCCGCGACGCTAGAACCATCAGGTTGGGCCTACCTTATGGAGCCTAGCTTTCGTTTGACATTGACTAACCAACCCAGGAGCCTCATGCCTTAGGCGTCGGCAGGCCTATTCGACCCTTTTGGATATCAGAGAAGAATGAGGTCTATGAAAATTCATTTATGTCTTGGGCCAGTTGAAGGACTTCTGCGCGATATAGTTTATCAAGCAACCTCTGTGGGTAAGAAGCATATTCGAGATTCCAAGATACCGGTTGCTTGTTTCTCGAAAAGCTAAGATTTCCTCAAACTGATTATCAAGCCCTTGAATCAGATTTACTGAGAGAACCCGTATCACAAGACGCATAGTGATTGATTGGTAAAGCTGTACTCAGACATCAACACATCTCTCTGAGTTTTCTAACAATCTCTCCGTTTTCCGTTCACTGATCCATCCAAATTCCCCGTCTTCTTGCTTCCTCCGTCTATTGCTCCAAATCCTCCACTGATTCAATTGTCGAATTGACTTGATCGTCTCACTCAGTCCGAGCCGAGTGCATAGACTAGCCTTGATTGTGGACTTAGATCAAAAGCTTCTCAACCTCGGCGAGGGTTCCGTTGACAATGGCACCGGCGTGGTGGCGAGCAGCCATGCCGTAAGCGAATTGGTACCTTTGGTGGGTTAGTCAAGTTCGTAGACTAGCTTCAGCGTTTTGGGTTAAAACTCACTGGTCAAGGACGGGGAGGATCTCGGTGAGACCGGGCTTAGCGCGCCAGTCGCGCATCAGGTCACAGACAATAGCGAAGAAGCCCATCAGAGTGACACCGGCCTTCTCCATACGGCGGTTAGCATCCTCAGCAAGCTTGACATCGAAAGTTCCACTGGCGTCGGTGTTGGCGAAAACCTCGTATCCCTCATCGATGAGCGACAGAGCCAGGAATGCGGTGCCTAATTGTCATGTTGTTAGAGCTGGTATTTCACACGAGGGACAGCAAATCCACTTACAAACTTCAGTCACGATACCACCGATGATCAGCTGCTTCTTTCCGAGGGCCTTGACAGCCTTGCGGAAGTCGGCGTTGTCCCAGGCGTTGACCTCACCCTGGCGACGGATGAAGGTAGCGTTGGGGTGCATCTCGGTGATCTCCTTGAGCAGGAGGCCGTTGGGGCCACCGTCGGAGGAGGAGGTCAGGATGGTAGGCAGATCAAAGATGTTGCCGATGGAAGAGTGGGCCAGCATGTTGTTGCGGAAGTCGTTGGTGCCAAAGTCACGAACGAGCTGGGCCAGACCGACCTGGTGATCGATGACCAAGAGAGCCTGGAATGTTCGTTAGTCCTGATTATAGATGGAACAATCCCAGTACTTGGTGACTTACCGCGTTCTTCTTGTCGAGACGGTTCCATGCCTGAGCGGGAACGGCGGAGACTGCCAGCAGCAGGGCAGTCTGGATGATCTTGGAGAAGTACATCTTGAAGTGTTTTTTTGAATACGGAAGGGAGAGAGAGGATCTTGAGTGGTCTTGAGATCTTGTCTTGTGTCTGGATAAAAAGTACTGGTGAAGGCGAGGAGTTGCCTCCTTTTATATTCGATGCACTCCACCTAAATCATGTGGACCTTTTCTTCAATCATTGATAGATGGATAGATGGATAGATGGATAATCTTGACAAAGGGTTTGCTAATCTCGTGTCCGCTTACCCTCGCCCCAGATTTAGTACGTCGTTGACTGCCCCATCCAGATTGTCTTGGCCCACAGTGACCGCTGCAGTATGCAAACTGTCGCATGTGTCACGTCTCGGCAATGCAAGTACATTTGAGCATCGGAACAAGGTACATAGCGTTTACGGAGTTTCTGCTTTGGGAATGTGGCTAGTTCGTGAAAATGTCCCATTGGGGAGAGAGATTAGCTAACGGTAGAGCTTAAAATGTGCTGAATGACAAAGAGCTATCATTCGTGTCTCTTAATAGCTCGCACCCTCACTAGGAGTCCAACCATGCCTTCGCTTGCTCTTCAACAAGACGTGTTTGTATGAGTATGGGATGTTCGTTTCGGTTACACAAGATCTAAGAGTTGAAATCTCTAACGCATCCTAACGCCGCGAACGAGTAGACTTTCGCCTCCAAATCCTTCAAAGAGCTTGAATAAGCCACCGGAAATGATACATCCGGAGCATTTTCAAGATGTCGGATCCACCGGGAACTCCCGCCGGAAGCCTGGCACCTGCAGAGTTTCACTATAGTTTAATTAGCGCCTTACAAACTACCGACTAATGGGCCTGTCAGCACGTCAAACTGAACCCTGAGTAAACGTTAGCTCTTGAACTGGTTAGCTGCCGATATTGTTCCAAAACCCCAGCAATCGGTGTTACTTTCCCCTCTTCTTCTGGGTTCCTACTGGTGTAATTTCTGACCCTGACCCACCTAATGCCAAGCATCTTAAATTGTGTGTCGATGGGATCTCTTGTCATCAATTCACCGCTCAACGCCGCCTGCCAACTCTACTGCAAACTTTCTAAGGACAATGTCTCACTGCCGTCGGTTGTAAAGTTATTCTGCCCGAAAGAGACCAAAGAATGGCTAGTGTTGCGAAACACAAATTGCTTACGCCTGCTTACCGAATGATTTCGTGCATGAGGCTAAGCTTGGCTTGTCACAGAATGTCTTGGCACGGCGAAAAACGCCGGTTATGCCGTTATGGAGCCCTGATTAATGATGTGGTAATGTCTTTGTGGAAGTATGTTGACATTCATAGAAATTATTACTTTGTATATAGTAGACTGAGTTCGAGAATATGCCAACATCTAGTATCGCGAGATCTGAAGACAAAATCGCTCTCAATCTTCCACCATCCGAGTCTTTTGTTTTCTTAGCGTCTCTAGTCTTCTGCTCCTTCGTCATGCTCATAGACATCACTTCCATTCCCTAGCCATGCTTTGTTCACGGGTGATGCAATTGAACTGCATGCACCCAATTTCCAGTTCCCCTTGTTGGTCAATCTGAGTGTGCAAATGATTCCAGAAGACCTTTCAAGTTTCGTCACCTCGCGCGATCGTAAACAACCAATGGGTCAGCGATAGTAGCTTGAATAAACAAATCATTTATCTGTCTGTTAAAAGAATAAGAAACACCCCTCATGGTATTGAGCATTATACTCGACTTAGAGCGTTACCTACGGATGTAGGTAGTACCTATCTGTAGATGTTTGAAGGCTCGTTGCATTATATATATATTCTAGTTATGGGGTGCCCGGCACACGGCCCGACCCAACCTAGCGGATTAAGACGCACCAACCTGTGAAAAAAAGCACACTAATTCAATAAAGATGATGGAGGATGTCCCTTATTGATTTCGAGTACGAATTATACTACCAAGTAGTCAGATCTAATCAGTACACCTAGTATTGCACCTAAAAGGTCCCTGAATATGATATCATCATGACTGGCATTGAAAGGCGGCATATTTTTCCGGAGTTGGATTTTGAGCCCTTCCAATTAATCGTAAAATACCAACAAGATATTCAAAAACCTCACTTACTTGCTCTGCACCTACATCAATTGCGGATACTAAGATGCCTCTCCATAAGGTAAGTGCCGCTCTTCGCTGAAAACAATCGAGAATGCTCGTCTGAAATGGAAGAATCCAACCAGGTTGTCTTAAGGGACGGCATTACTCAAATGGACATTGACCGGTCAGCTTCACACGATATGGATATATATTCATGGGAGTGGGCTAATACGCAGTAACAGTCTCAAGTCGCTGGTCAAATCCGCCGGGGGACAAATTACAGGCGAGGATGACAATGCAGTACAGTGAGTTGGCCCCTCTCAGATGCCGGAATTGTCACGCTGACAAGTTGCTGGGTTGTCAATGATTAGATTTCGAGTTCCTGACTCTTTTGACTTGCGTCTCATCACCAAGAACCTATTGGTAGAAACCATGTCGGACCATCCCTAGTGCAGGTGGCGCCGAGCACGAGGGGCGACGGGATGGAAGCGGGGCTGCGGGCCTAGATCGATGGACTTTCAAGGGTGACTTGTTGATAAAGTTGTTAGCAATGGAGTTGATATCGAAATGGACCACGCCAGCATCATGCGAGGCGTTTTTTGAGAGCATAGCCTAGACTAATTGATGTTTCCTTGGTGCCCACTGGAAAAATGCTCAGCACAGATCAGCCGCACATCGAGGCAGTCCGCCCGCTGCCAGCTAAGAACTCCATGGATATGATTGGGGCTGGGCCCTGTCCATCAGAAGACTAGGATTACTCTGTAGACCTAAGTGGTCCAGCCGAGAGCCTAAAATCTGCACGCTGTGCCCCGTTAGGTTTCCTCAGGTTTCTCAGGTTTGTCAAGTTTCCCTGCGGCTCTGACGCGGGGGTTCTTCTTTTCCAGCCTTCGCCCTTGTTTTCAGCTCGGTGCCTGGCCTTGCGATTTCTTACCTTCTTCATGAACCCACCTTATTCACTCGTTTGGTGCTTCTAGCACCGTGATTAAATCTGCGACAGGCTTTGTATGAACGACTACACATTTGTTTGAATTCTGATTTTATCTCGTCTGTCTTAGCGCCAACAACCCCTTGACTACCTTCGCCTGCGTGAGATGCGATGATAGGCCTCCACCATGCAAGCTCTTTCGGCTGAATCAGATCGATGGGTTGAATCTGGACCGATTTCGAGTACACACCGGGTGTCTAGGCCATGGAGACTTGTGACAGCATTATCCTCGGCCCTGCTGTTATTGGGGTTAGTACGCGCCTTCCTCCAGGATGCTCTACGGTTGATGCTTTGGAATTTGCTAACAAGCCATGCTCTTTCTACAGCTATTTAATACTAGCAGTGGTATTTGGCGATCATCCCGAGGAACTGCATATTGATAGGACCGCTTCGCTCGTCTTTGCCCTGTTCTTCATCGGGACATCCTATATCGCGTCGATCGCGATCGCTTATTTTCAACGCAAGCGCAAACTATTCCTTCTCCGATCGTTGTTTATGTCGGTCGCTTCAACTCGTTTGATGTTACGAAGCTCAGAATCACTAACATCATCGCTAGGCCATTTCTGGTAGTGAACTTGGTCTCACTATTCAACGTGCTATTCAATATTCTCAGTCGCAGCCTTTTCCCATTGAATGCGATTCGAGTAATCGGTATTGGCCTTCCAAGCGCTTTCATTATCATCTATGGTCTCGCGGCTTTCTTGATCTATCATGAATATGGGCCCAGTCAAGGCCACCGGGCCGAAGATGGCACTCCTCTCTTGAGCCAGGAAGAGATGCAGCGTCGGCAACTGCTTCGACTATTACAAGAACAAGGCTCTGGTGCACCTTCTCCAAATCCCAGTCAAATTAATACAACCTATCGGCTCGAGAGCGTCCCTGGCCTCGATCCAACCCCCAAGACTTGGGATCCCCATTTGATCCCCCCGCCATCAACGACTTGGAGCAGCTTGAGTCGAAGTACGACGTGATGAAACATGATCTTCACGATATGGATGTTGGATATATGTATTTGTGTCGAGTCATTTGCATTTTGTGTGTTTCCATAATTAGCTAGTTATTTACCGTAATCCATGTGACATAATGAAGCATAATTAAGTCAAAAAGGGTCGCGACTTGCAGACCGCGTTGTACCTCGGCTCAAACTCCTGTCTAAGCCCCGACCGCATTTTAAAAGTGCTGGAAACCGCCGCCATCCGAGCGGCAAAGGCATCACCTCCGTATTTGCGACCCTACACCCTATTTAACGTCTTCGGGCTTGCGACGCTATTCTTGAAGTGCGACAACATGGCAAAACGCGTAACGCTCCTTGATCCCCCGCCACAGGACCATTCCAAGGCCCCTATCGAGAATGTGCTTGACTTGACACCAGTAGTGGACCTCGGCCCAGTTAGAACTCCTTCCTCTTCACAGCCCATTCTACACAAGGCTAATTTCGATTCGTTACAATCATCTATAGGATGTCTTCACGAACACGCGACCGCTATGGCACCCTCCTGGAGCCCGCGGCATCTATGGCGGCGCCGCCATCGCCCAGTCCCTATCCGCAGCCATGCGAACCGTTCCCTCCGACTTTGCAGTTCACAGCATGCACTGCTACTTCGTCCTAGCCGGTGACTCCGAGATCCCGATTCTATACCACGTGGAGCGAGTCCGCGACGGCCGAAGCTTCATAACCCGTACCGTGCAGGCGCGACAACGGGGACGCCCCATTTTCACCACGACCCTCAGCTTTAGTAGGGTTGGCAGTGGTGGAGAAAAGACCATCACACACCAAGCATCTATGCCAGAAGCAACTCTGCCCGACGATGCGTTGCCCGGGACCGTGCAGGCTTTGAATAATGCAGGCGCGGGGCCATTTGAGTCAAGGAAGGCGGGCATCGTCAACCGTAGGTTGCTCTTGAGGATCCACGCGTGGTTTTTCTTTGACTGATTGAGTCTAGGCAATTCCCCCAACCCCGAGGATAAGAAAGTGCGACGCTTTGTTAGAACACGGGGCCACATCTCCGAGGATGGTGGTTTCCAGGCCCATTTGTCGGCTCTTGCCTATGTCACCGACAGCTACTTCATCGGCACAGTCTCCCGAGTTCATGATATTCCCCGATTCTCATCACCAGCAGAACTCCAAAGGCTACTCAAGGCATTGAAGAATCCTTCTGATCTCGACGATGAGGATATCACTAAGGCCTTGAAAGAGCTAAAGGAGGAGGAGGCGGCCGACTTGCGTCGTAGACTGCAAGGCGCCCTGGATAACGCTACTCAAGGGAAAAATAAGACCGAGAAGGAGGTTGGTATGATGGTCAGTTTGGACCATTCGATTTATTTCCACAACCCCCGCGCTTTCCGAGCCGACGAGTGGATGTTGATTGAGATGGAGAGCCCGTGGGCTGGAGAAGGTCGTGGACTGGCTATTCAGAAGATCTGGTCACAGGATGGGACTTTGATTGCCACTTGTACCCAAGAGGTATGTGGATTCTTTTTTCCTCTCTTCTACTTGTGCCTGATGGCTAACTGTTTCTTTTTAGGGCGTTGTCCGGTTGAAGCAAGATAAGCCACCGCTCTCGAAGATCTGAATTTCGGCCATACCTCTCTTTAATTACCTTATCTTGCTATGGGCTTTTGATATGCCCGGCATTTCCTGTTACTCGCACAGTTCTTATAGACCTCGGCTTACTTGCCTTTTCTTTACCATGACTGTATCTAGTTCCAGTCTGTGTTGATTACTCGTGACATTTTGTCTTATTTAACAAGAAATCAATCAATTATGACTCTTCAATCTGTTCATTTCCGATCTCTATATGACGTATCTCGACATATTGTCGGAAAAGGTATCACTGGGGTTCGCACTGGTTGAATCATGCTCAAGAACAAAACACTCAAAGCGGAAAACAGCTTTTGAAATCAAAAAAAAGTATTCAGACAGCCGGCCCATTTTGTTTCGCATGAATCGCATGAAGGGAAAAATAACAATAAAAAAGAAAACAATCCAGGTAGTATGCATCGCAGTGAAAAAAAAAGTAAAGTGCTCAGACGGGAGAAAAAAAGCAAGAAAAAGCAACACAGTTCGTCATCGCGTCAACAACTCAACAAATCATACCTCAATCTTCTCATCCATCTGACCAACTCGACTTTTGTAGAACTCCAGTACTTTGGCACCCCAGACATCTTTGCCCTTGTACTCGCCCACGTATTCAGGCCAGCTCCTCATTTCCTTTGCGAGATTTTCGAGCTCCTGCATTGGGAGCTGATCAAGTGTAGTGAGGTACGTCTTGACGCCGAAAAGGATAGTCCCCGTTTTTGGCATACGACGGAAAGTCTGTCTCTCTCGGCGAATAATAATCTCCTCGGGAGACGGATCGGACAGATCTTTCTCACACAATCCCTTGGGCCGATAAAGAATCTCGATAAGATTCTCGTCGGGCCGTTTGATCTCAACAAAGTAGTTTGACCGCTCCATTGGGGAATTTGGCGTCAGCCGCGCTAGAAACCTAGTCGAGATTAGAACTTGCGCAGATACGAAGATCACAATGCACTACTCGTGAGTGCATTTTTACGATCCACTCACTTGCTCACGGAATTGGCAACATGCTGATGCCACAGAGGGACGGGTTCGTGCAAACGGGAGATCGTCCATCCGATACGCTCTTGGACCGTCCATCCCGTGGGAAAAAGACTTGCGCTGGCGGCGCTGGGAAAAAAAAGTGTCAGTGAGACTGATAAGGAAAAAAAATACGGAGAAAATAATAAACGGAAAAAAAAGAAAAATAGGACCCATACAGATAGTACTCGCCATCTTTGTTCATCATGAGGATGCTGAGATCCTCCATTGTAAGTCGTACAGCCGCCTCAAGCGCGTCAATACCTTCACCGCCAGAGTCTGAGCCACCAATTTCGAATTGCTCTCCTGTCATGCGATTTTGGATGGATGCTCGGTCGCCTTGCACCAGTTTTTGAAACATGTTGGGATATCGTTCGCAGAGAAATTCGGACACTTCTTCCAGCGCCTCCTGACAGGCGTGTGCTGACTCGGGCAAGCATTGTAGAACCTTGTCTCGTTTCTCACGAAGTAGGTCGTCTCGCACGGAATGCTCCTCCATGTAGTTTTTGTCGAGCGTAAGCCAATTTTGAACATCCAGTTTGCGAATGTCCATCATGACTCGATATCGTTCTCTGCCCTTGATGGGCTGCGCTGGGTATGGTGCCATGCGTTTGACGTCGGAGGGACTATGGGCACCTCCATTTTTCAAGAAGCGGTTGTTTTTCGCAGTTGTCGAAATCCAATTGCAAATCTCTTTGTGATATCGTACGACGGCAAGTAGGACGACGATAGGAAGCGTCACCAGAGAGAAGGTTGTCATACTTTTTCCATGCGGTAGTTGTGCAAGTCTATGATGACGAGCGAGGGCTTTCTGGGTCTTTATAGAAAAATTTAAACTTGACGATTACTACTTTTGGTATCGGTCGAGAAAGATCAGGAAAAAGTAAAAACAAGGAGAAGGAAATAGTTTGAACTATGAAATTGACAGCTCGGCGAAAAGGCTACCTTAATATGCTTCTTCGACTGGATACGGGTAACGATATGACCCCGTTCGGACCCAGGCAACAAACCCGTAGCCAGAAATCAAGTTGATCACCAGATGGTCAAGTGAGCATCACTAGCTCCAGTCAAAAATTAGATACCCACAAAGCAAAGCACCACGACTGCATTCCACATTCCTGGCCTAGTGAGACTGTGCCTGCGGAACCGCTGTGAGACGCTCAGGGATTCCCCGCAATAAAAAACGCCTCAGTTCGCCTCCGGGGAGTATTATAGGCGGCAAGCCACATGATCGGTTGGCTTCAGCTCTTAGGGTCGGGTCATCACTGACAAGGGCAAAGGCCTAGGCTGTTTTGAACGTACTGTAACTCCACTTCAAGTGTCTTGGGGGTGTGTATTGGTGGAGTAAGATGGGTAAGATGGGGGTGACCAGTCCGTTTGGGGAGGGATCTTTGTCCTTCTCGTTGTTCATTCCCAGTAGTATGGAATATGGAATACTTCGTTTTGGATTTTGGCGCTTCGACAGGACGGGTCACCCTATAGCCTGGGTCTCGGCGGAGGAGACCCAGGCGCTAGGCACGATCTAGGCACATACAACATTTAGCTTCGAATAATCGTCAAGCTCGCGTCAACCGTCCGTGCGCGCAATGCCCCTCGTGAACTGCAGTCTGGTAAAATGGCAATTCGGGAAACATCTCTCGAGACCAACAATGACAAGTCAAACCGGCCGAACCAAGTCGTGCAACGGGGTGGCCGGATACCCTCGGAGAGATACTTGGAGCAGCTGATTCGCGCCGCGTGAGGCGAGCAATAAGCATCAGGCTGGAACCTGAGGGTACGTATGTGTGTTTGATCTGAGTCACGCTGTCATTTCATGGATGATGGAGGGGTCTTTTTACCCTCTTTCTCCTCGGCCTTAGCCCCAAGCATGGATCCATAGGGGACCCATAAGGAGTAGAGGTTCCCTTTGGGGGATCGCCCAAGTACAGTGGTGCTCTTCAAAAAAGGCCGACCCGACTGGCTAGGAGGCTCCGATCTAGTTCCAAGTGCACATCACGCCGTCACCAAACTAAACATAAACTAAACAGGGACGGGGCACATGGAGGGGCCTGACGTATCATAATGCCAGGTGTGGGGGGTTTCCTCCCTACTACTGTAAGATCCAGTCTCCTCTTTTCTATAGCCCCCCCAATTATTATTTCCTTTGCCCGCAAGACATCCCAAGACGTTGAAGATACCAAGGGACTGGTAAACACAGATTATTGATTACACCTAGCGCAGCCTGTCTGCTTGAAGGTGATGTGACCGGATACCGCGCCTTACCTTCCCCCGCCCAAGTCCAGCAGGCGCAAATCAAAAGTCTCCCAGTCCGACCGGCATGGAGTAGGGCAGTAGTGCAGCAGGTACAGTACACATGGGCTTGCCGCAGCCCCTATGCACCCCATACATGGCACTGGCTATTGTTGAAACCACGAGTACGGAATACCAACGAAGTGATCACCAGGTCCAGAATCATGTCTAAGCCCCAATTGCTCCCCACGATGTAACTACTCCGTTTCCTTATTCCATACTTTGTAGCTCGTACTCCGTAAATCATCCTGTATTATTTGTACCCCGTAGTGTTCTGGTTCCACGGTCCCACTGCGCTCCACACCCTATCTGGGGTTTCCGCTGCAACCGCTTTCCCCCTTTCGCGCAAAGCGCGCTTGCCGCTGTTTTGTTTTTATCCTCCATCATTGATTTGGGGCAAAAAGAATACTGCAATTCAACCCCAGTTTCCTCTCATTTTGGGGCTTATTTCCTCGTTCCATGGCTCAATGCGCCAGGGGTTAAAATTTTCTAAACCATAATCCTCAGCTTCTCATTTCTTTTTCCTATTGTGGCGGGAGTCAGTCCCAGCAAAAAGATTTTTCAATATTTGCTTTTTCCCCGCGGCTTGTACATCCCTCAATGATTAGCATTGGCCTCTGCACTCGATACACTCGATAGGATTATGAGGTCATCTCAATGCACTTCTGGTTCCATTGCATTCTCTTTCTTTTGGTTGCGCTCTAGACTAGAGAAATATTGTTGACGCATCCGGAGAAGATCTTTATTCATCGCATCTCGTCCCATCTACGCAGATTGAGGCCCACTTTGACCCTGACCCGTTGCTATGAATATCTTGCCGAGAAGTCCCTGTAATCCAGACTCTAACCCAAGGTACTTTGACAAAGTACTAGTGCGGAGAACTGTAAGTCACCCACGTTGTTGGGGTCTGTCAATCGCCGCCATCAAGCCACAGGAACAGACATGTCAATTTTGAGTAGGCTGACGTACCAGCCTCCTGACGACACTCCTGAATATCACATCTATTTAATGATTCAGTCATCAATAAGTTGAGGCTGAAAGAAATATAACAGGTTGTTTGGTATGGATATGAGTCAGCCAGACCAGTTCGAATCAAGCTAATGCATGCAGCACAATGAGAGATGCATCATACAGGGAAGGGTCTTGTATTACTCCAAATGTAGAAAACTGTATCCGTGATTTACTGTCCCATTGATCACCATAGAGGACCGTGCTTTATTCTTTGCATTAGTTTCTGCTTCGAATTACTCGCTTGAGAATATAGAAAGTATATTTATAGTATTGTGACTGCTTAGGTAGGTCGTGCCCAGGTGGTGGCACGATGGCCGTGTTGACTAAGCCATCTGTATTCCATGGAATGAAGGATGACAAGTAACTATACTCTTGCTTGGCTGATTGCAAGGAAGACACTCCAATTCTTGTTCTCATCTTTGAGGCCCTCTTCAGTGATAGTTTGTGTTCATATACAATGGACAATGATATGCCTAACAGGTACCGATACGGACCGAGCAAGTCTTTGACGAGGGCAACAGGTGAAGTCCCCCAAGTCAGATATCCCTGGGAGAGTTCGGACACTGTAATAACAATTTCAGATCTGTCTCTCTGTGCAGAAAAGGTACTCAATACTCCATCTGCCGAATCTGCTTCAAATGAGTGGCGACTTGTTGACACACGTCATGGCGAGCATCAAGCATCAGTTCCCATTCTTCAACCACCAGACTTATCCCAATAAAGTGCAGATCCAGTCAAAAAAGCAGCAATAAATCTATGTCGTACAACATGGCCTCTTGGAATATCTTTTCACCTTGCCTCCTAGTCCAGAATGTAACTTTCCTTTCGCTTTGACCCCGTCTCGACGGGAAAATGAAGCCTCGCTGGACGATGGTTCGGTTGAACCGGCATTCTTGACTTCTTGACTATCTCTTGAGTACCATTAGCTGCAAATCTCCAGAGGTAACCGCTCTATCCGATTAGCTTTTCTCAACGAATGATCATCCAAGCTTGCTATGCACTCAATCGGGACAAAAAGTTCAATGCCAACCCACGCTCAGGCAACCTCATAAACCAATCGTATTCTGGACTTCAAGCCATTTATAGCATATAATTAGTAAAAGAAACACGAATCAGGAATCTAGTAGGATGGGTGTACTTCGTTGATACTTCAATTATTTCGAACTAGCTGTGTCGGACTAAGTCCGTATCACTATCTTGAATGGGATGAGCAATCCTCCACAAAATGGTCTGTTCAATCATCCATGGAGATTATCCAAGCGACAGCTATTGCTTGACTTGGTATTCTATATTCGTACGAAATTATGAGTGTCCCAAATCCAATGTAGGAATCTGTGTATAGCCGGACCCCACACGAGAATGACTAATGAGCAGAATCTGGCACGACGGGGTTCTCCGCAGTCAGCAACCCCAGCTGAGCCGAGTCAAAAAAGATCCAAGATCGAATCAGAAATCCCTGGAGCGCCCACTGATCAAGGCCAACAACGCGATAACTTCGAGGCTTCGATCACAGAATGGCGACTACCGTCCTTGCCCCGGCGCGAGCCACAGCGGCAGTCCTTGATGCAGATGACTCAAACAGCGTCCCTCTAGTGCACTGGTCATCAAAAAATCATCGTGCCGATTCTAGGCTCCAGAGCCTCCTGCATCCTGGACAGACCCTTAGTAATGGACTTTATGAGGCTCAGGACGTCGGTCTGTCCCGGACCAGGGCGATTACACTCATCGCAACGCTCACGGGTATCACATTCGTGGGCAGTATGAGTGGTGGTCTATTGACAATTTGTCTACCGTGGATTGCGGCAGATTTGAATCTTCCAGATAATCTGTTGCTCTGGTGAGTGGAACTCTGTTTCATGGGCTCGAGTCCCCATCGACTGTGTACAGTTTTCTAACATGATGAACTTGGACGCTCCAGGCCCGCCTCGGTTTACTCGTGAGTTCTTCCTATTCTCTCTTTTGACAGCATCTAACATGTTACAGCCTTGCAAATGGATGCTGCCTGCTACTAGCCGGATCGATGGCAGATTTCATAGGTAACAGGATTATCAACCTGATTGGTTGTACCCTACTATGTGCCTTTATCCTGGCCTGCAGTGTTGCCCAGAGCGGTATTCAGATGATTCTGTTCCGCGCCTTCCAGGGTATCGCGACTTCTATGTGTCTTCCCACAGCTTTTAGTATTCTGACGGATACGATGCCTGCTGGGAAGCGGAGAAATATCGGATTCGCTTGCCTGGGCCTTGGCCAGCCGTTCGGATTCTCCGTCGGCCTGGTGTTTGGCGGTCTATTTCAAGGGTCATCACTTGGCTGGAGGTTTGGGTACTACCTTTGCACCGGCATTACGGCCATCCTCACTGTGGTCAATTATTTCAAGTTGCCTCAGGATAAGCCACGCGAACCTTTCACGTTCCAGCGTTTACGGTCCGAAATTGACTGGGTGGGAATCGTGCTGTCCAGCTCTTGCCTAGGAATTATTTCCTATGTTTTTGCGTAAGTCTGTCCTTGGACACAACCTGTCAGAGGCGTGACCTGATTACGTTTGTAGTGTCATTACCGATAATCCATCCAACATTCACCACCCAGAAAACATTGCCTTGTTATGTGCCGCTACCACAATGATACCTGCTTTCTTGGGTTGGATGAGCTGGCGAGAGAAGAACGGGAAATCAGCTCTGATTCCTAACTCTCTGTGGAAGAATACTGCATTTGCTTCGATTTGTGTGATGGTTCTCCTTTCATGGGCTGTCCTGAACGGCACTGAAACAATTCTCAGTCTTTTGTAAGCTTATTTCATCGATTTGAGAGAGTTCTACTAATCACGAGTCTCTCAATCTTAGCTTCCAAGAGGTTCAAGAACTATCCGCTCTTCAGGCTGCTCTTCGGTTCCTACCAAACGTCATCATTGGAATTGTCCTAAACCTTGGAACTGGATTACTGGTGCATCGTCTCCACGCCAACTATCTTGTGCTCGTGACAACAGTTCTGAGCGCTGGCTCTCCGTTACTTCTGGCTATCATTGATCCGAACTGGTCATGGTGGTACTGTGCTTTTTGGGCTGTCCTTCTGGGCCCTCTATCGGCAGACGGTAATCAATTCTGCAATTCAAACGAGAGGACTACCCGCTAACTTTCTAAGTGATTTTCACGGTCGCCAACTTGATCATTGCCGATTCATTCAGTCCAAAGACCCAGGGCCTCGCTGGTGCCGTCTTCAATACCATCGCGCAGTTCGGCACGTCCATTGGACTGACAGCTTTCGCGATTATCTCGGCTAGCGTGACGCAGGATTCTAGTTATACCAACAAAAGCTCGCCTGACGCTCTGATGACTGGATATCGGGCTGTCTTCTGGACATGTTTTGGGTTGATGATGGCTGCTTCTGCTATCGGTGCTTGGGGACTGCGCAAAGTGGGCAAGGTTGGGCTGAAGCGGGAGTAAATTGAAAGCAAACCTGCTACAAGTGAAATAAACTCTACGGGAGGATGCCTTTTCTTGAAGTCATTATTACTAAAATTATTAGAGCTGTGGACCTAGGCTATAGAAAGCTATCCAGCAAAAATAAACAGAAAGAAGGAACGCCTGGCTTCGGTGCATCTCTCCATTGTGAAACAGAGGCTAACAAGAATGGAACGCACCTATTATTCTTGAGGCACAGCTGACACGAGCCTTTTGTATGCAAAGTATTAAGGACGAGTGTGTGGTCATGTCATCATCGTCATAAAAAATAAAGGAAAAAAGCAGAACTTTTGAAATCACCAATTCATGAAGAACTGCAGTCATAACCTCGGATCATGTTGGTCAAGCTGCGAGTAATCTCATACTTGCCGCGCTTTAGCAGATGATTGATGCCTTATCTGCATGACTGCGAGCTGTTTCGATTCGAGAAATCTGACCCGTGTTGGTTGATGGAACGATCTCCAAATTATTGGAGTCCTTTTCCAGGCGTTCCTCTCTCTCGATCTCGAGGCGCTCCGCTTCCTTGATCCTCTTCAACTCTTGGCAGAATTTGCTGTTGCTTCTGATGCGGTCACCGTAACGAATGAACGCGAACGGAATGATAGAAACCCCAAGACTGAGGAAGGCGATCAGGCTGCATGCCCAATGAACACCTAGCTTGTCGAACATCGGCCTAGTGGCCAAAGGAAGGACTGCACCCAAGATGCTTCGTGTGCAGCTAGCTGCCGACTGAGCACTCGCAGACAGTGTCTCGTAAGCGTCGGTGAGGTAGTTAAGCATTGCCATGAAGATAAGCAGGTAGCCCATTCCAAATGGAATACCTGACAAGAAGGGCACAACCCAATGTATATTGGGAGAGGCTGTCCACCCCACCCAGAATAGTGAGATGACGTACAATGGGCCTCCAATGCAAGCAAGTGGGAGTCGTCGATATTCTTCGATATTTGCCCAGCTTGCTTCACGGGCTTTAGCCCGGGCGAGGAACCCGTCGTACCAGATGAAGACCACACAGGCAAGGAGTGCACCCACGCCAACTAGATAACCAAGTTAGCTTGAATCAAAATGAACGTCGAAGGTCTCTTGTGAAGTGAACTCACTGGGCAAGAACATCAGACCTGAAACACCAGCGCTCATGCCGTAAATGTCTGAGGGGTAATGAAATCAGTATACACCATCACAGGGTATTATACTCGAGAATATCCACGTACCTTGAAAGATGATTGGATATGCCTCAAAGTATAGGTAAAAGATTGCATATGCCAGTGCCAGGTACAAAGATGTCAAAGAGACAATCGACTCGTGGAAGATCATTCGGAAAGGCCGGGAGATGGTGATGATGAACATTCTGCGAAGGTTGCGGCTCTCAAGCTCCAATGGGGACGCGATATTTGAATTTCCAGTTTCCTTTCGCAGCTTCTTAGCTCGGCGGGTCAGGATAACGGGACCGTATGTTTCAGGCATGAAGATGACCAAGGGCAAAGTTGCACTGGAGCAGATGAGTCCAATCCAGAAGCACCATCGCCAACTAACGACGGCAACAAATCCGGAGATCCAGGGACCCATGATCGGGCCGAATGTAGTGCACTGCGAGTTATCAGTATATTACTTCCCTCAAAGACAGGGCTGTGACATACAGCCATATAGTACGCCATGAGGCGACCTCGCAGGGTAGGGTCGTCGTGGACGTCAGCAAATAAACCACCGGTAATCGCGATTGGAGAAGATGCCATCATGCCGTTGAGAAGTCGGAAAATCAATAGTGATGCATATGAATTAGCCACCGCGCAGGCTAGTGTGAAGATCATAAACCCAATAAAGGCAATGAGTAATGGCTTTTTGCGACCAAAATATTCGGAGCTGGGTCCCCACACCAAAGGGCCAAGAATGTACCCAATTAGGAATATAGAGATGGGTAGAACTAGCATTTGCTGGTTGGTAATATTGAACTCCTCGGCAATTTGTGGGATGGCATTGCTGCAGATGGACGAGCCGATGGTACTGTTCATGACCTGCATGACACCGGCGAGAAGGACTAGAAACTTTCTTGTCTATATTCGCATGTCAGCAAGTTTAATTCCAGAGGGTCCTTTTCTTGCTGCATATATGCCATAAGGCCGGATTCAAGATGCTAAAATGTACATACCTTCTTCCAGTTGACTGGGTTCTCTGGATCGTTAGGCCCGAAGGAAACGACTGTTTTCGAAGCCACCCGTCGAAAACGAGAGTAGGAGGGGTTGTCATATCGCTCTTGAATTGGCTCATGTGCCACCTCTGAGCCTTGATCTGATGAGTCTGAGTGGGAGTCGGAAAGTGAATCAGGGAGCGAATCTCGCCGTGACTCATGAGGGGTTACTATGATGGCACCCTCTTTAATGAGAAGCCAAGATTAGATATCCGACTTAAGCAAGACTATGAATTAACAAAGCTGACTCACCTGTGGCTGACATGACCTTTTGCAGGTTCTCTTCCATTGGAAAGTGGTCAGGCATCTTGATGGTGACCTGGAAATTCCCATTGAACGAAAGGAAGGTCTGACTACGCTAGATGACGATCTTAGGTGGGATGGCCCATTAATATAAAGAGACTGTACTTTAAAAGAGAAAATGCAAAAAAGCAAGCCTGGCTCCACTCTCAGGGTCCCAGTCATAATTCTCGAGCCAGATCAGTCAAATTTGATGTTGATGTGGATTCTGTCTCCACATCCCTCTGCCACATTTTTCACTCCCTACGCCCTATAAATGACAAACGAGCCTATGTGCAACACTTCTGGACAAAACAATGAGAAAAGTCTAGCCTGGTCCACTCAGATGGGGTAGTTTGAGATGTTGATCCCGTTCACGACCAAGTTTTGCTCGGTTAAGACGGCTTTCAGGCATCGCAAAGTTTGCGGGAAACATGAGCTAAAATTTCGGTGGATTTTTAAGTGGCAACCTATGAATACAACAGTTCGCCATCTCCCGACATGTAAAATGAAACCTCGCAAAGTAGCCCGATGTGTCAGAGCCACTGTCAGGCTTTTTAATGTAGCAGTCGTTTCCGAAGGTATGCGCAAAATTTGAATCGCAAAAGGAAGGCCATTGATAATCGCAACCGCATGCATCTCGGTTTTTGGGCCGACATTCTCCCTCACGGGAACTCTAAGACTTAAGAGGGGTACATATACCACACAGATCGACCCAATGACTTCCTACCGCCTTGAGCTAGTGCTCTAGCTTACCATTGACATCTCGACCATGAATGCGTGCCATATCGGGCGAGATGCCGAGCGCCTGTTCTCATGATCCACTGGCATCCGGCGCCGCAATGGCTCCAAGCCTCGGCCAGTTTTTAGTACGACACGCAACTTGGCATTCGCGGGGTATCTCAAGATATGGAAAACAGTTTCTTATTCACGCGCTACTGGGAGCATTTGGTGCACGCTACAGGGCAATTTTGCATTGATTGTGGTTTTGAGTCATAGGATCCATCGGACCAATAAGCCGAACACGACTCCACAGGCTGTCAACAACACCCATGATTATTGTCATTTCGAAAATGAATGAGAATTCTTGTGAAAATATCATCACTCGTCAGCTCCCGCTTTTCTATTCTGTTTCTTGTTGTTCGTGCATGCATTCGCATAGAAACAAATGCTGCTAATTATTATCTTCTTTTATTGGCGAGCGCGCAACCACGCGCCAAGACTTAAATTCCCGGAGAGGATCCGGTTGCGATCCGGGACCGGTTGATGAGTTCGGACTTCTGGCCGATCGGCGCAGACCGGTCGGGTTCTCGGAGTATTCTAGAACGGTCTCTAGACAGAGATACAAAGTACCGATTTCCGATGGTAGTGTCGATTTCCGGGGTATAGTAATTATTATTCATTGCGAGTGTTGTGGTTCTGTTTGCACAAAGAGAAAAGCTTCACGCTAGAAAACAAATATAGTACAGGCCAAGAGGTTCATAAAAGTACTAAGAATTACTTTTTGCCTTGCGTCAAAGTCAACAAAAATAAATTTTTGTCATCCATCTCAGCACATAAATAGAATGCGACAGAGATTTAACGGTAGACATATACTGAAGCCATTCGAATTCCAAATTTAGATCACAAATGCTGAAATTGAATTGCCAGCGGAGGCATTAGGCTTCATCATACTCGAGATATCTTGCGTGCCTAGGTCTAAATTGGCATGAAGCTCTATATGACCATGCCATCACTTTATTTACTTAGGGTGAGGTTAATGGCACTACATGAACGTTACTCGCACTACAGACTAGGCCCTTTTCGGTTAACGTCCGCCCCACCATCAAAAGGTACATTTAAGACCTACAGAAATATCGCTGTCTTTATGTGTAGTCATATTCCTCTGGTCCTTATGATAAATAGCCATAATAATTATCGAATCATAGGTAAACATATAGTGACGTGCTCGAAGAAAATACTGACCCTAAGAGCGACCGCAAAAAGGGCTTATTATTCATAGAAATATCTAGACAGAAGCCTTGGTAGACCGTAGTTGTTTTTTTAGGTGTCGGATGTACCTTTTTGGTGGTGAAAAGTTGGCAAGGCGGGTACTGACCCAAAAAGGTTTAGTATGTAGTGCGAGTAACGTTCATGTAGTGCCATTAACCTGACCCTTTACTTATGGGTATTGGATGTTAGTGATAAGGTTGAGGCTTCAGGACAGGGAGCCAAGGTGACATCTGCTATTCATAAAATATCGCTACTCAAGATCATTTAGAGCTACGGCATGGAATGATAATGTTCCCAATAGTGGAATAATATAACAAGGCAGAAATCGTGACTCAATTAATCCCTCGTAATCCACCTTTGGAAATGATACTATGCAGAGAATGGCTTTTTTTGGATTCTGTAAATGACTGACGAGCTTGTCTTCAAGGTGAGTATGTTGATAATCGTCCTTCTAAATATTTTCGCCATAGTTTGACATCAAAGGTATCCAAACTCTCCGGGATTATAGCTGATAATACTCGGCCATGGTCGCAGAATGAGTTCTAATGTTTTTGGAATTCATGACCCGATATACATCAGCCATGGATTCGTCAATTTAGCGAGATCTAGACAAATTCAAAGCTCAGGTTGAGAAAAAACCCATAGTAAAACCTGATTCCATGACGTATGATTGCAGATCCCCAACACAACGAGAATTGCCCAGGAGCCAGGGCCTTACTCACGAAGAAAAAAGATAAGCTCATTCATTATCGGCAAATGGATGTTGACACCTTCTAAAAAAGATATGGAAGTGACAGGCCGAGAAATATCTGTAAATAAGTTAAATTTAGGGTACGTGTGGGAACAAAACTTCTGATATTTGTGGACAACCTAACCGCTGGAGACCCTGGTTACGCGTCCACGTTGCGCGGCGGTCCGGAGGCACCAGGTTCAGGGCTCACGCAATTTCTTGGCAAATGCATGTTCTCCTCACTTGGACTTGGGATTAATAATACTGTGTCTTGAATATCAGAGATCCCTGAAGTGAATAACTTTGGAGCCTGGGGTTGATGATTGCCATACAGCGAGCAATCGGGATCTTGATAGGTGGGTCCGGTGTGTGAACTAGAATGACAGAAGATAAGGAGTTGTATCATAAGAACGACAGATATTCAATCAATTTCCTCTTCTTTGAACATCAGTCTCAAACCGAGTGTTTCTAATGTAATTTAAGCAATACCTTGGGAAGAACGAAAATTCTCAAGAGTGGAACTCTTAGCGTTGAGAGGGACGTACGCGGCAGACGTATATCCATGAGCGAAGCTTTTCTTCATATCACTTTCCGCTTAGGGAGAATATCTTGTCGTTGGGGCGCAAATTTTCACTTCTTATCTACTAATTCATGGCACGTTCTGCTCTTGCATGTAAGACACAACCAATTGGATTTTCAATTTCGTGCCAATCCAGTCTTTAGTACCCACGCGATTAAGCGATCTTCACACCTGATCCAGAGGATTATAATGAGGGCCGAAAACCCGTTTGCTAGCCCAGAAGACGACTACAGTCGCTTTGGGAGCGCAACAATCAATTTACCTCAGTTTGATCATCACACAAATTCCGGTCGCTCAGCACCTCAGGCAATACCAAATCCTCCACGATATTCCGAAGTCTTCGGTTCAAGGGCAGTGATGGAAAGACCATGGTATGATCCATGGGGATGGTCTGGTAGGAGAAAATTGATCATTGGAGCATGTGTTGTGGTGGTGATTGTCGCGGTCATCGTTGGGGCAGTTGAAGGAGTCAAAGCGAATGCTTACCCCAATTACTCTCAACTTAATTATACCCTGATCGACAGCTATTCGGGGTCATCTTTCTTCGATAACTTCGAATATTACACGTCCACGGATCCCACGAATGGCTTCGTGCAGTACGTCTACCTTGGGTATTCTGAATCTATCACTGGCTAACGATGAGAAAAGATATGTCGACTCGCAAACAGCCTCAATGATGAATCTGACTTACGCTTCGCATTCGACTGCCGTGATTAAAGTTGATACCGATACTCAAAACCAAACAAGTGGTCGGAAATCTGTTCGCATCACCTCGACAAATACTTATGACAGTGGACTATTCATCTTTGATGTTGTTCACACGCCATACGGGTGCGCAACATGGCCAGCACTCTGGCTTACCGATCCCTCTAATTGGCCTGAACATGGCGAGATCGATGTCATGGAATCCAACAATAAGGGAACACATGGGAATGATATGACCTTGCACACAACCAGTGGTTGCAAGATGAATGCCAAGCGCAAGGAGGCCGGCACGGCTCAATATTCGAACTGTCTCAATACCGCAAATGACAACGCCGGGTGCAGCGTGAAAGGCAAAACTGCCACATACGGCGAGGCATTCAACGACAATGGTGGTGGTGTAGGTCTTGAAAATCCACAGTCTAAGATCTCACTCATATACTGACTCGAGCCTGACTAGGTGTACGCCATGGAGCTCCGTGATGCGGGAATCCGCGTTTGGATGTTTTCAAGAGATGGTATCCCCTCAGATATCTCAAACTCAAGTAGCCCGGATCCTTCGACTTGGGGAGAGGCTTTGGCAGACTTCCCCAGCACCCACTGTGACATCAGCTCGCATTTCAAGAACCAAAGCATCATCGCAAATATCGACATCTGTGGCGACCTTGCAGGTGCCACCTCTTATTACACAACCCTCAACAACTGTCCAGATACATGCACTCAGTTTGCAGCAGAGAATGGAGCGAACTTCACAAACGCGTACTGGGAGTTCAACAGTTTCAAGGTATATCAGGCATCATAGCACTTTACTATACAAATAATCAGTTTATGGGCGAACTATCCGAGTCTACAGTATCGAGGCGTGGGATGGACAGGGGTTGGCATGGAGGAGGGTCTCCCACCTTCTGCAAAGACATGCGAGGAGACGCTTAGGCATACATTGCCAACTAAGATATTGCCTTCAAGCATGACGGTCATTTATTGCAGTCATTCATTGATGAAAGCCTATCGCTTCGCTAATTCTGACTAGAATCGATCGAGATAATCAACTATCAGATTAAAGCTTGCTGCTGTAAGTGGCGGCTGTCGGGATGCCGAACTTAGAGATGTCTTCCTTCGTAGTACCATCCACCGCAAGTTCAGCTAGTACACGACCAAATGCAGGTGCAAACTTAAAAGCATGAGCTGCACCCAAACCCACAATGATGTCAGGGTGGTTTTCAAGGGGGCTAATGACGAACTGTCGGTCTGGTGTGATCGTGTATTGACAAGTGATCGTACGAAGTGGTTGGCGTGCTTTGTCCGGAATGAAGTTTTCTAGGAAGCCCGATAGTTGATTGAGCAGGTGTGGCGAGTGGACATATGTTCGCTGCTCTGGTGTCATGAAATTGTTTGAAGTATCTCGTGCGGCCTTGATAGTCGGCTCTCCATAACATGGAAATCCATAGTAGCACGTTGCGCCATTCCAGATCCAGACGGGGAAACGATCAGACTCGAAATTTGCTGCATCGGTGGGCTTGAAATATGTCACCTGCTCCTGCATCACGGACACTGGGATGTGTGTGCCCAAGGGACTCAGTAGTTTATTGATCCACGCATCGGTCGCGAGGACGACCTTTGCAGCTTGAAACTGTCCATTGGATGTCTTGATCACAACCCCGCCAGTACCTGAAGCCTTAGGTACCACGCGGTCCACTCGGGTTTGATCCCTGAGAATAGCCCCATGGGCGCGTGCTAGTGCCTGGAAGGTGCTCACTGTCCGAGAAGCATGGGCAATGCCGGTGTCAGCTGTGTAGACCGTAGATACGTTTTCAGGGATCTGAAACTGTGGCCATCGGCTTTTCACTTCTTGAGAATCTAGAAGCTCATAGGGTACGTCGTTTGTGTCGAGGCTCTTGGTGAACTCAGTCGCCAGAGCGGGCGTGTTCGGCTCCTCAGGGAAAAACACCACGCCTCCCGTGATGGTCAACAACTTTTGGCCAGCAGATTTTTCAAGCTCGGCCCAGTCCTTGTATGCTGATTTGGCAAGTGCAACATATTCGGGGGTGAAATTCGAGGTTCGAACGATGCGTGACGTATCATGAGAAGCTCCGTGAACATGGCCAAATTCAAATTGTTCGAAAGCAATGACCTTGGCACCCTTTTTGGCGGCGTAGTATGCTGCAGCACTTCCGAGGACTCCGAGCCCAACGACTGCAACGTCAAATTGGTCCATTTTGCTGATTTTGTCGTTTAATTGAGTTTGATGAAGGGGGTATCTCGTACATCTCACCGAAGAAGCTTTGCTTGATAGCCATGGATTTAAGACCTCTCAAGGACAATCCTTCATCGCGGATGCCACCGTCCACGTGAGGGTAGTACATTGGTATGCCGGTGATAGCCATGCATGAGACATTGACACTGAAGCTCCAAAGATGGGTAGTTTACCCGGAGAGCGAAGAGCTTGTGTACCTTGTGTGGGTCCACCTTTCAAAGTGGGCCACGACGTGCATTTCGCGTTGAAGAGCAACGCCCACCTGACTCCCCCACGGCAACATGCCCGGTCACGTGGTCGGAGCTTCGCCGGTCAATCCCGTGGGTCCATCAATTAATGTATGTCCAAACACTGTACAGCTCTTATCTAGGTCCAGGGCCAAGGATTTTGTAAGAAATTTCCAAATAGCACACAACAAGCCAAGAGCTTCTCACGAAGCAAAATAAACCGGAGTCTAATTCTTCAAATACTCGACCCTCCAGTACCAGTCTAAGAGTAACGGAACAAAGTAAACAGGGATTGGGTTAGTGAGATGACAGCGCCCACGGCACTGCTGGCAAAGGAAGCGAGAAGAGGGAGACTGAGTCAAATTGGTCTATCTAGAACAGGAAGACGAAGACGACTAAGAGAAGAAGAAGAAGAAGACAGGAAAGGAGAAGACAGGAAAGGAAGAAGGCCTATAAAAGCCTAAAGCAGAAAGGGAACGAGCAGGCCTGGACCTGGCAGGAAATCCCCGGCCTGCTTCATGCAGGGCCAAAGAAGACGACAAACCCTGCAAACCCTCGAGGTTAAAGGGATCGAGTCATCATGAGAGTTGGCACTCATGAAAATCCTGCTTTCAAGCCCATGCATTCGCCAGCATCTCAGCCAGCACTTTGGGTTCTGAGAGTGAAATCTATCAAGGCTACTAGTATGAAATTAGAAAGACATTCAATTTACTGGCGGCTCTTTGGAGCTTGTGACATTCTGTAGACAAGATGTTCACTAAGAGTGGCAGATGGGCAAGAGCGACTCCAGGCCCTGTAGGATGTCGGCCCGCAGATCCTCAAACTCCTCAATACCGCAACTGATTCTCAACAACTTGTCGTCACATGAGGCATCACTCATCGCCCGCCATTCCATCAAACTTTCCACACCACCCAGACTCGTCGCATGTTGAAAAATAAACATACGGCTTGGAAGTTGTCGGGCGAAAGCTGCGTTTTTGGCCCAGATTGAGAACACGGGTCCAAAGCCTCCAGGCATCTGCTTTCGAAGCCACCCGTCTTTCAAGTCATCTTCTTGGAGTGATGCATGCTTGATCCGATCTATCACTTGACCAACAATACTATTCTGATCCTTCAGCTGGTCATGTAGCCACCGAGCCAACCTCTCTGCCGTCTGCGCCTGTTTGGTGACCCGAAGGTGCATCGTCCGAGCAGATCGGATACCGAGCCAGCCCTCCAAGCTACCCATAACATTGCCTATATATTGGCGATCCTTGTGTAGCTTCTTCAACCATCCGTCTTTCTCAACTCGGTCGGGATGAATGATCAGAAGGCCACAAAGCATATCTGAATGGCCCCCGACGTACTTGGTGCCACTATGCATGACGATGTCTGCGCCAAGGTCCAGAGGATTCTGAAGCGGAGGGGGCGCAAACGTAGCATCGACGGTCAGATAGGCACCTTTTTCGGTTGCCTTCTCACGATAATATGCCAGATTCCTGGCCTCTCCAGTCGGGTTGAGAGGCGTCTCCACGTGTACAATATCGCCTGGACCCGCTTGGTCCAGTTGAGACAGATCTAGTTTCTGAACCCCAGACAACCTCTGCATGATATCGAGAACACCATGGCACCCGTGATATCCATCCTCAATAAAGATTCTTTTTGGATTGATGAGAATAAACATGGCATGGAAGGCAGAAAGACCAGTTGAGTAGGTAATAACTTCGCCGCCCATAATGTTGCGTAGCAAGATTTCCAAGCGACTGGAATTGGGCGCTGTGTAGCGGGAGTACACATGTGAATCATGAGGGTTATTTGGCTACACCGGCTTGTCAGGACACAATTCAGTTAATCGCGTCGAGACTCTCACATCTTTATTCTCCTCCGGGACTAGGTCCTTGGGATCTCTCGCATAGCGAAAGTTGACCGCGACGTGCATTGCGGGAGCAATGGCGCGATGGGGACTGACGAAATCATCAGCGTGGACTGCTCGTGTGGCCATGCTCATATCAGGGAGAGCCTTGTTGAGGGCATTCGCCGTCAAAATGAACTTTGATCCATTTTCGGTTGAGTCGTTCGATCCCATGGTGTCGTCTGAAGCTCAAGCCCGCGAAGATACTGGGAGGGAAAAGGATAAAAGGATTTTGTCCAGAAGTATGAGCGTCTAGAAATAAAAATAGTATTTCGAATGACGTAGGGAATAAATTTAGCTCAGTTCATGATATTGAAGTCCACAATCTGAACTCAATAGAGACGTAAGTTCGACATGCAGCGCACATGAGCGGAAGTCTCCGTATCTCTGCCGGTCTGTTACCTTTGGGATCTCAAACTTCGGCCGAGTTACTGGGTGTTACAGTAATCTGTCGCGTATCGCGGTCGTGTGTAAATTGGTTAGGTAAAGAACTTGTTATCACCAGACCCACGGGCAAAGTATCGAATCAGTTGAAGGAAAGTGAAGTGTTTGATGTGGAGCGAACATAGCTTAGGGCTGTTCAGTAAATAGTCTGTGATGCTGATCAACACCGCATAACTGTAGCTTCCGCTAGCACCTTAAAGCCATATCTGGTTTAGAATTCCTGGGTTTCTCCTGCCAGGCGCCGCAAGAAGGGTAGTTAGGTGATTTCATTGAGACAAAAAGTGCCGCTCACCTGACCGGACAACGCCGACGGAAGATTGGACTCGACAAGAGCGTAGTTGGGAGCTCAAACTTTCACTGACGCTTTGCGTGGAGGCTTATCGGCCCAAATGTGGATCCATCAGTTGTATACCACGGTAAGCTCGCCGTCGGTCGGAGACCGTGTTGAAGCAGTGCAAGACATGGTTTCGGCATGGCGTTTTTGGATGGCCGCGTGATCGGATACTTTGAGGAGATTTGAACAAGAAGATAAATCGGCGACGATGAATCCGGCGGTAGAAGTGATCGATAAGATTGTACAAGCTTCTTCCTTCGAGCAGTCAGCTATCAGTGAAGACGGTTGATATCATCATGGCAGCTGCCGTTGCCTCTCTATTTGGATACAAATCCAATAACTTCGTGGAAAAGAAGCTCCCAAAGGAGCCACAAAAGGCTCTACCTGCTTCATGGTATTGCTCGCCAGACTTGTATGAGCTGGAGCGACGGGCTATTTTCTCTAGGAAATGGATTCTGGTCACCCATAAGCTCCGCTTCACCAAGCCTGGCGACTACTTGCGATTTCACGAAGCTGGTTTCTCTTTCTTCCTTTGCCTCGACCGCGAGGGCAGCTTGAACGGGTTTCACAATATTTGTCGTCACCGTGCCTTCCCGTTGGTATCAGAGGATGATGGCAACGTCAAGATTCTGTCTTGCAAGTATCATGGATGGTCGTATGGCCTGAACGGAAAACTCGCCAAGGCCCCACGATTTGATGATGTTCAAGGATTTTCAAAAGAAGACCAAAGATTGTTCCCAGTGCATGTTCATGTTGATGCACTAGGGTTCATTTGGGTGAATCTCGACTCTTCACCTAATCCTGTGCCTTGGGAAGAGGATTTCAAAGCGGTCGACACCCAAGAGCGTTTTCAGAATTTCGACTTCAGTCAATACAAGTTCGATCATACATGGCAAATGGATGGCGACTATAATTGGAAAACATTAGCCGATAACTACAACGAATGCTATCACTGCACAGTCGCACACCCGGATGTCGCCAATCTTGCCGATCTGTCATATTACTACACGGTCTCTACTCCTGGCCATATTCAACATTTCTCACGGCCTAAGCAGGATAAAGTGGAGAATGATATCAAAAATGCGAGCACTTATTACTTCCCGAATGCGTGCATGACTGTCTCGTGAGTTTTTGGTACCTCGCACGAAGATAGCGTTGCATATCAGAATACTGACGAAAATCAGTCCCCACTTCTTCTACATGATGCGATGCGTTCCAACTTCAGTAGGAACTTGCTCCATGGAATACGAAGTCTACCGACACAAGGAAGCAACTGATGCAGATTTCGAGTACATTGACGCGTTTTTCAAGCGAGTACTAGCTGAGGACAAGTATCTTTGCAACGAAGCCCAGAAAAATCTCAACGCCGGAGTTTTTGTCAATGGGCAACTTCATCCCGAGCTGGAGAGCGCACCACTGTTCTTTCAAAACACCGTTCGGAGCTTACTTCTCAACCATCGAAGGGAAGAGCAGAAGGAACAGCGGGAAATTTGGCCAGCTCGACAGACCTCAGCTGGTTCAGCTACTGCTGAGGATATTAATTTTTGTTCAGGATTGGCGTGTTCGGCGGAGAGTAATGGCAAGCTGGACTGGTAGTTCTCTCTCCTTGAACTGTGCAAATTTCTTCGGATGATTGTTTTTGAACAAATTGAGACACTAGAGACTTTGCTTTAAAGCTTAAATGCCAATGGTTGAGAGCTTCCAGACAAGAGTCAATTATAAATGCTCAGGATTCAGACTTCGACATACTTGAATATCTATGGACAAACATGTGCGACGCGAGAAGACCATCCTGGCGCCTAAATTATCTTTCATGGGCTAGACCTTTCTTGCAGCTATATTCACCGTTACTTATCATAGGCGCGATACAGAATAGGAAGGCAAACTTAATGATATCAGCCTTTCCCCTTATCGCTATTCTTTCCTGAAGTGGGTCGCAACAGTGGGCCACCTCCCCGCGACTTTACGCCTCATCGGCTTGGGTCCGATAACCCCGCGCTCCCCCTTCTTTAATGACGGCCTTACGCTATGAGATGGTCATTTCTTAGTTATATCTAGTGACGAGTCAAGGAAACACTACCAATGTCGCTGGAAAACTCTCGTATTACTAAAAGATCCCATCAGGCCTGTGAAAATTGCAGGTGGGCTCATTCTGACCGGCCCCTTGGATGAACCAAGCTGACAAAGAAATTCGGTAATAGACGAAAGAAGACACGATGTCCTGGAGAGCGACCGGCATGTTCAAACTGCACCCGTCTAAAACAGTCCTGCCAGTATAGTCGGAGCTATGACTCCTGGGAGGGCAGTGCTGGGAGCGATGGCGTCTTGGTAAGAAGGTCCTGGAACCTCTATTGAATCGGTTTGCTAACTTGAACTCAGGCAGATCGACTGCAACAGCTTGAAGAGAAGATGAATTTAGTACTGGAACAATCAACGTGAGTACCACTGGCTCTCTTTCATGTCATCAACCGGGGAAGAGTCCAGCTGACGAAGAAGTCAGATCCCACCACCGTACAACAGCCGGGCCACTGGGCTCATACATGAACGGAGATGCTGTATCAAGGACCACATCCGATAGCCGCGGATCATCAACACGAAGATTCCGGTCTCCCGATGAGATAAATCTTGAGGACCACAGTATGACCATCAATACGACAACATCTACAATGCCTCCCAGGGATATGATTTCTAAATGCATTGCCCTCTACTTCCAATATTGTCACAAGCAACCATTATGGCTTTTTAATCCAGAGGACTTTTCGAATTTAGCTGGTATTCCTGACGAGGTTATATTTGGTATTTCGAGTTTAGCTTTGCGTTACTCACGCAGCCACATTCTAAATGGCCAGGTCGACCGGCAATGTCGTCAATACACAGAGGCAGCTCAAAGTCTTATTTCCCTTCGGATTGCTCGAGGGAAAGTGAATCTATCCACAATGCAAGCACTTTGCTTGATTGCGCTTGCTGAATACATTGGTCAGTCTTTGATTATGAATAAAAAGAGATCCCTTCGCTCATATTCGCACAGCCAATGATACACACCTAGCTTGGGTCCATATTGGACTCGTCACAAATCTTGCCAAGTGTGGGAATATTGACATTGAGTTACACGAGGGACAGTCGACACCCACCTTGGAAGCTCGCCGAAGGCTGTTTTGGAGCATCAATTTCCTCAATCAACAGTTTGGTCCACGATGCTTATCGTTGAATATTCTACGAGACATTCAAAATCCTAGGTATACTGCAGTCAACATTGACACTCCTCGAGAGATGGGTGTACTTCCCCCTCAGGTTCCTCAAGAGACTGGTTCCCTCTCATCACGGGGAGGAATATGGGTTTATATGGTTCAATTGGGATCACTTTGGAGGGAAGTCCAGAACTACGTCTCACATTGTGCAAGTGGGTATTTCACCCCACCATGGTCTGTTGAGTCCGGTTATTCAATCATCGGAGCTCATTTGATGAATCTCGAGACAAACTTTCCCATGTCTCATCGGTATGACTCGGCAAGATTCCAAGAACAGTCAGTTGAGGAACTTCATGGTGATCGTTGTTACTGGAGCCCGTGGTTATACCTCCAATTCACATATCATGCTGTACACAGTGTGATCAACCATCCCTTTCTGTACTCTTGGAGGCCGCAACAATCCGCTCAACTCGCAGTACCAAACACTTTTTGGAAGACTTCGTCCGAGCTGGCGCTCATACACACAACGTGGACGGTTCGCCTTATTGATATGGTCACTGAAAAGGATTATCAGCTTTCCGATCCATCGATCGGCCATTTGGTAGCTATTGCAACCACCATCCACCTCTATTACTGCCGGGCTGCAGATCCCGCCCTGAGAGAATCTGCCCAACGCAAGGTGGAAACCTGTACGAACTTCCTGAGTGACTTGGCGGCTAAATGGCCCACTTGCGATGTGATTGTGAGTACGGTCGAGTTCCATTTGCAGTCTCTGGCTAACGATATGACAGTATCAAAAGGTTCAAGCGCTCATCCAGTCAGCCTTTGCTGTGAGCCCAAACTCTAGCAACAGCGGCTCGGCACGCAGGACTATTTCAATTGACACAGAGCTGATGTGGGACATTCTCCTGCAAAACTCTCCGCGGGTTCCCGCTAACTCCTCTGGGCGAGATATCTTTGAGCCTTCATTTTTCGAGCCGCTGGGGGATAAGCAGTCTCAGAAAGTAACGGTTGAAACGGAGATATTCCATCACTCTACAAGAACGGTCGATACCTCTGATGGTGGTCAAGCTTTACCACCGTATTCGAGTACCGTACGCGATCGGCGGCCCTCTGATGGCTCAATGCACGAAATTTGGAGAGAAGGTAGCTCAATTGCAATGAGTAATGGCCCTGTTCAGGGTCCATTACCACGAGATTCTTTGGGGTGGACGGTGCCGGGGCTCCAGAATGATGTTTCCTTCATGGATATTACCCGCGATCCGTTCTATCAGTTTCAAGACCACGATCGTCCCTACTTGGGTGTTTGGGAGTTTGGGAATTTGTAACGTTAAATAGATAATCCTGAAGTTTCTTAAAGAAGTAGTGTCTAAATGATCATTGCGGCAAATGAGAACCCCGGAAATAAACCATGCAGTGCAGAGAGAAGAGGGGGTACCCTACTTCTATGGCGCCTCACCTATAAGAGATAAATCTTCGCCGGTCTCTTTCGAGATCCATTTCCTTTCCTTTGGCGTTGATTGACCATCTTGTGACAAGCTTCAGATCGGAAACTCATCATCCTCAAATGCTGTGCCTTCCACGGGACTCGAGAGGGAACAGCACGGCAAGAACTCCGGCCATTCCTAGAAGCGCAGCACACACGTAAATCGGGATTGAGCTGGCAGTAGACGTAAAGGCACCAATCAACGCCGATACCATGCCCATAAGCCGATTGAGCGCAACAGCGATGCCATTGCCGGTACCTCGGTGCGCGGACGGTAGGATCTCGACAGTGTACGCGTAGAGTGTGGCGTAGTACATGTTGATTGTAATCGAGATTGCGCAGGCAAATCCCAGATTTTGTGCGCTTGTACGAACCGCGGTATAGCCGAAGAAGAAAGCCACTAGTAATTGTTCAGCGGAAGCCACTAGCTGCGACTACTCGATTTCTACTCACTTGTGATGAATGCGCCGATGGCCATTGTCCATCGTCTCCCAAGAATGGGAACCTCTGACATGAATGCTGCAATTATTGGACCAGGGATGGCGCAGAGATTGGTAATTGCATAGTTGCGCCATGTGAGATTAGGTGAAGTCTCCCCAGCCGAGGCGTTTCGAGACGCCAGGTACTCAGGTAGGTAAACATAGTACAAAGCGTACCCTAGCCCGATAAGTGCCCATGAAAACCACACGAGTGACGTTGAGAGAGTCATGATTCGGGTCGAGAATAGCCCTCGCACGTGCACAACCAACTCAGAAAAGGAGGCTCTATTTTCGGCATGGGCGCTGCGAATCTGGCCACAGGCTTGGAGTTGCTCTAGGGTGAGCTGGCAAGGTCGATGATGCTTCCGAGCTAGATTCTGGAGCGTTTGAATAACCTCTTCATCCATGCCTTGGCAGAGAAGAAACTTTGGGGTCTCGTGGAATCGTATCACGAGTACTCGAGCAATACTGAGGACGAAGACAATAGCTCCGCAGGTGTAGAATAGGTATCTCCATCCCATGTTGTTGGCATTGGTGCACGGAACAGTGCCATCCGTGGGGCAGCTGTAGTTTGCTGTCTAAATATCAGCAGGAGCAGGGAGCAAGATGGGACAGAAATCAAATACTCACACATGAATGGCCAGGCGACCAGACCGGCCACAGTCTGCCCAACTCCCCACCAGCCCGCTAGAAGGGTGAGGAGCCATTGCTTGTTCGAGGGGAGATATTCGAGAAAGACAGTGGTGTCAAGCACCAAATTTCCTCCAGAGCCGAAAGCCGAAATTGCGACCAAAGTAGCCCAGGCCGGGTAGTTCGGCGCAGCTCCTGCGGTGATGGCAAAAATCGCACTGGTGAACAGAGAAAAGTTGAAGGCCCATTTTCGACCTATGATGTCGGCTGTGCTACCCCAGAATAAGGCACCCACTAGCAATGCAAGATAAAAGCCCAGTTGAGCACCCCTGGTAAATTTCGGAGGGTACTGAGCCACCACCTGGTCGGCGGATATGCTCATAAGGAATAGTAATAGTGAGTCAACTCCGTAGCTGTTGATCATACATCAGAATCGTGTGGACCCGTGTCTAGTAGTCAAGTTCACGCACCCGAATCCGTTGAGAAAGAACAACTTCGTGTGGTAAGGAGTAAACCCGATTTCATCGATTGCCTGTGCCGTTAACATAGTTTTGACAATGGAATATTCTATTGAGAAAACTTACGTCATTGACAAGATGCATTTTCGTTGCCAGGGCCTGGTCAACCTGGCCGAGTGACAACATGTCATCAGTGCCAGCGACGGCAGAGCTTGAGGCAACCGCTGTCACATCCTGGCCGTCCTCTTCTGGTTGGGCCCCACCCATCTTATCGATCTTGGTCACCATTTCAGTTTGTTTCAAAATGAAATGCTTCTTTTGCTCTCCCGCAGGATGGTAGAGGAAGGAAAGAGGCCGACTGAGGGCATTCAATGTGATGTGAAGCGGAAGTGTAACGTGAACAGTGTACTGGTGTTGGATGGTTTTATAGACCTCCAGTTTGAACATTCATTAGCCAGACACCTAGATAAAGAGTGGGGCACACGACTTGGTTCTGGGGTGCAATGTTCTCTGGGGAGAGGTTGCCGTTCCTTACCTCATATCAAGGGCCTGCCACTCGCTGGCGATACCGACAAGCCAGCCCACAACATTCAAGTGGAGATTGATAAAGGATGCGGGCACGAATCAGTTGAGGTAGATCTTGAGGAACCCAATATGGAGCTATCGTAGATTCGTAGGTGCTTGTCAAGAGTGGAGTACTATCCGTTGGTGTGAGCTCCACTCCCCGCTCATGTGACCGGCAGGTGCCGACGGTCCACGGGGAACTATAACTAGCACATGAAACATTACATATCCTAGATAGTTTGTGAGTAAGATGTATGGAGTGGCACGCGACTAACTTACTAGATTGAGCTCCTTTGAGATAAGGCTTTGCAGCACAAGTGCGGAGTTCAGCAAGAACCACCGCCATCTCCCTTGGAGTCAAACCCCCTTGATTCACAGCAACACGAGACATCCCCGAATGAACTTGAACCAAAATGGGTAATTCCCAAAGATATGGCGCGCCATACAAGATTACGAAAAATCAGCTGATTCTCCAGGCATGCGTTAATAGCTCTCGCGGAAATCATGTTTGATAATCAAGGCTAGGCAACTTAGTCTCAAATCAGTCTAACCAACTCTAGGCGATTCATGTATTCGAAGGCACAGTCAGTACTCGGGTTTCTAGTCTTGTATTTGTCAACCCAATTATACTTTATGATCAAAGAGAATTGAGTATTCGAGACCGGGATGCAACAGGAAAAACGTCGGGGCTGAGCCAAATCTAGTTAGTGGAAATCCAGCATGCTTTAGCTGGTCAACTTCATCTCCGCTCCTATGCTCAACAGCTATAAGTTTGAAGTTCCACAATTGTAGAACACACATTGGGCAGTAAAATTCCTTTATCTATCGAATATCAAGGGCGTCGACAAGAAGACCCCCAAAGTCGTGAACCAACCAATCGAGGTTATCAAATTTAAAATTCAAGGCACCTCAAGAACCTTTCAGCTCTATCAAAGGCCGTAGATATTAGTATTACTCTAAGATAATACTTCATGTCAGTGATCTTGTCCAAGCGGAAGCCTGGTCGCGGAAATATGGACTCTACTCACAAGGGCCGGGAAAGCTTTCTCCTCCCATTGGCCTTATTGTTAACCCATACACTGACGCTTTTTGTAGATACCGGGAACATCCCATATCCCCGAGTGTTAATAAACACAGTTCCAATGCACCACTCGAGTACATCTGTCCATTCCTCTCCTTCGTGCCTGACTCCCACGTACATCCGCTTGTAAGTCGCTCCCATGTTGCTAATGACACACGCAAGGCCATCTGTGAAATATTCATTCCCATAACGCACGAAACCTGCATATATTAGTGCGTCGAGTCTGACGCTGTGATAACTTGCTTACCAATGCAATTTTTCTTCTCAAAGTAATCCCGTTGATCTCCGTAGGCATATAGCTTGCGGGCACGCATCAAAACAGGGAGTTTCCCCATGCAGGATGGCATTGAAGCAGCCCCAGCACCTTCCTTAGTTCCGTAAAGATCGCCATAAAAGACGCATGGCTGTCCTTGAGCTCGGAGAAGAATCAATGCGTAGGCAATCGGCTTGAAGAATGGGGCGATTACCGTCTGTGGTATTACATTAGCACCAATTTATGGACTGAATGTCCAGACATCTTATGGAACTTACCTCTAGAGACTGTCCAAGTTGCTATGAAATGTAAGCAAGAATCTAATTATATCAAGTTCCAATGGCTTACAGTGTCATGATTTCCCACAAATGTCTAATGGAAGTACCAAAACTTAGTATAGCATAGAATGAATCAATCGGAGAGACTTACCACTGCATGTGCCGGGTTCTGTTCCACCAATGTGCCTCGAAATATCTCACGAAGGTCACTCCCTTCTGTCTTTGAAGTCACCGCAAACCGCCCAAGCAGCGGTACGTCAAACAGAGACACCCCGTATTCCATCACTTTGAGATAGTTGAGCAGATGTCTCACATGTCCTCTCCAGTATTCGCCAACTATAAAATAATCAGCACCGACTGTGTTCCGCAGATGATCGACGAATTGTTTTTGAAATGCAGCAGAAAAGTGCTTAGCCGCGTTAATCCGCATGCCGCTGATTGGCAGCTCCGTCCCAATCCATTCCGCCCATTTGAAGATATCAGCTCGAACTTTCCGATGAGTGTGATCGAGGTTTGCAACATCAAAAAGTCATAGTTCCCATGCTCATCACTGACGTCTTTTGCCCAGTATTTGCGTGGCTTGGCAGTCTTGTATATGGCTTGTTGCTTTCTTGATTCATCCCAATCCACTCCATTGAAGTGTCGGTGGTGGTATTTCATTGTACTGTACTTTCCTTTGCGACCAGGAAAGTCGAATCCAACCCATCCAGAAATCTTCTGGGGCTTTGATGTAACGATGGTTCGATCTGGGTTAGTCTTAGCCTGTCTCGTATTCCCAGGAAACTAGAGTGACCTTGATACCCTTGGGGTCCACCTTCACAGTGGAGAATCTCTCCGTGGAATCCGCACCAGCCTTGTGGTTCAAGACAGCGTCCCAATATATTCCGATACCAACACCACGTGCCGTTACTATCAGGGTCTGCAGGTCCTCCTTTGGTCCCCAACGAGTTGATATAGGCCCCTTTTGATCAAACTCCCGAGATCATATAGGTCATAGACATCATACCCCGTACCAGATGGGACCATTCCCTTGCAACCAGGGGGGATCCAAATATTGTCAACCCCGGCATCCCGAAGACTCGGTAGAGCTATTCTAAGGCGCTGCCAATGCTTCTGATCAGCCGGCACGTGCCATTCAAACCCCTGCATCATCAGCGTATTCTGCGGAGCATCCCATGCCAGCGACTTTTCTGGATCATCTGAGGCTTCTAATTCGGGATTGGTTAATTTCCGTGGCGTCTCTTTGAAGACCTCGAACAGAGGAAAACCTCACCTTCAATCTCCCTCCACTTATTGGTCTCTTCTCGCATTTTCAGACAACAACTCAACAGAGATAACATTGGCTTGTCCACCACATACCTCGGCCAGAATCAAATGGAACCAATACAACGTCTTTCAAGATACGTGAAAGTGAGCGGCAAAAATGACAATCGCAACCTTCGGTCGTAGCCGATATATCGACCCCGAATCCAGCAAGATTCAAATCAGGACTGAGCGGAACTGATGGTAGTGACACGGTACTCTCTGCTGGGAACGCGGGAAGATATATTTACAGCCGGCGGATGTACCAATGGAATGCAAACATAAGACAGCATGCCACGAAAGTGAGACGAGGATTTGCAAGACCATCAATGAAACAGATCCCAATGCTTTGAAACACGGTCACTCAGAATAGCTTCATCTTGATCCGTCCATCCAGGGTCCAAATTGACTGCTTCAGCCTCTCTGTACTAGGTAGTAGGTGCACTGTCTGTACCTCTGCAGGATGTGGATTCCGAGATCCGAAGCTGGTGATTGACCAATGATAGCGAGCGATAGAGCAAAGCCTGATAGATATCCATATTGGTGGGCTATGATTGGTGGAAATCCGAGGGATGGAAAGCAAGCCAGGAGAAACAAAGTCCAGAATGGCGTTTTTTCGGGCATCCGGGCGCGGCGGTCTTGGCGCCAAAACAAGGCGGTCAACCAAATTGGGCCCCATCGATGCCGCCAGGTGTCCACTTGGTGACGTAGCAAATTGTTCCTTTACTTCCTTTTCTGATATTGTAGTTTTTCCATTTGGGCCCGAGCTGCCCGAAGCGGCAACCTCCCAGTCCCGGTTTAGCGCCTGCCCCCACTGCCCCCCGCTACGGTTTAGCGCGGGCCAAACACGGTTTAGCCGTCACGCTAATCCGCAACAGGCACGCTCATCACGTCACCGCCTCGCGACTCGGCCGCCCAGATCTATAAAGCCCAGGTGCGTCGCTCCATCGTCGCCATCCATCCTCTTCGTTTTTTTTTTCCTTTCCTCCCCCCCTTCCAACACTTCCCACATGCGTCCGGTTGGATCGACGATCACGGGCTGATTGCGAGACCCGGCCCACCTGAGGGATTTTCTGGCAACATTGCATCCGGCCTCCACTCGCACCATCCAATCGAACCCCTCTATGACGCTGTGCGTCCCCCCTTCTCCTCCGTGGACCCCGCTCATTCTGATACTCTTCCCGGCCAGGCCCTTTTGCCGACAACAGTGTCTACATTCTACGCGTTCGTATTCTATTCTACTTGGTTGAGCGAAGTTTTGGCCTATCCAATGACTCCTTCACCGAACGGTTCTCTCTTGAGCCTGTCCCAGTAGCCGGTTGCGAGGCGATCCTGGAGAACGGATGCTTTCACTTTCTAGATCAATACGCGCTCCAGAACTTGGAACAGAGTGATTCAGATGACGTGGCACTTCGCTCGCCCACACATCCGAACCACCAGCACTCCTTGGTCTGTCAACTATGGTCCCGCACAGTTTTCGTGAACCTCAAGCCACCTCGTCATCTCCAGCCTGCCTTGAATTATGCGCTGTTTTTGCTATTGGACCTGGATACGAGTCTTGTATGCCCGAAGGGAACGGACAGCGGGCTCACTCGGGAGTGTGACGCGAACTGACTGGCCATGAGCGTCGGATGAGGAATGGCCTCAAGTCGGCCAACGGGATGATGGGTCAAGGCACACAGCGGCGCTCCAGTCAAAGCGGCAGCCTTATGCGCATCTGCTTCCTTATCGGTCACCCCGCTCGGATTCCTGCATCCAGGCGGGTCTGGCGTGGGCAGTGCATACTTTGTCTTTGACAGCAAGAGCCTGGTGGCCAATTGTGAATGACCGCGGGCAATTCTGTTACGTGCCAAACCTTGGAACACAGTCTTCTGATGTTGCATTTGGGCCGGAGCTGAACGAGGAAGCCCCGTCTGTTCTGCAAGACTTCCGGGGGGTTGCGTGGCCAGGTAAGGGCTATGCGGGCACTGAGAAAATCAAATGGCATCTTTGCAGACTAGTCAAGGCGGCGGAAATGTAGGCCAAGTCAAAAGTCTGCCTCGTTGCGCATCATGTTTGCAAGAGACGCACGCTTTCTAGCAATGATTGGAAATAAGCCCCGGAAGTTCCGAGCAGCTGTGAGAAGGAGAAGGAACAAGTAACATGTACCGAGCGGCCCAGGGCCGGCTGATGCTGTCCACTGGCCTGGACCTGGACTCCTGTTTGGGTAGCGTCCAGGAGGTCTTTTTTTTGGGGGAGGGGGGGCTGATTGGATTCACTATAAAAAGAAGTCTTTTTCACCATGTGCTCAGTCTGGCAGCCTCATAATACCAATTTTCCTCTTTTTCGCTTTGTTTATCTCGCTATGTTTTCCCCCTCAGAATTTGCGACCATGCCTGTCATCCTTGATAATATACAATTCTACCATGGTCCATCGAAGTCGGCGAAACCGCGATATCTTGCCTTTAATAGCAACCAGAAAGGATCCGATGCCTTGCTATCGGGCGAGCGACCCCCATTCTCCAATGAACCAGTATCTTCGGCAACAGACGACTCGAAAATGGTCCCGACTTGCTTCCTCCCTCCGGCTGCTGCCAATGCAGAAAATATAACGCGTCGGCATGCGGTTGGGCCGCCTAACTTATTTGACTTCGAACTGGCGAGGTCCTGGGCGGCGGCAACGCCATTGTTAGGTACAATTGAAGCTATCGACAGAGATGCCTGTCCCTCGCTACAGAGGATTGACTGTCACTACCGAGATAACTCGGACGAAAAGATGCCTGGCGACTGTAAGTTTAAGGTCTGAGCTGGCCTACTTTCCAAATTATTAATCGATTTTGGAACACAGCCCCGTCCTCGTTTGGTGCAAATTCAAGCAAAAGCGCGGAGTTCAACGGTTCAGACGTCTTCCAGAGATCCCAATCAAGTTGCACGACTCCTCTACAGCATCCACAGACCCCATCTCTCGCGGTTCTTTCACCGGATGCTGCAATTTCGCACCCTGGGATTATGCAATCGCATGTGGAGGAAGATGTTCAGTGGGCACGAAATCAACCTTCATACCTCACGTACTTGGAATCCTCTAGTCCTGCCCGTGCTTGGGATATATCCGATGTGTCTACTGCATTTGGCGAACATTCTTCTAACACTCCGCTCTCTTCCGTGTTATCCTGCTCAGGTGTTGCAATCAATAATGAAAACGACACGAGCTCCTGCATTCCTTCACTGGAGCCGGACGATTGTCCCAACGACCGTTCGGATGACTATGAAGAAGCAAGCCAGGCCAGATTGATTCCAGATTGTTCCCCCAGAACCGTGGATGAGCTAAGTCCTTCTGGACCGGCCGATCCGCTGCACGTTAACATGTCCGATCCGATGGATCTCGAAGAAGCAGACGGGCGCGAGTCTGGCAATTCTCATTCGAGAACACCTAGCATTCAGTGCGCCAAGAGTCCAAGTTTGGATAAGCCCAGAAAATGCAACAAAAAGGAACGTCTAACGCCCCGGACCAGAAAAGAAGACACGACTCGTGAGTGCTACCCGTCTGTCGCAGTGGTTATTCCTCCGCCACGGCCGAGACCTGTATGGAGTCTACGCTTAAGGCCAAAACCTGTTGCATTAGATGCATATGAGAGCGGAAGTAGCGAGGACGTTGATGATTCCTCGGACGAAGACTACATGACCGATACGATCCGAACAGAAATTCCACACTTTAAGGACTCCGCGGAGGAGAAACACGGTCCTCCAAGTAAGACCGCTTCTTACTATCCCAGCGAAACGTCCTTTAGTTCATCGACTACGCATTGCGGCGATAGCCGCGACATTGTTGGGCGGGCAATTCTTACCATTGAGACCCAGGGATCGGAGCCCACTTTCTTCTTCACTCTCGTGCCCGACCATGTCCGCTCGACATCATATGTTCCCGCGCACAGTCCTCCCCGCAGCTCGGAGAAAGCAGGTAGGGTTTCAAAGCGGTCAACGAGCATAAGCCGTTCAACTTGCAGGAAAAGTAAATGCCAGCGCTATTCAACCTCCGAGAATGAGTTGTTAGTGAGGTTGAAAGAGGAAGGGCGTTTAACATGGAAGGAAATAGCGGACCATTTTCCTGGCCGCAAGTTGTCTGCTCTGCAGGTTCACTATTCTACCAAGTTAAGGCACCAAAGGGCCAAGAGAAGCCGCCCGCAAAGTCGCAGGCGCAAAAAGAAATGATTCAAATGCATATTGCCATGGAAGCTGTCACAATCAAAAGCATCCGTCGTCTTTGTATCTAATGCCGCTCCCACTAAGCTAGTAGTTATCTGGCGACACTGTCCGTGACCGACGTATATCCTTCCCGCTTTCTAATTATAGGTGGAATCACCCACGTGATATGGTCGTCAAGCTCTCGTGAAAGGTCCTAGATAGATGAACACTGTGGGTCCGTCTTCATGCGCAAGCTCACGAGTATGGGATGTGTCGTTACTAAGTAGAGGTGTACAAAATTCAGCGATAGGATTAAGAGGAAAGGGGTGAATGAGTGAAAGGGCGACCGTCCTTTTTTTCCTTCTTACCCTGGAGTTGGCACTAGGAGGGGACCCAAATGTCTTCGTAAGGAGTTAGAAGGTGAGCCGAGAAAACCAGTCACTCACCCAACTACTAACCTGCCAGGGCGAGGCTTATCTGCGGCAGATAGTCGGGTGGCTGCCGCCCGGGTGAGTTTAGGGTGAGCGCCGCTTTAAGGTCGTGCGACCAGGGTGAGATAGGGTGAGTGCGCAATAGACAGGGTGAGAAGCCGGGTGAGAGCGGGTGATTCTCACCCTCCGTCGCGCGACCACCGCACTGACCCTCCCAGCTGGGCTCAGAAACAGTGTTATTGGCTTACCTTGGCCTGGCTGAAACCGCGGTCTCTTGGCACTTGCATATACCGTTGAATCCCAACCCAGGATTGGCCAAATTAACGGCGAGGCTGACTTCAATGTCGCCTTGGGCCAAAGTAGTTTGCTTGATGTCCCGGCCACCAGCATGATCTGGACAACAATCAACATCTGTATGGCATAGCTAACTTCCGCGGGTTGACATGTCCACATCACGTGGCAACACCTGTGTTGTCCATCTTCGACCTGCTTGTGAGCACCAGCTCGTACTTAAGCCGCGTGCCTATGGTCAATCATGGTTTTACAACGGCTAGCATACGCAGAAAAGTCGTGAGATACACCAGCACCAACTCAATGACTGCTGATAGCTAATCAATACCACGTGACTCTTCCACTATGTCCACTCCTAGCATAAAGGAAACTCCTTAAACTTCTCTAGACCTCTCACGTCTCCTATGGCAGCTTGATTTACTCCCCCCAGGAATATGTTCTTATGCCTCCTCTCTCGCACCACAACTAACGAAAAAAAAGCTGTTGTGTATATTCTTTACATGGTCGTGACCTCAATCAAGGCATGAAATGCAACAAGCGGTAGGGACAGGTTGGATCAATTGAGAGCCAGAACATACGAAGCTTCATATATATTCATTGCAGCCCTCGCTCCCTATGGCTAGGTTTACCACTCATGCTGTAGGGGAACTCAATGTGGATAAGCGGAAGCCACATTCGGCGAGTGGCAATGAAGTCCAGCTAGATTGCTCTAATCATGTATTCACCAAGCTGTACAGCTCACGTCTCCAGAGTGACCACCGCTGGGCTGATTGCAAAGGTTTTCAAGCAGATGAAATGCTTTGAGGACAAGGTCATGGTGCTTTCACAACTTCTGCACCAACGGCAGCGCCGACGGCAGGGGTTTGAGCCCTTCAATTTGAGTCGTGACGATACATGACAATAGAGCCAAAGGATGATCCAAACCCGACGCCTTCACCGGGACGCGTCTTCACATAGCCGGCTGCCCATTGACAGAGCCGGTACACTTGATCAGGTTAATGGAAAGAATGGCAAGTGGAAGCACAGGTGGGTCATCCATCATGAGGCTCTTGGAACGTATCCAAATCAGGCAAGCCGTAACGCTCCCCACGATTCGATTCTAGTCGGGAAGCGCGTTTGGAGAATTCAAGTGACGAAGAAAAGAGGGAACACCTGTCTATTAGGCAGTCCCTACCCCGAGGATTGGGAATGCAGCCGCTGCTATCGACCAATGTGCGTACTACTTAAGAGGTGCATTAGGCCGTAGAGCTCACATTCATATTTCAAAACTTGTTAGTAATGGCAGCGTCATCTGTTCACGTTGATCAGCTCTTCCCTATCGATGGATCCGTCACGAAGTCGCGAGACCGCTTGATCATTAAGACTTCGCATCCCAATCCATCATTGCAGGTTACTGCCGACCACCAGCTCAAATCGGTCGAAGCACCAGTCTATGCCCCACGTGAGGGAGAAGTCCTTGTCCACATCAAAGCCACCGGTATCTGTGGATCAGATATTCATTTCTGGAAGACCGGTCGTATTGGATCGCTTATCTTCGAGGACGACTGCATTATCGGACATGAGGCATCGGGGATTGTGTTGAAGTGCGGCGAAGGAGTGACCAACCTCAAGCCTGGTGATCGCGTCGCGATGGAGCCCGGAGTGCCTTGTGAGCAATGCTTCTTGTGCAATGAGGGTCGGTATAACTTGTGTGAGGATGTTCGATTTGCGGGTGTTTACCCCCACGCCGGCTCAATTCAACGCTACAAGATACACCCCGCTAAGTGGTTGCATAAGCTGCCTGATAATGTCAGCTTTGCCGAGGGTGCTCTTCTCGAGCCTCTCTCGGTTGTCATGCATGGTATTAAGACGACGGGTCTCAGTCTCGGCCGAGGGGTTGTTGTATGCGGCGCTGGGCCTATTGGTTTGATTGCACTGGCCGCAGCTCGTGCTTCGGGAGCTCATCCTATTGCTATCACCGACTTGGAACCCTCACGATTGGCATTTGCTAGAGAGCTAGTTCCTTCTTGTATGACCTATCAGGTGGACCTCAATAAGGACGCTGCTGGTAATGCCCAAGCTCTCCGGGCGTTGTTCGGGGCCTCGGAGTATGATGCTCCCGAGACAGTCCTCGAGTGCACCGGCGTGGAAAGCAGTGTATGCACGGCTGCATATACGGCTCGTCGTGGAGGTACAGTAATGGTTATTGGGGTGGGAAAAGCGACCATGAATAACCTTCCGTTCATGCACATCTCTCTCGCCGAGGTAGGTCATTATAAAAATTTCTCAAGTCTTATGTCGATGGTTACTAATTACTTCAGATCGACCTGCGTTTCATAAACCGCTATAGGGATACCTGGCCATCAGCCATTCAGTGCTTGAGTGGTGGAATTCTGGACTTGAAGAAGCTTGTCTCGCATGTGTTCCCCCTTGTGAAGGCGGAAGACGCGTTGCATCTCTGTGCTGATACGCGGAATGGCAGCGTTAAGGTGTTGGTTGTTGATGAGCAGGATGCATCACTGTGAAAGTGTTGGACAGTAGGCAAATACTGAATACTCACATTTGAAGCTATAGCTAGTTCTGTCAATAGCCGGATTTCCGCAGTCGCCATAAAGATCCTATTGTTCGTCTCATCCAAATGGGATCACGTAATGAAACTAGGGTGATTCACTGTGAGATCGGTTATTACAAGACATGGATAGACTTTAATCGACTTCGAAGCTCACGATGGCCGGCTCCTCTTTCCAAATACGGACGTGATGGCCGGGCTCGTCCCGACAGTAGTCAATGCGAGCGAAGATAGTGGTTCAAGAGTCAACAAGAAATCTCTAGAAAAGTTGTCAGTGCTATTTAACGAGCATCAGTCCGAAGGACGAGCTTTAAACAGAAGCAATCAATCACTAACCCTCCTGGGTCTTAGCCACCAAAGCTCCCTGCACGTCGGGATTTAGCGCAAAGTAAATCCCGTAATCTTCGATAGAGACTGCGGACAATAATATTTCTTCATAGGACCATGTGATCACCCTCAGAGCAGGTCATCGGACAAACACTGTAACTTACGAAGCAAGGCTAATATAAACAAGCCGCTGATCCAGGACATGTGAGATCTTCTCAATCGAAAGCTACGACAACGAAACATGATTTTGACGAGAAAAATGAAAGTCTTAGATTGAAATATACAATGTGCGACTTCCGCTTCTATTGATTTATTTAATGACCCTTCGGCAAAAGCTGGAAGAAGTAAAGTTCTCACATAACAAAAGCTCCTTGGAAGCTACTGACTTTCTCAAACTCAAAGATAATCCGTAAGCCACTTCCCGCCCGCCAACCAACTTGCTTCCTCAAACATCTTAGCGGTACCCGCGAGCGAGGTAAAGGACCATGTCAATGCACCCAAAGATAAAGCAATTCCAATGATTGTCACGGCGAAACTGTGGTTTGGCTGACTTGCTTTAACTTCGAAGTCTGACCAGCGTGGGAAGATAGTGCGCGCCCAGTACTTATACATGGGGTCGGGGTAGATGAACGTGTTCTTCTTCGTGACGGGGTCCATCCACCAGCTCTGGCAACCGCTGTTGAATACAAGTCCCTGAAGCTTCTTATGTACCCAGGTGAGGTCGCGCTTCTGTGCCATCTGCTTGACCATGATAGAGTCAGCCTGCCCACCCAAGACCTTGCGCAGGAGGCGGCACGAGTAGTTGATCTGACATTCCGAATGGAAGATGACAGAATGCTGACCAGTAGCAGCATTGGGCCCGTATAGAATGAAGAAGTTCGGGAAACCAGTGACTACGGTGCCTTTATAGGCCTCGGCACCGCCAGACGCCTCCCATATCTGATGCAAGTCCCTTTCCCCGACGCCTTTGACCTCGATAGGATGGAGCCACTTCTGAGTGAGAAACCCGGTGGCGTAAATAATAGCATCTGCAGGGTATCGGTCTCCTGCTTCGGTAACCACGTGGTCTGGACCGATCTTGACGACGCGATCCTTGGTCAGGCACATCTGTGGCGAATGCAGCGAAGCGAGGTAGGTTGCAGTGTTGACTCGGCGTTTGCAGCCAGGCTCATAGTTGGGTTTCAAAATCTCACGATATTTCGAGGGAGCATCATTCTCGATATAGGCATGGGTGGCGTCTCGAGTTTGCTGACGCATAGCCCTACCTCTCGCGTTCATGTGGAATGAGAAAAACACGCTCTCCAGTTCCCATGCCAAGAGCAAGCGGTACGCACGAGCTGCAAATGGCACATATTTCATCATCATCTTAAAAGTTTCAGAGTACTTCGGGTTTCCCTACTCAAAATTTAGTACAATGTAAGGACGACGTGGGAAGTGATGGAAGGCCAGGGAGAATATTACTCTTTTCGTCCACCAATGGGCACTTCGAACAAACTGAGTGACACTTCCTTTTGGGCCAACCTCCCTCACCAACTCGGGAACAAACTGGGTGGCTGATGCGCCATTACCCAGGACGACAATGTCTTTTCCTTGAGGTTTCAAAGTGTCATCCCAACGCGCACTGTGGAAGGTTTTGCCCGTGAACGTCTCTGATCCCTCGATTTCAGGAATGAAAGGACGATCCAGTGTGCCAACTGCACTGACTACCACGGGAGCTTCTCTTGTGTACATCTCTCCACTGATTGTGTCCTGAAATGTACACACCCACAAAGATCGAGTGGAGTCCCAGACCAGGTTAAGACACATGGCGTTGAATCGGCAGTGAGGGATGATTTCGTACTCCTCAGCGACAGACATGAAATCTTCCGCCTCCGTCAGCCACATGCGGTCAAAATAGGATGGGAATCTCGGAAGAGAAAGCTTTTGACATCTTGAACTTACATCCATGTAACTCATCACGTCCCGGATACATGGTCGTCCAATCCGGCTTCAAAGCAAAGCTAAAAGAGTAGAAGTGGCTGGGAATATCGCAAGCGCATCCGGGATACCGATTGTGCCACCAGGTTCCCCCGATGTTATCGGATTTCTCATAGATAGTAAAATTGTCATGCCCAAGCATACGCTTCAATTGCACTGCCATACCGAGACCGGAGATGCCTCCACCGATGATGATAACTTCCTTGGACGAGTTCATAGTGCAGGAATCGATTTTCTTGCTGTCGGCGTTCCAGTACTGGGGTTCAGAGAAAGAATGGCACGTTGGACAATGATTTCTGGGGCGAGCGAAGGCAAAATGATATGTGGATGGAGAGAACTATTTATGTTTCATCTTGATGCTTTCAAATGTTTTCATCCTTCTCTGTCGTCTCCCCGGCTCTCCTCTGCCGATGGAGCAATTCAACAGTATAACTCCGGGGTGACAACTTCGCTCATTATCCTGCGGCGGCTGCGCTTGCATTTGCCTGGGTTGGGAGTGCTCCGCCGTAGGCGTCATGCCCCGCAGTTTTCGAATCTGGGGGACGTTGGCCCTCGTATTCTGGAGCCCGCCCCGGTTTGGGTTATGTAATACGGTAAATGGGGGCTGTCACCGCCCCGCGCGCTGGCATAATAGCAACCCCAACCGCTCTTCCTGCAATTGAACATCTCTCTGCATTTCGAGGAGGTTTTATTCTCCCATTACCGAGATAAGCCCGAATCGAGAACTCGGCAGACATCTGATGCGCTCCACACGAACCAGGACGCGGTCTGGATGGTAATGTGCCTCTCCAAAACCAAAATCCACAGCGGCAAACTGATGCTATTAGCAGTCTGCCTTGTCGCAGCCGCCGCAGAAAATGTATCACGAGACTTTGGGTTGTTTGCAGTTAAGCCAATGAACCAGCTAACATAGTCAGGTGACGAAAGGCGCCCCACGTGTCGAAGCTGTGAGACGCGTGGTTATATTTGCCAGTGGGGCCTAAAGGCCTCCTTCCATCCCTCTCGTAGCCTCCGGCTGTCGACTCCCGATAGGGCGACCCTACTAGCTATTGAGAGAGGGCGGCAAACCACGACCGACGAAACACGCGGCAATCATCTGAGTTCGCCCCTGGAGCCTTCCACGTCAATCGTGAGTGTCTCGCAACTCTCCTGCGCTTAATCGTGTTATCTCTCTTTGGCCACCGCAGCATTGCTGCTGCTGCCGCTAGTGATTATATGGGCACATTTTCCCATGGCTTCATCTGTCTGCGCCTAAGCAGTCTCCGAGATGAGCAGCCTATTAGCCCCCATGCTTTTGGAAGAAAGAGCTCTAACCAATAATTCCTGTCTAGATTATAGACGATACAGAGGAAGTAGTCAAGTGCTATCAGGACTGTCATGATGCATCTTCATCAACCGATTCAGAACCCGTCTTGGATGAAGAGCCAACATTAAATGCGATAGACACGACTCTGTGTCCTTCGGGCAACGTGCATTTCCCACTTGGTCTGATCTCACATGACACTATCCAGCCGGACACCACTCTCGACAGGACCCCTGATAACGAGGCCGCCAATGAAAGCTTCCTGCCATCACCTCAGACAGGGACTGTAAGTGGGATTCACGAGGTAGGCGGACTGTCATACAATGATCAGGTATCAGCGGTGCAGTTCGCAGTCAGTCCTGCCTCGTATGTGTTACCATTCTCGTTGGGGCAGGCTGTGTCCCGGAACGCGTCGCCATTACCGGAGCCCTCGAAACCCGTGACAGACGTAGAGTGTGCTCGCTTGGTGTCGTTGTATCTAAGTGAGACTGGAACTTGGTGCGAGACCACCGATTCAGAGAGGCACTTTACCTCGAAAAGCATTTACCAGATGCTGGATTCCAAGCCGTTCCTCGCATCAGCTATTGCCCTAGCGTCTCGGCAGCACGATGCTGTCCAGGACCAGCGGCGATCGGTGACTCTGGAGCTCTATCAGTACACGATTCAGCTCTTACTCCGTCAAGACCCAGATAAAGCAGGCGCCCCGGTATTGGCGACTTGCACTCTTCTTTGCGTCTATGAGATGATGGCGTCATGTGTATGGGAATGGCGGCGTCACTTAAAGGTTTGTATCTACGGCTCCTGGGACATCACTTCTGAACTAACTCAATGCCTTCCTATGAGTAGGGTTGCGCCAGTCTGTTACACAATCGGAAATGGAACGGTTCATGCAGTGGTATCGTTAAGTCTAGTTTTTGGGCCTTTGCCCGAATTGGTACGTAGCAGAGCTGAAGACTAAACGAAGTCCGAACCTTAAGGCGCTCATCTGACCTGGTTCCCCTATACATAGATGTCTGGGCTGCATATATTAGCGGCAAAACAACTCTCATCCCTACCGACTCGTGGGTTGATGATAGTTCTATCCCGTCAGTAGCTGCAAAAGGCAATGTTGATGACTATTGCAATCTCGCGATACTTACTTTTGCTCAAATTGTGAACCTGTTGGCAGACGCCAGGCTTTATGAAAAGGATGGCAGTCCTGTCTACTATTCGGCTGTTGGAAAGCTGTGGGACGCACTGCAAGAGTGGCGACGCCTCCGGCCCAAAGAAGTTTGTCCTCTGCTTAGAGAAAGCTCGAGGGGCTCGAATCCGTTTCCCACTGTGGTATTATCCTGGTCATCTGCTAGTATGTCCGCTCTCCTGCCCCTTTCTTCATTGCAAGCGCGCTAAGGATAAAACAGACTGTGGTAATACTTTCTATCATGCCGGGTGTATCTTACTTCTACAAACTGGCTGCCTCGGGGCGCGGGCTAATGCGTTAGGCGTTGAACGGGTGAGTTTCAATGTGTTCTCGAGCTTTTCTCTCGCTGTCTGATGTTCACGGTTTGAGGATGGAACTGTGATTTGCCTACGCAAATATGAAGACATTTTAAAGCTGACGCCTTAATTCCAATGGTAGGATCCTATTTGGCATGCTCGAGAACTAGGCGGAATCTCCGCTTCCAATATATCCCAGTGTGTACTTTCACTTTGCGACAGGCAGAAAAGAGCTAATTGGATTCTAACTGAGATAGTTCGAATTGGGTAAATCAACTACAACCACTCTACATCGCCGGCACTGTCTTTGCGGACCGGATGGGGATCTGTTTCCGCGACGCACCAAGACAGACCCAGTGGGCCGGTGCCCCTTGGAGAGTGCCAGTGACCCAGCACGTACCTCTAATGGAGATGGATGACATAGATGAGTATAACTCAGAGAAAATCGCGCTTCTGAGACAACTGGCTCGGATTGAGCGTGAGACCGGTTGGAAAACCTCGGACCGGGCGTTGGACTTGAGGAGACTTTGGGGATTTGGGTAATAGCGGCGCTGCTACCTTGCTGCCGTTGAATGATTATATTTGAAACCTGTTTCTCAAGTCCGTGCATGCACTTGTAGGTCGCGGCCGCTAGCTTCAAAGTCATAACATTTGAAGCTACCCACCTTCATTTTGTTTGCTGAGTGGAAGTTGGGCCACCGTGGCTCCTTTATCGCATCAGCTTCATCTCTTAGTATCTCTTTCCATGGCAAAGAGCAACGCTATACTTCCTTATCTAGCTTGAAGCTTGTCAAAGTTAGGCAGCGAAGTACGGTTCGAGTGAACTTGAAGGGGGTTCGGTGGAGATGGCTGTCCACTGGGGCATCCTCGGCCTGCCACTAGAATGGGGCGACGCTCCTAGAGAGGTGAATTTCCTCACATTAACCGCAGAGAAACCTAACAACTTGCGAAACCGCACACGAAACTACAAATCAGAAGCTTGTAGAACTACAACGAGTGCTCTAGAATGGATCTTTCACCAGCAATGTCAACTAGAGCCAGCCACAGATTCGTGCTGGGCACTTCCTTATCAGCATGAAGACGATAGTTGTAACTTTTCAAGCCCGAAGATCTCGTGGAGTTCTCAGAATATACTGGTGTTGTTCAACAACAGGCTGTAGCGGAAGCACGGGCGCTCTTATGGAATGTGAGTTCCAGAACACAGGTCAACCCGACCTCGCCTGAAAGTTCAACTTACCTGGCCCCACTTTTTCACGTGACTCAAGTCAATGCTCAGTTCACCGGGTCCCACTATTTTGCTTATTAAACGTATTAGGAGAGTTATCTGAGCAAGCTGAGATAGTATGGGCTAGTAATCCTGTTGGGCGAATAGACAACGAGATGAGGTCAAGCGGAACCAATCTTGGATGAGAAGGTTGATTGATTGAAGAAAGAACGAATGTGATGGGGCAGGTTGAAATACCCCATAGATGGCGAAGATACACGGTGTTACGAGAACCGTAATGCCGAAGATACCAAATTACTATACAAAAGGCAAAGAAAAGTGGGTCACTCAGTATAACCCCTGTCTAGGTGGTAAGTTACCGCTCCATGTCTCGACAAGAGTTCTTCTAATATTGTGGGTGCCTAAGAGACTTCACGATTCAGAACTAAGTTTATTTGTCTTTTGCCCTGTTGCTCGTCCCACATGTTGTATTTTACGCCAAATAAAATTTGGATCAACACCCTCCCGGAGTGATACGATGGATTGTGCCTTTCGCAGCTCAGATTTCATAGACAATCTTAAAGGCCGAGACCTTCCCGTCTCTGTGTTCCTGGAATCCTTCGGGCACGCTGTTCAGCCCCTTTCGGGACTGTGGCTGGTTGGGCCGGAGAGTTCTATCATCCAACCACGCAGGGAGCTTCTCAAAAAGCTCACTGGCAAGCTCATGATCATCCTTTGAAGCCTGTAGTACTATGATGAGAACCGTATCAAGTTATTAGAGAGAGGGAGACATAGCGTTCTCTCGAGATGCGTATGCTAGTAAGGAGGGTACCTACAGGCCATTTAAAATCACCGTAGCTGTGATCTTTTAAGAAGGCAGTCCATACCAGCACGTCTGTAACATTTGTTCCAGGAGCGACATTTTCTGTGTTGGCCTTGCCCGGGCGTACAGTGCACAGATGCCCGGCTCCGCTTTTGAAAACACGAGAGGCAATTGTAGATGAAGTTGGGTTCCCGATCGTGTCGAAAACATGTAATATTCCTGGCTCAGATGCCTGGATCTTTTGGATGATATCTTGATCCTTGTAGTCAAAAACATGTTTAGCGCCGAGTGAGCGAGCCAACTCAAAATGCTTCGGGCTGCAGGTTGTCACAACGTTTATGCGATACATGGAAGCGAGTTGAATAGCATACTGGCCCACGCTCGCTACAGACCGTCAGCGAATAATCCAGTCGGGGATCCAAGCGAAAGCAAACTTACAGCTACCGCCCCACACCAGAATGCTGGTGCCCTTAGCACCGACCCTCTCGATCCCCAGGCAGGTTTTAGAAAATAGGGCAAGCCAAGCAGTGGCGGCGGCTAACGGAACAGTGCTCGCCTGCTCACGCAAGATCGAACGAGGTAGACAGAATGATATCTTGTCATCGGCCACGCAGTAATGACTGTATGCACCCAATCCGGGAATTTCGCCTACGATCCACCAGGCCGTGAGCATGAAATCAGCCCCAATCTTGAGATCCGAATCAAGAGACTCGGAAACCTTGATCTTGAGTACTCACCTCCCCAGATCAAGCCAGCCACAATATCACCCTTGGCAAATCGTGTGACTTGGCTTCCTAACTCGACAACTTCTCCCACGAAGTCGCATCCTAGAACAGCCCCATCGCCAAAAGCATTGCTGTCAAAGGCTTGTACTGTGAGGACCGATTCAAAGTTAACAGGCTAAAGGCTATGGATATCTGCAAGGGAAAGACGCACCATCGGTCGGGTTCTGCGCCACATGCGATACTTTAACAAGCACCTGATTCGCTTCCGGAGAAGGAATTGCAATATTCTCCTGCGACAGACTCGGCTGGTTCCCGTTGGCTACACGCACAACGACGGCGGAATTCTTGGCCATCCTGATATTTGTCAATGGAGCCGGCTAGGTATAGAAAGAGGGAATTTGCAGGTAAGGAAAAAGGTGTAAAAAGGGAAATTCGTGAGGCACTAATTATATCGCACCGAGTTCTGTCAGTTCGTCCTCTTAGAATCTATCAGATGACGTCACGGCGGTTGCACTTGCTTCAGTTGAGCTGCGTAGCGGTATGGGGCTGCGGACACCTGCCGAGCTAATTGTGTACTAAGCGCCATGATTCGTCGGCGCAGCACAATAACGACCTGATTTGTGAGCATTAAAGAGCTATCTACTAAACAATACGACGCCGCTTGTACGTTCCTGTCGGTCGGTCTACAGTCTACACGACGCTACAAGGTGATCTTTGACCTTAGTAATGCTCAAATTGACTTAAATTCAACATAGTGCTTATGAAAGTGCTTTCAGACGAAGCCTAACAGCGGTTGGATATGCTGAAAGGAAAAGGGCATGAGATAATACGCGCGTTCGTGACAAGGGCCTAGTCTTCGAGAAAAGGGTGAATTTCGCAGCGAATACCAACACTGAGACGAGGGAAGGAAAAAGTTGTGGAATTGATGTGCCCACCTTCCTACAGTCTGGTGCCCGCTAACTACATTGCTCAAAATATCCACTCTATCTATGCACTGTTCCTTTGCATCAAAACTACGACCTCGCCCGGTCTAGGCGCATGCCTCTGAACATGAATTCAGACTTTCGGTCCGTTGCCCTCGCTGTAGTATCTACATACCGCAGGCAAAGAAACAACACTCCATGGGGTGCGAAGGCCTCCAAGGCATGCCGGCCCTGCCAGCCTAGTTCCCATGGAATGATTTCATTACGGTAGTAGACGAAAAGAACGTCCGTACATCCTTCACAAACAAGTCTGGTCGTTCCAGGGACGAAAAATGCCCGCCACGTTCATACTCTTTCCAGTACTGGATGTTTGCTGCCTGTGCAGCCCAGTCCCGGGGACACTTAAGTAAAAGCCTTGTTAGTGCCACTCGAGGGGAAAAGTTCCAAGAGAGTCGCGTCATGTAGTTGACTTACATGTAGTTGCTCCTTTGTATACATGCTGACCCCCGTAGGTACCGACAGGTACGTCTCAAATGTTTTCTCTGCTTCACGCTTGCTGCTACCGAATGCTTCCCGGTAGAAACGCAGCCCAGGTGTCGCACCTTGAATCCAGTGCATCATCACCAAAGTGATGATATCGGTGTCACTGAATTCCTCGTAGACCTCCCCCCAGTCGTGAAATTTCTCGACAAACCACGCCAATAGGCCAACCGGCGAGTCGCCCAATGCGAATCCTAGAGTCTGTGGGCGAGTCTTTTGCTGCTCCAAATAGCCGCTCTGATCTTTTTCAAAATTTTCACGCACTGCCAATGCCCGTCGCTCGAAGTCTGAGTATGTTACCGCAGCGAAGCACCACCGGAGATAGGCTAGAGGGGCCGACGTGAAGGTGGGAGGAGGCACTGGGAACATGTTCAGATGTTGGCCCCGCACAAGCTGAGGAAATTGAATGGCGATTGACCGAGTGATGAAAGATCCGAAGTCACCGCCCTGGGTCACGAATCGAGGATAGTGCAGGACATCGGCCATGAGAATCTTGTAGGCTCGCGCAACCACTTCGGGGCCAACGCCTGACTTGGTCGGAGCCGGCGAAAAGCCAAAGCCGGGGATGGAAGGGGCAACGAAATGAAAGGATGGATCACTTGCACTCTCAGGTTGGGTCAGAGGATGAACAATTCGCGCTGCCTCAACAAAGGAGCCAGGCCAACCGTGCGAGAACAGAAGGGGCATCGCGTTTGTGTTCGTGGAGCGATGGTGGACATAGTGTAGTACAAGTGAACCATAGCCGGGGACATCCACCTTCACTATGAAATGATTAAAGACCGCATTCAAGCGTTCCTAGTGCGTCCACGTCAGTACATACCCGTCTGCTAGCACGAGCATAGTGTCAACGCACCTCTTCATCTTCCCACCGATACTCATCTCTCCAGAAATCGGCCAACTCCTTGACTCGAGAGACTTTGGCACCTTGCGCCCAGTTGCTTTCTGCAAAATCAGTCTGCTCCTCTGGATATCGAGCTAGCGCCAGCTTTTGCTTGGTCAAACCGAGCAGGTCACGATCCACGTGCAGTTTATAGGGCACGGGGACGTTGAATTTCAGTTCTTGCAGGGGAATGGGAGATTTCAACCCCATCGTTGCAGCGAGAGGCTGGAGGTTTTAAAGATTGTATGATCGGGCACGCAACAGCGACGCGGAGAATCACTGGCAGTCTTAAATTTCACTGCTTCGGCTGGGGAAATTAAAAGCACTTGAAAGTCGAGAGCCGAATAAAGAGTTGACTCATCTGAGCTGCGTGGGCGTGGAATGTGAAATTAATTATATACATCGCTGGCCCTGTAGCAAATGGCTCGAGCCACCTTCCATAACTCTTGCAACTGCACGCCGGCACACCACCATACCAAAAAATTTACCCCTAGCGGTTGGGAAGTTCAAGGCAACTGGAAGCATCATAACCTTGGCGGCTAGACTTGCAGACCCCACCGAAGGTTTACGTGATAGACCTAGCCAGCCAATCAGCACTTTATAATTGGTTCCGGATCCGTCGCGGATCATGTGCTCCTCAGTTGACTGTTCAGACAGGCTATTAAAGTTTGCTTGGTTGTCTTACTAGCACGAGAGCAGACTAGTTGTCGGATGCACGCACCCACTCAATAGTTTCAAATATACTGCGTCCACTACATACTGTACATGCTAACAAATTATATGCAAAAGGTGAGCGACTTAGGGCTACAAGTAATACATACTTGAATACTGAAAAAAACGAGCTGGTGACATGGACTGGGTCATGCTTGTTTCGCGGTGTTGTCTGTATGGATTGTCAGGTCCTGAGGGATCTCCATGAGGAAGCACAAGAAGAACAACAAGAAGAGAATAGGTAAAGGGAGCAATAAGCCACCTTCAGGCATCGTTCCAAGATAGCTTTTATTCTTACTCATTCCTTGTATCTTCTTTTCTACATTTTCGGTCGCTGAATACAGTGTCTATTCAATTCCTTCGATGGAGTAACGGTATCACCTAGCTTCGCGAGAAGATACGCAATACATTGAGATTGGTCTCAACTGGTGCTTTGTTTAGCTGCATCTATTGCCAACCACCTGTGTTCTATCATGCCCCGACCTGCCTGTACAGACCAGGCTGCCTCGGACTTCCCGACTTTATTAATAATAATTCCCTGTGCCACTGGTGCCAGGCAGTCTAATTGCTCCCTTTATCCATTGATGACTGGTCATGTAAGGATTCAGCCAGTGAATTGATACTCAGCAAATCCTGACCAGAAAAGGTGTGTCTGGCAAGACGAAAAGTTGCCAACGCAAATACGCACCTAGTCCAAGGAACTGATGAGATGAACTAGGGTGTGATGGAGATGTGGCCTAGTCAAACTACCTATGAGGGAAACCAAGGCTATTCCGAGAACTTTCAGCAAGTAATGTTATGATGGTAGCAGGTTCAAGAAGAGCTACAATACAAATACTCGTGAGACAAGAATCTCCACCCCTATCCTGCGATTTCTTCCTAGCATCGCCTTCCCTTCTCCGTTACGGATCATGCTTGTAGACGACCATCCACGGCTTCCTGCATGTTAAACTTGCACGTCCTCCTTTCTAACTTCACGAATCGCTTTCTCCTCAGAGTGACTATGGGAAGAACTCATCTCGTTCCCGTTGCCATCAAGGTCAACAACATGCCCATGTTGTTTCAGTTCAGCGGCAACCTGTTGAGCGTTCTTCACGGGGTTCCCACTACGGGAGAAAACGTAGTCGATATCTTCCAGCCGCAAATTACTCGTTTCTGGGAAGAAGAAGTAAAATGCCGGCACAAAGAGCGCATTTGTCACCATGAAGATAAGGTATGCCTTCCAATGTAGCCGGCGGATAATCACCGGTGTGATCATGACGACAGTGAAATTCCACAGCCAGTTTGAACTGATGCCGACTGCAGTACCACGAGTGCGGGCGTCCAGGGGCAAAATTTCCGGCACATAAACCCATGGCACACAGTTCACGCTCATTCCAAAGATAAGCATGTACAAGAAGAAAAATGCCACGGCGCCAGATGAGTAGGTGTGTCCGTTAGGCATATCGCCTCGTGACAACAGAGCGGAGATCATCAGCATGCACAAACTCAGGCCTGCACAACCAGCCATCATTGTCTTTCTCCGGCCCATACGGTCAAGATAGAAAGAGGGAATGATCGATCCGAACATGAACATCATGTTAATACAGCCACCAAGAATTTGGGCAAGCTTTGGCGAGAGGCCAACATTCTGGACGAGGACAGCTATGAAAGTCACAAGTTAGCTATATGTCGCATTTGCAAGGAAAAGATCGATCATGAACGAAATTTTCACTCACATGGCGCGTAGTAGACAACAAGGTTGATACCTCCTGCTTGGTTCATGAACTGCACCAGCCAAGCAAGAATCACACGCTGTCGGGTTTTCACCCTGTCGTTGCGGAAAATGCTCAGAAGACCGCGTGACGTATTTTCACGCGACTCTAGTTCAATGGCACCCAATATAGCATCACGCTCGGCAATAATGTATTCGTCCGTGGGCTCGCGGTCGTATACCCTGCAAAGGACGTCCAACGCCTCGGCAGATTTGCCATGTTTATAGAGCCAGCGAGGCGACTCGGGGAGCCCTAGCACAAGGGCAACGACAACAATTGCAAAGATCATCTGAACTGCAATTGGTAGACGCCATGCAATTGAGCCTCCGACAAAGGACATGCCAAAATCAAACCAATAGGCAACCACTATGCCGACACCAACGAAAAGAACCTCCGCCGAGACTAGACGGCCACGTTTATGTTGATCACAAAGCTCTGCCTGGTACCTATACGCAATTGCTGGTTAGTCATTTGGAACAAATGAAGACAGAATAACTGGGACAGAACGGAGAAGAAGAGAAGGGAAGGGGGAGGGTCCGAGAATCCAAATGGCACAAAAAACTAACATAGGCACCGTTGATGTCTTAATGCCGGTACCGCAGCCGGTAACTAAACGACCGACAATGAGATGTGGCACCGTGAAGGCTGTCGTCTGCAATATGGCCCCAACCAACACAAAGGCCATGGCGAGCCATATGGTTCGACGGCGTCCAAGCCTTTCACCGATCATATAGTTCACTGGAATCATCAGTAAGTAGCCAACGAAGCAGACAGTCGTGGACTGATGACGACAAGGTAGGGGCGCGCACGAATACAGCCAGCGAAACAACCTAGGTTATAGCAGCTGACGATGATGCCCGTCTCGGAATCAGATGGATGATTAAACTGCTTCAACCAGTCTTCATTCTCGAGAATGCCGCCAAAAACACCTTGATCATAGCCGAAGAGAACAAAGGCAATCAAGCAGCATACTGTCAGGCCTGCTTGAAGTGTCTTTCCTCTTCCAAGAAAAGAGCGCATGGTTGTCAGGATAACTTTGCGTGTATGAATCAAAGACAAGGGGCGACAGTCGAAATCGACTTTCGCTTTTTCTGAAGTAGTAGGAAGTCGAAAGAAAAGGACATCTGAGCTTCTTATAGATGCACTCGTGCAAAGATATATACTATAGCTACCGCAAATGGCCTGGAGAATCTGGGGTTACGGGGTGCGGGGATGCTCCCCCCAGTTTCGTTAAGTCTGGGAGACCGCAATAATTTGCGAGATAACTCTAAAGAATGGATTCGGGGAGTAACTACACGCCACCCAATGGAAAGTGGACCAATCGCTTGCGTTTTCCTTTTTTCGGGCATTTGAGACACTGGTGGATCGACCCGCTCGCTTGTGGATTCTGATCCGCTCACAGCCTGAGTAGATCTAACCGCAAGCGCCGGCGCTGCGCCATTATCTTGGAACCACAAGCAATTATGTCAAGGCTACCTCTGAGTGCCGATTGTCAAACTCAAGCTTTCTAGTCCAGGCGCAAGTAGAGAAACATCAAGGCCAGCTGTTACCGAGCATAGTTTGAACGAACCATGCTCGCCGGAACTGCAATGCAAGCCATCTCTACCCACAGCTGTCTGTGAATGCATCGCATCTGCGCTGAGTAAATGAAAATGGCTTCGGTCGCAATTCTCAAGTCCACGGAATCCCTTCCTATGATGTTAATTAAAACTTTGCTCAGCTGATTAACTATATCTTCGAGGCATACCACGCATACGTGCAGAAATTGTACGTCTTGAATGAACTGCCGAGCACGACGATGGTTAAACTTCGTCATCAAACAATGTCATGCCCTGAGGCACCTGCTACATCAGAAGCATACCACATCTGGAGACTAGCTCGCGCTACCACCTTCCATCCGGGACTACGCACTTTGCCAATGAATTATCAAACAACTTTCGGGCAGATCATTCAGGTTCATTCGGGGCACGGTGTGCCGCGCCTCGGAAGTCCACCGGCGGTCTAACGGAAGATACAAAAGCCATTTGAAAGAAAAAGACAAAACAGTAGTAAGGGTGTTAGCGTGGTGACTGCTATCAACACCCGTCCATTGTGATCTAGTAATTACGTGTGGCGAGAAAACCCTTTAATGCGGAATACCTTATGAGGACACCGTAGCTTGACGCTTCTTCAACATCTTGGTGAAGTAACTCGATCCCGTTCATATCTTGCCCTTCGCTCGCTTTAATTCGCAAATTACCTTCCGTAGCCAATGCACCTAACTATCTTCTAACGATTAGTAGCTGAACTGTGACCCGCAGATGGAGATTTACAAGTCGACATGGTACATTGGGTACAGATGTTCGACCCCGAAAAAATACTGGCATAAAAGCTCAACCACGCTCGCTCTAGGATTTCACCTCTTTCACTACGAGAACGGCCTTTGAAAGCTCAAAGACACACAAAAAGTCATAGCTAAAGTGACGAGACACCTTTTCTTACCGTGTCCGAAACGATCTCCATGTAATTGCCAGTGCTTTTTGTCTTTGGATGTCAATTCAAATTTAAATCACGCTTATAGTTACCAACAAATGCCTGGAAATTTCCGACGTTCAAGTCTACCATGGAACCTTGTGCTCAAGGTTTCTATCCAACGCTCAAAGCATTTTCACCTTTACTTGTCGGCTGCGTCTGTAATACAGAATTTTGATGCTGTCGGCTGAGAATTTCACGCGAACATAAAAGCCCCTTCGAAATGACTGCTGTGACTTTTCGAGTGGTTATACTGATTCCCTTGTTGTTTCTCCCGGCTTGACATCCACAGACACCATGTCTCCCAGTGATGTGGGGAATCGACTTGGCTCCGAGCTGTCACTCCAGGATACTTATATTGTTACGTCTTTCATTGGGCTCGCCCTCTATAACGTACTGGAATTGACATATATGCTCTTCATGAAATTCCGACGCCGACGCAGCCTCTATTTCTGGAGCTTACTCGCTACGACATGGGGTATTGCCTTTTACTCTATCGGGTTCGTCCTCAAGGACTTCAATCTGGCCAATTTTATACCATATTTTTATGCTACCCTTATGTTCGTGGGTTGGTGCATGATGGTCACCGGTCACTCGATGGTTTTGTATTCTCGCCTTCATCTGGTGGTGCATAACCATATCACGCTCCGTTCGGTACTATGCATGATAATCATCAACTCGATCATACTCCATATACCAACCGGAGTCGTCTGCTATGGAGCCAACTCTCCACTCTACTCTCGTTTTACCCTACCATTTGCTGTGTACGAAAGAGTCCATCTTGTGGGTTTTCTTATTCAAGAATCGATCATCTCAGGTCTCTACATGTATGAGACAAGCAAACTGGTTCGCTTCGAACGGACCTTGAGCCAAATGCATAAAAACGCTTGTCGGAGATTGCTTCTGCAGCTGATATCCATGAGCGTGATTGTGGTGGTGTTGGATATCGGCGTCTTGGCGCTTGAGTTTACAGGCAGATATACGTGGCAGACGTCGATTAAAGGGTTTGCATACAGCGTCAAGTTGAAACTAGAATTTCACACGCTCAATCAGTTGGTTGAGCTTGTCCAGTGCTCAAGCAGTTCAGATTTGGATTTGATTAATGAGATCCATGCTCAAAATCCTCTGAGAACTCAACATGAAGATCGGGGCGCACTTAGAAGTCTTTATCCTGATCTACAATGCAGGATTTCTCATGCTAGCAAGGTTCAACACGAATTTGGTCTCTCTATAGATATTTCTCGCGAATGAGACACGTCAATTGGGAGCAACCGCCTTTGCTCAAGTTCAAGTAGCGTATTCACTACTTCAAGCAAGACCTAGGCTAGTTATCTTGGGCCTTCCACGCCACCGTACCCTTGCCTAATCCGTCCACCTTCACTGCAACCAGCCTGTACTCTTGCTAACATCCCATCCTGTGAGCTTCGTGATTTGCGCGAGGCCATGCCGAATTTCGCATCTCTGCTCCTCCTGGCGTATCTCTTTCGCCGCGACAAGGAAGGAGGCCAACAAGCAAGGATCCCAGCACTCAGGGCGATCATTATGCAACGAAATGTTGCATATTCTTCGGATATGCCATGACCGTGATAGTTGAAATGAAAATAACTGCGAAGGTTGGACTCTCGACACGTTGAGGAGCAGCAACATCGCTGTATGGTACAACTGGTTACCAAAAACGGCGGCACCGCTGGTGAAAATAATTGATGGGAAGTTTGACTCTGTCCACTCGGTAATTTCCAGATCGATAAGCGGATGAAATGTGCCGGGTCGATTGTTGTACCAAAGTTCAAGTTCCTCTATTAATTGCATCCACACATCGACGGAGCTCGCCGTAGAAGTCTTGGGTGACTTTAATGAGGCCCTATCGCTGTTGCAGATCTCTACTACTCGAGCCAGAATCATCAAGACCTGGTGCGAATAGCTTAAAAGAAGCGAATTCGACTCTCCCAGCAAGTTTGATAGCGGGGCGGTCGTTGGGCTACTAGAAAGGGCTAAGGACAAGGTAAAGTTTTTTGGCGTGCCAGTCATGATGGAAACGCTCAATTCTATATCTCCGTCAATTAGGCCATCAGGTTTCCGTATCGTAGCAGAAATGATTAACTGCGGAGTATCAAGTCCCACATACCTAATCGTAAAAAAAGTTGACATATCACGGTCATCAGTTCGCTCTTTGCGGAATTGTGGGTGAGTGTACTTAGGAATTCGATGTTCGCAGGCCTCTCGAGTGACCACGCTCTCTGCAGATCTGAGATAAAATGTAGCGCCCTTTCAAAGACTGCTATCAGTGCGGGCGTCTCTCGATCCGGACAGGTATCAGGGCTCTGTACACGATCAAGACATGTCATAAGCTGCCTTTGGGTGCTATACCCCCTCAGTTGCCCTATATTACTCAAGGATACCTCGGACAACTTTAACAGCAAACAGAATGCTGACTCTGTTTGTTTCGCCAAATAGAGTCCACGAGTTCCGAAAAGCTGGCTCGTATCACTGATATCAAGCTGGTACAAACATCAGTATTCCACCATTAGCGCCTTCTTTCACGAGAACGGGAGCGTACCCAGGGAGCAAGATGGTATCGATAATGCTGTAGTAGCTTTAGGGTCCGATCAGGAGTAATCATAGCATCACTGTGACACTGGGAAACTGTGTGTAGATAGACCAGCTAGTTTTGGGCGATCTGATTGGCGGAGACCGAAGGGTATGAGGGCAAGCACCGTACCTCCAGTGCTTCTTCCTTCTCTCTCTTCTCTCCAGTCTCAGTATTCGGTGCGGAATGCACTCTTTCCCCAAAGAATAGGCTCTTATCACAATCACCGTGCATTGTTCGGGTGTCATCGGTGACCTGACCAAAATTCTGATACTCTGATTCATCTCTCTCATCGCGTCTTCTCCAGGCTCGACTGCAGCATGTGGGATTACAGGCTGATGAACGCCTGTTGGGTCTCTCCAAATATCCCCGGACCGCTGCAGTTTCACTAGGTCATTCATGCTACTAGTAATTGGCAATGGGGGTGGTCTTGTCGATTTGTCAATAACACCAACAGTTCGACTCGCTATCTGGTGGTATATGGGGGGTTGAATGAGCAGTGATGTAGGCATGTTGCCAAGAAGCTCACTGGGTGGATTAGAAATCCATATTTTGGTTTGTTCGATAGTTTGATATTGACTATGTATGTGTGATTGATGGCTCTCAGGCTCGTGATTTGTCTGGAGATATTTTGCTGAGTCATCCCGAGAGGTCATTGTGAGGTGAAGGAAGGAAGAAGATCCCTTCTGGTCGCAGGAACTTGCCAAGATCTTCTAAACGCAGCGAGCAATAGAATCAGATCGGCAAGTTACTACAGGTTGATATGGCTTTTCGACCGCGCCTCTTTTAAGTATCGAAGTTTTATCGTGATTAGCGTTATTATATTCTGCCTACGTATGCATAAGATAGCATTGTTTTGTCTCAAGTGTTCTAAGGATTAACTAACGTATCCGTCTTTAAGGATTTTATCGAGTACCCTCTCTAGCACTATAGGAAGTGGCCTAAGCCGAAGTCCGTCCTAGATATAGACAACGTATCCTTTTGTCACTTAGGCAGAATTAAACAGATTTTCTCGGAAGCTAGCGTAAAGATGGTGTGGTGTATCTGCCTCTATATTCCCCTAATTTAAATCATATTAAGAGGTTATTTACTAAGCTCAAGGCCTTTATACGGCGTAATTATTAAACCTATGAAGAAAATCTAGAGTAAGGATTCGGTAGGTTCCTCGATTGGTGTGTTAATATTGTTGGTGCGAGGGAGAAAAGCGCGGAGGGACATTTTCGGCACGCAGCACGCTAGCCTAGGCTGCCTAGCTATAGTGATATAGCGCTACTACGGTAGCAGAATTAGGACTAATCTCTCCGGCTAAATAGAACGGATGCGTTTACGGGCATTATTGTAAGCCACGTTGTATATAATTTGAACTCTGATAATATTCTGAGATACGAAATGCATGAATTCCACGGCTAATCTTATCGTACCAATTTCTAATGCACTGATAAGGTATCTACCCACCCGCTAAGTCGTAAGTCTGCGAGGTGTCCTAAATATGTTGATCTATATTCTCTAAGATCTAATTCCCCCATATCTCGAATGACCCTCTTAATATATTCGCTAGCACCGCTAAGTTTCATGGTAAGTGCAATAGCACGGTGCACATCGAGAAGCTGAGGAGCGGGGGTAGGCGGATCTACTGTGCGATGAGGACTTAGGGTTAGCGATCGTGTGACGGGAAACAAGGGGTCACGTATGGAAAGACTGCGTTCTGTCGAGTCAATCCTGTACTGGTGTCGTGTGCTAGTGCGTTCGAAGTAGATCTACAATTCGCCGAATAGCCGGTGGTAGTCTAGCGTAATAGTCAAGGCGTTTATAGGACTGTCGATTTTGAGTCATTTAATAAGATGGATTATTCCGGGATCGAATATGTGCAAGATCCGAAGCGCATTTTTCTTTGAATCACTCTAGGCACAACATTAGCACTGAAACAACTGTGCGCGAATGCAGGGGTGAAACTGGTCTATTTACCACAATCTTGGCCGAACCTAAATCTAGTTGAGGAGATTTTGCTAAGTTCCAGGGTTCTATTAAGCGTAGCTGGGACTATTGCATGCAAATTATATGGTATATATCTGTAGCACTTTACCTCTCTATCTGGCAAAACCTGAAAAGTAAAGGCGACATGCACCACTACTCGGTTTTGCTTCTATTATTATAGTTCGTAGACAATCTTTTTCTCCACAAAAACCTTAGCGGTCTTAATGGCTTTTGCCACAGAGTCACCGAGAGTAAACATATATTCCCCTGGCCTGACGAGCCACTTCCGATATTGCTCGTCGAAGTATGCTAGGTGTCTTGTCGGCACAGACACAGTCACGGTCCGAGATTGTCCGGGCTCTAAGCTGACCTTCGCAAACGCTACAAGGGCTTTGATTGGATGGTACGGATCCGTTCCTGTAAAGCCAGCGTATATCTGAACCAGTGTACCACCGGCGAGTTTGCTGGTATTTTTGACGCTGACGCAAATTGAGTAGCAGTCATCATGCCTTGGAGTAATTTTCAAGTCCCCGAACTCAAAGGTTGAGTACGAGAGACCATATCCAAAAGGGAAGTTGACCTTCGTCTTTGGGATACGGTCATAGTGGCGATATCCGACGAAGATGCCTTCTTCATAATAAACTGTGGGATCATTTTCGACATAAGTGCCAGGGAAGTTGCCGTATGCAGGAGCATCCTCAATAGACTTAGGAAAAGTGACCGGGAGGCGGCCCTCCGGATTAACGGCGCCCGTCAGAATGTCCACAATTGATGCCCCAGCCTCTTGACCACCGAACCAAGCCTGTACGATCGCTGCTACATTTTCGACCCAAGGCATAGCAACTGGGACACCTGTGGAGTTGACGACGATGGTGTTACAGTTCACAGAAGCCACTGCCGACACTAAAGCGTCTTGCGAACCGTCCTTTGGCAAATTGAAAGAGACTTGGTCTTGGCCTTCTGTCTCCCATTGCTCCGTGTGACCAGTAAACACAACGGCAAAGTCAGCAACTTGAGCTAAACCAATAGCCTCAGAGAGCAGATCTGCATCGAATTGTGCGGCAACTGACATTCCGAATCGGAACCCAGGTCGACCTGTCAGCATTTGGAGTCCAGGAACCGCCGGACAGGGCAGAGTTCGAATCCGTAAACGATACTTCGTACCTGCAAGCAGAGGATACGAAGCCACACCTTCTGCTTGAAGACCAAATATAAATCCCATTGAGTCTGCAGTGTGGCTCGTCTGCTCATAGATCAGGTCATCATTGACAAATGTCTGCGTAGGCCCGATGCCAGAGGTGCCAAAATAATGAGAGCCAGACTCTTTGGGAACCAAATCAGCCACGTACTCTATAATGTGGCCATATCCGCTCGGGTCAAACGGCGCAAGCTTTGATATTGGCAGACCGTGGGTGGTGGACACGAGCACATGAGTCTTTGAATCATATACCAGTTGTGTCCAGCCTGTTGTGCCGTCCAAGCCAGTAAGAATACCAATGTCAGTCGTGTCGGTTACCGGAGGTAAGAAGCGCTCGGTGTGCGCGCCTTTCGAATATGACAGCTCTGCAATGTCACCAATAGCCTCTTGCATGGCCGCCCAAGGGGAGATTTTGTAGTGGGCCTTGACGGCAGCACTTCCTCCACCATGAGCCAATGTTTTCTTTGCAAATCCAAGAAGGGCGACTCTTTTGCCTGCGACCTTGTCTCTCGAAAGTGGCAGGACTCCGTTATTCTTGAGTAATACAGAGCCACGAGCACCCACGTCGCGTATGAGCTGGCGATGCTCAACCCTATCAATTGCCTGCTCTGGATGTTCTGTAGGGTCTGTGAAGGCCCCAACTCGCCCCAGAAATCTGAGATGATCACGGACAGAATCATCAACTGTACCGACGGTGACACGGCCCTCTTCAATGTCTTTCAGCACGGCTGAAACGGTTCTATGTCTCCCTGGCCCCGGCATTTCAAGATTCATTCCGGCGTTCAAAGAGCCGGCTGATGAGTTGGTGCCGCCCCAGTCGCTCATCACTAAACCATCCCATCCCCATTCGCCCCGCAATACCTTCTGAAGAAGGAACTCGTTTGAGTCGCAATGCTCACCGTTCAGCATGTTGTACGCCGTCATTACAGCCCACGGCCTGGCCTCCTTGATGGCTATTTCGAATGGGCGAAGGTATATCTCACGAAGGGCTCTTTCGTCAATTACGGCGTTCACACGCATGCGTTCCGTCTCCTGTTCATTAGCAACAAAGTGCTTGATAGTCGCCGCGATTCCCTTGGATTGAATACCCCTAACTAACTCGGTCGCCAGTTGGCCAGTTAGAAGGGGCTTATTAATCGGTTAGTAACTGGAACCGCCTTCAAATCTTATTGCCGCGATCCACAACTTACATCCTCACTGAAAGCTTCAAAATTTCTCCCGCCTAGTGGATGCCGGTGGTTGCATAGGGTCGGTGCAAGCAAGCAGCGAATCCCTTTAGTATGCGCCTCTTCCCCCAACGCCTCGCCGACCTGGTGTGCAAGATTTGCATCGAAAGTAGCCGCGAGGCAGCAAGCTGCTGGGAAACAGGCGGCGGAATTGGTCCCGACAAAGCTTGCCCCGCGGGCTCCATTTGGTCCGTCCGACACCTAGCGAAGCATAAGATTTAGCTCAAAGATATAAGAAGATTGCTGTGGTGCTCTCACTTTGACATAGGGGACTTTGCCGGGAATCGAGCGAGTTTCGAAGAGGCTTTGGCCCGACAAGAGGGAAACCTGAGCGAATATTTCAGCGAAAATGCACATGTAGGTCCCAAGCGAGAATTGAGTGTCTTGGAATACCACTCACTTTCTCTTCCAGTGTCAAGGTGTTTAGCACAACCTCGATGTCAATTGTAGACGTCATAGTTTTGTTTTTAAGCCGCATCCGTTGTTCGTCGTTTTCTGCCGTCTATCTTGGCTCAGATAAAAACCCCAGACTAACTTTATTCAACGTCTCGAGCTATGACTTTAGAAGCTGTTCAATTCAAAGATATTAAATATGAGAGATGCTTGGGGTAATTCATCAAGAGCCGATACATATGCCGAGCGCAAAGCCTTTCGCAGGAGGATTGCGCTTAAATGATCGAGTTTGGTTTGTTCATGCTGTCGCTGCGTTTGTCTGACTTGGATGAGTCACCAACAAGGTTAACTTAACTTCATCTCGGCGGCATAGGATATCTATTTACCGAGTCGGCAGCCCGGGGAGGCCGCATATGGCTATCAAAGGCCCCGGCCCCCACTTCCCGAAACCAGATTTTGGAAATAGTTCGAAGGGGTAATTGGAAGCGCCGCGCATCCTTTCCACCCTCTTACCCCGTACTTCTCCCCTGCCATGTGCCACTATAGCAAATGAGTTGTGGCTTTTTCTTTTCCGGGGCCCCGATCTTCATATAACAACCGTTTTGAGCCCACTAAATCAACTACCATACGATACAGCCCTCATTCGGTTTCGATATCAGAACCTGTTTGTATATTCATATCCTACAGTACACACTCTATTCAAATCAAAGTCTCCAAGCTCTCCATTGTTCACTCCGGTTGTCACGAAACATGGGCTCTCCCACCCCTAGCTTCACGGGTGCAAAGCCTAATGTCGCCCAGCTTGAAACTATCCAGGACTTGGAAGTTACAGTCACGGAGCGCTCGCAACCATTTTGGAAGCTCATTCTCGAACACCGACGCGCCTTCATGTATGCCCTCTTTGCTAATAGTGGCGCACTCTTATTCGGTTATGATGTCCTGATGCAAGGAGCGATTACAGCCCTGCCTGCTTTTACGTGAGTTTTTTGGATATCAAGGGCGGGTGTACACTATACGCCTGTTGGAATTTTCATCAGGTTACTGACATACATCGTAATTTAGTATGTACTATGGATCTTACTTTGGCGAGGCACTCATTCTGCCAGCAATGTGGCAGGGGCTCTGGTCGGCAATGAATTCCTTGGGCATCATGATAGGCGCCTCCTCAAACGGGTTTCTTCAGGACAAATTTGGACGGCGGCCGATGTTCTTTGTAGGTGGTGTTATTGCTGCCATTGGTACGTTCATGCCGAAAACAACCCCGTATTAACCCGTGGCAAAGCTGAGACACACCTCGATATGAGGAAAACAGGTGGAGCCCTTGAATTCGCTTCCCCTGAGCTTGGCAGTCTTGAAGCTAGGCGTGGGGCTCTCCTGGCTGCAAAGATTATTCTGGGCATTGGAATGGGTATCCTTATGTCAACTTGCCAGACCTACGTTTCGGAAATCTCCTCTCCTCGACTCCGAACAATTCTCTTGGGCATTTTCCCTCTCTTTGTCGTAAGTCACAATTTGATTCTTGAAGACGTAACGCCGAGGCCTCAGCTGATTTCAGCCCTTTCTAGATCGTTGGACAGATCATGTCTGTCTCAGTCATCTTTGGTCAGGTCATGAATTTCACGGAAATGGCTATCAAGATACCCTTTGGATCGCAATGGGCATTTTCTGGCCTTGCGATTATCACTGCCTTTATCGTGCCCGAGAGCCCGTCCTGGCTGATTCACAAGAACAATCTGGCCGCAGCGGAGAATTCGCTAAAACGACTCCACGGCTCGAGATCAGATGTGGCCGGGTTCATCCAAGACATTCAGCGCACTATAGAGCAGGAACGCTCCACGTCCATTGAATTCGGTACGGTTCAGTATTCCGACTGTTTCAAGGGCAGCGACCTACGTCGCACCAGGATCGTGGCTCTCATCAATTCACTGCAACAATTCATGGGTGTCTCACTGATTGCGAACTCTACCTACTTTTTCATAATGGCCGGAATGAGTTCAACTAAAGCCCTTGCCATCAATCAGATTTCTCTCGGGCTAAGTATTCTTGTCACGCTATTAGGATGGATCGTCCTTGCGAAGGTCGGTCGGCGAACCGCCATTATGTCTGGCTTCGTCGCTGCCGCCATCCTTTTTCTAACAATGGGCATCGCCGGATGCTTCCACAAGACCACCATAGCTACAAAGTAAGATCGTGCTCCATTTCTTTGCCCTCCCCCAATCGTCCGTGATGATTGTTATCAGACTCACTATTCGCGTCCAGCGCTGATCATAAGCCTCTCAATAGTTACATTGGCGTGTCGCTTATCCTCACAGGCTTCGTAGGTGGCCTGAGTGTCTCCACTGCGTACCCCATCGTTGCCGCCGAAGTTCCCTCTGTTCGTCTCAGGGCCAAGACGCTTGGTATTGGATTCTTTATCAACGCCTTCGTGTCCTGGATATTTAACTTTTGTGTTCCATACATCTACAATGTGGACGAAGGTAACCTAGGCGGGAAGACTGGCTTTGTGTTCTGTGGGACCTGTATTGTGGGCTTGGTGTTATCCTGGTTTGAGATACCAGAGACTAAGGACGTCACATATGTCCGCCTCAACTACCTTTTCAGGATTGGGGCGAAGACGAGGGAATTTGGTAAGACTAATGAGTCTGGAAATAACGCCACGGCCGAGCCAGCGAAATGAAGCGAACATACGTGGGGCTGATAGGAGGACGTATGTGTTGGGACCCTGGCAGCGTGACATTCGATCCGTTTAGAGTCAACATACCTGGCAATAAAGTCCGTGCTATGAGGTGGTAGTTGATTTCGCCTGTGCCATACGAAGTTATGTGATGTTTTTGTACATATGGCCGAAGCAAAATCTATCATAAAAACAAAATTTCCTGTTTACTTCAATCACTAAAAAGCGATTTAGAGTGTTACGGATTTTTTAAGAATTTTGCCACAGGCGTCTCAAATTAAAAATGAGCGCTAGGCAAGGCAATGCGCCTTGTTTTTGAATTATTCAACATCAAAGTAAATGATCTGGCTGCAGGTTGTCTTAGCTAATAAAACCGGCATTCCGTCTATACGACAATATCAAGTGCCCATCGTAGTCTCGTATCTAGAACGGGTAGTCATGTAGGTGTTTGCAGTCAACTTCACTTAAACGGTCATTTCCACTTATACTGTTCATTGATATTAAATTCCCGCGCGCACGAAAAACTATTGACCTTGAAGTATAACTGCCACAGATATTGTGAGCTCGCATGATATTCCTCTGAATGATCTAGTTTATCTTTCCTTGTTCTCAATAGCTTCTGTTACTGTCTCATACGCTTTTCCTAAGGCCCCCAACCCCTTTATATTTGTAATCTGCATAACGATGCGCTTATACGTTCTCATGCTTGGAATTCCACTGTCTTTAACCTCAAGAATCAAGTGGAAGATCTGGCCCTTCTCAAGTGGTTCTCCAGTGAGAATATTCACGGCACATAACTCCGCTGGTGGTATCTGAACTCGAACCATGGCTCCACTTGGCTCAATTCCATCGGCAAGCTCAACCTCGACATCTGGAACAAAGTGCCAATGAACGTCGCTTTGTGTCCTGGTTGGCTCTTTGTACTGAAACCACTGGAATGATAACTCGTCTCCATCGGGGTCATAACTTTCCCTAGCGTCCAAGGTAATGTGGGAGCCAGCTTCGATTTCGATGTACAGATGCTCCGGCCCAGCCGTGCTGTCATTGACGATAATAACTGGGGCGTGGTTTGCCTTCAATCGGTCGGCACTTAATGTCCACTGCATGCGGGCGGCAAAGTCATCCTGATACGCGTCCCTCCAGCGCCAGACCGTTGCCTGGCTTGAGAAAGCCTTCATGCCATTCACCCCAACCACCTCATCCTTTACATCGGCATAATGCTTGCTCGAGCCTCCTAAATCGACCAGCCCGTAACGGCCTCCCCAACTACCCCAGTGTGGGTGTTCGGGGGATCCGAGGCCGTTCTGGATGAGGTATAGGAAGGTAGGCGTGTCACCCTCCATGATGAAAGAGTAGTCAGGGTAGACACTACCATAAGGGCCGATTTGAATGTGCTTCTTGAGCCACTCCTTAGTGATTTTGGTCTTATCAGGTGCGCCATCATCCAGGGGGGCAAGTAGGTCTCCTGAAATTCCAGTCCAGGCTGCCATTGGGTATTCCTTCCAGGCATGTAGCGAGCAGATGTAAAAAATGTTTGGGAAGGTGATCCTGATCCAATGACTGGTATCATCCTGGTCACTAATCGCATATATGCGAAGTTTGGAGCAGAACTTTGTGGCTTCGTCTTTCGATCGCCCTTTTTGAACGTACTGAAGTGCCTGGGCGAGTACGTTGGTCCCGCCCCAGCAAAGGACCCACAGGGCATCATCTGAGGCGTCGACGCGGTCAACGAGCAGCTGGGAGCCTTCGCTGAGATGGAAGTTTGGCTGCAGGGCCTGCTTCCCGTACACTGCGGGGCCTGGCTTCACAATAGAGTGTAGATAGCTGGCGGTAGGAAATTGGTTCTCCGGATGGACATGGTTGTTGAGATTGCCCACCACTTCGGCGTAAGCGTCGATAATCTTGTGCATGTCCTCGGGATGAACATTGGTCTTCATCCAGCATGACGTGCAGGCTACAAGACCCTGTATGTCAAATTCATTGCCATAGAGCAGAAATCTAACGAGTGACTCGGCATCATCGGGCTCGTTAGAAATGTCAGACACGATAAAGACTCGTGGTTTGCTCGTGCAGTGTCTTAAGGAAGACCGGTTCGCCATGGCGAAGGAGCAATGTCTGAACCGACTTCTTGGAAGTGAAGAAAAATCTGGAATAAAACCTGAGCTTGCTGGTTTCCGAACTCAGTGATATATGACAGAGGATAAGTCTCGTTATGTTACTAACAGCCTCTCGGTTAGGGCTGGTGACTAGGCTCAAAACTGAAGTGGTTGGGCTGAATCCGAATACGGAAATTTGAAGCGCGGTCTAGGCCCTGCCTATGTGGACAACCCGAAACTCTTACTAGGTGATTCCATCTTTCACTGGAAGAACCCTGTGGAACTGATGTGTCTTATCCGTTTTCAGATTGTGACGCGGATATGTTTTTTTTCCATACTGCCTCAAACTTCCCCCTTGGGAATGACTGCGCCTAGGATTTCTTCTCTAGTTATTAAGTGGCGGGGATGCAAATTGTTGGCAGAATCTTAGCGCGATACTTTGGGGGTCACAGACTTTTGCGGCGCCGCCATATCAGTATATACTCGGACGGATGTTAGTGCAAGGAAGGTGAACATCAACTACGTCCTCGAGATTAAGTGAAGGACTGGGGATCCTATAGTGGCTTGCCTGCAGAATACTCATGAACCTGCATATCATAATACTCAGCCTGTTAGCCACTGTCCTCTCTTCTTGACACCCTCTAACACACTTAGTCGAAGCTGACACGGCTGTTCCAAGAAAGATATCAGGACTTCTGCATACTGCCGCTCGCTGGAACGTTCCATCTCTGGCGAATTTTCCAAGATCATACCAAGATCATACTGCATCACCCTTGTGCCGACGACGACATCACGCAGAAAGACGTTGCACTTGCTAGGCACACCACCGCCAATTCCGACCGTCACATTGACGCGAACTCCCGGAAATGTTCATTTCATATTGGTTATAACAATTGCCGCGGTGTTTGGTCCATAGTGCTCTTTTGTTGGTAAACATGTAATGAAAACCTGGTGTTGCTTGATACTTCCCAGCACGTAGATGTTCGTATCATCCGCATGGATTGGCAATGGCCGATGAATATCATCTAGTATGGCTTGAGCTGCTGCCATTTCTATGTGCAACGTGCAGAACCAGGCAACGGTGTATTCATCGTGCCTCAAGGTGGGTGATCTGTCGCGGTGAAAAGTCTTGTGTCGCTTAGGCGCACGGAGTTCTGCCGTGATAGTCCCATGGTTGACTCCCACTTGGATGCCAGCAATGGCGCCATAATTATATTCTGAACCCATGTTCAGAATAGCATGTTTTATTTGCGACTGATGCGTAAGGTCTCTCTCTTCCTAACGCTCAGCCAAGAAAATGGCACGGCCGCAATTCAACATGTGACCTCGGGTGCTTATGTGAGAGTGGGGGGCACACGGCATAATGTAATTCCCGCCCGAGCTGCGCACCTCATCTAGAATCGCGTCTTCCTACCCACCTACATTCTTTAATCATTTACCATGCCACGAATTCGCGCTCAATCTGGGTCTAAGTTAAGTCGATTACACGGGTGTGTCCGGGATGTGAGGATAGTTGAAGCGCGCCTCGCAGCAGATCCAAGAGACACGATCAATTTCACGTTAACAGCGAGCGACCCCTTAATCCTGCCTTAGGCAGCACACCGGAACTCGAGGAAACATGGCCCACTCCCGACGTTGCGCGATCATCGCACTGACCCTCTCAACTGAACTCAAGTAACATCATTGGTTCATGTCGATCTGGCTGAAACCGTAGTCTCTTGGCACTTTCATATACACCCAAATTCCAAACCAGGATTGGCCAAATTGACTGCGAGGCTGACTTCAAGGTCGCCTTGGGCCCAAGTGGCTGACAATCGCGCTTGAGCATACACTTTCCCTGCCTGTAGGTTGGCAGCCCCCGAGATTGGATCATAATAGGGGCCAATTCAGCTCAAGCGCCACAGGAGCACAGATGAATAATCATCTGACGCTGCTAGGAATCGATGTTTCTGGCCACTTTGTAAGGAGGTTGGGTAATGCAGTTGCTAGGTTGGGAGGGGTATGGACGAACGACGGCATGGTGAGTGGGGGGCTATTTTTGGATATGGATCAGGGGTTATTTTTGGACAGGTAGTAGTACAGTACATGACTATACAATTCTATACTTTCAGCCTTGTTACTGTGTACAGTGGCGTTGCATTAGTATTTGCACTGTAGTACTTCTTGCCCACACCGCTATTCTCCTACCGCCTACCCTATTCAACTACCCTTACCCCCTTTGATTATTGATTAAACGCGCTGACGGGCTATATCCCCCTTTACATATATCGCTAGCAATATGGCGCGTGGCCCTGAACTAGACGTCTATACGCGTGAGCGTATCTGCGAGCTCAAATTCACGAATAAATGGGGTGGCCGACGCATCAAAAAATATCGCTTTCCTGATATTCCACTATCAACAATCCACTATACCCTTCGAATGGAATCGAAGCGGCGAAATAGCGCTAGTTTATATCGTTCTGGCCAACCACGCAAGCTTACCGAAGAGGACCGAGATCGTGTGTATGATGCTATTCAGTCGAATCCCTCTATTACGCGCGAGGATCTACTAAGTGTGGTTGATTATAAGGTCCACGCGACGTCGATCTGGCGACTAACGCATCAAATGGGTCTTCGGAAATGGCGAAAGATGAAACGGCCTTACCTTACCCCTATCCACGCTGCGAAGCGTCTTCAATGGGCCCTTACCTATCGCCACTTTACACCGGAGGATTGGAAAAGGGTTTTCTGGTCGGATGAGACTACGATTGAGCGTGGATGCGGCGCACGAAAGGAATGGAGCTTCGTTCCTCCTTGGAAGCAGCTTCAAGAGCGGCAAGATGGCGTCCAGGTGACACTTTCAAAGGGGAAACAGATTAAGCAGATGTTTTGGGCCTGTTTCGCTGGCTCACCACGCAAGACTGGCCTTATTCCGCTATCCGGCGATCCAAATGCAGATAAAAAGGGTATCACTAAGGAGGTTATCCACGATCTTTACCAAAGAATACTCCCTACCTTATTGGATAACGAGGATGCGATATTCCAACACGATAACGCGCCTACACACACTGCCAGAATCATCCAGGCCTTACTTATCCAGCTTAATATTACTGTGATGGAATGGCCCCCCTATTCGCCTGATCTCAATCCAATTGAGAACCTCTGGGCGCTTCTTAAAGCCGATATACTAAGGATTCGACCTGATCTACGTGAGATGCCGAATAACGAAGCTACACTAGTAGAATTAGTGGAAACAGCGCAGTATGCATGGGAAAATTCTGACTATTCGTCATTTTGTCAACCTAGCGGAGACGATGCCACACCGTGTAGAGGAGGTTATCAAGTACGAAGGCTGGCACACTAGTTATTAAGGGGTTTTGTATGCAAATCAATGTTATGGAGTTTTTTCCGGCAGAAAAATAGTGGGTCCCTTGGCATACCAAGGTACTGCAGTGCAAATACTAATGCAATATGACTGTAAACCGGAACAATTTTTTCAATACGAACCTTTCTTTATAACGTTTGGCGTATCATGTGATTAGGGTGTGAAAGAACATGTCTGTGTTTCTGGATATAGAAGGCAATAGCGGTCGGCACTATATCCTGTCCACTCTTGGACTAAGGGCCAAACCAGAGCAACTCCACTTATCTTTTGGGTTGCTGGGCGGAGTACGGAGTATGGAGTAACATTAGAGAAGGGGATTTGATTGGCCTCTCGACCCCATGTCACTACCATCTCAGCAATGCAATTACCGTTGAACCCGCCGCCTCTACAGCACATGACGTAAACACCCTATTAATTGCTAGTAAGTAATTTCAATAACCATCGAGTGGTCGGCGAGACGTTGCCTTATGAATACACGATATGTAGAAATATCCATCTCATTGTCTCTTTCTCGGTAAAACAATTGAAAACCCCGCATGGCAGGCAAATACATAGAGCGATTCTTCGTCCAGCTAGGCATATTGCGCAATTTAACGGAATAGTACTGCTGATTTCCCTCGTTGTTGTATAATCCATCCCTGTGTATTAACGCTCAGTCCGAAAATTTGAATAACTAATTGGAAAGGTTAAGTTGGTAAGTTGTACAATAGCATATATACCAACGGGCGCTTGCTGGGAGGGAGAAAGCACTCGGAGCGGACCACACGTCGACCCTTGATAGTCAACAACCTCGGGAATCTATATAGGGACCAAGATAAGCTACACCAAGCGGGAAATATGTACAAGCGGACACTCGCCGGGTACGAGAAAGCACTCGGAGCTGACCACACGTCGACCCTCAATGCTGTCAACAACCTCGGGCTTCTATATATCGAACAACGCAAGCTGGATGAGGCAGAACAAATGCACCAGCGGGCGCTAACCGGTAGAGAAAAAGCACTTGGTACGGCCCACAGGTCGACTCTTGATACTGTCCACAACCTCGGGAATGTGTATTTCGCCCGCGGAGAGCTGGATGCAGTAGAGGCGCTATATCAGGGGGCGCTAGCTTGGTGCGAGAAATCGCTCGGGATGGATCATGCGTCAACTCTTGAAACCGTCAACAATTTAGGGAATCTCTACCACGAAAAAGGAAAGCTGGACGAGGCAGAGCAATTGCACCAGCGTGCGCCGGCCGATAAGGAGAAAACGATCGGTATGAACCACACGTCGACTCTCGACACTGTCAACAATCTCGCGATTACCTTTCACGACCAGGGAAAGCTAGCCGAGGCAGAGCAGAAGTATAAGCGCGCGCTAGCTGGGAAGGAACAGACAATTGGAATTGATCACTCGCTGACAGTTAACACCATCAACAATCTTGGAGTATTGTATTGTGACCAGGGCAAGTTGGATGAGGCGATGCAGATGCACAAGCGAGCACTAGCTAGGAGAGAGATACTTCTGGGGCTGGATCACAGACTGACCCTCGAAAGTGTAAATAATCTCGGGATTATACATGTCAAACAAGGCGAACTTGACGAATGAGAGCAAATGTTCCGGCGGGCGCTGGCTGGTAAGGAAAAGCTCTTTGGGGCAGACCATGTGTCGACGCTTGACACCGTCCACAACCTGGAATTCCTACGTCAGCACAAAAACAAACTCAATCGGAAGGAAAAAATCATCTTTTCCTTTTGCTATCCTCAATAGCTTATCTCAATCAAACACCTTCAAATGGTCATTTTTAAAAGAAACATGGCCCCATCTTCGGCCTACTTGGAAGACAGGCTTACTGGCACAAATTATATAGAAACATATATTTGAGTATTTTCTTCTCGGTTGAGGCTAAACAATTGAAACCAAACATGAATTGGACAAGCAACCGTGTACACAAACAACTACAAGATATCGGAGACGTCGTAGGCAAACACGCAGAAAAAAATCAACGCCGTAACTCAATCCTACGTAAATCCATTACATCTGTTCAGCAAGGCACAATGCGCAACTCAACAGACAGTATTGCTGACTCCCCTGGTTGTTGTGGTAGTCCATAAACGTGTATTAACCCAACATTTGAACGAGGTAATCGACTGCATCTTGATCCGTTGGCAAGCTTTGAACCTGCCAGACCGACCATGATAGCTCCTCGGGAGCTGCAGAGCGCAGGGTAGCAGCCAGTTGACGAAGAGCAGTGTGAAATTTCAACAGCCCGGCTGTGTACTCCTTGCGCCTACGATCACTGTTCTCATCATATAGACACTGTTGTGCACTGGCTGCACATCTTGTACACGGCGTTGTTCCAGAACACTATTCCAGCTTATGATGTTAGCCCGTCGTCAAACTCAGCAGTCTTTTTCTGGGATTAGACCTTCGTCTTCTTTCGCTGACACTCTGTGCAAGCAAGAGAAATGTTGCGCCGCATCCCTTTACTCGAGCCTCCTTCTGAAAACTGCATTGTGCGCTTATGTTCCGCCGGGAGGAGCGTACGTAAGGTCTTGATTTTCGCCATTGTGGATGGAGCTCTGTATCAAATAAAGACTAAGTGAAGGTTGCGACTGGGCTAGGTCTAAGAAGAATTGTTGATCAAGGAGTGCCTCAAGGGATCAGAGGTAAAGCAAAGCAGAACTTTTCGGTTTCCTCCTAATGCTCGAGGATTTCTTGTTTGCTATCAAGCAAACAAAGAACGAATCATGAAGACCCACTGTGGCTCCATCCCGCGGTGGGATTGGCTAGCTCGGTCCGGAAGCTCGACAGATTTGCTGGCATCCCGTCTACAATTACCTGCCAGTCCCTAGTCTACTATGGAATCGAGGGCAACCAAGGAGCCTTCCTCTCAGGGGCACATTCGAATTCTTGAGATGGTAAGACGAACACAGCGTCAATAGGGCTAAAGGAAATCTTGCTTCAAATATCAAGACCTAGGTAGCTTAAGTAGCGTTTAAGTGGGTTATGGAAAACCCTCATTCTGGATTTTAGGTATTTCCGATGCCCGTAGCCGTTGCGGTATTGCTGGACTGGCTCTAACCTCTTTTCACAAGGCCAGAAACCTTTCATGTATAAGGCTTGGCCACAATTAAAATCAATCAACGCATATATTGGATCTGGAGCATAACAACATGATCCTTGAATCAGGTAAGGCGGTTAGAGGACGCTAGATATGTAAAAGTGCTTTGCATATTTTTTGCGTTCAAAATAGAAGCTTAAACGACTGCATAGGGTTGAAGATTGTACAGGATTGCCGCGCTCATGTGGTCTAAGGTTTGACAGCAAAATTAGCAGTGGTCGCGCGACAGAGGGTGAGAATCACCCGCTCTCACCCGGCTTCTCACCCTGTCTATTGCGCGCTCACCCTACTCACCCCTAGTCGCGCGACCATAAAGCGGCGATCATCCGTTTCCCCACCAAGCTAAATTACCTTATTTGCTAAGATTGGCAAATGCTGCGTGGCTTATGTACGGCAGATAGTCGGGTGGCTGCCGCCCGGGTGAGAAGTGGGTGAGCGCCGCTTTACGGTCGCGCGACCGGGGTGAGATAGGGTGAGTGCGCAATAGACAGGGTGAGAAGCTGGGTGAGAGCGGGTGAGAATCACCCTCGTCGCGCGACCACCGCACTGACCTTCTCGGCTTGGCTCAGAAACAGTGTTATTGGATTACCTTGACCTGGATGAAACGGCAGTCTCTTGGCACTTGCGTATACCCGTCGAATCCCAACCCAGGATTGGCTAAATGAACGGCGAGGCTGACTCGAACAGCGCCTTGGGCCAAACTCCTCTGCAAGTGCCCAGGCCACCAACAATCTGGACATCGACATCCAGTACGGCGTGACTATTCCGCGATTGACAAATTTAGATCACGTGACAAGACTAGGGCTGGGCACCTTCGACCTCCATGTGCCAGAGCACTATGAAGACCGTACTCGGTCGTGTGCCCATGATCAATTATGATTATTCAACGGCCACCATACACAAAAAATTCGTGAGATACACCAGTATCAACTCAAATAATTGCTAGGCACGCATTCCTGAGAAAACCAGACGAAGCATTCATTGGGCGACAGTCACAGAAGACTAGTCACAAACACTGGCTAGCCGTACCTTCAGAACCAAACACTAACCCTCTCATGGGGGCTGAGAAAAAGTATTATTGGCTTCCCTTAACCTGGCTGAAACTGCGGTCTCTTGGCACCAGCATATTCCGACCCAGGATTCGCTGAATCAACGGCGAGGCTGACTTGAATGCCGCCTTGGGCCAAAGTAGTTTGCTTGGAGACCATGAACATCACACAGATATCAATTTGTTTTCTTGTCTTAGGAATCCCAGCTATTAACTGACTTAAGTATCAATGTCCTGTAAAGGCAAAAAGTATAATCCGCGTGGTGACAAATCCACACCATGCCGAAACAACTTCTTTGAGCATCTTCGACTAGCCTATGCTGCAGCATCAGTCCGTACTTGATCGTGTGAGCAAAGTTGGTCATACCAGCACACCGCCACAAGAGTAGGAAAGGTGTGAGATATGGACAGCGTTCATTAGCATTTGGGACAAGGCAGCAGCCCCGCTTGACTCTCTTTCTCCCTGTGGCCGGAAGTACTATGTTCCAAATACAGATGAATAACCGTGCCCACTCAATGCCCGCTGGCAGCTTATCAATAACAGGTGACTCTGCAACTCGCACTCCTCGACTGGCATAACCACCTTCAAAAACCTCGGCTTCTCATTGGCCGATTCTTCCAGTCTGATCACGTGGTTCTACAATACACTTCCCCTCACTTGGTGTCCAGCAACTTCCATGATTTAGGCATCAATCACATCGTCTGCGACTTTAGGTATGGAATCAGCGTCACTCACAGGGACTAATTCGGGGCTTCAGGTGGGAATAAATTATGGAAGCATAAACTCCCCTCCAGGTATACTATTCCTCTAGCATACATGCCTCAGCGGCAAACCGCTGTTACATAACTAAAATGGCGACATTGGTTGTAGATGTTGGGCCTCACTTTTTCTTTACCTCCCCGTATCGAGATCAAAAGGAAATCAACCCTTCACGTGTGAAAGACACATGTAGATGGTTTCTGGACCATCCGATCTTCCAAGAATGGAAGAGCAGCAGCCAAGACGATCTCTTATGGCTCTCAGCAGACCCTGGCTGCGGCAAGTCTGTGCTCACAAAGGCTTTGATTGATGATAGACTGGTTGGTGATGGGTCGGCCGCCATTTGCTACTTTTTCTTCAAAGATAACGAAGTGCAAAACAACTCCGCAACGGCAATCTGCGCCCTTCTACATCAGTTGTTTTGCACCCAGCAAGATCTCTTCCAAAAGTATGCAGAAGAACTGATACGACAGCATAAAGAGAAACTCAAATTAGACTTCAGCACTCTGTGGCAGCTGTGGCTATCTGTTGCGTTCGCATCTACTCGGGATGTGATCTGTATCCTTGATGCGCTTGACGAATGCCGCCAGCCGGACCGTGATAGACTCATCAAAGAGCTCGAGCGTTTTTACACCAGATCTCGAGAAAGAAGATATATCCGATCGAGATGGAGAGTGAAATTTCTCGTTACAAGCCGTCCATACGGGGACATCGAATGGGGATTCGGCGACTTAACGAATCGCTATCCAACAATTCGGTTGGCGGCGGACGCTGAATGGAAGAAGATTAGTGAGGAGATACACGTGGTCATGGAGGCTAAGGTCGATGAGATTGTTGAAAAACGACAACTCAGCAACGACATTCGAACAGCGTTAAAACATAGATTTTCTGAAATCCCGAATACTACTTATCTTTGGCTGTATCTCACATTGGATGTGCTGAAGAAATGTCTTGGCCTCACGAAAAGGAAGTTGCTGCGACGGATCGATGAACTTCCTAGAGATGTGGAGCAGGCTTATGAAGAGATCTTACAACGATGCGATGAAGAGAATAAAGGAGATGGACGGAGATTGTTAGAGATCATTGTGGCAGCACCACGGACTTTGACTTTGTCGGAGATCGATGTTGCGCTAGAGATTCAACCAGGTTCAAGGTGTTACGATGACTTGGACCTTGAAGGTCTAGTTGAGAGGAGAAAGTGGATACGCGAGGCGTGCGGGTTGTTTGTCAGCATAATCGACTCCCGTGTCTACCTTATCCACCAGACAGCGAGGGAGTTCCTTCTTCGAAAGGGAGGCGAAAGTGGGTCACCAGGAAGATGGAGACATTCAATTTCCATACAGGAAGCCCATCTAGCTCTTTCGAATATTTGCATAACATATCTCCGCTTCCAGGATTTCCAGAGGGGTTATGGCGAGCACCCCAAAAATGCAACATCGGAAGAGAAGGGGGAGGACTTCCTCAACTACGCTGCAAATCACTGGATATACCATACACAACAGCTCACAATAATGGACAAAGATTTGGTTTGTAAGGCGGCTGAACTATGCGAAGTGTGGCATGGCCGATTCTCATCCTGGATTCAACACCATCGATCTAAAGAGGATTGGGAGTCTCTAATGTGGCGAACGACATCCGCTCTGTTTTGGGCTTCTACATGGGGCCTGCCCCAGGTATTACCTTTTTTCTGGAACTTGGAAGCCCCAAGCTCGAGATTACCAATGCTGTTGTTGTGGCCGCCGCAGGAAATGAGGAGAACGGGGAGGATGTTTTGGAAGTTTTATTTGATCAACGAGGAAACGAGATCCAAATCACTAACGAGGTAGTCCTCGCGGCCGCCAAAAATTGGGGAAGAGGAGGGGCTGTGATGAAACTCCTATTTGATCGGCGAGGAACCGATATTCAAATTACCGATAACGTGGTTTTGGCTGCCGCGGCAAATGGAGAAAGTGGAGACGCTGTGATGAAGCTCCTACTCGACCAACGAGGAGCCGATATGCGAATCACAGAAGAGGTGGTCCTTGCTGCTGCGGGAAATTGGAATAGTGGAGAGGCCGTGATGAAGGTCCTGCTTGACCGACAAGGACCCGATATTCAAATCACGAATGAGGTAGTCCTCGCGGCTGCCAAAAATGGAAGGAGTGGAGATGCTGTGATGAAGCTCCTACTTGATCAGCGAGGAACCGATATTCAAATTACCGATAACGTGGTTTTGGCTGCCGCGGCAAACGGGAACAGTGGAGAGGCTCTGATGAAGCTCCTACTCGACCAACGAGGAGCCGATATGCGAATCACGGAAGAGGTGGTCCTTACTGCTGCGAGAAACTGGGATAGTGGAGAGGCCGTAATGAAGCTCCTACTTGACAGACGAGGGGCCGATATCAAGATAAGTGAGGAAGTGGTTCTTGCTGCAGCGGGAAAGTGGAATAGTGGAGAGGCTGTGATGAAACTCCTACTTGACCGACGAGGACCCGAGATCCAAATAACCGAGGAAGTGGTCCTTGCTGCTGCGGAGAATTGGAATAGTGGAGAGGCTGTGATGGAGGTCCTACTTGACCGACGCGGACCCGAGATCCAAATAAGTGAGGAAGTGGTCCTTGCTGCTGCGGAGAATTGGAAGAGTGGAGAGGCTGTGATGAAAGTCCTACTTGACCGACGAGGAACCGAGATCCAAATCACTAACGAGGTAGTCCTCGCGGCTGCCAAAAATGAGGGAAGTGGCGGGGCTTTAATGAAGCTCCTACTTGAGCGGCGTGGAACCGATATCCAGATAACGGACGTTGTGGTCCTAGCCGCCGTCGAAAATTGGCAGAGCGAGGACGATATGATTAAGCACCTACTTAACCAACGAGGAGCAGATATCCAAATACTCGACGAGGTGGTCTATGCCGCCGCGAAAAACCGGGAAAACGGAGACGCGGTGATGAAGCTCCTACTCGACCGACGAGGAGCCGATATCCAAATTACTGACGATGTCGTCCTCGCCGCTGTAGAAAATTGGAGTAGTGAGGATGCTGTGATGAAGCTCTTACTCGACCAACAAGGACTGGATATCTATATCTTAAACGAGGTGGTCCTCGCGGCCGCCAAAAATCAGAGCAGTGGAGAGGCTTTGATGAGGATCCTACTCGACCGAAGAGGAACCGATATCCGAATCAGCGAGGAGATTGTGGTCGCCGCCGCGGGGAATAAGGAAAGTGGAGGCGCTATAATGAAGGTGCTACTCGACCGACAGGGAACCGATATTTATATCAGCGAGGAGGCTGTGCTCGCCGCCGCTGGGAACGAAAAATGTGGAGAGGTTGTGATGAAGCTCCTCCTCGACCGACGAGGAACCGATATCCAAATCGCCGACGAGGTTGTGGTCGCCGCCGCGGGGAATGAGGAAAATGGAAAGGCTATAATGAAGCTCCTACTTGACCGACGGGGAGCGGATATCCAGATCACCGATAAGGTGGTCCTTGCCGCGGCTAAGAACTGGGGAAGTGGAGAGGAGGTGGTGAAGCTCCTCCTCGACCGACGAGGGACCGATATCCAAATCACCGACGAGGTTGTGGTCGCAGCCGCGGGGAATGAGGAAAGTGGAGAGGTTGTGATGAAGGTCCTACTTGACCTACGAGGAGCGGATATCCAGATCACCCATAAGGTGGTCCTTGCCGCGGCCGAGAACTGGGGGAGTGGAGAGGAGGTGATGAAGCTCCTTCTCGACCGACGAGGAACCGATATCCAAATCACCGAGGAGATTGTGGTCGCCGCCGCGGGGAATAAGGAAAGTGGAGGCGCTATAATGAAGGTGCTACTCGACCGACAGGGAACCGATATTTATATCAGCGAGGAGGCTGTGCTCGCCGCCGCGGGGAACGAAAAATGTGGAGAGGTTGTGATGAAGCTCCTCCTCGACCGACGAGGGACCGATATCCAAATCACCGACGAGGTTGTGGTCGCTGCCGCGGGGAATGAGGAAAGGGGAGAGGTTGTGATGAAGGTCCTACTTGACCTACGAGGATCGGATATCCAGATCACCTATAAGGTGGTCCTTGCCGCGGCCGAGAACTGGGGAAGTGGAGAGGAGGTGATGAAGCTGCTCCTCGACCGACAAGGAATCGATATCCAAATCACCGAGGAGATTGTGGTCGCCGCCGCGGGGAATGAGGAAAGTGGAGGCGCTATGATGAAGGTGCTACTCGACCGACAGGGAACTGATATGAAAATCACGGATCGGGTGCTTCTCGCAGCTATGGCAAATAGTATATGTGGAGAGTCGGTGCTGAAGGTTATGCTCAACCTATAAGGGACCGCTATGGAAGTCACTAGTAGGGTAGTTGTCGCCGCTGCGGCGAATGAGGAATGTGGAGAGGCTGCGATGAAGGTCCTACTCGACGGACAAGGAACTGATATTCAAATCACCGACGAGGTTGTGATCGCCGCCGCGGGGAATAAGGAAAGTGCGGAGGCTGTGATGAAGCTCCTCCTCGACCGACGAGGGACTGATATTCAAATCACCGACGAGGTTGTGGTTGCCGCCGCAGCGAATGAGCAAAGTGCGGAGGCTGTGATGAAGCTCCTTCTCGACCGACGAGGAACCGATATTCAAATCACCGACGAGATTATGGTCGCCGCCGCGGGGAATAAGGAAAGTGCGGAGGCTGTGATAAAGCTCCTCCTCGACCGACGAGGAACCGATATTCAAATCACCGACGAGGTTGTGGTTGCCGCCGCGGGGAATGAGGAAAGTGCAGAGGCTGTGATGCGGCTTCTACTCGACTGACGAGGAATCGATATTTATATCAGCGAGGAGGTTGTGGTCGCCGCCGCGGGGAATGAGGAAAGTGGAGAGGTTGTGATGAAGGTCCTACTTGACCTACGAGGAACCGATATCCAAATCACCGATGAGGTGGCAGTATCGAGGGCTGCTATGGATCAAGGCGAAACCAGGATCCGGAAAGTCAACACATATGAAATATGCTCTTCAAGTAGTTCCGGCCGTTCTTGATGCGGACACTCATGCGTTTTACTTCTTTTTCCATGGTCGTGGCGATGAACTTCAGAGAGCTCCACTTGGGCCCTACCGATCCCTCCTGCATCAGTTACTCAAGCGTGTGCCGGGTGCACTCACAGATCTGATCGATTATTTTGAAGAAGAGCGAAAGACCTCATTGAAAAGGGCTCTAACCCTATCGCTCAGGATACACTCGGTGTGACAGCGCTCGGATTCGCTGCACAGAACCGGTATGAGGCGATGGTGAAGCTGTTGTTCAATTTGGCCGATTCTCAATTATGATACGGAACATCGTCTTCTCGGGCACCTCATGAATCCCCGTGATCCACTCTCCTATCTCGGCCGGGGGAAGCCATTCTTCTGGTTCATCTGACACTTTCTGGCTCTCGCGAACATTCTTTACCTGGATCGAGATGAGACTTGATAGTGTGCCCGGCCGCACACCGGCATTGGCTAACTCTCTTGTCATTCTGAACCTCGCAAGGTGTTCCAGGCGACGTATGAGTGACTTCATGCTGTCTGCGTCCGTAGCTGGCAGTGGTCTCAGTAATGTACGAATTTCAATTGATTGAGGGCTGGCGTGTCCGCTATATTTCATCTCTTGTCATAGCCTCCTTGCTCCTTACCTGTGTTGTCGCAATATCTACTGCGATTCTGCAGAGCCTCGAGGCAGTGTTGTCGGCAGGCTCATACGCACTTGCAATCGCCGCCGTGATTCTTGCAGCCTTGACCTTCTTTAGTGCTATCATTTGAATGGCGATCTCCGAAGGGGACTGATGCAAAACTCGTGTAATCTGTAATCGATAATCCAGCAGGTCATAACTTCCGGAGGAAAACGGTAGTCATTGCATAGGTCCATAAAGACACCATATATAGAAGCATATATATATGAGTATTTTCTTCTCGGTTGAGGTTAAACAATTGAAATCAAACACGATTGGGACAAGCAACCGGGTTCACATACAACTACAAACTATCGGAGACGTGGTAGGCAAATACGCAGAGAAAATTCAAAGCCGTAACTCAATCCTATGTAAAATCATTCCATCTGTTCAGCAAGGCACAATGCGCATGTCAACAGACAGTATTGCTGACTCCCATGGTTGTTATGGTAGTCCATGCACGTGTATTAACCCAACATCTGAATAAGGTAATCGACTGCATCTTGATCCGTTGGCAAGCTTTGAACCTGCCAGACCAACCACGATAGCTCCTCGGGAGCTGCAGAGCGCAGGGTAGCAGCCAGTTGACGAAGAGCAGTGTGAAATTTCAACAGCCCGGCTGTGTACTCCTTGCGCCTACGGTCACTGGTCTCATCATATAGACACTGTTGTGCACTGGTTGCACATCTTGTACACGGCGTTGTTCCAGAACACTATTCCAGCTTATGATGTTAGTCCGTCGTCAAACTCAGCAGTTATTTTTCTGGGATTAGACCAGACCTTAGTCTTCTTTCGCTGACACTCTGTGCAAGCAAGCGAAATGTTGCGTCGCATCTCTTTACCCGAGCCTGCTTCTGAAAACTGCATTATGCGCTTATCTTCCGCAGGGAGGAGCGTACGTAAGGTCTTGGATTTCCCCATTGTGGATTGAGCTCGGTATCAAATAAAGACTAAGTGAAGGTTGCAACTGGGCTAGGTCTGAGAAGAGATGTTGCAAGATCAAGGAGTGTCTCAAGGAATCAGGGGTAAAGCAAAGCAGAACTTCTCGTTTTCCTCCTCATGCTCGACGATTTCTTTGTTTGCTATCAAGCAAACAAAGAACGAACCATGAAGACCCACTGTGGCTCCATCCTACGGTGGGATTGGCTAGTGCGACCCGGAGCTCGACAGATTCGCTGGCATCCCATCTCAATTACCTGCCAGTCCCCAGTCTACTATGGAATCGAGGGGAACCAAGGAGCCTTCCTCTCAGGTGTACATTTGAATTCTTAAAATTGTAAGACGAAGAAAGCGTCAATAGGGCCAAAGAAAATATTGAGATCTAGGTGGTTCAAGTAGCGTGCAAGTGGGTTATGGAAAACCCTCATACCTGATTTTGGGTAACTCCGATGCCCGCAGCCGTTGTGGTATTGTTGGACTGGCTCCAAGTTCTGTTCACAAGGAAGCCAGAGACCTTTCATGTATAATGCTTAGTCACAATTAAAAACAATCAACCCACATATTGGATCTAGAGCACAACAACATGATCCTTGAATCAGGCAAGGCGGTTAGAGGACGCTAGACATATGAAAGTGCTTTGCATATTTTCTTGTCAAAAATAGAAGCTTAAACGACTGCACAGGGTTGAAGATTGTATAGTATTGCCGCGCCCATGTGGTCCAAGGTCTAACAGCAAAATTAGCAGTGGTCGCGCGACAGAGGGTGAGAATCACCCGCTTTCACCCGCGCGCGACTATAAAGCGGCGATCATCCGTTTCCTCACCAAGCTAACCTACCTTATTTGCTAAGATTGGCAAATGGTGCGTGGCTTATGTGCGGCAGATAGTCGGGTGGGTGCCGCCTGGGTGAGTTTAGGGTGAGCGCCGCTTTAAGGTCGCGCGACTAGGGGTGGGATAGGGTGAGTGCGTAATAGATAGGGCGAGAAGCCGGGTGAGAGCGGGTGATTCTCACCCTCCGTCGCGCAATTACCGCACTGACCCCTCTCTCCCTGGGCTTAGATGCAACATTATTGGTTCACATCGATATGGCTGAAACCCATCGTCTCTTGGCACTGCATAAACAGTCACATTCCAGCCTGGATTGGCCAATCGACGGCGAGGCTGACTTCAATATCGCCTTGGGCAAAGGTAGTCCATGATTATGCAACGGCAAGCATATTGTTACGCAGAAAAGTCATGAGATACACCAGCTTCCACTTGATGATAGCTAATCAATACCACGTGACACTTCAACTCCGTCTTTCCCTAGGGAGGCCCGGTGGAAGTGGGGAGGTCTCTTTTCCCTGTACTGCCCCCTTGCACTGCCCAGCACCCATTTGCATCCACTTGAGCGCTTAGTTCTCGAGGGAACGAAATAGCAACCCTTGGGGTGATCATCTGTCCCAGGGCGCTTACGGCTGGTAGAATTGAGCGGCTGTAACCCCCCGAAAACCAATGAAACAGTGATCCCGGGAAAAATTTATCAACAATTTACATTGAGTTAGAGGCTCTAGGTACAAGCATAGATGCCTTATTTTGATAGTATCTTTGTCTATAAAGTCCAGGATATCCACCTTGAGCCTATATAAGCTGTTCTTCAACAATCATTTTCCCTTTCACATCTCTTTTATTAAACCGCGCCTATAAACATCAAACTAGCTCTTGACCATTTTACTCGTGATGTTTAAGCAAACGACACAACGACTTTATCAGTTCCTCGGAAAAACTAAGTTGGAGGACCTTCCACCTTCATGGCAAGGGCCCATGGATCGCGTTCTGAAGAGCGAAGAGCAGAAAGTAGGTAATCTGATCGAACAAGTTAATTGATTATGTATCTGATGAACGAAACAGAATCCGAATTTTAAATTTGCAGAGATCAGGTATCAAGTTGGACCCAGTATATATTCTCACTGCCCGCTCGTAAAAAGCTAACTCGGTTGTAGGGGATCTTCACCCCACCGGTCTTATGACGATCCGAGTGATCCAGATGACGTGCTTTCGGTCCGTCTGAAAAACGAGGATAAAAAAACCATTGATCGAATCCATGTCCATCAAGATGAATCAGTGCGTCGGTAGGCCGAGATCGATATGCATTTGTTGCAGAGGAAGCTAGACCCAATATGTACTCGGCGAATTGAACGTATAGGACCGGAAGAAATTATAGCTGGTAAGATTCGTTCGTGGATTCGAAGAAGACAACGATTATGGGCGATGTTCACGGCATGTTTTTACTTTGGTGGGAGGGCGCAAGGGGATCTACTGTGGCTCCGTATAGGGCATTGGTGTTGACTGCAAGGTTAGATCCTGCTGACTTTATTTAATGAGCCTTTTCCGCCTTTACATCCCATACCAGATATAGTGTACCGGATAGGATACACTGGCCATGTAAATATACTTATTCACATATGTAGGGACTTTTATAACGAGTGAAGAGCATAATTAACACTGGGCGGCTAGTGCGCCCTTAGTCTTTCTTCTTTTCCTTCTCAACACGTATATGAACCAATACGCATAATCGATACTACAAGCATTCAATCATTCGAAGACCAGACTGAATTAATTTGACTTCAGCCAAGGATCCGCCAGTAACTCTTTCGCAGATGCTCGATTTTCCGGTTGCCATTGGAGCATCTTCCGCATAAAGCAGAGAAACAAAGTTTGTTGTGTACCTTGCAAATTACCCTCCAGCTTCTCCAGAGATATAGAAGGAATCTCGGCGGTACCTATCCAATGACCTGCTTTTGAACCATTAGTTGCGCCTGCAGAATGCCAATAGAAGAACGAGGACATATACTCTTACCGTCACGATCGAAGAACTTCATCGCATACTCGCTATTTTGAAGCATTTCTTTTGGTGGCGCGCCCATGATTGCTATCATCCCTGCGAGGTGATGGCTGTCTGAAATGTTCCTGTTTGAATCGCGGGCGTAGAAGAGATGCTTCTGCTCAAAGAGATCCCAGGCCTAACGAATGGTTAGTAATTGGCAAACCGAGACTTATGTTGCGATGTATGCATACAAGGACCCCTATGTTCCAAATATCAATTTTTTCATTCCATGGCATCCGTAATAGGACCTCCGGAGCCCGGTAAACCAAAGGCTGAACGTCCTCCCACTGCTTGCCTAAGCTTGAGCAAAGGCGAGCTTCCCCAAAGTCCGATAAAATAGGACGACCATGCACCTTTGGGATTTCTAAATCTCGGGAGGAATAGATCACCCGATCTTCAACAATTTTGCAAGGGCTCGGGCTGGTCTTTTCTGCTTCCTCAAAATCGACTAGAATCGACTCATCTTCCACACTGAGCATGATATTATTTTCTTGTATATCTGTAATTAAGTCAATAGGAAATTTCAGATATTTGCGCGATATCACGAGATTAGGAGTGTTATACCAGTATGAACAATCTTGGCTTCCGTGTGAAGAAAGTCGATAGCAAGAAGTATATGGATCAAAACTGGCTTGAGTAAGTCTTCCGGGAGAACCTTTTCTAAGGTACGATGACGTAGTTCGCATAGACTCATAGCCAAAGGAGGATGCACGAGGCACTGATAGGAGTAGGTTTTTCCGGTAGAACTAATTTGAAAGTCGTCGATTGCGCGTCGCACGAGCATAGAGCCTGTATGGCTAGACTTGACGTTTCTGAGATGGCTGTACACCTCTTTTTCTCTCTCCTTCCATGGCTAGAGTCGTGCTCGTACATTTTCAATGTAACATAGACATGCTGCCTACTCCGTGTCAGCCCTGAATCTTAAGTCGCTGGCATTACATCTTACTGTAGATCTCTACAGAGCCACACTGTCGAATGACCTCCATAGCCAAGTTTTCCTACCACCTGATACCTTGAGCGAAATACCTCACCGATTCTCACGGGGTAGAAATGCTCTGGCGAGTATCCTCGTAAATTTTCCTCCTCCAGTTTGTTATTTGGGTCGAGAAGAATGCCTGGAGAGGAAAATTTCCTAACCGGAGATGGCGCTCGCCCAAAAATGGAGTGCTTCAGTCGCTGCGTGAGGCGTTGCAGCATCATCAACCTTGGGCTGTGTAGGGTTGTGCAGGGCTGGGCAGGTTTGGGCAGGGTTGGGGCTAATAGTGAAGACGATAGCAGGACAGGCGTGGGACAGGACGGCAATCACGTGATATAGAAGGGATTACGGGACCTTTACGGATCTTGACTTGACAATAATCATTACCGAAACTGGCCTCAAGGGATTATAGTTTATCCGACGAGCTATGCCTTAAGTTACGCGATCTCATCCCACTATGGGTCATGTGATCACGCAATTGTTTTCCCGTTCCGTGCTTGGTCAAGTCGGGCAGCATGGCGGTTAATTTGTTTATGCGTGCCCCACCAATTTCAATCTCCGCCGTCGCCGCCCCTCCGGTCCTTGCACTGAAACCTATCCCCGTGAGAGGGAGAGAGGGCTTTGAGAGTGAGTTGAAGACCTGTTGTGATCACTTTGCTGAATCCTTACCCCTCATCATACTTGAATACAGAATTTTAAGTTGACCGCTATCGCATCTGTCGCACCTGTCTTATTCATTACATCTGTCTGCTCTACTACTATTTGGGCCTATTCACTCTCATACAAAGGCTTCCTCCCTCGGTAGTACTAGCACTGTCAAAGGCTGGACTATTATTAGCTCCGTTATGGCACACTAGGCCTTATAGAAAATGAATAGCAAGTTAGATAACGAACGAAGGCAAATTATTCTTAAAGGAAGAGCGTGTGTCACATTTGCAATGTTTAAGGAGCTTAGTTTTTCCGTCTAGTAGCACTAGATTAGGGTATAACACATTCTCCCGCCTCACCCAGCGCAAAGCCTATTCTCGCTTTGCATTATTATGCCTTGCCCATGTAAGACTCGAGTTTGTGCCTGGTGATAGGTAATGATTGTCTTTTCTCGTCGACTTGGATAGAGGTTGCCAGAATACAAGTAGCCTTTTCCGGCCAAGCCGTTGCGAACATTTTGCCTGCATCTGCCCATTGCGAACAAATGACACGTACGTCTCCCCCAGCAGCACCAGAAATAGAATCACATAAACTGCCGTACCATATGCTGCTGAATTCTAAAGAGGGTAAAAGGACAAAACAAGAAGGAAAAATGTGAAAGGATATTCGAGATCAAAATTTCTAAGGCCCTAACAATGACAGGTACGGTCATTTGTTTTGGCACAACTTCGCCTCGCCATTATTAACCCGTAGCCATGGAGTGCTATCCATTCCGCTTTCCGAGGCATGCGTCGGATAAGCTGCAAGGAAGAAATTCGGTCGAGTTATATCACTTAATATTGCACGTTAACTGAGGAAAATTAAAGGAAAGGCGAAATTGACTGGTGACTCACTTATCGAATGTCATTTTCCCTTCCCACCGCAACTTCCGCAGATGAAGCCGTTTTGTAACCCAGATCCTTTGCAGTCAAGACAATATGAGTCCTGGGGCATCGTGAAATCAGGGAAGTTGTTTGTGTGTTAACAGTAGTGTGGAGAGAGAGAGAGAGTGGAAGAAGCAGCAGGTGTTGCGTTATATCCTGTCTGCCCAAGTCCGGGATCAGGTCCTCTGAGATGTGTTGCCCGATATTCTGCCGCAATTTACCGCTAAACTATTGGTATCTATTATTAGCGGATACCGTGAGGGGCAGGCTACTTTCAGACCACTTCTTAGACCACCATTTTCACAATTCGTTTTCTGAACATCAGCGAAATGGTAGCGGGCGACTTCATTTCACATAGGCAGTGTCAAACCTGCTTGGCTATCTTCCCTAGCCATGATGAACTTTACTCTCATCTTGAAATATTCAGAGTTAGTTCCATACAATCGCTGCCTGTTTGCCTTTCTCCTGACACTTTCAGGTGGGAGAACGAACCCTCGCTCTGGAATTAGAGAAATGTCGAGCACATACAGCCCAAGTTTATGATCCTAATAAGCTTTGTGAGGGTTGTCAACTTAACGCGTCATTACTTTTGCCCCCGAGCAACCCTAATAACGAACATGAAGAGCGCAATGCCGACGCACAAAGTGCCACTGGCCCTCATACTGAGTCTTTCAGACCGAATACTCCTTTCCGGAAATGTCCTTTTCGTGGTTGCGAGAAGCAGTTCAAAGTTAAAAAGGCCCTCCTAAAGCATTTCGAACTACGTAAATCCTGCCTGTTCCATGATTGGTATGTCGCTCACTAACTGACTATATCTTGGGAGCCAGATGTCGACTGCAACGAAGTATGTGTTGAGTGTTTCCGGCGGTTTACACACGTGAGCGCTTTGATGAAACACGTCAAAACCCACATTTATTCGTCTGATAGAAAACAAAATTTCATGCTGGGCTTGTGCGATGACCTACGTGATAAAGCCATCTCCGAGTTGAACCGAATGGTCGAAACGCTGCAAGACTCTACGGTCGATGCTAATTTGACGACTGCAAAAAGAAACCTCCGGCTATTAGAGCGTTGCGAAGAGCAGAACTCTCCAAAAAGAGTCAAACCAGGCGAGAGTGAACGGGGCGTATTTCATGCCAATTCTGACCAACCACCACAAGGTATTGACCTGTATCAACTACTCCTTTACTAGTCTCATTTTGACTTGGGAGGAAAGCCCAGCTACGATGCCCTTCGTTGCCCCCCGAATGCTTCGGATTACCGCAAGAGTTCGGTGAGGACATGTTTGCACCTCTCTTATTCCATGACTACCCTAAGTCCCTTCTGAATAATTTCGACCCTCCCTTTTTCTTGGGAACCTCATCCCTTCACCACGGGACTCGATCAGGTAGAGACGATATCGGAAGGCATACTGATATTGCCGATCCAGTTTTCGACTCTGGATCTCAACTTGCGCGCGAAGATGGGTCGGTGGGAATGGGAGGCCCTAGTCTAGATTATTTATCAGCCAACGATGAACACCATTGAATGGCAAGTGTAGAATAGCCGTTTCTTAAGGTCATACTCAAAGTGATATCCAATCCGTGGGCTTTCTCTTTGTAGCTCGGCGATCTTTTCTGCGATCTGCGGGCTGCCTGGGAGAACCACTTTCGCCCATCGTGTGATGACATCACGTGTCGCAAACACAGTCGCGATCGGGGTGCCTTTTTTTATTTCAAACGCTACACGGGCGTCCTGTATAGTTCTATATAGACAGTCAGGTATGAACTCCTGGTATGCCAATAGAGTCGACTCACAAGCCGCCGTTCTCAAACTTAATCTCCGAGCCCTCACCACAGCCAGTCGTCTCCAGGGCCGCAAAGGGTATTTCCCACAACCCGTTGGAGGCGTGAACACCCGGAAGCTCATATGTGTGAGAACGTCCAAAAAAGGTCACTTGCGATCCATTACCCCACAGTTGTATGACCAGAACCTGTCGGCCCGCCTTCTCTCCTCCGCCTCTGAACTGGAAAATGTGCCCTGCATCGCTGTGGAATTTCCGGTACCTGGCAAGACTACACCAAGGGAAGAATGACTCTAGGATTGATCTTGCGCGCTGTAGAGTGTTAGTAAACATATTCAGCGTAGGATATACGTGCAGACCTTGTCTTGAAGAACATGACGCCTGAAGAAGTCCAACCCTTCTGCAGACAAACAGCTCTGCGGCCCCATTTCTGTCAAAGGCGTCTCCAATTCCGGGTCTACTTCATAATAGAAGCCGATGTCCCTGATCGCTTTGATCGCAAGGTCAAGCGAAAATCCTGTTGATGCCATAACATGAGGTTCTTATGACGAATGCCAGCGTATGGTGTACTTGAACGTTTGCTGATCGAAATGACCCCTCACTTTTCGGATAAAGTATTTTCAGAGGGCCGATATTATGTCACGTATAGGCGGCCCGGCGCGGCTTTGTCAAGGGGTACCGCCCACGCGCTTAGGCCTCTACTTGCATGGATCCCCGTTCAGAACCCTGGCAGAATTTACGAATGCAAGTTCGTCTAAATACATATAGTCGTTTTCTCTTCTAAGAAAACCATTCCGAAAAGGAGGCTGACACAGGCTCCTTTGAAAAGGGACCATCACACGCTTGAGCCCCTTTTTGCATGGATTCCCGTTCAGAACCCTGGTAAATTTTCAAAAGAACAAATTCGCTCAAATGCATGTGATTGATTTTCGAACTCTTTACGATATGTATGCTCACATTGGGCCCAATCAAGACTATCCGTCGATATTCCTACGCGGAACGATACTTCAGTCCCAGCCACCCTGCAGTCAAAAAGTACAATAAACCTACCGGAGACTTTCGAATTAAAGCTACATGAAAACTATGTTGTAGATCTGAGAATTCTTCATGTAGTCAAGTCCTGTAACAAGGGTGATGACAATTTGAACAATGAGAGAATCACCTTCTCGTTCGGTGCAGATCGATCGAGAGATTGCGCAGACCGGAATGATGCACCGGCTGAGCAGCATGTAGACTGCAATGCTGTAGCCTGCATTTGCCACACGATTTGATTCGTGTACAAAGACGGCGAGCCCCTGCTGATTACCTGGGACCCCGTTCGGAACCCTGTCAGCCAGCTAAATGGGCGCCTCGAATAGATGGATTGCTATTCGACAAAGCATGACTTGGCTTTCTATACTGTGTCTCCTCGTCGTTTACAAATTAATCAAACCGAATGCATTAAGACATATATCTTCCCCGTCCAATTTTTCCCGAAAGGCCTTAATCGAGTCTCTAGAAATTCAGGAGAACGAGAGAGAGTTGACTTCTCGTGAGAAATAATTCCCGAGAGGTCTTGGTCCTCCGCAGTCAGACATGTCTTTGGATCGTATATGAACACTACTAACCATGTCGACAGGGACGGAACATTCTCCCACTGGGGTTTGCCCATCGCAATGAGCCCACATACAATCACAATGGGCCTTACGGAAAGTAAATTGGTGATAGACGTCCTTTCCGAAGCGTACAATGAAGCAAAGCGGTCTGGAAATTCCAACGTCGAGGTAAAGCTCTCCAACGCGAAGGTTAGTTAATGAACAATCAATCTGTTACTATAGACTAATATCTAAAAGTTCATCGAAACAGTCCAACAATTATGGACTTATATTGCTACAGATTCTACCGATGTAACTCAGGGTGTGGAAGATCAACCGCCGGAAAATGACCGCGCTGGAAAATGTTCAAAGACCACAAGACCTACTCAGTCAAAGTACGTTGTTGCTCCAGGAATCATGAAGAAAGTGTCAGGCTGGAAGGAGATGCCTCTTTCTTTTTTTAAAGAAAAAGAGTCTCACCTTAGCTTGGTGGAGGACCCTCTTGCTGAAGCCTACAAGTATTTGAGAAACCTTGTAGAGCGGTCTGCCCTGGATAAAATTCGGCGGAGACTTTTGAGGATACTTTTCAATCGTCTGAGGGAAAGATTAGGAGTGAAGCGACTACTCCCCAGGCATGTTGAGAACATTGCGCAAATAATATCCCGATCCGGCGTTGTCGAACATTGTGACAGAAAAACCATCACGAAATGGGTAGACGAAGGAAGTAGGATTGACGCATTATGCCGAGACATTGGAAGTATCACTGGGGCTGGGTACGCTTACCTCAGGAATCTATTTTATTTGAATGATATCTCTGATACGAGGTAAGTTTCCACCGGGCGCTTCATCTACGAGGCTTATGCCTCCCAGATGCTGACTTTATGTCATTTCAGAATGATAAGAATAAAGACAGACGGCGAAGACCGCACCAAGGAGATTCAGCAAATCAAGTTAAACTTGATTTACGATGAGAATGAGGCACTGGAGCTTGAAGAACTGGCAAGCTTGTTGATGAACGAACTATGGAAGCCGATGGAAGATTTGATCCCTCAACTTCGCTCAGGTGAGTGGCCTTGGTTGACATTCTGTGGTGTGTTGCTAATTTCGTGTCTAGAAGTGCAGCAGACGCAGCAAATCCCAATCCTCCAAGTCCAAGGTGCCTATTCTCTGGCTCAAGGCACTCAAATCCCAAACTCTTTCAGGGATATACCAGAATACCCTTTCGAAGATTCTGATGCTTCAGTCCCTTCAACGCAAGGTGCAGACCAAATTGCTTGCCATGGTACTTCCAACTATGAGGATTTTCCCTCCGGAACTCATCACACCGGTTGCGGTGATAGACTTAATCCAAGCCAAGATGGGAATAACTACACAACTGGTACTTCTGGTGTCTTTGCGGAATTCTTTGATTCATTAGATGTTGGAGATGTCGCAGATGTCGCAGATACGAATTGTGAGGGAAGTTTGGTCCCGAGCATTCCTGATGCTGGACTAATACCGCCACTGTCCTACCCCGGGGCCACATCAAGCGAGCCTGATACATATTGGTGTACTAATATGGTGATGGACGATATTTGAACCGTCGCCGATCCTCGACCCTCCCATAACAGCTGAGAGGATCTGTCAAATGTGAACGTCAAAGTAGCATATCAGCTTCAGAAGAATTGTACCGAGATGTCTATGGTTATCTCTACATTGATCTTCTATTATTGGGGATTTGGTCTTTCAAACTCATTTGTCGATACATCGAAAGGCTCTCTTGGGATGATCGATTGGGAACTCCTTGCTTGCACTGACGGCACGATTGGTCAACCAAGGGCTTGATGGCTACAACAAGGACCAGCGCCGCGGAGTTGCCCATCATCTGGGAAAAATAGGATACTGCTCTGCTCAATACATGATGAAATTTCAGGACCGCTTTCAAACAATGCGATTGATGCGAGGAGCATGATTAGAATATCGCAATTGCGGTAGAAAGGGAGTGAATATTTGGAACACCGGCAAACCAAAGAGAAGGGCAATAGTCTCTGCCAAGAGAATGAGTAAATTACGATACGAAAAGCTACGCGGGATGAATTAATCAGAGCGAAAAACCAGCATCTGGTGGTAAGACATGCTACATCACTTAGAAGGTCAAGTTGCTCGTGGGGACTTCGAGACCGCCAAGTCACATGCATTTACGCGTCAATATCGCTTACTAATCGCAGTTAAGTTGATTTTTCCCTGTTCAACTGATTCTAATAAACACCCTACAGCTTCCCTTCCACGACTACCTTACGCAGTGTCCGTTCGCGTTGCGAGGGGTCTTTTATTTCGCCTCCCGGTCATTCTATTGAGCTAGATTGACATCACGGATTTGCACTCAACATTTTACTTTCAATCAAGAGAATGGCGGGCTGGACATCTCCCGTCGAACTCGAGGACGTGGATTTGCTCGTGCGAAAAGTCGAATATCCTGCACATCGAGGTAGTCCACTCTATCGCTTAATGTTTCCGCACTCAGGGGAGCAACATTTGGCGCAGAGAGAAGACGAAATTAAATGGACGATTGATGGCCTGCTTGAGACAATCCACCAGGGGGTCGAATCTCTGTACAAGGCGTGTGGAGAAGATGGATCACCTGTCGGGCTGATAGGCTGGACTAATGATCCAGGCGCATCCGTGAAAGGAGTCGAGAAAGGAAATGATGCGGTACCTAAATCTAGAGGTAGGCAAGAGGTAAACTGGACAAGCTTTACCCCGCCTTCTTTGGATGTAACCTCCTGGCTTGACATTTCAAGAAGGCTCAGACAAGAGAGGCAGAAAGTTATTCGGAACAATCAAAAGAACGGAATTTGTCGTAAGCCATTGTTCAACTTTGGGGTTTTTCTCTTTTGAACTTCGCTCACCTGGCTTATAGGAATTACTTTCATGGCCGTGGATCCAAATCATCAACGGCAGGGCGTTGGATCTATGCTCATGAGAATTTTCTGTGATCATGTTGATCAGTACGGTCTGGATGCTTTGGTTTTGTCCTCGCCTGCGGGAATTAGACTATATTCTAAATTCGGCTTCAGAGCAGTTGGTGTTGTTGAATCGAAGCATGGAAATTTCACTAGCATGCTAAGGACTTCGAGCGTTAGTCCCGGGGAAAATATCAGATTGCCTACGTGAACCATAAAGCACAGTATCTGCCGTGATTCTTAGGTTCATGATAGCGTCATTAGCATAGCATTTATTGGCAGTCAAGTTGCATTTAAAGGATTTACAACCTAAAAGGGCTGTCACCAAAAGGAAGGTCATAGTTGGCTACAGAGAGGCAGCTTTAAGAACATCCATGGTCATCGATATGCTTTCCCTCGGAGTCTTTCCAGCAGTACTCCCTGCAATGGCACCTCTGGTCATCATCTGTACTAAAAACCCATAACGCTTCGATCAGCTCCGAGTCTTTGACCGATCCACGTCGTATCATAATGTTGGTTTTGCCTTCGGTGACCTCTACAGATAAATCTGGAGTATATGTGTCAAGAGAACGCACACCAAGAACGTTCTCTAAACCAATTTTTTGCAGAAGAGCCGAAAATCCGACAAAGAAAGAATGATCAGAGTCTCCACCAGGCGAGCACGGTGAGAACCCAAATTCAACTGGAAGAAAAACTCCCTGGAAGATTTTGAAAGTCCTGGGAATGATGGAGCCTTCGTATTTCGGCACCACGACATCATTGACATCGACAGTCCACGGCGAAGATATATTTCTGACATCCACAAGTCGCTGGTTGGTCTCCATCGGAAAATGCTTGTGCAACAGACAAACGCCATACCGTTCGTTCATTCCGGAGTCGAGAAAGAATTGTCTTATGGGTCCCATTAGCGAATCCATTGCCTGCATTTCTTGGAAACGGACGGCAGCCTCCCGAAGGGATGGCATCGAATCATAAGCTTCTGGGGTATAGTAGGTCCTACCACATAGTCAGTAAAGACCCGAGTCATTAGATGGAAGAGATTTACATTTTGACGGGAGTTAACCGGTTGACAATTTTGACAGGCTGAGGCGCTGTTTGGAAAAGTTGGATGTGCTGAAGGTCCTTTCGAGGGGTTTTGAGCTATATTTATAGATATTCGGGAGACTGAGAGATATTTATGTCCCATCCATGCAGACCTTGCACTCACGAGCCAGATCGTAATAAACAAAATGCTGTAGACCAGAGCACCTCACGCCACCGAGGCTGAGCAGAGTCCGGGCACCCTTCTGTTGCCGATGCGAAGCTTTGGGCCGATCTAGCAGGAACGCAGCTTCACGAGGCTTCCGCTTACACAACGCTAAAGGCCAACACTTCTACGAACGTGCATAAATCAATTCACCCACGATGAAAATGAAAACATTGAAGCACACAACTCAATAAGGACAACATAATTTTCTACTTTGGGCGAAAGACTTGTCTGGACAAGACTATCTCCGAGAAGGGAATAGTCTGGATTCAGATGCATACTCTTTGGCTCTAGAACATGCCCTTTACTCACAATGATTTTATCAAGATGAACACTACTCAAATTTGTAAAAAGACCTAGTCCAGTGGCTTGCCTATAAGACCTACGTGATAACATGAAAAAAAAGAACATAAAGTTATCGTATAATACTGAAAGGTCAGGATGATAAGGCAGGCACTAGGAACCCTTGAGAAGCCTATCTTCGATACGTCATAAGCTTTTCATATACAAAAGCAAAAAAAAAAAAAACTAGATGGCGAATCCCGCTCTGACGAGGTTCAAATAATCAAAATAAATTGATCAAAATAAATTGATCCACGATGTAAATGAAGCACTGAAGCTTGATGAAGTCAGTAGGGGTCACATACTCTTTCTGCTTTGGGCGATAGACTTGTCTGGACAAGACTATAGCCGAGAAGGGAATAGTCTGGATCGGGTCAGATGCATACTCTTCTTTATTTCTGATTATGCCCAATCTTGAGTCCTTCTGGTGCTGTATAGTCGAAATTTGCATGTTGATTTTAATGGCTCTGCACGTTCGAAGATACGTAAAGAGGACCAACTTTTCCATCCACAAGACGAGGCTATTCCCAGTCCAGAAACTATACATTCGTCACAAACTCTAAGCTTGTCGTCGCTGTTGAGAGAGCAAAAATACATTAAAGAGTGCTACGCCGTGCCTCAACTGCGCAGAAAAGCGCGAGGGTTGCGAATTCGCCATGAAAAATAAATCCTGTCGCACAGGGTTGTCTAAAAAAAATTCCAAAGGTCGTTTTCCCAAGCGCGGACGGAAGTTAACTCCTGCTTGTCAACCGTGTAAGAAGAGAAAAATTCGATGTATTGGAGAAAGTCCACCCTGCCAAACTTGCCAGGAGCGCGACCGTCAGCAGAAGTGTATATTCTCAAACAACCAACCGGACGATTTTACACATGGGCCAAACAAGAAAAGAGTTCAAGGTAAACCTTTGCACAGGCTCTGAAGTTTTATCAATTCACAATTTATGACAGAATCACGATGCGCTCCACTCCCGTTCGCCGTCACCTCCTCAGTCCATAACGAGAGCCCAACTTCCAGGAAAGAGGTAGTTAACGACGTCGATGAGATGGGATCACCATATCTTCTCTCTCTATCGCCAGAAAAGCTCTGCGAAACAGAGGAGATATTGGATTTGTGCTTAGGATCGGGCCATGAAGCTCGTGACTATAATTCTTCTGGAAGATCTGTCGTTGACATATCTCTGGGCTTTCAGCTCATTCCAGACAGTACGTTTAATTTGATACCTATTTGATGATACGAAGCTGAAAACATATAGTTATCCAATTCGCTGATTGGTCAGGATATCGAATCTTGCCTGGCGCTGATTTGCTTTCAATCTGTGAGAGTCAATATGGGTTCATACAAGGCCCTTGGCCCACGGCGTTGGTGTATGCCGCTTTATTAAGCAGCACGGCCACTCATATTGAGAGCGTCCTGGAACTTCTTCGAGTTACCATGTGCGAACATCTTCAGAATGAGAAATTCAAAGACACAAGTATGGGACATCTCACGACCATCGCCCTCGCTCTGCGATGGGAAATCCTGATCCCTTGCGACAAACTTGAAGTCGCTGGTCAAGGTACACGCGATGTTGTATGTGGGGATGTGCCTTACCGAGTGGCAACGCTGCAGAGACTCCTCCTCAATTCGGATTCAACGAAAGGCTTCGCACCATGGTCAATCGAGGTCTGCTTGTCCAACTGCGAGTCTAAAGTGAGCATAGTAGGTTGTCTGCAATCTCTGGTGGCGTCAATTCTGTATTCGCCAGCGACTTGAACTGCAATACCGTTCAATATTCTCCACTATGTCGAAGGCCCTACTCCAGACTAGAAAAAAAAGCCTGGGCTGTACATAACACTACTGGCCCTTAGCTGCTCCTGAGCCCCATCATGAAATACCAAGGAAATTGATCTGAATGTCACTCTTCTGGAACATGGCTACCTTGTTAGCACAATGCTGATCATCAGTCACATTTATATATTAGAAAATTTGAAGAGGAAGGCAGGCATGGAGTGGCCAAACAGGATGATGCGCCCGTTATGCAGCAAGTTCGAGTCTAGATTCAATTCTCATAGCGATGTCGTGACACTACCCCAATCGCAACCGCGGCGGGATGTACCTCATTTTCAATGAGCCCAAAATAAGAATATAAAGTGTCACATCCTCGACTCCGGATAAGGAAAGGGCAAGGACAGAAGAATATCCCTGAACGAGCTGCTTTCACGGTAGGTTGAATAAGTTGATCCCTCGGATCGCACCGACAACACTTCTTTAGACCCAAATCACTCCAGCCCTATCTCTCACTATTGAAGGAATTCAGTAGAGCCTATTCCGGTCATACACCTCCTTCTTCCGCACAAAATGGACAGTCGCTGCGCTAAAATCGATTCTTTGTCAAATCCACACGATACCGACTCTAGTTTCGGCAACACACATTCTAGCTCCCAGCCACACCGATACGGGAGGTACCAGGCCTACTTTAGTACCATTCCTAAGTCAGTATCCACCGACAAAACACGCACTAGGTTTCACAGCATAAGTGGTAGTTCGACGCAGCGCCAATACGGTCTAGGTAAATTGTATCGAGGGATACTCTGCGAGTTAGACCTCGTGACTGGCTCCACTAGCTAGGCCGAGAAACGCAAAGCAAATAGACGCATCGCGACGTTTCCGCAACCGGGAGAAGAAGAAAAAGCGGATGCAGGCCGAGATCGATAGACTACAAGCCTAGATTGATTCTTTCACTCCGTGACCGCCTAGCATATTACCAAGATAATTACACATGTACCAAACCTTCTCATCCTATTGGGAATTTATGCTACAAACAGTCACAAGCACCCCGCAAGGACTTTGGTGCCTTCCTGTTTCATTGTATATATAGTCGGATATAGTTACATCTCAGTGAATGATGCCCCTTCTCTCTAAACTCTTCTCAACACTTGCTTGCCAATGACTGAATTAATACTCCCCGTTGCTCTCGGTATTTGGATCTGTGCTATACTATTTGCACTGTATCGTGAGGTTATACGCCGATTCTGGATTTATTGTTCAGGTAAGGCATCATAATTTACCTTATAGCTTGATTTCAACTTTAACGTTTGAGCAATGTGTAACAGAACTGCGCAATTCTTGGCCTTAAACAGTAATACTGATATGGTTTGAAAGGATGTATGGATGGACGAGGAAAGGAGAAGTCTGTTATTGATACCATTAAGTGGGAAAGACATGGACTACCAATTTTGCTTGTACTTCAGATGGAAAAGTGGTACCAAGGTACCGGTGCTTGCTTGTCTCAAACCCTAGATTCTACATGTGGTTTCAGCACTTGAATGAAGAATGCCCCTTCTTCTTAGGTTGTTTATGACAATAGCAAATACATAATGGAGACGATATTCCCTGATTCCCATTCTATATAGCTCTTCTTCTGCTGTCCAAAGTTCACTGGAGAAAGCCCCCAATGATCTGCTTCTCGGCCGTCAGCCTCCAATCGCTACTTTCGACCTGCACTTGGTCAATATTATTCTCTCCAATTGGATGCACCTCTTGTCCTATTAACGAGGACGGGATAGACAGAAATCCTCAGCAACCAACCCCTGATCCTACCGCCTCATACACGCGTCCTAAGGCTCTGGAATATAAATCAAAGCCGAATACCATCCAAGAATCAAGTCTTCCAACTTCATTATCAAGCCAGTTGCTGCCCCGGAATCCAAGTGTTCCTGGCTATGCTTCCCCTTCAGTCTACGGCGGTATTCGCTCCCCGGAATTCATTTCATAGATATACCCTTCCTTGGATATGCTAACCGTATTCCAGATAACATCAGTAAACGTGCTCATCCTCAATTAATGGTTTCTTCGACAAGCGGTACCATCAACCCTGCAAAATCGCCCCGTGTTACTGTCCCTACTAGGCCGCGTACAAAAAGCCAGCACGAGCCAATTGGCTACTATAATAATATAGGACCTAGTGAAGGGTCCGAAATTTGGAGGATTGGAGAACATTGTAAGTAAATGTCTAGTGATTGAATATATATTTCTGGAAGTACTAACAATGTAGATTCATGGCCGAGGAAGGAAGACCAGTCCTAGCGTTAGACCCGACGCATGCGGACGGCATTAGTGAGTTAGAGGAGATGATAATTGACTGGTGTAGGTAATACACTCATGTTAAGGTTCTCGAGCTGATTCCGTCTGATATCAAGTTTCCCGAAAGGAGAAGCCGCTACTTCAAATCAGAGCTGAGGATGTTGTTGAGTACATCACTGCAAGCATATCTTCATTTGGCGAGGGGGAATTGAAAGAAGACCTATGCGAGACACTGAATGCGAGCTTATTAGATGCCCCTGACAGTATCGTTGAAAAGATTTTGGACCAGAATGATGACCGTATCATCAGCTCTGTATTTGTCGTTGTGAAGCTTGTTGTGAAGGGGTTTCTGCCACCTCCCGGATTATCCTCTTCTATACTTGGAATTTTCTTGGAAAAAGATGGAAATGATTTGACCAATCATATACTTGACTCTCAGACGAGAGCAGGACGTCTCTTGGGGGGAAGTCTAGGGAAACTCACTGTTTACGTTAAGAAGAAAAAAGACTAAATCCTACTGTGACCGGCAGGGCCGCATTTCTTGATTTCTAATTGGCCTCGTCACCACGTTGATAAAAGTAGCTTACTGAGTCAAGAACAAATAGGAGTAAGATCGGCTGGATATGCATGTATATTATCTGGGTAAATACATCTACTATAGACAACGTATACTCGTCGTATTTTGAGGAATTTGGTGATATGTACTACAATTACCCAGACATCCTAGACACATTTTAAGATGACCTCAATCAAAATTCAACCTGCGGCCTTGTATTAGACGCATAACTGCTGTGTGCTCAATTTTTACGTTAAAAAATTACTAGGTACTACATTCTACCAGAGGATCATCGTGACTTTAGAATAAGCTTAATACATTACCCAGATAAGAATTGAACACTGTGACCGACTTCAGAAGAATTTGCAGCCCTGAATTACCTAGCTGATGCCAAGGCATAATTTTCTTGGCAAAATATCTCGCCAAAATCACTATCAGTATAAAGAGCTAACTAATAGCCACTTTATGTTGACGATGCAGATAATCTCTCTTAACAAGATACTTGTGGTATTCAAAAACTTCTGAAGATCGTTTTTCTTGAACATGGCTTCCTTTTCCGTCCCTTCTCTACGCACTGGTAACAGCCAATCGGACCAGAACACACAGACACGGGACTATAATCTACTCAAGGGGGAAGCTCCGGCGGCGTCAAACAATCAATTTCGACGGTCCTTGCAGCCTATGAGTTTCTCCAATATTGTGCTTGAGGGATACACAATGTTCAGGGCAGATCCGCTTCCTCCTGCCATGCCGACATGGTACAAGGTTGAACGGACTCATATGTTTGCCAATATTGACGAGATGCGTCAAATGGTGCGCGAACGAGCTTTCAATATTTCGGCCGCACAACAATACCAGAATTTATCCCGAATCCTACAAGAGCATGTTAATCTCTTGATTCATGATCGAAAAATCGATGATTCTGATGGTGTCTGGTCCTGCGTATTTGCTCGAGAAGAAAAGAAATCCTCCAGAGAGTACAGTCCGGAAACGGTAGCTCTGGATGTTATTTTGATGCGACGGCCCCTGGGTAAAAATCGCTATCCTACAAGCCCAATGGGGGATTTAGTGGATCTGAGAGCCCGTCACAACATGACACCCACCAGCAAAATAGATACATATGATGATGAAAATGGTGGGGCGGAGTATTGAAAGAGTTGGAAAGAAGAGCTAGACGAGGGGAGTGCTTGGGCCTGTCATCAACCCACTTAAGAGTTGGAACACATGTATCCTACATATTCTATCTGTAAATTAGATGGCTAAAATCTAATTTATGTCTGTTAAATCCCATGAGATCGCAATTTAGATGAAACCAATCACTGACCTCGGCATTAGTGAAGATAAGACTTTCCTCATCTGACATTTTTGTGCGGCTTGGTCCGGTATGCTATCGCGTGTCAACAGAAACTGTAGTGGCTCTAGCGTTCGTATTTGCCTTTTCAAAACCAGTCTAACATTGATGAAGAATACTGTATTGATAAGTATTGACAATTCGTAGATAGCTAGCCTTGGAGGAGCGACCTAAGCATATCCGTTTAATTTTGGGGCATTTGTGAACGCGTAACGGATATGGCAAGCTTTGAATAGCCGATTCACGAATAAGAAAAAGTACGATTTGTGCAGTGATAGCCAATGGGCCTGCTAAGCGATGAATACTGGCTTAGATCGAGCCAAACCGTACTGAATAATGTCTCACCAAGTCTGTTGTTATTATTTGGCCGAACGATTGCCATCCTAATTCGAGAGATATATTTGTACACTCTAGCTAGACCAGAGGAATTTTTTGATATTTATCTATTTGATATAAAGAGTGGCTCAGAAGGCACTTCCATCATTTGCTCTCACCTACAATTTATGGATTGTGACATTCAATTATATGGATAATTACGATATCGAGTTCCTCCTAGCTGTTCAAGATGGCTCCTTCAAAGGCCTCAATGATTTGAACCACGACTTTCTCAGCGGAATATACCAGAAACTGCTTTTTCGAGAGGCGTCTGAGTTCCACGAGGCATTACACCTCCTGAGATCCCTTCGAAATAATAGTCTGATCTCGTATGGAATGAGACACGTAATTTCTCAATTCCTAAAGTGGTCGCGGGAACTCCTTTTGATACATTGGGATCTGTATACCAACTACGAACAAGCATTTTCCTGTCGCGATAGCCTACGGCATGGACAGTCACCCACAGATCTTGTTTCGTTGTGTATATATGAATGTTCCGATTGTTTCATGGATCTCATTCGCGCTGGAGCTATAATGCCGAATTACTACAACCTCGCAGGGCAGAGCCTTTCCTACCTGGCAATATGTGCAAACAAAATTGATATCGCCCAGGAGCTGCTGTCTATGATGAGCCCGGGGCAGATTCTTGATCCTGCCTATATCGTACCTGGGTATTGCCCAGAAAAAATCTTTCAACTGGCCGCCGGCAATCAAGAACTTTTCAATACTTGCTGGGCAAAACTCGAGTCCGACCCAGAGCTAAACCTTTCGCATACTCTTGATCAATGTCACCTTGTCTCTATCTCTCAGTTTGCTACTGATGAGTTGGCGGGCCGTATGCTGGATCGGGGAATCAATCTAGCATCTACAATGACAGACCGCGCCTTGTCAACCTGGAATAGGGTCGCCTTATATCACCCCGACCCGGAGTCTCTATTCAACTGGCTTTGGGAGCATGAATGCTGGCCACCGTGCAGTCAAGATGGAATGGACTCGCCACTAGTTGTTAGTGCTCGATATGATCGAGTAAAGGAGACGAATTGGCTATTGTACCACAGCTGCGATAATAGCGAGCAATGGATCTGCGCTATTGAGGCTGCAACCCGACAGACAGACCAAAGTATATCTACACTTGGAATGGTCATGAAGCGCATCTCGCTATCAGTTCCCAAACGCCCAGAATTGGACTGGGTTATCAAAATTGCCGATGAAGTTGTCCAGGGAGCTTACAAATACGTCAGGGAGACTAATCTTCAGGGAATAGACGTCATAGAGCGTCGTGCTATCCAGAAGGTTGAATGTATCAATTATTTTAGCGAAAATTCCCTCCTTTTCTCCAACTTGTTGCTATCTAACCTAAGGGAGGCGGGGCTGCCTAATTTAGCGGACTTTTTACAGGTTCACAATAGCCAGACGCGAAGAATGATAGCGCTGGTTGAATGAAATCTCTATCTCTTTATTCCTTTCTTGTTGCTCTTGTTGATAAGCCCACTACAGCTCCCACTATTGGGTATTGGATTGAATATTGAACCTATTAAAGTGAAGAAGTAGCCTCGATTTGACAATATGGCTGATTGATAATGTAATTCAGGATATGAAACCCACGCTTTAACTCTTTGTTTGGCCTCAGAGGCATCCGAACTGGAACGTAGTACCTCGGTTCAGATAGTAAGACCCCTCACATTTGCCCTTAAACTGCCCTTGATAATCTCGTCGATTTGCTTTGAAAAGGAAACCACACATACCGCCAGATCAGGGCAATTATTCATCCGTCTGGTCTTGTTGTACCACGGTCATGAGTTCGGCGCAAAAAAGGCCAGATGGCGATATAACTTCAAGATCAGCTATGGAAAATACGGGATACAGCAAAATCCAAACCAACTCGCCATCCGATACTATCGTTACGGAAGTGGAAAGATATTTTCGATCGGAACCAAATCATGTAGACCGGCATTTGGTGTACGGAGGAGGGGATCATGATGCATGCGAGAAGTTTTTGAAGTTTGGGATTCAGAATGAACAGGTTTTTCTTTCATCCCACAGCATCTATATCTATAGCTGACACACTTGAAAGTTTGATACGATAATCGAAGAAGTGATCGGGAGGCCTTCTTTTTTTGTCCATCAAGGCCCGATCATCATCCACTCATCCGAGCACCCAACCGATTTGGGCACCGGTGCTGCCCACCCGTCTCGAAATGGCGTATCAGTTTTCCGAGCTCTTTCAAACAATGGGGAGAATATATCAGCGACCGTGAAGCTCTGTCCCATGTCTCACCACTTTTCGAGCACCAAATGCGAACGGCTAGGAGGCGCAACGGAGTCTTTTAACTTGCGATCGATTGATATTCTGTTCGTGCGAGGTGAACTTAATATAGAGATATCACTACCAGCTGGAGGCTCCCTGGTCTGGAAAGGGTTTTCGGAAGACCCATGGGGGACGGATGTACCATCAGCATCCGAGGCATTTGCCTTCATGAAGATCTACTCCAAGCGAACCCCATGGCGCGCTGGATCTGCGCGCGCCCGGTAGATTCCTATCGATTTAAAGTCAGGCAAGAATGTGGAAATTAGGAAAATCAGCTCACTGGTGTAAGTTCCATCCATTAGTTGATATTTCATTCTCAACCTAGACAATGTTTGCGCCTGATGTTTGATGTTGGTAAAATCACTGCCTCGTATCATCTCTATAGTCCTGGCTTCTTCGGCTAAGGATAGACGGCGAACAGACGGGAGCACTGGGATAAGAAGAAGGGTAATTCCGCTCCCTAGTTCTGATTCAAATCGCATCAATTTGCGTCCATACTGGAGTGCCTTTTTGATGTTATGGTTGTCAGGTAATCCCTCCTCTCGAATGAACGTAGTCATGGTTCCTAGGCGATGAGAGCCCAAACATGGTGTGGGCTCACTCCGTCCGGTTCGCTGGAGCCAGCTTTGCTCCCTGGTAGCCAAGTTGGTCCAATAATGGATTTCTTGGAGCCGCTGTATCCAGCAATTTGTATTCGCTCCCTCTTCTATCATGGCAGCGCGAGGCCATCCCGGTCCCGCTGGACCTGCCAAGATAATAGGAGAGAGATCAACCTGGAGAAACGAAAGGAACGAACTGAGTTGAGCTGATAAATCAGCCAATATACTTTCCGCCGTGATATGAGACATAATGGTGGTTGGGAATGGTGTGTAGAAAAGGTCCAGGATGCTGAGAGTAGCTGTCGCGTAACATGCCTGAAACGGTATAGATCAGATCCCTAAGCTCTAGACAGCCAGTGGTCTACAAACTTCAGGATTTGCAACGGATCGACATCATTCTGGGCATGCATGAGATTGCCCCTTTATCTAGGTGTCGTACTTAAAAGCCCGACCTTCCAACCGGCCAGCTACGGGGGTCATCTAAGTTGCAGCAGATAGTCGGTTTCTCAATCACCCCCAGCTAAGATGGGGCTTTGGTCATTTCTCCAGTGCTTCGGTTTGTTAGATGTAAGTGCAATTGTCTATTCAGAATCGGCCCACATTAAGACAGAACAGCGTATCGTCCACGATGGAAGTGAGCCCTTCTGCCCGGCATTTAACGCAACGCACGAGCACGAAAGCAACGACATCATAGCCCATGGCCCACCAGGAGGGAGTCTAAGAATGATTTTTTCCAGTATTGAGGGTGGGAAAATCGGCCAGCCCAAGGTGATCAAAGTTTGTTCGGCTTATTACCGTTGGGATCCTGAGGACACAGGGCCAGTTATTGATGAGCTACGGGTTGTCATCGGGTGGGAAGGATCAAAGGTCACGGATACGAAGACTTTGAAGTATAACGAGGTAAAGGATATGGATGGGGCCGAGGATGCAATAGCAGAGTTTGGGCTCATGTAATTTTTCGCTGCTGAACCGCTGCAAGCGGTTGGGATGCCAAAAGTCCTCTTCGTGATCACAGAGGGTGTTTGATCTGAACTTTACTCCTTTCGGATATTCTGCATCTCTTACGCGTCAAGTGGATTAAATACTCTGTAGCTATGCAGTTCCTCTTTCCCTGCTTTGCCCGCTTAGAAAATTCGGCAAGTCTACCAACGCCATCCGGCTCTAAGGCCTTTATTAAGATGAAATGCCCGGACTTGAATGGTATTGTACCAACCCCATATATGTTTAAATAAACCTTCTCAATAGACCGTTTGTATTTTTGAATGTTTAGAGGAAGGTAATTGATCTCAACCATTCCTCTTTAGGACGGCAAGGTTGGGCCTCGCTATATGCTCCCGACAGTCAGCACTGACCTACACCCAAAAGCCTAGAACAACCGAATCCTCCAACTACGGTCAGCCGATCAGATTCAGCCGTACTGGTAATAGTCGACTGCAGGGGCTTCGTTCTCGTCACATTAGTGTTCATGCAGAGCTTCGACTGAGTCTCCAGCGATCTTGCTTCAAATATCTTTCTATTTTATTCGATTCTCTGTCCTTTTCCCTAGGGCATACATGAAGTCCTTTACAGTATTCCGTGAAATTGTCATTGACTCATATTCCGTTTCCCGCATAATTGGCAAAGTGGACCAAGATTTCTGAACAAACTTCTCTTTCCGTGGATTCTAAGGATTTGGCTACGCATCATGGAACAGCATGCACCCCAGAAAATCCTAGAGTCTCTGCACACATTCTCGCCAATTCTCCTTGTCTTTGGTTTTTGCGCAGCTCAAGTGTTCACTACCACCACAGCGGCAATCAAGCTAAAGGATGGTACTGGTAGCCGCCAACTTCCACAGTGCACCAACGGGACAAGTGCCGCTTACAAGAAAAAGAGCTTCTCACCTATTACAAAAGGAGTCTTTAACGGGCTGTCAGTGGCTTTACTCGCAACATATTTCGCAGAAGCGGCAGTTTGTGTTACCCATGTGGTGATCGCCCGTTCTGAGCAGTGGTGGTGCGGGCAATCCGTCGTGGTATGCAGGTACAGCCTTCGATGATTTGTGAGTTCTTGAAGCTAACATCACAGATCTATATTACCGGGTCTACATTTTTCTATATAATCCTTCTTATCTCCTTGATCGAGACCCCCTCGTACCCAACAGCTACTCAATTGACATGTTGGTCTGTCGCTATCCTTACCGAAGTGGCCATTCTCTGCACTTCCTTGGTCTTGTACTGCTCCCCCCATCGTGAACGAGCAATAGGAGATCCTTTAGGAGGCCCTGTTCTGAAAGGCATAAACTCATGGGAAATTATGAAAATTGTCTCAAACGGTGTCCGCATCGTGACTCTTGCCGCTCTGATCCTGCTTTACGCCAGCAAGTCAGGTCTGCTTGCAAGCGAAATTCAAAGTTCACATGACCCGTTCAATGGAGCTACAGAGACTACTAGGCTGCTGGAATCTTCCCCCGGGGACAACCATATCAACAGCCCGATTCTCGAGCCAGTACACGGCCGCTCGTTGCCTACAGCTTCTCAACCACAGGATCCCCGCATCCACTGCACAACAATTCCCTCTAGAAACGGGTGGAAGTATGTTATGGGCTACTCAATTTTCCTCCCTTATCTCTGGCCATCAAAGTCACATGAACTCAAGATTGTGACGCTGGTTTGCCTCTTCTTGCTTGTGGTTCAGCGAATAAACAATGTGATGATCCCTATTCAAATTGGGGTGATCACAACAGCCCTAGCAAGCCAACAAGAAGCACACACCCTCTCTGTTGTGTGGCCACGGATTTTACTTTATGTCTTCTGTAGATGGCTGCAGACAGGCTTAAGTTCTCTACGCTCCGCGCTTTGGATACCGGTGAGCCAATATTCTCGCATGGAGCTGTCTACATCTGCCTTTGAGCATGTCCACAACCTCGGCTTGGACTTTCATTTGAATAAAGAAACGGGAGAAGTGTTATCGGCATTGAACAAAGGCAAATCGGTCACTGGGCTTCTAGAACAGGTCGTCTTTGAATTCTTTCCCACTCTATTCGACTTGTTCATCGCGATAGGCTACTTTCTGATTGCTTTTGATGCCTACTACGCTCTGGTCGTCGGAATATCATCTTTCAGCTATATTTATGTCACTATTCGCATGAGCCTCTGGAGAGCCCAAACCAGGAGAGAAATGGCCAATGCATCGCGACACGAGGATGCTGTTAAGTGAGTTGCAAAGGAAGCTCAAAAACTTAATGTCAAATACGCTAACGAGGGCTAGAAATGAATCGGTGGTTGCATACCAAACAGTGAAGCTTTTCAATGCAGAGCAACATGAGTTTCATCGATACCGCACCGCTGTTAGCGATTATCAGAAAACCGAGTACTATTCATCTTTGCGCAGCACAGTACTGAATACTGTCCAAAACACCGTCCTGATGACTAGTTTACTCTGCACTTGCTTTATTGCTGCGTACCAGGTGTCCACTGTTCAGAAACCTGTGGGTTTGTTCGTGACCCTGTTGATGTATATGGCACAGCTCCAGGGCCCACTGGGATATTTCGGTTCCTTTTACCTCTCTATCCAATCGTCTTTGATTAATGCTGAGCGTATATTGGAACTCTTCCGAGAACAGTCAACAGTGGTGGATAGCAAGCTTGCTACGCCGTTAGTTGCCTGCAAAGGAGAGATCCGGTTTCAGAATGTCAAATTTTTCTACGATGACAGAAAGGTTCTCTTTAATGGACTTACATTCACTTGCAAGCCAGGGACCACTACAGCCCTAGTTGGAGAGTCTGGAGTTGGTAAATCGACCATCTTCCAGATCTTGTATCGGTTCTACAACCCCGCAGATGGCAGTGTTCATGTTGACGGATATGATGTGCGGGACCTCACTGGGGATTCTATTCGCAGGCACGTTAGTATAGTGCCACAACATCTAGCACTCTTCAACGAGTCCCTGATGTACAACCTAAAGTACGCGAACCAGAATGCCACCGATGAGGAGGTCCATAACGCTTGCCGCGCTGCTGGTATTCACGACAAGATAATGGCATTCCCCGATGGCTACGATTCCAAAGTGGGAGACCTCGGCCTACGGCTTAGTGGTGGCGAGAAGCAACGCGTGGCTATTGCACGCACAATCCTCAAAAACACCCGTATTATCCTTTTGGATGAAGCAACATCTGCCCTTGATGCTGGTTCCGAAACCTTTATTCAGAGGTCCCTGAAGACATTCTCCTATGACCGCACCATACTAGTGATTGCCCATCGGCTTAGCACAATAACAGGTGCAGACTGTATCCTAGTCCTGCACGAGGGCCGAGTGGTCGAAAGAGGAACACACGCTGAGCTTCTAGAACTAAATGGTCGGTATGCAGACATGTGGCGAAACCACACCCGGGAGTAAGATGATGTTGTGCAGACAGACTGTACTTGTTTAAATCGGTTTGTGCACAGAATACATACTGGAAGTTATTTGGTCCATGAAGCAATTTGTTACAATTTGAATAACGCAATTTCAGATTTATAAGAGGCCTGCTCTTGTATAAACGCATAAACAGGGAAAATCAAAGCTTCGATCCCACAGTATCCAGCTCACGTGAGCGGCAACAGCATGGCACGGGCAACAACCAATCAGCTCAAGGTCGTATTTAAATTGTGCGTTCACGACCATGCGATCTTCGGTGATCTCTGGGGGACTCCGACCTTCCCACCTTTAATCGCTGGATCTCTCTTTCTAGTTTTTTAATCAATGCGTCATCTTTCTGAGTTGCCGAATTTGCCCTGCCTGTGGGCCCCCTTGGACGGCGACTGGGCTCACTGCGGTGTCTCCTGTACCGGCTGTTGTGTGACTGCGCGACTGCATCGCTTTCAGAGTCACTGTATTCACTAGAATCATGGCGGTAATGACCTCTAGACTTGCCCTTGGCCGACTTTGAGTAGCGCGCAGGCTCGCTTCGATATCTCCTACCATGACTGACTTCTATATCGCTGTCTTCCTCATCGTAGTCGTCATCGACGATATCCTCTAGCCCATGTCGCTCACGGTAAGCTGTCTCGAGTTCTTCGGCTTTCTGATATATCATTCGATCGCCGTCTAGTGACGAGCCAGTGGAAATACGACGAATGAATGAACGTCCTTCCAATGTTGTCACACCATCTTTCCATTTCACAAGTGCGCGCGTGTGTGGATAGGAAGCACCCTTTGCAGGCCGTAGTAGATCAAGAGGATTGAAGCCCTCTTCATCATCGTCTTCGATCTTCCAACCAACGCCAAGGATGTTCTCTACATCTTTGCGTTTGTATTTCCAGAATTCCTCTGGCAGGCCATTTTTTGTGCCGGATATTTTAGCGTTGCCACGTGTTTGTGTCAGGACACGTTCGACCATATGAGGACTGTAGCTCTCGTGAGACCCAGCTCGAATCCGATAAATAGGTGTGTTCCGGTCTCCATATCGCACAAAGATCTGAGAACCAGTGCCTTTAGGCCACCAATATAGAACTTTGGCTGATGTAAGTCGGCGTTGCTGCTTCATGGTTCTCGATTCAAGGGCATCAAGTCCCGTCTGGTTGTCATCATCAGACTCAATATCGGAACTGACTCCAAGTCTTTCGTTCATCGCCTGCTGATCGGTCAGGGTAGATTGACCATCATCGCTAGTAGCGGTAGACTCGGTATCCCCTGTTCTCGGATTCTGGGTCCCAATCATTTGTTCTGCCCATTCCTGGCTAATATTCCAGGCTTTTGGGAGATGATGCCTTTTGTTGAAAATCTTTATCAGATCGCGAGTTTGATTGAAAGCAGACCAAAATTCCTCCGGTGATTGATCTTCGACAGCTTTATTTGCTGATTGCTGCCAAGTCTGGCATAGTTTGTTATAGTAAGTCGGGTTAATAGCACCCGTCTCGACGTCCGTGACACCGTTTTGCTCATTGGTACCTCGGATAAGCTGATTGAGTCTGTCAAAGAACGCTTTGCATTCGTCGTAGGCAGGCTCTTTGGCAGTGAAAAACTCTTCAACCATTCTCTCTGACTGTTTCGATGTTTCGCTGTAAATAACATCTTTCACCCAAGCACTCAGAGGATTTGGCTCCTCCTCAATTGGTCTATCTCCATCAGAAGCATCATTCAACTCCAGATCTGTTACATTGTCTGAATCATGATCTGTTACATTGTCTGAATCATGATCTCCTGCATTGGAGGCAAAATCTCCTTCTCGGGTTGGGCTCCTTGCATACCTAACCCTGAGATCGCCCCTTTTACCTTTCGTGGCTGCGAACGTTCAATAATGGAAGTGAAATTGGATGAGGCAAATATGCACGTACTTTGGAGATCCTCTCTCTCGCTTGATATGGCCTTTCCAGAATCAACGCTGTTCTCTCGGTCGGATACAGGTGTTTGGATATCGCGTGCGCTCTTTTTGGCCTTCTGGGCCTTCTTTTTTCCTTTATTCGGCATGCTTGAATTGAAATTTCAGGGGCATATCAATATTGTGGTAGCTTTGTAGTGCGAGAAACGTTGTTTTATATGTTTACCACAATTGAGCGAATGCTACGCTTACGAATCCCGAAAGCGGTAACTATAATCACCGACCAAGAAGAGTGATACAGGACAGACGAATGATACTGGTCCAACAGAGTGTCGCAGGACCAATAGAGTGTCGCAGGACCAATAGAGTGTCGCAGGACCAATAGAGTGTCGCAGGACCAATAGAGTGTCGCAGGACCTAAAGAGTGTCGCAGGACCTAAAGAGTGTCGCAGGACCTAAAGAGTGTCGCAGGACCTAAAGAGTGTCGCAGGACCTAAAGAGTGTCGCAGGACCTAAAGAGTGTCGCAGGACCTAAAGAGTGTCGCAGGACCTAAAGAGTGTCGCAGGACCTAAAGAGTGTCGCAGGACCTAAAGAGTGTCGCAAGACCTAAAGGGCGTTGCAGGAGCTAAAGGCCGTTGCAGGATGTCACGTACGCAAATATATGGGACAATAACTCAACACTTCCGTATCCGCTGATACAGTAAGAATTATTGAAATCAATGACTGAGAGATACATATCACGAATTTGTATTCAATCCACACCATTGATATGCTACTGTAGTAAGCTGTGGGTAAATGTGTCTTATTCTTGTACTAGCTCGGCCTGTACGTCTGCTAGGAAACTAGATACAATAACTCTCCTGTTTGAGTAGTACGTCACGTACCTACCTCTGATGCAGCAGGCATATTGCCTTGCAAAAATGCACTCATCTGGTCCAGCACGCTAGAGCACTGAAGACATTTCGTCTGGTACCATTCACAAAGAGACATCCAATTCAATATATCCTGCTCGTGACGTTGGATAGCAATCCGGGACTCCTCTATTACAGACCTTTGACAGTTAATCTTATCATTTGCTTCTGTCACAGCCTGTTCATATCGGTGCGCTTCTTCTTCGGCTACTCGTAGTTTCCCAGCGAGACTGATGTTCTCAACTTGTAGTTGTGCGATGAGATCGAGGTCCTCCTGCTTTTTCAAGATCTGGAATTTTCAGTGATACCGACTCTGAATTCAAATAGTAATCAATTACCTTATCAGGTCGGACCGCCTGGAAGCTCTGGCCTACCATCTTGTGAAGCAGCATGTAAGTCCCGACTGAGTGTTTACTCAAATGCTTCTGGAACAGTGGTTCAAGAGCCGGATCATCTATCTGCCATCTGTAAGGCGTATCTTCTTCTGATTTTAATCGCACATCAGATGGTTGCACTTCAATACCAAGCGTCTCCCCTATCCGAGATGTCAGCGAATAAACGAAAGACAATTGGGTTAATGGCAATGACATATGTGCTGAGAGAGACGATTCCTGCAGGTAGCCCTCCAAGAAGCCCGCTTCTTATTCCCAAGCGACGCAAGTTGTCCATCCATTTTGTTTGTAAAGTGAAAATTATCCAGAGGTCGCTGGCCTTTTTATAGGATTTGAGACCAGCTCATCAGTCAGTTTAGGACTGTCCGGGCCCGACGGCACCATTTGGTGGTTTTGTTACAGTACGATCCTTAGGAAACTAACAGAGCTATCGACTTTAAGAAGGTCTTAGAAAATTCACTTTGAGCTGGCCGACGTGTCCACCAGAGAAAAAAGACTGGTCCCCTTCAAGCTAGTGGTATTTTACAGGAACTATTACTAGGCTTTCAACCTTGACAGTATTCCCGGTCTCGGTGACAACTTCCCAAAATGTGCTCGCACAATCTGACGAGCGAGGACCCGGGCTGAACCTTTCATAGAACAAACTTATTCTATGGAAATCCACGTGCTGCACATTTCCACCATGAGCCTCAAGGAACGAAATCAATTTAGAGCCAAGGAGCCAACAGTCTGTGATTTCGAATCTCTGTAGGCACGGCAAAGGCACAGCAGACATCAGGTCCAATAAGCCCGGGCTGTTGACCAACTTGAAGTTTCTGACGCGAGCCAGACCTTGTTCCGCAATCTCTAGAATACTCGAAGATTCATGGGTTGATCTGAAAGGCATCCCATGTATCTCCAAAGTCTGAATAGTCAGCCCATTCCACTTCGCTGCTGTCATACCTCTCAGAACTGCTTCAAAGTGGATCGCAAACGAGTTCCAGCTGTCAATAAATAGTCGATTCGAAAACCATAGCAGCTGATTTTCCTGCTCCCCAGTAAATGACAACCTGATGCACTCTAGCTTTATCAGGCGAGGGAGACTTTCCATAAAGGCACGGATATCTTTCCTTTCCTCCATGATAGCCTGCTGGTCGACAATAAGGCCTTGAAAATAAGCATAGATTTCTTTATAAGCAAAGCTGTTGCCTCTGAGATTCCAACAAAAGTCTGTGTAGTCTTTTGCATACTCCTTTGGAGTATATACGCAAGAGGTGAAATAATCCCAGTTCTGGATGACTGTGGGTGGGTGTAAGCATGGGATACAACCTTCAGTTTGGGCATGTGTGACATACCTGGATCAAATAGCTCCGAGGCATCGTAGTGGAGAATCTTCACATATGCTGCCAGAGGAGACCTTGATAATTCCTCTAGCACGGTGAAGTCAAACTCCGAGTATGTAATCTCGATCGTTCTGAACATATGGGGTTCGCTCACTGCTCGGCATTTTCTGCTAACCAGCGAGAATGATTTCATTGCGTATTTGCTCAGGTTCGATGCAATGAGTTCTAAGATTTCAAATGGGAGGTCTGTTAGATTCGCCATTTCCCATTTCGTTGGATGGTTGTTCGGATTAATTTTGTTACTTCAAAATTTTGAAGTCAGATATTTATCTCCTGAATATAACACAGTAGCTGCCGTTATATTTTGGGTGTGCTTACTAGCCCATAATAAAGCCGAATTGATAGCGCCCCACCTGTGCGACTATGTCTCAGAATCCTAGAGCAAGCTAGTCACTATAGGGACCCAGTTGACTATATAATCAGGCCACTATTATTGTTCTTCAGCACTACACTTTCATTTTGCGCCTGATGAATCCACAAAACCTACAGACCATCCTAATCAACATCGTGAAGGTGAGTTCTAAAATCTCGTGGAAATTGGTGATGGATATCTAATACATTTTAGAATGAAAGGAAGGGTATTCTGGTCATGTGCATTATGCACACTGTCTGGGAACCAGAAGCTAAACATCAAATTTGTCCCATATGACCCGGGATCTTCTTTTACAATCATGTGGTCTCACATTCTCCCTGCTAAGCGACGCATCAACATATACACACTCTGTCAATCTTGTTTGGCAACTATGGGGTGCACCTCGTTCGAAGAGGAGATGAGTCTGATCCTCAAAGTCAAGAATCTGCAGGTTTTTCTTGATAGGAAGGTCGCGTGGACTAAGAAGGAATGGAAATTCTGGGTTCACAACCGCGAGTTCCAGGAAATCCATAGAGCTGTGAGCGATACTCATGATATATGCCTCCACCTCGCTGGCAGTGCCGCATTACCACTTGCAAATTACTGAGGGAATCGGAGGTCAGGGAGAATGATGATATTAAAGGATCACTGCGTGAGGGATAATTCGTTAACTGATGAAGTAGCCCAACTAGGTCATATATAATACTTCTCTAGTTCTGGTTGGATCAGTAGTATTTGCAGTAGAGAAGCGAGTACGGCTGTAAGGTACACAACAATGAACTGTGAATCCTGTGAAATGAGCAAAGGAAAAGAAGAACTGTGTATTGAAAATGGTTTAATGGCTATATGCATTGTCAGATCATAGAAACGACACCCCGGAAGCCAGATTGCCAACTTAGCCGAGGGGCATCGCCGCGATCTTAGGAGGCTAGATAAGTTCGAAGGGATAATGTCTCAATCCAGAAAAGCAAGCAATAGGATATAACCCATAGAAAACAACACCATTGAAGCTGAGATACGATACAATGCCTGAGATATAATACTTCTAGAGATTCCCATATTTTCGGCTGTTGGCTTCTGCATAGCAGTTGGACGGGAAACTGATGACGTCTCTGTGGTTATTTTGCTTGCTATCGCAGTTGGTAAAGATAGAGGAGCATATATAGCCTCCTCGGTCGTTGAGATAACCGGTATATTCATCCAATTCAGGTCTTTCGGCGCTAACGTAGCCTGTACAGAGATTGTTTGCCGTGCATGACAGGATGCGTAGGTTGTACCATCAATGTGGCAGGATAAAGATGCGGTACTATACAGCAGTTATATTCATTAGAAAGTGGCTATAGACTGGTGAAGTGTCCCTCACTTGTTGACGTTATTTGAATGTCTTAACTCTGCGAATGTCGGCGCAGCGATGACCGTCATGCCCTCCCCCGGTATCCCACACTCCGATGCTCTTATAGTCTTGGGGCAAATCACAATATAAGTTGTGACACTCAGATTCTGTATGAAGTCGGCATGTGTCAAAAAAATAAAAGTAAAACGAGTATTCTGTACAGTATACTGGACTTACCCTCTCTTTGATACTAGCTTCAAGTGAATGCCCCTGAAAACCCGGCAGTAATAAATTCGCCATCTGCGACGCACCGATTGTCGCCAAACAGAACCAGGTAGCGAGAAACATCGTGGTCTGCGATTTCCAAGTAATCATCCCTCGCTGAAGCAAAATAAAAAAAAAGGGGCCCATCTCGCATCTGTATTGTTCAGGTCTGAAGCAGAGGCGTACACAGAATAAAGAGAAGTTGACCAAGGTTGCTCCGCTGGTAATTCATAATTCATCTCCTTTGATTTAAGACGTTATATGACGTAAAACCCCACCTTTACTACTACAAGAGCAAAACTGTGTTGGTGTTGCGACATCGTTCTGGTGCTGCGACAACGTTCTGGTGCTGCGACATTGTTTTGGTGCTGCGACATTCCTTGTATTTGATATTTCGAGGGTCCGGTGGCTTGACGGATGATGTCCTGGTCTTGGACCTGCTCCACAGGGTAATAACACGTCATTACAGTACTAATCATCATATAGGTATTGATGCGACAAGTGATAGCTGAAAATACTGAGTATTGAGATGGCTGTACAGGGGATTTCGAGAATAGCCATTTACGTCTACGCATATCCTCAAATGATTAATACTTGTAGTATTTCCTTTCTTTTCTGAGATGTTTTAGAGACTAGAGGTCCTTGTCTGCTTGCAAATCAAGAGGCTCCTGGTATGTCTCCACAACAGGCATTTATTAGTATGGTTGGCTATAGGGGTGTGATCTTGAGGCGACTGGGCCTAGCCCGCTAGTGGGGGTTCCGGAAGGAAGGCTAGTGTGCCTTGGGGTAATTTGTTACAGACACGTATCAACAGTAATCACACTCTCCGTGGCCATATTTTGCCGAACAAATGCACGGACGATCACGGTCACACCCTCCGGGATAGGTTAGTGTCGTACGCTTTGTCTTCCAAGATTCGAGCTGCCCGCTACATGTAGACTCCATCTCATGTATGCTCTTCGGACTATGAGTACGTTCCGTGGCCCTTCCCCGCTTTAACAATCATCTATTTTTGGACTGATGGAGAGAGCGATACCGCTGGGGCCAATCTTGACTGGGAATTAGGCGCTGTTGGTGATAGTCATTGACATCCTGGCGAGGTCACGCCAGTCACACTCTCACGGCAGATCCAACTTGAACGCTTGAGATCACACTAAACAGCAAGCTAAGTAACCGCGCTAATCCCGCTACATTCGAAATATCTCTGATAAGCGTGAGATTAGACTGGCAGACAACTATAAATCAAGTGCTGTCGGAGCGCAACGCTGGTTTCATCCCTCCACTTTTGGACTTAGCGGCTAGGAAGGTCCAAGCTTAAACGATATTCGTATTCTTTCTAAATGATGTTATTCAAAGGCATAGAAGGCATAGTGCCTATCTCGTCACATGACGAAAGGACGAATACCTAAGCTAAGCCGTCGGGACGGCCCAGTAATCCTCCCAGAACCCTAAAATACGCGCCAATTTACATTAATGTACTAGATTAATATGCTTCCGAAATCCCCAGTAACGCCGTATAGCGCTCGGGGAGCCCGGAACGTGGGACTTGGTCATAACGCGGATATGTAGTAAGAACTCAAAGGGAAGGTGGTGGGCCTACAATAGTGCGAATTGCAAACGGATAACCTAACCGCAAAGGAATCATCAAACGACCGATTCCTAGGACATCCTCAAAGGTGTTAAGTCGCCAACAGTAAAGCCGGAACCGCCGGAACTTGCATACCAAATAACCACATGGTAATTTTCCAAAAGTTTTACTCCATCTAGCCCCTTTAACAAGGTATAGATTGCATTTCGACCGGACTATGTACCTGTGTTGACTGTATTAGTCGGTAATGGCCACCGAAGATCTCCAAGTTTCCAGCAGGGGCTAGGTAAGCCACAACGAATTAAAGACAAAGTCTGAAAGTCAAACAGTCTGTAGGGTCGTTTGTCCAATAATGCGGCGGCATAGCTGATCGCACTAACCGGAGCACAGTCAGATTACCACGAGCCCCCCCAGAAGAACGCGCCGATCGCAATCTCCTTGCTCCCTCTGAAATAGTATGCAGTCATATTGCGCAGTTTTTCAATCTGCCCCCGCTTAACCTTTCAAGAAATGCTGGCCAGACCTGGCCCTAATAACGCCCACTGTATGTAGGTCCGCAATCAGATTTCAGGCACAGTCCCATAGACAAACGGGTTCTTGAGCCTTCACGACGGCCCAGGAATAGGTCTTCCGAGCTCTCCTAAAGTAAGCCAAGGATCACGAGTCTAGCGCTGGAAATAGGGACCGTTTAGGGACAAAAGTTCGCCAAGTCTACAAAACATCCGCTTACATAGTCGAGGTACTTTTGCCGATCAGTTGAAGATGGTCTTTGCAAAGAGACAAACTAGTCCTTGTCGGCATTAGCAGGTCCGTACACTCCTGTTGCTTGATATCCAATAACGTTGTAAGCGAAAATAATAGGAGACACTATCTGTGCAGTATTCCTTGCAAAAGGTTATGTACAAAATTCCTTGGCTTCTTGAGTAAAGGACAAAGGTCTTTCCGTGATGATCTCAACGCTTGACTGTTCCGACATACCCTTGCTCATCTCATCTGGACTTAATCCACCTGGGTGATGCTGGCCGAAACTCGCCAATCGAAGCTCTTGCATCATCTCTAGAGGCCTAGATTTCAGCTCTCGTATCGCTTCTTCGCGCTCCCGAACGATGGATTCCAGACTTGAGATCAATTCTCGTTGGTGTTGATTTTCAAGCAAAAGATGACCGTTCAGCCCTTCACCATTGACCTGTTCGCGCTGGCGCTCTCCGGGGGCCAAGTGCTGCAGCAGATATTCAATGCTTGGAACCTGAGCGAGACGAGACTCGAGTTCCTGTACTTTCTCCTTTTCAAACCCTAAATCTCGGGCCATAACCCGACAGGCCTCTGCCATGTGGGCCAATGAGGTCTCGAGCTGCGATCTTTGATACTGGAGTCCGCAAACCACCCTCTGTAACTGCAGGGTATGGGCACGGGAGCGTTGAAACTCTACCACATCGCTATTGATTTTGAATTCCAACTGGTCTTGGTAGTGCTTTGATTGCTGCTCTTGGCGCAGTAGAGCTTCGATGCAGGTAAATATATTTTGGTCATCGTCCACAGCCTGTGTGCTCTTCTAAAAATAAGTTGTAAGGTTATTAGTTGTAGACAATATAATGGTTTCCTGCTTTACCTGACGCGCCTCTTCTTCGGAGGGGAAGGCTCCCGTAAATCGGAGAGACATGTCCACATGTAATAGCACCTTGGGCGATTTCCTTCGTTGTATTCGTCAATTTGAGAGGATGCAGCGAGATCCATATACCCAGTATCCAACGTACCTTGGCCTTACTGTTCACAGGGACTAGGATACCATCTGGGTGTCGCTATTCTGACTCATGGTGCATGTTGGGTACTGGAAAACAGGTCTCGCAATACTAACCTGTCGCGCGGTCACCAGAATGGTGTCGCAGCTAGTGTAGAGGTAGGGCAAACGCCCAAGCTCTTAGAACCGATTGGATTTCCTTTCCGTTCCTTCAATTTCTTTTTCTTCCCTTTCCTTGACTTTCCTTTTCGGTCTTTTTTCTCTCAAAAAAGGATAGAAGCGTAGATCCCAACAGTTGCTCTTGTTCGCCATTGGCTTTTTACTATGCGCCCATGGCTTCCCTATATTTGTCAGTGCACCGTTTGCTAAGGAGTCACCGCGTAGACAAACGTACATATCCATTTTACATTTTTTGTTCCTTGATTTGGAACACAGTAGGCCCACCCCCGGGCAGAAACATAAGTGGTGCGGACATCTAGACGCAATGATTTGCCATTTATTGATAGCTCTATTGTTTGCACTGGCTCCATTTTCCGACTTAGATACAAGTTGCCCCCCTCTCCGGTGCTCGCTTTCGCTTGCGTCATCGGGTGCGATGAAAAAAGGTGGTCTAGCATCCAAGTAATACAATACAATCCCGTTCCCGGGTAGTAGGGCTGTGGCATAACTTCCTAAGCCCTTTATCCATCCAAGTGATCCGCAGTCTCTGCCTTATTTACAATGAGTCGGTATCCAATTGAGCGCCTTGAGCCTATCTCTGAGGACATAACACCGGCAGACCATCAAATCTTATGCCTTGGAGGGACTTCATCCAATCTCGAGAGACTACCTTCCCGATTGCAGCGTGCGAAGAGGTCTTCTCCCGATTTGAAGACCCGAATGGAGGACTTCGCATATGAAATGAGTTATCTCAAGGCAGAGCTTCAATGGCACAAAGAGACCAAACAAATTTTATTGCAGCTTCAGGAACGGATGTATGCTGTTTTCAATTCACTGGAAGACGCACTTTCTCAGGCTACAGCACGACTGCATGAATCAGAGCGGCAATACTTGGACCTCTGGCAGTCAGAATCAGGGAAAGTAGAGGGGGGTTACTTCTAGAACATGAAGGCCATAAGATCGTTGTTTGTTAAGATGGACTTTGGCTAGTTGAAATAGCCTACTAAGTTGTGGGAGTTGTTAAGGATATAGTAAGGCAGTTATATGTATATCAAATGAATATGTCTTGGGTCTTTGGTTTCCTTACGCAAGTGTTACTCTAGCGGTGTGATATGTGTTGATTGATGGATAGCTATCTTTTGGGAAAATCACAAAAATCTCTCATCATATCCTTCTCACGCTTTACAATCTCTAACAAGTAACCATCCAGAGTTTTGAGCTTGAGATCGAGGCTTACCATCTTTTCGTTCACATCATCAAGCTGATGGTTCATGCCACCTAGCATGCTACCTAGCTGGTTTTCCATATTATCCACCTGATGAGCTATAGCGTTCACATGTTGCTCAATGCGGCCAATGGAGTTTGTACATGCGTTTATCTTTGACTCCAATTCGTTCGCCGAATCGCCGTATTGGTGAATCGTGAATGTGAACTGCTCCATCTGGAGAAGTAAACGTTCGGCCGTTTGGGAAAAGTCAAACTTTGTTTCATTTAAGCCGGGCATCGGGATTGAAGAGTAACTTGCGTTCACGTGTGGTTAGAACGACAGCACCCATCTCAACAATCAGAGGGCAAAGGTTATCTTTGCTTACCCGTTGTGCTGAAAGGTTTTGACGGGATTTCTGCAGAGTCCCTCCGCCATATAGGCCTCTGATGGATCCTGATACGTATGAGATGCGACATCAGGAAGTTGCAAGTCATCATCATGCAAGAGTTCATCAATATTCAGGACGGAGTTGTCTGTAACTGCACTTTCATTTTCATTAAGTTGTGGAAAGTACGACAGGATTTGACTGGTTGTCGATATTTCATGCATAGAAGGACAACGCATCGGGGCCTCGTGGGGGCCTGTGCTACCAGGAAAAGTCATGATTGAAGAATGTAAAAGCAACCTCTAGTTGCAGAGGCCATTTAATATGTCCCATCACTTGAGCGCACTCCGTACCAACAGGAGCCTGTGTTGGAAGTCCGTATTATTTGATTGGCCGCATAGTCAAACTAGATACTGAACTAGAACAGGCACTGTGGCAAGGATTTTCTGGTTGCCATTTGCCACCACCAATATTTATATTCATTCATAACAAAAGTACATTGACGTAGGACGAGCGATGAGTGGGTGAGAGTGGGTGAGAGTGGGTGAGAATAGGGTGAGCGTGGGGTGGGTAGATGTATTAGTGTCAGGGGGTTAAGAAGTGATCACCCTTTCACGGTGGCCTATAGTCACGGTATCGTGAGTCCAGACTCCATTATCACCCTAGCTATGAAACAATCCGTAAAATGAAGGGGTAAACTGGAGCTTAAATACATTGCCCATCACTCTCAATAAGAAAGAAAAGAGATTCCATTTCATGTGTCTCACACAATGCAGAATACGATAGATATCGGCTGGTTTGATATCGGTGTCCGAGAGGATTCCAGTTTAGCTGTCCTAGATCACGGTCGCCTGCCAAATGTGGTCAACCAGTTGCCTGACCCCCAAAACCAGTACCCATCGTTATGTGTCTTTCTGGGCAGGCAAACTAAAGATCACGCCCTTCAGCGGTTGTATAACCAGAACAATATCAAGAGACATGTTTCGAAATCAATGATCCAGCTTAGATACGATGTCGCCTCCTTCGAAAGTCGAGAGCCCGTTCTTTTGGCGGACGGTGACATTATGGAGGGGGAACGCTTCCATCCCAAATTGAAACTCGACGCTGGAATGGGCCAACCCGTGTCGTGGGATAACTATTCTGCGGGCAGACTGCTGCAAGTACTGTGGTCACGGCTTGTTTTTCTGTTCGCGGATGTGGTATGTATTTTCATTGATGACACTTCAAATATGAGAATGGTCGAGGAGTTCCTGGTTAACTGCATGGAACTGGGTTCGGCATCTTCCCTACCTAGGACACTTTTGCCGAGATTGGTTGTTATATATGGGACTGGAGCCACAAATAAGAATCTTGAAAGATCATTCGACAGCGTGTTCTACGAGTATCTTCAAAAAAATGGGTACAAAGACTTGTCTGAACTGTTCTCCAAGGTTTCCTTCATTGGTCTACACAAGGGCGGTTTATCAGAAACGGCGAACTATCTGCGGATCAAAGCCTATATCACCGACGAAGTAACGGAAATATCTTTCCTTCGACAGGTACATCATGCTCGTCCAAATGCTACTCACTTTCAAGCGCTGTTCCAATCAGCGTTTCACCATACTCTCGACAACCGGAATGCTTTCGATGTGGTGAAAGCCACGCGAAGGGATCGCCCGGTAAGTCCGAGCACGGAATCAAACCTCGTACACTATCTTGAGATCGCCGATCGCGCGCGCTTATCTTCGGATGAGTTAGCTCCATCTATTGCATCGGCCCTTTTCATGGATCATTACGTACCAGGAATGTTTGGTATGTTAGGAATACTCTCTCTATGTTAATGAACCTAACAGTTGTAGCAACAAATCCCCGTGATGTTTTCGGATCCCTGTACCGCAAGATCCTGATTCAGGCGCATGGAAAAGTTCAAGAAACTTGGTCGGGCTTATGCCCAGAAGAACAGACAAATCTAATCGAGAGACATTTCTCTGAACAGTTCGACCTTTTCTCCGGAGGTTTGATAAACGTGGCAGACCTACGAAAACAGCAACTCGAATCTCAGAGCGGTCAACTAAGTTGTTTACGGAGTAATCTCATCTGTCTGTTCTGCCTCCTGCATAGCGCGCAACATGTTTTAGACTGCGGTCATACATTTTGCGATCGCTGTGCCCAGGTCTATGGCGAACCGGTGGCGGGGTTAGAGTACCAATTTACGGTCACAGGCTGTCTTTACTGCCTCTACCGAAAGCCTCTCATCGTGGATGTTCTTCCACCAACCATGAGCCCTTCTATCCTTGCACTCGATGGGGGAGGGGTCAGAGGCGTTATACCTTTGGAATACCTTCTTCTTGTGCAGGAGCATTTGCAGCCTTCGACCATCCACAATGTGGTGGACCTCGCTATCGGCACAAGCTCAGGTCAGTCAAAATCAAACTTTTAGGACCCCAATTTATTGGCATAGCAAATCTGATTATAGGATATTAGGGGGGCTTATTGCTCTGGGATTGTTTGCAATGTTGTGGGATGTTGCAGAATGCTCCGAACGATTCAATACACTGGCGAACCAAATTTTCAGGCAGAGACGACGGTCGATTTTGCCCCCGCTGCTTTTCCACGTCTCGGGCTACAAGTCGCTACTAGGTGAACTGGTTAAATGGATTCAGTGGCTTCTACACGATAGTTGTTATGACTCTCAGGTCTTCGATGCCGCTCTGAAGAGCGCGTTTGGAGAAAATCGCCGTCTTTTTGGTGCTACACGGGAACGTCTTCCGGGTCATAGACGGTCCGGTCTGAAGGTGGGAGTAATTGCAACGAGTATTTCTAGGGACACAAGTGCATTTGTCATTGGGAATTTCAACATATCCGAGGACTCGAAGGACAAATATGGCAAGTTATACGTGACTATGTGATGTGCTTTTACTGACACTCCTAGGGCACCGCATAATGCGCCCCGACGACATACGAAACGAGCCTAGCGTGTGCAAAGCGTACGTTTTTCCCCATTACGTGGTTGGAGGCGAAACTACGCTAACAGGCAAAAACATAGTGGGCGTGCCACAGCAGCCGCTCCTTTGTAAGTTCATCCCATGCATTAGCTTCTCTTAGTTCACTAAATGATTGGTTCGCAAGCTTTTTTACCCCTGTAGATTTTGAGGGTGTTGGTTCCTTTCAGGATGGTGGATTGAAACACAACTTTGCTGGGGAGGTCGCGAGCCAGGTTTCTAACCAAATATGGCCCCTGTTCATGGGATCCATACGGATGATATCGATGGGAACCGGAAAAGCCCCTTCAAATGAGCAGATCCCTCATTTTCGCCACGTCTTTCGTGACAGTTTTATTCGCAGGGGTTTCGACGCATGGATGTCTACAATGGACACAGACACCGAGTGGAAGAATTGGGTAGGGAGGCTGAGCGAGTCAGTCAGAGGTGACTGTCATCGCTTAGATGTCTCATTGGCAAATACACCACAGGCGATTGACGCGGTGGGGGCCATGAATGATTATCGTGACCTTGTACTTCTCCAGCCCGGAAGCGCACGGATGGCCCGGGACGCGGCAACCACGTTGTTGATCTCTAGGTTCTTTCTCCAAATTAGCTCGTTACCAGAGCAAACAAATGTGCCGTTTTGGTGCCCCGGGTCAGTGCGTTGTAAAGGCCCAGCCCGAGAGATCATCCTTGCCTTGGAAAATCTTTACCCAGAAGGCCTTAGTTATGTCTCAGACGGCGGACTAATTGATGTATTCGGGGGGATGGACAGTCTATGTGCTTCATGTGGTTGTTACAATCATCCAATCTCGTTCTTGACTCGCCATTTGGACTATACTGTTAATGTCTACATGCAGTCACAGACAAAGAAAAGGTGGAAAATATCTGGCTTTCCCGAAAGTGTGGCTACCTTTGCTTCGAGACAAGGTTTGCAGTCATCATTCGGCCACAGAGATCATGGTTCGCCATGTCGCAAACCGTGCCCGGACTGTGATGTCAACAAAAGTGTCACTAGAAACAAAAGAAGGGTCGCCGAATCCTGGCAATCCAGAGACCCCGGCTCTAGAAAACGCACCCAAGTTTGAGTCACGAATCAGATGTGGATATTGAATAATCCCTGGAGCCTCCAGAGAATAGATTTTGAGTAGCCCATAAAATATAAATAATGGCTACTTCCTTTGTTGCCCATTCATATCAGATTCAAATTCTTATAGCCTAAGTCACATCTCTGCCAGGTTTCAAGTTCTAGGCTCGTTCAGTCTACGATGGGTGGCCCTGACTCGCAGAGAAACCCCCGCGTTACATTTCAAAAGAGATGCAGGACCCTCAAGGAGAAAGCTCACCAGCTTTCGGAAATTTGTGGCGCAGAAGTTTACCTGCTTATCGTTCACGACCGAGAGAATTATGTCTACAATTCCTCCTACAACCCCTCATGGCCACCTAGGGATGAATTACTCGTAAGTTTCCCAGGAGTTCAATTATAGAGTTTTGCTAAGAATTCAACAGGAGACGCTTTACACTGAGCCAAGGCTAATCCGCAAAACTTTCGATGACATGAAAGGCATATGTATCCCACCTCGCGAACCTCAAAGGCTCAAGGAGTATTTTGCCGCAAGGCATGAGCTATATGCTACTCTTGAGGATCTCCATAAAGCGGTGGAATTAAGGTATCTCGACATTCAGGATGAGACAAATAGCAGCAACGAGACAGAAATCTAAGTTTCATCGCATTTTATATATGATTCTATCATGTTACGCAATTAGGGTAGATTATGGCACGCTGACTCCTTCGACGTCGTATTGATCCCAATTATATGACGAGGACCTTTTGGTGCTTGCGTAAAATGGATTCAAGACGGCTTCCACAGATATGGCTTAGACTGTTTGGGCACCTGAGAAAGGTCTTGGCAGGGAATACAAAAAGAAAGCAGTATCCGCAAAGGTCTCACGTAGCAACGTCTTAACTATGGGTTCTACTTTCTCCCCCCGGGTTGATCCAGAAGGCGGGATATCATATGAGCCCTTGGAGACACGCTACGTTCGAATGATCCTCGAAGCCGACAAGGCACCATGGCAATATAATCTGCTGGCAAGTGGAGCTCATTGGGTTTTACTTGCAGGTTATCTTGTAATTCCTGGCACGTTCACATCTCTTCAAAAATCAGACACCCTCCACAATACATTGTCAGATAACGAAGCGGGAGAAATTATCCTCAAGAGCATCCAAAATCCCCCACTACTTGCGCTGGCGAGTGTTTTCTTTGTCGTGGGATTGGCACTCCTGGGTCGGCTTTACTATGAGTATAGGAGCAACTATATATGGCTCATCAATCGTATATTCATGTATGTAACGAATGTCCTCTCCGCCCTGCCTTCTGTGTATTCTCTTATATTAGGATCCCTCACTGAGATTACACTACTAGGCCAACTCTTCTCAATTCATCCGCTGGTCTTCTAACCACCATGGTCAGCCTTTACACTGGGCATGGAGGTGACTGGTCAATTATGGCTCTTCTGACGGTGATTGTGTCCAGTCTTTCCGTTGCATCTTCATTTTTTTTATTGATAGTGTACAAGCTTGTCAAGCTTGAAGAGGTAAAGCGAGAGCACGATGAAATTCATAGTGCACGTCATCATTTCCTTCATTCTTAGATGCTGCAATGTTTCGCAAATGAAGATTCGTTTTGATCCAGACAGCCTTGTTTCTGTCAATTTGCCCGAGACTCGGAACTTTCTTGCATAATGAGACTTGAAAAAATCGAGATATCACTTTCAATTTTCTACAGTATAATTGCCAATAGAAATTGTACCTAGTAGCGGGGATCAAATGTCAGAATAAAGCGGGTCGCTATGACCAACGAAACGTACGCCTGCAATCACCAAACCGTGCCCCTGTAGGCACCATATAAATTCCCGCAACCACCATAACGGATCCCTGCGACCACCATAACGGATCCCTGCGACCATCAGAACGGATCCCTGCGACTACGAAAACAGTTACTATCAAAGTCTGTGGGTCGACAGTTCAGGAGATGGATTATCTCTTACCGTCATAATATCCGCCATGACCCATTATGTTTTGCCTACTGGTTTCTGAGATTGGTAAGAAGCATCTCGGCTCCCTAGATATTTAAAGGTCTGTCCACCGATTCTCTCTAATTTTATGCATGCTGTGGTACAGTAAATTAACAATGGATGCACTCGCTATCTACGCTATAACAGCAGGAAGCATACTCCTAGGCCTCGTCTTCATCAGACTTCTAAGGTCACTCACTTGGTGGAAGGATTCTGTTCGTGTCTTTATTTATCGTCATATTATTTATCGCTATGTTGTTTCTCGCCACAGATTTTGGGGCCCTTGGAGCCCAATCGGAATAATTGAACATCTGATATATATCACGGTGAATTCTATCCTCGTTCTTTTCCGTGGAACCTCGATGGAAAATGTTGCACGACGCGCCGGTAGCCTATCTCTTATCAATATGGTACTACTCCTGGGAGCAGGCTACTTGAGCTACGCGGCCGATCTTCTGGGTGTTTCTTTAGCAAGATATCGCAAGATGCATCGAGCGGCGGGTTGGATGACAATGGGGCTGGCGGTGCTTCACGTCGGGGCTATTGGGTTTGACCTTAAGAGCTCATCCACTCAGTTAAGTACACGAGGTATATTCACCATCATTGTATGTGAAAATAAACAGAAAAGGGTGGCTCTATATTCAAGTCTGATGAACATGATAGGCAGTTGCAAGCTTGGGAGCTCTTACGTTGATGTCACTTCCATTTGTGCGAAACATTTCCTATGAATTTTTTCTTAGATCGCACCAGGGCCTGACAATTGTGGCTGTATACGGACTTTGGAGACATATCCCAAAAAGAGAGCTGCTGCCATGGCTATACCTTATCATCGGTATAAGTGCTTTTGCTGCCACATCAGGCTTGTTCTTCGCCGGGTTGCTATATCGGAACGGAATTTTCTCGGGAAATGGATGCCCGAGGGCAATTTTATCAAGGCACGGACATGAATCCATTGAAACCTCTACAACCCCATTCAAAGTTCGACTGCTCCTACCAAGGCCAATAAATGTGAAAGCTGGGCAGTATATCAACTTGTGGCTCCCTGCAGTGAGCTTTTGGTCATGGACACAAACTCACCCCTTCACGGTTATTTCGTGGTCACAGGAAAAGCAATCAGTCCTAGAGCTTCTGGTTCAGCCTCGCAAAGGTCTTACGGGAACAATTGGTCGCCAATTACGAACTATCGGCTCGGAGGGGTACTCCTCCATGGCCCTCTACAGCGGGCCTCATGGCCTCAGCGAGCGCGTTGACGACTACCAATACGTGCTGCTTGTTTCGAGCGACTCTGGGCTCTCGGCTGTCTTACCATACGCTAGGAAATTGATCCAAGGGTATAAAACATGTACTTTGCGTGTTCGTCGTGTACATCTTGTCTGGCAAGTTGAAAATCGTGGTAGGTCACTCAAAAGCGTTGAAGAAGAGCAGAACCCAACTAATGAAGTAGAAATTGCGGTCATGGCACAGGAGCATATCAATGATTTATTGAAAGAAGATATCCCAAATGATGGATACGTACGTAAGAGCTTGCATAAACCGAAGGAATCGAATCTGACAAGCGAGCAGATACTAAGTGTGTCGATTTATGTGGGAAAAAATCCGTCATTGCTTGAAAAATTGTCTTTTGGAAATCATGAGCGAGCTTGTTTTTACGAAGGAGCCCCTGACTACGAAGACATTGTCATAAGTGAACTTTCTGAAAAGAATCCTACGCAAGAACCGTCGTTACAAATTGATCGGGGTGAAATGCTTCTTCTAAGTGAGATAGCTCTCTCGAATGCTTTTGATGCGTATAAAGCTAATTTGAATTACTTCTACTAGCGTCCGCGTCTGGAGATATCCGTGATAGATTGCAGGAAATTGTGCGACGCCACTTGGATCAACGTTTGAACCTGATCAACCTTGAATATCAACCATAGTCTAGATGATACAGTAGTGAAGGGCAATCAAAGAAAACGTCCCACTTTCTAATATCTATGCACGTAGACACGGGGAGCTGAAGCTGGGAAAGCTGAGAAGGGTATCGAAGAAACTAAACACAGATTGTTTCAAAGTTAGCGTGGAGCTTAATACAAATACTGGTTTTGAGATACAAGAACCAAAACCACACCTTGGGCGAAGACTAACAATGGACTACCTACCCATTTGTAGGATACAGCCAATACCAAACAGGTTCATTGTACGACAGAACATCAGAATGATAGAAAACGATGGAAAGCAGCATATGGCAATCATAATATGTATGCACTCTAACGTGTCGAATTATTTTATGATGTGTAAGACCAAAATGTCTTGGTAGAATGAATGGCAAACCAAGCTAACCCGATAAGGGTCTCCTTACGAAAAGGTATCTCGCTGATCAGGGGGTGCTTAAGGCAAGAGAATGTCAGAAGTACTCCTTGCGCTGGAAAAGAAGTGCCATACCTTCATGAGAGATTTCAATGAGCTGGCAGAAGTCGTGGAGGAGAGGAAAGTAACAGGAGGTGAATCAGAGGGCCAACGATCCACATTGTCAATACCAACAATGCCATCGTCCTTGGTGTAATTTTGCAACAGCTCCATCATAATACTACCCACCATATCTGTATGGTGAGGCTTTTCCTTGGTTCTTGCAGTACATCTTTCCAGACGGCCTAGATCTTCGTCAGCTTAAATCCAGCTAGGTCTACATAATAAGGGCCGGTGATACCAATCTTAATGTGGCCATTGGTGTCCATCAAGATCCCGGAGGAGTCCAGAGACGCATGCTGTAGGCCCTGGGTTTCTATGTAGGAAAGGCCGTTCAAAATCTGTACATCCATCATTATTATGTGCATCGACCAGGGCCAGGGTCAGGGAGCCGACCTGGGTCATTATGGCATTCAGCTGTTCCTTATCTGGGTAGTGACGGCAAGCCACAATATGCCCGAGGGTCAGAGGCATAAAATCACCTATAATAAAAAGACCCTCAGTGGTAGCGAAGGAATCTGTTGTTGACGCAATATTTTCGTGCTCAGTGAATAGGAGTCTGTGAAGAAGCTCATCAAGTTCGTCGTCCCCAGGGAATGTCCTAAGGAAATAGAGCCGGTTAGGCCTGGATTTCTTTGCGACAACCACCGCTTGTCCGGCTAGGTCGCACTCGTAAATCTTTTCAAATGTATTCCATGGTGATTCGTGCTTGACTTTTTGGGCAGTTGATTTGTTAGATTTAGCTTTAGGGGAAGGTATCTGATCATGCGTAGTTTTCCGTTTCCTTGGGGGTGCCGTTTGATAGGTAGTTCGCTCATGACCACGTTCTTGGTTTATTCTTGTATTCTTGGTATGCCCGGGCCCTGAATCGTTGACCTGCCCATCAATAGCCTTGTCAAGGGGGATATTGAAGCATGTGAATCTTCTCTCTTCATTGTCCATCAGTACTAGGGATAGAGTAGCAGGTGGTAAGGTTGGAAGAAACGGGTGAACCTAATTCAATTGAAGTCAGATGCAATTTCCAGCTTCATGAAATATCTGCTGCAGAAATAAGTAGAAGCCAAGGAAAACTGAGGGGAGCCACGACAGGCACTAGAACTCGTGGGGCTTCTCACCACGGCATTCATGCGGGTACCGTAACGAATCCCTGCAGCCACAAAACGGATCCCTGCAAGCACCAAAACGGATCCCTGAGACCACCAATACCTTGATCAGATGCCAACGAGACCATGTTTGATCGTACCCATGAAAGGTTCCTTGGTGCAGCCCTTATCAGCATTTGGAGCACGTCCATAAAATTCCCACGCTCAAGCTTACGAAGCCCTTTTATAGGAAACAGTCACATTACTATTCCTATATCGAAAGACCAATTTCGCAGAAACTCTCGTTATGCGTCGTGCTTTTCTGACCGAAGATGAAGTCAAACAAGCTAACGAGCGGCGATTGAAGTACAAAGGCGCCGCCCGAGTTATGATTTCGGAGATCCATTTTGGGGGTCCAAGAAGCCAGTGGGTTGATCATAGAAACGTGGAAAGGCTTTGTAATATTTTCCAAAAGAGCGGTTGCCGCCGGTTTGAGCTCGCCAACTACGTACCCGCCACCCTCTCACGGCAGGCGTTAGCGGACGCGCTGAAGAACGCTGATATCCACGCTCATTCGCTTTTAACGAGCTCTGGGAAAAGTATACCTACTTTAACATTTCCAAAAGGCCAGTTAAGAGGTCTTCATGGCCGTCACCGCTTGTATGCTGCGTCAAAGGTATTAGCGCCCGCCGAGCGATGGTGGACGGTAGATCTCTTCTTAGACGGTATGTCTTCAACAAGAAATTGTTCATTTCTAAACTGATCGGATCTCCATTTAATAGACCTCAGTGTACCCCTGAGAACATCATTGATTGAGGAGTACGCCAACGAGAGGAAGCCAACAGATGGCGAGATATATAGGAAAATCCGACAGTACGAAAGTGAGGGAAATAGTTTGCTTCGACGGAAGTGGTTGTCGCGCTTATCTGAGAACAACCAAAACCGAATGAAGCAGCTAAGCAAAGAGACCAATGAACAACTACGTGAAGGATTTGATAGGTTACTTGCCATTCCGGGTCTTTGGCTGGATGGTATGAAACTCAGCCTGCTCCATCGGCTTATTGCGATTAGGTCGATCGAGGTACATGTTCCAGATCCTGTACACTTTCAGTATTCTAACAGCTATCCAGGAAGTGCTCACATACCTTGATCACATTTTTGACACATACTTGTCTTTTGTCGACGGTGACCGAGCTGCTCTCACACGCATTGATCCTGAGACAGTGCTGCAATTACAATCAAAGGCTCCTGGAAACTGCAAGACCGATGCAAACAAAATCAAGGGACTCATACTTGGCCGGCAAATATTTTCTTCCTTTGATGAATCCCAACGCAAAGAAATTTGGAGACGTATTAAGCATTTCGATGGGATTATACCATCTCTACATACGTTCTGGAAAGATTTCTACTTTTTCGAACGCTGCGCACATTGCATAAAACGGCTTTTCGGCGCCCCGAAAGGATCTATATGGAATACTATGAAGAGAAATTTTGTGAATGCACTAGACAGTCAGGATTGTTTAGTACAAACTTCCGAATTCGCGTATCGTCGACAGGCTGCCAACAGTATTGATAGTCTCGATATCGGATATCGGCAGCTGTGGTTGTACGCAATGCGACATTATGAGTCGATGCCGCCACCCGCTAGGAACGATGAGGAGCTATTGACCAAGTCAGAACGCGGAGAGCTTGATGAGAGTGTACTTTTTGAAATGGCCGGACTAGCCCGCCGGCTTGGCTTTTGGTCCAAGGAGATCAAGCAATTACTCCAGAGGTCACCTGACCGTTTGATTGCACGTAATGCTCTGCTCCGAGCCCGAAAGCCGGATCATTTTCACTACGAACCTGAACAATTCGAGACTCTTATTGATCGTGTGGTTGAGTGTTTCTCGGCAGCTGTTGAACACAGACAAACAACTTGCGAGATCCTTGCAGACACTAGGGTGACTTCTCGAGCGAGAAGTGGCTTCCCACAGAAAAAAAGCCCATGCACAAGATGCTCCACACCTTTTCTTCGATTATGTACATGCCGAAACGCCATTTCCTCCCCTAACGACCTTGTTTGTTCGGCGCTGTATTTATTTCGCCTACTTTGGAAGACGTTCGTCTTCAAAATCAACAGCAGAAAGCTCGCCACACGGTATAACTACGCGAGATATATCCCCACTCTTCGTCAGTGAAAGCGACTCGCCGGATCCAGCTCCCGACGTACAACCAGGAGAGGTAAACCCGTCGTGGTCAGTCCAGGAGAACTACCAAGAGGAAACAGATGGCCTGGTAGCCCTTGCTGATCCCATGGACGGCATTGAGAATGAGCATGTGAGTATTGAAAGCTCCGTAGCTGCCGAAGATCAAAATGACTCTGCAGAGGCGCTGGAAGGCCAAGAGGCAGATGAGGTTTCCTCAAGGCCATTGCTCGATCCTCTCGATTTAAGGTCTCCCATCGCTTCCCAACATGAGAGTAGCGATGCACATACTAGCCATTCTCAAAGCCCAGGACAACTTTCAACCCCCGAAGAGAGTGCTTCGGAACACGAAGATCCAGAGCAGGAGGACCTAAATCCTGCTAGAATTTACTCTCCCTCTGTGTATTCTGTGCGAAGGAGAAGTAGCATTGTTGAAGACAGAGACATCGAGGCACAACGCAGATTCGACGAAAATTTAATGCGGGCACTTCAGGAACGAGAGAGACTTGATGAAGATTGGGAACGAGAACGATTTGAGCAAGAATATCAAGCATTGCTTTCGGATACTGGACAAAATCAATCTCATGTGGCTGCCTTAGGGGCGATGGAAGAGGAAGTGGATTCCTTTGAAGATCCTGCTAGACAGAGGGATAAGGCTGTGTCTAATGCGAGTCCCGACCAGGCAAGAGCCGCAATGACTGACATGGACACTCCATCACATGCCAGGGAACAGCCGATCCATCATAAGCCGCCTCGTCCTGCAGCTGTTCATTCAAGTGCAGTTATTGATTTCAAATTCATGTCTTTCGACCGTGATCAATTCCGAGTGGCCGATATTATCCGGGTGGAACCCTCAGACACTAAAGCTGTAGAACGATATGCTATAAAATACATGCGGAAAGGTTTTGCGCTCTATGACCATCTTCAACACAGTGTCAGTCCTGCCATGTGCTTTCGCGCAGGAACCGCGGACGGTATTAATACTATTTTCATGTTTTCAACTGAAGAGGAGAGAAAACTTGTGGATCAAAAGCAACTTATAGGAGCCACGGCTCTACTGCCACGGCTCCCAGACAAGCCAGAAAGGCCTTTGAAAAGAAGACAGCTCGAACAGCTAGAAGAGGTTGAGGAGGAGCTGTAGGCTGTGGTCGTTTTTTTTCCGACCAGTGTCCGTGACTGTTTTTCTAGAAGGATATACAATATGAGAATAGTTTCCTTGACCGTCTATCGGTTTAAGAGTACGGACGTAACTTGAAGAAGTTCCCAGGAGCGATACAATGCCAGGAATCCCATCCCGTAACGGGGCTTGTCTCGTGTAGGCATTCTTAAGAATAAGGTGTCGAGAATTACCTCATGAGACAAGTCTCCTATGATTGGATTCTTGCGATGCCAAAACTCCTGGGAACTAAGTCATATAACGATCCTCTTGAGAAGGCACCATTCTTGAGAATCCAGTCCCGTGACAAAACTCGTACTATGAGAACCTGCTCATATTACAAAAGTTCCTGAGACTTGAAAGATCTCAAGAAAGCGCTCTGGTATAGTCCAATCTAATGAGAACGCTGTTCCATATTCAAGTAGATCCCAAGACTAGCTACAAAAGACAAGTGGCGCTCATCTTGAAGAACGGGCGAGATTGTGAGAGATGTTCCAACAAGAAGAGTCGAACAACATATACTACTCTAGGCAGAAGACTTGGCCTTCCGATGATACCATCGTTTTTTCGTTTTGGCAACGATACAGTACGATATGTATGCCGCCCTGGGATATCGATGCCACTTTTCCGCTCAAGGCACTGTAGATAAAGTTTCTCATGCGGAGTTATTAGCTCAGAGAACCGCAAGAGTTCGCGGTGGCGATTTTTCGATTTGTGATACGAGTAAATAGTTCAGGAAAGAGCAGTCTTGATTTTCCAGATAAGTACAGTACAGTAGAATTCGAAAACAGATTCCCCTCCGAAGAGACACGCTTTCTTTCCCAGCGCCCCCACTTCCCTTGCACTAGGCTTGATTTGGTCAGTAAAAGTCCCACTAGCTCTTCTAAATGTATCTCTGGTAGATCTGTAACGTTACCGTAATTACAGGTTCTGGTATCAGGTACCTCTCTCACCCTGGTCGCGCGACCTTGGCCCTAAACTCATCCGGGCAACAGCCACCCGACAATCTGCCGCACATAAGCCACGCACAGACATAGCTTCACTTGTGCGGCGAGCAGACCAGCGGGAATCCATCTACAATTACACGGGTCGCCGAGAGCACCAAAACGAATCCTTGCAACCACCATATCGGATCCCTGCAGTCGCCGACAAGACCTATTCTATTTCGCCCACTGATGTCTGGATTCTTATGAAGAAGAATCTCGGTTGTATTTCTATATCTTTAACTGTTTGTCTGCCGAACTGATCGAATTTAAGGATGAACCATTCATATTCTTTAAGATTAATATTACTAGCTTTGAGACATAATATCCCTTTTTAACATGCCAAATCTCGGAAAAATCCCACGAGAAGTTTTCGATCTCATCGCGGATGCACTGCTCCCCAATTCTACCAAGAATATGGCTGATGCTCTCCTTTATAGTGAGAAACAAGAAAACATTTTATGGAGGGTGATATTCAAGAGCGATGAATGGATTGATAAGGCGTTGGAAGTAGAGGCTTGCCCTTGCCTTATTGGTCCAACCTTGGATATGATTGGAAAGCCTGATTACAATGGACCTCGGCGTCATCATGTTCTTTTGTCAATCAACGATTGGAATGGTGATTTACAATATTTCCAGCATCTGCTATTCGAGTCCCTCAGAGAAGGATATCGCTACAACAAAGCAAAGCACAAAGTCATTCTACCCGAAACCACTTTTACAAATCCTGATAAGACGCGCACGATAAAGATACCGGAAATTGTGCTTTATATAAACGATGTCATATTTTCTTATGAGTTGATCGAGCTTAAGAAAAGCGTCACACGGAGACTTTTCAAACCAAGCACTGTGCAGACGCAGTATTCTTTTGCCACCCACAAGAAGATTCGCGTCATACAGCGCCCTGACATTTTTGGGACCAGGAAAACTATTTCCAAAAGACGTCATCTGAGCCCGATTTGCGGCATGTACCTTTTATGCAACGGGAAAAGATGGCAAACCATTTTGAAGGATCCCGAATGTCCTCGCGTGTCACCGGTGTTCACTGCTGGCCGTACGGGTGACATAATCTGCTGGGAAGTGCTCTAGACTTAAATATGTGACTGTGTGCCGCAATCGAAACAGGCGTTTGGAAGCCGTTGAAATTTTGCTTCCCTTGACGGAAGGTAGAGTTGTAAACCAGAATCAGATAAAGGGCTAGAAATTGGGTTCGAAAGCAGATTATCACCAGACCATCACAAACCGTTTCTCGGTCTTCCCACATTAATAGGTACTGTACAGTACATAGCAGCTACACTAACACACAACTAGAAAGCAAATCTCTAGGTCTTCCACGCTACCCTCTTGAATAGCAACATCGAAAAAACCAAACCAAATGCGACTTAAGCTAGCAGTGGTTTCCACGACGCCACATAGAGAGATGGCTAAACTAAGTATGTCCGGGGCATGTAATCGGTCAGAATTGCCTTCAACCGGCGCTCATCGTTAAGGAAACGAAGCGGAGGATCTTCTTTCTCGCGCACATATTTTATGTTGTCCCAACTACCCACGCGCCTAAATGAAAAGGATCGGTAGATCCTCAGCTTCATTTCATCAAATCTCAAATCAGGATTTTCCTTGCTTGTAAATATCCACGAGGGGTTTCCAAGAAAATCTTTTCCTCTATCCAGCTCCCATTCCGGTTTAGGCTTCCATTTGGGATCAAAAATCAGTTCGTCCAGTGCTGACTGGGCTGTCGACACGGGAACGCCTTTAAGTTGAAATTTGTCCCTATACTTTTGCTGAGATCTTTTATCTCGACCTAATGGAAACTGTTAAACATAGTGAGATACCTAGAAGTGTGTTAAAAATCATTACTCACGCATCAGAACCCTTAGAAATCTTCCCATAGCGATTTTGGAACAAAAGGAATATTAGTTGGTAAAAGGAGAATATTTGTTGGTCGAAGGGGAAGTTCGTTCATTATATACACTTCACGTTGTCCGAAAATCTTATAGCTAAACTTGGAGGATCTTCTACAAAATACTGGGACAGGGCCTGATAGAAAATTCGTTTTCAGAGCCTAAAGATAACACAATATCAATCATAGTGGTACTGTACTGTAACTCAAAATACAAATCGGGTATCTTATTCAGTGGCTTCTTCCCACATTTACTCAGCACTTCCGCATTGGCTTGCAGTTCCTGCCCGAGAAGCACCATTTGGGTATTGCAGGGGTCTGTTCTTGTAGTTGCAGGAGTCCGTTTTGATAGTCGCAGGTAGATTGAGCTGAGACCTCACATAGCTTGACTATAAAGAGCGACTTGGCCCCTATCATCATCTACTATTACTTAAAACTAGTTTTGCCAATCCGCTAAAATGAACCTTCTAGTACAAGCAGCTCTCATTGGAGTTTTTATTCGCACCTCTTTGGGGGCTTCCCTCGGAGTCATCAACCAGGATCACCAATGCCTGATGTGGTCCAACGATAACCATGGATGCACAGGTTACTCTGAACCATTTGCAGAGATCAATGGAACCGATTGTTCAGGTATCAATACTACCTATTTGAACCTGACTACCAGATACTGACCGGCTATGCAGAGCTGAGCGAGATCGTGGACGGCAAGCGCAAAGATTTCACCACCCTCAGTGTAGGAGCATGTGGGACTGAAGATGGCAAGGATGTCGCCTGGATAAAGGTCACAGATGCTGGTGAAGTCACCTTCTTCAATCAGAACGGCGATAAGTCAGCATGCACCTTGAACGATGGACTACGGGTTGGCAGTTGGTGCAGTGCGTCTGATTATAAGTTAATGGCCACTACTAGCCCATTGTCCATGCCGGTGATCTCTTCCCCGAGCACATTCTCTTCTTCGAGCACAGTCTCTTCTTTGAGCACGGTCTCTTCTTCGAGCACGGTCTCTTCTTCGAGCACGGTCTCTTCTTCGAGCACGGTCTCTTCTTCGAGCACGGTCTCTTCTTCGAGCACGGTCTCTTCTTCGAGCACGGTCTCTTCTTCGAGCACGGTCTCTCCATCGGCTACGGTATTAGATAGCGAGTCTGCTTCTGCGACTTCCACGTCAAACTGCGTCTGTCATTAAAGAAGGAAGGGAATCCTGTCTGATATTGAAGGGGAGAAATTTGTATTGATCTGAGATTATTCTTGCTTTATGTTTTTGATTTACGCTTATTTGCAATTACAACCAAACTTTTCAATGGCCTCCCTCTCTTTTTATATTTACCATATCTTACTTATAATTATACCCGGCTAATTGATTCTGCTGATCGTCCTAGACAGATCACGCTTCAAGATTCTCCATGAGGCCTTATAGTGCTCCGCTTCCAAGGGAAAACCACATATCGCATGTATGGTAATATATATAAGCGGTGATTACTGTGCCAGTAGATCTTCGTGTGATTGTAATATCCTTAGTGACTCCACAATGAACCAGATTATAAAGTTATTACTACAGGACAAGAGATACAGCAATATTCGAAATTGGCTTCCATGTTTTACACAGAGAAACTATCTCAAGCCCCGCCGCCAAGATGATGGTGAAACAACTTAGGCCAGATTTAGTTAGGCTGCAGCTCTTCCTTGCCTTGAGCAGTCTTGACGTACGGTATGGGACATCAGACGAAATACGGCCCCGTACAAACCAGGGGGCTGTTGCCCGTAGGCTCTTACAAACTGTCGGAGCAAGCTGAGACAGTATGGGCTAGTAATCCTGGCGGGCGAATAGGCAAGCAGGCGAGGTCAAGCGGAACCAATTCGAGATAATTGAGTTGATTGATTGAAGAAAGAACGAATATCATGGGGCAGGTTGAAATACCCCATAGATGGCTAAAATACACGGTGTTACGACAAACCGTAATGCCAAGGATACCTAATTACTATACAAAACACAAAGGAAAGTGGGCTAGTCAGTATAACCCCTGTCTAGGCGGCAAGTTACCGCTCTATGTTTCGACACAAACTGACATTTACCGAGCTTGTTAGATCAGAGCTCCTTCCTGAATATTACTATACGTACTGGATTCAAAAGCTATGTAATTCAGTGAACATGATAGATTCTTAACTAGGGAATATTCTATCTAACTGCGTTACGGTAAAAGAATTTGTTTAATTGGATCGTTTTTCTGCGCAATCGCCAAGCAAATATGTACTCTAGAGCAATTAAAAAAGAAAGACGACTAGTTTCTGCCGAAGAGGCGCGAGAAGATTATGAGCCTGCGATGTCCGCGAGGTTTAATAACTCGCTCGGAGGTTTCCGTGGAACTGGCTAGGGTTTGGTGGTCTTCTTTGGTTTCAGTCGGCGCTTTAGTGACCTGGGAAGTTGGGCTGTGACCTTTCTCGCCCCATTCGCTTAAAATGGACTTGGAAGATATAGTATGTGGATGGTCAGGGCCTAATTTTCTGTCGCGAAGTCGAACGCATTCGGCCATCAACTGCAAAGCGGCTGAATCTCGACCTGATGAGCGAAGGGTATGAGCTAGATTGGCCATGCTCGTTAGCGTGTCGGGATGGTCCGCACCGAGCTTCGTCTTGCTCGTCTCCATGACCTGCACGTCGAGCGGCTCTGCCTCTTCCCATCGGCCCTGGTCCCTATACGTCGACCCCAGATTGGCCATGCTCGTCAGCGTCGAGGGATGGTCCGCACCGAGCTTCGTCTTGCTCGTCTCTATGACCTGCACAAAGAGCTGCTCTGCCTCTTCCCATCGGCCCTGGTTCAAATGCGTCGACGCTAGATTGGCCATACTCGTCAGCGTGTCGGGATGGTCGACCCCCAGCTTCGTCTTGCTCGTCTCTATGACCTGCACAAAGAGCTGCTCCGCCTCTTCCCATCGGCCTTGGTTCCAGAACGTCGATGCCAGATTGGCCATGCTCGTCAGCGTGTCGGGATGGTCTACACCGAGCTTCGTCTTGCTCGTCTCCATGACCTGCACGTCAAGCTGCTCCGCTTCTTCCCATCGGCCCTGGTGCCTATACGTCGACGCCAGATTGGCCATACTCGTCAGCGTGTTAGGATGATCTACACCGAGCTTCGTCTTGCTCGTCTCCAGGACCTGCACAAAGAGCTTCTCCGCCTCTTTCCATCGGCCCTGGTTCCAGAACGTCGACGCTAGATTGGCCATACTCGTCAGCGTCGAGGGATGGTCTACACCGAGCTTCGTCTTGCTCGTCTCCATGACCTGCACCAAGAGCTTCTCCGCCTCTTCCCATCGGCCCTGGTTCCTATACGTCAACCCCAGATTGGCCATGCTCGTCAGCGTGTTAGGATGATCTACACCGAGCTTCGTCTTGATCGTCTGCATGACCTGCATGTCGAGCTGCTCCGCCTCTTCCCATCGGCCCTGGTTCCAGAACGTCGACGCCAGATTAGCCATCCTCGTCAGCGTGTTAGGATGATCTACACCGAGCTTCGTCTTGCTCATCTCCATGACCTGCACGTCGAGCGGCTCTGCCTCTTCCCATCGGCCCTGGTCCCTATACGTCGACCCCAGATTGGCCATGCTCGTCAGCGTCGAGGGATGGTCTACACCGAGCTTCGTCTTGCTCATCTCCATGACCTGCACGTCGAGCGGCTCTGCCTCTTCCCATCGGCCCTGGTCCCTATACGTCGACCCCAGATTGGCCATGCTCGTCAGCGTCGAGGGATGGTCCACCCCTAGCTTCGTCTTGCGAGTCTCCATGACTTGCACCTCGAGCTGCTCCGCCTCTTTCCACCGCCCCTCGAGTCGGTGTGCGTGCGCTAACATCGTAGTGCTGCGGAGGGTCTGTTCATCCTCCGAGCCAAGCAATAACGCTCTTTGCTTCTGCGATTTAGATGCCATATCCCTTAATTCCGCAAAATTGCCGCTTTCTCGCGCATACCATGCACCATTGTAAAGCAGCGTAGCCCATTTTCGTAGAGAGTCTTGTGATTCTGGTCGATGTGACACTGCTGACTTAACATGGGGAAAGAGTGACTGGCATTTCTCCCAATTTGCGTATTCGCCGGTCGGGAATTCAGCGTATAGATTGTTAATGAATCGTTTCTTCCACTCCTTGTCCTGGCCATGACTTTTCAACCACGTGCGTACCATGAGCTGCACTAGCCGATGCATTGTAAACACCATGTTATTTTCACTGATAGCAATGAAGGAATAGTCCCGGAGAGTTGCAATGTCGCTCTCGAAATCGTCTTCTAGGTCGCATTCAGACGAACTCTCCGTATCCTCTTCAACAAAGCTGTTCGCAATTCTCCCCGAAGCACCCAAACTTTTATGGGTTTTTTCTATCCCTTGGACCCGTAGAAGATCCTCTGGGATCCCCTGCCAGTCGAAAAAGCTCATGAGAGACAGTAAATCAGCCGCAGACTGTCTTCTTCGTCGGATATGGTCGAATGATATTTGCCATGTTAGTAGAATGGAGTTTTTTGCCTCCCAGTCTCGGTGCATGTGATTTCCCTCGTGATTGAGAAGCTTTGCGGCTCGACGATCACTCTGGCGAAGTTTTTCTAGGTATTGCGACACCGAGCAACGGGGTGAACGGACGGTTATATAGCTAGCCGCTTGCACAATCGCGAGCGGCATAAACTCGAGTTCCTCCACAAGCTCAACCAAGTCCGCTCTGTCTGGGCCTGGATCAAGCTTGTTCTGTATTAGATCTAGTGCCTCGGTCATATCCATTGGTTGCACATCGATCAGATTCTTAAGGCCGGCGATTTCCAACGCTATCCCTTTATTCCGGCTCGTGATAATGACGGAGCCATTCGAGCTTTTGAGAAGGTACCTTAGCAGTGGCTGTGTTGAAGCATGGTTTGGGGCGATTGCTTGGGCTTCCGTGCGAGTTGCCAATGGTTTGCGAAGGAGCTCGTCATCATCTACATTGTCCAGGACAAGAATCCATTCTCCAATATTTCCATCTTGCAACCAATTCCCGAAGAGTTGAAATATATTAGCCTTATGGTCTTGGCGCCCGGGAATCTGCGCGCGGTTGACAAGGTCGCGGAGACTTTCCTCGCAGCGCGCCGCAGTACTGGCATGAACCCAGAAGACCCAGGTGTCGGTCGATTGCTGTCGGACCCGATGGCAGTATTCGATGACAAGCCGAGTTTTCCTGCTGTAAAGTTAGCCTTGGACGAACAACCCTTCGGCCCGTGATGCCTAACCCAACGCCGCCAAGACCAACAAGAACTGTTTTGGACCCTGGGACCGATGATTTCTCGTGGATTTGATTAAGAATTCTATCCCGGCTGACAAAGTCTGGGTCATGCGGGAACGGCACGGTCGAAAATGGCTCTGGGCGGGTTTCAGGTCGATCTAACAGAGCATGCCGCTGTAAGTCGATCAAACCGGCCCTATCGTCAAACGCTTTCGGGAACCCACCTGCTGAAAGATTTATCACCCCATTGTTGATCCCCACCTGGGCGCCTGAGTTTCCATCGCCAAAATGCAGAGATTCCATACTCTAAACACAATACACAGTCATGTTTTGGACGGAAGAAAGATGAAGATCCCTCGTCAAAAGGACCCATCCTCAGCCTCACCATCAGGTGATCAAGGGCGCTAAGCGTTGCATGGGTTCGGCACTAAGTCAGCGCGGTAGACGATAGGTCGTTAAACGAACATGGGCCAGAGGTTTTGCTCAAGATCATATCTCGAAGTTCTTTAGTAGAAGTTCTCTGGTAGAAGAAGGTAGCTCCGGAGCCATTCTGTGTGTAGGTGTCCCGTGGTGGCGTTGAAGGTGATGTCGGGGGCTGCAATTACATATCTGGGAGATTGGAGACGGCAAGCGGGACACATGATTCAACGTATCTGTCTTGTCAGGTAATTTACATGTCCACTCTGACGAGTAGAGCTAAGCTGTGGCCTAGCCTAAGCGGGCCTAGTCAGATTAACCATCGTCTTGGCGGTGGGGCTTGAGATGGTTCCGCTGTGAAAAACGTGGAAGCCAATTTCGAATATTGCTGTAACACTACCTCAAAGAGCTGCCAATCAACTTGTTTACGAGAAAGTCATGTTTTTCCAGCATATTAGGAGAACGAATGACATCAGAAAATGTTGCACGGATATCAGACTATTATTGTCACATATGTATCAAACTAGCAGTGGCTTCTTCGAAGAGTTTTCCGTTTGTACCATGTGCGAATCCGCCGGTAATTCCGGAATGACCAGCAAGTCCACCGCAGAGGCGCTCCATCTCAGTTGATATAGCTTGCATTTCGTTCGTCGACGAGAACAAACTCCTACCGCTGGAAATCTGATCGGATCACTTGAGTGTCTTCTGTGATACCAGGCAGATCGATGGCCATGGCAGATCGTACATCGCAGCGATTTTATTGGCAGCACTTCTGCTTCATCGGGACTATAATTCTGGGATGGAAATAGTCTCGGAGCGTAGTCGTTGGAGTACGGTGGCGGCTGTTCCCTCGTCGCTTTCAATCTATGTCCATTAGAAATACAATACAAGTATACTCAAATAGCGAACAAGACTTCTAAGCACCTGGAGTGGATCCACAGACTTGTACCCAAAACCCAACGCATAGCGGTGACAAAAGGTGAAAAGTGGCGTTACAATATACAGTAGAACACAGTAAGTTTGTCCAGCCACAGTGCAGGTCCCCCTTAGACAGTGAAGTATTCTTGAATGATATAGAACTGCAAATGCGCCATGTTTTATCTCTCTGGGTACTGGAACACATCCCTGCGACTAGTCAAAAGGATATCTGCAGGCATCAATCCTTTAGAGCACCAAAAAAGCCCCTCCATTACATATCTGAGGAGGGGAATAGGAATTACTAAGCTGCAAACAATGGAAAACTTGGACAGTTGACTGGAGATCACACTAGTCAATCAGCGGGATCCATTTTGGTGGCTTCAAAAGTGGGAAGTGGATTACGATACGCCTATTGCTTATCCAGGTAAATTCTCTGTTTAGCTCCACGGAACCTGCGAATGAAACAGGACTGCGAATGCGCCGCAACCACTAAAACGGATCCCTGCCGATACTAATTTGGTTCCCTGTGAACAACATTTCCTAAAGCACGAAGAACATCTTAATATTGTATATCTGGAAGGAACTACCCGGCCGCCAACCCACGACTCTTGACAAAGGATTGGAGTTCACAGTTTCCAAGCATGGATCTTTTTTGGTGGTTGCAGACAGGGATCCGTTTTGGTGGTTGCAGACAGGGATCCGTTTTGGTGGTTGCAGGCAGGGATCCGTTTTGGTGGTCGCAGGGCAAGGTTCTGTTTTAAGTTAGTCGCAGAGCAGGCATCCAATAAGAAGCCACAATAGCCTAGAAGGTACATATTATACAAAATGGCCACACTGCGCGTCCCTCCATCAGGCCAGCAACTACTCATTATATCAGATCCAAGCTATTTACAGAAAAGGAGTAATTGGGTGATAATTGTACTTTTGACCCTATTTGAGATAATCGTTCTCAGCACTGCTAATGGCATGCAGGCTGATATGAATACTCATGGAAAATCTGTCATGGTGGATGTTGGTCCGCCATCGAACCAGAACTTGGAGTGTCGTGTTGATTTTCTTGTCAATAAACCGGTGCTCAGACTCAAACCCTTTCGGAGATTGCACGAAGCCCTGAGCCTCGTTCGTCAGGAAATAGACCTGTATCAGCAAGTCCTCCAAGCAAAAGGAAGCATCGCAAAGCTCTTCGGGCTCCCTCTTATTAGCACACGGTTTGGCGAACAGACCTTGTAAGAAGATATGCGAGATCTGACCATTCAAGACGCCTATCTATTTCTCCATATTCTGTCACTATATTCACACGCATTAATCCACCACGCCGAGGGAGAAGTGAAATGCTCCAACCGTACAGCATTAGCTCCACCCCGATAGAAGAGCTCTACTTGTTCCCGATATGCGGGTTTAAGGCGCCGGTTCATACTTGAAATTTACTATAAATCAAAGGAGAGTTCGCTCACAGTCCTACTCGAATACTTTGTACTGTATCCTTGGACAATTATACGATTTACTTTTACTATTTTACCATGTCTACCACGATGCCACTTGTTTTTTCGAATAAGGTGAAGCATTACTTGCCAGAGGAATGGTACGAGCATATTCTCAATACAAGCCAAGACTACGAATCTCTTCGCGTCGTCAGTCTAACCCGAGTCAAAAATCTTGACTCAGCTTGGGGCCATGAATACATACAATTCATCGTTGAGGATGAATTGTCAAATGAACGAGCGCGTGTTTATGCGGAGCGTGGAGTACCAAAGAGTAGCATCGACGTCATTACCACGAGTGTCAATCCAATCACCTTTGGCCGTGACTCGGTGGATGGAGTGACAATTGGCTTTGATGAAAAGGGCGAAAAAGGCCGATGGAACGGTCCACATGACCTTCCTCTCCCTTTAGAGTCTTACATTTACACCGACAAGAAGCCCAGCTTCATTAGCCTCGCCGAAACCATCTCGCGAGTGAGCAAAAATGGGAGGACGTACAAACCTATTGGTAATAACTGCTACTGGTTCGCCTATACCGCAATGAATGATTACGGGGGAAAGAACAAAGGGACCCCTATAACGGTCTATGCCACCATAGGCGGGAGGGGCGGTGGTGGATTGCGTGACATAATCTCGTATCATAAAGCTTGGCTGCATAAAGAGTACTATAGGGTGAGTAATGCTCTTCAACTCGCTTTTATAATTTGAAGCACCCGACACTAATATATTCCTCGTACAGATAGACGCGGAGAGCTTCAACAAAGAGCGCAGAGATGGGGGTCTATTGGACGCATTATCGAAAGCGACTGGAATGGAAAGCTCCATGTGATCAACTCCGCCGACAACACTGAGAAGCTTGTGACTTCACTTCAGCGGCAGGTGGTAGTCGACATGACAGAGCAGGCCTGTTCCGAAGCCCAGAAAGATCTGACTGCATGCTACAAGGTCAGCCTGTGCGGATCACTGAAAATGTTGGTTTGGACTAAATTATTTTCAGGTTGCTAGGAAACTATCGTCAATAACGTCTATAGACAGGTAGTTGAATGGCATATTGTCGCGAAACTTCCCAGTGTTTTTGAGCCCGTTCTTGTGAGTGGATGCGAGACTGAAGATTTGCTTCGGATGGCCGCAAAACCCCCAAGTCAGCCTTCACCGTGACGAAACACGTTATCTTCAGGAAGTTTTGGAGCAAAGTCTTGAGGATGCCGGCGTTTGATTGTGGTCATCGTTGGCTCTAGGTATGGTTCTCTTAAGAAGTTTTCCCTTGCTCTTTTCGCGAAAGTGGGAGCCTTAATCGGTGTTCATTTTGTTCTTGTTCCTGTACTTGGGCCATATTTAAGACTTGGTCCTTTATTTTGTGTTGCTCATCTAGTAATTCGAATCTGGTCCTATGTGTATGTTAATGGATTTTGTTCCGATATTCCATTTATCCCGTCACGGCTAGGATGCTTCCAACGTTTTTCAAAACGTGAGGAATCAGGTTTCCGTCCGTTTACTCTGGTGGTCCCGCTAGTGAAGTGGCATATGCCGTCCATAAAAACCGTGAGCGTTATGGTTTACTCACTTCGTGACGTCTAGACAGCCTCACGTGGGATAGGTTTCAGACTCCAAGAGCCCCAGCTACGGCCTCTCGCACGATGCTCTTAAACAGAACACGCCGTTTGACAGTTATATTTAAGTTCTAGGTAAAGCATCAGCGGTAATATAAAGCCACGCGGTCAAGCTACGTGAACAATGAACTGCATACTAATGTATTTGACAAATATGAGAGTTAGAGACCTAACTAGAAGAGGTTTTTTGGATATGGATATTCTCTAACGGTACTCAATTTCTAGTCCAAGGCCTAGCGTCCTGTTTGGTTTGTAAAATAGAATAAGAAGTACTTGAGATTCTAGAGTGGTTACAAACCGCTCTCTCAGGAAATCCTACTAGTCCTTAGATTTTATACTAGTAAAAAAGAATCCGTAGTCAATTTATTCAAAACAAATGTTATGTTATTCATATATAACCGACCGTTCCTCCATAGGCGCCCTAGTAACCGAGCGGAATAGACGCTATCGTGAATTCTCTTGACTGAGTTAACAGCGGCCTCTTAATTGGAAGGAAATCCAGCCTTTAGGTTATCGTAAGAGGATGACGGATAATTCAGCTCGTTCTGGACTTGCTCCAGAGCGCAGACACCGCCAAATTTATTAACAACCTAAGGGAAAAATGTTCAGTAAGTAAACAAACCCCCTAGCTAACGACAACCCTGCAAGGAGAAATAGCTGGATCAGGCACATACCGTTTTTATCAAGCTATCAGAGCCTTTCTTGTCCCCACTGCTTTCCCACCACATCCCCCCACCCAAACCTTTTGACATAATATACTCTGCTTTCTTTCGTGCAACTTGAGGGTCATCATAGCTAATCATCGTCCGTTGCGACGAATCATAACTATAGCTAGCTATAGGTTGTTCAAGGTAGCTAACCTCTGCCCCAGGCTGGGGTAGCGCCTTGTAGTCCCACACTCCCTTCTCCCAGCTACCGCTTCCAACGCCGGTGTAAGAAGTACCAGGCCCATTAGTGTTCAAAAATGAGCGCCCATAGAGTGGCATACCTATAACAATCTTGCTGGCGGCTACTCCTTGCGAGATATAGTATTTGACGGCCTGGTCAGTGTTAAAGGGCGTGCTAGATGGGTTGCTAGTCGAAGCATAGATACTGGCGTCATGGCCAGCGGTGGTATCCCAGCTACCGGAGTAGTCATAGGCCATAAGGTTCCAGAAATCAAGGTATTTGTCCATGTCTGATATATGGAGTTTTTGATAGTTTGCTGGTCCTGTATCTGGATCAGAAACGAAGCAACGAAACTATAGGGCTAGAAGAATATACCAGCTGGGCATGCAACGCTAATCAGGAAGTGATAATTTCTGTCTTCTGTAGCGCTGTATGTGTCTAAGCTCTTATTTTTCTGTCAGTTCGAGCCTAATAAGGGGTAGGGGAGTTGCTATGGCATACCGAGCGTAATTGTTGAAGCGTTGCAACCATATTATCTGCCTGTGTTTCATCCGCAGGATACTAGGTGTCTATTAGTATTTCTCTTGTAATAAAGATCAATATTTTGCCGATCTTACTTCCCAATCAATGTCAATACCATCAAAGCCAAGGTTCATCACTAGATCTTTAGCGGAGGAAGCGAAATTTGCACGGCCCGTGGCGGTGTCGAGGGGCTTCGCAAAGTTAGCTGAATAGGTCCAACCGCCAATAGACAGTAGGATCTTGAGATTTCTATTCTTCTTCTTGAGCAGGAATAGCTGTTTCGCACATCCATAAACGTTATTTCCAGTATCAGCCCATGAATCAGTAGTATAGTGCTTCTCTATGTCGGCCCAAGAATCCGAAATATACACTATTCCGGTATCTGGATGGACGTTAGCAAATGCATATAGCACATGCGTTAGTTGGTCGGCCGGGAGGTCCTGAGGATTGAAGTTACGACCATAGATCGCCTAATATGCCCAGTCAGTGGTTCTGGGTGATTTTATTCTGGTGTTGTTATTGCGCACTGACCCAGTTGACAAAGTAGGCGATGGAGCGATAAGCATTGGTGCGGCGAATATCAAGCTCGGTAGTATTAACACTCTCAGAGACTAGATTTGCAAGCGCTCCTGTGAGGTATGCTAGGCCTAGTATAAGAAGGTGGACAGACCGCATAACTAATGAAGGTAGATTATTCTTGAAGGGAGGGCGTGTTATCGAACCAGCGATAGCATAACAGAGGCAGCAGACTGAGGACGAATATTTATAGTCAAAAAATTCCACATCTTCCTAACAATAGCGTCTCGTCTTTACAATCCTAGAAAAAATTGGGTGTCGGACGCCAGAGAGAGCAGACTACCCGCAACCCTATTTCGCGATAATCTGACTCTTTCACGGCGGGCGGGCGGGGTCCGTGGGGTCAGTGAGTGAACCAAATGGTGTCGCAGCCTTCAGACTACAACTGTTACCAGTCTCCCCTGAACTAAGGTTGCCGTCTTCCCTGTCACCGTGATCCTTGTACTCAATTTACTCTATTAAATGATTACTCACTCAACTAGACAAGGGGTCCGTTTTGGTGGTCGCGGCGATTAAGTAGCTAGTGTTGGAAGTGTTACCCTTCAGCCACTCGGAGAATGCGGTGGCTATACTTTTTCAATAAATTACAAGGTGTGATAACATATTATATACCTGTGTGGGCTTTTAAAGAAATAAAAGGCGTGTGTCCCCCTCTTCCACGGTCTTAGTTGCTAGCTAATACTCGCTGTACAAGTCAAACCAAGCCCCGTTACCTGGCCCCCCGTTACAACCTCGGACCCTCACCTTACCGGTATAATGGCTAGTGCTTCTCGTGGATCGCAGGGGAGGAAATCACTTCGACAAAAAAGAGACCGGCGCAAAACAAGCCTAGAGAAAAAGTCACACGAGTTTAGCCAGATTTGCGGGGCAGATGTATGTTTAGGCATACGGATTCGAGATTCTGGGCAGGTCTTTATCTTCAGCGCGGATCCATCTGGATTTTGGTCGTTCCTTCGCTCTCAGCTAGTATGTCACGGCAAAGTATCTCCTGCGTTCTAAGTCTTCTCACCTTTCTAGGGCTCCTATTACCCGACACCAGTTCAAAGAACCGAAAAGGATCTCTAGCTTTCCCAGCATCACTCCTTGATTGACTGTTTAATTATATAGTCATCAGAGCAGACCTATTTCGATCGGGAAAAATTGTTTCCGGCAGTAATCGATTGGTTTCACTTCGATCAGTTCTGAGCATTCCCTGGTGACCATCTACCTCAGAGAATTTTGCCGCTACTAGATATACCATCTTCAGAAAATCTATTTTCTAATGTACTGTACTGTACAGTGCGGCTCGAAATCAGTTTCACATCTTCATTTCCTTCGATTCTTTCTCGAGTTCTATATTTGTAATACGCTAGTATATTATCAGTTTAGCAGCCCTTAAGAGCGTGAAACGCAGGTTTAGACAAGCCACGTGATTGTTTTTCTTGTATTGTGCTAAATTTTAGGATAGGGACCAAAACCCATAATTTGCTTGACTTGCTCTCCATAGCCACTGCCACTACTGCTCTGGGCCTCCTTCTCCTTCAGGATCCGCTCACAATTTATCCAAATCCAGCGCCGGTTCCTCAGCCCCTTAAACTCAAGGTTCTCGCCCTCTGACTCCCGCCCTGGAGACGCATAAAATTCCTCCAGAAAGCGCAGAAGCCGGTCAAACTGGACTCTACCATTCGCTGTTCCACCGCCTTGGGATAATATGACAGCCCTAACTCGGGGCTCCCAGTCGGACAGGACCATGGCAATATCACTGCACACTTCTGTAAGTTGGAAAAAAAACTACTAACAAAATGTGACTAATTCGTGTGATTGCCTTAGTACAATCGGAAACCTCATTGAATCACGCCTGCCTACGGGATCTACGAAAAACCAACCCACATGATAACAAGGACCGAATCGAGAAAACCAGCGGGGGTTGGTTAAAGTCTCATTTAGATAACCAGCAGTTCAAACAATGGCAAGACAACCAGAGTACCCGGCTCCTCTGGATCAGGGGTGATCCTGGAAAAGGCAAGACAATACTCCTGTGCGGTATCATCAATGAATTAACCCAATCAATTGAGGATAATCCGAATATATCCTTATTTTTCTGTGAAGCTACCGACGTGCGAATCAATCATGCTACGGCCGTTCTTCGTGGCTTGATATATTCACTGATCAAGAAACAGCCCATCTCCTCTCCCACATATAGAGCCTGTACGACCACGTGGATACCCAACATCATGATATGTAGTTTCATTAGAAGATAACCGCCCGGTTGTCCGACTGTGGTATTGCCTTTTTCAAGTCGGGTAGTGACAACAGACAATCTGTAAAAGAATGAGAGCTTGTTGTTGTCCGAGGGTAGCATATTCCAAGTAATAGATGGATACTTAAATTATTTAAATCAACTTTCACCTGTGGAGGATCCCGCACATCAGGTAGGAACGCGGCCAGAGGATGGATACAGCCTAATTTTCTCCATAACTTCATTCACCTGCTGTACATCTTCGTCGGAATCAAGCCAAACTGCACCAAGAATAGCTTCCACGGTAGTAGCCAATGTGCTATCTGGTACACTCCTTTCTAGGTCTGGTCTTTGGTGGATAAATCTCTGCAAATCCAAGGCTCTAGCCATAGAGGTTAACTGCTTGTTGCAGGCGTAAGTCTGAAGCTGGCATGTCCCTTGCTCTGTGTATATTAGCCTGATGCCTATTATGGAAGGATAAATATACCTGTAGTGTTGCCTTCATGGTACCAACGACGAAGCAGCATAAGGTCGAGAATTTTGTCTCCTAGTAAGGCCAGCCGCTCATTCCCTGCAGATGCTAGTCCAGACTCTTCCAGAGCCTCCTCCATCAAACCTTGGTCATGGAAATGATGCCCGATCACTTTCTCAAATTCTGGATTCAATTCTTGTCCCATATTCTTTATATTGATTGTAGTTTGTAAAATTCAAAATGTTCACGACGTTTTTGAAAGTCATCGTTAGCTATATAGAATATTTAATGGGCCTTCCGGAATAATGACGTTGGTATGAGCATGAGGCGAAAAGAAACCGTCGTTCGTATTCGGTAACTTTTTTTTAATCCATGGTTGATGTGGCTAACTAAAGTGTGCCACCCGTTTTAGCCTTTCAGACCTAGAGAGATTAGCTGTTGGCCCGTTATATCTTTGTTAGGCGCCAACGGCGCGGTGATGGTGGTCTCGCCGGATTTGAATTTTGCACAAACATGCCAACCTACCACAGCAGAGCATGCCCCGGTGCTCGAAATACGAAACCACTGGGGCTCAATAATTAGGGAAATCGAACAGACAAGGTAACTATTGAAACAACATAAGATGAAGGGGCATATGGACATACCTAGCACAGCAGTACGCAGCTGAGTAGTGCTTGGTCGATGACATTTCTTGATACAGCCAGTGCTATGGGCAGACGGCTGGACTAATGGTAAGAAAATCCGTCGTACTCCTACTATCCCATCCTGACGGCTGAAAGGCTGAGAAGACTGAGGTAGTGGCATCAGATGCGAGGATAATGATCGTTGTGGGCGTGTTTACGACGCTGGTCGTGATGGTAGTGAGTTGGAGGGCTGAAGTATACCCGCTGGGCTGCATGTATAGAGTTTCAGTGCCGTAGCCATGACGCTCGTTGCGACGGTTGTCATCAGTAGAGCAGGGAAAGAAGCGCTATCTTCCCTGGGCTGTTGGGCAGGGCCCCTTCCATCATTCGGCTCTTCTGCTCTTCAGCGCAGATCTTGTCTCCGCACCGCTGTCAAGATTACTAGTACTGGGCCAAAATGGAGAAAGGATGCAGGGAAATCCGAGATAGGCATGCTCTGTAATTTTGTTGTCCATACCCTGGACCCTGAATGCTGCTGGCCTTGGGCGCTTCCGGGATGTTTGAGTTGCATAATCATCATGTGATATAACACACTTCAAACAAACCTTTTAGTAGGCTCTCACGTTGGAAAAAAAACTTCACTTTGTCCCTCATCACTTCGACTCATTAGCCGCTGTTGCTCCTGAAATTAGTAGGTAGGACTTCGGTCTTACCCCGTCAATTAGCTAAGAAGGGAAGAAAATAGAAGGAACGAGGTCTGGGGCATCATTGGCTGCACCACTCGTGATTAATGTTAAATAGTACCTCTCGAGGAAACCGGCTTCAGGAGAGGGCATAGAGGTGTCTGATATATCGAATTTATAAATGAGTTCACGCCTGAAATTATTGTAACCTATGTATGGAAGAATGCATACATAATTCTCGAAAGAACTTTGAATATATACAAGGGGATTTTAGTCTAAAGAGCAATCATGTCATTCAGCGGTTGCACCAATTTCAAAACGTACGGTAGCAGAAAGGCCTAAGTCTTTAATCTATGCTTCTCATGAGCATGCCTCCTTAGACCATCTTCATGCTCCACTGACATTTTGCAGTACTTGCAGTGACGGTCATCCAGATGTGTAGTCCTAAAGTGACGAAGAAGATGTTTATGCCGAGAATATTGTTTCATCCGACGGTCTTCCGATTCTTCTAGGTTTCCAAAACATTGGAAGCATCCTAGTGGTCGGGCGGCGGCCTGGATATGCTTTTCTGCTCTTCGTAAAGCATCGTCGCGTGGCAAACGTGACATAGGGATCTGTGTAGAAGCTGGTGTAGGGGCGCTGTGTGGTGCAAGACTATCACGACAGGTGGGGTTCTTCGGTCTTCGTCCTCGTCGAGGCCCACCTTCTCGCACACGGCAGTACATACGAACGGCTTCAACTGCCTCGTTGCGCCGCTTCCACTCCCGCTCCAATGACAACGAGGTCGGCCATGTCATCAGCTTTTCCAAAAGAAAAATCTGCTCTGGCAGCATGTTTTCCTCAGCTACCAAACGCTCCTTGGTTTTGTCGTCATGAACTGCTGTTCCCGCAGCAAGCTGTCGCTGAATATCCTCGACTGCTTGACTGCTATCAAATTCTTCCCGGACACGCTTGCGAAGATTGTAAAGGAGCCGACTGCGTGTGTTGATTACATCCCTCTTGAGTTGTTCATGCCGATCCAGTTCAGTGCGGCTCTTCTTGCGGCTTTGTTTCAGACTGAGAGCAAACCTGTCACGTTTGTAGATCGCGTCTTGCAGCTCCGGCATTGTTTCAACACTAGCTTTCTGAGCATCAGTAAGTTCGCGAGGCCGTCGTGTATCAACCCATCTACCCATCCGAGTGACAGCTCTCATCATCGCTGTGTCAGGTTCCAGACCTCGCATCAAGGCCTGCATGTCTGTACCGATGCGACGTGGGAGATAATGGTTCAAAAACGTTCGAGTACTGGCGTGTTTCATGATCAAGTTTTGTTGTGCGTCGCTCACGAGTCCTTTACCTGCTTAGTTCTCCTTTCTTCTTTCATCCAATGATTAAGAGCTAAGTGACTTACTACTTTGGTTGAGGATCGTCCCACCACCGTAACGGTTGCAATGTGTGTAAAGATTCGGAAAGCCGGCAATTTCCCCGAAAGTTTGATACTGCTTTCCTAGAGCTGTGGATGAGATCGGTTGATCTCGCACAATCTGAATAACGCCGCGAGTTGCCACAACCTTACAGAATACATAATGATCTGCCTTCTCGTGTTTCAGGGGTAGTTGTAGCTGCTGCCGGCCATCTTCTAGCCAAAGTTTCCTTAGGTCGTCCCGGGATCTTATTGCAGGGGCACGGAAAGCGTCGTCGTCGAAGAGAATACCCAGTAAAAACTCATGCGGGCTTAACATAAGCGAGGGATCATGGATGATCTCAGGAATAATGAAAGTGTTGCTGTTTAATGTCAGTTGTGTGTATCTACAGAGAGCAACTTATCATATAGAAAGTGTTCATCAACCCATACCCTTGTGTCACACCAAGATACTTTTTAGCAAACTCGTAGGTGATCTCCAGTAGAATACGGGGCGGCCCCCCTTTTGGATCTCGTTGGATCGAGCACTGTATGTGTTTGTATTGAAGCATTCTCATTGCACTGATTCGATTCACCGTAAAGCAGGCCATGAGATTGTAGAGGCATTGTTGCATTCGTTGAAGTCCAATATAGAACCGCTTTTCCATCGTACGGAGAACCGCTTCTTGCAAGACAACCACATCCTCAATATATAGCGGTGGCTTCTCTTTTTCATCGGTGATCAACCCTTTCGTTTTCACAATCTTCCGAATGCTCTTCAGAAATCATTCCGTCAGTACTATGTTCATTACAAGAATATTCAAGTCTAACCTTTCTCATTCTTCGTGCCAGATCATGTGGCATTGAGTCCTCGTTGGCTTTCTCGTAATAGCGAAGAAAGTTCTTCCAATACGTACCAAGAGTACTAGCCCTCCGGATACCTTTTGTCCGTCGCCTATCCTGACCCCGCTCTACTCGAAGTAGCCAGTAAAGAAACTTAGTAAACTCTCTCTTTCCTGCCCCCCGAAGGGCGTTCTGAGGCTCATTCCATCTCGAATTGGGAGAGATATACTGTTTTTGATGCTGTTTCCGACAGAATCTGGGCACTAGTTAGGCAATGGATTACAGAGAATATCCACCGGTGGACTTCGCTTACCTTTCCCAACGATTCTTAATAAAAGCAATCTGAGTCTTCGTACCTTCTGCATAGCCATCACTATCGCTATCAGATGAAGTGTTATCCGTCTCGATATCTGGATCTGTTGTCGAATCCCCCACGTCAGCGTCGCTTAAGCCTGCGTCATTCTGCCAGCCTTTGACCGTTGTCATGTTGTCTGGCTGTATTCCTAGTCTGGGCTTCTTTTTCTGCCTTGTGTAGCGAGTCCGACTTCCTCTGTCATCATCGGATGTAGAGCTAGAACCGATTGATAACCTTCGGTTACGCCCACGTTTATGAGCGAGGAAAATTCGAGAGTTGCGTCTACCTGACACTGAAGGACGCTCCGGAGTTGGCATATTGGTTTCAGATTCTGCGTCACTTTTCTCGGACTCTGTGCAAGAGGATTCGAAGTAAGGGCTTCCATGACCAGATCGACGCTGTTGCCTAATCATCTTATCGTGTCGTTGGCAGTGATCGGAGCGACCTGCAATGCGGGGAGATACCGAGAGGGAGGAAAACTAGCCTTGGAGGTCAAGTGTGGCAGTGGAGTATGGATTTGAGTATAGTTGGGAGGAAAGGGAATATATCTCAAAAAGCATAGGCGTGTACTATTTATATTGGAAAAGCCATAGCCCCTACTACTAGATACGAGCGGACCAATTGTTTTTTTCTATCTCCGTCTCCGACTGGGGCCACGCATTGAAAGGTTTTGACGTTACAGGAATCGGCAAGAAATGGGAGGTGAGCCGAGGGTGCGTACAGGTGAGCGCTAGGTTGGCTCTAGGTGAGGGCGGGTGAGAAGCAGGTGAGCGCTGGGTGAGAAGCAGGTGAGCGCTGGGTGAGAAGCAGGTGAGAGCGGGGTGATAACAGGGTGATAGCCAGGTGGGTCATGGTCGAGGCGCTGTTTTGCCACCAGGCGTGGGGCTTGTCGGGTGGGTCGCGGGTCCGATAGCGCGTGCGTGGGCGTGTCGCTTTAGGGCCGTGGCATGAAGCCCCTGGGCCGACAACGCCATTTTCGGCGTCAAACGACGCCAATTCTGGCAGCTCCGGCCCAAACCGAAATATACAAGTAGGATAGTTTGATATTAAGCCCCGAGCATGAAAAGAGTATTTTGGAGTGAATAACTATCATATGGCTAGGGTATAGAATATTGCTCGAGGCTATCACAGGGGACTTTTAGTATGTTACCTGTAAAAAATTAGGAGGGTCGAATCATAACACGCAGCATGAGCTCGTGCGTCTCTGGCCTCCCATAGTACGAGGGCATAATTTATACAGTAGTTGAGACTGTCGTAGTAATAATGGTAATAATCAGGGCCCTCGAGCATCAAAGGGAGAGAGACTACTCCGTGGAGTACTACTGTTACTGTTCGGTTGACCGGGGGATGACCGGAGTTAAACCCACAAGGTGGCAAGTCCCCCGTGTGTTGCCGACGGCTACCCGCAATGGCCCGTCATTGGCCCGCGAAAAGTTTTCGGAATTGAAGGGGACCCATCCCTTTCAAATCCTTTCCTCCTTTCTCTCTCTCACCACTCCAAAAAAATAGCTTCAATTCAATCTCCTCTCCTCTCCCCCCATCCCTCTCATTACACACAATGGCTGCCGTCACCGCTCCCCAGGATGCCCCCAAGCAGGGCCTCGCCCTCTACAGCCGCTTCGCCTTCGCTGGTGCTGTGTGCTGCAGTGTCACCCACGGCGCCGTCACTCCTCTTGATGTGTAAGTCGAAGCTCACAGCCATTGACACAAACTATACACAAAGAACTTCATCTAACCGTGTGCGCATTCTCCTCACAGCGTCAAGACCCGTATCCAGCTCGACCCTGCCACCTACAACCGTGGTATGATCGGTGGTTTCCGCCAGGTCATCCAGAACGAGGGTGCTGGCGCTCTTCTCACTGGTCTCGGCCCTACCGCCGCTGGTTACTTCCTCCAGGGTGCCTTCAAGTTCGGTGGTTACGAGTTCTTCAAGCAGCAGGCTATCAACCAGCTCGGCCTTGAGACCGCCACCAACAACCGTACCGCTGTCTACCTTGCCTCCTCCGCCTGCGCTGAGTTCATGGCCGACATTGCCCTCTGCCCTCTCGAGGCCACCCGTATCCGTCTCGTCTCCCAGCCTTCCTTCGCCAACGGTCTGTTCGGTGGTTTCAGCCGTATCATGAAGGAGGAGGGTATCGCCGGCTTCTACTCTGGATTTGGACCCATCCTGTTCAAGCAGTAAGTCAGCTTGTTCGATTTTAACTGGGCGCATTCGTTGCCGATGTGTCCGCTATATTGCGCGAATTCTCTTTCTAACATGGCATCTTTGATAGGGTCCCCTACACCATGGCCAAGTTCGTCGTCTTCGAGAAGGTTTCCGAGGCCATCTATGCTTCCGTTGACAAGAACAACATCTCCGACGGTGCCAAGACTGGTATCAACTTGGGCTCCGGTCTGATTGCTGGTCTCGCCGCCGCCATTGTCTCCCAGCCCGCCGACACCATGCTCTCCAAGATCAACAAGACCCCCGGTGCTCCCGGCGAGGGCACTGTCTCTCGTCTGATCAAGATCGGAAAGGAGCTCGGCCTCCGTGGCTCTTACTCCGGTATCGGTGCTCGTCTCTTCATGGTCGGTTCCCTTACCGCCGGTCAGTTCGCCATCTACGGTGACATCAAGCGTGTCCTTGGTGCCACTGGCGGTGTTGAGATCGGCAAATAAATTATTCGAGTTGTAGAATGAGGAGGATCATAGAGACTACCCTTAGATTTTTTTTCACGTTTCCCCCTTGTCCATCCCCAACGTCACGATGTACAATACTTTGTCTCAGTTTTCCTTCAAAAACATGCTCGGTTTCCTTTGTCTCAATCGACCTTCCACGCTTGATTTACGAGTAAACATCGTCTACAGGGCACAGAGCTTGCTCCCGTGAAGTGGATAGCAAAGTGCATAGGTCACTTACCTTACCAGACCAAAGTCTTCTCGCCAGACCTTAATGATATTGAGCTTTAGACTAACGGCCGAAGTACAGAGATCAGAAGACAAGCCGCAAACCTGAAGCTGTCTCATACCGCCGCTCGTGGCCCGGTTCAATTCATGTTTCCACCGTGAGACATCACAACACGTATCGAAACCTGGGATTCTATCAACATGTCAGCATATTTCCGATGGGGACTTTCGCTCGAGCAATTCTCACCTCAAAGTCGGTCAGATCAGCAAGCTCGTCATACTCCGACTGAGGTCCAGCCCCTCCATGATTCGCAGCAGCCTGCGCATCTCTCCTCTTATTCCGACGAATCAGCAGCAGCCGCAGAAAAATAGCCAGGACAACTTGAGCAGACGCACAGGCAAGAATGACTTTGCAGCCCGTCTGGTACAGAGGCGCCTCCCTAGCCAAAAATGCGTGAGGGCCAATAATATTGCCGACACAATAAGCCAAAAAAACCAGAGCCACACCGGTAGATCGCTTCGTATAGCCTCCCAGATTCGTTGCCGGCATCTGCAGCGATAGCACCAGAGAACATACATATGCGCCGACGATATAATATCCGAATAGCACGCCTACCTTGTTGGTTTTGTGGGATAGTTTCCACATCAAGCATGTACCGATGATTGTGGGGATCAGGTAAACTGGCATGATGATGGTGCGAAAATTGCGAAAGCGTGACGCGAGGAACGTTCCACTCAGAATATAAAAGACTTGAAATGCGCCTAATGGTATTCCCAGTGCACACGTCTTGAGAGAATCATTAGTCAAGCCTCTGATGATGAGTTTACCAAAGCTGGCAATGCCACCATTAATGATCTCATTGCAAAGGGTGAAAAAGAACAAGATCCAGACTTGGGGGTCAATTAAGGCCTCTCGAATTTGATACCACTTGATTTGGTGGTTGATAACACCGGTTCTGCCGAGACGACTGCGGCTGATCAAGAGAGCCTTGTCTTCGAGGTTGAAACGCTTTGCAGAGATGATATCGTCTGGGAGGAAGAGGAACATGACGACTCCCCAGGCCACGGTGACACCTCCCAGAATGAGGTAAATGGCTCTCCATACTGCGATAGTGTGGATTTGGCCAATGCCGAAAGTCAGGATACCACCAATGATTGCACCCAGTCCGTTGCAGCTATAGAAGATGCCTGCACGGAAAGGTTGTTGATCGCGGGTATACCACATGCCGACTATCATCATGAAGCAGGGTGTAATAGGGGCTTCGAAGATACCCAGCAGGAAACGGCAAATCGCCATACCAGTGAATGAGGAGCAAGCAGCAGTTATCATCAGCATGGAGCCCCAAGCGACAACGTTGCCCGAAACCACTTTGGCAAGTTTTGTCTTCTGTGCAAGAATATTCCAGGGATACTCGGCAACCAGATATGCTAGGTAGAAGATACTGGCTAGCCAACTGTACTGATTACTGGACATGTGGGTTGACGTGAATAGATCGAAGACGGCGGAGTAGGCCAGGGCTGACTTGTCGATATACTGCAGGACATAAGTCCCTGCAAGCAGTGGGAGCAGGACAAGGTCAACCTTGCGCACCAGTGACTTGTTTCGCCCTTCATCATTCAGAAGTCCCTGGATAGTGTCTTGAGTGAAGCCGTGCTCATGAAGAAAGGCTCCACCCTCGTCGAGGTTTGCGATGGTGCCGACTTGGAGGTCCTTTTCGTCTTCATTGTTGCTGATAGATCCTTTCTCTATTTTACTTTCCACCATGGCGAGGTTGTGAAAATTGGTAATGATTAGAAACTAGAAAAATGCGCAAGACTAGAAGGTTGACTCAAATTTCAGACCCCTTTCAGACTTCCCACCCACGAACAGCCACTCATTGATATACTCCAAATCACCTTCCATGCCCAGAACTATCCATGCGGGGAACCCTGCTGCAACGGATTCTGTCCGACGGCGGTAGATCTAGGAGATAAACTTTTGTGCTTCCTCCTATGATAATGGAAGTTCGTGATAACCCTATCTACGACTGCTCACACGGAGCGGAAGATGGCCGGTAGGTACCAACGATAAGAATCGATGATCCGTTATGGGCGACCCCGTAAGTCTGTTATCTACGTCTACACTGTCCAGCAGTTGCCGCTAATTTTTCGCCTTTTGGCTTGGTTAGGATGACTGTAACACTTCGAGGAAATCTACTGAGAAATTCATCATGAAGGCAAGCGGCGAGCTATATACCTCGCTACGCAAATTCACGACTATTCTTGGAACCAGAATCAAACAAACTAACGACGCGGGGATGTAAGTACACTAGTTTGAGCTCTGTTTTCTAATCTCTTCCCATATTCTTATCTCTTGGTCTTTGATTGCTGCTGTCTCAGGTCTCCACTCATGCCTCCACCCAGAGCTTCTCCCCACACGGAACTACTTTTGTTTACCGAAATACAGACGCCCCCTCATCCTCACAACTCATAGGTCTTTTTAACTCAGCAGCTAACCAAGGGTGTATCTGATCAGGCCGCAAGAAAAAAAAATCATGGCTGCTTCTAGCACTCGCCCCTCCGTGACTCTGCCTCAGGGCCAGGTGATAGGAATCCAAATCAAGGAGGAATTCCCTGTCACTCTCGATGCCTTTTTGGGAGTTCCGTACGCACTTCCACCTGTTGGAGAACGACGATTTAAGCCGGGATTCAAGGTAGCAGAATCTACCGAAACCATTGATGCGTCAAAATATGGTCCGGCTGCTCCGGGTAAGGCCTTGCTTGCTGGAGGACCAAAACTCGAGCAAAGCGAAGATTGCCTTACTGCAAATATTTTCCGGCCACCTACAACGAGTGAAGCGAGCAAGTTGCCTGTCGCGGTGTACATTCATGGAGGTGCATTTAATCGAGGGTCGGCTACAATGCATGACACAGCCTCAATGGTTGCTTGGTCCGAGTCGCCGTTCATTGGGGTGAGCTTCGGTTACCGGATTGGTGCATTAGGATTCTTGCCCTCCAGTTTGTCGAAGAAAGAAGGTGTCCTGAATCTCGGGCTACGTGATCAAGTCCATTTACTTGAATGGGTGCAAGAGAACATTGCCAAGTTTGGAGGTGATCCTGGCAATGTGACACTGTTTGGCCTATCGGCTGGAGCGCATTCGGTAATCCTCCTCCCATTTGAGACCTCGGTATAGGCGATTTCTGACTATAAAGTAGATAGGACACCATCTTTTGAATTACAAGGAGAATGCACAAGCTCTTTTCCACCGTGTCATCATGGAATCTGGCTCGCCTACATCCCGCGCAGTTCGTCCCTATAATGCAAAGATACACGAACAACAATTTCAAGACTTCCTACGTGAGGTTGGCTGTCCGACTGACATACCCGAGGATGAAATATTCCCTTTCCTCCGGTCTCTGCCTAGTGCAACTGTGACGAATGCCCAAACAAAGGTCTTCGACAAATACAATCCTTCCCTTCGGTGGGCATTCCAGCCTGTGATAGACGATGATATCATTTATCGCAAGCCTTTAGATGCCTGGAAATCCCAGCTCTGGAACAAAGTACCGATCATGACGGGCTTTACCACCAATGAGGGAAGCATGTATGTGGACAAGAAGATGTCCGATCCGTCGCAGTTCCGCAGATTTTGGAAAGACCTACTCCCTGAATTGTCGGTTTCGGATCTGGATACAATTGACAGGCTGTACTCTGATCCAAGTGCAGACCCAGCGTCGCCGTATGTCGAGGACAGAGAAGGTTGTGGCCTCGGTCCTCAGTACAAGCGTATTGAGGCAGCGTATGCTCACTACGCATATGTTGCGCCTGTCCGTCAGACAGCTGATTTTGCCTCCTCTCAAGGTGTACCCGTTTACCTATACCACTGGGCTCTTCCAAGAACAGTGGTCAACCGAGCAAACCATGGGGATAACATGTACTATGAATCCTATAATAAGAGCATAACAGGAGTTTCGGAGTCACAGAAGGAGCTATCAGGAACTCTCCATGCCTATTTGACTAGTTTTATCACCCAGGGCAATCCGAACGCTATCAAGGGCCGCTGCTCACAAAGGCCTGAGTGGGAGGCCTTTGTGCCTGATGAGCCATGCGTGATGACCTTTGGACAAGGTAATGAGGAACTAATTGGGGGCTCCACGGCTCCTCCGGCAAAGTTTGTCAAGGATCAGTGGGCGAGGGAACAAACTGAATTCTGGTGGTCCAAAGTTCCGATTTCACAACTCGCTTGAAGGTCAGTAGTACTTTTGGGATTTGCTTTAAATGATAAAATATAGAAAGCTTCATATGATTCCTTTCACCGTCTTTCTAGATGTTCTTCAGGATCAGATCAACTTCAGCATCAGCCACATCTAGTATATGCTCCGGCGGATAATGAGGCATCCAGCCAATCTCGCGTCCGTGCTGAGCTTCGAGAGTACATTTTCCACCCAAAAAGAGCGAAACCATATCCTTTGGACACCCAAGCGCCCTGCCCATTTCCTCTTGAGCCGAGTCGTCCGCCAGATTCACCTTGTCTGTTTCAATCACATTGCGCTGCGCCAGAGTCTGCGCCATTGCACGGTAGATATCATTCCATGGCACACTTCCGCTTGCAGCCAAATAATACCCATTCCGTCCGTATCCAATGTTCTTTCCATTTAATATCCCTCTCAAAATTTCCAGATAGAGATTGGCGGTATCTGCGACATGACTGACAGGCCAGCTCTAAACTTCAGTCAGACCATGTGAAGAAAGGAGCCGGAAACATGACAAGACACGTACAAACTCTCCGCTATCAGGGCGATAAACTCGTCCAAGAGCTTTAGCAGCTTTGACAATGGCGACGGTCTGAATTGATATCGGATTCCCGAATCCTTCCCCTTCACCATACACAATGCATGGTACGAAGATGTAACTTTTCACGCCATGTGCGTCCGCTGTGTCTATCACGTTGTTGTTTGTTGATAGAGCCTAAAATTCATCAGTCTATTGTAAGATAAGATGTTTAATGGAACAAACCATTTGAGCCACGCCGTATTTTGGAACAGAACTTTTCTGCAGGCCATAGAGCTCGGGGTCATTGTCAAGGATGGGCCGATCCGTTGGAAGTCCAGCATGGTTGCTGAATATCTTAGCGCCGGACGTATGCAAGAAGTGGACCTCTTTTCCAGTTCTCTCCTTCACTCCTGCAAGTGCTTTTATCATGGGAATTTGAGACACCGAAGTCATGGCGTCAACCAGAAAGTAGACCACGGTGATTTCATTCTCGATTATGGCAGTCCTTATGCTAGCTTCTTCTTTGATATCGAAGGAGATAGGTTCAGCGCCATATTTTTTGACAGCTTCACCTTGCTCCTTAGTGCGGACGAGAGCGTAGAGCGTTCGGTAGGGCGGAAGCTTAGCTCTTTCCCAGCGGGCGAGGATGGTTCCACCTAGATACCCGGAAGCGCCGGTGATGAGGATATTATGCGACATTGTGACAATGGCGTCTGTATGGAATTAAGCAAGTCCAAAGCCAACTATTTATATGATTCAAAAATCTCAACTTTTTGAAATGCAAGCCTAGATGTTATCTAACATCGCTTTGACAATTTGTCAGCGTAGAACGGCTTCTTTTATAACTAATCAACCCAGCGGGCCGAGCTCCGCGTGGTAAGTTATCCGCTCACGGCACGGTTATATGCAAGGATACGTAAGTGGGTCCTATCGTCACAGGAGGTTTCCATTGATCAGTGTAGGAATTGCATCGAACAGTTCTAATGTCGCTGCTTCTTCTTCCAAGCCTGTTCAGCTCAACGAGTTTCGCAAGGCTTCTCCTATCTAATCTTCAAGAAATTCATGCTGCTAACACACGCTTGAGCGACCTTACGAATTACTGCACGTTCGCCTCTTGATCGTCGTGGAAAACGGTCGTCCCCCAGTTTGGACGATTGAATCGCTTTCCTCCTAGTGTTGTAACCAAATTGTCAATCTGCGCGGTCTCATCGTCGTCCATATGAAAGCATTTCTGTAGATTGGATGCAATTCGTGTCGGATTCGTGCTTTTAGGGATCACACTCCAGCCCTTTCTCACACCCCAGCTAAGCAAAACATTTCCAGAGCTGCAGCCTCTCTTCTTGGCGATTGTGTTCACAATTGGATCCTCATGAAGCGTACTTCCACTGCCACCTAGTGGACCAAATGCTGTCTGGTGAATACCGTGTTGTTGACACAGTGCGTTGAGCTTCTTTTGGGGAAGCAATGGTTGTATCTCTGTCTGATTCACGGCCGGGATAACTTTACAGCTACCAAGGAGCTTGCTCATATTGACTGTCGAAAAGTTAGCTACCCCAATATCCTTTACTTTTCCAGTCGCGAGTAGCTTCTCCATCTCGCGCCAAGTGTCGATGAAGTCCCAATCAGGGTCGTGGACGGTGCGATCCTCTTTTCCATATGTCTCGGGAGTAGTAGAGGTAGGTAATGTGACGGGCCAGTGCATAAGATAGAGGTCGACGTAGTCTAGGCACAAGTCATCGAGAGATTTCTGAAGCGCTGATTGAATGCGGCGGTGATCAGACGACCAGCTGGTTTCGAATCCACTATGTTAGCCTCAATATGGCAATGGGGTATGTGATCATACAGTTTTGTCGTTACAAAATATTCACTCCGTGGTACTTGGGTAGTCTTGAATATCTGCCCTATTTCTGCTTCATTTCCGTCTGTTGCTCTTTATCAGTCTCCTGGCCATTGTCAAGTCTCGGTAGTAAGTAGAGACTCACATAAAGGAGCACAGTCCTAATGAAGAATAAAAAGGTCAGTAAGTATCACGAATGCGCCCTTTCTTGCGGCCCGACGTACAAAGTGTCTATATCCTGCTTCAAATGCAGCTTGAACGGCTGCAGCTGCCTCGCCGGGGCCAGCCTTCCAGGTCCCAAAGCCGATCGCGGGGATCTTTGCCCCGGTGTTTAAAAAAAAGTCCTTCGTCTGAATTATCTCTGCCATATTGAAAATCAATTGAAGAAAACCTGTGTCTGGACTAAAATTGAAGCAGTTAGGTGTTTTTTTGAAGTTATCTCGAGAGGCTCTTAGTACCCCGTTAGAAGCTGGGCGATTTGTCGGAGAGAAACCCGATATCAGCTCAGTGCCTTTTTCCCCTCATTTCATGCATCGGACTCATTCCGTTACAGCTAGGAAACCAATGATAGTCCTTTACAGTGGGGTTCCATTAACTGAAAGTCCGATAAATTTCTACCATCATTGCATCAGTTACAACTTGAACAATAGGCCGTGAAATGACGTTTGACCGGTCGCAAAGACAAATGTGAATTACATTCATACAATTTGAATTGCATTCATACATTCAAGTGGGCGTTTCTAAAGAGAGAAAATCGAGCTTGGCTAGTTGGACCGTTTTGCTGGCCTCTGGATTTAGAATAGTCTACAAGCGTTTTAGAAACAGTAAAATCATGTATTGGTCATCACGATATACGTCATGGATACTCCTGGACTTCGGAGCTTATTCACACTGCCTCAACATGTTCCACGCGGTTCCTCTTGCTATCATCTTCCTGATCATCCAGTTTGCCAGCCATGATATCTTGTCGAACATCTGAGCGGATCTTCTCTTCCTCCGTGGGATAGGCATGCCGCCACATTGTCCACAGCGGTCGCTCAAACAAATTATCCATACTTTCAATTGATCGACCTTTCATCTCAGGCAAGCAGAAAAAAATGAAGATAACCCCCAAGTAGGTCAGCATGGCATACAGTAGGAACACGCCCCAGCCCATCTCAGTGATCATGTTTGGCGTTGCTCGAGTAATACCGTAGTCCACAATCCAGTTGATAAAGAAGCAAATCGCCATACAGAAAGAACGCTGATGGTGTTAGCAAAGATCTCACGTTCGAGTGTGGGTTTACTCACAATTCTTGTTGGGAAAGCCTCCGCGGCGACCACATAGCATGCGACAGAATGGCCAAAAGACCACCCAAAGGCATAGATGTAGATCCAGATAATGCCAACAATACCTCCTGCAGGAGTTCCACCTACTGTCTCCGTGTTCGTTCCTGCAAATCGTAGGTAGAGTGCCAGATAGAGCATTGCGGTCGCTTGCAGTGTGGCTCCAATCAGTAGTGGAATACGACGTCCGACTCGGTCAACCAGGTAACCGACATAGAAGATGGTGGTGACTGTCTTTACAACGCCATAGATTCCGGTCGTGAGCAAGCTGGAGGAGCTACCCCTGACTCCGATCAAAGCAAATATCTCCGGTGCATAATACTGTGTTTAGTGTTAGAGGTGATTCTGGATTCTGGGAAACAGGGGTTGTAGTTTGAAACTCACGTTCAACGAGTCTGTTCCGGTAAACTTGTGGAATAGGAATAGCATCACTGATAGGAAGAAGCGTTGGAAATTGTTTCGCGACGTGAAGATATCTTTCAGAACCACCCAGTAGCTATGCCCGGCAAAGCATTCCTGCTCGTGTATTACCTGTGCCTCGATCTCACGGTATTCGGTCTGCACATAAATGTGATCCACAGGGAGCTTCCGCAATCTGCAAATATTCTCTAGGCCCTTCTCTGCCTTTCCGTGGTTGATCAACCAACGCGGAGTCTCTGGCACAAATGGGATCATCAGACATAAGAGGGCCCCTGGGATCAACTGGATACCCATTGCAGAACGCCACTGAGCATTGTCGTGCTCCACGCCCGGGAAAGACCACTTTGAGACACCATAGTTCACCCAGAATGCCAGCATCAGAGATGTGACAATCATCAAATTATAGGAGGCAGTCATGGACCCTCTGACAGATTTTGGGGAATTTTCCGCTAGGAATTGAGGGGTAAGCATTGACGATGCGCCAACGCCCATACCTGCGATGAACCGCCCGGCTAGGAGGACATTGTAGTTGGCCACCATCTGCATGAGCGCGCCAACTAGAAATACCAGACCCCAGCTAAAGACTGACCATTTCCGACCAAAGTAGTCAGATGTTGGTGCCGCGAGCAAAGAGCCAGCTGATCCACCTGCTGCGAGCATACTCGCGATCGTGCCCTGGACCGTTGTGAGTTGAATAATGATATTCAAGGGAAGGAAACCTTTCAACATGCCTTCCTGTTATCAAGTTCAGATTGAGTCACTCCACTCAGTCCAAATGCATTCTTGAAAGACGGGAGCGTGAGAATTCCGCCGATATTTCCTGTATCGAATCCATAGAAGGAGCCGGCCCAGGAAACGGCAACCAAAAGGTAAAGAAGGCGAAGGTTGAATATCGCCTTAGGGTCTGTTCTGGCCTCACTGCTCACCCAAATACTCGTTCCCCCAGCCATGCCGTGTAGTTTTAATCAATGGTAATTGAAAGCAGGTTGAAGATATCTCGCTCTGGAGACACTGAGAGCTGACCTGAGAGAAGTTGGACGCGGACGGGGTTGCATCCAGAATATAAACTCTGCTTGGGATTATAACTGATATGCATCAAGTGATCCTGCCTCAATGGCCCGTGTCAAGCTATTTGCTCTGCATGCTGAGAGACTCATCTGCAAACCCCATGGGGAAGTGGGGAGGTGGAGAAGCAAGATGCGGGCTGGTCTCGGGTCGGGTTTCTCTCCGGTGTCAGGCAAGACCTTGATATATACCGGGTACCAAACCGATAACTCTAATGGGCCTCACCATCTTGGTTAGTCATTCACCTGCTCGTTGATAAGATAATGGAATCTTAAAACTGAGATGTGAAGTACTCGTTAGTCTTGGCCTCAACACACCCATCAGGAAACACCTATCAATAGCCACCATGGCCACCACAACAATCACCGTGGCCCCTGAATTCAACTCAGGTCTCCAGTCCTCAAAAGGAAAATCTAAATTCACCGAGGCATATATTCCTGCTCTCACGACACAGTGTCACGCCTCAAACCTTCTTCTCCTGCCCAATGGGGACCTCCTCTGCGCTTGGTTTGGCGGCAGCATTGAGGGTCGACCGGATATTTGCATTTACATGTCCCGTCTCGCGGCTCATTCCAGCACATGGGAAGAGGCAGTGAAAATGACTCACGATCACACTCGAAGCGAACAAAATCCCGTCCTCTTTTGTGTCCCTTCTACGGGAGAAATTCGGCTGCTATACACATCGCAGAACGGGGGGGATCAAGATTCAGCAATTGTGAAGCAATCAAGTTCACTGGATGGTGGAAAAAACTGGTCCGATCCTACTGTACTCTTCAGCGACAGGGGTACATTCATCAGACAGCCTATTCAAGTCCTTAAAGATGGAGCATGGGTTGTTCCCATCTTCAAATGCCGAGCAGAGCCAGGTGAACGCTGGCTGGGAAGTGACGATATATCATGCATACGGGTATCAAGGGATGAAGGTCGAACCTGGTCCGAGATAGAAGTACCTAACAGTTATGGCTGTGTCCATATGAATATTCGGCAGCTCAGCAATGGTACCTATCTGGCTCTGTACCGAAGTCGTTGGGCCGACAATGTGTATATGTCGACATCGCCGAATGGCCTTGATTGGAGTGAGCCCAAAGCGACCATTTTACCGAATCCCAACGCCGGTATTTGCTTTGATGTTCTGCCTTCGGGGCGGGTGGTTCTTGTCTACAACCATTCTTCGAAGAAAGACGCTGTTGGTCGGAGAGATGGTCTTTACGACGATATCAGCGATGAGAATGATACGAGAGCCAATCAGGCAAGCAAGCATGGAAAGGAGGCGTTCTGGGGTGCACCAAGAGCACCACTAAGCATTGCTTGGAGCGATGATAACGGATTATCATGGAAGTGGAAGACATTGGAAGAAGGGGATGGGTATTGCTTGACAAATAATAGCGAGCAAAAGCTCAATCGAGAGCTCTCTTACCCCAGTATTACCATTCAGAATGATGGGATGATGCACATCGCCTTTACCTTCTGGAGGCAGCGAGTCAAGTACGTCCGGATAGGAGAAGACTTTTTAAATTAGATTATTGTTATTCTATCTTTTATACGTCCTTCATGTATACATAAAGGTTCTACAATTTGATCCCTTGTCTTTAAGTCAGCTTTCTAATCGTCCTCCCAATCGCCTCTCCGAGTGTCTCTTCGGGCATTCGGACATTGTCTAGCTAAACATACGGGATTTTGCCTATATCCATATCAGAGGCTAGAAATCTAGCGTGGTTTCTATTTGATGTCTAACAAGTCCCTTCTAAATAGCATGGGGAAGACTCTCCTCTAGCTCAACTAGGTGCTGCATGACACTCTCCACCCAGGCTGCCTTCTTATCATCACAAGGAAGATATGGCTTCCTAGGCCAAAAGGCTTTGGGCTCAGTCACTCCCGCCCTTGGACCAGCAAAACGAGCGGTCGCATATTTCGTAGGGGAAATCCCTTCCTTGCAAGCCTTTTCTGCTTGGGCAACAAGTCCTTGTAATTCTTTTGCTTCGGTGATTTTGCCTTCGTTCCACAGTGCGTACAGTCTGGCGACGCATTTAGGGAAGACATTCGCAATACCAGTCACGCATCCGCCTCCGCTGCCCGCGAGACAAGGGATTAGCCAGTCTGAAGAACCGGCGAAGACTCCAAACTGGGCATGCTTGAATTCATGTGTCAACCTGGTGACCTTGCCTGCATTTCCACATGTGAGTTTGACGCCGACGATATTAGGATGTTGCGCGAGTTCGGACAAGGTATCAGAGTTCAGGTCTATTCTATTGCACATTGCCGGGAACTTCGTTTGGTAAGCATCAGGTCTGTCATTTGCTCAAAGGCAAGGTCAGCTTACGCTGTAGATCACAATTGGAAGAGCCGTTGCATCAGCCACATCATGGTAGAAGCCGAGAATGGCCTCCTTTGTGACAGCCTTGGCCCAATAGCTGGGTGGTAGTAACAGTCCAAAATCCGCGCCTGCATCAAGAGCGTCCGTAGCCAGTCGAATGGACTCCACTGTTGAGTGCCCACTGATTCCCGCGACAACTGGGAAATTTGGGCGACCAGATTCAACTGCAGCTTTTCGGGCGACCTTGACAAGTTCCTTTCGTTCCTCAGCAGAGAGTAGAACAGCCTCTGCCGTAGTGCCAGCCAACACGAGCCCATCAATACCACTGCGGATCAAATATGAGAAGAATTTGCATGACGCATCGTAATCGATCTCTTGACGCGGAGTTGGCTTGTATAACGAGATGACGGGGCAGTATATGCCGGGCGGGATGGGCTTGGATTTGGAGTCGATGTTTGATGTCATGGTGTAGTTCTTCCAGAAATATCTTCGATTCTTTGTTCAATAATCAAATCAACGCAGTCGCCTATCACCCCCTCCACCTTATACTCTCTTACCTGCAAACCTACCAGGTATCACCCAAGCCACTTCGGAGAGTCACCGAGATTTCCGCTCCGGAATATTTTCCACCGATGCGGGGGATTGAGATGGCCCCAATGGACATCATACATGATGTGGGGAAGCTTCCGGGGAAAGGGCTGATCTATACCGCTTCTACAGCAGTGGATGCCATGCTCAAAGCCATTTAGGTTTTGGCGAATCGGACAGTGGCATTTCGTCAGGCCTGGATGATGTCTTTGCCCTCTCACGCGTAGATAAACCCCCTCGGGGTACTCACCGGTGAGCTCTCGTCCTGGTGACCATCTCCAACCCTCTCCATCATCCCAGTTATGACCAAAAGAAAGCGGACCTGGACCGATGACGCACCGGAAGCTTTACCGGAGTCGAGCTCTCGGGGACCCGATCTTGACAATTCGAAGGATCAAAGCGTGCTGGATGTTTTGCCGGGGATAACCCGAAAGATAACCGCTTGCGGCGCATGTAGGAAACAGAAGGTGCGTAATGAATTTGCGCTCCTCCGATTGGATTCAGGCTCACCTAGCTAGATCAAATGTGACATGACCGATGGCCCGCCGTGTACGCGATGTCGTCGACGAGGGCTATCTTGTGTCTTGAATAAGAGTCTGCAGTCCTTGGTGGAGGAGGTGAAGTGAGTTCCACTCCAAGCGTTCTTGCAAAAAAGGGAGTGCATTGCTGACCCATCCAGGAACACGGAGCTACTTCAAAGCGACGTTCAAGGGATACACGATGTCCTGGATAGTATCTGTCAGCACCTGAGTCTGCCGAGGCCTAAACCTCTCCTGACTACTGGAGAATCCTCCCACGCCGAAGGCAACGCAGATCACCAAGAGGAGCTGGAGAGAGATCAAGAAGACCTAGATGGCTGTGAAATTTCGCCACCAGACACACCCTCTGCCGTTCATGCTCCGATCGACACCTTCCTAGATATCGCCAGATTCGGTAGTCCTGGGTCGTCAGACAACACGCCTCCAAGTACAACTCGTCCACGACAGCATGCAGTACCTCAAGATCTCATCGGCAAAGGTCTGATCACCTCGACAGCGGCAGAAAATCTTGTAGAAAGATACTTTACTCAACTAGACCCCTACCTTTACGGAATATGCAACGGGTATCAAAGTCTTGCACAAATACGAAGTACATCCCCCGTGATGTTTGCAGCAGTGTGCACAGTAGCTGCATTGCAAGATCCAAATGGACAATCATTATACGAGGCCTGCAATCGTGAATTCCGGCGCCTCGTTTCTCGATCTCTGTTCGAGAAGCATGACCTGGAGTACGTCCGGGCCTTGTGCATCAGCTCATTCTGGCTTTCCGACGCGTCAAGAATCCTGACCAGTGATGCCATTCGTCGTGCAGCAGATATGCGCTTGCATCGCAGTTTCGATCATCTTTCCACTCCCATGGATCCGAGGTTATTGCCCAGAGGAGCTCACGCATTGTCAACGCCGATCGAGGTTGCGGCAATGAAAGACCGTGTCAGACTCTGGTATTTGATCTTTATCTCAGATCAGCACCTCTCTATTCTGCATAATAGAGATCCACTCTTACGCAATGACAAAGATATTGCTATGAGTTGGGAAACGTTCTTGGCTCGAGATGATACGACGGACTCCGACATACGACTTATCTCACAGGTTGCCCTTTTGGTCATCATGAGTCAAGTCCGTGATTTGCTGGGCTCTGACAAAGAAGCACGCTTGCCACAATCATTGTCAAATCAAATCACTCATTATTCACGTCAACTTGATCGATGGTTCGCTAAATTCCTTGCAATATTCAAGCCAGATCCAAATATTGGCGACTTTCCGAAGTGTGGCTTACAATTGCACTACCACTTCGGAAAGCTTTACCTTGGCCACCAGGTCTTCAAGGGGCTGAACGGCGAGAGCATCCCACCTCATTTCTTGACTGCAGCAAACATGGCACATGATGCAGCTGTTGCTATCTTCGAAATGATACTGCACCAAGAGCAGCTTCAACGTAGTCTGGTTGGGATGCCCCATTACTTCCACATTATGATTGCTTTTGCGGGGTATTTCTTGCTAGAAGTTACCAAGAACTACCATGCTCAGCTCTCGATTGGCGCGAGTCAGGACTTTGAATTGATCGGAAAGGTTTTGGGGTTATTCCAAGAAACTCCAAGTACCCAACAACACCCGATTTGCCGAATGACGCCAGGTTTGACTCGCAAATTGCATGAATGTATAGCTTCGCTTCAGCGAAATGGAGAGGAAATCATCACCTCCTTATCAGATTCGATTGGCCTCATGGACTATGCAGCGAAGAATGTGCAAGGGACCATGAATCCACCGCTAGGACCCTTTTCCTTTACGGGAGAGGCATTCGTTAACCCTGTAGATGATTTTTTGCTCGCTGACTTTGGAGACTTTTCATTTCCGGGGATGATGTCGAACGGAGGAACCTAGCTTAGAATTGAAGTGGAATTTGTAATTCTCTCATATCTAATTTTTCCTATCATGCACATAAATTGTCAAGTCTAAATCTAACAATTTTAACGCTAAGAGACCATTAATTTGGTCCTCGCCATAGGGTCGGAGAGTTCTCCGAGCCCGTCGGCGACGAAGGGGCGACGGAGTAGATGACAGTTTTATTAAAGACAGCACGCAGCCATTCTTTACTCAACACCAAATCCATCAAGCATGGCCTCTGCGTCTGTCACGCTCCCCACCACCCAGAAGGCCGAAAATGCCCATACTCCACCCAAAATGCAATACCAACGTCTGGGCAACAGCGGCCTCAGGGTCTCCCGCATCATTCTCGGGTGCATGACTTACGGCAACCCCAATTGGGAAGGGTCCCCGTGGGTGCTCGACGAGAAACAATCGCTCCCGTTACTCAAAAAGGCCTACGACGTGGGAATAAACACTTTCGATACCGCAAACACGTATTCAAATGGAGAATCTGAAAGAATCCTAGGCAAAATGTTGACCGAGTACAACATCCCACGAAGCCGGGTGGTTATCATGACGAAAATGTACTATCCGGTGCTAGAAGACAATCCGGACGCGAGGCCAAGTCCAGCTGTGAATGACGGACCGCTGGTCAACCAGATGGGTCTGAGTCGAAAGCATATCTTCGATGCTGTTGAAGGGTCTCTGCGGAGACTGAATACAGACTACATTGATGTTCTGCAACTGCATCGGTTTGATTCTGAGACTCCATCTGAAGAAATCATGCGAGCACTGCATGACCTGGTCCAAATGGGCAAAGTTCGCTATTTGGGGGCATCGAGTATGCACTGTTGGGAGTTTGCGCGCTTGCAGTATATCGCGAAAATGAACGGCTGGACGCCATTTGTTAGTATGCAGGGTCTATACAACCTCCTGTATCGCGAGGAAGAGCGGGAGATGAATCCGTTCTGTCAAGCAGAGGGGATTGGCTTAGTGCCTTGGAGTCCGTTAGCTCGGGGACTACTAGCGCGCCCTTGGCAAGAAAAGTCAGCGCGGGGGGAATCAAGACCAAAAGACCAAGAGATGGTTTGTTGGTGATCAAAACGAGGGAATTGTGAGCCGAGTGGAGGAATTAGCTCGTCAGAAAGACTGTGCAATGAGCTCGGTCGCGATGGCCTGGTTGTTGCAGAAAGGGTGTTGTCCAATCGTTGGATTGAACAGTATTGACAGAATTGAGGCGTCACTCGAGTCGTTGGAGGTTGAATTGACTAGGGAGGATGTTGCCCTATTGGAGGAAGCGTATCGTCCATTGACGGTCCAAGCAATCTGATTGTTCAGCTCGGCTGTGATAGGATTCGGGTTTAATTTCAAATCTCCGAGCCTTGGGTGAAGCCTTGTATACCCAGAGTGATGCTGAGCGCTGAAAGGCCTGCCTTCGGGGGCAGGATCCGTGCTCACCTAGTGCATGATTAGTTAGTTAGAATAATCTATTTCCAAGTCCCATCTTACGTGAGGCCGGTCATTCCTGGCTGATATAGAGGTGTTTAACCACGTCATTCTCAATACAGTCTCGAGCTCAATTTAATATTTCCCTTCCGTGCAAGCTTACTGTATTGACGACACTACTTCACCATACCATCATAACCTGGCTTGAGTGTGCATGTCACGATCTACATTGATCCGGCTAACATGCCCAAATTCTTTCAGTACATGAATCCCGTCTACGAGGCTGTGATTGCAGAGCCCGAGTGTCGCTTCTTCGAGCTGTATCAGTCCCTACCTTGAGTTGGGTTGAAGACTGGTGAGTCTTGAACACTAAAAGAAAATCAAATACTAGATAGCATCGCGCTAACTATCTTTTAGGACTATGACTCTTCGGGAATTCATGGAGCTTGGTTGACCAGCATGGCGCAAGATTCATGATGTTCGATCTGCTGACATCCATGACTAGAAACAAGTGACCAAGGAATACTACAAGGAATACTTCGCTGCTACGGAGCCCATGCTCTTGAAGCCGAGAGAATCCACGATATTGAATAGGTTGGGAGCGCCATACTTCACGGCCAAAGTTTAGCAGGGGCCAAAGTTTAGCAGGGATTGACGGATGGAGTGTGTCCGAGCAGCATCGTGGGTTCATAGCTTACTTTCTCTAGCTCTTACAAAAGAATGAGAAAGAAATACGATTAGCCCGCATATTACGGGAATATTCTTAGATTGAACTACCTAGCTGAGATATCTGCAAGGTCCCGAACTAAAAGTACAATGCAAACAGCGCCAAGTCTGTCACCAGCACCCGAGAAACGCCTGAACTACCTCGGCCTGGGATAATGCGACAGCGGAAAAATAATCGGACACTTTGCAAAGACGTAAAAGCACGTGGGAAATCAGTCACTCGGACATCTCCGAGGATAGATAGAGGAGGGGAGATAGGAGATTCATCTAGTCGATAGACCTGTAGTGAATGGGAAGATTAAGGAGGACAAACCAACCTTGTGCTCTATGAGCCTGGTAAGAAGGTTCCCGTAATGATGGGGTTTCCGTTTGGCGGGACTTGCAGAGCATGGGGGTTTCAAGCCAGAAAGGTGGTGAGTACATGAACCCAGAGTCCATGTTGGTGGGTAGCTTGAATTCCGGGTGTTGTGGCAATAGCATTGTGTTTTTCTTCTTTCGTTTTGATGGGGACCAGCCCCGACCGGATGTGGTGAAGAGGGTGTGCTCGTTGTGCATGAGAAGCAGGGCGATCCTTAAGCAGGTGTCGCAGTGTTGGATACCGTGTTCGGGGTGACCTGGCGCTTAGCTGCTCCCTGAGAGGCATCCATCGAAGAATCCTGTGGAGAGAACAAGATTAGTGATTCCGGACCGGCGGTGCTCGAGGGAGGCATCTTGTTTCGCGGGATGTGGGAGGCCGAGTTCGAGACAGGTGTCGATATCATTGCTGAGTCAGGTTCAATCTCGTTCTCTTCATGTTAACTTACGTGCATCTCGACGTGTCTCCGTTTCTGACCGGTCGATTCGGTCTTCCTGATCACCTTCTTCTTCGGTCGGGACGGACGGGATTCGCCGGGTTGGAAGACATCCTCGGGCAAGTCAAAGCTGGAATGTGTGAAAAATCAAATCATCTAACCAGGAACACCGGGGTTTCCGAGACTTACTTGCGAACGTGGGTGACCGCCAAATCGTGAATTTCGGGAATGTACCCCGTCCAAGATGTGCACGTTGACTTGAAGATTTGCGAGTCTGTGGAGATATCCAAAGACCGCGAGGTGCCTATTTATCGGTTAGACGAGCCGGGGCAACGACTAGCAAAGTATGGACCCATACCTGGTTCCAAGGGCTTGAGCTCTAAGCCGATATAGTAGGTAGTAGTATACACAGTATTACTACCACCTTCAGTCTTCTGCTCAGAGTGCTCAGTGGGCACTGGGACGGCTGCATTTTCCATTCCATTTTGTGCCGCGGCTTCATGGGCTGGGTCCTTCGTTTCGTCGGTGGTCTCTGTCGTGGTACCCTTAGCCTGGTACTTTGTTGATCCGTTCTTTACCGCCTCCATTTCTTCAGCATTACTGATGACATGAATTCTTTCAAATCCCTTAGGGAAGGGATGAGCCACTGAAATGATCGGCTTGCGATCTAGAGCTCCAACAAGGTGACGCAACTTGGATTCTACAAGACCAGACCAAACGGCCTCGTCTTCTTTGGTCTTGCTCGAAGCCGTGATACTGAGATAGTACTTGTAGTCTTGAGTGAAGAAGGTATGGCGTGTAAAGAGGTCGCTCCAGGATAGTTGCTTGGTGAAGATCTTGTCCACGACGTCTCCACCTCTCTGAAGTTCCCGAAGAATCACAGTCTTGGTTGACATGGAAATGTTGTGGGTTGCACACATGGAAGGATAGGCAGGAGTGATAATCGGCATCAAATGGAATCTATCACCGTGGTAGATCTGTAACAGTAGAAGCAAAATCGATTAGCCCCAACTCTTTCAGCTAAGCAGATCCCGTTACGAGCATTACTTACCTTAGGATTCCAGACTTTCATCTGGAGGGGACCTTCTTCAATCTGCTTCAAAAGGACGGGCTGGGGCCATGCCCATTTGTTCATGATTCTGAAGAACTTGCCCACGATGACTGATCCCGAGGCGGCTGGGTAAAGTTGGCAAACTCGTGCTACCAGCATCGCCCAGGCGATACCTCCAGGGAACCCAACAATATTAGCGTAGATCGCTCGACCTGTACAATCAAAAAGCTTAGCACGGATATTGATGGACGAGTAGAAATAAAGAAAGTCTCAACTCACGCTGGGCCCAGAGTTTGATTGCCCGCAGGGCAATACGGAAGGTCTTCTGCTGAGGGACAAGCTCCAGAATTTCATCTGCAACTCGAGTCCCGTTCAGGGAGCGGACCTCCTTCTCATCCAGCCCTCGCAAGTAATCGTTATTCTTCAAGTCTAGGTTCATGGGCACAGATGGGATAACCAGACGAGCAAAAAGCAAATCAATGCTAATACCAGCGAGCTCCATCTTGATGATAGGTACAAAGGCATCTGGGACGGGAGTCATCTTTTCCACCACGCCCGCAGGTGCCATTTGTTGTAGGAGGGGAGGGAAGTCGGCAAAAAAGTCCTCGCCGCATACGTGCTTTGGGCCGACAATCAGGGTATCGATATCGGATCCTTGGGAGACAGGGAGAGTTAGGGTAAGATCTTGAATTGGACAAACGAATTATTGGCCTTAGCTTACCAGGACCGTAAACACCGAGTCGGTAACCACCAAACGTAAAGATCTTGCCTCCGGAAGCTTCCACGGCCGCAGGCGACAGGCCCTTCTTTCGAGAAACAGTCTTGACAAACTCTAGGGCGACCCGTTGAAGTAACTGAAGCATTTGAATTCTACAAGGCAACCATCAGCCATCGATTATCCATTTCTTTTACGACCGGTATTCCTCAAACGTACCTCCGCTCTGAGTCCGAGGGCGGCTCGAAGTTGTTCTGGGCCTTGAGCTCGGCGATGAGATCGTCATTTGCAACCAACTCATCCTGCGTCGGCAGGACAGTCGAGATTGGGGGCGTGACACCCCACTGTCGACTTCCAGTAGCCGCCATTATGAGGGGGGAAAGGTGAAGGCTTGTTTGTGAAAAGTGGAATGCGTGTCGCGTTCTGATGAACCTTGGGGATGGGGATTAGATAACGGGGGGAGAACTTGGCGGAGTCGGTTTCGCGGTCGCGTGTAGTTGTCAAGGACAACGGGGAATGGGAAGGAGAGGGCGCGATTAAGTGAGAAATAACAAAAGAAAGCTCGGGAGACGACCACAAATGAATGAGAGGTCAAAAGTGAGGGACGGGTGAAGTGACAGCGCAAAGGTCGTTTCTATCATCGGCTGGCGCTTCCATGGATCTGGTGCTTACTCAGTTTTCAGCACGTGATCATGTACTTTGGCTCTCGATGCGCGCTCTTCCTTGCGCTAGGGCTGTTCCTGTGTATGATTTCAGAAAACGATCTGATTTTGATTTTAGATTGGATATAGCTAGCCTGAATCTGGAAACTATATCTACTTGATCACATTGTTCCTCAAATGAGTATGGGTATTACATGAGATCCCTGCGGACACCTGATGTGGATGCCTGGCCTACTAGGCATCAATAAGCTATCTATGCCCGGTCACTTTTGATTTATCTCCCACTTCTACTTTCCCCATGCTTATTATACTAGTCGAAATCTGCTGTAAAAAGTCTCAAATTCTTTCACATGAAAACTGGCTCAGATATCTTCAGATGCGCGCTTCATCCACCTATCACAGCGTGTCTTGAAGCTTCTCACCCAGTGCAGTAACACTGTCAGGCGGGTTGGCCGCAAAGAACTCGGCCATCTGCTTGTCCAGCCAAGCAACATCTTCCTTGCTATCCCCGGGGCCTCCTGCCCAATCTAGAAATCTAGGTTAGCTCTGATCTCTCACTAAGAGTTTCACTCATAAAGATGTACTCACGACCCCAGATAGATGGGAAAACACCTAGTGTTCCGACACCTGGCTTCATGCAAGCGACTTCATATTCAGAGTCCTCGGGTCTGTAGAGGACGTATGTCAGTGTCTGTTCTTAGCATATCCATAAAAGCATGCCATACGGGAAATAAAGATCAGTCTTGGCTGGCAAAACCAGCGTCTTCGCCTTAATTGAGGCCATCGCCTTCTCAAAGTCTCCATTGTACGGTTCTTGCTGGGAGACATCTCCATTCTGCCAGGTCTGCATCATCACCAGCAGATTCTCGGGATCTAAGACTGCCGTCAGCGCAAGTTTTATTACTTCAGGTGAGAGGTGATTACCCTTCGAGCAGGCCCATTTTTCCCAGTGATTCTGCAGGAAGTCTTCGAGGTCCTTGTATCCCAGAGCTGTCTCATACAGCTTCTGGCGATAGAATGCCTGGCTGAAGCCCCTGTGCCAATTCAGTCAGTAAATATCCAAAACAAAGCACGAAAGAATAAATGAACCTACCATCCAGCATACACTCTCCCCATGGCCTTAAGGCCAACCTCTCTATCTCTATCACTCCACGTCCGAAGCTCGACAGAGTCCTCCTGCAATCCGCCCTTCCCAGAACCAGCCGAGCGAGTATTCTTCACGGCAAGAAGGGCCGTCTTGACACCTTCGATAAACACCTGATTATGCAGAGATGTTTTCGCCGAGCCGCAGAATGGTACTGCAATATCCATGAAATCCGGATACTGTGTTGCCCACTGGTAGGTTTGGCCGGCGCCCATAGACCAGCCTACGACGGCGCGCAGGCGGGTGATGCCGAAGTGCTTAGTGACGAGCTCGTACTGGGCGCGGACATTATCGAAGAATGAAACCTTGGGGAAGGGCTTGGGAGTAGGTTGGTTTGAGGGGGATGAGGACTGCCCGTTACCGAACAGTGCGGTGATGATGATGAAATATTCTTTCGGGTTGAGGGTTTTGTCTTCTCCGATTAACCAGAAGTTATCGGCGATGGCTGTTCAAGAAGGGGAAGCAACGAGTTAGCTTTTACCGAGTTCTAGTCAACTCTTGAGTATAAAGTTTTTAACAACATACCACCCGAAAACCAAGTAGGATAAACGATCGCAGGGAGCTTGGGGTTTCCAAAGGTCTTGTACGCGATATGAGCATCGTCAATCTTCTCCCCGCTCTGCAACTCCCAGTCACCAAGCTTGTAAATATCATAATCAGGCTGCGACATGCTGACGATATGTTGACTTAATACTTTGTTGGTCCAAGGCTTGTTGGGTTGAAAGTGATTCTGGTTCGGCCATATCCGATCCCTGGGCTTCGCGCATTTATAGTTCTGCGGCCTGATGATAACGACCCCGCTCGGAGTACGAAGTACTCTCCGCACGAGGCGCGCTTGGAGTCAAGGTTACACTTCCCCTGGGATTCCGTCTCCAAAAATTTGTCATTTAAGATTTGTCATGCTGTAGTCTGACGTTTGGTTTGGGGCTGTTGTAAGCAGATCAATGGGATACCGCATGATGGGATACTGGATGCCCACGCTGGGATACCGGAGCTAAGCGGACGCGTCACTCCATTTGTATACAGGAGATAAGCTTTCATCTGCAATCGCGATAGATACTTCTAGATTAATCTTCGAGGGAAGGCGTGAACAGTGCTTTGAAATGTATTCTTGAGTGATATTTATGGGTCGTTAAATTGTTATCCGAGTCTAGGCTCTTTCCCTGGGTTCGCCAAAGCGCACACGGTGTATGTCTATACGTCTGCAAAGTCTCAAAATTGCGGGCGGGGGATCTCAATCACATCGGTGGTACGACCATACGAGATGCCACCCAGACGACTGATCGGCTTGAGAACCTCGAGGTCGATGACACTCTGCTCCTTATCAATCGCGTCTTCGCGCACCCAGAATCGCACACCCTCAATAATAGCCAGCACACTACTCGGCTTTCCAGGATTAGCCCGACTCTCAAACTCCTTGACCTCAACCAGCTTCCCCTCAACGGCGAAGATCGATTCCTTCACACGCGCAGGCTTAACCACAGAGGTCGGACCCTGGGTAAGACCCGAGACCTCCCACTCCGAGTGACCGTAAGGCGCATTGATCGAAGTCGAATTGGCAGCTTCGAGGAAGTGCTCCGAGATGATATTGATCACGCATTCCTTCGTCTCAGTCAGATTCTTCAATGTATCCTTGGCCTTCTCCAATGAGCCCACGAAGCCGACGACAAACATGGGTGGATCATGATTGACGATCTGCGAGTAGCTGAACGGTGCAAGGTTCGTAGTCTTCCCGTCCGCCGACTGCGTACTGATCAGGGAGATGGGTCGAGGCACCATGCCCGAGATCAGAAGCTTGTAGTTGGATGCGACGGGCCGGCCGTCGGCATAGGGATCGATCTCGACGTGGTCCTTTTTGAGGCTCTCCCCACCATCGTTGGCGCCATCGCCTTGTTTCCAGGTCGGGTTCGGGGACTTGGATACGATCACCTCGGCATCGTGGCGGAAGTCCGGGCGGGAAGCTTGAAGCTGCTCGAAATCGGGGTGGGGTTTGGACATGATAGGCGTGGTGCTGAGAGGGCTATGAAGCTGGAAGGAAGTGCGATTCAGGTAGGTGACACTGCGGTCACGATAATTCAGGTCAGTTTGATTATTCAACAGTGCCCCACAGGAATATTCTGTGTTTGCTGCATATGCGACGAGGGGTGTTGAGTAGGTTGAGCTTGCCACTGAGACGGTGAAGCAGCTGCGAGACTTACCGTGGTCTAATAGAGATTGTCCGAGTCGCGCGAAGTGCAGGTGTAAGCAAATGCATCGAGGGTTAACGATCAATTGTTGCCGACTCTTTTTGGCATGTCCCTGAACAGCAGCAAGTTCGAGGGTACGTCACAGCATTCATTTCCAATCGAAGCGGGGCTTACTGCCACGGGCGCAATCCGAGATTTAATAGGATGGTTGCAACGCATATACGTGGGATCATCGCACGTCCCGTGCGTGGTAGTAAGTAGACACGTCCGACGCTCGGCCCGTCATCAAAAGATCTTGAAGAATGCCGGACGGTCGTGGAATCACGGCCGAGGCTGGATTCATATTGCAAGATTTCCTTGAAAGAGCCGGCATTATGTATAAAGCTTTGGATGGTCAACTCCAGGTCCTTGAGTATAAACCCGGATACAAGTGTTCTAGAACCATTCGATGCAATCTCTTGGTCCCTGAGTCGACCTCGGTTTAGCTCTCGTCCGAAAGGAGCGGGTAAATCATGCCGGTAAAAAAAAAGATCAAGTGGATAAGCTTATTTTGCCAACAGAGTTAGTTTATGCGCGATGATGGACAAGGAAGCTTCAGCATTATGCGCAGCTCGTGTCGAGAAGTGGTACATAAAAAACTCGGAAGAAATAAGAATGGACGGGGTGGATTGAGATCCATAGAAGTGGTCGCAGTCTCGCAGATGCTCCGAGTTGTACGGGAGAACCCCGATGGGCTGTCCCAAACAGTGAGCCCTGGGGACCCCCAACGAGTCCCCCCCAAAAGACCGGACCCAGTCGGACCCAGCTGGAGCATGAGTTGTATCGTGTGGTCTACCGACGTGGGGGAGTAAAGGGAGAGAGGAAAGTTCCTCCGACGAGTCCTATGGAGCTTTGACTAGGATATATCTGCAAGTAGAAAGCTGTGCAGAGGCTATCCATTATGTACATTTTGATACACAGCCAATTTTCATCAATCAAGTCTTCCTACTGCAGGAACAAAACACCCAGTAGATATTTCAAAGCCCCGCATCTTGCCCAGCCCCGGTAAAATGGCAAAACTTCCCCAAAGACCCCGAGTCCGGGCCCCCAGGAACGTCCCAGCGCCTAGCGGGTCTCCGAGTGGACGCCCCACCAGGAGAAATAATCCCATGACCATCAGATCTTGACTTTTGGGATGTCATTAGCGGATCAGTCATGGCTCACCGTACTAGAGAGTCAGGTAGTACGACATACTAGGGTTGTCACTGGTCGTGTGTGGAACTGGTGATGTATTTTCCATCTTCGGTGCTTTGTATAGTCCGTCTCCATAGCCTTGCTGTTGTTTTCGGTGTTTCAGAGGGGAAAGAAATACACATATCCCTGCCTACTATAAGTAAGCTATTATAAACATGGGGATCGCCGAAGAGAAAAGGAAGTTAGAGGCGGTTAAAGTAGTCTTTGATACCTATAGGAGATCTCCGACAGTATCGAATATCGAGTAACTTAAATTGTCAAGTCAGAAATTAGTTATGAACTGGAAGTATACCCCAGAGCGGTCGTCATACATCGTGCGAATTACATACTCTGTAATTGTAGTAAGAGCTGGCAAGGGCGAAGATCCAAATTCCACGTACTGTTAAGCCCGTAAATCCCCCTCCGGTGGCGTGGAGCTATTACTCCTTGAACCACTCCAGCGCTTTCTTCTTCTTGTCACTCTCTCGCTGTCTTTTTCCTTTCTTTTCTTAAAGCCACACAGCTTTTCTAGCGAGCAATCCCAAATACACAAAATTCCACGCTTATTGCGCGTCCCCTCCTCCTCGCTCCCCCGTCCGTCCCATCGTCACCACCACCCCTCCGTTTCTATTGCCCTCCTTCCTTCCATCCCCAACAGCTCTCTACACTATCCCTTCTTATTGGGCTCTAAGGCCTCCCTTCCCCTCGGTCGAAATTCAGGCTCTTCAACCCGCTCTCCCTGACAACGCAGCCTCATGAAGTTTTCGCTGCCAGTCTCGATCCTCCTCTCTCACGATCTTCCTTACCGCTTCATCTGCCCGTTATCCGGTCACATCTCGGACTAAAGCTACTGGAGCTTCGTCGGTCGACTCGTCCACTCCGCGGCCGGAGCATCACAACCCGGTGCCCAATGAATTGCGACCACGGATAAATTTTTCGCTCGCAATGAGCTCCCCTTCTCCCAAGAAGAAAACCGGCGGCAATGCTTCTGGCCCACGGCAGATCCGCTTCGTCGCAACTGACGGCCAGCCCCAAACTAAACGCCGCCGAGTCAACGCCGCGTAAGTGGGAGGCGCACTTTTCCCTGAAACTTGTAAGGGAAATATGGTGACGCTAATTTTGTACTGTTATTGCCTGTAGCTGTTTAACCTGTCGCCGGCGCAAGATTCGATGTTCGGGAGAACAGCCAGGTAGGATACATGGAAGTGCGCCTAGCGACTGTGGACCCCTTCGCTCACAATGATGCGACAGTCTGTAAGACTTGCTCGGACTACAAGCATGTCTGCCTCGGCTACACCGATACCACTGCCCACTTGCGATCGCAATCTGACTCCGCGTCCCGTGCAACGGCCCCTCCTCTGGCTGGCTCCAAAGAAGCCAGCCATCGCGTCGCCCGGGCGGTGGAGAGCTGTTCCCCAGAGCCCCCACCGACATCCGTACCCCAGGTTAAAGTCGATAAATCCCCGCAAGCGACAAAACAATTGGAAAAGGATGCAACTTCCAGAGAAATCTCGTTACGCACACATAAGGAGTTGGATTTGCTTGGGGTGGGGGATAGTCCAGAGAGTGGTGAGTTCGAGTGGTCGCGCGCTGCTCACTCCTGGCGTCGCAAATATTGACCATGATCGCTTTTGCGCAGGCCGGACCTCCGTGAGCTCCAGCAGCCGCACTCATGTTCCATACTTTCGATATTTTGGGCCGACTGCGATCGTGCCGGGCTTCAAACAAATGGTTCGGATATGTTCAATGTGTATGCACTAGGTTCGCTTTTCTGATATTTTTTCAAGGTCGTTCAAGTCCGAGGTTCACGGAAAAGCAATCCTTCGATGTCATCAGGTTCGTCGCTTTGCAAGATGCATAATTTGCTTGCTGGTCAATCAAAAAATCGCTGACAACGATGAATTGCTAGATTCATTGTCTCCGCTCCGAAGTCCTAAGCTGTCCGATGGTCCAGTCAATCTAGAAGCCGCCTTGGCTCCTCGCGATGATCGCGACGCTAACACCATCCCATTTTACGACCGCGATGACGCCTTACCTGTTTCGAATCTCGTTTCCCATTTATCCGACTTATTTTTTGCACATCTTGGCTGCAGTTTTCCATTTTTGCAGCGAGAGCGCTTTTTGCAGGATCTCAAAGATAAGAAGATTGATACTATGTTGGTAGATGCGGTCTGTTCTTTGGCCGCCAGATTCTCTCCTCACCCTCTACTCGGCCCTCCTCAAGCTCCGCCGATTGATCGCTCGCAACCACCGGCCGAAGTCAACCTTTGTGACCGTGGATTGCCTTTTGCTCACCGGGCGATGAGTGCCCTCGTCGATGCACTTGCCTGTCCGACTTTGTCTGCCGTTCAAGCTTGTCTCTTGTTGGCGTATGAACAGTTCGGATCCAACCATGATAGCGGCCTTTGGATGTACCTCGGTATATCTATACGCATGGCGCAAGATCTTGGCTTGCAAAAACTTCAAGGTCTCAAGTATAACTATGGCCGAAAAGGAGTTACACCCAGTGCGGTCATGACCGGCCAAGCTGGAAAGCTCCGGGAGGATCAATACGATGATTTGGACGTCTACCAGAGCCCCAAGACTATCCCGCCGGTGATAGGTGCCGAGCGTTCTAGAGAGCGGGAGAGAGTGGACTCGTTCTGGAGCGTTTTCTTTCTCGACCGCGTCATCTCTTCTGGAACGGGCCGGCCCGTGACGCTGCGCGATGAGGATATTGAGCTATGCTTCCCACTTCAATCTGAATCCCAGCTACCTAATGGATGGCCCGCGCCATTTCCACCTCTAATTCGCATTATCCACCTTTATGGGAGGGTCACCGACTTGATCAACGGTATTCAGGATGTCAATCATGTTACTCCGGATACGCTCAAGAGACTGGCGGGTATGGAGAGCGATTTGACAGGCATATACCAGCGGCTGTCACCGAGGCTTCACTTCAATGCGGCCAATTTCCAGGCATATGTCAAGGCGAAGGAAGGGACCAACTTTATCCTTTTGCATTTCGTGAGTGTTCACAATATTTTCGTCTACGAATCAATTCTTGGCTAACTTGCAATAGTGGTTCCACACTCTCATCGTTCTCCTCCACCAGCCAATGCTTCTAAACTCTTTCGGCGGCACAATCCAACATCTCTATCCCAACAGTCGTGAACTCTCTATGTCCTCTGCCAAGACAATCGCCGATATCCTTTCTTTCTCCGAATTGGTGGATGGGAAGAGCTTCATCGGTAACCCGTTCACTAGTCAGCCGATGTACATTGCAGCTTGTGCATTTTTGATGGAGAGCGCATATTATTCTTCGCCCTCATCAAGGTCTAATACACCTCCTCCACAGCCACTATTGTCTAGCCACTCTAGTGGATTTGTGATGCCCTCAATGGACTCTTCAAATGGCTCCGAGCGCAACTCTACTGCTAAGCATATCCTTCTCGCTTCTGCTGCCAAAGAGAATTATCAACGCTGCTACAAAGCCCTTAAGGCACTGGACGCCTACTGGGAGGGAACAAGGTATATCTTGACAGTTCTGGATCAGAAGGCCAAAGGCATTGTCGACCCGCTTCTTTACACAGCAGAGGACATGGAAAATACTGCAGAATTCCCAACGGCGCAAACACTTGGGGCTGCAGGCTGGCCTGGAAGCAAACCTGTGGATTCTGTTCAGGATGCCGAGAGACCTTCAGGTGTCGCTGACGCTGTACCTGATCGAGCCGGGTCACCTAAAATCGATCCCAGTCAAGGTAAGAGCAAAATATGGCTCTCTGATTTGTTAAATTTCCTCTCACTAATCACGCCTTGCCTGACCAACAGCTATTGGATGGGCCCTGACCGGTGCCATTAATTCCTCGCAACCAAATCTCAGCTTGCTTTACCAAATGCCGTCCGGCCAGAACAACCCAACCTCCGGTGAACCGGCTCATCCGTCGCAGTATGGCCATTCCTATCCAGCCATGCAGGCTCCTGCAAATGCGACGCAAACCTCAGGCTCTCCCTTCTTAAGACCGCCTCTGCCAACCCAAAGCCAGGGCGAAGGCAAATCATCCTCTCTCGTCCCCGCCAACTCCAAATTCTCTCAAGTCCAACCCCACCCAACTTGCACTGAACCTCCGCACTTCCTTGGTATGAGCTCTCCGTACCCGGAGTCAAACACTCGGGCGTCCGTAGCAGCCCAGTCGAGTTACAGCCATGGTATTACGGTTACTCAGATTCCACAATACACCTATGCCATGGGCTCCGATCAGCATGGAAACAATGCTCATGTTGGATCCCGGTCCAATGAGATGCACACCAGCATGAATGCCCACAACAACGGCATGATGATTGAGAGCCACGACGTCGACATGAACACCCTGCAACAGCAGGATTCATTCCCTTTCTCCAATGGTGAGATCCTTCCGTGGTTGGAATACCTGCCACAGGATGTTCTCAGTTTCTTTGGAGAAACCCAAAATTTCCCCATGATGAGTCCCGACGATACCACGCCCCGTCCTCCTCAGTGATGCCTGGTTCAGATGGTATTTTTTCCATTCTCGCACATATGTATATTTTTAGCAAATCCTTTTGCATAGTTTGTCTGTTTAGCGTTTCCATTTTGGACCTTCTTTTGGGTTGGGGATTCTTCTGTACCACCGGCGTATCGCGGTGGGAATATCCTTGGGCAGCACATAGATCGCCGTCAGAGTTATGCCGAAGTTTTGGTTAATGAAATTTCAGATACCTCAGAAATACTGATATCTTGACATGATTTCTCTAAAGAACATTATCGCATTGTTTAAATTCATTTAATATAATCTATCTCCAACACGTCATCCGTCACGTGTATACTTAGGGGTCTGCCCAAGAGGAGAAGTGCCGCCCAACGGGCCCGTTGCCCGGCACAACCGGGCGGTGAGGATATGTCAACACGCATGCATCAAGCACACCGTAGAGTTGAAGAAGCTCATACGGCTATTTGCAAATAAACTGCAACCAGTTTCGCCTTTGTTGACTCTATGTGGTCTCCATGGCACGACTGAATGATGAAAATCTCCCCGATACGGAGGCTCATGCCTCCGACCACATTCTAAGCCCCCAGCCCTTTGCCCCTCCCAGCAAGGAGGTCCTCGCAGCGTCCCTCGAGACAGCCCACTTACCGAGCGACGCCGGATCGACAACCGATGACGGCCAAATGTCGACGCAAAGCTACGAGTACAGTTCATCTGGTTCTTCGACTCGACATTCGACAAGTGATATATTTGGACGGGAGATGGACGATGAGCTGGAGCAGATGAAATCGCGAGCATCGAGTCGCTCTTCCTTTTCTTCTGTGCCAGCGTCAGTGCTTATACATCCTCTCGACCATATGAAGCAAAGGTCTACAATGGGCGTTCACGAACAACTCGCCGCATACTCGATCGAAGAAGATGAAGCAAACTTTGGTGGCTTTGATAGACCGCCACAATCGATTCGGACGATCCGACAACGAGAGGCTGCATTTCGAAAACCGAGCTCTGTACGTGCTATGCAAATGCATACGGAGGATGAGGCGGATGAGGATGAATTCTTGACTCCACCCCGACGTCGGCAGGGCATGCGATCACCCGGAACATCGCCGCTGAAACGATCGCCATACTATTCGCCCAAGACGTCACAAACCAAGCCGAGCGTTAAGAAGGAATACCCGCTCGTACTACTGCACTGTACATTACTCGCTCCGTCTCTACCCGTCCCCGGTGCATCCGAGCTGCAGAAACAGAAGATTGTCGAGGAGGTGTTGCCACCGCAATACTGGAAGCGATGGCGCAGACTCCAAGACAAGGTTGGTTCTGGTGTTCTCCGTGATCGAGGCGTGTTGATCTCTCACCCCGAAGATCTATACGATATCCTGGAGGAACGACTCTTGGAGAGTCTGGAACTACAGCGTCCGCTCGTGCACCGGGGTCATTTCATCGGTCACGAAGAAGCTGATCCTGGTTCCGAGGGCGAAGTCTCAGATAGGGAGGAGAGCGAGACGGACGGTGAGCAAGGCGATGAATGTCCCGATTGTGGCGGGAGAGTCTTTCATCAAAGAGACACCAACCGCAAATGGGAGATTAGGGTGTACGCGGCGAATGGACTCATGCGTGCTGGCGCTTGGGCTGCAGCATGGAAGGAAATGGAGAAGGTAGATGTCGAGGTTGGCGTCTGGCTGCCGTCGGATATACGTCGTACCCTGGAGAAACGACTCGCAGAGGAGCAAATGGCTGTGTCTACGGAACATGTTCACCCCGCCATGTCATTCAACGATGCAGAGAAGCTGGGCATGGACCCACGTCGTTTATCTGTTCAAACACACTCCAGGACGTTCAGTGATGCTGGCTCTTTCCGGAGTAGCGGACCCCCCATCCAATCTCAACTCGAGGATAAGCAACCGGACTTGCCGCAAGTCAATCAGGAATATGAAATTGCCCTGCGGACACTCTTGATCAACTACATTCGCGTCTTGGCTGGTGACAGACGCAATGTTGCGCTAGTCTTTATGAGTATCCTGGTTATATTCCTTGCTGTCGGGTTTCATCCGCACAACAAACAGCTTCAGGATGTCTTGCATTTGTTTACTCATGAGGAATTTGCTGAAGCACCTGTGGCGCCGAAGGTGGACGTGAAGATAGATGTGCCCGCTTTGTTGGTGACTTCTTCAAGCGCTAGTTTTCTGGAGTGCATTATTCCCACTTCGAGCGTGGTTGCTTCGATGCCAGTAGCCGAATTGGCTGCCCCGACCCACGTTCATGATGAAGTTATTTCGTCTTCCAAAATCGCCAACATCGAAACCCCGAGCTCCGATCCTGAGCCAACTCCTGAGGCTGAGCCGCTGGAAGAAGTTCTTGATGAAGAAATGCTCGAGGAAAAGACGTACGAAGAAGAGGCTCATGAGGAGGAGACCCACAAGGAGGAGACTCACGAGGAGGAAGCCCACGAGGAAGAGACTTATGAGGAAGACAAGGATGAGGAAGACAAGGATGAGGAAGACAAGGATGAGGACGAGCTTCGTGAGGAAGAGGTTCCGGTGGAGCTTCATAAAGAATCGCAAACGCAGCCCCTCGAGGTTGGTGAAAAGATCTCCTCCGGCGAAACCGAACCTGTTGAGTCTGTGGCGGAACCTCATGCCGCTGAACCTGAAGCTCATTCCGACCTCAAGGAATAACAACAGCAGACTCTGGGGCGACGAACACGAAATTTTGAACGTGAATCTTAACGACTGAAATGATATGAGTTGCGATGTTTGCGTTTGCTCTTTACCTTTTGTCAACTTACAAATTATCAACATTTTGGGCGTATGTCGATGTTATTTAGCCAGCTAGTTTCTCGCTTTTTGTGAATTTGATGACTTTCTAAGGAAAGACTGATCGTTGTATGATGGAGTGGCTCAGTGTTTGAATCATAATCTAAGTAGTTTACATTTTGAAAAAGAAATAAGAATACCTCTACACGTTCCATATAAGTCTTCTGTAACTTCAAGATTGGGATATTGCCTCATATGTAGACTGCATGCATTGATAAGAATCGGATCCATAAGTGGGACTTAGGTTGGGCGTCGCATATTGAAGTAGCTGAATCAAATAATCATCTTCAAGATCACAACGAGATTTTCGACCATAGACATAGTATGCTTTCACAAATCTGCTTGCAACTCATCGAATTTACCTGTTGTCAACCCCTTTCTTTTCCCTGAAGCTCATATATACGCCGTCTCACGAACTCAGAACCCTGAATCATTAAGATAGTTCGACGGCACAGTGGGCCACGCATCCACCCCGTCCAACAAGGCCAATGACATTCCACCACTCTGATGAACCTGAATATGACAATGAATCAAGAATGCACCCGGGTTGACGACCTGATATCGGATAGCCAGCCACCCAGGGCCACTATCAGCAACCGGTGTTGCAGTGGTATCCTTGATCGGGGGGTTGACTAGGTTAAATGAGCCTGGAATAGATTGCACTGCCTCCGCGACCGATGACCATGTAAATGTTCCCAGGCCCTGTCCAATAGCAAAATGCTTGTTTGAGTGTTTGTGGATTGGATGAGCGGGCTGAGCGGGTGAATCGACTTGGATGATTAAGTCGACCCAGGTGTTGTTATCAGTACGAATGATCAGGTCACTGGGAATCGTGGTTTGATTGAAGAGTAGCGGCTGAGATTCTTCGAGTTCAAGATCGAAACTGCTGTTTCCAAGTGTCCAGCGGTATGATGCGCCAAAGTGACTGATTGTTAGGAAATATGTGGCGGCGACATTGGTGGACGGGGCGATGGCTGGATAGGGCACGACTGAAGTGTCATCGAGGAAGACGGTATCTACTGTGGCATTGCCACCCGTCAGTGTGATCCACGAATTCGAAGTCCTTTTGAGCTGGTCTGAATCTTCGTAGTGTAGAATGGCCGTTGTATTAAGGATCTGCTGATTACTACCGCTGACCATGCGAATTGTATAGTCTCCTGGAGTCTGGTTCACTGGGACTAGAACGGAATATCTGTTTCCGTTGGGGATATTGATGGCGTTGACTTCGACGGGCTCAATGTAGTGTCCGTCAATGGCGTATACCCACATGAAATGCTCATCGATGGAGAATGTGAGATGTAGTAGACCAGCAGCACTGGTAAGATCCAAACTGATATATGGACAATCTGGGTCCACATCGATGACTTGTTGGGGTCCCTGGGAAGGTGTGCACCCATAGAACATGGTTGGTAGGAGAGCGCTAGGATTGTGAGGGAAGTCGCCTTGCGCAACGGTTGGAGGAAAGCATCTGTTCGTGAAATGAACTTATTAGCTATTTAATTCTTCCGAAAAGAAGCTGGCTATAATACAAGGGTTACTCACGCGATATCAGTAAGGGTCTCATTTCCCAGAGCGCCTTTCTGCGCTGGGGTTGTTAGGCCATTGATTTCATCTTGCGAAAAGCATGTCATTGAGCCCTTTCCATTGATCAGTAGAGCATTGGCACAAAATGCATCAACCCCAGAGGCCTCCTCAGCATCCCAAATTTGTTCCGAGGTTAAGAGACGCCAGTCCGAGAGCAGCAGCGGTGAAGTATTTTCTTCCGCGTCGATCATGGCTTGAACCTCGACATTGTCGCTCGTTATCAGACTGAATGGCTTTATCACGGTACTTGATGGAGTGATGTAGATGGGCCCGTACAAGCCATCTTCCAGTTGGCCGCGATGGTGTGCATGATAGAAATAGGCACCGTACTGATCTGCTTTCCAGTGGTAACGGAAGTCATTGTACGATTCAATGGGCGTTTGGGACATGCCAGGAACTCCATCTGACCATGGTGTACCGATTTGTTCAATGCCTAGGAAAGTCTATCTTAGCGTTGAGTATACTTTGGCGAAGGCATCGTTCTCACCGTGGAAGTGTACTGTCGCATTAAATGGACAGCCGTTATACACGTCAAAGTAGACATCATCGCCCTGGTTCAATCGCAGTTCAGGACCAGGGTATTGTCCATTGGTAAGGATAATCTCTCGCTGAACCCCTGCGACAGTATGGTTGGCCCAGGTCAGGTTGACCGCAAAATAGACAGTAGCGGGGGATGCCCACTCCGTGAAACATAAGAGCAAAAACAGCAAGCTACCCATGACGAATTTAGTCTCTGTTTAGCAGCTCAAGTCAAATACCAAATGCAATGTTGCACCATCTTGATCCATGGGATACTAGCGTTTATATACAAAGCTATCAGATTGAGACGGACTCTCGTGAAGTGGACTTTCGTAAATGAAGCATATTAATATTGGCTGATAGTTGTCAATTGACGCCCTACCAGTCTTAGCAAGTTGTCGTAATGGAGCAGCTGCTACGCTCGCAATGTTCACCGTCAAAACGGATCAAAGAAACAGTCCCCGACACGTTGATCGGCGACTATGGCTTGTAGCAAAACCCTGCAGAAGGATCAGATGGAATTACAAGTTCTTCCGACCGCCATTATAGATCAAGAATATAAGCTTGGGATCTTGGATCTTGATTTTGGAACGGAGCCAATCAAAAAACATTGATCTCGTGTGGCGTCCGCGCGGGATCTCGCTCGTACATGCGAATTTTCCTAATCTGGTAAAGACTGTAATCAAATGCCAGCCTGGACGCCTCTAGATCTCGGAAAGATTACAGCCCGATGGATAATCCGGCAGCGTGATGAACATGGGTTTACGAGGTGACGAAATCATGAAGGAGCTTAGGAGGCTGAGACTTGCGGGGCAGTAGTGGATGCATCTTTCGCAGCCCTAACGATACTCCACCCAAGGACCTCGGCTTAACAGCGGTGGTGTACGAGGAACGAATTAAGGACTACAATTGAAAAGTGCCTGACCCGCTGGACACGCCTAACTCAGGATAGTGCGTCTCGGCACCCTGCGTGTCAGACAAAATCCAACCATGATTCTGGGTCTTGGGACAAAGAGAAAGTTGGTAATCATGGAATCGGGTGAGAGTCAACCAACCAGTAATTCTGGACACAAGAAATTAGCAGAATAGTCCAATTTCAACATTGCCTGGACGGTGAACTATTGCACGTGTGTAAAGGTTGACTCAGGTACACGTCTCTTTAGGACGAATCAGAAGCATTACCAGGTCCTACCTATCGAGGAGCAAGGGTGTCCAGCAGGGCGTATGGTGATAGTTCGATTTCAAACTCAACCATCCACCACGAGGATAATGGATCATGATATCACGAATATTAAAATGCAAAACAGTATTTCATTGGGTAGTATCTTCGTAAATAGAAACAATTGAAATTACCATAACAAATCCAGTTCTCTTCCAATAAATCCACGCAAAGAAAATTAAACTTTCACCATTTTAGCTTGAACTGGCATGCATCAATGTAGTATTCATCACAAAAAATCAAAAGGTTCCGGAATCGTCACGGAATGCAGGTTGCCCAGATTGGGCAGCATCTGACGCAGGAGGATAGCCCTCTTTAGAATGAAGGGCTGCGAGGGGATCTGAAGCGGGCAGACCCAGAAGTGGCCGTGTTTGTGATACGGAATTCAACCACGGCTGCTTCCCCTTGCCCTCGTAGTCGATAGATGCATCCAAAGGCACGGTTTCCATATCAGGTGGCGTTAACTCGCTATAGCTATCACTGAGTCGTTGCAGGAACTCCGGATCGAACCCCATCTGCACCAACGGATCAGGTGCCTCTCTATCTGCATGAATAGAGGATGACGAAGCATGGCCAGGTAGACTGCTACTCCAATCAGAGATGAATGCGGGCACACCAGCTGATATCATCCCTGAACTTCCGGCGTAGCTCCCTGCTAGGCTTCCCTGCCCACTAGGCGCGGTAGAAGAGAATCCTGTTGGGGGATATGCGGGGCTTCGTAAACCAGGGCTGGACACGGCTGGACTGGGTAGGGCACCAGCGCCGACTCCCCTGGCGAAAATATTTGCAGCGTCTTGGGGAGGTTGCTGCAAAACACCACGGCCTGTAAAGGGAGGCTGCAGCCCAAGATCAGATAGTTGAATGTCCTCATTGTTGGCAGGACTTTCTAGGCCGGTGTCCCGCTTCAAAATCGTCAGCCAGAGAGGGTTGTCGGCGCATGTCTGATTCCAGGGGTCGTCGTCATTCCCGTAGATGACTCGACGCGCCTCTGTCTGCAGCATCTGATCGGTTGGGACGACCCCTTGAGCTTTTTGGTTATGAACATATGAAGTGAGTTCACGTGTGAGGCGCATGTAGCAATTGGCGTCATTCGGTACTTCGAGCTGCGGGGAGGTACCGTCTCCTTGTGCTTGAACAGTAGTCCAGGGATCAGGGGACCTCCACTCATAGTCAATGAGATATGGCGGAACGGCATTCTCGACTCGCTCTTGGATTGATGGCTCGAAACCCCAGTCACCTTGCCATTGAGCCATACTAGCACCATTCTTGAAGTGACCGGCAAGATGGTCCACGCGGTCTTTCCAAGTGTGCATGACAGTTGCGCAGAAACCACAGCGAGACTTGATCTCCGCAATGCTACTTTGCCACTTGTCCATACAGGGTTGGAACTTGGCATTGTGCATTAGACGCAAATGTTGATTCAGGTGATCCTTCCGATAAAAGGTCCTCTCCTGAAGAGACTTCTCTTGACAGCTCATGTAATTGTGGGTTTCAAGGTGATCCCTATCTGGATTAGCTGCCGAGCAGAAGACGCAACGAAGTATACCATTCTCCTCCGTTACACCACCATGAGGAGAACATGTCCACTTGTCCAAGATCAAGTGCATGGATTTTTCATGGCGTTGCCAGTCATACTTGGCAGCGAATGAATCAGTACAGAAGGTACATTGGAAAGGACGAACTGCCTTGGCCTTCTGATTGTGGAAAGTATTGGCAGGTATGGAAGGTTTGCGGCGGCGGCGATGACGTTCCTTTCGATCCATTGAACCAAATGAAAGGGATGATCGATGGGAGAACGCAGAAGCGAAAGAGAGGTCAGAGATGGATGACCGACTAGTATCCAAACTACTGGCTGAGGCAGTATATCTTTTATGTTCTGAGCTTGCGTGGCTTGACTCATTGGTACTGGACCCCGGATGACGGGGCCTCACGTGACCAGAATGGGTCCTGCGTTGACGCGAGGGATCGAATGGAGGATTGGCCAAAGCACGGGTAATATCGCTTATAGTAGCAGGTTCGTTCTCAGGAGGAGAGTACTTCCAACGTTCAAGAGGGGTCATGAGCGCCGGGTCTTTGGGATGCGAACCAGGGATGTCGACAGCTCCTGGTACGGGCGAATTGGTGCCCGTAGAAGGTCGAACTTTGCCGCGACGTCGAGCGTTTGCCAGCCAGTTGGAGATTTGGATTCTTGTCAAGCCTGTATTCTGCTTCAATTCGTCCTTCTCAACCTCATTGGGATAGGGGTTCTCGTTGTGATCGCGTAGCCAGCCCTTGAGGATTGTGACAGCCCTGCGAGAGAATCGAGCGCTGTTCTTACGAGAGCGCGCATCGGTGTCGTCTCCAAAGGCCCCGTAAGAGACGGATTTGAGGGCTCTTTTCCCTGTCAATCCACCCGTAGGAATATAGGCGTTCTCTGACACGGTGTGTAAGGTCTGAAGAAATTTGCCAGGAACTTTGGCATGGGTGAAACTACATTCACGGTAGAGCGAGATACAGCAGGTACATCCATTCTGCATTACTCCACGTTTGGCGACAAAGCAGTCCAGACCCATTCGCCGGCAAAAGTCACAGGGTTCCTGGGCTCGGAACATGGGGTAGACTCCGGTGTCCTGATCGGGGCCGATAGAGTCGCCCACATACTGTTCGGCCGACTCCGGCACGAGAGCATTGGCAGGAAAGTCCAACGACTGGTCCTGAAGCAATGAGTCGAATCTGGCGTCCCGCTCTTCAGGCTCATCAAATTCAAGATCAAGCGAGGCGACATCATCGCTTGGATGATTTGAATCATGGGCCGAGGAGGCGCCTTCAAAATCAAAGTACTCCATTTCGGAACTGCGCGCCTGGCGAAAAGGCCGACGTCAGATTCCAGCAGGAGGTTGTTGCACAGAGAAAAGGAAAATGAACCACTCGAGATATATGGGAATCAAGTAAGGCTCAGGCCACGGTGGAGAGATTGGAGATTCAAAGGGAAGAGTCGGTCTAGGAAGAGGGTGTATCCTTGGTCTGGGGTAGCAGCGAAAGGGACACAGCGGTTGGGTGAATAATCAAACCCGGTGGAGCCAGAAATGCGATTTCTGAACCTCAAGGCTGCGGCACCAACCAGCCATGTGCCATTTACACGCTAAGAATCCACTGGAACCACTCAGATCCACAGATTGTTAGCAGGTAATTGGTGACCATCTTAAGTCCCTTCTTCCTCAAGTTCTCAGAACCTCATCCAGCCTGCAGGTCAGCATCAGGAGGGCTCGTGCTTTCCTGCCATGTCTGATAAGGCATCAGTCATAAGCAAATGTAATACGGTGCACGTCAAGCCGTCCAACGAGAAGGGGGCGCTCGTGTCCGCAACATGGGTCAAGATTCGGGATAGCCGATCAACCACGACAACGTCATTTGTGAAGATTGGCTGAGAGCGAACCATAGGGCCGGAGAAGGAGTCAAGGTTCCGAATGATCAGAAGACGCTGCACCTGCACGCCCTTCGAACGACAAGGCCAAGCTTCTTTGGGAAAGGTTTGCCGCGAGGGCGGGGCTAAGGTGGAGGTCGACTCTCTCGGTTTGTCTCGTTTGCCCTCGGCCTTGGCAATCCCGTTCGGGCAGCTGTGATTTATCTTTCGCCCGCGATATCGGAGTACATTAATGCTCGTATTAAGTAGCATATCATATCACATTATGCTCAATTATGGGTACCCTGGTTTCTTGTCTCCCCGAGTGACTACTACTAACCTAGCTAGTTAGCGTTTATTTCTCCAACTCGGTACGGAGTGGACCGCTGGACAAGTCATTGACTTCCTGTTTTCTCGGGATTTCTAGAAGAACCGCGGCTTAATGCGAAGAATTTGATAGGTCAATTAAAACCACTTTATCACAATCGCAAATGCTATTTTAGTGTGACTTCTTTTCTTAGGCATACCTCAGATGACCGATCTTGCCTAGATCGTGCCTATATCACGTACTTTAACCAATCGATGCAGACAACTACGACACCGTTTTTATGAAGCGAGGTAGAACTGAGTACTGATCTTATCCTTCTCAGGTCCACTGAGTACGGCCAAAATGCCAAGACTCCTTACAGTCATAGACTCGATTGGCTATGTCTCGGGAAGGCGCTCTGGTGGCCCATAATTCTAGCCGCATTCTCACGATTGGTTATGCTAGTTATGCAGCAGACACCTATGAGTCAACGATCAACTCTTCAAGCCCAAACTTCTAAATTTCCCAAGACAAATGTCAATGCTTATTCTGTCTAATTATTGTTAATATTCTGAACATTCACAATAGCTAGAAAGAAAGAAGAGAGTAATTGCTGTGTCACAATTGGGCCGGATACAGACGTCCATCCATCGATTCTCAAACATATTTCTGATGGCATGATTATGTGCATTCTACTTTATGACGAGCCTGAGTTTTGAGTCCGTTTAAGTGATGTGCTGGTTACGATGTCTGACGAAACGCTCAGGCCATAGGTTTGGTGGCACCATGGGCCTAGTGTCATCGTGTATCTCGTTAGTGGAACCTTAGTTTTCCACTGCCCTTCCCTAGATAATGATCAAACTAAGAATACCTATCAGATGCTCCCATCCACTTTTATAGGAGGGATTCTGGCTGTACTTGTTTTTCAGTATATCGCTCTGGGCGTTTCACTTCATACGCACCTAGGTGGACACTGGAAAATAGAAACCTCTCTAGCCGAGGTCGAACACAGGTGCTACCTAGATCACGACACAAATCCTACACGCACTGTCCATGCTCGATCACCGATGCTCTTTTTGAATATAGTGCTCGTGCGACTTGTTTCATACCTTCAATGGCTTTTAATCAAACTCGAGTCTGCATATCGTGAATCCTGGATCCGCACAGACCCATACTTGGCCTCGAGAGAAACCTTAATCACTGAACTTATCATGATACTCATGCGGAGGAGGAAGTATCCCAGAATGTTAATTTCCTATCATTGAGACTCCAAAGAGCCAAATACACAAGCGTTGTGCTAAAAAGCTTTGTACTTGCCCCCATTTGCCCTGGAAACCCCTTAATACGAAACGAGCTATGCACCATGAACGCTGATCAAGAATGCGAAATACCAGCAGCCTGGACTAGGAACTGTGCCGCCGTCCTCGCATCAGCTCCATATGAAACATAAGGCAAAACATTGAAACCATTCTCGCAAACAGGATCTCCAAGGGCGCAAAACTCCTTGACATTGCTCGCTGAGAGCTTTCCAACACCGAACATCTTGAATGGGTCGCCAAAGAGTACTGCAGCAGTGATCTGACCCGCAGACAGAGAGTTCGCTGCATTATGCACCACCATCGCACTCTCGGAGTAACCACCAAGGACAACCTTTGTATCTGGGCACTGCCGAAGCCACAGGAGGGCCCACGACAGTTGCCATATTACCCCGCTCGCCAGTTCCACGGGCAAAGATAAACGTCAAGGGCTGGCAGCCAGTGTTGGTTGTAACTCCATTTTCAGTTATGCCAAAGAGCTGTCTCTTAGACTGGCGATGGGATCCCGTTGGTTCAGAGTGACCGCTAGGGCTCGGGAAACGAGCTTTCACTGGAAGTCCGATAGGGATGGCAATCGCTTGGGATAGGTAGACCACTAGGCATTGGAAGTCCATTTGGAAGAGTGAGATTGACCAATGGGATACTAGGAATACCATTTGGCAGGAAAGCAGGCCAAAGATTCTTCCCACTGCTGGTTTCAGTCGTGGTAGCGTAGACTGCCATGCTGGATACGACCAGACACAGCTTGAGGGGGGCCTTCATTGAGCTGTAATCAAAAGAAAGTTGGTCTCGATGAATTTAGAGATAAGAAAAGGAAGACAGAAAGGAAAATAGAACAAAGGATTAGGGAGTCACAGGTATCTTGAAGCAAGTCTTCAGCCTTATATTATAGCTGCATCACGATTTTTGCTGGTGGCACGATTTTTGTTCGCATTCCAATTTTTACTAGCATCCTCATTTTTTCGATGTTTCGCATTTATATTATCAGATCCTCTCTTGGCTTCTTCAAGTATCGGCCAAGACAAGCAGTGGTCAGACAAGGTTTTTGATGGACTGAAAGTCACGAAGGAGATATTTCATGGCGTTGATAGCGGCAGAAGTAACCTAATTTTTGATATCATATTTCCTTCGATCTAAAAACAGTACTAAAATCTAAATTTTGATATTAAGTTATGAGCCTTCAGACACCTTTGAAGCCTATTGGCTCTGTAAGTAGCTCATGAAAACCCCGAAGTCTCCGTGTTACATGAAGATTCGCCTTGGTCCATATAGCGCAGGTAAAATTAATCACCCGGATCAAAGTCTCAAAGTTGGGATTTGTCCCATCCTGTTGTTGAATACTGTAGATAAGATACACATTCAGGCGGGCTGTCTCAAAATTGAGTTTGTGTAGATCAAAAAGGCCATTTTCCCCCTGGCTCAAATAAAGTCCTTTTTGGCTGCCGCACTTCTCGTCTTTTAAATGATCATGAGCCAAAGAGGCCTCAAATATATCGTATCGATAAAACGGCCTTCCTTCGACTATTTATTGGTAGAACTTCATCAATAGAAGCGCACGTCGCAAGCAATGACGACATAGAATGTCTAAAGGTGAGCATATTCTCGACAATCTTAATCTCGACTCGCAGTAAATGGATCTCAGAAAATGTACTAAAGAACTAGATGATTCTCTGATTTGATTTGACGTACTCACTTTTTGATTATGAGCGCAAACCGGTACTGTTTCAGAGTTCATTCCTACGAGGCTGAATTGTACACCGATTTATCCTCCGCCCATAGAAATCATCTTCTCCATTCGAGGTACTGGGCTCTCGTTGAATTGACCTCATTCATTTGTTTCGTCGTCCACCCACTATGCATAATTCCCCACTCTACCTTCAGAGCTGGCTTTGATCAATGCGACATTCGTTTGACAGGTAACTCCGAGCTAAGACTGGAATTTACGAAGTCAACTACCTTGGAACCCATACAAAAGCGGCGAATTCCGAAGAAAGAAAACCCGGTAGCTGAAATCGGGTGTTCAGAGTACCCTCTCGGAATGCGGAATGGTTAATCTGGACATATTGGTCGGGTCGGGTTCATGACCAAGGGTTGCAACCTAACTTGACGGGAATCCAATACTAATTTCCATTGCTTGCACCAAATTCAGTGCCTGGTGGTGTGTATTTTTATATCCGTATTTCCATTGCATCGATGTTATAACAAAAACAAGACTCCGACTGGAGTTAGTGACGTTAGGTGCATCAACAACGGTCACGTGGATGTGACTCACTTGATTGACCGCTCTTGATACCGTTTATATTCTGCCGGCTTAATTGCGGGGTTATTCCGCCTGGCATTTTCTGTGCTATTTTCATTTTCCGTCTCTACCCCTCATACTGTTACTCAATTCGAAGTCGACGGGTACTCATTCTTGTGCGAAGATGGCGTTGTCTGCAGAGCAAAGATTCGATCTCATCAAGGAGAACCTCGGCGAAGTGCTCAATCCGGAGCTGATTGAGAGTATCCTCAAGGAGGGGCGCAACCCTCGTGTGTACTGGGGTAAGGACTGTCCACCTTTACATGTGACCTTCAATGGCCAACTAACATGCGCTTTCTTTCCATTTTCTAGGTACTGCTACCACCGGCAAGCCTCACTCCGGATACTTCGTCGCCGCGCTCAAGATTGCCCAGCTACTCGCCGCAGGATGTGAGGTCGTTATCCTCCTTGCCGATGTGCACGCATTCCTGGATTCTATGAAGGCGCCCCTTGAGTTGGTCGAAAACCGCGTCAAATACTATCAAAAAATCATCACCGCGATTCTCGAGGCTGTCGGCGTGTCAACGGAGAAGCTCGAGTTTGTGCTCGGTAGCTCTTACCAGCGCAACGCCGACTATGTTATGGATGTCTACCGGCTGGCCGCTCTGACTTCCGAGCATGATTGTAGGAAGGCCGGTGCCGAGATTGTCAAGCAGTCCACCAACGCTCCGTTGAGTGGTTTGCTGTACCCGATTCTCCAGGTTCTCGATGAGGAGTACCTGAAGGTCGACGCTGAGTTGGGCGGTATGTTTTGGCATATATCTCCTGCACTCTATCCAGTTCTCATTCAATAAATAGGTCTCGACCAGCGTAAGCTCTTTGTGGCGGCAACTGAGTGGCTACCCAAGCTCGGTTACCGAAAGGTAAGACCATCTTGCATCTAGCCACTTGGGCTACTTGAATATCTCTAATTTGACACAATCCTCTAGCGCGCTCATCTCATCACACCAATGGTAGCCGGCTTGAGTGGAGGCAAAATGAGCTCTAGTGTTGAAGGTAAGCTGATCTCTCAACTTTCGCATACGGGTCCCTTTTAACACCAAACAGATAGCAAGATTGATCTCCTGGATGCGCCCGAGGTCGTCGCTAAGAAGATCCGCAAGTCCGAAGCGGCCCCTAAAATTGTTGAAAACAATGGTATTATTGCTTTGGTGGAATTCGTCCTCCTTCCTGCTGCCGCTCTAGCGGGCAACAAGGAATTCCGTGTCGAACGCCGCGACGCCGAGCCTTTGGTCTACACCGACATCCAACAACTCAAGGATGATTACGCAAACGATGTTGTATGCTATCAATGCTTCAAAACCCAGTGAAACAGTACAGTTATTAACAACCATCTAGTTGACCCCTCAATTCCTCAAGCCTGCCGCGGCGGAAGCCCTCACCCGCCTCATGGCACCCATTCATGATGCCTACCAAGCCTCGGCCGAGTGGCAAGAGATCACCCTCAAGGCCTACCCGCCCCCAGTTGTGCAGAAGAAGGTGAAGAAGGTTAAGGATAGGGGTTCTCGATTCCCCGGCGCTGCTAAGGAGCAGGAGCTCCCAGAGCGTCCAAAGGAGTAGGATACATCTATTGCGTCATAACTTTCCTGGTTTGAGTACATTCTGATAACCTATTACCGAAGAAAATTTGGTGTTTATACGTGATCGCCAATTAGTGAGATTACATTTAAAATCGATAGCAAATACTTCCATGGCCATTTTGCAGTACAGGGGTGTAAGGAACACATGTCATGTGTCACAAAAATCCACGGCCTCAAAGGAATTGATTAAATTATGAGAGAACAATAGTAAGCTGGCTATGTTCAAAGGAATACCAATATTTGAGCCTCGGGGAATGGAGGATGGCCCTTTCTGGCTGCCTCATATGAAATTGTAGTGTGTCATAGATTCGGCGTTTCCTCTTGTTTGTTCCACCCACATGTTTCTAGTTTCAGGACTCAAGCAGCGGCAGTTACCCACCCTCACTTTCTTTCTCTCCCACTGCTCACAGAATTTGAATCCTTTCATCTTCTTTTCGGATTCTTGCACGTCTTGGGTCTTGCTAAGTTTCGATACCGACCTCTCTGCAAGCCTCCTCTATCCAGTCCACGTCGCGGCCAGGCAACTTTCATCTTACTACCACCGTCTCTCTTTACCATCCGCATCGAGGGAGCGCCTTTTGAGAGGTGCATCACTGGATCCCTCATGGGGCTCCTCAAACTTCCCTACGAACTCCTCTTTGAGATCATCGAACATCTGGAATATGGCTGGGATTTGACGGCGTTTGGCGTGGTGAATCGCCGACTCCACGGGCTCGTCAACACATACATCTACCACGAAAAGCTTCCTGGCTGCAACAACGATGTACTGGAATGGATTGTCGAAAAAGGCAACGAAGATGTGTTGGCCCAATGCCTCAAGGCGAACATCCTGACATACGTGGACCGGCCGATCGCCTCGGGAACACTGCAGAAGGCAATCATCCTTGGGCGTGATCGAATTTTTCAACGTGTGATTGAGAATGGTGCTACTTCAATTGCCAATGAGAAATACAAATCCAGGTGGCAGAGATCGAGACGGGGAGATTCGTATTGGTCAATGGTCTCCAAGGCCACTAGAATGGGCTGCCGAGGCAGGGCACGACTCGGTGGTGAAGATACTTCTCGAGTACGGCGTCGATGAAAAAGACGGAGGGCCTTTGGTGGCTGCTCTAGAAAATGTACATCTACAGGTCGCCAAAGCCCTACTTGATAAATACTTGGAGGTCTAGCGGGAGGACGCAAGCTTGTTTAAGGGCCTTTTGCGTTCCGCAATGGGACGAGGGCATGAGGCGTGCTTCGAGCTCTTATTGAGCCACGGGGCTGACCCTACCGAGGTCCAGCTTGGTGAAAGCCCAGAGTATTTGATCCAACTTGTGGTCGAATCAGGCCGCCAGTCACTCGTCCAAATTTCAACCCGCCGAGGCTTTGCGCTTGAAATTGCACGCCGGCAACAACGGATAGAGAAGGGTCCATACTTTTATCCGCAAGTCGTGGAGGTGTGGCGAAGCTGGAAAACCTTTGTGAAAACGGATTCGACCTAGGGGCTATGAAAGATCGCAGTAAAAGCCTCGCACTGTGTCAGTCAATTCCACGAGGAGATGTTTCCGTGACCAGCTATTTCTTGAATTGAGGCTTCACACTCCTTCCTGACAATCAGCTTCCGGAAGTCATCAGCGACGCCGCTCGTCTCGAAATTCCGGAATCCCCTACTGAAATGCCCATAGATATGTTACTGAGAAGCGGAGTGGACATCAATGCTCGAGAAAAACACGGACGCACCTGCGTTTGGAACGCTTTCACTGATTACCATCCTAATCAACTGGATGCGCTTCTGCAAAGGGGTGCAGACCCCTGCCTCCGAGATGAGAACGGAGATACTCCTTTGACATTCGCCGCGACGCAAGATCAGCCGCACTCGCTCTTTGGAACCCTTTCGAGCCATTCTTGAATGGCTTGATCAGCACTGGGCAGAAGTATCATCTGAGGAGCTGTACGAGGAGATCTTGAAAGCTGAAGCTGAAGCATTAAGATGTAAGAATCGCAGGATTGTTTGACTGCTGCAGAGATTCCGACATGTCCATTTCGATCGAGTGTGATTAGCGAAGGCCTTATTTCTATGTTGCTATCAGCTTAGCTCAAGTCAATGTGGCCTCTAAGACATGTTGAATGGAACTATCGATCTTATGTTTTTTTTGTCATCTATTTTAATTCTGTAATAAATTGTATACTAGTCCTGGGCGTCGCTGTCTCGTGATAACATCGGGCCGGTTTCTACTTCCGAGTCTACACTAGGTCATTGAAACAGCTAGAATTGAAATCGAAGGAGAATGAACTGAAGCTGATGTATCAACTCTTCAAATAGGAAGATGGCTTTTCCGTGGAGTGGAGCGTCGCGTTAGTTGAGATCAACTATCAACAGATTGAATTGTAGAAACTTATTTATATTTCAGCGTGAAAATCGTATCCAATAAGCCGGCTGACAGAATAAAAAACTATGCAAATTAAATAGGAGGTTATTTTGAAGGACCTAATGTCATTGGATCTCTAAATATGTTGAGAACGTTCCCCATATACCATAGTAGCTCTTTCATAATGTGCTTCAGGGAGACTGACTTCCATCACCGTCCGATATGGTGTAGTGGCTAACATCGCCGTCTCTCACACGGCAGCCGGGGGTTCGATTCCCCCTATCGGAGAATGATCATATAACTTTTTGTCCTTTGAATGAAAATTTTTGGGTTTTTGGTGGAGCAATATTGGGCGGGACCTATCAATTTCTGAATGTGGTTAGCTTTGCCGCTTCCGGACTAGCGCCATGAATGTTTTTTAGCCTCATCATGCCAACATACACTTACTGAATCTAGACTGACTATCGCTGGTATGATCTAGTATTGCTTTTGTCGATACGGCTGCAGACTTTGTCTCTATAGTCTGTCATGGTGAAGGAAAGGAGGTATCTGCAAAATACGTCAATTATTTCGGAGTAGGATTTCACCTACACTTGAGTTTGGGTCGAACCTTAGATATTGCTGCCGGAACTGATGTATATCACGCCACTGTAGCCAATGGACGCCGCTCGGTTGGTAGTAATGACCATTACTCGAGCATGATGGACCTTCTAGGTCAGGATATCTATGACTTTGACTCTCTCCACAATCTCACTTTGGGTGCTGCCGGTGTCAAACGACGGGATAACCAACCAGCACTGGTCTCTTCTGTGATGGTATAGAATCTCAGATTCCGCGATGAGGCCGAAGGACATGACTTTGCCCTTCATCACTGGGATAACGGAACGGGCCAGCTGCATCTTTCCCATGACGGATTCTCGGACAGCGGTACTCCTATCTCGAACAGACACAAGCGGTTCGACGGCAAAGGCTTCAAGGTTACTTTCGACAAGGTTACAAGTAATGTCCTTGACTCCTCATTCGTCGATACTGCCTCTATCGAGCTTTCCCGCCAATGGTATCGATATACCAAGCAAGGAGCAGACAAAATCTTTCGTTTTGTTGAGCTCAAAAATCAAGCAGATTCGTATTTCCGAACAATTGCTGAGATCAAGGGCTTTGGTCTGAACTATGAGGATGTCGATGTCTGTGGTGATATGTCGCCATATATCGGAACCTATTTGGGGCCCAACTAAGACTTCGGTCACTTTCCATACTTTGATGCCTATGGTGGAGGATCGACTTCCTTCCTCTCCATCTTGTCTTTAAATGCGATGTCGTGAAATATTGTATCTGCGGGATATCCTTCGAGAGAATAAGCGAATTTGCCTAAACAAGATTGGATTCAGTCTCCGACTTGTTCCGGGACACACAGTACCTTTTATTCTCCGAAGAAATTCCTTGCTGGGTCAGACAGCATTACTTCAATCTTTCTTTTTTTAGCATTATGGTAGCCCATTTCTATATTTTCTGTCATCAACTCTTTCAGTGAAAGTTTCCATTTTGGGGTAATGCTAGCCGGGCCTAGTTCGTAACATACTGGAAGAGTAGTAGATTCTGGAACACCTTGATGACTGTAAGATATGGGGGCCATCAATAGAAATAGGATTAGCTTCCTCTAGCATCATCAGCAAGTCGGCCAACTTCGCGCGGCTCCGACAGGCGCAAGTTTCTCGGGATGTCCTTGCCGCCAAATCTCAACTTCACCACCACCACGGACAACACCGACACGCATGGAAGAGAGAAGATTGTGCGCTGCGTTAGAGTGATTATACACTCCACCGTTGAACAGCGCCGTCACATCCTTCCCTATGCCAGAGCTGATGAGCACCTTGCCACCAGGATGTTCATTAATAAAGTTGGTCACGTCGTGAATCACACCAGAAATGACAACAAGGGCCTTTCCACTTCGAGCATCGTTCACAAAATCATCCCAGGAGAAAACTGGCAGTTGCTCCAAGGGGATTCCCCAGTCGAGTTTGGCTCGTTGTTGGTCCACCTTCTTCTGCAATTGCTGAACGCGGCCCTTCTCAATCTCGTTGGCACGGAATTGCTTGAGGTTGGAGGCGAGACCCAGCTGCTTCCATACCCAAATTGACCACTTGGTCGGGTCATATTGCCACCATTCGATGGCATTGCGATAGTCCGATGGAAACTTCACAGGTCAACTCTGGAAGGCAACCTGGATAGATGGTTTATGTCATGGAGATCAACTTACTTCATGGTGGAAATTGTGATAACCCTCGCCCAGTGTCACCAAAGCGGTGACAACATGGTCTCGGGGGGAGTTTCTGTCGTCGAAAGGCTATATATCGTTAGTGCGGTCTTCCATGATCAGGAATGGCTATAGTATTACCTGTTCCCCCAGCCAATGAGCCAGAGAATTGACACAAAAGGTCGCCTGCTGCACGAACAGCCATCTCAAGATCCCTGCGTATATCAGACCACCTTTCCAATCACCCCAGCCCAGGCCAGCTACCACCATCGGAAACAGCATTCCAAATGCAAGAATGAAAAATCCGTAGTGCTTATGCTGCCAGACAACTAAGGGATCTTGGTTGAGGTCTGAGATATCTGTACGACCTTTGTCCTTGGGATTTTGCTTCAAGACCATCCACATGAAATGAGAGTACCAAATACCCTTGTGGACACTATAAGGGTCCTTGTTTGTATCGGTCCATCGATGGTGGGCCCGGTGTTTGCTGCTCCACCAGCGGATGGAGCCTTGTATAGCACCACCCCCGGCACAGGCAAGGAAGATTTTCAACGGCAGACTTCTGTGATGGTGGACTTCGAGTCAGCATGGATCATTTTCTGAGACATGATGCGAACATGCTTACGCTTCGTATGAACGATGTGCCCAAAGCCGATGATAGCCTGCAGTAATACCCAACCCAGTCCAGAAGTAGTAGACAACTGCCCAGATGGCTGTTGGGACTCGTAGTTGAGTATAGAAAGCAGTAATGCAGCCGAGAACGGGTACAATCAAGATAAGGGTTGTATTAACCCAGTTGACATGCTGATACCAGTTACCCAGCGTAACAGGCTGCTCACTGGTATGCACTTTTTGACCACTTGGCTTAGCTTCTGCCATCGTGGCCTCGCTTTTCGGCGGCATGGTGGTTTCGGGAGTGATTGATCGGCAAGCCAGAAGAATCTAAAGCGATGAGGACTGTATGAAACAGAACAAAGGCAACTAGGCACAGAATATCCGAGTATAAGGCCATGGTTATAAGATGATTATAAGATGTAGAATGTCTACTTCCTCGGTCTCATGTGTGAATAACATGTTGTGTTCTTTTTTACTATGTGGTCGAATTTGTTGGGTCGTTGGGGACGACGGACGCCTTGCTCGTTTGCCTCACCAAATCTACCCGCAGGCCCGGCTTCCTTACAATCCAGGCATTAAGGAACACCAACCACACATCTTTAAGAGTCATAACCTTCAAACCATGGGACCATAAGGTCAACCTTGTCAATTTTGTTGACACAAAATTATTGGGATTGTTAGGTATTTGCCGGAAGACAATAGCCTAGATGACGTAGGGTGAAGGCTGAAATAGCCTATCGCGGCTCTTTCAAAACAAATTTTGAATAGCCTATCAAAGTGCTGTGGGGAATGCGCTGAACCCCTACTCAAAATACATCTTGGCTGTAGACTAGATACCGCAAAACTGTTGAAAGAATCCCTGGATAAGTCATAGTACATAGACTGGAACTATATTCCACCTAACTTCCTCGCCCCAAATTTTTGTTGAATCAAAGGAATGAGTCAGGCCATCCTCACGCCATTCTCAAATCGTTTCATATAATCAGGCAATACTGAGAGGACCGAGAATCCGAACCATAAGAGCAGCGACAGAATAAGGCCAGAAGCCTTCGGTCCGTCTTCGAGGGAAGCAATACACCATCTGATTAAGCTCAATCGTAATTGTGGAATCTTTGTAAATCTAGATTTAGGGCTCGCTAGAGGTCGATATAGAGACCGAAAATACCTGTTGTAAGTAATAATATTTACAGAAAGCTGAAACTGTGAGCTCATCGTGCCATCTCCCTCGCAGAGTGGGTTTAGAACGCTCATTTACATCCCAACAGTGTTAACGCTCGTGCCTAAGAGAGTATCGGCAGCCGCAGTATTATCAGCCATTCGAGATACGATGCAAGAGATCCTCTAAGACGACAACAGGAGCGCTTGTCTTATCCTCTCCTCAGATTTAAACCGTCACCAGCTAGCGTCGGGCAGCAATCACTTTCAGTCCTGGTTCGTCGAGAGCCGGCATGCTGATTGACTTCTTTACGTCAACGACCTTCAAAGCTATCTAACCTGGGACACGTTGTCCCTTGGAAATTAGAACATAGAATCAACCCTCCATTTGAGCTATACTATATACAGGCTTAATTAGCGACTGCGTTACCGCTCTTCAACTCCAGGCGGTGTGACCAGTGTCATACCCAGCTGCGGATGAACCTCAACTTGAAACGGTTGGAAGGAAGACCGCTCTCCATCTATACTAAAAGCACCACGAGTGCTGACAGGAACAACCCGGTAGGCTGATACTTTCCGGTGATGAACCTCGCGCATTGCCAAGTGATTGCCTTCCGGTACTCTCTTGAGCCATTGCAAAAGTCTCCAAGTGCCAATTCCAGAATCCACAATTATGATATCCACTAATCCATCATCAGGTCTTGCGTGAGGAAATACCTTAGATTTGGCATCCACGAATGGAAATTGACCTGCACAAAAGACACCCAATGTTGGGTGATGCTCGCGCTTCCAGCTGTCCGGCAGACTGTCATTTAAGGATCCAAGCTGCAAGCCGGGTAATCCGTGCCGGTTTTCTCCGTTGATATCGCTGCCAAGGCGATCAGAATGAGGGTCTGTTGAATGTTGGCTAGTGGAATTGTAGACTGCGAGGTCACACCCGTACACGGGGGGTTTGAACAGGCGTTGGAGGAATCCGACCGCAAATCTTTTGCCGCCCAGGAATCGCAAGCTCTCAGTATCAAGATCGCACTCTGCTAACAATCCGATATTTTGTGATAGAAACGAGAAATACCGTTTGTCGCCTTGAGTGACTAACATGAGATCCATTGGTTGCCGAATACCCTTGAGAGTGTAGAGCGCGGCATGGGAGAAGCTGGTTGTCTTGAACATGTTGACACACATTGCGTTTCCCGAATCTCCAGGGAGCTGAACAACAGGGACGTTTCTTAAAATGTTACCAGCGTCGTCTCTCTGCGCGATACCGTTGATGACCTCGTATGGTAGACCATCACCTGAGCAACACACTATGGCATCCCATGAATCAATGTCACGGTCTTCCCTGACCAGCCGACTAGCATGGCCAGAATAACGAGTTTCATGCAACTCTACACGGCACTGGGCTGCGTCGAAAAGAGGCTTTGCATATCGATAGTACTATTTTATAGCGGAGCCTTGACCTGAAAACGGGTTCAAAAAATCTTCAGGTGCTTTCGTGCCTTTGACTCGTCGTAGGCGCGATCCAGAAGCAATTGGATCCAGGCCTGTAATGTAGAGTAGGAGGTGCTCTGATGCTCTGGTCAAGTAACTGAAACACTTTTTTCGCCGCGTTTAACGTTTTGTGCCGCTCCGCTGCGTAGTGAATGGTCAATTGCTCTCCAGTTGCCTGAGCCCAAAGCACATGCAAGTACCTGATTTCGATCAAATTTTGACGGGTAGCCCGTTATATAGAATGTTAACTGTTCGCCACACCTCCTGCTGGGATTACTCTGAATCATGGATCATACTTTGACTTTGTCTAATTGTGAGTCCATTCTCATCCAGCTTCAATACCGCTGATTCCACGCACAGGGTGGTTTGGCAGACCGCTTGCTCAGTCATGTCCTTCATTTTCTGCATGGTAGTCATGAAGATGCAGTATCTGATCGCGACACACCTAGAAAAATACATAGTTTATCGATCAGTAGCAAAGGCGGGTTTGATAGGCGCTATCTATGACCGAGCCCCGAGATACGAAGTGACAAAGTTACTTTCTCGGTTTTGGAACACGTCCGTGAGAGATGACTCTAGAATTAGACGAGTCGTCATTAATCTGAATTAGAGAAACTAGGGTTCTACAAGAACCGCTAAATATATCTACCGCTTCCAGAATTCCATTTCTTTCACCTCTGCCATAGAACGGCATTTCACCAACGTGCGCGGAAATCGTGGATCTAACCCGCCGGTCATCCCAGCAGGGGCCAGCTCTAAGAAGTACAGATTTTGAATCCCTTGCTCTTGGACGTATTTGAATATCTCGTGGTACTTGGCGCCAACTTGAGCGACACCATGGTTGTCGTCAGAAAGGCAGATTCGTCCATCCATGGAGAGAAACTCCTGGCTTGCTGTTAGATTATATATTCAAACATAACTCCGATTGACAACGAAATCATACCTGACAAATTTCTGCTGTCGGGTATGGAATCTCAAGCCCTTTCCGCAGTGCACCTGAGTTCAGTTCCAAAAGCCCTCCGTAGGTCGAAATATACTTGAGATTCCTCTTCACCCTCTGCCAGACACCGGGCCATTTCTGAAGTCTTCCACTGGACAAATTTGGATCATCACAATGAAGCCGAATTAGGTCGAAATGACCTACAATCGGAGGCTTCAAGCTCTGCAACATCTCATAGTGAAGATGAAAATAGTCTTCAAACGCACGCTCGTCTGTTCCGCCGGAGACATCTCGCGCCTTTGAGTATAGAGCTCGATTCCAGTCAATGGGGATCCCATGAAGGTGATGCACCGACCCAACGAAGAATTCGAAAGGATACCTGGACAGCGAATCGGATATGAGTCCTCGTAAGATGCTGCTCTGGATCCATTCCGACTCAAATCCTACGAGAATCTTGATTTATGAGGCGTATTTTTCCCGCAGTTGAACCGCTGTCATGAAATATCTCGCCTCATTGGTAAGTAACGATGCTGAAGTTACGCCGGCTTGGACCTGAAACAACACATCATGGTCAAAAAAAGCACATTGAATGCTTATATGTCGATGAGAAGTTAATGAGACTCACTTCTTCTTCATACAGCTCGTCTTCAGAGCGTGGCATATGCTCGCTCAAGCAGAATACTTCCATGCCTTGCCCTACAGCTGTCTGGATCACTTGATCCAAAGTGTTTTGAGCATGACTAGGGCAGAACTCTCCAGAGTGAGAGTGATGGGAGAAAGGCATCTTAGTTTGCGTTCACTTCTGAATGCACAGAATTTGAAATGGACGGAGCTATGAAAGTCAGGATTTTTTTTTTTTTTGATTACCGATACGTATCTCTAGCTACCTAAAAGTTCTTTATCCGAAATTTCACTGTTGCAAGTAGATGGGTGTCTTTCTCGGGTTTCGGACATGGATATTATTGGTGGTGCTGCTTGTCTTGGCGCTCGGCTCTCGGATGACACAGGGGCGGGCAAGGTGCGGTGATGCTATCGCCACATGGATCTATATAAAACGCTGGAGGCAATGTAAAAGGGCGGTGATATTTTCAGACTTCTTCCCAGACCCTAACTTTGACTATCGCACATCCAGTTCTTTGCAAGTTGCAAACTACCATGTATTCGCTCAATCGAACAGCAAAGTCGTTTTGGTTGCTCCTAGCGCAAAGAAGCGGGGCTTCGAAGTTCGACGTCTTTTCTCGACTAGTCTGTGCTATTTTTATCATACGGAGTGTATACACAGTCTACGAGACTGTAAGTCATCACGGTATTGCAGGAATGTTGACGAATGCCTGGGAATCATGGCTCCCGCGGGTATCTCCTGAAAAAAGGACAAATCCACGGATTTTCAAAAGAGGGAATAAAGACACGGAGGCAATATCAAACGCGATGGCACAGAAACTGGCTATTCAAGGACCTATTTCCAAAAAGAACTTGTCTCTTCCTAAAGAGGGATGGGATCTCGAGAGAATTGAGGCGGAGTTGGAGGACCTTCGCAACTTGGACCATACGCGATGGGAGGATGGTCGAGTCAGCGGCGCAGTATACCACGGGGGCAGCGAGCTGCTAGAGATGCAAACTCAAGCTATCGGCAAATTCAGCGTCGCAAATCCCATTCACCCAGATGTCTTCCCAGGCGTGCGAAAGATGGAAGCAGAAATAGTGGCAATGGTATATAAACATCGCAGCCAATCTTTTGACCAGTGACTAACAAGTGATCCAGATCCTGAACGCCTTTAATGGCCCCGACGATGGCGCAGGAGTAACCACAAGCGGTGGCACGGAGTCTATCATTATGGCATGCCTGGCAGCTCGAGAGAAGGCAGCGGCTGAGCGTGGCATCACAAGTCCGGAGATGTATGTCATCGTTTGTGTATCTGTTTTGACCGCAGTGCTGATTGATCAGGATAATTCCAAGTACCGCTCATGCGGCATTTTTCAAGGCTGCCAATTATTTCAAGATTAAGCTGCACCTGGTTTCATGTCCGGCTCCTGAATACAAAGCATCTGTTCCCGAGATTCGCCGGCTGATCAATCGAAACACGGTCCTCCTGGTCGCGTCTGCACCAAACTACCCTCACGGCATTGTCGACGACATCCCAAGAATTTCAGCATTGGCAACTGAACATGGTATCCCACTCCATGTTGATTGCTGTTTGGGATCGCTTATCATTGCTTTCTTGAAAAAATCGGGGTTCCCATCTCCGTACGAAAAGGAAGGCGGCTTCGATTTTCGACAACCCGGAGTCACCAGCATCAGCGTTGACACCCACAAATATGCGTTTGCTCCGAAGGGCAGCTCCGTCTTATTGTATCGCAATCGCTCATACCGAAACTACCAATACTTTCTGCTTCCTGATTGGACAGGTGGTGCGTATGCCTCACCATCCATGGCGGGATCTAGACCTGGTTCCCTGATCGCAGGATCCTGGGCTACATTGATGAGAATAGGGGAGGCTGGCTATATAAATAGCTGCCAGCAGATTGTTGGAGCTGCGAAGAAATTTGAGACTACTATACTCACTAACCCAGTCTTGAATTCTCATATTGGGATTATTGGACATCCCTTGGCCAGTGTCATCGCCTTCACAAGCAGGAACAATGAACTTGAGACGTACGACATCGCTGATGCTATGGATGCTAGAGGGTGGCACCTGAATTCTCTGCAGTCTCCACCTGCTATTCATTGTGCATTTACTCTACCAACAGCTGAAGCCATTGATAGCCTCATTTCTGATTTGATTGAGGTTATCACAGAGTTATCGCTTCGAATCGAAGAGCGGAAAGAGAGCGGGGACCAAAGTGTGCATCAGAGTGGAAAGAGCGCGGTGCTCTACGGAGTAGGGGGAAGTATTGCGGATATGAACACGGTCTCCCAATTTGCGGAAGGATTTTTGGATACTTTGTATAAAGTTTAGAGCGCATCACTGTGTAATATAGAAAAGAAACATAGATGGACTAGTCAGCAATCTTTAACAATTTTTGATTCATTGCCAACCTTTTCATATCTTGAGAATTCGGCTGCTGGTTTTTCTCCCGTTTTCAACCGGCTGTTCCATTGAGGGACATGGATATAGACAGGCTGGCTGCGAATGCCGTCAACATTAAGGCCAAGTCCAAGAGCAAGCGTGACTTCCGGCGAATACCGAAGGAACCTCGGACCTCGAAATTATGGGCCTCCGAGTTCCCAGTTGGACGGTGGATGATTGATCGTTCGACTCATCTGGCCCACTTGCCAGTCCCGAGGTCGCCACCTGTCCTTAGTCATTTCGTCAAGCAAAAGCGACTCCCGAAATTCGACTCCCGAATTCTCAACTCCCCACTTATCAAAATCCAAACTCAATATGCTCCATACTCGGCTCTCGCATGTTTGCGATACCTGCAAGGCACGCAAGGTCAAGTGTCATAGTATGATTTCTTATGGAATACCTTTACTCACTTTGATAGCTAAACATTGCTTGTAGGGCCATTGGACCCTTTGGGAGCGTGTGCGAACTGCCGCGTATGTGGGGGAGGAAACGATTGGCAAGAAAGTACCTAACATTCTGCAACAGAAAAATAGAGAAAATTGCATCTACAGCCCCCTGAAGAGGAGATACAAGTCACGCTCTTACATCACAAGACATTCTTCACCAAGTGACCGCCCTCCACGAGAGGAAATCAACGAGGTTGAAGTACCAACGCCATTATCAACCGCATCAGTCTCCGAAAGGCTTGTAGAAGATGGGGGGAGCAATCCAGACATCTCGCAGTTTCCAAGCCTGGACTTGAATACTGCTTCTCATCCTCTTTATGTAGACCTGTTGCTTGAAATTCGGCAGTCAGCCGGGCGCACCCAGAATGCTCCATTTCTCTTAGGGGTGAGTTTATGGACTGAATTTTTTGCACAACTTGACGCTTACAACTGAATAAAAGGCCAACGAAAATTATTGTTTGTTATAGAGAAAATTATAACCTGATGTGTGACGTATTCTCTAACTTGTGCCTAGTGGCAAGCTCGAGTATGAGTTTCTTCTCCGACGAGCGATTGGATGACCTTTCAGCACGATTAGGTCACGATGGACTTAAGTCACTTGTCGCACAAATATCAGGCATGGTGAAGTCTCGTGTGGAAGTCCTCCATCGTAACCTTGGTCCATCCAGTATATGGAACCAATCTGGCGATGTTCCAAAATTATCGCCTCAAAGAGCACGCCATCTGATCAATAGTATGCCACTACTCATCCAAAATTCTGGGTCGCTACTGAATCTGAAATTATCGTTAGTTTATTTCGAAAATATTCACCCGTTGTATCCATTTCTGGACCGTGATGAATTCGAAACCAGAGCATTTTCCTCCACTTTGGAGGCTAGTCATGCTAATGAACCGGCGTGGACAGCTTTATATCATACCGTGTTAGCTCTAGGTTGCGAATTTGATGGTGGAGGCTCATTCACGCCTGGCGAAGGTGAAGCCTGGAGTCTTTTCAAGGTGGCACTTGATCTTTACCCGAGAATCTTGTTGCTAAACACAGAACTACTAGAGGTTCAGGTAAGCAATATGGAGATGATTTTTCTGTACTTGTGCATCATCAAAGCCGTCTACCAGGGCTAACACTGTCTAGTCGATTACAGCCATGGTAGGTTCAATCCTGCCTGTAAATGGTGCAAAAGGTAATAACTACAACAGGCCGTCTTCTGTCTCAATTTGTCCGGCACGCAGATCCAAGGAAAAATAATATCCGAGGCGGCGCGGGTTGCACAACGAGCATTTTTACATAAATCTTCTGCCAGCTGCGACGCTACTGCACGTAGCCGAGTCTTCTGGGTGGTATATTACATTGAAAAAACGGTGACTTTTCATCACGGTACTACCTCGGTAAGATTCATGTTTCCTACCATCTACGTAGCTGACATGCGCAACAGTTTATCGTAGATTGTGACATTGGCTCGCCCGTACCTGATGTCCCAGAGTCAGTCTTTGGCGATTTTGACTGGTTCATTACTGCGATACGATTTGCAAGGCTCTATTCGCGAATATTTACCGACTTGTTTTCCATAAGTGCAACAAACAAGTCAAAGTCAACATATCTCGTTAATATTGAGAAACTAGAGAGGCTTCTCGAGCAGCAAAGACAAGTGATTCCTCGTCAGTTTCAACCTGGCACGAAATTAAGACCACAAGCGTTCTCCCATCCATGTGGAATCCTCGCAGCTCTCCGAGTGCACTACCACTATCACGAGCTCAAAATCGCTCTTCACCGTATGAAGCTTCATGTTACTCGCGATGAGACTACATCTCAATCTCAGTCGACCATCATCGATATGATGCACTCAGCACGTGCCGTGATTGACGCCACACGAGCCATTTACCAAGAACCATCTACCCCGTTTTTGTAAGTTGTTTCCTGTCTTCTGCTTGGCTGTACTTACTGATATATTCAGTATTATTGCCTTCATGCCTATGACGGCACTATTTATCTTGTTCGACTTTATTATCCATAATCCGGCCCATGTGGATGCCGGCAGTAGTATTGTCTTACTTGAAAGTGTGACGGGCTATTTTAGCGCTCTTGAGTACGCTACCGGCGGGTATTTACCAGGCTCCATGCTAATGCAATTTGCGTCCATCGCGCGCGCATTTCAATCATTTCAATCTTCCCCGCCTGCTGCTCACGCCAACAATATCAGCAGCGCCCGCAGTGACATGGATACAGCTGTTGAAGGATCCGTATCTGGAACTTATGGCACAAGTTCATTTACACATAGTCAGAGTCCTTGGAAGGTTAGATTTGCCTCAGAACCTTGGAGATTTATTGCATTATCTAATATTCAAATCTTCGGCTAGGTTGCCTCTCAATCGATGGCCAATGATCTGTCCCAGAACCCCTCGTACTTGTTCATGAATAGCTCCATGTTTGCAGATGGCAGGCTCACTCCTGGTCTGGAGATCATGGATCTATTTGGAGGCCCCGTGCTTGGCATTGATTTCTTCCCGACTTCAAATTGATCCATTGTATTGAGTTCAGATTTATTCGGGATTTTTGTTCATAATCGTACTGTTGAACCCAGACTGGACGAACAAGTAACCAGTTCCATCCATGTAAAAGGACCTAAAAATGCTACATGGTGGTGCATTGTAGACCAGTTCACAAGTGTCAACTTCACGATATGCAGGGCATCGATGGTGAAGATTTGACGACGAAAGTGGAGCATTACTTACAGAATCGTCTTTTCGGTTGTCACTCATATCTTTTTCCTAACAGGCCAATTCGGATCAATCCGTCTTATTCAATTGGGTCCCCTTGGTATATTTGACCCCTTTAGTGCATACCATGCTGATGACTCGATCCCTTTGACCTCGAGGGTTTGCAGGGTTTGTCGTCTTCTTTGGCCCTACATGCATGAAGCAGGCCGGGGATTTCCTGCCAGGTCCAGGCCTGTTCTGTTCCTTTCTGCTGCTTCTTCCTTTTCCTAGTCGTCATCGTCTTCCTGTTCTAGATAGACCAATTTGACTCAGTCTCCCTCTTCTCTCTTCGCTTCCTGTGCCAGCAGTGCCGTGGGCCCTGTCACATGCAGTCCTATTTTAGCTTGTATTGACAAGCTCACTTATCCATTGGCCTCGATAGAGATCCATGTGTTGGTTATACCACGGCTGATTGCTGGTACATCTAAGGTTAAATTAGTCATCCTGCTGTCCCTCGTTTGCCCACCCAAGCGAGTCTGTAAATTGCCCCGAATACTCCATACTCCGCACGCGGGGGGATCGGATCTTAAGTCCTAATCGGGCAGATTATTGTTCCGAGTTCGATAGGATACGCTAGATCTCTCCCTTTCTCCGCTGTCTCTGACAACCGAGAGGGGAAAATAATGAGCACCGAGGCCCGAATCTTGTAGAGTAAGAATATCATTTCCACAAACTAGATAACTCTATTGGGCGGCCAATCGCCAACGGTAGCACATTAGAATCAGGTCATCGACGAAAAGTGGGGAAATTGAGTTTCATGCCATGTACATAGATGAGAAACTTCATGCAGTTAATGGTAGTTGGTACAGATTTTCAAAGGTTTTGTGCATAGCTAATCGCGAAGAATACATCTGTAGAATGCCCTTTCCACTACTGCGCTGGCACCCCTTGAGTGCCTCAAGGATTGGAAACTGAGTTGGCTCTCTATCGCTCTTATCAGCCTCTTTTTTTCATATGGTCAGGCGCTTGGGCTTAAGGGTCTATTATTTGCAGATCATTGCTATTGTTAGAACAGCATTGGATTTATACTGTTGACGGTTTCAAGAGTCAAGAACCACCAGTGGCTCATCATGTTTGGCCATTTTCCATTGGGGTCTGGCTCAGTCTTTCGGCCTCTCAACGCCGAACAAGCTCCGTGAAAGTTAATTTCTCATTAAGTCCGGGCTGGCTTCAGGTACACTTAAGATTTGTAACACCTAAATTAAATCTCATCCATCGTATGTCACCAGCCGTATCTCTAATTTACTGCTCTAGTCAGCTGGTATCGAGACGGAGATAAGACCTCAAGTACGGTTGACCCTTCATTTTGGACCCAATGTGGCGGCTCATTATGAGGTCGACACGAGGGCCATTAAAGTCAAGCAATTGGCCTTCATTGATGAACCAAACCCGAAGCCCGAAGCCCGAAGCCGGGTAAACCGGATCACAAAAAGGTTGGAACACTTGGAGCTCACTCTGCTCCGTATGTTAGATTTTTAATTCATTGCTGCTGGGGATTTACAGAGCCGCGATCGTATCTTCACTTTCATTCCAGTTATGCCCTGTCTTCCCCGACAAATAAAGGCAAAGGCTGGTTTTCTGATAATGTGCTTCTCAGCCCTATCCGTAAAAGGGTATCGCTCGATTTGGAAAATTGTCTCTTGACTTAGCGACCCAGTGATTTTGATTGGCTCTTGTGTCTCGTGTGGCTTGGTCGGTTGATCAACAGTCAGTACCGAATAATTAGTTTGTTAATCCACGCCGGCTTTGTTTAACCCCGCATTCCACGAAAATGAGTTCCTACCATAACTAGCTTCTTCTCGGAGACTTTTATCCCTCAATCGGGATTGGAGATGACAGCTAATAACGAAACTGTACCGAGGTCAAAGTTGAACTACTTGATCTCTTTGCCTATGGTTCATTGCTTCCCGCAAATATCATGAACTATAAGAATCATCGTTACGACAACCTTTTCAACTAATAATAAACGTATGCGATATAACATCGTCACAACGTCTCATTGACACACTGTGAAAGTTGCAGTTGCAGTATCTACCATACATAAACCTTCTTAAGATCTCAAAGGGAATACTCATTCAACCTCGTAACCCAAAATGAGGGACTCTACTCCTGGCCCGGCAAAGAAACATCTGAACGGCATCACCTTGTTTTGCCTGGCTTTTGTTATATGTAATAGCTGGGCTGGTATTGCCGGAAGCCTTCAACTAGCACTCATGGCTGGAGGACCGGCCACTCTTATCTACTCGATCCTCGTCGCCACTTCAGCCTACTTTGCAATAGCAGCATCAATGGCAGAGTTAGCAGCCGTTTACCCCACAGCAGGTGGGCAATATCACTTCGCCTCTATCCTCGCCCCACAGCGATGGAGGCGAGGGGTGTCATATACGTGCGGGTTATTGGCGCTGTTCTCTTGGCTCGTTATTGGAGTTTCTGTCACCAGCATTACAGCTCAGCAACTCCTAGCTTTAGTATCTACGAGCCTCTCGGATTTTGTGCCTCAACCCTGGCACGTTTTCTTTGTCTACCAAGGATTTGCGCTCTTTGCAATGCTATACAATGCCTTTATCCTGAAACGAACCCCCTGGACACACAATCTTGCTTGTTAGTACTGAAAACCTTACCCTCAACAGAGTCTATGACCTGACTTTTTTGAAAGTTATTCTTACAATTGCCTTATTTTTTGCGTCTTTCCTCCTCTTGCTTATAAGAGGGAACCCGAAGGAATCCCACGAGTTCGTCTGGAACACATTCTTGAACTATACTGGATGGCCAGACGGCGTGTGTTTTCTCATCGGTCTCTCGACGTCTTGCTACATGTACAATGGCCTCGATGGGGCCATGCATATGGCGGAGGAGTCCAGCAACCCTGAAAAAGTCGTGCCTCGCACTACGATGGGTGCAATTGGAATTGGTTTCACCACTGGGTTTGCCTATACAGTGGCCCAAATTTATGCTATATCGGACATCCAAGAAATCATGACCACGAGTCAGTAAGTTTTATTAGCCAATGTCCCTTCCGTTCCACAGCCATAGTAACGCCTCTTAGGTGGATTCCGTTTGTGGTTATGGAACAAGGGTTTCGATCTCGCACAATCGCTATGGTTATAGTTTCCTTCAGCATTGTCCTGTCAATGACTATTATCATTGCTACTCAAGAAGCGTCGTCCCGCCTCGCCTGGTCTCTGGCACGCGATAAAGGGCTGTTATTCTCACAGCACCTCCAGGATATTCATCCACGCTTCGACGTTCCAATGTGGGGCTTACTCCTAGTCTGGCTGTTGACGTTTACATGCGGCTTCTTATATCTCGCCTCGAAAACGGGTAAGAAACCCTTGAAATCAAAAGGCATAGTGAAGTCTGTACTAACTACTCTCCGTCAAATAAGCTTTCAATGCAATTATAGGCTCTTCCGTTATTCTTCAGCAGCTATCATTCGGCGTACCTATTCTTCTAGTAATTGTTCGAAAGCGATCAACAATCTACTTGTCTCCTGCACGCAGCTTCCGTATGCCTAACTTTTTAGGCTATATTGTTAATATCTACGCGGTTGCATTTATCACCCTCATGGCTGTTATACTGTGTCTTCCAGTCACTATCGCAACGGATGCATCTACAATGAGTAAGTGCTGTTCATTCGCAGGCATAAATATTCGATGATACCGTTCAGACCAGACTAATAATACCCTCTCTAATCTAGACTATACTTGTGTGATTCTAGGGTTTTTTCTTTTGCTCGGTCTGGCAAATTGGTGGCTGCATGCCAAGGAACAGTACAATGGCCCTGTGATAGAAACGTGGGAGGGCCGTGAGGCTGAGCCAGCTCGCATCGCCATCCCTTCCCAGCCAAAAAATATGAATGAAGGAATTGCATAGGTTGAGTGCATAATTCAAGTGGTAATTTTCTGCGCGGCAGATGGTTGTTATCGGGTTTGATAGCCGAGTCCACCTGCTATTAATGCACCCGTGTACAGCCGTACCCTCATAGTCGTGGGGATTTGAAAAGCGATTTGACTCAATAGGTCGGACGTTAAGCTGATTTTTTTGCTATATCAACGTGCTTTTAATCAAGACCAAATAAATCAGGGTATCTTACCCAGGCTTGGTCAGACGGAGGTCCTCAGTACATCCGACTGCTGCAAGGAATGGTTGATCGCACTCTCAAGGACCACAAGATTGTATTCACGCACTGAGATCTTCAACCAAAGAAAAAAATGGTTGAACACAACGGTCTCCAAGGGGATGGAAGTAGCGGCTTCAAAATTACCTTAATTGATTGGAATCTTTCTGGCTGGCGCTCTTACGGCACACGTTTGTTGATGCCTGGTTCCTAAGGCATTTGTATCTAACTATCACCTGATTACCTTTGTGTATTTGGATAGCTCTCTCACCACCTTTCCTTCTTTCCTTCTCTCATGCTTAGTTATCCCGGCAAATGCTACCATGTTGATTGATCAATATCACTTTCGTGCTTGAGCATAACAGGTACCCAGGATTTTGGGACTCTTGTAACTCGACGCTTTATTGTCGGCTGAAGCCTAGGGCTCATCCCGGATATTCTCGACCGGTATCCTTTGGAGTACTTGATGATGCAGGTTGTTTATGCCTCGCTCTTTTACTAGGAATGTGTATTCATTGAATGAATTTCAAAATATGTCACTGGGCGCATCTCTGCTAGAAACTATTTCAAGATACCAGAAGGCTGATTATGACTTGGCACCTATGCGCTACTATCGCTGAGAAGTAAAGGTCCCTAAGCCAGGTCATATTTCAGCTCTTACTTGGAAAGTCTTCCGACGAGAGGGGTTTGCTTACTTGGTAACTAAAAGGGTAAGTCAATTATGGCAAACAAAGGTTATAACCATCTTCCAGGTCAAGCAATCACTCCCCCCTTCCGATGGCCTAGTTGGTATCCACCATAAATTGGTGAACCAATGGTGTGCCCTGGAGGAAAGGGCAAACAAAAGAAGAAGAAAAAACCGAGTCAGTGTTGATGCTTCGAGCTCCACAGAAGGCCAGGCACACCCCTAGGCGGGGGGAGTATAATTTTTTTTCGATTTTTTGTGTATTATTATTTTTCTAATAGAAAAGTTTAATTTAAGGCCTTATAGTATATTCTTTTAATTCTTTAATAGCCCTTTCCACAGCATTAGAGAGTAAAAAGGTGGTGCTGTATAGCACTGGGGTGGGATGGCGATCTTCGTTCTTCGGTGTCCTGGGATAGCAATGAGGCAACAAGGCGAAGTATACAGGGAGGATAAGGTCCGCAGTCAATTTATAGATGCGGGAATTTTATTAAGTTTAATTTTTGGATAGCTTCATGTCAAACAAATGTGTCTGGAGAGACTATCTCACGGCCTAGCAAACATGTGCCTCTAGGGGGCTTCAGCGATCATACTCTTTCTTCAATGGCTTAGATTTCATGTCAAGATCAAATGCATGAAATATATGCGTATTTCCATGGATGATTAGGACTATACAAGTGTCAGCAGGCAATGGTCACGCTATGGTCACTAGGACTCTTGACTGTACTTCGATTCTTGTTCTAAACAAAATCTCTGGATGCACCAGATCTAGAAGGTCATCTTTATAATATTTGAAACAGCAGCACAATACCCTGGATATTTGACAGTATCAATTGTGAAGCTTTCTAAGTAATAAGGCTACAATTTACGATGAAGCATATCCCTAGCATACTATACGGTCTTTACCACTCAGAGCCCGAACCCGAGGGTGATCTTCAAAATGACCCGCTAAGACCCGACCCCACTCTTATCGGCATATCACACGGCGCAACGCTAACATGTGAAACGCAATTCTCGCCATCCATGCGCCATGCAAGAAATTATTGCCCCCAGCATGACCGTTATCTGTCAAATCATTTCAACGCTCTCGTAGGCGACACTATCTATATTTTGCCCCTCCATTTGACACTCTCAATGAGTCTCCTTCCACCTCAATCTTCCTACACCACTCATACACCACCTGATGGAGTACTCACGTATCCCAATTCTTCCCATCCCAGCCTTAATTCGGCGTCGGCTATCCCGTTTATACTCGTCCCAAAGGGTTGTAACCGATAACAAGCCGAGCGGGGCTACGAGGAATGAGCTGACTACTTTGTCCGAGCCGCATTTGCCATTTCATGGCCAGCTTTTGGAGCGAGCTGCAATCGAGGCGCAACGGCTCTCGACGGCGAGTGATGATCTGAGTTCTTTTGACTCAGGATCCAGGGGATCGAACAGTCCTCCCGTTGAGGAAGTGGACTCTCCTGTAAAATACGAGACCGACTCTGGTCTGCGATGGAACAGGGTCGTACCCGGTAAGCATAAACCCACGAAGGAAGAAGGTCCGATCAAAGTGACTAGCAGCTAATACCTCTTCTTTCCTGTAGCATTTAACCTCCTCCGAAATGCCGGGTATGAAGCCCAACAACCACAAGCCGACGGCCGACTTGCTCGATCTCTCTATATCAGTGCCGTGATGTATCTGCTAGATGCACTACCTTCAGATCTTACACCTGACGAGACAACGATGCTTCAGCATCGCTTACCCGAACAAGTGATAGACGCAGTTGCATCTTCTTCACAGCCGCAAATAGCTCATCTCGAGGGGTCTGCGCAGTCCAGAGCCATACAGCCCCCGAGGTCATATCTCCACCGGCTACTCGCCTCGGGGATTGTGCAAATATTCCTGATTATTCGATTCTTATTACCATATTTCAGGCTCTTCCTCCGTCAAGTCTATGAGTATGAGCGATCGCATCGAATCACCGAGCGAATTGTCACGACTACTCTGGATGCGGCAGACGGATTGGGCAAGAGTGGTGTGACCATCGGCTCGGCAGTTTGCAAGTTTAATGAAGGCAAAATCGGGGCTGCTGTGGGAAACGTCGCCACTTGGTGGATTGAAGGCGTTGCGGGAGGTATCTATGAAGGTGTAGGCGAAGGTATGATGCATTTGGGATTGTTGAAACCTGGATTAGAACTTGATAGATTGGTATTAGAAAGACGTTAGATGCACGATGCACTAGATTTAATGACACGTCATGTTTCCCACGCTTGAAATACATGTCAAAAGTGGCTACAACTCTGAAGTGGTGATGTCAATTCTCCAATATGATTTGCGAAGTCCAACGCTGCATGCGCTAGGATTCTCGTGGTGACCACTACTTTGATCCCACAGTTCTCGTTAAGAATAAGCGGTAGCTCGATGCATCCTAGAATGATAGCATCGCACTCCTGGGCCAGCTGATGTGCAACGCTAACCAGCATATCGCGAATTTCATTTCGGAAGATCCCATGAATCAACTCTTTATGGATGATGCCGTGGACGAAGTCCTGGTCCCTCTCAGATGTATACACCGCAGTTATACCTCGTTTCGCTAACGGAGCATCATAAAGACCCCATCTGACAGTAGGTTTTGTTCCCAGTACTCCAACGCGCTTGTAGCCATGTTTCTCGCAATAACTGGCTGTGATCTCCAGAATACTGAAGACGGGGATCGTTGACTTCTCTGCTGTTTGATGGTGTACAATATGCGGGGTGTTTGAAGGGACGATGGCATAATCCGCACCCGCTTAGGCTATTCTATTGATTGAATTGCTGAGAATTGTCGCTGATGGTCCGAAATCGTCTGTGTTGATAGCTTGTTGGATCCCTCGAATTGCGGGGTGTGGGTGACGATGGGAAGATGTGCAACGCCTGGCCTCATAGCTTCGCGGCCTATCTCCTGGTGGCAAACCACGAGGCCCTCGATGGTCTGTATGCAAATTCCAATCGTTTTCATGTTGAGACGATCGTGAAGGGCGATGGAAGATGGGAGTCTAGGTGGAATGGTTGATTCTATGGAAAGAAGCGGGGATCTCAGGCCTGATCATTGCACCACAGCATGCTGCAAACCCCCACTTTCCCAATCGCTCGTTGCTTGAAACGGTGACAGGCAACTAAAAGTCTTCAGCACTCTCCATGAAACATATTTGCTTATTGTGGTTCCTGGTGATCTCGTCCGAGGTTGTGGTTCTCATAGTTCCATAGATCGGCGATAAGGCCAGGCGATAAGAGACACTCCGGCACGATGTTCCCGTGTTTTGTTGAGCCCCCGAGGATCTTCCCAAGAACAACCTCCAATTGCAACTTGCGTGCTGGGTCAACTCTATTAGACTCCAACATGTCGACAACAAGGTTACCTTGCATTCCGTCTATCCGGAAGCAGCAGCTTCATCTCGAATTGTGAGCCCATCTCACCCCTATTCCGCTCAGGAGGCGGCAACACATACTGACGCTCGATGTTCCCCGTACAGCGCGAGCTTGCGACAAGCCGCACCACCTGGAGTCTACGTGACCCTTGCGCCAGGTGACCCGACCCTGTGGAATGGGGTGATCTTTGTCCGCTCCGGTGAGTATCAACTCAATGCGACCCCCACGACTTGTTAATTGACCTTCTGGCCCTCTCCCCGTCAGGTCCTTATGCCTCTGCCATCCTGCGCTTCCAAATTCGCTTTCCAGACATCTACCCCGATCTCCCACCATTGGTCACCTTTGGAACCGATGTATTCCACCCATTGATTGTTCCGCTCACCACATACACGTTCAGCACAAGCTCAGCAAGCGACGATCCAGTCAGCGCAACAGACGAGGAGCGGCTGCCACCGGGCGGGTTCAGTCTGCGCCATGGTTTCCCACATTGGTTTGGCAGAGCGAAGCGGAGTGGTCTAGCGTCTGGCAAGTCATCTCGAAATGTGAGCGGAAATACTGTTGGTACTGTCCCTGGTGCAAGAACCGCATCGGGTAGATCTCGGACGGAAAGCGATGTAGCTCCTGATGGCTCGGCCACTGCCCCAAGCCAAGATGAGCAGGCTCTAGCGGGCGATGAGAAACCTCGGGTCTCTCAAGTCCCTTCGGCCGCGCAGTTTGCAGAGGCAAGAACCGTTGTGCCTGTCGCGGAGTTGCTGGAGTACATTCGCTCGACATTTGATGATGAAGAAGTTCTGGATTCTTTGCCAGTAGAGGCCGCAGGAAATCCCGGCGCATGGCATGCGTGGAGAGCACATCGTCAGGGGGCGCTTGGCCCAAGCGATTTGAAACGAGGAAGTCCGCAGGCACGGCTTCCTGGGGATTGGCATTGGGATGGAATTTGGGCTCGGCGAGTTCGGGATGAGATTGAAGCAAGTCATTCGGATCCAATGCTGTTTGGAAGCGCTGCCCGCGGCGGTGGTGACGAAATGGTAAGCAAATTGAACTTCATCCTTTGATCGCAGCTGGTAGCTGACAACACCAACAGATTCGGTTTTCGCGGCTGGACAACGCAACCATGGCCTCGGTGAAGGAGACGATGCTGACAGTGGCCAACGTGCATAAAGAGTGATGATAGCGCTTGCCTTCAAAATATACCCAGCGGATGCCATTTTTCATTGCGTCGTTCCTGCCTTGTCTCTCGGAGCCCGCGCCTCGGTCGACTTTATAACCGACTTCCGGAGTCCATAAAGTCTTCTGACTACGCATTGCTACAACCTTACAAAATGACCAATTCTTTATCGCTGGATTTTAAAAGCTCTGCATTGCTTATCTCTTTAGTTCTTGTTCCCATCGTCATCCTTTTCGTTGCCGTGGCTGTGGCCCTTTCGTGCTCGGAACACTGCAGCTATCGGGTGACCAGACCCGCTTGGCTGGAACGGCTCCTCCGTCAGAGACGCGGATACAGAAAGAAGAACCGGTCCGATCTCGAGGGCGGCAACAATACGCAGGGGACCGAGTCATCGGAGTCGCCGCTCGAGTACCAAGAGCCCGTTCAAAGCCGAGAGCAGGTCTAAATCTCTTTCGTGATGGAAGAGGCAATGCCCCCACCGCTCACGGCAAGAAAGCTCACGTTGGTGCGAAGCCAGAGCACAGGTTCCACTGCGTCGTCGTATCCACAGATCCCGCTTCGACAATCTTCTTTGTCGGCGAGCCTGAGCGATGGTACCAGCGGCCAAGGATTATCAACAAGAACACCATCACTTTCCGAAAGTCGCCGTCAGATTCGAGTTGTAAAGATCCGGGAAAGAAACGCGTGGGCTTCTCAATATCCGAATGGCTTCGATCTCAATCCAGCAGATGACCCCTTTGATGACAAGGTGACTACAGCTTGCTCCGCATTTCTTTGTTTCTTAGTTGACATCGCAATTCAGAACGCGCGATTATTTGTCGATGAACAACAAGCAAATCAAACTAGGAATCGGTATCGAGCCCGCCCGCGATTGACGATCCGCTGGAGTTCTGGGTCTTGGAACTCTTCCGGTTTATCTGCACCTTCAATCTCAACAAGCGCGTCATTGTCATCAAGGCCACCCACTCCGCAAATCAAAAGTCTTCAGTATTCTCAACTCAAATCAGAATACTTAAGCCCAATGGAACTACCAGTCGCTTTCGTCGATGTGAAATCGACGACTAGTCGACCGCAGATTGGCCTGGGACCCGTGTCTCTGTGGACAACCGTACATGTGTCGGCCGACGTCAGCTCAGTTCCTTTCCCGGGAACTCCAGGTCTCGCTCCTCTTGATGTCATCATTCTTCTTGATAGTTTGTGAGTTGTGTTCATCGAGCCCACCGTTGTGTCATCCCGAACTCATTCACTTTCTAGACCTCAGCCCTCGGTCAACCTGCTGACGCAGATTAATTTGGGGCCCACTGTATTGGCATCTGATCTTGTTCACAATCATGACCGGATTGCATTGGCATGCATCGACGGAGCGGCGAAGCACGGGTTTGAAATCTTGCTGCCACTGGGCTTCCATTCCCTTGATATTGTTCGATCGATTTTGAACAGATTCTCCCAACGCCAGCACCTCATGAAACATAGGGCACCTCATGACCTTGGGAATGTGATTCAACAGGTTGCAAACATTTTTGGCACTCCGACCAGACCGGCCTTTTGTCATCTATTCTTTGTCTCTGCCACCCCGCCAGATCATTTGTCAATTCCGTCAATTGACCAAGCCATTGGATTCCATACAATCACTCCCCAAACTTGCCTACCACTGACTCGGCCGAACTCCGAGTCCGGCTGGCATATCTCTTACGATGTTGGCATCGGGGATGTGTGTCCTAACGGAACCCATTTTATACGCAAAGTGTCCAAAGTCATCCAGCAGCTTCGTACTGGAATATGTCCAGGATCTATATCAGACCTGAAACTTTCTCTCTCTCCTGGTCATGGGTGTCTCATACAAACAGTTATAGATAGCGCTCGGCTCTCATCGCTACGTCCAGGCGAAACCTGGGTTGTTCCGGTACAGATCATTGTACCAACCGCCTCCAAGCACGCGTCTTCTGCCTCTGAATCTCCGGTTCATTCTCCTGGTTTCGAGGACTTGTTCACTCAGATAAATGAGCTTTTGGAAGACTTCACTGGTGAAATTATACAACCTGTCTTGACTGCTTCGGTCAATTATCGGCATTCGCTTCTCCCGCCACTGAACACAATCCATGCTGAGACACATCTTACTGTTGTCAGGATGGAAAATGACCGTCAACGCTGCAGATCAAATGTCATCATAATTGGACAAGGTGGAGAGCTGGATAGGTTCTGAATAGGCGGGCATTGCCTTGAATCCTTTCGTCCAGCGTGTTTCTTTTTAGAGTTGTTTTTCTATTCTTAGCCATGGTTTTCCTTTTCGACGTGCTATACAATAGGCTTCTAGTTATTAGGATTCGAGCTGTGTATCTTTTGTTACGAACAATTGACCAATGCATTCAGTTTCTAATGTCTCTCAAACGGATATATTAAATGCGACTTTAAATGTTCCCCACAATTCACCACGTCTCCTTGATCAGATCGGCACATTTCTCACCGATACCGTACGCAGGCATCTGAGTGTGTCCTCCATGTAAAGCTGGCATAACACTGCAATCCGCCACGCGCAAGCCAACCACACCACGAACCCGGAGTTTCTCGTCCAGAACAGCCATGGGGTCATCATTCTTGCCCATTGCGCATGTCCCTGCTGCGTGGTAACCTATCTATCGTCAGTTTTGAACTTATCCACGCACAGTTGTTCCCTTCTCAACTCACAAGTAGTAGCATGTTCCTTGACATACGGAATCCATTCCTCCCTCGTCTTGTAAGTATGGTGCGACAAATTCGAAGGCCAAGATCCCTTCACAATGTCCTTGGTACCAGCTCCATTCATAACAATCTCATTGCCAAATCGACAAGCCTCACTGAGAACCAAGACATCCAGAGGGTCCGCAAGATAATTGCAATCCACGATAGGATTCTCCATCGGATTTGCCGATTTCAAAGTAACAGAGCCGCGCGACTTGGGTGCGAATAGCTCCGCGATCATCGAGAAAGCGTGCTTATGGTCGATGGGGAATTGATTGTATTGCTTCGGTCCGCCGTAGCACTCTGCCGTGAAGAATTCGATATTGGGTTGTTTGGGACTTAGGCCCATCGGATCTCGGCCGATTTGACGAGGTGCGTTCTTCCAGAGTGGCTCGTCTTTTAGGCGGTCGTCTAGTCTGGCGAAGGCGAAGGCACCGAATGGGAAGGTTGAGAGGAAACCGGTCTTTTTCTCTTTCCATTCTGCGTATGTTTTGTTGAAGTTGCCGTCGTGGTAGACGTGGTAGTCGGTTGTGAGGCCGGCTTTTTCGGTTTCGTAGAACATGAAGACGATCTATGACGGTGTTAATGTTAGCAACTATGCTAGGGTATGTTGCCGACTGCTGACTTACCAGGTGGTCCATGAGGTTTTGACCGACTCCAGGCGCACTGACTGTGCATGGGATATTGTGCTTAGCCAACTCTTCCTTGGGTCCGATACCTGATCGAAGAAGAATTGCTGGGCTGCAGTATGCTCCTCCCGAGATGACGATCTCCTTTCGCGCATGGTAGATCTTTGAACCACCATCGGACGTCTTCGCAGCAACACCCGAAGCACGAAGCTGGTCCCCCTTCTGTGTAAAGATCACTTTATCCACTGTTGTGTCTGTCTGAATGGTAATATTTCCACGGCTGTTCTTGTTGGTCACGAAATCAGCACCCGTTGTCCGAACGCCACTGTAGACTGTACGAGGCGCATGGCCACAACCGTGGGGCACATCGCCAGTGCTGAACATGTCGTGATTCAGTGGCAAGCCCTCCGAAACGAAAGAGTCGAGCAGCAGGTTTGAGATTGGCGCTAGGTCGTGAGGCTCCGTGTGCAGCGGCCCTGAATAGCCATGGCTTTCGTTATCAGCTTTGAACCAGGGCTTGGAATGGAAGGTCTCGGCCTAGAAACAATTGGTTTTCAGTGTTAAACAGTGTGTATCAAGCAATTCAATGATCTCTTACCTTCTTCATATAGTTGAAAAACTCCTCGCCGCTCCACCCTTCCAATTCCCAATCATCGTAATCCTGTTTGCAGCCACGAATACACAGCGTGCCATTGCACCCACTACAACCACCGAGGAATCGGCCTCGACTCAATTTGACCTGACGATTGTCAACACCTGCCATAGGCGGGGTAACAAAGTTCCAATCAGTCTCTGCATCGAAGTTATTTGACCATCTTTTTCACCATTAGCGAAAGTCGTCTCCACGGTCGGTCGCTTTGAAGCTGCTCACCCTCCAGCCATATGCACATTCTCCAAGTCCTTATTATGCTGTCCAGCCTCGAGTAGAAGAACCTTGATCTCCGAATTCTCGGCTAACCGACCGGCGACTACACATCCGGAGGTACCACCACTGTCGATTGTCAGTTGGGATTCTTGCACAGCTGTAACATGACCGACCCACCCGCACACAATGTAATCATAGGTCTGATCGCTTTCAGAGGCCATGATGGATAATCCGAGAGATTTTTCTTCTTTTGTTCTCCAAACTCACACGAGGAGCTACACAAGTACGAGGAGACTCTACTTATAAACAGTGGCCCCCAACAATACAACAATACGAGACACGGGAGAAGCGGCGGTGGGTTCCGCTGTACAACTACCATTTTGGGAGAAGATTGTCCAATGAGACACGATGTTGTGAGTGGGCTGTATGCAATATCTGCAGGCGCTAACTACATTTTCAGCATTGCAGATTTGCCAAGTGACTACTAAGTAGCTGAGGGAGACCAAATACCCAAATCGTTGAGCAGCTGCAAAATGCGGGGGAAATTCGGGTAAACTTTTGAGGGGCGGAACGAACTGGTCAATTTTCCGCCGTGGTGAGGAATACCCCGCACAACCTTAATTTGCTCTCATGGACCGATTGGTGATCTGCATTGGAGATATGTAGATACATTAAAGTAGTAGGTGTACCTTGATTGACGATATTAATATTCTCCGTGGGTGGAGAATCAGTTCGCGAGCACTACTGTAGAATCGAAGGAAGCTATCGATGGTGGCTTGCGGGGCCAAAGTAGATTCCCTCCACTCTTATCTCTAGCAACCTATCAGAGAAACAAAAGAAGTAACTCGCTAGCCAAGAGTTGAATAAGCTATTGAGAAGCTGAAAAATTGGTCAAAGCTGGAGCAACCTTTTCCTCCCGAGGCTCATGAGTCCACACAGGATCCCCATCGTCGTCGAACTCGGCCCACTGGAAGAACGAGCAGCTTTCTTTGCCTGGTACATATCCAGCATAACACATCCACATATACCGCCCTCGGGTTTCTTGTTTGCGCTGTGCACACCGAAGTACCGCGTGCTCGCCACAGAGACATCGAGGTGTATTTCGCGGATGAAAAGTGTCGCGGAACCAGCGATAAGTGACATTGATCCGCCGATTGCCTGATATTGGGTGTGGAGAGATAGTCTGCGCAGGGGCGATTGAGTGTTTCCACTCTTCCTGCATCTCTGCATGCATGACCAGGAGGGAATTGTGTGGGAGGTGGATGGAGATCTGTCCTTGCGCGTCTGCACGAGCAGTAGATGACTTTCGGTCATTGGTCGCTTTTGAGGGAGTACCGCGCTTGTCTTCGGTGCCTGTTTGGCCAGTATCATCCTCCTCATCCCGAGGTAGTACTCGACGGACTCGGAATTCTCGTTCCACGCCTAGACTTAAACTACCAATGACCGGGTGGGGGCCGAGATAAGTAAAATCATCGGAATGATACCCCACATTTTCTGCGGGCCCATCGTAACAGTTGACAAAGGCTGCGTTTGGTCTCCATTCCTTCGATGACTGATACTTGAGCTTCTTGCCATCTGAATAAACCTCGCGTATGCGAGCCTGCACAGCTTCATTGACCGCAAGCTGGACTTTTCGGGACACGGAGCGAAGCCCTGGTGTTGCTTGTCGAACATTTGATCGGTATGTGCCACCATACTTGTACTCGGAGGTATGTTGTTTGTATTCCTCGGGCGTTGAAACATATAAGCTCGTTGTATGTGGGCTCTGAACTGTTCGGTTGAACAGCTGAAATTCGTATTGTGAAAAATGTTTTGATTCGTCAAGTAGTTCGACTAGCAGTGCATTCGCCTGTTCGGTAGGAAGGAAATTGTGGATAATTGTGCATGGTGTGTAGGCTGCAATATCCTCGGGGGAATAAAGGTGTAAAGTTTGTCCTTTCTTGGTAGACAAAGGTTTTCGACGAACGAGGCTATCACTAAGAGTGGTAACAGATCCATCCTTTGCTTTGGTGAGCACGTGTGACGATAATGATGTCTGAGCACCAACAGCGGAAGCTGAGGTCGCTCGTTTCTTATATGGTGAACCTGAGGTGACTTGGGTTGAGAGCAGTGAAGAAGCGGCCTCCACAGACCCATCGCATGATACTAATATGTCCAACAGGTTCTCTTGCTTGAGATCTGGAAACAGAGAGAGCAAGATGGCAATTTTGATGTCCGTGGAGTCCTCGCCAGAGGAATCTGGGTTCGGCGTGCTTGGCGCCTTAGCTGGTGTTGCACTGGCCTCCACGCTTGACTGAGACAGCCGCCGCCTCTTCCTGGAAACAAAATCATCCATGGCAACCTTTAATTCACTACCAGATTCCGCTTGAATATGTCGCGGGGACAAAGTTGATACATCTGCCTGAATGGATGCCTGGTACCTCGTAAACGCGATAAGGATTTATCAGCAAGTTCTTATCACCACATGACTGGCTTCAAATTGACCAATCAGAGACAATCAACAACTATTGGAATAAGTTGATATGGTGATGCAACACGACTCAAAATATTCAAGTTGATAAGCATCTTTGAGCTTTGGTAGATTCATTCGACTTGTCCTTGAGGAGAACACTTGTGTCCCCAGTCTTACACAGCGGATTACTCGGCCTTTCATCTCGAAATACTGTTGTAATTTATTATGTACTTGTCTAGGGACTTAACAGTGGATTTAAGTCAGGATTATAATTTTAGATCAAGGCAAACTCGAGAACAGGTTTTATATTCCCACTTCTCCAAACCCATATATCTACTATTCCTCATCCACTCTATGTTTATACTCTATAGTTTCCCCCGGGGAACGATAAGGATTGCGATAAGCCGATAACGGACGATAACGGAAAGCCGATAAGCTTGACGCCCGCCAACTGACCTCGGCCCATCCGCGCATTTGATCTCCCCGCAATCCTCCTTCTTCCAGCCCGCTTTCCCGACACGACGCGCGCGCTGAGCTATGACGGCGCATCCAACCCGTCGCTTGTGATACCCAAAAAGTTGTGGCTAGTTTTCAATCATCTCCCTCCTCTACTCTTCATCATAGCCCTCCCGTGATCGGTGATCCGATCAGCCTGCCACAATGCAGCCCACACGGATGCTTCACTATCGCACGCAGGGCTTCAACGGCACTGCGGTGAAGTATTCGCCTTTCTTCGATAACCGTCTGGCCGTCGCAAGTGCAGCCAACTTTGGTCTGGTCGGTAACGGCAGGTTGTACGTCCTCGACCTCACTGAGAAAGGGATTGTGCCGGTGAAATGGTATGTGACATCCTCTCTAGTGGCCTGCGGTTGGCCTCGCGAATCACCTGATTTTATTTTCGTCCTTGGATTTTTTTCTGAGATATTCTAATTTCCATCTCGTATATAAATTCAGGTTCACCACTCAAGACTCCCTCTATGACACTTCCTGGTCTGAAATCCACCACAACCAGCTGCTGGCCGCGTCGGGTGACGGTAGTATCAAGCTCTATGACACAAGCGCTGATGATTTTCCTGTCATGAACTGGAAGGAGCACAATCGGGAGGTGTTTTGTGTGAAATGGAACGGTGTGGCAAAAGATCGCTTCTGCTCCAGCAGTTGGGACGGCACCGTTCGAATCTGGACACCTCATCGCCAGGAGTCTCTCCTCACTTTACCTACCCATAGCTGCACCTACTCGGCTTCCTTCCCTGTTGACACCCCCGACCTCGTTTCATGTGTCACCTCAGACTCCTACATCCGCGTCTTTGATTTAAGAACCCCGGCCTCTGCTTCCAACCACCTCGTTATTCAGATTCCCAACCACTCCGGGCCAGCAGCACCACCCATCCCTGGTCAAGCAGGCATCCCGCCAGGCGGCATCGCCCAACCAGCTGAAATTCTGAGCCACGACTGGAACAAATATCGTACTACAATGATCGCAACAGCAAGTGTTGACCGAGCTGTTCGCACCTTCGATATTCGAGCCCCACAGCAAGGCCCTGTCTCTATCATGCTCGGCCATGACTATGCGGTCAAGAAAGTGTGCTGGTCGCCGCATGTGGCAGAGCTTCTCGTAACTGCAAGCTACGATATGACTTGCCGTGTCTGGAGTGACCGGTACGAAGCTAGCGGGGCTGGTGATGTGGATCCGATGCGGTCTGGTCCAACGGTTCCGATTGTCGGCTCAGAGCTTGGAAGAATGGGACGACACACAGAGTTTGCTACCGGTATTGACTGGGCTATGTTCGGAGATGAGGGCTGGTGTGCCAGTGTCGGTTGGGATGAGAGTCTTTATCTGTGGGATGTGCGAGATACGATCCCGTGAACGAATTCCCCGCCTGTTTGAAGTATTCATCTAGCTATTCATGCGAGGATGAAAGGAATAGCATGCATAGACATGCTTGAACTGGGAAGTTTCGGTTGGGATGAGAGTCTCTATCTGTGGGATGTGTGAGATACGACCCCGATCTAATCCCCTACCTGTTTGATGTATTCATCTAGCTATTCATGACCTGTGTGTGAAAGGATTAGCATGCATAGACATGCTTGAATTGAGAATTTAAGAATTATTCTCATCATGATCTCCACAATCATTGATCGGATTCTTTCTGTAGAAACAGAGCAGCGCTTACTTACGTGAAAAGTCCATGGAGTTCTAAGTTAATTGTGAGCCCAGGGATAGATAGAATATTCAGTCATTTCAATTCGTAAATTTTATGTCCATATGGAAGCATTTCCCGGATATAATGCGTGGCCCATAGATCCAAAAGGAAATTTGAGGCTTGATCTATCATCAATCGAAATGTTGACTCGGGGAGTCCCCAGTGATTTGTATGTCACCACTGAAAGACACCGTCAGACGTCGGTTTTGGGGTAGGTTTGACTGAAAACTAGATGCATCGCTGTCGCATAAACCCTTCTGATTCTGAAAAACACCACCAATATGATGATTCAGGCTCAAGTTCCCAGCCATGTCCTCTATAAATGCTCGAAACAGAGGGTTCCAACTTATTTGGCCAGGCGAGACTCAGTCTTCTTGCGCTCCGAGTCCCGGACCTGAGCAATCTCCTCCTTGGTGGCGTTGACCGCAACGTGCACCTGGTTGAAGGGGTTCTCTTCACTCTTTTCAAACTCCTTCCGGCACAGGTCAATACGCTGCTGCCGGCGCAGACCAGGGTTCTCTTGTTCAATCTCTGGTAGACGACGGGCCTCGAACGCCGCATAGGCCGCCTTGAATCGTCGCTCGGGATGACGCTCAACCTGGGAAGTTTCCTTGTTCGTCAGGGACAGGGCGTCCAGCGCGTTATCGATACCAGAAGCATTCAGAGCAGTGCTCTTCTTGCCGGAGACTGAGTCGTCAAGCTGTGAAAGGTCGAGGCCGCGAGTCTTCTTCTGCGCCGTCTTTGCGCCGGCACCCTTGGCCTTGGACGGCTGGGAGGCTTCTTCTTCAGCGAGGAGGGCATCACGCTCGGCCTTCTTTCGGGCAGCTTCGGCTTTCTTGGCTTCGGCGTCGTCCCTGCAGTTGGTAGAAAGAAAACAGGTTAGCTTATTGCCCTCCGCGTGGATTCTTGCTTTAAACGACCAAATCAAGCTCACTTCTTTGGGTTGCTCTTCGATCCCTTGGACCATTCCTTGTCCTCTGCAGCGGCGCGCTTCGAGTCTTCGGCGGCCTTCTTTGATGCGGCAGCTTCGGCCTTCTGAAGGAGTTGTTAGCGCATGTTATCGCGTGAGTGGCAATCGATGGCGGGGGCGGGGTTAGTACATACGCGAGCGTTGCCGGCAGCCTTCTTGGAGTTCTCGGCCGGTGCTTTCTTGCCTCCCATATTGAAGGTTTAGAGTATTCCGGGATGTGATTTTGAAGCAAGTTCGATGAACTGCGAGAAAGGTGGAAGAGAAAAAAGTGGGCTGTCTGGATGGATGATCCGATCCGCAAAACAATTATGCCGATTCCGATGTAGGCGGTGACGAAGTGACTAATCTAATAGCTCAGGGCCAGCCTTGGAGAATATATGTTGCCTGTAGAAGCATAGTTTCAAGGGAATAAAAGAGTATAGTGTCTTAATGCCACTCATCAAATTTCATCATAGCCTTCAGTGATTGAACAAAGTTTGAAGTATATAACTCCGTACCTTTCTCACAGATGAGCTACCTTTGGTGCCTGAGGCGTCAGGTGTCAGCCCCGGATGCGTTCCTGGCCTCATTTGTCATAGCTGACGGTCCCCGGACAACTTTCGCGTTGCTTCTGTCTTCGATCCAAACAAAACCCCGAGGATGGCCTCGACATAGCATCGAGACTAGTTCTCTGGGCCCTAGCATTGACCTCTCCTTTTCTCCCCGGGCCGCATTCCGATACTACCAGCTGCCTGAGCTGGACCCTCCTTTCTTGAATATACTCTCCTTCCAAGCTTCCACGACTTACAACAATGGCTCTTCTCCTTCGCCTACTACAAGCGCTTGCGCTCCTGCTCTTTGTTGGAGCAGCGACTGCTGAACATACCTCAAATTGGGCCGTTCTTGTCTCGACATCCCGATTCTGGTTCAACTATCGCCACCTTGCCAATGTCCTCTCCCTTTATCGAACCGTCAAGCGCCTCGGCATTCCTGACTCGCAAATCATCCTCATGCTCCCCGATGACATGGCCTGCAATCCTCGCAATGCCTTCCCCGGAACTGTCTACAGCAACGCAGACCGTGCGGTGGATCTCTATGGCGACAACATTGAGGTGGACTACAGGGGTTACGAGGTGACGGTGGAGAACTTCATTCGACTATTGACCGACCGGTTGGACGAAGATGTGCCTCGCAGTAAGCGTCTCGGATCTGACGCCGGTAGCAATGTCCTGGTATATATGACCGGTCATGGAGGCGATCAGTTCCTGAAGTTCCAAGATGCCGAGGAGATTGGTGCATGGGATTTGGCCGACGCGTTTGGACAGATGTGGGAGAAGAAGCGCTACCACGAACTGCTCTTCATGATTGATACGTGCCAGGCCAACACGATGTACACACATTTCTACTCGCCCAATATTGTTGCCACGGGTTCCAGCGAGCTCGACCAATCTTCTTATTCCCATCATGCGGACAACGATGTCGGCGTCGCGGTCATAGATCGGTGGACCTATTACGTGCTTGAATTCCTCGAGACACAAGTGACTAGCGCCAACTCCAAGTTGACTTTGGGAGATCTGTTCGACTCATACGATATGTCGAAGATCCATTCGCAGCCGGGTGTTCGCTGGGACCTCTTCCCTGGTGGTGAACAAGAGGGTCGCCTGCGCACCGTGGTGGATTTCTTCGGCAACGTGCAGAATGTCGAGATTGAGAACGCGAATTCTACGGACCCGGGTTCTTTGAAGGAAGACCTCGCCGAGATCGCGCGACTCGTTGAGAAGTGGCGCAAGCGAGATGAGGAATACTCTGCCATAATTGGCAATTCGTCTCAGTCTCAAGGCGAGGATACGCATTCATCTACCGTGCAGTTGAAGTCGAAGAAACCCGTCGGTCCTACAAAGATGGCCGAGGACAGCAGCTGGGGCAAGCGTCTGGTGGGCTTGTCCGTGGTTGGCGCATGCACTGCCGTATGGGTCGCTGGGTCAATTCTGGGTCAATCAGCCTAAGGCTACGGCGTCGTAATCTTTCGTTTTACTGTCGTCTTCTTGACTAGGTCTTTTCTTTCTCTGTACATACAGCATACTATGGGTGCAAGGCGTTTAGGCGATTCATCCCTGTCACATTCTCTCGTCCTCTTAACGATTGGGGTACTTATCACATCCCCGTCCAAATACCATGCGAATTTTGCAACTTATAACATGGAAGCCAAATGCAAACACGGAGAGCATCTTTAATCGTTGCTGGGAATCCCACACACAACCGATAAATGGAAAGCTTGAAGATGTTACGGAGCCTCAGCCCGGTGCATATACTTACAATGCCGTACTGTAGTATACTGGCGTCTAAGGGCACTCTCAGCGATACTTCTCTACGGCTCCTCGGCGACCCGATTCCGGAGCGGGTAATGCTCGCCTTTCCGGTGCCGAACAGCCCTACAGTGATTGGTAAAACGAGGTAATTCTCGTCATCATGAATCTCGTCAGAATAAGCGGGGTAGGGGTGAAGTATAGAAATAAATCCAATTCTGAAAATATTCCCTATGGAACCAATTCACACCTTAAAATAAGACGACTGCAGGACCATGTCTCGACCACATACCTTGTTCGGCGGCGCAATGATTGGCACTAGCTTCACTACACCGGAGCAGGTACAAGCACTCCTCGATCTATTGAAAACCCTCGGTGTTGATCGCATCGATACTGCTGCCCGATACTCGCCCACAGCACCCGGCTCATCCGAGTGTCTTCTAGGCGAAACGCGAGCCGCAGAACAAGCCTTTACTATCGATACCAAAATCAACACAGTAAGCGGCGTTAGAGCAGGAACCTTGACCGCAGCTGCTATTGAGAAATCACTCGAAGAAAGCCTGTCTCGTTTACAAATGAGCAAGGTCAATATCCTGCACTTTCATCGGCCTGATCCTCAGACTCCAATTGTCAAGCAGGCAGCCGAGATTCATAGGCAGTATCTTGCTTGTCGGTTTGACAAGGTATGCAGTCTTGAGCTATAACGCCGGAGAGTGGATTCTATTCTGACACGCAATAGTTTGGTCTGTCAAATTTCCCCCCTGAATTGGTTGCGAATTTTATTTCGGTCTATGAAGAAAAAGGTTATGTCAAGCCAACTGTATATCAGGGGTTGTATAGTCTCCTCAGCCGCGAAAGCGAGGAGGCTTTGCTTCCCTTACTCCGAAAGCACAATATCGCATTCACTGCATACAGGTAAGTTTGGCGCAACCTCTACCTTGTTCATCTGAGCGCTTAAGCTAACAATAGTTTACCCAACAAGCCCACTTGCAGGTGGATTCTTAACTGGGCGGGCGACTCGAGGAGACGCCGAGGGGACTCGATACGGGCAAAGCAGCCAATTTGCTAATAATCCGTTGATTGCGAAGTATAAAACCCCGGAAATGCATGCAGCGATGGCTGATCTTCTGGGTACTTTGGAGCCTCTTGGAATTGCTGGCTCTGAGGCTTGTCTCCGATGGCTGTATCCGTACTATCACTCCGCTTTGAGTGAGGATGATGGAGTCATTTTGGGTGCCAGCAAGACGCCGCAGATCGTACAGAACATGACCGATATATCGAAAGGACCCTTGCCGACGGAAGTGCTGCAGAAGATAGACTCACTCTGGGAGAAGGTCGTCTAGGGGTTGTTGAATAGTTTGAATAGTTCGATCTCTTTTCTCTCCATTTGCATTGGAAACTGAGAAATTTAATTCACCTTGACATGGACAATTGAATCCGGTTTCTTGTTCTTTAGTGTCTAAAGAAAGCCCCTCTAAATGGCACGGCTCTAATTGGTCCGCTAGTATAGTCGCGATCCTCGAAACCAATATTGAAACCCTCAGATCAATGGTCCCTTGAGGAATATCTCAATAAATTGGGATCCACATGAAAACAAACAAGAAATCTATGTAAATAATTTCCATATGAAAGAAAAAAGGATCAAGAAGGATCGCAAAATGCTCGTCTTTGTCGAGGCGACGGGGAATGGAATCTTAGGGCACGTGCCTCGAACGCGTCGCGCCTGGCCGCTTTCCTCCAAACCGGACGGGATCCTCGAATCTTGGTAGACCAGACGAAGTCCTGCAGAACACCAACAGCCGTTGCCCTTTTACATTCACCATCTACCGGGCCGCGAGTTGCTATTCTTACTCATATTCATGCTCGAATGCATTTCTAGTCTCTCTCCATAGCTGGCCATGTATCTTCCACGGCAGCTCATCTCGCACCTATACCTACAACTCCTCCGATCTCACCACCCGCTCTCCCCGCCAGTCCTGATTCTCGTGGCACTCGAACCTGACGCGCTATGTGCCTGTCGGATCCTAACCGCGCTATTAAAACGCGACTACATCCCCCATAAGATCCAGCCCGTCGCCGGATATGGCGATCTGGCGCGCGCAGGGGAGGAACTGGTCCGGCCCATGCAGACCACCAATGGCGGCAGCGGAGGTGTCGTGGTATGCCTTGGGGTAGGCGGACTGGTCGATCTTGGCGAGATCTTGAAACTGAACAACCCAGAAGACGAGGTCGAGGACATGGGTGGAATTGAGATCTGGGTCTTTGACGCGCGCCGGCCATGGAATCTCGCCAACGTCTTTGGTGGACAGGCTGGGATAGGCCAGGCGATGGCGGAGATTGATGTTAATGCGCGCCGACGCGGGCGCGGGGTGGACAAAGGGTGTATCACGCCCGCATACACGTCCAAACATGGCGGTATTGTCGTGTTTGATGACGGTGATATTGAAGAGGAACTCCGCAATGAACGCGAAGCATATCACGCGCTATTGGAAATGCCCGAGGTGGATGACGATGATGCCAGTGATGGCGGCTCTACCGACGACGATAACGACATGGCCTCTGCCTCGAAGAAGCGCAAATCGTGGTCAGGACGCGAGGATGAAGTTGAGTCTGAAGACGAGGACGGGCCTCCCCGTCAGCGGAAGCGGAGTAATTCGGTGCGCATACCCTCCTGCCATGAACTACAAAACCTACTGACACGCGTTATATAGGGGTCGTCGTTAGTATCCTCTCCGAGTCACCGCAGGAGGACCGCCATCAACTCGTCCAACTCGTCCCGTTCACCAACCCCTACGTCAGAGTCACCGTCACCGGAGGAGGCAAAGCAGCCATCAGCGCGATCTTTAAAGCGCCGCCTTATTCGACTAAAGCGCAAACACGAGACGGTCCTACAAAAATATTATGCCGCAGGAACGTCATACTCGGAGCCGATTTCGTCGTTGGTCTATTCTCTTGCGTCCGAACTCGGTCGTGAGGACAATGATCTCCTCTGGTTTGCAATTATTGGCGCATCAAGCTTGGAGCTTAGTGGTCGAACGATGACTGGTGTCGGCATTTCAAACACATCAGAATCGGGTGGGTCTGCAGGCTGGGGTGGGCAGCGTGGAGAGCACATCCGTCAGATCCTCCGAGATGAAGTCCACCGCTTGAACCCACCGGATCCCCTCGAGCGGGACCGCGATATTAGAGGAGAGATCAATGGTGTCATTCCAACCACTGCCAGGTCTCCTACGGATACATCTATTCGTCTCTCGCCTGAACCTCGCTTCCTTCTGGTTCGACACTGGTCACTCTACGACAGTATGCTGCACAGTCCCTACCTGGCAACGAGGCTTCACGTCTGGACAGAAAACGGTCGCAAACGCCTTCACAAGCTATTAGCGAAGATGGGTGTCAGTCTCACCCAGTGCCACCAAAACTATACGCATATGGATATGGAGCTAAAGCGGGTATTGCGCGGACGGCTTCTCAAGTACGCACCAATGTATGGCCTGGATGGCTTGGTACCTCCGGAGCCATCTGGCGGGCATGCCAGTTCCCGTGAGGGATGGGGCTTTGTGCGTTGCTGGGGCTGGAAGGCTTGCCTGTCTGCTACAGATGTGGGTGTTATTGTGGGCGCTATGCTGGAAGTTGGGCCACATGAAGCTTCTGGGGCGTGGGATACCAAACGTCTTCCACGACCACGAAGCTCCAATGATGACGCGGAAGGCAGCGGTGCCCCAGGCGAATCTGATTTGGCTAGTCTTCTTCCTCGGTTCTGGAGTGCATATGATGCCTTATCGCTGACGTCCGAGTCACCTACCCTTCTCATGGAGGCTCTTCCTTTGGCTCAGCATCTTCACCGTGCCATTCTGCGCACTGGTACATCACTCCTATCGAAACATCAGATCCGTCATCTTCGGGCTTTCCGCATTGCAGTCGTCAAAGACGGACCTGATGTGAAACTTTTCACAAACCCCGGGGCCCTGACAAAATTGGCCCTCTGGATTGCCGAGGCAATCAAAGTCCAAGAGCGCGAGAAGGGTGACTCTGTCAAGATCGGACGGAAGAGAGCAGCTGGTACTCCTCTCGTCCTTGCCGGGCTTGACGAGGACCGAGATCTTTACGTGGTCGTCGGCACTGGTGGTGGTGGCGGTGTGATAGACATCGCTGCCATGTCCAAGCGTCAAGAAGAACGTCGACAGAAGAAAGACGCCAAGGAGAAGAAACAAAAGGAGAAAGAAGAGCGGCGGGCCCAGCGTGCGGCGGAGCGAGCCGAACAATTCGATTCTGGGGATGATGCCGAGGATGAGGAGTCGGAGGAATCCGAGTCTTCCTCCGAATCAGAGTCTGAAGACGAAGATCCTCGAGGAAAGAAACATCTGCTGCGTAACCGGTTCGGTATCGCCTTCCAGGAAGTGGTCCAGGAGACCAACGCCCGCGTCCGCATTGACAGCTTCGACCACTGCGTCGTTGAGGTTCAAAAAGATGACTTGGGTGGCTTCCTCGAGGCCCTGAGTTTCCGCAGCGTGGTGGGCTAATTTTTCTCATACTCCTTACCACATTCATTTACGCAGTCTACGACCTGACATCTTGCACTTTGATTTATTTTGTTTTGCGCTTTTATTGGAGGCATTGGAGGGTGGAGCAACTTGGGTTTGGATGGCGAGGGGAACTGGACTCCAGTGAAAGGGACTATCCAACATGATGATGAATGAGCGGTGCATTGCATTTTTCTCTCGCAAGCATATTTATTCACGTCCATCCGTCCACGATCATCTTGCATCTTGCATCTGAGGTCTCTATACTAGGCTATGGCGTTTGTGGTGTTTTTTTCTTCCTGCTGTTGTCTTTTTGTGCGATTCCATGATCTAGTGTTGCCAGTATCATTCGGTAGCCATCTCAATGGATTTACTATTTACCCTAACTTTCTACTTTTAACTTTGACTTTGATGTTTACCTTTTTCTTCGTATCGGTGTTCTCTCCGGCTTTTATTCCTCCCCGCACCCCGCAATTCCATCGCAGCATCTCCGAGTTGCCGAACCTACAAACCCCTATAAACAACTAATAGCAGACCCCACGATCTCAATCGAATCAATTGACTCCTTTCTTTTCACTAATTGCCCACTCATCTCATACGATCATGTCGCAACGACGTCAATACCCAACGCTACCCCGGGAAAGCACTCTCGCCAACCTTCCGGCCGAATACCCCACGGACGCGCAAGACCAAATCTCGCAGATCCTCGCCACGTCCTCAATCAACCGTCTCGTCGTGCTAGACGACGATCCAACCGGCACCCAAACCTGCCACGACATCTCCGTCCTCGCCGTATGGGACATTCCCACGCTAACAACCGAATTCCAAACCAATTCACCCGGCTTCTTCATCCTAACAAACTCGCGTGCCCTCCCCCCACCAGAAGCCGAGACCCTCATCCGAAGCATATGCGAGAATGTCCTCGAGGCAGCAAAACAGACCGGTCAAAGAGTAGACATCGTTCTACGCGGTGATAGTACTTTGCGCGGTCATTTCCCGCTGGAACCTGATGTTGCGCAGTCCGTCTTTGGACCAGCTGATGGACTCGTTCTGGCCCCGTTTTTTTTTCAGGGTGGTCGGTTTACGATTGATGATGTGCATTATGTTGCGGAGGGAGATAGTCTTGTTCCTGCTGGAGCGACGCCGTTCGCGCAGGATGCTACGTTTGGGTATAAGAGTTCGAATTTGAGGGATTATGTGCATGAGAAGGCTCCTGGGCGATTTTCTGTGAAGCAATTGCATTCGGTTACGATTGAGGAGATTCGACTCGGGGGACCGCAGGTTGTTTGTGAGAGATTACTTGCAACGCCTGTGGGTGGTGTGGTGATTGTGAATGCTGCGGCTGAATCGGATATGCACGTCTTTGTTGCGGGGTTGTTACTCGGTATGTTCGAAAATTAACCCGTCCTTTTCAATTTGGAATGGTCTAACTAATACGTACTCCTCCCAGCCGAATCCAAAGGGAAACATTTCCTCTACCGTACAGGTGCAGCCTTCGTATCAACAAGACTAGGCATTCGATCCAAGGCTCCCATCTCTGCCGCGGAACTGCAACTCCCATCCCCTCGCCAGACAGGTGGTCTCATCGTCGCGGGCTCATATGTCCCAAAGACCACAGCTCAATTGAAGGTTCTCACAGACCGGCTAGGCGCGGCGGGTAAACTGGCCATCATCGAGATCAAGGTCGAAGACCTCATCGCGTCGCCCGAGACAGGGTCGGAAACCGTGAAACAGGTTGTTCGCGAAACGGAATCTCATCTTCTAGCTGGACAGGATACATTGGTTATGACCAGTCGTAAGCTCATTACCGGTGCGGATGAGTTGTCGTCTTTGAAGATTGGTTCTGTTGTTGCGGAGGCTCTTGTGAGTGTCTTGCAGCAGATTGAGGTGCGGCCGAGATATATCATTGCAAAGGTATGTACAGATTGGTGCTTCGGTTTTTTTTTGAAACACATGTGGTGAATGTGATTGCTAACGATCTATTTAGGGCGGAATTACTTCCTCTGATGCTGCTACCAAGGGCTTAAATGTCAAGCGCGCTACTATTGTTGGTCAGGCCGCACCTGGTGTGCCGCTTTGGAGATGTGATGAGCCGACGTCTCGTCATCGGGGAGTGCCGTTTGTGGTGTTCCCTGGTAATGTGGGTGGAGAGACTACTCTTTGTGAATTGGTGGAGGGGTGGTATTAGAGTCGAGATCATGTTGATGTATATCCGAGTCCGGGCATGCTTAAAGCATCATATTATGAGATGCACTGACCTAGAGATAGTGGAGATACACCCAGTGCAGTCCATAGAATACACTATATTGCTTCAGAAGAAAGAATACTCTATACATCTTAGTCATTAGGAGGTTAATATTCATTTAGCATATACCTCCCTGATATGTCGTCATAATCCATAAATGCGTATCTCATCAACCATCAACCTGGTCAGGTCAACCCCACCAGAAGCTAACGCTAATACCAGCTCGCAGTCCTCGAACATAGTGCCACCACCCCACAGGGATGTACAAGCACTCACCCTCACGCAGCACAGTCTCCACGTACTCCGCCTTCAAGAACCCAGGCCACATAGCCTCCCATTGATCCTCCTCCGCGGGCGAAAGTTCAATAGCCGCAACATCGACCTTGGAAGTATTGGACATGTCGATGAGTCTCTTCGCAGGCTCGCCATCAGACGAAGTTCCCGACTCGGTCTCATCTTTGGACGCTACCCATTCCTGGCCGCGGGGGTGGATTTGGGAAGCTGGGGTGTGCGGCGAGTAGAGACGAATGTATTTGGTACCGACGACCTGGACGAGAATGTTGTGATACTGATCGTGGTGGAGAGGTGAGATGGTCCATGAAGGTCCAATCCAGGTGTTGATGATAGGGTCCGACGGAAATTCCATGAGAGAGCCTGCTTCTGACGCAGTTTCGTCCTTTTCATCTGGGGTTGGCGACTGATCTGATTTCAGGCCTGTCGCTTTCTCTGCCGACTGCGCCTTGGCTGCTTCGCGTTCTCGCTGCTTAGCCAGATACACAGGTGTACCCGGCTCGGCACCTGGAGGATCGATGTAGCAGCAGTCGGGTATGCTGATGTCGTTGCGCAGAGCAGGGATCTGTGAGAGCAGATCGTGCTGTGCCATGTACCCGGTCTCCTCGTCTTCCTCGGAACCCCCACACTCATTTCGCTGCTGAGAACTGGGCCCCAGCTTGCCTCGCCAGACATATTTGTCTATGAACTCCCGGAACTCAATGATCTTCTGACCCCATCCTTCATCCGTGTATGACCTGCCCACTTCGACGGGCACGAGTCTGCGGCCATTGAATGTGCGACCAGACCAGTAATCGCGAGAGTTCCACGGACGAGTCGACATCGCGGGCCAATGATGCACTGCATCGGTAATCACCAACGGTTTGCCAATCTCGAGGATATGGTTCTGCATGGCATCGAAGGACGGCGCCGATACGCGCTGGATAGGGTATTTCAGGCGGGGCGCGGGGACGGATTCGGGAGGGAAAAGTGGCTGTGAGATCTTGCGGCGCTTGGAGGGAGGTCTAGAAGTCTCGTCGAAAGAGTCCTCTGAGGAATTGGGGTCATAGGTAGCCGCCTGCAGTGTAGACAGCAAGGATTCAATGAGCCTCTCTCGAAGAAGTCCTCCCGTCATGAGCAACGCATTGTCCAAAATGTGAATGACATCGGGAAGCCATGCAGCGTTCGAGGGGATTTTCGCATCTTTTGTCTCATCCTTGAGATCTTTGATAAGCTTCAACACATCCAGTCCATGTCTCGTAGCTTGCTTGGTCTGTGGACCGAGGAGGTCGCAGTTGCGGATCACACTAAGACATGCTTTCACGATCGACGCGTCGGTGTACAACCGTCGCCAGCTGTTATGCACGTCTTTAAATGGGTACACGTGTAGTTTCGCATCGGCAAGCTTGAGGGCATTCGTAGTGTCGTTGAAGAGGAGGGTTTGTAGGTCATCGCTGCACTGAAGGATTGGGTCGTCGGAGGTTGGTGCGGCGATGACGGACAGCGCGCTGCTGAGGACGGAGTACAGACTCATGGTTTTAGTCGCAGTCGCAACTCGGCCACAGGCTCGAAGGATAGAGAAGGAGTCGGGAAAGGAACCTCCAGTCAGGGGCGCCCAGCTCCTTTACAAAGGATGAAAGAATAATATCCAGAGTGTTGTGCCAATCTCATGCTTGATTTGGAGCCAGCTCTTGTTGGGTGCAAACGCAATGCCCGACAGAGTTGAAAAGTTGAAGATCACTCCGCCTACAAATCCCCAACTTCCACAATAACAACAGTCATTCAGAACACAACGGGTATTATCTTTTGATTGTACATGGTATGCTTTATGGGGATATTTTAATATACATGTTCCACTCCTATTTCCTAGACAGTGGTCTTTCTTTGTTTACGCCAAATATTGCATCACCAATTTAGGGATCCGAGACACTCCTTGACCATTGATGGCGCTGACTGGAACAGCTGACACCTTCTCCTTCCATCCATCGGCATGGCCAGATGGATGCTCAACAGTTCCCTTCTCCACTGCAGAGAGATACTCCTGCAAAGCCTGGTACTGTTCCTGGGTGTTCTCGAGGTCGGCCTTGGTAGCAACGACGAACCAAGGCTTGGTATGAAGAGGTGGCATAGCGAGAGGAGGCAAGGAGCCGGATGATCTATAATTCAGAGCCTGGCCTGAACCCTCATTATCGGGAGTTTCGATCTCAATAGCTCGGTTGCGCGGCCGATCAAGGTCTGGCAGCCCGGATCCAGATGGGTCCCAATCGATCACACCGGGCTTCTCCTTGGCGGCAGGTTCAGGTTCGGTACTGCGCAATCGCTCATATTCACCGAGCTCATGCCACAGCTTCTGTAGCTCTTCGACGGGATCCCCATTACTGAGATCAAGCACAAAGGCCAAGATGCCCGCCCGATCAATGTGTCGCAGGAACCCAAGCCCAAGACCACGGTCAAGATGTGCGTCCTCCACCAAGCCAGGAATATCGGCAATGGTGAAATGGGACCGGCGAGTCTTTCTCTGCGACTCAACTAGCGGTCGGCCTCTGTTATGATCAACAATCACCGTGCCGATATGAGGAGACAGGGTAGTAAATTCCCAGTTTCCAATGCGGGTGCGACTGTTGGTCAAGGAGCGTAGAAGCGTACTCTTGCCAGCATTGGGCTTACCAACTAGCCCAACATCTGCCAGCAGCTTGAGCTCAAAATCGAGCTCCAATTTCATGCCTCCTTCGCCACGAGATGCGAACTTGGGTCGGCCCATGGAGCGTGTGACGAAATGCGGATTTCCCAACCCACCAGCACCACCCGCAGCTAGAAGCATTGGCTTATCCATAGGCTGGTCAAGGTCAAGGTAGATGGGCGCTTTCGGCTCCATCGCTGCGATAGCCTGTCTCCGCGGCTTGAGTCGAGGGAACTTGACCGTCAAGAAATCTGATGGGTTGGCACCGGGATGAAGCATCCAGCGGTCGTGTCGAACAGGAGTAAATAATTCAATCCCATCCTCGTCGACAGGTTCAACCTTAGCTCTTCGCATCCGAGCAATCTCCTCTGCAACGGGGTCGTATCGCTCGACTTCGCGTACCACTGTGCCGACCGGAACTTGAAGGAGCACATCGTCGCCGCGCTTTCCACCTTTGCTTTTGCCCTGTCCATTTCTCCCTCGGCTAGCCTTGATTATACCCCTTCGTGCGAGTTTATGTAGACTGGTCAAGCCCTCGACAGCTTGAATGTAGATGCCACCTCCGCTGCCACCATCACCGCCGTTTGGAGGCCCTTCTTCAATGAATTTCTCACGTAGATATGAGACACATCCGTTACCACCAGCACCAGCATGTACAGTGACGTGACATTTATCTTGGAAGATAAAGCGCGAATAGTCCTCCGGATCTGGGTTCAAGTACGACAGATCCGAAGGTTGGTCGGGGGAGGAGGTTTCGTCATCGGGTCGCACGTTACTGGGTGTCGTGCTTTGCCATCTTCGGCTGAGTATAGTCGCAGATATTGTGGAGGGGGATCTTGTAGAACAGATCCACGCGCGGTTGAAGAGGAGGGACCGCATAGGAAGGTTGAGACAAGCTCGAGGATGTGCCATGATGCTGCGCTGTCAAGGACTATTCCAGCCTCATTCTGCGCTATGCGCACTTGTTCAGTCTTCAATCAGCACAAGCTCATAAGCTCCCAATGTATGAGCACAGATATTATGTCTTCATCAACGAATAAGACAGATTTGTGGGCAATTATGAGTGAGGAGTGCGACGAGACGAATTCAGCTGTCGTGGATTTCTTGAGCTCTCGATAAGCGATAACCATATCATCACGTGCCGATAAGCAGATATCAATCATCAGCTTTTGGCCATTCGAGCTTCGACTGTTCAGTACAGACATGGCAACTTAGCCTACAATAAAATTGGGCCGTGAGTATGGCCTGACGCTTCAAAAAATATGACTCGTGCTCTTCGGTGACTACAATGCGAAAACCCCATCAACATGCATAATAGCATCTTGTTCAGTCCTGGGCAAAACAGCGAACAGCATCTTCCCGAGATCTCACCACCAATCCCGTTTCATTTTTGCTAAACCTGTCCTGGAAACCAACTCCAAGACCCAATTTCCAGATATTCCTAGGATGATCGTCCCTTGAGATAGCTGCATGGTGCCGGTATAGCTGCCGAAATAACCTAGCGCAATCAAGGCTCGACCAAAGATTATACTCAGTCTCCGTTAATATCTGGGGCCCCCAGCCATTCTCCCTTCAGCTGCGCCTTTCACAGACCAATTTTTAGGCCAATTTACCGATGAGCAAACATTCGGTGTGTCGGCAAGCTAGGGCCAGCTTTGATTTGACATTGGGGGCGAAAATACTCGTTGCTTTTTTCACCGTTCTTGCCTTTGGAGGTTACAGTCTCAACGGCTTTGCAAAATAGACTGCCCAGGCTTTGAGCCCTAACAAGGCTACCGGCGAGGCGCAGATGACAGCCCACCCTTGAACAGGGCAGGACAGAGTGTCGAGATTGTTCTCCGTTCACAGCCGAATTGGAAACGTACTTTTGTCTTGTCCTTCGGCAATAAGTCACTTCTCACAGCCATTCACGAACGGCATGCAGTTGATGGAGTCAAACTGGCTGAGCTGAGCTTGCCGATACAGTATGCATTTGGCCGGCTATCATACCACCTCTTGTGCTAAGTATTTCGGATCCCGGATAGTCCACGCGTCGAGGAGACGCCTGACTACCAGGGTTCATACATGGTATGGCATGACGGGGATTGACCTTGTTCGTCCAAGCTAGTGGCATGATAAATAACACAAGATTCGATTTCAACAATGACACTCAACTTGTACGGGTCACAGAAATATTGAAGACCGATCTTTCGCTGGTCAGAGTATATTGACATGACTCGATCTTTGTCTAGCTGCCGTCCGGTTCGCTGATCTCCTTCCAATCATCCGAAGAGGCAGGCGATCTGTTCAAGGTCGGAGATCTCGGTAGTCGGAGAGATGTGATTGACAACCTGCCAGATTCATAGTTTTAAATGATGGACAGCTGCTGATACGTGCATACGTAGGCGGGTAATATCGACCATGGTGTGTGGTAGTTACTTGTATTTCCCAATCGGAACAAAAATCCGAAATATCACGAAGTCAATCTCTGTCAAGGTTTAAATTGGAATTCATTGACAGCAAGGACAAAGCCATGGTGCAACCGCCGCATGGAATGAATGTTCCTGGTCAATGCATTGATTGGCTTACTATCCTGGTCCGGTTGCCGGTTCATCACAGTTCAAGGGCCATGTTTATCTGTCACACCTATGGCGCGCATGTCAGGGAGCTGATCACACTACTAAAAATCAGAACGGGATCTAGGGTTATGTCACATCAAAGTACCGGCGAACGCAGTACTTCTGCCAGATTAAGTCCAGACTACTGCTGCACTCCAGGGGATTGAGTTTGGGAGAGTGCATGGTATCTGCCCTGTGTAGGACATGAATCATGCCCATGTACCACATACTACATCGATGTTAGCGGCTATCCATTTCGCGATCTAAGTTTTTGTGTAAATATGTTGAAATATATATCTTACGACAGTGGAAATCCTATCATCAACTAGCAGTATGTAGCGCCCACTTCATTCTCCAACTCACCTCAAGCTGGCGTGGGCAAGGATTACGATTTTCGCGAATGAGGTCATGTTGCATCCGATACATATTTCTACACATTTCAGCTAACACTTTACTCCTCAAAAGCTCAATGAATGTTTTAATAGGTTAATGAATACATTCACCGGCAGTTCTTCGGAGTTGAGATGCCCAATTTTCAAGGAATGGCCCCATCTGACTGCGCGTCTGCCCCCAAAGGATCTAGTCTAACCCATACAAAGCACTCCATATCCATCCCACCATTCGCCAGACTAACGGTACTGTAGTTCACAAAAAAGGTACGGAGACTCCGGACAATTGACTCTCACGAGGAACCGGCCAGACCCCCAGGGACTAGGCGAAGCATAAGCTAACAAAGTACATTACAAAAGTGCCAGCTGCAGGGGCAAAATGGTATCCATCACTTTTCATCATTGATCATCAAGCCTCATTATCCACCGGCGAGGGCCCAGAATCCTGCCAAAATTTGGCCAATTTGCCCCCGCACCACGGAAGGCCGGACAAGAAACAATTGACAAAGTACAAGCGCTGTGCAAAGTACGTATCACAAAGTACCAGATCCGCCAAAGCAGGTTTTTATCCCAGTCTTCTGGAAGGGGCGGCAGAGAAGCAGGAACCACTGGATCCGCGGAGCGGAGAACAAAGGTACATCGCAAGGACTAGTTCGAGGCTAGAGACCACTGGGCTGATGGACTCGATCCAGTGACGATCATAAAAAGAGGCGTACAGTATGGAGCACTTACAGTATGTACTACATAAGCCGTCCTGATGGAGTATACCAAGTCACCAGACTATGGCAAGCAGGGTCGCTAATGGCGCAAGGGTAGGGAAAAAAGTCCCCGATTAACTACAGTTACAGTATGTCCTTATTGTTCTTAGTTAGTTACCAGAAATTTGCATATGGTTACCTAAGTACTTAGTACAGTCATAGTTAAGACGATGATGGCCTCAAAAAAAGGAGAGATGCTCACATGACCGATGAAGGAGTCAATAGCGTGGAAAATCGTTGCAAGGGCCCGACAATTACCAGCCAGTCACTCATCTTTCAGCAGCCATTCATCGGACGCCATCGAGAAGAGACCAGTGATTTCTTACCCGTCACCGCGGCACCGGATCCTGCATTCCGATGGGGCTCATCGCCACTGGCGGGGGAGAAGGGGAGGCTTCCTATTAGTCGGGGGGGACACGTTAGGGCGAACCGGGTGAAACGACGGGGCGATGGAAAATACACAGATACCAGAAATCATTCGTACGGTATGAATTACACAATACGGAATCTACTAGACTAAAACCTTCCGGAATTTATAGTAGTACTAGCTTGAAAATTGACTCGGTGATTGACATCTGGTTGTACCGTGGACCGCAGGCCTGGGGGAGGAATAATGGGGACTTCCGAGGTTCCCCTGGTGGCTATGAAGCACTCCAACTGGGGCATTTGGCTCATTTATCCACTTGCAATGAGAAGAACTGCGATCGGCTCGCGTTCATTGGAGCGCGGATGTCGCAGGCCCTTCCCGGGCCAAAGAGTGTCTTCCTGTGGTACGCGGTAGTTGATTAGTAGCTATGCGCTAAAACAAGTGAGCATTCGTGAACCAAAAGTGAGGAAGTTTGCGACTAGAGTAGAAAGTAGAAACTTGTAGGGAGAAAGGAGTCCACGCAATTAATTAGATTAGCTGACGAATGATGCTGGGACTATCGTCGAGGCAAAAACAGGGCAATAAGGAAATAAGCAAAATTATCACTGGTGTGAAACCATCTAAGCGAGCAAAACGTGAAACATGGTCTTGTACCAGAGAATAATTACCCATCCGCTGGCTCCGAGAATCGAGTCTCGTGATCGTCTGAAGTCAATTGATAATAATGTACATATCTTCTTGCACTCTGTATAGAGTACGAAGTACTTTGGCTGAATTCGCCTCTTATCAGAAGTACTCCCGTCAGCTTATGCAGCCTAATAATTCCCTGGAATCTCCGCAAGAAAGCACCGATGGACTCCGAGATTGACTAAAACCCCGAAACAAGAGGGTCTAGATCGGTAATTCATAGCGTGGCATCTCGGTATTCAACAAAAACGTAAGGACCTGTCAACGCCCCAGGTGGCCGCGTTCCACTGACGTAGACATTGCCGCCCCAGGGTAGGTAGAGTAGGTAGTACCTAACTAGCTAGCTAGCCACCACCATACTGAGTAGTTGAGGTGGCAAGGTCGAAAGGAATCAAAATTCACTACTGTACGGAGCTATGTACTCCATCTTCAAGACTATCCCAATAAAGGCCCTCCAGCATCGTGGAACTACAGTCGCCGGCGCATCCTCGCGTCCAAGTTTCCCGTATATCCTCCGTGCCAGTGTGCTGTCCACTGAAGCCGACCCGCCCGCAGAGGCAGTGTATCACGATAAACTTTGACAGACTCGATCGATCGGGAAGCGCGGGAAGTTGCGTATATCCAGAGATGTACATATCGCACCAGGCGGCACCAGCGCACCCTCACTCTCAGTCATTGGCTTCACGATATTAAAGAAGCAGGCTAGACCACACGATAGCTCGCATTGACCAGATCGAGACTGGGCTTCGCGATCGATTGCCTGAGGACGCCAGGACTCGAGCGATCTACGTTATGCATATCCCCGTATTCCGTTGATAGTACCCATCTGGTTATGGGCCTAACTACATATGGGTGGCCTGAGGATAAGAAAGTCTCTTTATCGCCTGGCGCGCGCGAACCCGGGTGCATGGAGATAGATGAGATTCTGTGTGGGGGTTCCTGCTGCGGCTTTGATTTTTGTAGTTTCCCAGTCGTTGACCCTGGCATAACCCCCCTGCTAAGTGGAATGTGAGCATGTTTCTTGTTGCACTACTTATTCTTTTGTCTAGTTTTTCTCGTCTCATTCCCTCCACACCGCCGGGAAGTCGATAGATCACAAAATAATAAATTTCCG